TCTCTCAACTCAAACTCGCTGCGTATAGATCATCTCAATCACTTGACGCGTACCTGCCAACTTCTCAAGTCTTCTCTCAACTCAAACTCGCTGCGCTCGTCCCATTCATGCTTTTCTCTGCGTCGATGCTCCTGCTGACTCGCCTGCATTTGCTGCTCTATACTGGACCGGCCACTGACTGTGCTGTTGTGGATTGTCGGAGTCCTATTCGGTGACTCTCGACTGCCCGTCCGCTTATGTCCTCCCTGGGATGCCGCCTGCGGCGTGAGGAGTTGGTCTCGCGGCGTTACAGGCCTCTTGGTCTCGTCGCTCGAGGAGCTGTTCATGCTTTCTTCTCGGAGACCTAATCTCTGACGCAGTCCCGGGTTGTTCGGGGCAGAAGGTAATCGTCCTCCATCGCCTCCTGCGAACAAATCCTCGATGAGTTTGTCAGGAGGCAATTCGCCGGACTGGCATGCCCAAGTCGCAGCAAGTGTGCGTCGATAGATATCCTGCGCTTCCGATAATTCCCTGGTCTTGCTCGTGATGCTGGGTATGTCGTCGCCTTCGCCAGCTTCTGTCGTCAAAACTCCGGCAATTCCGCCGATGACCATGGCAGACTTCAAGGGAGGAGCAATAAAGTTCGTGTCTCCCTCGGTCTGTTTCATCTTAATCCCGATTTTTAGAGTGCTGTTCACCTTGCTGTCTTGCAGGAGGTATCTGCGTGTTATCCCGCCCTCTTCGTTATCTTCTTGAGGATCGCGGTCGGTAATGGCTTCTTCCGGAAGACGTGCATATTCAGCCAAGTTGAGTTTGACATTTCCGAGGTGTACTCGTCCACCTCGTCCGCCTTCGTGGAACTCTTGAAGAATCTCAAAATGCAGGGCGCATTCTTGTAACATGCCCGTTTTATCGATGGTCAGACGTACCGGGATTTCCTTGCTGTAATCCCATGTTGCTCTATGTTCGAGGATAGCGGCTTTGTCGGTTCGTCCACGATGTTCCGCCGCGGTCGACGACGGAAGATGCCATCGCACGCTGGCAGTTCCGTAAATGAGAGGAATGTTGGTCAGATCGATGACATGAAGAGTCAGGTCAAATTTAGGCTGTACAGAAAACTATCAGCACAGCCCACAGTGATGCCAGGAAGGTCGTATGCAGATCGATTAGGGAGAGGCGGGAACATACCTTTCGATTCTTCGGAACTACAAAGGTGACATTGTTCAGCGCTTGCTTTCGCAGCATGGTCCTCGAAAGGGGGGACGTGGAAAGTCCATGCCACCGCTTGGATTGAGAGGAAGAGAGGAAGACATACCAAAGGCTTGCATGGTTGAGAGATGTCACCCTCCTGTTCGTACCGGGGCCACGCGTAGACCGGAAAGAGGCGTTCGCTGCGCTCAGACAAAGCAGAGAACTGCTAGTGGATTCCCTTCCATTCCATCCCGGCCCGATGATGCCACACAATGAATGGTGCGAAGTCTGGCCAGACACAGATCCAGATTGAGACGCAGGATTGCGTATGATTCGGACGAGAGACGGTGATAGTGTGTCTGATGGAGAATTATAATGCCGCGAGGAGATAAGAATGCGAGTGTGGGACTCCATCAAGCTCCTGTTGAGCCCTTAACTAGCGGATGAGTTCGACCGGCCACGAACACAGGCAGAAAATCGTACGGGGTACGAGTACGAGTACGAAAACGAAATATCGGGACTGTATTAGTCAGCAAAATCAATCCACGCACACAGCCAACCTGAGATGAAGTTATCTACAACAATCGATAGTCAACTCCGTAAGTCAATATACAGTATACGATCATTATTTGAAAGAGATGAGCTTCGACGACTCGAAAAATGATATCTATAATACTCGCTTCTACTAATATACACACTGTACGAAAACAAGGAAATTTCTTCGAATACAACTTTTGTCTAGAACTTGTGCACTTCTTCCTTGGTGTATCCCAGTTCGCCGAGAATACCTCCAATGCTACCTTGGGTCCAGCCAAAGCCACCCTTGGCTCCAGCAATGCTTTCAACCATCGGTGGAGGTCCGCTCACAAGGACTTTGATGTTCCGTTCATTCATCTTGTGCGGCATGACTTTGCTCAAAAGTGCCTTGTTGACGTAACCTGTTTCGTATGAAGTCTCATTCTGAGGAGTGGTTTTGCTGACAACATAGGATCTGGTGAAGCGTTCGGGATACTTCTGAGCGAGTTCATCGAATTCCTTCTTCAGGAGGATATCCTCTTCGGTATTGTTGGCGTATACCAGGGCGATCTTGGTCTTGTCCTCTGGGTTGTTGAGGATGTTACGAGTGAGTTGATAGATTGGAGTGATGCCCGAACCACCAGCGATACAGGTGATTGCAGAGAACTGGTTGGGTTTGTAGTCAAACTCGTGGAGTGGTTTGAATTTCATCGAGTCGCCCGGCTGCAAGGAGTGCATCTTGCCGGAGCCCTTGCCATTTGGGTACTTCTTGATCATGAATGTGACGGTACCAGGGACATCTATGTTGATCAGCTAATGAACATGAGCAGCAAGCGGGGGATGAAATTACCGTTGTCGCTGACTGGTGTGTATGGCCTGAAGACAGGGACCCAAGCACCTTCCGGAGTATGTTGGGTCAATAGAGAGGCTGGTATTATATAAGTAAGAGTCCAATGAGGGATGGCAATATCAAAACGTACTGATGGGAGAAATGCCAGTGATTGATTCATCATCGGGCAGAGCAAACGTCAATCGCTTGACATTGTGGTTGACCATCTCAGAACTCTGAAGTTTGAGCTCGGTAAATCCCTTCCACTCCATTTTCTTCAGAGCAGCTCGAGAGTCCGATGGGAGAGTCTCGGCGTGGACTGGTGTGAAGAAAAAGGATGTCGAATTGTAATGTCGATATCCGCTGTAGGCCAGTCCAGCACCGGCAGCAGCCACTCCGGCCACTTTCAGAGTAGGTCTCAGATAACCAGGCATCTTGGAGAGAATACAAACGCAATTGAGACGGCTAGTCGTGGTGAAGCAGGTTCTAGCGTCTTTTGTCGACCGGGATAACAGCTAACGATTATTGTTGATTGTCTCGCCCCGAAGCTGACGGGGGGAGAATCCGGAAGTATCTTAAAATTGTTATCAACGTAGCTTGTAGGAAGCCACGACTCGAGTAGGAGCTGAAGAAGGGTGATGTGAATCAAATGAATGTTTCGAAGATAAAATGAACGTGACGTTGATGAAGGTCTTGATGAAGATATTGAAAAAGAGCAATTCAGCTGGCCTGATGGGGAGTTCAAAATCGGGGGCCGGGACAGGAACCTCCGACTTTCCAGGCACTCTAAGCCCTAAGGCGCCAGTCAGGGCCGATTCACTAGAAGGCCTCTAAGCCTGTTCGAGTAGCCCGGAAGGCCGCACCTAAAGCCTTCGCAGTCTATTGTTCCAAAAATAAGTCATGGCATTTCCCCCTTTGCCCATCACCCTGTACTGTAAGCCTCACATTCTGCTCTTGATGACTAGCCTTGCGTACCCAGTAGTCACCTACAATAAGTTTGCAAGGCTGCTACAAAAAGGGGCTATTCTTAGGGAGTTTCTCCCCTGTTACAAGTCATCCCCTGGCCAGGTAGAATCCCTATGACTCGGAAGTGGCAGGTAAATAGGCAGGTATTGAAGAGCGTACGTTGCCACTTAACGACATTAGCTTCACCTGTTCTGCTCTTCTGTCCTTCAAACATAGCCTTTGATATGCCAGCTTCTTGAATATTGGAGGCCATTTGGGCATAAACCCATCATCAAACAACATACGGCATCTGAAGCAGGGGAATGGCACATTTCTGTAGTCATCACGCTACTGGAAGGCAGGCCGCAGTCATAGTACAAACCTGCTCATGCAAAAAGCGTGACGGTGTTGAGATGTATCGAGGAGTAAGGCTTGGGCGATCGACCACTTTGTCCTCATCGCACAGAGGTGTCACTGTTGTCAAAGTTCTGGGAAGGACATGTCTCTCACCACAAACGTCTATTCTCTTTAGATGCAACTCTGAACGGGTAAAATTCCCAATGTGTCCGAGCACATGGTGTGTGCAACCCAACCCATGCGATAGGGAGAAACGTGTGTCACAACATCGCAGGATACTTTGCCCTAGACTGGAAAATAACGATATCGATGAAGAACCTAAGACCCGGATGCACATTTGCAACCAGGTCGTCATTCCAAAACATGATATTGTGCCACTGTGAGGGTATCAATGGGGATCGATGAGTCTCCTCTCCACTTGGTCTTCGCAGTGGCGTAAGTGCCCGGCGAGCTGTATACTATTGCGGCGCTCAGCTCAGCTGACATGGATGCTCAATTTGTCATCTGCCGCAGGTTCCCAGGACAGGAGAAAACTGGTACCAGCAGTATTACCATGGAGAAAAAGGCCATGACTGTTGGTTTGGAGTGGGTGTGAGACCGGACGGCAACATGCGAGAAAATGATCTTTGAAAGTCCAATGGTACCTCAGGCACCTAAGGTACAACTCATGTTCGACAACTTTTGCCAGGTTGCACTCGGTCAGGTTATTACCAGCGATCATTGCAACGAGCATGCACAAAAATCATGTCAAAAGTCTGCAGTTGATCGTCATCAGCAAAAATGCAGGGAGCAAGTTTTGTGCCCTGCTATGCTGGAGTGAACTTGCAGAAGCAGAGTGAAGAGAAACAAAAATCCTGAAAAGAATGGCTTGGTACGACTTGACTTACAGTCTCCATACGTCATTTTTGGGAAGAGATCTGGGGGCAACACGTGACTGTAAGTATCGGTAATTCCGGTCAACCGGACAAAATTAGAGCCGGCACTGCCACATTGCTTCACTGTGCCACAGGTGGCTTCGTCGGTGTTGCCGGCATGAAAACAAAGTCTAGTTGCTGCACGAGTCTGCACGGCGTCTACGCGAGGTTCAGCCCATGCCGCTGATCGTCTGCTGGGGTCTTGAGTCCTTCATTTATCGATACCACCGTCGTCATCGTCTTGTCAGTCACCGTTTGGGATAATAATCTGAAACAAGCATCACAGTCCACAGAGCATTTGGTCGGCGGCTGCTGCGACTTGTATCTTCTTGTTCCGGGGGCTACATAACCCATAAACATGACATTCTATGACTATTCCCATCACATGATGCCGGGGCCATGGCAAGGCAGGAGAGATTGTCACAGCCAATGAACCTTCAGAACAGGGATGTTGATTTAGTGTACGGCGCTGGGTTCCACTGCATACGACCAATGCATGTCCAGAGATGCCATTTTACGAGGATCACCTCAGCTGTCGGCCGCTACTAGCTCGGGCGGATTCGCAACGACCAGCCTCAAGATGCCAATGACTGGTTGTGCTGTATTTGCCATCCTCCCGCCATCAGACATGCCCATTGTAGGTGAGATGAGTCTTTGAAAGCTCCTTCGCCGACCTTTTCAACGCTTGGAAAGGGCCGAGGGGTTCGCTCACGTTCCTGAAACGAGCGGAAAATGTACCACAATTCTGGGACTGCAAATGGTGTTCGTGACTGTATACCTTCTCGTAGAGTTTTGAGACCGCCGACCAAGGCTTGGGGTTAAAAGAGGAGGCAAACTTGGGGAGGACTTCCTGCGAGGGCGCCAACTGCGATTGCAGTCCAGGCCAAACCTCCTGGCGCCTCTGACAACGGCATCTCAGACTACGCGAAGGTTTGTTTCACGCATTGCGGGAATGTACAAACTTTTTGCCCTCTCGGAATGATGGGATGTTGTTGATTGCACGGTGGTAAGATTGTGGAAAGGCCTCGTAGGAGTGATCTAGCATGCGTTTACGAAGCAGTCCAGAAACCAGGATTAGGGAATCTAGAAGCGTTTGCGGATAATTCGGTTCTTCTGGAAAGGACAATCCACACGTCCCTCGGGGCCAGCCGAGTTTCCACGGGCCAGGCGGCTTGCTGATCAAGTAGACGTCAGCCAGTCGAGGCATTTGGACATGGCTGGTTGGGATTTTGTTTGAGGAATTTGACCAAAGTGGTGATCAAACTCGGATATTGGCAATCAGACAATGATTTCGAGAAGGGTCGGAAGAAGAAAGAAGCCACCAGTGAGAAGCCGAGAAGGGCAAAATCCCAAAGGACTTACTAGGCCGGACTGTATTGCTGATCTTGCATACGGGGGGGCTAACAGTCTGCAGGGCTGGTTCGCAAGGCGACTCGTGATGATGACTAGAGTGAACGGGTGACTTTTGGACGACCATGGGCTCAGCTGGAAGGTGGATGCCCCGGCCCAGCTGTAACGATGCTCAGCAGCGGCCAAAGTTGCTCAGGACGTGCAGTAGCGTAGATGCAAGCTGCAGACGTAGCGCAGGTGCAGGAAAAAGTTAGGAATTTTGACGAAAGAGGTTGAGGAGGTGGAGATGAGCAACGACTCTGTTCCTGCTGTAGCCGTCGCCGGAACCGGGTCAGACAGATCCTGTAGTTTGTTACCTTACATTTGCATCTGACCATTACCAGGGGATCCAAGGTCCATGGGGTGTGGTGTTTTTGTTGTTGTTTTGGTGATTATGGGTGGTGATGGTGGGAAGAGGATGTGTTTAGTGACAACGTATTGAGTCCCTATGGAGTATCAGATTACGAATACCTGCAATCTTTGGACACACTGTACGGAGTACTCCGTACTCATACGGATATTTTGTGAGGGTACGGAGTATGGTGATGAAAAAGGACCCCTGTTACTATTGCTGGAACAAGCGATGAAGAAGAAGAGAAGAAGGAAAGAGGGACATGGATGGGCATCTTCCTCGCTCGGTTACTCACTCAATCTAGTCGCACTCCGTCTCGTACTGCAGGTGGGAATCGTGCAGATGCTGGAGATTTCGGCGACTCCAGCAAAACAGAATTCGAAGAGTTTTGTCTGCGCCTCGTTCTCATTGCGTGCGCCTTTCGCCTCCTCCGTCTTGTCCATACTCGATTTGATACTCGTATTGTATACTCTGTATTATTGTACAGTACATCGTGGTGGCTCCTCTTCCTCTCCTTCTTTTTCCCTCTTTGTCCCTGTTTGTCCCGGTTTCCTGATCCCTGTTCCACATCTAAATCTACTGTAGGTAGAGACGAAGCATTCTTGCTCCGTACTGGTAGTCGTATTCCCGTCTTCATTCTTCACTGCTCGCTTTCGCTCACATCCGACTTCCACCATCGTCATGACTACTTAGCCTAGATACGATTCCGTAAAAAGGTCTCTAAGACTGACTCCATCCAACTGCATATCGGCTGCTGCGCCAGGTCTCCATCTTTAGCTCTTCCTTGTCCAGCCTATCAATGTCTCTACTGGCGACTTTTGCTCACGTTCCTCTCGATATAAGGTACGGCTCTCTCCTCCTTCTTATACCACCCTTCTTTGCCTGTTTCGTCCATCCCCGCCATTTCCGCCCTCGCCCTTCCCTCTACCCTGAATCTCATCCATACTCTCATTTCCATCCTCTCTTCCTCTCTCTCGCAAGGCGTGCACGCCACTTCCCTCGTTGGGACCGCCTTCGCATTCGCACGAAAAGAATAAAACACTCAATCTCTCATCAGGGTTTCTTTGATTTCTTCTTCCCATCTCTCCTACTGGACTCACCTCGCCTTCTGCTTATTCGATCATCTCTCTTCACTACCCGTACATGTTCCCGTCAGAGACGACGACGCTACAATAGAACCCAGAATCAGATCGATATCCAATTCATAATGCCGACAATATTGTTACCCGCCTCTGCTGCTGCCTTTGCCCCGCGATCGACATGCAATGTGGTGCTCAACACCAAAGTGGAACCGTGGCTGACGGCCACCCTCAAGAGAATCAACAAGATCAAGCGCCCGCTCAACAGTGTTCCGCAGCACACGAAATGTTTGACCGAGACGCTCTCCTCGCCGAATGCCATCTGGTCATTGTGTTCCATCATGGTCTCCAAGGCACCGGAAGCCGAGTTACGGACAGACTCAAATCCGCTGGTGGAGGCCTTGTTCAACTATCAACTAATCCACATCGAAGCCTACGTCGTACACGTCGACATGGTGTCGCAGAACGAGGTCGCCTTCAAGCTTACCCAAGACACGATTGATTCGCTGGTCGAGTATCATAAAGATGTCTTCTCCGTCGACACGGCGGCAAAGACCTGGTCATGGTCCGAGAAGGAAGCACAACTGAAAAAGTTGCAGGACGAGTTTGTCCAAGCTGCCAACAAATTTGTCTATAGGACGAATGTCCATGCCTTGGAGGGCATGGAAGAAGATGGTGCCGGCGAACTCCTGTGTGGGCGGAGCGACGAGGTTCGCGCCGCCGTCATGGGGCTCTACGTTCCGCTTCTACCGCCTCCACCGAGGATTGTAGATGTCGTCCGCCCGACCCCGCTGCTTCCAAGCTCGACAGGCGCAGAACAGTGGTGGCCCTCGCAACATATGCAGGCCATCCAACCTGCGCCCGTCGAGGCGTGGAAGATTATCCCGTCGAGCCCAAGTCCAGTCTCGTCCTGTGACTCGAACCAGAACATTTGGACGGGGGTGGGCATGCACGAAATTCAGCTGCCGTCACCAACACCTTCCTTCAGCCAGCCGTACTCTTCAGCTGCTTATAGCGCGCCGCAATACTACAGCTCTCCAGCTTACAGCACTCCGTCGAGCGCATCGTCCTTCGCACCGCTCCCTCTCCCCAGTATGTTGACTCAACAGCCGTGCAGTACATCTGCAAGCCTGAGCACATTCGGGTGGGATCGTTATCAAGAATACACGATGCCTTATGCGACGGCCATGTGACGATGAACAGTGGATGTGGACATTGCCTTTAACACTGCACACCATGATACCAGGCAACAGCGCTCTTGATATTGCAGTCTTCCGAACAAAGACGATCACAAAAGCAAGCGGGAATTTATAGCCTTGAGCATCACCATTAGAGTTTCTGATCTTGATTTTAGCGACACAAGGATACCACTCTGCATTTGACATGGGAATATTGGAATAATACGGTACGGGGAACGGGGTTTGATTTTCCAGCAAGCGTGGGGATTTTGATTCTACTCTGCTTTTGCTTTTGTTTGTCTTGTTGTGGGATTTGGAAACGCTCCGAGCATACCCCAGCGCAGGTCGGCTGGTTGGCATATATATGATATCCCTGGGTTGGATACAGTCCCTTATTTTTCGCAAGAACGGAAAGCCTCACGGCTGGTATGGGAGGTTTGGGATATATGCATGGATTTCTTATTTGAGTCGGGGTGAGAGTCACTTCTTTTTGTCATTGGGCTAGTCTCGTTGATGAGAGAGCGCGACACGCCTGTTTGGACCGAAGACTTGTTGTCACTGGTTGCCAACAATTCAAGGTCTGAGCACCGACACGGTGGTGAGCTATCACATCGGGCATGTGGTACTCAGTGCCGTACTGCAGGACATCTCTTTGCTTGTTTCGTGGAACGAGTCGTGGCTGGAAGTTATACCATGCCTGTGGCAGAGAATGACAACCATCGAAGTCCGTGACTTTGTGGGCAGCTATGACAGTTCGACGGGAGTGGCAAAGACGATGGAGTGTGGTATATAGGGTCATCTCCTATATCTTCGGCCTGGAGTCGAGGGAGCCTTTTCAGTCCATTGAGTGGACGAGGAATCTGATGCTGGAACATAAAGAGGCATTTTGTGCTCGATACATAAAGATAATCTCAAACAAATGTGAACATCTTCTCCAGTGTTTGTGGGTTCTGCTCCAGGTGGTATTTGTGGGCATCATCGTGTCAGCCGAGGGCCCGAGAAGCGTGGACTGGGCATTTTAGCCATGCCTAGAACTCTCCTCGAAGGCCCAAAGTCGGTGGACTTTTAGGCTGTTGCATCGGCCCGTATTCAGATTTCTGGAGAGGCTGGCAGAGCAGAGAGAATGCAGCCGAGTGACGCTGATTACTTAAGACCCCTGCAAAGTGAATCTCAGTCACGCACCTATGACGCTGTGGCATAATGCATTCTGCCTCGTTTCCTGCTCTTCCGACACGGCGTCATTCAATCATTGATGGTCACCGACGCTGTTCGTACAGTATTCATTATTGTCCCGCCTATGCATCTCAAGCTTCTCGACTTTTACTCTTTCGAGCAATCCAGATGCTCAGTCATCATGAGTATACCAATGCTTTAGAAAGGACCTCTTTTGGTTTGCTCTCCTATCATTGACTACCTAGCCATTACCTCTCTCTCGCCCCTCCTGTGATGCTCTCCATGCCGCTATCTTAACCGTATCGCTCCTTCAACGTGGTGCACTGGCGAGATGTCGGCTCTGCACTCGGCCTTGAAGGCTCTTTCACCCTGCGACTGGTCTGATATTCCTCAAAATCCAGATGAATTAGATTCTTTTCTAGCCGACCTCTTCTCACAGGCCCAAACCGTGATCGAGTCTATCCCTATTCCTGACCCTGATCCTTCTCACCGCGATCGTGCGCATACCACAGGCTCAATAGCCTCTCGCGCCTCCGAAATCAGACCCTCTTCAGCTCGAAGTCCGCCACCGCCGTCCGAGTACGCATCGCTGCAGAAAGAATGGGGAAAGCCAATCAAACTGTCTGCGAAAGAGAACCCTCTAGGAATTTCAGTCTATAAAGCCAGCAGCAAAGACGGGAAAGGTGCATGGTTCGCGCGTCGAAGCGTCCATGAAGGCCTAGGTTTCAGTAGGTTCAAGAAAGGCTTTGAAAGAGAGTTCCCTACCTCGTTGGCAGTACAAGGTGCCCCTGGGGAAGGCAATATCAGAGGCATTGGCGCAGATCAAAGAGTCGAAGAAATTAGCATTCCTAATAGAGGCACGGTCGAGGTTTACAAGCTCAGTGCCCAGTTCCCTGGTCCAACGACACCTCGGGACTTTGTGACACTCCTAGTCACATCGTCAAAGGCGTTGACACAGCATGACAATTCTCATGAACTCCCTCCCCGACATTATATGATCATTTCTAAACCCTGCAATCACCCCGAGACCCAACCCGGAAATGGGTTCATCAGAGGCCAGTATGAATCTGTAGAGTTCATACGTGAAATTCCTCGAAAACTCAAGACCACTACCTCATCAACAGATCTAAGTCGTTTGGGTCACCATGAGGGTTCATTGGAGAAGGATGTCTTGAAACACAATGCTGAGAAGCACCAGACTTCCGAACATGATTCTCATATCGACAAACACCTTCAGGTTGACACGCATGGATCTCGGGGCCGGGATGTTTCTCCTGGTAGGAAGAGGGGTGCCACAGTCGGCGCAGCTCTCAGCTCAAGTCCTGCACCACATTCAAGCCAACAGTATGACCCCGAAGATCATCCAGTCGAGTGGATCATGGTTACCCGAAGCGATCCTGGCGGTAGTGTTCCTCGTTTCATGGTCGAGAGAGGGACTCCTGGAAGCATCTGTACGGATGCGGTAAAGTTTCTCGACTGGGCCTGCCAGAGAGAGGAAGACGACGAATTTCTGGACAAGTCCCCTTCTAGACCTCAAACTCGTCACAGAGAGAGTTTCGCGAGCTGGGAAGCAAATGGTACCCTCGCCGGCATCAGGGAGCACGAAGAGGCATCCACACCGAAAGCAGAAGCAGTCGATGTGGAACGGCCATCGTCATCATCTTCGGGTCTGGTGGCAACAGTCGCCGAGGCGCTGAACCATTACACACCTCAAGTGGTCAAAGATCATGTTCCCAATTTGACTCCACTGACCAGTCCCCCGTCAGAAGCCACACCGGCCGAGCCACACTTTCAAACGGTTGAAGATCAAGATGATGACGATGCTTCATCAACGGTATCAACTCTATCCTTCGCCTCTGCGGATTCACATCTCAATTCAGACGAGGATCCCTCAATCTCTTCAAAGTCTTTATCTGAGAACACCACGGAAAGTCAGTTAATCTTGCAACATGATAAGGAGCTTGCGAGGCTCGCGGAACGTAAGGCAACCTTGGATTCGAAATTTGCTCAACAGCGTGAAAAAATGTCAAGTCAGGCTTCGAAAGACAACAAAAAGGAACATGAGGCCATTAAAAAGGCACATATCAAGCACGAGAAAGAGCTCAAAAAACACGAAGAAAAGTACAACAAAGAAGTGGCCAAGTTGGAGCAGAAAACGAAGAAGCAGGCGAAAAAGCTAGCCGAGAAGAAGCGGAAACAGAGCGAGAAAGACGAAAGAGTTCGTCTCACTCGAGAACGAGACGAAGCCAGAGCAGAACTCGAGCTTTTGAAGTCTGAACAAGAGATCTATACCCGTCAAATCGGCGAGCTCCAGAAAGAAAATACGGCGCTTATGGCACATATTGGCAGACTTGAAAGTGGATATACTCCTGATAGTCCCGGTAGCAGTCCGCTCAAATTTAGAGCAATGACCATGGGACATGAGAGTCGAAACCGGAGTTCAAGTGTTCTGAGTCGATTCAAGAACAAGAGTGAGTCAGGTAGTGAAGGATTATGAGGAACGGAGTACGAATGATTGCACTGAGCGGGCGTTTCTCTGCATGTGCTTTCTGGGGGGGTTATGATACGAATCAACCAATGTGTATATGCGTTCATTTGTGTGCTTAATTATCGTCAGGCCAAGGGCATATAGTTCTATGGCAAGGCTTTTCAAAAGTATCTCACGGTCATCGGTAGAGGTGACCAGGCTGTGGATTTGATTCCTATATGAAACGAGTGGCTTGCAAGCATGACACGATCATGTGTTGACATAATATGGTGCTCATTGCGAAGTGTGCTCTACCACATCGTCAATCGCCTTGCCCTCAGTTTCGTCTGCTTATAGCTTCTCGTACGAAGCACATGCTGCTTAGCTTTTGATATCGATCGAAGGGCGCACGCCTTCGCTCTGTAGAAATGTGCCTGCGGGATGATGATCATGGCTCTCTTATCGAATTCTGGCGGAGATTACCGTCGGTGCCTGGGTCTTCGGCAATGGAGTCCCTCCCGCTTCTCTCTTTCGCCTTGATCGAGACTGGTGGTGAAGACAAAAAGGTGTAGCGAAGCAGAAAGTGGTGACATCTTCTTTTGAACCGGGTCTCCCACATCATGCGACTAGCTAGAAATCTATGGCATAGACAATTCCCCAAGTTATCGTTCTTTTTTTTGATTTGGACGTGTCGATTGAGTCCGTCATTCTGATTCAAAAAGACGATTCAAAGTTGACGACGACAAGGGGAATATCAAAAATCACGATGCCGTTTCCGCACACTCGACCAATGTCCTCATATTGGCTGTCGAGGCACAATTTGACGACCAGTCCGGGGGACGACTTTTCAGGCCACCGCAGTACTCCCGAGTTACCTCGAGAAGTCGACGTTGCCATTATCGGATCAGGGTTCTCCGGAACGGCGGTGGCTTGGTATCTTGTCAATGACGACGATGAGTCTTCTGGTGGTGGGCCTACTACCACCACTCCTCCGTCTGTATTGATGCTCGAGGCTCGTCAAGCTTGCTCGGGGGCGACAGGTCGTAACGGTGGCCACGTCAAGCCGGATTTGTATTTCAACGCTCCGCTGTACTCGGAGAAGCACGGTCGCCGGGTCGCCGAAGAATTGACCCGATTCGAAATGCGACAGGTCTTTGACCTCAAGAGGTTGATCGAACGGGAAAACATCGATTGTGATTTCGAACTGACAAGGGCCATCGATGTGTACACGGACGAACGTGTGGCCGGGCCCGTGGTGGAAGGTTACAAGAGGATGAAGAGTGAAGGGTACGAATTTCCCGACGACTTGCACTTTGTACCTGGTGATGGAGGAAAGGCCGAGCAGGTGAGTCTGTCATCGAACAAGCATCGTCTCCTGCGCGCCAAAAGAGCCAAAAAAAATATGAAAGAAAAAAAAAATCACCTTTACTGACCAGTTGTATGTTTTCACATGCATCTCTTCACAGGTCTCCGGAGTCAAAGGTGCATTATGTGCATTTAGTTCCACGGCAGCTTCAGTGTGGCCCTTTAAGATGGTCATGGGTTTACTGAAAAGGGTACTCGCCAAAGGTGTGAATCTACAAACAGATACCACCGTCGAGTCGATCGAAAAGGACGGGGATGACAGGTGGATTCTACGTACGGAAAGGGGGACTGTCAAGGCAAAGAAGGTCGTCGTCACGACCAACGCCTACACCCCTGCACTGTTACCGGAGTTTCAGGGCAAAATCACCCCGGCGAGAGGTGTAGCGTGTAGGATCGCAGTTCCAGAGTCGGAGTCTGGTCCGGATCGTGCCGGGGGAAACACCCTGGCACGAGTACCGTCAACAGCACCACATCTGAACAACACGTACTCGATCCGTTTCGGTCCTCAAGAGTACGATTACCTCGTCGCGCGTACGGACGGGAGTATCGTCGTCGGAGGTGCAAAGCAAAAGGTGCTCTTGGACGATTCGTACTGGAGGGACAACACTGACGACTCGGCCATGATCCCCGGCGCCGAAGAGTATTTCGAAGGTTACATGCAGAGGACTTTCCACGGTTGGGAGGACACGAAAGCTCGAGTCACGGACATCTGGACCGGGGTCATGGGTTACTCTGCCGACCTGATGCCTTGGGTAGGGGCCGTTCCAGGACGTCAAGGTGTTTTTGTGTCTGCGGGATTCACGGGTCACGGGATGCCTAGGATCTTGGGTTGTGCAGAGGCTCTGGCTGGACTTGTGTCAGGCAAGGCGAAAGGAATGCAAGAGACCGGTGTGCCGAAGCCTTATTGGGTTACTGAACATCGGCTGAGTGAGACCAGAGATATCAGTAGAGAATATATGGCCGGTGGGAGACCGAAGGAGAGTAAGCTGTGATATAAGATGTGCTGTTTGAGGTGAGAGAGTGAGAGACAGAGTGAGGTGATTGATATATCCACTGTGTAAACAGGTGACTCTGCTCGCGGCAGACCTTATATTGTCAGTGATATAGCTAGTTTGAGGAAATGAGGGAGCCTTTAACATACAAGCAAACGAGTCACTTAGCTACTTGACTCTGTTACCAGTATGTTCGCCACTTCCCGATCAAACAGAAGGCGATTGTTATTATAAAATAAAATCAGGTCGACTTTCTATCAAGTATACATATCATTCGTTAATTTCATCTCGGAAGAACAAGAAGAAAAGAGAAAAAAGGTCCAAAAATGTGCTACATAGTCGACATGTTCTTCATATATCAATGTGATGGATGTGACAATGTACTTCGAGCGACAATCACACCTGTCAACTTTTGTCGATTCGGACATATTCATCGACCTGGTAGTGCTGCTACTGCAACACAAGGACAAGAGTCGGTGGGACATCAACGACAACAACGGCGACAGCAAGAATGTCCAAGTGGTTTCAACCCCGTGCCGGCAAATGATGATGTACCCCCACCCACTATGACGGTCAAGAGTAACGAGAGATGCGGAGATTGTCAACAAAGACTAGACTTGTTGCCGGATGAGGATCGAGAGATGGAGAGGATGTTATTGTGGACTCGATGGTTGCCGTACATCGGTGCATCGGAGTTGGGAGAGTATTTGAGTGTGAGGGCAGGATATGAGAGATCAGAATGATACAAAGAGGATCTATCGACGCGGCGAATGACCCAAGGTACCTTTAGCTTCAGCACGTCTGTCTTTCTGTGGCCAAGGTGTCGTGGATGGAATGTTTCCGGACTCCGTACACCATGTTCAATCGATGAGAAGACCGGAAAAAGTACAGACTTGATGTATTAACCCCACGGAATCTTCATCCCGCACACAGATTGAACCCCATACAATTCTGTACCCCACGCGTATTGATACCTACCTGGGTAACGGACGGCATATCCATTCGGTACTCCTTACAGCGTGGTGAGCAAGGACATCTTCTCACACAGTATATTATATCGGAAACATATTATACCGAGTCTCTGATCCCACGATATTACTCAACCCATCTATTCTCTCTCTCTCGCGATACACGAACAACTACTGTATCTACTACAACCTGAAGCAAGCTGAAGGAGGAAGACATGTCACAATAGCCACCCAGTCGACCTCCGCACTTCCTTGACACTTTTGCTATTGCTCGCAGATTCCAGCCGACTCGCGAAACCATGGCCGAACGAAAGATATCCGTCGACGAGGTCATCAAACACAACTCCCCTTCCGACGCGTGGATCGTCATCGACGGAACGGTATGGGACGTTACTGAATTCGCACCAACTCACCCTGGAGGAATCGACATCATCTTGGAGTATCTAGGTCAGGACGCCACGAGGGCTTACAGCGAGGTACACTCTCCTGGACTTGTGTCTAGATCTTTGGATGCGACCAAAAACAAAGGTCAACTAGACGAATCCACCGTCACCGAAGAATGGAGATCGAAACAAGCCGACACGATTGAAGGGACGCCTCCAGCGGAAAGACAAGACAGCGACAGACCCTACGAGAAACCACCTTTGGAGTCGATGATCAACCTTTTTGATTTCGAACAAGTGGCCCAAAAGTTTGTCAGTCCCAAAACTTGGGCTTACTATTCTGGAGCCGCCAATGATTGTTTATCTTTGAACGCAAACGTCGACTGGTACAGACGTATCTGGTTCCGTCCCAGAGTCCTCAAGGGCGTGAAGGACGTCGACACGACAGCCACGGTGTTGGGTGAAAAATATTCCATGCCAATCTTTTCCTCTCCTGCGGCATTGGCCAAATTGTCCCATCCGGAAGGTGAACTGGCCATGGCCAGAGGTGCCGTGACAAAAGGGACGACCTTGTGCGTTTGTTATGGAGCTTCTTATTCTTTGGAAGAAATTACGCAAGTCATGCCACCGGGTTACCCCAAATTTTATCAATTGTACTTTGATAAAGATAGGAAGGTGACGGAACGCAAAATGAGGGAGGCTATCGAGTTGCAACCCCGAGCGATCTTGGCGACGGTCGATTTACCGGTGGTGGGTAAAAGAGAGGCGGATGAACGGATCAAGATTGACGGTGCAGCTGCTTCCGCTTCAGTCAAATCTTCGTCACAGGTTCAAGGTCTGGCTCAGTCAAACATATTACCAAAGGACAACAAGGGAACAGGTCTAGCTCGAGTCACTGGTTCTTTTGTCGACCCTAACCTGACTTGGGAAGATATCAAATGGCTGATCTCACTCTCCGACATACCCGTATTCGTCAAGGGGATCCAATGTGCGGCGGACGCACGTACCGCCCTCGAGGTCGGTTGTAAAGGGATTTACATCTCCAACCACGGTGGGCGGGCGGTCGACACGGCACAACCTTCCATCTTGACCCTCCTCGAAATTCAGGCAAATTGTCCAGAGGTCCTGGAAAAGATGGAGGTCTTTATCGACGGTGGAATCAGAAGAGGTACAGACGTCCTGAAGGCTATGTGTCTCGGTGCTTCGGCCGTTTGTGTGGGAAGGCCGTTTCTGTACTCTCTCGTTTATGGCCAGGAAGGCATGGAGAAGGCATTGGATAGTGAGTGGTTTTTCTTGTCTCCCCTTTTTTCCCCCTTTCTCTTTGCATACAATCATTCCGTCACACCACATGCACACTCTCGCTGTACCTTTTGAACATGAGCTTACCTAGTTAATTATAGTCCTCAAAGATGAATTAGAAACGGCGATGCAAATGGTTGGAATCACTAGATTGGATCAAGCACATCCAGGCTTGTTGAATACTGCCGACATCGACAAGTTTGTGTATAGGGGTGACGCACATCCATGGGCCAGAAGAATCGTGAGGAACATCAAGTTGTAACAATAAGGTCTTGACACCTCTTACTTGGCCACGCTTAGTAAATGCCGTTGTACTACTGTACGGGAGTACCATTCCCGATCCTCGGAAGCAAATCTTTCTACTCGTTTTCTTTCTTCTTTCTTTTGTTTTAAGCGAGCCCTTGAAAGTCCGTGTATCACGGAACCATAACGATCCTGGCATCACCGACTTTTCTTCCCCAAACCGTTTCGATCTCGCTCAGTCTGAAAACTTGGATTTTCGGCACGGGCAAAGACACCAACGCCTTTATCAAGTCCGGCATCTCTTCGCGAATTTCTTCGTCACTGCAACTCCCTATACCCGACCCCAGCATGACCAGTTTCGAGGACCTCACCACCTTCGATTGTAGGGAGATCTTGGCACCGGCGAGGCCGCCGATGTTGATGTACTGTGTGAGTTTGGTGGTGGGTTTGATCGAATGCAACAAATGTTCCGTGGGTGGACCGTAGAGATAATCTAGAATGACGTCGACGTGGCCCAGACACGAAAAATCGGTCGACGTCACCGGGTCTTGTAGGACGACGGTCGAGTCCAACTCTAGCTCAGAGAGGGCGTCTGGGTTTCTCGCGCATCCGATGACTCTGCCGGCACCCAAGGCCCTCGATATGGGAATGGCCAATCTTCCCGACGTAGATGTCGCTCCCAGTATCAACACCGAAAAGTCGGGGGGCAGGCGGAAGGCTCGCTTCCTCAACGCCAGCCAACTGGACATCCCCGGGTTGACGAGGGCGGCAATTTGAATCGGGTCGGCCCCGGGAGGAAGAGGAAACACGTTGGTTTTGGGAACCGTCACGACGTCCCCAAAGGTACCCGACGAACCGTGGAAGTCGAAAAAGTAGGCCCCGTGACCTTCAAGGGTGGTTCCGACACCGTCGACCCCGGGGACGTGAGGCAACGTCTTGGCGGAGTAGTGTGTCCCCGAGGCCCGGAGGCGGACGAGGCTGTGGATGGCGGTGGCGGAGACCTTGAGCCGGACCTGGTCGTGGTCATCGGGTTCGGGTGGTTCGGAACTTTTTGTAGTTTCGACCGTCGTATACCTTGGTGCCTGACCCCATTGTTCGACCCGGGCGACGTGGGTGGTCTTTCTCTCGTCTTGAGCGTCCGTTGTGGCCTGGTGACGTGTTAAGGGCATGGAACGAAATAGGTCTAGGCAACAACGACGACGGAGACAAGCTGTTCTTACAATCATGATTTTGTCTTGTGTCGTCTTCCTTCCCCGGCGGAACAACCGTCGTCTTGTCGTCTCGTTTTTGTATGAGTAACAATGTCTGGGGTGGAGTTCTCGTTGCAGACCACTTGATCAGTGCACGGTATACCAGGGTATTCAATTTACCAAGAGACAAATGCCAAAAGATAAAGATTGACGCGGGTAATGCCGGCTCCGGACCGAGGATCTTTTTAATCGTTTTTTATACATAAACACACTCAAAGAAAAAGAGAGAGAGAACGACAAGTTCGGAAGGCGAGTTGATATTGATGTTGAGAGTAACGGTGACAAGTGACATTCAGGTACGAGAGGTATCGGTATATCACGTTTTACCGCGATGTATCCGCGCAGTTACTATTCATCGGAACACAATCTCTAGTGGCGACGAAAAGAAAAAAATGGGGTCCCTCTTGTCGGAAAGAGTGGATGGAGCGGAAGATGCACAAAAAGTAGTGAGGCTGGTGACGAAGATACGACTTCCTTAGGCAAAGGAGCCTCGTCCGAATTTCTCCGGTATGACCATACGCGGGAAAAGGTACGAAGTGCTTTGGTACGACAGAAACATTACATGTGGGAAATTAAATCACCACAATCCATCATCCAAGACCAAACATATTATCAGCAGCATCGGCATTCGCGGTCCCCACTCCTAGAGGCCCGTTGGAACTTGTTGCGAGCCAATTCCAACTCATGTCCCCAGTCAACCAGTTGTCAAATACGGCCTCGGCCTGATCGACCGCCAGAGCTGGAGCCGCCGACGAGGCATTGGAACACGACGGGGTGTCGATGGTCGACTGTGTGTCACTGTAAGCCTTGCTCAACATTTGAGCCTGTCTGATCTTTCTCTTCTCCAGCCCTTGGATGAGAAGTTGGGCGGTTTGGAGAACCTCGCCTGCCAGGTGGGTGGGAAAGGTATTGTAGACCAACCCCAGAACGGAAATGGTGTCTTCGATCATCGACAGGCTCTCGTCGGTGTCGATGGCCAAGAGCGTCATGAGTGACTGAAAGGGCGTGGACAAGACGTTCCACCACGCTTGTCGTTGAGGGATCAGATCTCGAGCCGCGGACAGTCCATCCTTGATGATCGACAAAAGCACAGCGGCTTCTTCGGAGTTGAGCTTCTCCTGGTACGAATGTAGGTGGCGTCGAAACAGGTGGATGGTCACGTCGGTCTTGAGGAGTCCAAAGATTGGTGGTTCGAGAGGTAGGGTTGAGAGACGCGTCAAGATCTTTGTCCTCGCTTCTTGTGTCAAGGTCGACTCTAGCCGGACCATAATGTCACACAAGTCCATCACGTTCGATCTCGAGGGCGACGTGGGTTCGGTTGCGTCCTGTAGGATGACTCGTGACCGACCGTACTCCGCCGAGATGAGCATGTTGAGGAACACGGCACATCCGAGAAGGTCGGCGCGCGACGTGGTGACTTCTGAAGAACTCGTAACGTTTCCCGATTCCTTGCTGATGAGATCGGCATCTTGCAAGTTGACATGTAGACCCATGGCTTCTGCGATGTGCATTGTCGAACAAGACGCGAACCATGACAGGTGCGGCCGCGTGGTCAGTCTGAGGTACAACGTGCGCAGGATCCATCCAGCTATCTGAGTCATTGACACCCGGCCAGGCGCATAGGCACATCCTATGTCGAGGATCTGCTTTGCGTGTTCGATCAGTGAACTCTCGACGGCCGCTGGGGTGTCTGCGAAAAAAGACCCGAGTGCTACGACGCCACAGACGACCGCTTCCAGGTCGGCCAGGTTTTCCTTTTCGCTCGTCCAATATTGTGCGCATTGTTCGACGAACCTTTGCTGATCGAGAAAGTGGTAGACTGGATCTACTACCTGGAAGAAGATGCGGCTGTAGAAGGTGAGATCCTGGAAGGTGAGGAGTCGACACGCCGCCGGTGCAACAAACGCCGTCGGTTCTAGTCGTGTGTTGAGGTTCCTAGCGAGTCACAGGCCTTAGAAATTTGTCTCACCAAAGGGTTTGTAGCATAGTTGAGATAGCAGTCGCTTGCAGTTCATGTTACTGGGTAACTCACCAGCCATAAGAATGGAATCGAATATGTGTCGCGAGATTCATGGTCTGACCTAACCTTCGAGGCATCGCAATGCCACTGTGCGCATTCGAAAATCGACCTTTGACCGTGTCGACTGTAGGCCGAAACCGACTCGCTCGGCTCTCTCGTCTCTCGGGGCTTTCTTGTGCGACAACGGCAGCACTCGTGGTGTCATGGTTGTAGATTTCGGAAGCGAAGGGCTTCGGTTGTGGTGGGTTGTGTTTCTGGCCATTGGATTCACCTTCTTTGCCATCGTCGTTCTCTGCCTCCACCGTCTGATCTTCCACATTGTCGGGAGGACCACCGACATATGTGCAGCGATACGAGTATCCTATACACTGCCCACACGGGAAACGTCCGTTGCATTTTCTCCGTCGACGGCGACATGGTTCACATGCCTGTTTGGTGCGCACGCGTCTTTTAATCGATCCGTCACCATCTTCTCCTCCTCGTCCCGGTCGATCTAGGTGGGACCGCGGAGAAGATGAGGAAGGAGGAACAGGTGTCATGACCGAAAAACTGAAGCAGTGATTTGGAATGATTGATTCATCGTCGACAGTAGATGATGACAATGACCTGTTGGTTCATGTCACAGATGAGAACAATTGATGAGGTCGTCTGTGCTTATGTCAAAGTCGATAATTTTATTAACGTTGGGAGTCACTGAACCCTTGACGAGCGTGGACGCCGGTGGAGGCCGAAACCCACAAGGATTCCCAATCCCGGCCCAGCCTTTGGGATCTTCGAAACCCATCATGACTACCACGCGATATGCGATTGATGCCAGAGATCTGGGGAAGCACCGTCGACTTCTTGTTCAAATGTTGACCGATATAGCAATGTCAAGTATGATGTAATCATGTATTGTGTTGCCGCCCAGTTTGCTCACCAACGCTCCTTGTTGGATGCATAGAGCCCTGTTTGTTACTCCTCACTCTGCAGCCCGTGAAATGTTGAAGTATGTAAACTCCTCCGCAGCCCGTTTATTATGTTAGTGGCTTAACAAAATCTTTTAACTAAAGCATGCCTAAAAGACTAGCCTAAAGACAATGTATTTCAGATTTTAGTTGGAGAGTTTTAGGTAAGGATCTCAACTAAATTATGTCTCTATTTATTCACTAAGATCCTCAAGTTAGTTGAAACTTTTTAGAGTACTATACTCTCTAGTGTTTTCTGTATACTCTAGTAGCTTATATCAATTATCTATCTCGAATGTAATAAAGAAATCGCCTCTCAAAATGTAAACATGTAGTCGAATTCCCATACATACTTATGCCAAGCCACCAACGCAACAAACGGGCCTGCGTAGGAGATACATAGGACGTATATGAATACCGCTACCGTTGCGCCAGAGGTCCCAACTAGAATTTGGGCCAGATGTCCTTGACACTAGAACCTTTATTTGAGGGGGAAATGTGAGGGAAACACCGAGTATTATATGATGGGTTGAAAACTGAGGCGAGAACTCCCAAGCGTACCATGGTTATGCGCCTGCATTATTGTGGATCGCCTGTTCAGCAGCTCTTGTTGTAAAGAGCCAGAGATCGGTATCTACTGAGCTCATCTTCCGCGTCATGGTGATCACTTCAAGTCACAAGTACGAGATCTAGCAACTTTTTTTCCATTTGTTCTAGTCCTCCACCCACAATGGCACTGGAGACGAGGTTTGGGATTTTGTGCCCCATCCGCATTATCCGCCGTATCCGAGACCATTGATCCGCAGACTGACCGAGCTCATACGGAGTAATGACAATGTCAATTCTCTCTCCATCCATTCTGCTGTACAAATGCCTCCGGGATGCCGGAGATCTGTGTTTACCGTGCAAGCATCAACATTTCATGGCAGCCTACGTAATCTGCCACACCGAGACCCGTCACGCCCTCTAGGACCCTCCATACGCGTACTGGTCTGGGACTGCGGAGCCTAGCTCCCCAGACCTGGGGTTGCAGAGCGGACCGTGATGGCAAAGGTATGGAACTGGGCCGGCATTCTCGTATCGCCGTGGTCAGGGTATATCAAACAACCACCCTTTTGTCCTGCAAACCCTGCAGTGGGTTGAATGATCCACAAGGTTCCCGTCGCTTTTAACCTTACCGTCATAACCAAGTCAAGCAAAAGATGGCAACCATGACGATGTCAGTGACATCTGCATCCAAGGTTGGTTGTTTGTTACTTGCCGATGCCTTCAACAAAAGTATGCTAACAGCAGCTTCAGAGTCGAGAGCCTTCTCCCAATCGAGGCATGACAATTCCGGATCATGTTGAGGCTGGAGAAGTGCAAATGTCCCAGAACGAGTTCAGGACCAAATACGGCATTGATGCGTCCAAACAGGTCAAGCTGGTCAAGGTGGTGTTCATGCGATATCAGCATCCTGACCTGCAAGAGATCAAAATTTTTATGAAAGGTAAGTCTCAGACGGCCCCCAGAGATGACAATTGTGCACAGGGGTTGGAGCCAGATGCTGACAAGGCCCAAATTCAGACTTTGGTCTCAAAAAGGTCAAAGAGACCGCCACCGACATCTGGTTCCGTGGCTATGGCGTCGATCAGTACGTCTATCACGTCCAAAAGGGACCAAAGAAGTTCCTCGGAGGCGCTTTTGAAGCTGAGAGCTACGAAGAACTGGGAAAGTTAGTGTGCCACCGAGATCATGACCTCTGACAATGAACTTCTGGTGCTAATACGAAGTCAATTCACAACAGGGCAATCAAGATTCCTGGAGCAAAAGTGCTGACCAAAGGAATTGAGAAAATGGAAAATGCCCCAGGAGGAGGCTATATTGTCACATTGGCCGACCCTGAAGGGTTTCCCATCAACATTGTTTATGGACAAACTCCTCGTCAGGCCGAATCCATGCCCGCGAAACTGGCGTTCAATCTTGAGAACGACAAACCTCGAGTCCGAGAATTTGCTCGGTTCAAACCCGGACCAGCTGCTGTTCACAAGGTATGTCTGCCCATGCACGGTGCCTAGCCTTTTTTTTCTTCAACTTTGTGAGACAGTATCAGATCTGACATCTTCTCAGCTCGGCCACTATGGTCTTGTCGTAGACAACTTTGACGCCGTGATGGACTTTTACACCAAAAACTTCAACTTTGTTCCGTCCAATGTTCTCTACACCAACGCGGACGGTAAGACGGTCAACGTGGGAATGTTCGCCCACATCGACCGCGGCGACGATTTGGTCGACCACCACACCCTGTTTTGCGTCAAGCTCGCCCCGGGACAGGAGACGCCGCACGTCCACCACTGCAGCTTCGAGATCCACGACATGGACACGCAGGCCATGGGCCACGACTGGCTGATGAAGAAAGGATACAAGCTCGTCTGGGGTCTGGGTCGGCACGTCCTCGGCTCCCAAATCTTTGACTACTGGTGGGACGTGAATGGATTCATGGTCGAACATTACATTGACGGAGATGTGGTCAACAAGGAAACCCCGGTCGGGTTCCATAGCGCCGATAACGCCGTGGATACTGCATGGGGACCCGACGTGCCTAGCACGTTTCTCGAGTGATATTTCATCCTCCTCGCAAGGGGCCGATGGCAGTGAGTGCAATTCGTCATGTGTGGCGGTCTGCAGAGCAATCGGGACATTTCTGGGCTTGGTTACAGTCTTTTTCGCTAGGTAGTCCTACTATTTACCAGTGGCACAGACAAACATAAGTCACGGATTCTTAATATGAGCAATCTCACTCTTCAGGAGGTGCATCAACACGTAATGTCTTCTGTGTCCCCGACTCTTTCATGCTCATACCCTCGAAACAAGACACTCATATTACCCCGTCGCAAAGTGTGCATCCTCGTATCATGCCACCTTTTCGTCATGCAAGACACTTCCACTTCTCTTGATGTCCGCCTGGTGAGTAATCTCCTCGAGTCTCTGTTCCAAGTCATGACTGGCGTAACTGTCCTTTGTGGTTCCCACGACGATCCAAGGTGCGTGCGTGAAGAGGTAATTCATCTCTTCTAGAGGTCGGCGAGCGGTTTCGGGCAGTAGTAGCCAAAAGAAAACGGCGTTGGTGAAGTTGCAAATGATGAAGAGGAAATAGAACCGATAACCACTACGATGATAAGTGTTGTCAGTAAAGGTGCTCGAATCCATAATCATACAGTACACGTGAAAGGTGTGAACACAAGACACGAGAGAATAACTTACATATTGGTCATGGCGATGGGGGTGACTTGGCCCTGGGAGAGAACAGTTAGCACTCGGAGAAGGTCAGGGTATGGGGAGTAACAAACAATCATGGTATTGAAGGCGAAACTTGTCATCGTAGCAATACTGACACCTTTACTTCGGGTATGTGTGTCAAAGACTTCGGCGGGAATGATCCAGCTCAGAGGTCCGCATGTGCACGAGAAACTGAAGTTGTATAACCATGTCATTATGATGAATCCCCCTACAGAAAACAAAAGTCAGTAACCTATCGATCCAAGATGACGGAGGGTCGGTCCCATGCGAAAGAAAAGACCAGAAAACTTACACTGAGCACCACGGTTGGTAGAGACACCAGGTGGGAATTTGGCCAACAAGATGGTAGCAATGATGAATGTCACCATGTTCCCGAGATTTCCCCAGACTGTTAGGTTCATCAGTGTGAGATTGGTGTCTATGTGCCGGAAGATTGCTCAAGCGTCAGACTTACTGAGTGGCCAGCGACGTCCAGTCCTATCAATAAACAAAATGGTGCAGAATTGAGCTACCAATGCAATTATGCTGTTAATTCCTTGATACCTGCAGACGACAAAAGTTGTCAGTAACCATGTAGAGCACACACGGGACGATACATCACTTACTTGAGAGTATCGTTTCCAGAGATACCAATTTGGCCTTTGCTCATGTCAGTATTTCTAGTGCTCACACCCTGACTCGTTCTTTATATTTACCGTAAATTGTAACCGAATAATATTGAATGGCAGAAACACCAGTCATTTGAACTGATGCTTGTAGGGCACAGCACAGGAAAAGCCTCCGGAAAGATGAACGGGACCTGAAGAGTTCGAGGTACGATTTCGCCTCGTTGTCATGTTCGTAGGCGATGGAGGATTGGATTTGTTCGTATTCTGCCATGACCCAGGGATCCTGTTCGTTGCCGTGAGCATGGAGTTGGGCTAGAACTTTCAGAGCCTTGTCTGGCTTGTTGTGATCCATGAGCCATCTATTGACGACAAGAAGCAACTGATTAGCAAACACACAAACCATACACGCAGCCAGGCGGCAAAATCATTCAGGATCCATTTCGCTTACCTAGGTGACTCTGGGAACATGAAGATGAGCAAACCCAAAAAGATGGCCGGGATGATTTGGAGACCCAGAGGGACACGCCACTGAGCGCTGTTGTCGGCAATGTGGACATAGGTCGCCCATGAGATCCAAGACGCTACCAGTGCACCCACCCCAAGCATGAACTGTTGGAGGGCCGTGATGCGACCTCTGATGCTTGGATGTGCCAGTTCGGCTTGGTAGAGAGGTACGATCATGACCAGGAATCCAACACCCAGTCCGGCGAGAAATCTTCCGCTCCACAGGTAATGAATTGTTTCGGCGCCGGTCTGCAATCCACCACCGAGACAGAAGATCAAGGCACCGACAGCGATGGTCCATCGACGCCCGGCGTAGTCACCGCAGGGACCTGCCAAAAGAGCCCCGAAGAATGCTCCCGTGGTGAACATGGAGACCACCAGGCCAGATTCCGTATCGTCGGGTGCGAATTTTGTTTTGAACGTCGAACTGGCCACGACTTCGGCAATGACACCAAGGTCGTAACCGTAGAGATAGGAACCCAGTGAGGCAAAAACACTGACTAGGAACTGGTACCACTTTGGAGGAAGAGCCATGGTGAGCAAATACTGACGGGGTATCTGGTATGAGGTAGTTTTGGTATGTGAAAAAGAGACTCGAGAGATGATGGCGAAAAATCGAGTTGAAGTCGTGCGACTAGACCACTAGTATATGTACTCGTATATGTATGACTTGCAAAGGACCACCGATCGAGCTAGTACCAGGTTACTAGACTGAACGGTCAGTCACTTCGATCAGAAGAGCCTCCCGCAATATTTCCCACAACTACCTACTCGTGGCAACTCCCCGCAAAAAGCAACAGGCTGGCCCAACCGGAGCAAGTGTGGACAGCGGAGAGTCATGCGGGCATGATTGCAGAATTTCCAGTACCGGTGTCTCATGAACCTCCAGAAGCGAGGGAGAGGTCCGGAGGGAAAAGACACAGACGGAGTTCTTTCGTAGTTGTTGCATTTCGTTTCCATAAAAACAAAAACTCCGGCGGAGGAGGAGAAGAACTGAAGTCCCAAAGAGGAAATTCTCCGGCGTTGGGCCAAACATCCCTTGTCATTCATGAGATCCAACAACCACCGTTGGCCTCTCATCTGCCGAGGAGGATAATGTCCAGAAAGGTGATTTGTGTCTCTTCTCGACTGAGGGTTGCCGCTACTTCTCGTATCCATCTGCGCGTGGTCCCCACCTCACGTGTCTTTTCACCTCCTTACCGGACTCAGTACCAAAACGATTCACACTCGGGACTGTGTCCGCTCAGTCATTCTATAGTGGCCCGGATATTTCTCGAATGAGAAAAAGACTGGGAGCTTAACTGCATCTGCAAGGCTCGCACATTGCAAATCATATTAAGTGGCGGGTAAGTGCTTGAGATATTAACCAGTGATAGATTTCGCATGCAGTAAGAGAGCTCTGCACGTGACAACTGGAAAGGAAGGGAAGGCCTGATGTGTTTATGATATTGACGGCACTTGTCTGGACAAATATCCCAGGGCGAAAAGAAGGCCTCTTCTGAAGAAAAGTATCTCGCTTTCGCCGACAGTGGCAATCACCAACTCAACATTAGCACCACAAGCATGACAACCTACACACCAAGCAAGTCGTCGAAACCGTCGATATCAATCTTCCCAAATCACAAATTCTCCAAGATCGACAGGAACATCTACAGTGGTTTCACCGAACACATGGGACGATGCATCTACGGAGGGATCTACGACCCTTCCAACCCTAACAAGCACCTGACCACCCCCGAAGGGTTCCGCAAAGATGTCCTCGAAGCCCTCCGGCCACTCTCGATCCCGGTATTTCGCTACCCCGGCGGCAATTTCTGCGCGACGTACCACTGGCAAGACGGGATCGGACCGTTGTCTCAACGTCCCTCCCGGCCCGAGCTTGCCTGGGGAGCCGTCGAGACCAACCACTTTGGAACCGACGAGTTCATGTCGTGGTGCGACGCCGTGAAGGCAGAACCCTACCTCTGTCTCAACTTTGGCACGGGTACTCTCGACGAGGCACTCGCCTGGGTCGAATACTGCAACGGCACGAAAGACACGTACTGGGCGAACCTGAGGCGCGCCAACGGCCATGCCGCGCCTTACAACGTCAAGTACTGGGCCCTGGGTAATGAAATGTGGGGTGATTGGCAACTCAACCAGATGACGGCTTCAGCCTACGCCGACCGTGCGTGGCAGTGGGCAAAAGCACTCAAACTCCTCGACCCTTCCATCGTTTTGATCCTGTGCGGCAAAGAAGGTCCGACCTCTTGGGATTACCAAGTGCTCAAACATTGCCTGAGGCCTGCGGGACTCAGTGACCTCGGCGAGACTCAAACCCCCCTGATCGACATGCACAGTATCCACCTGTACACGGCCAGCGAGGACCACTACGAAAACGTCACCGGCCCTCTGGCCGCCGGACGCTCCATCGAGGTCTGTTCAAGCCTGATCGACCTGGCCTTTGTCGAAAATGGACTCCCCCCGACTCAAAACAGACCCAAGATTTGTTTCGACGAGTGGAACGTTTGGTCACCCCCACGAGCCCCCGGGAGTAAAGGGGCAGAGGAGGAATACACGCTCTCCGACGCCCTCGCCGTGGCCGTGTGGTTGAACGTCCTGGTCCGCAATGCCAAAGATCTGGGTATGGCCTGCATAGCCCAGAGCGTCAACGTCATCAGTCCGCTCATGACAACCGAGACCGGAATCGTGAAACAAACCACCTGGTTCCCCTACGAGTTGTTCTGTCGCTATATGAAGGGTCATACTGTAGCGGTACACCTTGAGTGTGACGAGTACACGGGACCGACCAAACCGAAATGGGTGAGAGCAACTAAAGAAACGCCCTGGATGGACGTCAGTGCCACGGTCGACGACGACGAAGGCTACGTGACCGTGTGCGTGGTGAATATGCATCTAGAAATGGACTTGTCCACAAAGATAAACGGCACGGCGGGAGCAAATATTCACGTGTTTTCAATCACAGGGGCGAATGATAAAGTCACAAACATGGCTGGTAAAGAAGAGGTCGGGATCAAAGAGTCGGAATGGGATTCGAGTGCAAACGCAGAGTTTGTCTTTCCGAGATGTTCTATCACAATGTTGAGGTGGAATCAAAAATAGACGCAAAGAGAAAATAGAGACCTCAATCAATACGTGAGACAAGCATCAATCATACTGCAAAGCAGAATCTAGATGATTGCATATTGGCTTCCCATTATCTGTAAGACAGGAATATCAAACTTAACCTGCTTTCCTGAGCTCGGCCAATTTGGTCAAAATATCGTAATACTCTCTGCTAACTCCCCAGCATGCAAGCCTCGTTCGAAGCAATTTTGCGCCTTCGAGAAGTACCTTTTGGGGCGTCTCACATATGTTTCCTACATTAGTCATATACCCTGCCATACTCTGACCATTCCGGACAAAGTGCTGTATAATCTCATCGTCACAAGGTCTATCAAGATGTATGAATTCTGGTCGATCATCCGAAGACGATGAGTCGTCACTTTCCGAATCAGGGATGTCCTGAGGTAAAGCCGCGGTAGTATCGATAGAATGCACGGGCCCTGTGGCAGCTGGAGAGGTTGGTCGTTGATCTGCATGTGCGGTGGACTTGTTCATAAACTTCGCTTGCCTTTGTTTTCTCTCGACACGTGAGGGCTGAATCGCAGCACCGGCGTCAGGCCCACTCGGACCACCCTCGGGCCTCTGGTTAGCAGCAACAGCATCCCTCTCCAAAGCGCTGGACTTGTATGAGCCGTAGGTCCAAAGCACCAACGAGGCTAGATATACTGCGATGGGTTCGTAGAAGCTCATTGCCGAGTACCGCCGAACATACCAGAATACCGATCCAGCATGAATCATTGCCAGACGAGCTTTGTGTTGATCTTCCCGCAACCACCGCCATGTTATCTTTCGAATTTGTGGCAACTTAGCCTTGTTACGAGGTTGATAGCTACCATCGTGAACGTAGAAGCTTGCCATGGGCGAATTTCCGACTTTGCCAATCAAAGAGAAGAGTAAATCTTGTATTTCTTGAAACGGGGTGAGAAGGACGATGCGAGCAAGGTGCAGGTGAAGCATAACCGGATGCTCGACTCCAGAAGCATTAGCAACAACACTAGATGCCTGCCAAGTAAGAACATCAAGACAGTCACAGGCGCTATTCCTCCAATTGGCGTACAATGGATATAGTGGAAGCCAGAAATTGTCCTTGGAAGGAGTGTTCAAGAATCCTCTGGCTTTTCCAGTTGGAACCCATTCACTGAGTGGTTGTTTGATATGAGTTCCAACTTCCCACGTACGTATGTAAAGCGCATGGATCAACAATACCTGAGATAACTCGCTGTAGTCCAAGCTCATTTTCTTGTTCTTGTAGAGCGTCTCAAGGGCAACACACAACGATGGTGTTTTCGATGTGTGTCTCTTAGCTTGCACCCAAAGATCGACCGTCGAAGCCTCCCAAGCCAATTCCACACAAGGCAGTGGTGTCCTAGCATCGTCCATATTACACAAAGGGCGTGCATTGGCCATATAGCCTAGACAGCAGTCGAGCAGCCACGCAAGATAACCAACTCGACGCAATGACTCTGTTTGGATCCATATTTGCCAGGTTTCTAAGCTTTCGCCGTCGAGGTGGGCTGGCTCGGCGTCTGAAGAATCACTAGTATCTGGAAGCTGAAGAACACCCGAAGCAAGGCACCAATGTGACAGATCCGCATGGTAGCGGGGGGCAAGGTATCGTAGCTGATCACGGTCTGATTGCAAGAGGCCGACGAGATTCAGGATCCGGGCTTGTGCTAGTGGAATGTCTAATGGATCGGCATCAGGTATACCATCCGAGTAGTGGTGTATCGCTCGGCGCAGAAACTCCTGAAAAGCTTCTCGAAAATCGAGGGCATTCTGTGTTTTGAGAAAAGTGCTACCAATTGCCGCCACTGCAAGGACCACTATCATATGTGTCTGAGATCCGAATGATGGTCGATGGATCAGTGGAAAGCTGGAGTGGATGTGTTCGAAGTAAAGTTCAGTGCACGTGTTAAAATCGGCAAAGCTAGGAAAATCTGACTGCACAAATCGGCGCGGAACACCTGTGTCAAGACATAATGTTCTGAAAAGGTCCATAATGTTTTGGTACGTCAAATAGGCGATATGGTTTTTGGTTTCTGCAGATGTTGTCATGTTGACAGTATCGGGCGGTGGTGGGAAAGCAAATGAACTCGGTTGTTCTCTGGGCCTGTTGAAAGATTCTGGAATGTGGGACATTTTACGCTTCTTGCGTTTTGTATCAGTGGTTGATATAGTTTGAGTAGATCTGGCCATATTCAAACCGTCACTAGCTGATGACGAGGGGCTGGGCTCCATGCCTATGAATGCGGCAGGGAAGTTGTGACTTTCCGCTGTTTCTGGGGACACGTTCTGGATTTGATAAACTTGAGAGTTGTGGTCGAATGGAATTGGCATGCTGTATTCTGTCCCGATGGTCGGTTCGGTGGTTAATGGAGGAAGTATGAAAGAGAAGTCCTGCTCCAATTCTGCATCATAGGGTGACGGTATCAGCGAAGGAGGGATCCAATTCAATGGTTCATCGTCAAATGCGTTGTAGTCATATGTTGGAAGGACTCCCGTAAGCTCAGTGTCGAATTGCGCCGATATGGAGCCATCTGCGAACTGATTTCCCTGTTGTGTCTGACTTTGGGAAGATGTTAGGGTGTCAACGTCGATCGGTAGCTGACTAGACCTCGAAACAGCTTCTGGCGCTTGGTTGTAACTATCAATCAGCGTAGGATGACCGTATGACTCCAGACCATGACTTGACCTCAGCGTTGAAGTCAACGCTGGGGGCTTCATATTCGACTTGTCTTCAGACAGATCCTGTTGCGGGCCATTCGCTGCAAAGACCAACTCGTTGAAATGGCCAAGATGTTGCTCTCTCGGTTCACCACTGTCGAGTCCATTTCCAGGTTGACTGTTTGAGATAGATCCCTTACGTCGTTTACTGGGATAGACACATTCTAGCTTGCGAGTGCTGGGACAGCCTGAGCAAAAGTCTGCTGCGTATTTGGAGTAACGAAAGACTTACTGGCACCTGCCACATGGGAACCCCCCAGAGCAACGAGATCGCGCTGCTGCACACCCTTGACATGCCCGGAAGGTGCCAACAGTGACACGATGCACGGGGCCGCGGTCTTCTGTGGCATGATGGTTTCGTTCATGACGAAGAAGAGTGTCGGAGCGGGCAAAACATTTCCCACAGACTTTGCACCCAAGTCTGTTGTCGCCGCTCTTCTCCTTCATTGCCCGTGCGGAAGCATTTGGCGACCCTGTAGACCTCTTCCCGGATATCAGGAGGTTGTTCAAAGATCGAAGGTGAGGGGTACGAGTATGAATTCAAGTGTGGTTAAAAGAGTTGTCGTTTCATCACGACTGAAGTATTTATCCGGAGCTTCACGTGCTGTTTAACTTGGGATTTGGCGGGGCTCAATTTATTCAAAAGACGTAAATGACTCTGATACAAAAGGTTGGAGTTTTGGTCAGACATGGGAATTTATATCTTCGTCTATCTACTGAAACCCCATTGCCATCTTCTTCATCTTGAGTTGTTATTGTACACGCGACGATCAAGCCCATTGTGCGACGGCTTTCTTGACAACTTCCTCAACTCTCAACTCTGGCAGATTCAAGTACTCGTTTCCAGTCTGTACGATTCCTTCACCGACTAGGTCGCTCCCATACCCATCGAGAAAGAAGCCAGCCTGGACAAGCTGTAAGGCCGACGGAATATCCTTGTTCTCGCGCCACGATGACTGCGCCTTACTAATGGCATCGTCTGGATTGAAGTGCTCGATGTTATAAGTCACGTTCTGTTCCTTTTCGAGCATGGCAATGATGTCCTTCTGTGATGCCTCGAATCCGCGAATCGGGACGACTTTGTTTGCTGTTTTTGACGGGGAAAGTAGGACTTGGGTGATTCCGTGCGCGGCCCAAGGCAATGTCGTCCACGATAGTGCATGATTGCCATCGGCCCATAGGGTTGCAGTATGGGATTGGATGTTGATATTGGCAAACGCGATCGCCGGTTCAAGAGCCCTTTTGTTGGACAATGAATGTCAGCTTCAGTCTTGTCTTTCGAGTATGTGGTTTGAACCGGTCAAAAACTTACCAATCCAACCATAGCCCCGTCGGCACAGCAGTCCAAGTGAATCCTGTAGCCTCTTTACTTCTCAACAGGTCAATTACCCCTCCTTTCGCATCGAAGACAGGAGAAAGAGCTCTGGCAGCTGCGTTTGTGTTGTTGACACCGAACTCTGAAGGTAAGAAGCGTTTGACCTTGGCGTCGATGGCAGCATCGATGAGTTTTTCCTCGGCCGAGATCGACCCATACCCAATGGCCGACACCACGGCGTCCGCACCGTGCATGGCGTTTACAAGCTCCTCGTGCGGGAGGCTGTCGTCGACATAGACTACCTTGGCGCCCTCGGGGAATCTCGACTTGGATGATTTGCGGGCAATGATAGTCACAGTAAAGGATTCGGGTTGGCTCAAAAGGGCTTTGACAAGGTGGTGTCCTATGTTGGTTCCGCCGGCCTTTTTTTGATTTGTTAGCCATTTTGGTCCCAGGTTCTGCCTCTTGGAAGGGAAGATTGAATGCATACTCCGAACACAACGACATTCCTCAATGGTCCCTCTTCTACAACCATGGCTGTGATTCTTGCTTGTATGATCTGCACTTCAAATGTGTGGGAAGTTGTCAAGTTGTAATTATGGTTTTGACTCGTCTGAACGGCACTGAACTCTCCAACACTGTAAATTCTTGTTGACACTCATGATCAGCAACAGTTCGTGTTATATATATATTTCTTCATTTTGTCGATTTGTCTAGTCTAGTCAATCGTCCCTCTAATGACACCATCAAGTTGGTGAATGTCAATATTGTTCAGCATCCTGACGATCCAACATCATCCAGCAGTTTCGAAAGGCGCGCGCTGACCAAGTAACCTTCTACGAGGAAACATTTCAATATGATCAACACGACGTTAAAAATTGCCATGCCTGCCTTGCGATTGGCGACTGGAAGATACTAGACATGGAATGAGGTTGTTTTTTTGATTACTGACGGAGATGCGCTGTAGTACTTACTGATCGAAGAGCCGATTACCTCAGCGCTCACGCTCTCCCTTACTACTTCAATACTTGGGTGCCGTCATTATGCAGTGGCGCTGCGGCCGTAATTTGACTAAGCACGGGTGAGAGAATAGGTAGCAGCTAATAGCTTAGGTACTGAAAGTGAAAGGTCTCAACCAAAAAGTTGAGATGAGTAACTTTGACAGAACACGTTGTGGCCAGATACAGTCTGTACACCACCTTCGGTCACTGAGCTCGCTAGGGACTACCTGTTAATCAGCTTCGACGATACACAGCATGGAGAGTGTCTACACAGACAAAGGGATCCCACGTATGTGTTAAAACGCTTATCCGTCATTTTTGCTCAGAGTCACAAGTTGACATTGTCGATGATGTTACCTAGCCATTGGTCCATATGTTAGTACACCACCACTGTATACAAACCCATTGTCGTCGCGATTCCATATCCAAGGCACATCATTACTGACTTCGTGGTTGTGATTGATCCACAAAAAGTCTCAAGCCATCAAAGCAAATGGCTTCGTCTTCGTTTCCGGTCAAATGCCTGCAACCTTTGAGGATGGCAAGATCAGATTGACAGAAGGTACCGTTGCCGACAAGACTCACGCTCTATGTCGCAATGCCGGTATCGTCCTTGAAGCGGCTGGATCGAGTCTGGACAAGGTTGTCAAGGTCACTGTAAGTCCCGACATCTCACGTGTGTGGCCGAGTGTCCATACGTATGCACAAGTACATCAATGTATCTTTAAGTTTTGACCATGACAATGTACCCAGGTGTTTTTTGCCAATCTGGATGATTTCGCGGAGATGAATAAGGTCTATGAAGGCTACTTTCCTCAGAAACCGGCAAGAAGTGCTATCGAGGCAAAGAGATTGCCAGCAGGTGTTTCGATGGAGATGGAGTTGATGGCACTGCAATAATACCTGAAGCTAGAGAGACTGGACTGTAATATTCTATTCCACTCAACCCAATTCACCCATCAAGGATTACCGAATTCCTCTCGTGGGTTAGCAAACGTCTTTTCCCCCAGGAGCGGACCACGGCCGTCACCCAAAGGATTTGGTCAAGCACTAAGTCGCCGGATCTCCTTGTTGGGAACGACTCTCGCGTCCGGTGGTTCGACGCATACCCTAACCAGTGCCTTTGCAAGTTGGGATACTTTCACAACTGGAATCATCATGAGGCCTCCAATTGTTCCAAGCACCTCTTTATCGTCTGGAATCACACCGCCTGGTCTGAGCATGGTGGCTGCAAAGACGTTTGGGTTTGCTTCGGCAATATCCAACAATCCTCGTTCAACAGATCCCTTTTTTTGGTTTTCGTGTAGTTAGTGACTTGTGATCAATGATCAATGATGTTCATCATCGACAGAGAAATGCGAGAAAATTACCTTGATCTTTCGAGTATCTGAAAGCATCCACAGACTTTTGTCTTGATCACACTCTGCTCCATCACCACTACAAAAGACAAATTGAAACTTTTGTGATTGTGACTGAAAACCAGGACAGACACCTTTGACAAACGCATTCGCAGCAGCCAATGTGTAGTCTACGCCGACCTTTCTCGCTGTTTCGAGATCAGGAAAGTCCCCGACCTTACCACCTAGGCACCTAATTGACCTCTGTAAGTATATCTACCACACGTCGGGTTGTGATTAATACCATATGCATCCTTGTGACCCTTGTATTTGATGAAGTAATTCTTGAGGATATGTTTCAAAGTCTTGGTGAATTATCACTTGCACCTTGGGGTCACTGCTGAGGTTCTTGTCGATTTCTCGTCTCGTGAGAACAATCACCGAGGTTATTGTTGGATTTTGAATACATTGAACAACGACCTGTTTGCCTATGAAGCCTGTGGCGCCAGTCACAATGACCTTCATGGTATAAGGTAGAACTATTGCATGGTTATTGAAATGGCAATTGCAAGGACCCTGAACCTCGGGCGAGTAAGTAATGGCGAATGGATGGTTGTGTGTAGAAAAGAAATGCTGTTGCCTTTGGAGGTCTCGCTTAAAGGACAATTTGTGTCATTGGTCGAATCATGTTGACAATGATATATCCCTGTCCAGCAGGAATGTACTCCGTACGTAAACAATTAAGAGAACAACAATCTTATGAGACTGGCTGGTTTCTAGTTATAATACTTGTACCAGGTAAACAGGGAAGCCCTCCTAATCCCAGGTACCTATTCCACGGCGCATCGAATTACTGGACACTTGACGACACGCCGATGGGAATTGTTCCACCCAAGCATTACTTATTCATACGTACATTCATAGTGTTTGTTTTATTTTCGTTACTCTCATCCTCAAGCTGAAATAAATAGTAATCTTAAGCCACGGCCACCAGAAAGTTCTTCTCACCTTCTTTCGGCATCACGGTCCCCATCTTCAACAGATCATCGCCCACCGCCAATCGAAGTCTCTCGGCCGTGGCAGGACTGTGAAGGATCAACGGCTCCTTGACTCCATTGTCCTTTCTCGCACTCACCAACGCATCCCTCAAAGCGAACAATGCGGCGGCACCCAAGAACAAAGGAGGCTCCCCGACGCCTTTACTGCTCTGGATCGTGTTGAGGTGGTTCCACGACACGCCCTGGAGCAAGGTGACATTGAACTCTTGAGGGATATCGCTGAAGCCAGGGATTTTGTAGGTTCCCGGCCCCCTTGTGAACAATTGACCGTCTCGGGTCCAGAGAGATTCTTCGATGGTGAAGAGCCCTTGACCTTGAACGTACGCGCCTTCAATCTGACCATAGTCGATTGCCGGGTTGATAGATCGACCCACGTCCATGTGGATATCGGTCCTGAGGACTGTATGGTCTCCTGTCAATAAGTCAAGTTCGACTTCACTGCATGCGACGCCCTAGAAAACAACCAACAAAACTCGTCAGTACCTAACGAATGGCTTTTCGGTCAAGATGATAAGACATAAGAGTAGATCTCACCTGTGTCCAGTAATAGTACATTGGCTTGACTGAACCCAATTTATAGTTACCCCATTGATATCCAACTTTTGGCATTTTGTAAAATCCTGAAGCCGACAGGTTGACACGATCCATGTACGCTGCATGTGCGATGGTTTTCATACTGGCGTCAGGACCAAACTTCTCACGGTATGGTTTCAGACGCTCATTCAACTGATCGCACGCATCCTTGACGGCCATGCCGTTCAGATCACTACCCGAAGACGCGGCGGTAGGCGACACGTTCGCCGTGTAGAAGGATTGTGTTTCATTGGTATAGATGGCGTCAACTGGAAGATTGAGCTCTTGAGCCGCAACCTGTGCCATTTTTGTATAGAGACCTTGGCCCATCTATTTGGAAATAGTTAGTTCTGGCTGGGTGAAGGATGGAACGTGACGGATCTCCACAACGAGGGGGAAAAGGCATATATCTAGCAAATATAAAGGATTGAGAGACTTACCTCGGTACCACCATGGTGCAGAAGAACGCTGCCATCGGCAAAGATCTTGACGGCGGCACTGGCTTGATTCAAGTGGTTTGCAGTGGCAAAACTGATTCCGAATTTCGCAGGGATCAATGCCATGCCGCGCTTCTTCCACTTGTTCTTCTCATTGTACGCTTTAACCGCCGTCTTACGATTCTCAAAGTCACATCGCTCTTTCAACTGGGACATCAACAACGGCACATGCCAGTCCTCGTCGATCAACTGCAGGAACGGCGTGTGATTTCCTTGCTTGTACATGTTCTTCAGACGCAACTGGTCGATGTCGATCCCGAGTCCTTCGGCGACGGCATACATGTACGTTTCTGCGATGAACATGGCTTGTGGACCACCGAATCCTCGGAACGCAGTGTTGCTGTGCGTGTTGGTCTTGCACAGGTGGCCGCGCACATGCACATTGGGGATCTCGTAGCAGTTTTCGACGTGCGTAGCACACCGATCCATGACGGCCCCGCTCATGTCGTAAGACCAGCCGGCGTTGTTGTAGAGGTCGACGTCAAGCGCGACGAGGGTGCCGTCGTTCAGGGCCCCGACCTTCCACCGAGCCTGGAAGGGGTGTCTCTGACCGCTGGTCATCATGTCTTCGTCGCGGTTGAGCATGCATCGAATCGGGCGTTTCTCCTTTTGCGCGGCGACGGCCAACACGCATGCGATCGGCGTGCTTCGTGATTCTTTGCCACCAAATGCTCCTCCCATGCGCTTGACTCGTGCGTTGATGCGGTTGCTGGGCATACCTGTCGTGTGGCTCACCCATTCTTGGGTTTCCATTCTGTTTTGGAAAGTCAGTTTATACTTACTTGTCTCTCAAGATGATCAACTATGCACGCGCACGCTCTGACAGGACATGATTTGGTGGCAACTTACGTGTTTTGTGTAGAGGACCAAACATCCATGTACCCATCCTCGATGTGCGGAATGACCATGGACGCATTTGTTTCGAGATAGAAATGTTCTTGTCCTCCCATGCGGACTGTCCCTTCAAATACCCGGTCGCATCCTGCAAAGGCCTTGTCCATGGCGTCTTCGATGGCGAGACCTTTCTTCAGTTGACGTGCGTGGTCATAGAAACTCTTCGCCTCGATAGCCTCGTCTATGGTCAGGATCGGTGGGAGGTCTTCATAGACCACCTTCACCAACCTCGCAGCTTTTTGTGCCTGGAGAGCAGTAGCAGCGTAGACCAAGCCAATGACTTGGCCGTGAGACTGGACAATGCCATCGGCGAATAAGGGTTCATCAGCGCGGATGGGACCCCAGGAGTTACGTTCCTTGGTGAGGTCATTCTTGTCCACGTAACCAATAGCTAGACCGGGACCAATGGAAGGTGAAAAGTCGACTTCGATCAGCTTGGCGTGTGCCTTTTGCGAAAACACGAATGCCCCATATAACTCCTGGTCCTGGTGGGGGATGTCATCGAGGTACTCCGCCTCTCCAGTGTTCTGTTTGAGTGCAGACAGATGCGGAATCTGCTTTCCAACCACTCTTTGTTCGTTGGGATTGAAGTTGTCTCGGTTCCCCGACGAGATGCCCCTGTGGATCTCTTCGATCAATTCAGGATCGACCTCGCCGAGCTTGAGTTCGGCAACTACCTCGTGCCAGAAACGGAAGAAGAACGAGAGTGCTAGAGTGATACGATAAGTCGCCATGCCTCCCGGGACACCATAACTTAGATTGAAATCCTTCCGCAAAGATTGAAGACCGGCCTCGAGTGTTCGTGAGTCGTACCATTTCTGACCACTGAGCACCTCTGCAGTGTTCTTTGCCAGGACAGTCGTTGGCGCCATACCTCCATAGGCTAGTGCTATTGTTTCAACACGTCCATCGTCGGTCAGTCTGACTGTGAAGGCTGCGGTGACAATAGCGATATCATCATCCTTTCTCTTCGCCTGTTTATAGGCCTTTGTGATCTCTAGTACTTCGGGAGGAGGGATGGGAAAGCGGATTTTCGTGATGACAGCGTCCGAAGGCAGACTAGTCTTGCGGTAACCGAGGAAGAATGTCTTCATCGGTAGGAGGATTTCGCCGCTGCTTTTGCTTTGAGCGACGACCGTAGCTCCTGAAGCAAGTAGGACAGGATTCATGTCGGAGATCGGGGACGCGGTTGCTATGTTACCGGCGAGCGAGGCGGCGTTTCGAATTTGTCGTCCTGCGAAATATCGAAGTTGCTTTCTTGCAGCCTCGAGTACCAAGCCGCGTCGTCCTAGTTTGCGGGAGAGGTCTTTGAAGAGAGCCTCGCAATCTGTCAGGCTGGTGTTGGCACCAACGACGAGCTCGGTCATCTGAGCGATGTCCTTATCGCTAGAGGGCATGTTGGCCTGCTTCAATTCCGGAATGTCGCCAACGAAGACCATAATGGCAAACTTGGAGTACTTGAAACGTATCTCAACTTGGACTTCGCTCGAACCTCCCACCAGCTTTGCAGTGGGGTCCAAGGACTTGATGGCGAGCAATTGCTCAAGGGTAGTTGGTCTGAGCCAAATCATGTCCGAGTTGCCATAGCATATTGGTTGCAGCTCGAACTTCCTCAGTGAGGGCGGGAAGATCAGCTCAGTCCCGGGAGTGTAGGGGAGCAAATCAGGTAGTAAACCAGCCCGATACGACTTGGGCGGAGGAGCGTCCAGACCACTTCCAGTCTTGAGACCTTCTCCTTCTTCTCCCGGCGGAGGATCTCGTTTTCTCATCCTGATCGGCAGGCCATAAGAGGTCCCGCTCACCTCCTTCCCCTCTGACTGACCAGAAGAACCCATAGATGTTTGCGAGCTCTGACCAGATTCTTCATCGGAGGATGTTTCTTGGGCGCTCTCGGCTGAATCGTCTTTGGATGAGCATCCTGAATTTGACCCTGGGTTATCTCTGCAGCAGCCACCGGGCCTACCGCATGACATGGGTGATTTTTTGAGAAGTTCCGGAATACCTTCAGGTACATATTTGGTCCGCTCGCCTTGCTCGCCTGCAAGGAGAGCCTCATCGCTGTCGTGCTCCTCGACAATGCTGGATTGTAGGTCATCTACGATGAAAGTCTTTGCGGCTGCCAGGATAGGCTTGTAGCCTGTGCACCGGCACAAGTTGCCATCCAGGTGGCCCTCGAGCTCAATATCACTGGCTGATAGTCTGAATGAATGTGATGCGGGATCCCAGGCGTTCCTGATCATTGCGTACATGCTCATCACTATTCCAGGTGTACAGAAGCCACACTGGGAGCCATGAAGCTTCGCAATTCGTTCCTGAAGGGGGTGTGGGTGGCCCACCGTTCCGAGTCCTTCAACGGTAATCAAGTGTTTGCCAACGACACCGACCAGCGGGTAGAGACAGGCATTCACGGCCAGATGTCTCAGTCTCGGCTTTGCAGAATCTCGATCAAGCTGCTGCAAAACGACCGTGCAAGCACCGCAGCCGCCCTCGCCACAGCCGAGTTTGGTACCTTTATTCCCATGTTGAGCGCGAATGAAGTCCAGCAACGTCCACTCTGGATTCGGATTCTCAAGAACAACTTTTCTGCCATTCATGTAAAACTGCAATGTCGACTCGACGAATTCGGATTCGATGAGACTTTGCAGCTTTTCGAATGGGGCTGGAACCGCCTTACGACAGGCGACGAAGGGTAATGCCATTGCTGCTTCGTTTATGATGTGTCGGGTGCCAGCCTCTCCAGGTTCACTGTTGTCATCGCCGCCAGATGGCAAAATATACTTAGGCACCTTCACTGAAAAGTGAATGTACGAGTGTTCATCTTACATATGATCAGCACAACGGGCCAGCCAGCGTCCCGTCATCTGTACGAGTACAAGCATAGTACGATATTCGATTACATGTCGTGTTATTGGTTCGGTACATCCTGCGGACTTCAGCGATAGTGAAGGGACCTTGAAGACTAGAGTCACCAGGGTCCTTCCATGGCAGGGATGGTGAGAGAGGAGCAGATTGTCGTCGACCTTCCCCCACTCTTGATTGCTACTCAGCAGTTGCACGTCCGAGGAACGAGCCATAGCCCGGTTTTCTGTCGGCTGAGGGTAGAATGGGCTAGGACCCATACTCGTACTCCAGAGAAGCTATGCATCTTGCCTTTTCAAATGAACATCACTCTCGACAGCCAACTAGCTTGTTGGTCACAGAGTTGCAATGGTCCACAGTCTCGAATGGACAGTGCGATTTTTTGCCCACTTCTGGCAAGGTGAAAATTATGAAGGCGGTGGGCGTGGAGGACACTCCACGTACGAGTACGAAGTCCTTTGACGGGTTTGTATACTTCCAATTGTGAATCTTCAATATCAATCACTCCTACAACGCAGATTCAGCATCGAAGTGATCGATTGTGAGCTTAGAGGATCTATCGAAGAACCAACAAGTCAGGCCAACAGTTCAGCATGCCATCACGAACATCACCTACCGGCTTCAAGCCGCTTGAGGACACTTTGTTGTTCAAGCCACTCAAATTGGGCGCCATTAATCTCGAACATCGGGTTATGATGGCCCCTCTAACTCGCATGAGAGGCTCAAAGGAATCTGACGGCGTCTATGTCCCCAACGACTTGGTGATTGAATATTACTCACAGCGTGCCAGCAAAGGTGGCTTTCAATTGACTGAGGCCTGCCCTATCAGCCGGTTATCTTGCGGTTACCCTGGTGTTCCAGGAATCTTCACCAAGGGCCAAATCAGCGGCTGGAAGAAAGTCACTGATGCCGTTCACGCAAAGGGCGGTTTCATCTACTGCCAGCTATGGCACGTCGGTCGTGCCACCGTTCCAGCATTTCTTGGTGGTGAAGATGCCGTTAGCTCGAGCAATATCCCGATTTCTGGAAAGGCTTTGGACGGATCCGATTATTCTTCGACGCCCCCAAAACCGCTGTCGGTAGAGGGCATCCAAGGAATCGTGCAGGAACATGCGGCTGCTGCCAAGCGAGCCATGGAAGCTGGATTTGATGGCGTTGAGATCCATGGGTGAGTGTAAACGCGGTCGTTTCTGCAGTCTCATATCCTAACAACTTTAGTGCCAATGGATATCTCTTGGATCAGTTTCTACACGACAATGTCAACAACCGAACCGACTCTTATGGTGGCTCGGTAGAAAACCGTTGCCGATTCCCGCTTGAAGTCATCAAGGCTGTCACGGAAGCTGTCGGAGCAGCCAAAGTCGGCATTCGATTGTCCCCTTACAACTACTTCCAAGACACCAAGGATTCCAACCCTAACGCTCACTGGGGCTATCTTTGCGAGCAAATTGCATCACTGCCACAGGCCAACCGCCCTGCATATGTCCACATGGTCGAACCTAGATTCGACGAAGTTCTCGACGAGTCCGCAAAGATGCTGGCTTTACAACAGCCAACTCAGGAAACATCAGTCGCATCCAGGGCAACTGAGGGCAAGCCATCTCTAGTACCTTTCCGAAATATCCTCAAGAAGGGCGGCGTTCATTTCATCGCCGCAGGCAATTACAACGCTGAGAATGCCGCTCCTAAGGTTGAGGCCGGCGATGCCGATGGCATCATCTTTGGTCGTTGGTTCATTGCCAATCCCGATCTTCCCAAGAGATTGTCCGAGGGTCTTCCATTGAACCCCTACGACCGCACAACATTCTACGGCGCTGACCCTCCTCAGAAGGGCTACGTCGACTACCCATTCTACAAGGAAACACAGGTTTCCGCATAGGTTTAACCAGTCACAAGGGAAAGATAGCATCTAGCTGTTTCGCTACATAGAGGTCCTGAAAGAGGTCGTGTCATAAGGATAGAGGACAAGTATAGGCAAGCTTGTTAAACCCGATATTGGAAATAGTTCTGTAGATGGGCGTTGGGTTGCTTCGGACCTAAATTCGGGGCATAGATTATTTTATTAGGCTTACATTGGCTCGCTTGTAGCAGACAATAAACTCCCTGACTTGAAGCCATGGTGTGCTCTGGGTCTGTGGGGATGGGCTGACCCACCCATATCTCTTACTTATCTTTTGCCCTGGGTGACACGGCTCGCAAACAGTCGGTAATGTCCATTCATGCCTGTGGCAATCAATTAAAGGCCCTTGAGTTCCCCGCCTTAACTTCTCCCATGCTTGGACCCTCCCTACCTCCACCACTCTTCTCACTCGACTCTCCGTCTCACTCACATCGAAAGTGGTGGGTGACTTGCATGTATCAGCTACGAAGGAGTGGGCGTTACTGAGATCAACATCCCCTAATGTCGTCCACGACAAGCACAAAGCCCAAAAAATACATCTGCTCCCATGATGGGTGTGGAAAGGGCTTCACTAGATCAGATCACCTCCAAAGACATATCTTGAACCACAGCGAGGGGCAGAGCACTTGCCCGAGATGCAGTCTGCATTTCAAGAGACCCGATCTTCTAGGTAAGCGACAATGGAATTTCGATTTCTAGGCGATAAAAGCATTAAACAATCTCCCTGCAGACCGTCATATGGCTCGTCATCGCCAAAAGGATGAGGAAGCCGGTGGGGAAGGCCTCGGAGTGATTGAAAGTCGCAAAAAGCTATGGAGGGACGCTGAAGGCAACATCGTGAACAAGCGACCTGCCCAAGGTGAGGCCTGTAGAGTCTCTGCGAAGAAGCAGGCGACGGATGGAAACTATCCCCATCACACAGGCTCGACGATCACCACTGAAGGCTGTAACCCTCAGACTATGATCGATGCTGAACCATTGTCACCACCAAAGTCGATGCTAAGTGCCGAATCCCTTGATCATTTTTCACATCAACTTCCTGAACTCCCCGATGACCAAGATTTCATCGATCACACAGCGGGTCCTGATATGTTTGATTTCCTGGCCAATTCATCTTGGGGATCGCACACTTCTTCGTCGCTCGGTATTCCAGGTGAGATGCCAATGGATGATATGTTTAACCCTGACACAGGTAAGTCAAAGGCTCAAGATATCGCGTGTATATTGGCTGATCAGTTTATAAGCGAGCTCTTTCAACATGCCATTTACGACAATGAACAATTACAACTGGTTATTCGACATATCAGATACTACCCGGATTTCTCTACCGCCTTCACAAAACTTCAATGCAATGCCAGATGCTCAAGGACCAACACGAGATCATCAATTAGAGGCTTTACAGTATCAAACAACCTCACAACCAGCAATCGACCCGTTTAGAGGGAACAACAGAATGCCTCCTTCAGGCTCTGCGGAAGCAATGTTCAGGCAGCCAACACTACAGCAGACTTCATCTTCATCATCTTCCTCAGATGCCATTCAAGGAACAGAAATGTTTCAATTCGGTTCTCTTCCAGCACAAAACTCCATGCCAACCACTGCGCCTTCGCCCAGGCATGTTGAGCCTCACATGTCCTCTTCAGATCCTACTCCGGAACTCGACTTTTCCCCTCAGACCACTACGTCGCCAGACTCGATGCAAACACAGGCGGCCAACCCAGGCAACATGGTATCGCATATGCCAAACGGGCTGTTCAACATGCAGATTCTCCCCCCCAGCCCTCCACGTAGGTCGATGCCTACAATCGATGATCTCTCTCGCAACGAAATCTTGGATATTCTGGTTTCTGCAAAGCCTAGAACGCCTGAAGGATCGGAGATCTCACGCGACCACCCTCTCCTATCACTTTCTTCGATGCAGAATTATCTTGATCTCTTCTTCTCCCGTTTCAACGTCGCATATCCACTTCTACATCAAGCCACTTTCGATCCGTCCCAAACCGAGCCTCTACTGCTCTTGGCCGTTTTGCTTCTGGGCGCCACTTATAGTGAAAAGGCCATCCACAGACTTGCGGTATGCATTCACGACGTCCTCCGAGCTCAGATCTTCCAACACTCGGCGTTCTCATCGACGCCGGAATTATGGATGCTTCAGACGATCCTGCTGGTGGAATGTTTTGGAAAATCAAGAGCAGGCCAGAAGCAGCATGATATGGCACATCTCTTCCACGGACTGTTGATCAAGTAGGTCGCCTCCCCATGACTTTGTTTGTCGTGCACCATCAATACTGACTTTCTTTGTAGCTTAATTCGCCGAAGTGATTGCCAAACTGTTCGTCAACCAAATTTCGGCGAAGGTTCGGGTGACCTTGAGTCCGACTGGCGTCAAGCTATTGATGTTGAACTTCGTAAAAGGTAATGTCGATCAAAGACTTCTTTCTTCCTTGATATCAAGTCCCAACTGCACATGCTGACACCACTTGTGGTACCAGACTGGCATTCCTCTGCTTCCTATGGGACACACAACACGCCGTCCTCTTCTCTCAATCTCTGTGCATGTCATCCTTTGAACTCCGTACCACCTTACCATGTAACCAGACAACATGGGAAGCCAACTCGGCCGAAGAATGGTGGAAATACGCTCGAAAAGAGCCACAGATTTCGTATCTATCGGTTTTAAAGGCCTACATGAATCCCGACCTTGGGATACAAATCCCTCAACTCAACGCCCTTTCTCGCCTCTTGGTTCTTCACGGTCTCATGTCCGTACAATGGGATATGAAACGAAGAGATCAGACTTCTTTAGGTGAGTATCATTACTACCGGACCCAATATTCCACCCTTTTACTAAAATACTCCACTAACACTTTATCTGTTTTTCTGTTGTCTATAGGCATGGAAAAACTCAACGGTTCTTCCTGTTCGGATCAAACGAAATGGCAAGATCGACTTTCCCAATCATACGATGCGTGGAAGGCCGATTTCGACACTTACTGCATGAACATGACTCTCTCGCTGGGCGACAACAGCCCAATGCGGAAAGCCGAGTTCACCCGCTTCAGCACCGCCACCGTGGCCATCTACCACGCCGCCCACATCACTCTCAACGTAGAGATTTTGGACCTACAAATCTACGCGGGAGCTCGACACATCATCGGCCGTCCCGTGACTCGAGCCGACTACGACCGGTCCCGGCGCATCGTCAAGGACTGGGCGAAACCTGGGGGTTCAACACCGGCGGCCAAGGCTGCGTGGCACGCGGCTCACTTACTCCGAGACGGCATCATGAACTTGGAAAATTGGGACGTCAACAACGCCTTCCATTACCCTTGGTGCTTGTACTTGTCTACTCTGACCTGTTGGGCCTTTCATTTCGCCAATACGACGGACAAGTCAGCGTATAGTGGAGGAGGAGGCGGTGGTGGTGGTGTGGACAGCAGAGAGAGACACCATGTGTCGTCAACAACGTCAACTTCAAAAGACTCGCCTCATCTAGACAATCACAACAGCAACAGCAATAGTGTCGACGATGGAATCGTCTGGCATGCCAAGGCGGAGATGAATGCCCTGGTGAGCAGCATGGCCAGTGTCATGCCGGAGAACCTTTGGAGGGCTTTGGGCAAGTATTCGACTTCCGGCTTGACGGCGGTCATGGCGAAACACCTCAGCAACATCCGTTGGGCCGTCGTGCACGAGGGCATGAAGGTACTAAGAGGACTCGTGCCTGAACGATCGATTAATGAGTATGAGACTTTTTTGAGATAGTATTGTATTTTGAAACATTATGATTGTATAGCCAAACAAACAAATACGATTGTGAATTCGAACGATCGTGAATTAGATGTCACTTTGGATTGTTCTAGAAATCTTCTGGTCCACGGATTTCTGGTTTATCTCTTTGTTCTTCGATATTTGGCGACCTAGAGTAGCTACTCGACAGAGAGACCTTCAACGTTGGTTTTCTTTGGTTCTGGTATTTTCTTATTCTATGAAGCTACAGTGGAGATTCCGTCAGTAGCTACCATGCCCTTGTACCTGTCTCACGTTCTCTGTGACAATAATACTATGTATGAGTCTATTGATATCTTTGCCACAAAGATACCTTGGACCTAAGAATCTCGGAACACATTAAATCCTCTCCCTGACTTTTTTGAAGAAGATCTAAGTAAAATATCTCCAGTTGGGAGACTTTTCACCATCTTGAAGTGTGTCAGTATCGACATCCTCAGCTTTCATGATGACTCCTTGTTCTTTGTTACGTCTAGCATTTTCTCTTTTCATGTACAAGCCGAGTGCGAGTGCTGTTGTGACATGGTTAGTATTCTTGCTTACTACTGAATAGCAATATCACACTGGGGAAATGGGTCATAACTTACTGAAAACGATACAAGTCACATTGCAGCAGCTAGTGGCGATAAGCGTTGGAACGTAGCTATTTTTTTGTCTCGCGTTAGAAAACTCTTCGTGCTGATCACAAGGGAGCAAAGACATGTCACTTACCCAGGTGCATATTCGACCCTAAACGTCGCTGCTGAAATGATACCTCCCAAGTTACCAAGACCGACGAGCAGGCCAGTGGTTGCAGCCCGTGAGTTCTCTTCGAGGTTGTTGTTGTTATGCCACGAGTGCACCAGACAGCTGGGGATGTAGGCGCCGGACGCCATCAAGAAGCACGCGAAATACGCGACACCCTTGTTCTCAAGAACGTCAATGGCCGCCAATATGATCATGCCGACCAGCGACAGCGACAAAGAGAAGACGATGTGGTACGTTCGTTCTCTAAAGTAATCCGAGGACTTTGTAACACACAGCAAAACCACGAACCCGACGCTATTGGGTGCGACGGTCCACAAGTTGGTCTTGACCACGGAGTAGCCCAATCTCTGGACGATTTGGGGTAGGAAATTGCTGACGGTCGCGAACGCCACCGGGTACGTGAATGATATGATCACCCAAAGGGCGAACTTGGGGTTCTTCCATGTGGCAAAGCACGCCTTGAGATCAAACTCCGCGTTGACCGTTTTCGAGGCATCCCGGAGATGACGATTCCTCGCTGCAATCTTTTCTGCGTCGTTGAGGAACCATGCGCTGTCTGGACGGGCCGGGAGCCAGAAGAAGGCGATGGCGGACGTGATGACCGTCATGGCTCCCTCGATGATAAAAAGCCACATCCAACCCTTGACAGAGACATGGCGGATTTGGAAGACACCATACGAGATCAAGCCGCTAAACGCCGCCGCAAGCAAGGCACTACCAAAGAAGATGGCGATTCGAAACCCAAGTTCACCTCTGGTGTAAAAGAGGGTCATGTAGAAGACCACACCGGCGAAGAACCCTGCCTCGAATACGCTGTAGCAAGAAGACATACAAATCAGTATGACCATGAGACCAGTGTGTAGAGAGCAATATACATACGCCAGAATAAGACGAATAGCCAACATGCCTCCAAAGTTTTTGGCTGCGCATTGAATCAGGGACAAAGATCCCCAGCCAAACATGACTGCAAATCTTGGTAAGTCTTTGGTTAATCAAAGGGTACATGTATCATTGAACTAACGTGATGGAAGCATAACCTTGCCGGAAAACCTCTTGGTGAGAAGGTTCAATGGTAGATCGCACAGTCCGAATGGAACGTAGAACAGCAAGATGAGTAGGGAGTAGTCATTGCCGGTGAAATTCAAATCTTTATCAAGACCGTCTGTTTTCGCATTACCCAGGTTTGAACGACTGTGTATGAATATAAAATGTCAACGACTGTCGTAAATGGTGCACAGTGATGGTTGTTGTTTGATGAGGGTTCAGAGATTCAGGGTTCACTTACTCGACAGAGTTGAAGAAATACCTATAGAAGAAGTATCAGCAGCTGCTTTCGACGCACTTACTATACCTCAAGACTGGGTTGAGGGATTTACATTATAGACAAGAATGGCAAGAGATAAAAGTCGAGCTTGCGAACTGAATCATGGCTGTGTCAGCAACAACTCCTTCATATGAACATGACACACAGCGTACCATATGATTTCTCCGCAGCCTTGTCAATTACAGGAGCAAAGGAGCCGCTCTCGACATTGGGATCCGACCCGGACACGGAGATGCCTTCCTTCTCCATTGCAGTGAAGATTCTAAGAGCGCTTTGTGTGGAGGGTTTGTGTAAAGACGATTGATAGAGTACTTGACCAGGGAAACGAGAAATGAACCAGAAGGATTTCGACTTATATCCCTGGAGAGCACGCGGGAGACAAGTATTGGCACCATTGACCAGCTATAACATATCCTCAGTTAATACCTAGTTAGCTATCCAAATTAGGCCTGGAGTTCTGTAGTCGCCTCTCGTGCTCAGTGTATCAACTCCATTCTTCGCATGGTCCCCGATGGAGGATGGCCAATTATCACGCCGTTGCCTGTTAGCAAAGATAGACAAGCCACGAGACGAGATATCAGTGGGGCAATTGTCAAGGATCTTGAGCAATCGTAGTAGATAATTGGATATATCCGTTGTAGCAGGCCCAATATTGGTCTATGGGCTTAACAAGCGAGCCGATACATGTCAGGTTAAAGTGAGTTAGGAGGCATAACGTTGAGTAATGTGACACATGACAGAGAATACTGGTCATCCAAAATGGGGACGAGTTTGGACGGACTCCATGCAATGATGCCACGTCCGTCTCTGGGGCACCTAGAATCACTGCAGATCGTTGATAAGAACGTAGAGACCTATTTGGCGGAAGCAGAACCACACTTCCCCCACCCTTGAGTTCTTTCCACCTGGTCACTGGAACAGTCAGACACGCCGGGAGAAACCCTTGCAATTTCGAGCCTAGAACGATATCTCGAAAGGTCGGAGAAGGTTACCGGCATCTTAGCTTCGGGTACCATCAGGTCTAGGGTCTGGGGGGTCTGTGGAACCTTGACAGCGGCCCAGCTCGCTTTTGTGCCAGGCTAGAATGGGGGATTGTTTGTAACTCGTCCAAACCTCGGATCTCTTCGACCACGAAGAGGACTAGGAGATACTGGTGGCGAGACGTTGTCAGCCTGTGTTGTGTTCTCCAGCCAGATAATCTAGAACAAGTGGTATTGTGACAGTAAGGCTGCAAGGGACATGAGGTGACTGTTCGAGACAACACAACGAGTACGAATCGTACAACAGCATACCTACCGTACCCACTCTATGAGAAGCACCAAAGTTCAATATCAAGATATTGAATACAACTATCAAGACTTGTATCAAACCGATCCCTTTGTTCAAACAGTCCTCTGAACCAGAAACAACAGTATCACATCGACTCACCAGGCACAATAGCAAAATGACCATCGCCGAGGCACCCCCTATCCTGGATTTTTCGCGTAAGTCAATGTACTCAATTTCTCCCATGATACCTCAGGGTTACTAACTTGGAAGCTAAAGCCTTCTACGGCAAAGATGAAGAGGCCAAAGCAAAATTGATTGCTCAAGTCAGAAAGTGTTGCCTCCACAATGGCTTCTTCCAGATTGTCGGCCACAATGTTCCCACCGAACTTCAAGAAGGAGTTCTCAAATGTGTAAAGAGATTCTTTTCAATGCCTCAAGCGGAAAAGGAGCTCGTGCTAAAAGGTAAAAAACAATCACCACTCTTGCCTGGTTTGAACATTGTCGATTGATCTCTTGTCTTTTCAGAGAAAAACACGTGGAACAGAGGGTACGAAAAGATAGGATCTCAGATTCTCGAGGCCGGTACTGCCCCGGACCTCAAGGAGGGTTTCTACATTGGGGAAGAGATCCCTACGGACCACCCTTACTTCATCCACAAGCGACTCAACAGCGGTCCTAACTTTTGGCCCGAGACGATGGAGGACGTCGACGAGTTCAAGTCGACTTGCATGTCTTACTACAACGCCATGCACGCCCTCGCTCGGGACGTTCTCGTGGTCATCGCGCAGACGCTCGACCTCGACCCCCGATTCTTCAAGGACTTCACCACCGACGCCGTCGCGACGTTGAGGTTCCTTCACTACCCGCCTCAGCCGCCGGACTCTGACGAGAAGATTTCTCGAGGTATCGGCGCGCACACGGATTTCGGGTCCGTCACGTTGCTCATGCAGGACGAGGTGGATGGCCTTCAGGTCTACGAAAAGAGCACCAACGAATGGCTCGATGTCGTCCCAGTCAAGGGTGCGTACGTGGTTAACCTCGGAGACATGTTCCAGAGGTGGTCCAACGACCTCTACGTGAGCAACACCCACCGTGTCATCAACAAGAGTGGTAAAGAGCGGTACTCGATCCCCTTTTTCTACAGCGGCAACCCGGATTATAAGATCGAGTGCCTCCCCAACTGTCGCAAGGAGGGAGAGCCGGCCAAATATCCTCCCGACTCTGTCGAAGGCATCGTGGGTGGAAGTTACAAGAAGAGTTATGGTGCTGCCGAGGCGTTCAAAAAGACGACAACGCCGGCCACCGCAACGGTCTCGTCGGGGCCAACTGCGATAGCAGTATGATCCGGAGTAGTCACTGGATAATTCCCGTCTATAGTTTAGTAATTCAAATGTTCTTGACAACCAACGAACGTCCGAAGAAAACTATCCCATCGAAGGCTTAAAGGATTTTTTGGGGTCTTCGTTGCTCATATAAAAATCTTCAACGACGCCACTAATGCACATGATGTCTAACATTGCCATGAGATCCCCATATTTATCATCTTCATAAACAGAATTCTAAGAGATAGAATCTATATAAAGACATCATCATGCCCTTAAGAATCCACCATAATACGCGTCTAGCCATTCTGAAGCATCCGCACCATCACCATTACCGTTGAAGCGTCCAACACTGCCCACATAGCCATCAGGTCTGATGTTGACGATTGCAATCTCATCTGCCGCGACGGGACCGAGCCACTTTTCGGTGCACGATTTTCCAGTCTTTTGATCCTTCAGATCGTCCATGTAGAACGTCCACCTGCTCTTCTGCAAGAGGGGAGGCAAGTCCGCAATCTCGACACTCGACTTTTGCATCCCCGTCACCGTGGCGAATGTGAAAAGGTGCGACGTCGCCGTGTAGCGCCCGGGTTGGATGAAGTTGTCCGACTCGACCGGGGGGAGGTTGAGCTGCGCATGAGACTTGGCAGCTGCAGCTGTCGCGCGACCGAGAACAGAATTGGTCGAGGAGACGTAGCAACATACGGAATCCAAGAACGTCTTGGCCGTGTGAACGTCGGGGACGAAAAAGTACACACGGAATTGGCCCAGCATGGGGATGTCGAGTTGGACGTCGACGGGGTTGGCGTCGATATAGCGAGTCACTTGGGCGGGAGCCATGAGTTCACCCGCGCGAAGAACCCCACGGGGCAGCTTCTCCGGGTAATTGAGCACGTTGGCTCCGTACTTGACGCCGACTCCGGAGATGAAGCCGACGTTGGTAGCAAAGTTGTCCGCCAGAGCCTTGGAGTCGCCATCGGCAAAGGCGGCGGCGTGTTCAAAGTCGAAGTTGATCAGGTCTTGGGCGATCTTGCGTCGTTCGTGCTGGTACGTGGACAAAAGGTCCGGGGTGGCAAGGCCGCGAATGGCGAGGTTAAGTTTCCATCCGAGGTTGAAGGTGTCGTGCATCGACGTGTTCATACCTTGAGCGGCTTTGGGGGAATGAGTGTGACCGGCCTAGACAATAGCGTGTTAAAAAACCCCCTTGCTCGGTCGGTCCAGCCAGGAGATAAAAGGGGAAAGAGGGGAGAAGTTCTCACATCACCAGTGATAAAGACTCTGTCGTTCTCCGCCGAGAACGTGCTAGCTACCCGCTGTCCGACTTTGTAGACACTGAACCATTCTATTGGGGCATGGTTAGTGCTTTACTTGTTGATTTGTCGGAACTATTGGTAACTTACCAACACTGGTCCACTCCACTGAGAAAGGTGCCAGAATCTTTCGAGCTTGATTCATGACAAAGTCTTGGGTCGCTTCAGTGGGAACACTGTCTTGTAAATTACGGTCAAGCTCAATGTACAGCCTCGTCATGTTTCGTTCTCGTGGAATGCAAAGAACGGTCCCTTCAGTTTCTGAGTGGATTACGACCTTGCTCCACAAGTCTGGGAAGTCGGTCTCGATGACACCTATCGAGTTGATCAGTAACTCGCCCATCGAGAGTCTGCTATTTAGCCATGAACCTACCATCAAGCACACCCCATTTCGAGTTGCTGCTCTCGCCAATCATTTGTGCACCTGCAATGCTTCTCCGAACATTGGAGTGGGCGCCGTCACAACCAACAAGGTACTTGGTCTTGAATGATCGACTCGACCCAGTCTTGTTGTCCTGGCAGATGGCTTCAATGGGCGCTTGAGGATCTTGAGTTGCCACGTAACGTTGGAAAGGTGAGCTTCGGGTAACTTCGATGCCCCTTTCCTTCATGTCCTCGATGAAAATATCCTCGACCATTCCTTGATGCACAAGGAGGATGAATGGATCTTTCACATCAAGGTCAGAAGGATAGTGGACTTCTCTTCTGGTTCGGTGGAGAGGTTTTGTAGTTGATGAACTCTGATAAGGCAGATCAATCAGCATTTCTGCGCGATACAACCATGAATGAATTGCAGACAGTATTTCCATCTCCCCAAAGACTCAACGCCAATTCGAGCAAGTGTTGGAACAAAGAAAATTCAAATTTACTCACCCAGAAACATATATCGTAAATCTTGACACCCTTCTGCAACAAGGGATCTGCTAAGCGTAATTGCTTGAATGTCTCGATGGTCTTTGGCTGCAACCCATCTGCTCTTCCAGTCGACGTCTTATCGTCCCTGTCGTCCACGATCCTGGACTTGATACCATATCGTGCCAAATTTGCCCTATCACATTGTAAGTAATTCGAGTAATGACTGATGGTTCAAGTCCTTACCCCAGCATCAACCCGGCAGGACCAGCACCAACAATGACGGCGTTTTCCACATTGCCATCAATCCCATTGGTGTGACCGTTGACGTGGGCGTCAAAGCCTTCATTGTTTGCGCCGGGAGACATTGTCGGCGAGACTTGAGAACGAGTTCGCTTCATTAGCTGTTGTCAAGGGTTTGATCTTCGTCGGATATCGGCTGTTTATGAGCGAGCCTTGCAAACGTGGGCCTGCTGCCAGGGGGGTTTGAGACGGCCTCGTCAGGTGACTCTCTGATTGGAACATGCGATGAGCCCCTAAGTATACTGCCGGGGGTGGACTGACTGCTTAATCGGTGACAGGGACTTTGCATTGCTATACCTCGTACAATGGTTCTGGACGTTGTTGCACCCCCCACTCTTCTCAAGATGTGTACGAGCCACCACCACCAACTCGGAGCGGAGAGAGAGGATGGAGGGGAAAAGAATCGGGCATCAAGCCGAGAGTGACAATTAGTAAGTAACCGATAAGGGCGGACATCACCACGAACCAATCATACCACCAACCCTGCTCTCAGCCTTGTTCAGTGCTATGGGTATGGCATATTGAACGTTGTCTGACATTCAGCAGGCCAGCAAGAATCACGAGGCTGTGGCCAGTGTCGACGCGTGAACAGGATATCGTGAGAAGGTATCCCTTGCTGTAGCCTCACATCTTCTCTACGTCGGAAATCACCGAGATGTTGTCCAGGCCGTGGCAAGAGGTGGTGAAGGAGAAGCGCGAAATTCGAGAAAAACTGGTCGAACCATACTTGACCACCATTAATGGAGAGCGCGCTGTTGCGGATACGGTCTTGAATATCGATAATGTCGATGAGCTGACAGCGTTACTGGCAACGGGGAAAATCACTGCGCACGATGTGACGGCCAACTATATCCGAAGGTGGTGAAGTCACGAACCCTTCCATCGTGAGCTGCGCACGCTGACACTCTTGACTTAGAATAGCGGAAGTACATCAAAAGGTCATTGGATTTTGGATATGTCGATCTTGAGCCTCACTGACTCTCGGACAGAACAATTGCTTGACCGAAGTGTTCTTCGGAGATGCACTTGTAGAGGCCAGTAAACTTGACGACTATTATCGACAACACGGTGGTCTGATAGGTCCTTTACATGGTGTACCTGTCACACTCAAAGACCAATTTGATGTCAAAGGGGCGGATTCAACGCTAGGTTATGTTGGGAGAGCCTTTAAGCCAGCCTCGAAGGATGCTGCAATTGTTCAGATCCTTAGATCCTTGGGCGCAATCATTTTAGCAAAGACGAATCTTCCCCAGAGTATAATGGTGCGTACTGGACACTCCGTGGAAGATTTTACTAACTTTTATAGTGGTGTGAAACCGAGAGTCCACTATGGGGACTGACGACTAACCCCCGTAATCCTGCTTTCACCCCGGGAGGATCGACTGGAGGTGAAGGGGTCCTGCTCGCCCTTCATGCATCAATGATAGGCTGGGGTACAGATATCGGTGGTTCCATCCGTATCCCATCGCATATGAATGGTTTATGGGGTCTGAAGCCTACGGTAAGCAATGGGACTACCCACAGCCGTCGGAATAATTTTTTTCTGACAACTGCCAGAGCTCTAGACTTCCATATATGGGTGTACCGGTATCGACAGAGGGACAAGAACATGTACCCTCATCCATAGGCCCCATGACTAGAAGTCTGTCATCCCTAGTGACCGTCATGCAATGTGCCATTGATGCCAAACCTTGGATACTCGATCCCAAGGTGACACCTATTCCGTGGAGGAAGGATCTCTACGAAGAGGTTCAAACAAGGCCCCTGACCATCGGCGTGCTAGTCGACGACGGTGTAGTGAAGGTTCATCCTCCCATCGAGCGAGTCTTGAAGGAGGTTGAGACCAAGTTGAAAGCTGCAGGTCACGAGCTTGTACAATGGAATTGCGCTGGTCACAAGGAATGCATTGAGATTATGGTACGTGAGCGCCATGCGCCCCCTTTGTCTATTGCTTCTCACCTCTACTCTCAGGACCTCTTCTACACAGCGGATGGAGGTGAAGACATCCGTAGAGATGTTCAGGCTGGTGGGGAGCCTTTCATCCCTCACGTCGAGGCTTTGATCAATCGAGGCCAAGCCATCTCGGTTTACGATTACTGGCAGTTGAACAAACGGAAACTTGCTGCACAGCAAGCTTACAACGACAAGTGGAGTACAGCAACTGCGCCTGGATCAGACCGCCCCGTTGACGTCGTCCTCATGCCCACCATGCCTCACCCAGCGGTACCACACCGGACGTGCAAATGGGTGGGCTACACGAAGGTGTGGAATTTCTTGGATTATCCCGCGTTGTCATTCCCAGCGGGACACGTCGAGGCGTCTCAAGATCCATCGGTACCCGGCTATGAGCCTCGGAATGAGTACGACGCGTGGAACTGGAAGCTTTATGATCCCGAGACGATGGATGGTCATCCCATCGGTTTGCAAATAGTGGGTCGTCGGTTCGAAGAAGAGAAAGTCCTAGGTGTTGCAGCTGTGATAGACAAGCTCGTGAAGACTTGAATAAGAAGCCGTGTGCCTTTTCCTGTCTCAATATGATGGTTTCATTGCCTACAATTGATCCATGATTCATCTACCATTTGGTAACACCACCATCGACACATACATCCTGACCTGTCATGTACAAGCTAGCGTCACTGGCCAAAAACACGCAAGCACCTCTGATATCATCAGGTTGTGCGACTCTTCTATTCATGATCTCATCCTTCCAACTCTCCAATAAATGAGGAAACTAGATTGCTTGTTAGTTTGTCCAAAGCTCGGTTCGGCATTAGGTCTCCCATCGACATACCGGAGCAGTCATTTCCGTCTTTACGTAGCCGGGAGATATCGTGTTGACTCTGATACCCTTTTGCAAACTTGTCAGCCCTTCTTCGATACGACGGATAGTGAATGTCTCAAACTCACATATGGAACCATTTCAGCTGCAATGGCTGGACACATGGCTCTCACAGCACCTTTGGTACCACAATAGGCACTACTCATCTGGCTCCGGATGGCCATGTAGCTGGCTATACTGGCGACCATGATGATGCTGCCACATTTCGTCTTGTTCTCAATCATTTGCTTAGCGGCCATCTGTGCCGTGTGGTAGACACCCATGACATTGACACTCAATAGCTGATGGTGTTGCTCAAAAGAAGTCTCCAAGAACGCTAGATTCTTATTGATACCGGCACAAGGCACGCAAATGTCCAACTTGCCACCAAAGTCGGCCTTGAATGCGGCGAAACCCTTTTCAAGGCTTTCAATACTGCTGACATCGACCCTATCCTTCTGTCAGTAAATTTTTCTCGTCGAAGATTTACAGCATCATCATCATCATTTTCATCATGGATATCACTGACTTGTAGTGCTTGGTCTTGACGCCAAAAGTCTTCTCAATCTCGAAGAAGCCTTCGACAGGGTCGATCACGTCGAAGATGGCGACATCTGCACCGGCTTCCGCCAGACCTTCGGCGAATGCAAGACCACAGCCTCGTGCACCACCAGTTACAAGCGCTGTGCGGCCTTTCAAGGAGAACTAGGCGTAGTGTGAGCTCAAAATGACTAGGGATTCCAGGGGGGGTTGTACATGGGGGCTTACTCTGCTCATTTTGGAATCACGTGCAAGGCTGTCTCCCAGGGGTCTCGTTGTTGTGCACGGTGTTAACAGATGGTACGAAAATGTCGAAGATACGTAGTAGATCCTAGGATTATTCCAAAGAAGCCTCTCACAAAACACTCATTTTCGATGCTCAGGACTGGACGTGTCGTCGAGTCCCCATTCTTGAGAGGAACGTACCCGATGTCTAGTAGGGGGAACTACGGGGCCTTCGTACGGCATTAGCCAGCCGCTAAACACCTGGATCACTTACCCCGTAGGTGTCACTCCAACATTCACCAAGGATGATGATTATGTGATTGATTTCATGCGATGCCGAGTGTCAGTTGAAAACATGGTGGCGCCCAAATCCGTTGACCTTCCTAATTGCTCCCAATCCATTTGTCACTCGATACCCACTCCAACGACATTCCTGTGCTTCAAGCCCATGTCAACGGCGGGCTTCTTATCTGACGAATGCAATTGACCGTCCACTTTCCGCCCGCAATGTGTAACCAGTTGGCTAATAAAAATCCCACCAATGAGGCGCGTCAATCGGACATCAGTCGCTTCCGGGGCTTTCTTATCGTTGAGGTGAGGTTTCAGTGCTCGTCGCCAGCTTCAGCAAAACAGGCATATCGGTTATACTTGAAAGTCATCATACGTCAGACGGATCATCGACTTTGCTTTGACAAGCAGTAACGATTTGTTCCAGAACAAGAACCACCATTCGACACCGCCGAAGAGAAAAATGGGCAAGAAGCGTGTTCTCGTCGGCTACGGCGTTGACATTGATGCCGTCGCTGGCTGGCTTGGTTCATATGGCGGAGAAGACTCTACCAGTGACATCAGCAGAGGTGAATTGTCAACATCTTTCAGCCATGTACACGAATGAGCATGTACTGATGGTGCACTCCGACAGGTTTGTTTGCCGGCACCCATGGCACAAGACGTCTCCTTAAGCTTTTCGACAAGTACAAGATCAAAGCGACGTGGTTCATCCCGGGTCATTCGCTCGAGACCTTTCCCGAGGAATGCGCCATGGTGCGCGACGCGGGCCACGAGATTGGTCTGCACGGCTACTCGCACGAGAACCCTAGCGACATGACTTTTGAGCAGCAGCAAGACGTCCTGGACAAGACTTTCCGCCTCCTCACCGACTTCTGCGGCAAGCCTCCACGAGGTAGTGTGGCGCCGTGGTGGGAGGTCAGCGAGGCTGGGACGGAGCTCTTGTTGAGCTACGGCATCGAGTACGACCACAGTATGGGCCACGAGGACTGCCAGATGTACTGGCTCCGGACGGGCGACACGTGGACCAAAATCGACTACTCCAAGAAGGCAGTCGAGTGGATGAAGCCCCTCATCAAAGGTAAAATGACGGGACTGGTCGAGATCCCCGGATCATGGTACATTGATGACCTACCACCAATGATGTTTGTATGTCTTTTTCCATCCTTCTAGCAGGGCTATCCGCTTCCTGGCTCTAGCATGCTTGAATTTTCTGACCGCCTTGGGGGGCCCCTTACAGATGAAGAATTCGGCCAATAGCCATGGGTGGGTTAATCCCCGCGACATTGAGGATATTTGGAAGGTATGTTCTCTTCTTCCAGGGAGGCCTAGATTGTGCCCATCCCTGTCACGACGATTGACGGTTCGCGTATATTTATTGGCCGGTAGGATCACTTCGATTACTACTACCGTGAATTCGACGAATTTGTATTCCCGATGACTATCCACCCCGACGTCTCCGGTCGACCCCATGTGGTCCTTATGCATGAAAGGTACGTTCCATTTTCGGATATCACAGTCTAGGAGCCAATGCTGAACTTCAATGCAGGATAATTGAACACATCAACAAGCACGAGGGCGTCGAGTGGGTAACGATGGAGCAAATGTGTGATGAGTTCAAGAAGAAGAATGCTGCTCCAGAGGGCGCCATGATGCCTGCTCCAGCTGGGGAGATTCTGAAACAACCTCCTCGAAACTGAGGGTGTGAGGTGCTTCTAGGAAGTGATATAGCTATTACCACGATATACACAGTATTACTCGTTTGACTACAACTCGAATCATCTTTGATGACATAATCAAAAGGTGGAAAACTTTCCACCTTGGAAATACCGCGGATTGCTCTGGCGAATATCATAAATGCGCGCATAGGTAGGTGCGTCCATTCGAAATGATTGCTGTCATATGCTCATTACTATTGCGGAATTAATAAGGGTTATGATCATAACTGATTGACTGGTTTGGGTTGGGGAAATATTCAGATACACCTTTTGTCTCGAAGTTCTTGTTCGCATGATTGATGACCAGAATAGCGTGGATCAGTGATCCAATCAGTCAGTCAACCAGTCAATTAATCAGTCAGTCCAAATGCAAAGATTCAGTCTAAATTATTTCAAGAAATAAATCTCCTAGGCACTTAGCCATGAAAGAGATTGTGCTACAAGGAGAACCAGGCAAAGCCGTCCTGGAGCACGACCGACCTTACCCCCAACCACGATCTGGCTATGTTTTGGTGGACTTAAAAGCGGTGGCGCTCAACCCGACGGACTGGAAACACATCGACTACCTCAACGAGGAGCAAGGAACGCTTTCAGGGTGTGACTTCGCTGGAGTCGTCGCTGAGACTGGCAGTGGCTATTCGAAGTAGTGGAAAGTCGGCGACCGGATCTGGGGCTTCGCACAGGGCGCCAACAAGTTGCAGCACGAAGACGGAGCTTTTGCCGAGAGGATCGCGGTCAAAGCAGACATCGCCGTGCGTGTTCCAGATGACATGTTACTACCGTCGTTGAGCATGTTCACCAAGTAGTGCCTACCTAGTGTCACAATTGCTACAAGTTATGATATTGATGTGTGCCGCGTTGAGTGCAGCTAGGTATAGGTACCGGTGGGTCGCAACGTCTAGACAAGTAGAGCGACCATCTGACTGCTTGAGAATTTGAAGACTGCGACGCTTGAGCATGTACACTGAGCACCAACGATGTCGTTGACAAGCGCTTTTCCGCATCATGGACTAGGTTGTACAAGCGCTGTCTTACCTTGGTGGAAACCTGACCGCCGATAGATGAATGCGTCGCCATTCTCCCCGAATAATCTCTCCACGAAGCGGTAGCGTTCATTCATTTGGTCGCGCTGGTCGGTAGGATATTCGTTGACGAGACGCCCTGCCAGACGTGCCATGAAGTCTTGTTGGGATACCGAGCCCATGTTCCGAGTAGTAGAAGAACGTTGCTTCTTGTCGTTTCACCTTCAATGACAATCTAGAGTCGGCCCACACTACAAACGGGTCGCTCGTGCGGCATGTACTCGCGCATGGCTTCATCATCGGCTGTAGAAGGTGACTTCACAGATACATTACGCCCGGGATCTCCAGTGGAGTACCTGCGTCTAATAAGCTGCTCACTCGGAATTCCGCGGACACGATCCCATGTAGGACAATACTACAGCGGCTCCCCTTTGGCCAACTGCACTGTGAACAACCCGGGCTCGCTTTCGAGTCTAGGAGTAGCTGTGCAGGAGATCGGGAGAACAGGCAGTAAAACTAGTGATACTTTGTATTCACAGAAGTATTGGGCCAAGAGAGGGAAGCTATGGTTTGCACGTGGGAGTAGATACCGAGATACTGTAGATACCTGCAGATGGGTGTCACAATCTCTGACTCCACATTCTCATTTCTATGCTCATGTGAACATAACCCTTTACCAGCTCTGACAACAACATAAGGTCCGGCTTTAGGTCTTTTCTTATAGCTAGTAATGGAATCCCGGTGAATGGGTCACGACACCTAGTGATTCAGTCAACTATAACTAAGGCTTTAGTTAGCGTACGTGCGCAGGAATATGAAGTCTATATCGAGATATATTAGTACAAACGCTTTTAAACACGTGATTATATTGTTACGAAGAGCTCTGGTCTGACTCTATATACGCTTCGAAGCCTATATAGCCTAATATCCCCTTAGCACTCCCGTGTCAAATGAAGTCCTTCGACAATGGTCACAGAATGGCATCCAAATGTCCACGTGACATGGTATCGACTTCACATATTTGTATATTCTCACCAACTTCCTCCTTCAACGTGTCAACATCCTAGTTTGTGCACTGTCAAATCGAATTTCATTTCAATACTCACGTCAATCATCACTATCATCAATCCCGTCATAGCTGCGTGTGTGTTGGATCTCGAAGGTCAGCCACGACCCAAGCGACTCCTCCCCATCTTCAAAGCGGAGAACTCGTAATTCCCCCACCTTTGAGTATCTACGGGACAACGACGACGACGATGATCGTTTAGCCATCGCGCTTGATTGATCCCAATGTGAGCCCAACTAATCCCAGACTTGAGGGCTCGATATTCGTACAACAATCTAATGGACCAACCTGCATCTGCGTACAACCCCCCATTCCCAACTAACATGTGTTATCCTCAACACAAGTCATGACAATCAATGATCCGTTCAGGCATTGCAGTAATGGTCCAACACTGTGGCTTGAGAATCCAGTATCACCTGCCCCCTATCCACATAGGTTGTATTTCCGCCCAAGCAAACAATGACAATTTCGAACAACAGGTGAACGTCAGATACTCTTCGTCACGAAGTTGACTTGTCAAACCACACTGGGTGGCACATGTGCCGATACCGTACGACAAGTACATATAACAACAAGTTCAGGAGAAGTCCGTCCGCGAGAGATCGCTCCAACCAAATTCATTGTAAATCGGTGATAGCGATCATCGAAGCCAAGTCTTTTGTTGGTCCGGTCCTTTCGTGAGACCAAGCCTGGCCAGATCAGTTCAAGTACAGAAAGAACACTGCTTCCCAAGTTTAGGAGCTCACCGTGTACAACATTGCAACAAAGGCGATATCCTTCTGTGAACCGTAAGACGAGGAAAGGTGATATTGGCGTGTGATATCGACGACGTCGATCCAGCGCAACATCATTAAACGGATTCAATCACCAGTTTGGACAATATCAGATTCGACCCAGCAATATATCACCACAGCACGAGACCTGAGAGAGTGTGATTGGTCAACAGCAAGTGACGTTGACTCACCCGCCGCCATGGACTCATCAAACCCCATCCCGGTCAAAACTCAACTAAAGCGAGACCCTTCGACTCAACTCGACATCATCGTCGTGGGCGCCGGTCTGGGAGGCGTCGGCGCTGCCATCTCACTCCTCCTCGCGGGCCACAAGGTCACGATCCTCGAAGCCGCGGCCGAGATAGCCGAGGTGGGAGCGGGCATCCAACTCCTTCCCAACAGCTCGAGGGTCGTACAGTCCTGGGGCCTTCGGGAACGTCTCGAGCAGCACGCCACCAAACCTTCGCAGATCAACATCCTAGGATGGAAAGGCAACATCATCTCGTCCATGGACTTTGCCGAGAGCGCCCGTCCCTTTCCCGGTACGTTTTACTGGGACTTTCACCGCGCGAATCTGCACAAAGTCTTGCTCGAACGGGCCGTCGAACTCGGAGCGGACATCAAAGTGCAATCGCGAGTCGTGGACGTGAGGATATCATCATCCGACAACAACGGCGACAGCGACAATGCCGCAACAGCCACAGTAATTCTCGACTCTGGCGTCGAGTACGTGGCTGATCTCGTGATCGGCGCCGACGGAATCAACTCATGTCTTCGAGAAGTTCTCCTTTCCCGTGCCGACCCTCCAACGCCCACTGGCGATCTGGCTTACAGACTTCTCATCCCGACCGAGCACATGCTCACCGACCCGGAGTTGAGGCCCTTTGTCACGAACCCGCAGGTGAATTACTGGCTGGGTCCCGACGCCCACGCCGTCAATTATGTGCTGCGTGGAGGCAAGTTGTTGAACATGGTCCTCCTGGTACCTGACGACATGCCGGTCGGTGGTGCCAACACTCTCGAAGGTAACGTCGAGGAGATGCGTGCATTGTTTAAAGATTGGGATCCAAGAATACCAAAGTGAGCTTTCCGATATTGGTTTCTACTCGCATAGTCTTTTTTCTTGGTGTTTCTTGAAAAAGGGCACCACAGTCGTTAAAAGGGAAGATTACTAACAAAAAAAATCAATCATTTCCAGACTCCTGGCACTTTGCGAATCCGTCTACAAGTGGCGTCTCCAGATCCGAGTCAGCGACGAACCCTGGTCCCACCCTTCTGGAGCTTTCACCATGTTGGGTGACGCCGTGCACGCCACCCTACCTTACCTCGCTTCAGGTGCCGGTATGTGTCTGGAAGACGCCGCCGTCCTGGGGGAGTTGTTCTCTCGGGCGCCCGACCCGAAATCCTCTCCGAAGGTCAAAAGACAACTCCTCGACATTTACGAAAAGTGCCGCAAGGACCGGACGGCCATGATCGTCAAACGCGGCAACCTGCAACAATACCTCTACCACCTGCACGACGGCCCGGAACAGCGAGAGCGGGACCGGGCCATGGTGGCCATGGAGGAAGGTGAGGCTTTGGCCTGGAGAGATTCGGGACTCGCCCCGAAACTGTTGGGCTATCAGGCCGAAAAGGATGTGAGTTGTTTTTGTCGATTTGACTTTCCAATGCTTGAGAAGTGACTGACGTTGGTTTTTTTTGGACAACTCAATAGGTCGATCAGTATTGGCCCCCTCCTTGCCTAAGGAACCAAGCTCAAGATCAAGACGGAGAATTCGTTCAGAGTCGACTATGAAGAACGAGTGCGACGACAAGCGGAGATCACGGCGACCACAGAAGAAGATTTCTTGCATTGGAATTAACCCGGCCTGGTGTTTTGTCCAATGCCCGGACCATGACTATACCTGAACATGCTCCATCTAAGCTATACGCAATCTTGCTACTACTGTACCTATAGTTTAAAGGAGAAAACGTTCTCTTTCCTTGTCACAGAGTGCAGGTTTTCAAAACACCTTGCATCTCTAGTCGAATTCTTCCGCTGGCTGAACGACAGATGTTCAAAAAGAAATCCCGTGGCAGATTCATGGTTATGTCAGCTACGTGAGTGGAACACACGTTACTCGTCATCGACCTATTCAAAATCTTGATCATATCGTCCTCGGTTCGACGTCCAAGGTTGTTGATTTTCTCAGTATCACATGGATCGTCAGGGAACAGCAAGCAAAGAGGAGCAGAAGGGGTGGAAGGTGTGGAGGAGTAGCGTTCTTCGGCTGGACTATCGCGGAGTCTCGGCGATGTTTAAAGCACAAAATCTCCGGGGCAGCCCCTGTGAGGTCAATGATTATAAAGATCACTGGTCCAGCTCTAACCTCTAGACAGCCCTCGGTGTAGTTGAAAAAAACTTGAAAAGCTCACCAGCAGCGGAGTTACCCCTTAAATACTATGTACCTTATTTACTCGGTGGTATCAGGAGATAACTCGCCAGTTGTTCTGTTCTTCCTCGATGGAGTTTGTACCGGACTGCCTTCCAACTCTGAAAATATCGACGATCTGTGACGACCAAGTTCGGATGCGGGCAGTTCGGCTTGATCGAGTCTGCATCGAACGGAGTCCTGTTGTCCTGTTGATCCAGGCAGCTGTTGCTGCCGTGCTCCTAGACCTCCCACAGGACCATCTCCGGCATCCTTTTTCTTTCTTTGGCATTTCATAATAGAGTATGCTATTGTGAACGCAAGCAAGCCACCTCCTCCCACTCCGGCCCCTATTCCAATCCCAATCTTCGCATTAGTCGACAAACCCGTGGGACGTGCTGTAGCTGAGGGTTTAGGAGTAGAAGACTGATCAACAGATGAATATGTTGTCGAAGAGGCTTGTTCGGATGAGAGAGAGACATTGATAGAGACAAATACCGTGGAGATAGCAAATTGAGTCGTTCCTGGTTGTGAGAAGGCAGTCTGATTTCCCACATGTGACGAGGTAGGACTTGTTGTAGCAGAGGTAGACGTGGTCTGAGAAGGACCTGTGCTTACTGGAGGGCCAATGACTATGCTCTGGGAAGCGGATGTAGAGCATGATGAGGCTGGTGACGCCCATAGGGTGCTAATCAGATAGTCTGTGCAACGACAAACTTGTCAACGGGACTCGGAGAGGTGTCTTGAGAATGTACTCACTCATTCCATATGCATATACCCAATTCTTTACAGCAAGAAAGTCATTACAAGAACACTTTTGTTTGGTGCAAGAGTACATTTGAGGTTGCGTGGAGTTGACACATTGCGGAAAGGTGCCTTGAGCGCCCGCGTAGCAGTTGAGGATATTGTTGGCGCATGTCCCTTGCTAGAGGCAGTCAGCAAAGATATCCTATCCAATATCAAGTGTGTATCAGACAGCACAAGCCGGAAGACTTTGAATATCATCAGGGGTCGAGGAAAGTGTTAATCGAATAATCGACAAGAACCAAGTTAGCAGCAACACCAACGGTGTACAGCGGTCAAACATTGTGAAAAGAACATGGGCAGGGAAATCAATGTTCCGTCATATGAGCTGAACACACAGCCATCGAGAGCGATCTTAGGCGTAAAGATTCATGCTGAAAAAGGCACAGAGGTCTCCTCGATGATGATGATGATGGGATGCAGCTAAGGATGATGGATGGACAGAAGACTTGGGGAAATGACCGCAGAGGATGGAACGTTCTTGTAAAATCGCCATAAACTCAGGCTTGAAGAGCTTGTGGAAGGCGCACAATTGTGTTGCAATCTTTGTTGAACGAGATGATTCGATCTGTGCAACTATCACCACTTCAAGAAACAACGTCGTCTTATCGGCTGCATCTTCTTCAGTCTCGAAATGTTTGTTCGAGGATCACCCAAGGACATTATTGCACGTCATGATGAATTGTTGCACAAAGTATTTTCTTTTGAAGTACGTGCAGAATCCGACGCACACTCAACAATCATCATCAAGTCAACAGTCAAGATGCAAAAGATACAAGATCAAGGCCGTCGAAGTGGTGAAAGAAATTCTTTTTATCAGCCTCATTAAATCAGTCGCCAACTATTTTCCGCTCATCGGCGAACTCCTACACCTCCAAAATGTCCACAAGAGAATGCTGATTGGTTCCTCGCCGACATTGACCGAGAAGAGAAACTATAAAAATAACAATTCAAGTCTGGATGATAAACTTGTTTCGACCTAAAAGGACTCTACTGGACTTCATCGCCCGGCGTATTGCGAGGTAAACCTTAGTCGAGTGTAGAGAAGAAGCACGAGATGTCGAGGGCCCAGGAGATCGCCACAGCATTGCTCGCCGCAACCGAAAACTCCATCGTTCCTCTCACGGCTAAACAAGTGTCGCAAGGCTCGAAGCTCTTTGGTGCCGCCATCCTCGACAAAGCCTCACTTTCGACAGTTATAGCAGAGACCAACAACGAGCGGGAGTCGCCTTTGTTGCACGGAGAAATCAACTGTATCCAGCAGTTTTTCAAGCTCCCCAAAGACGGCCGCCCCGAGACCAAAGATTGTATTTTCTTCGCGACCCATGAGCCTTGTGAGTCCCTCTAGCTTGCGCAACCCAGGCCTGTCTCAATTACCTCCTTACATCCTTACTGACACGAATCTCCTTTGCAGGTTCATTATGTCTGAGTGGCATAACATGGTCCGGTTTCAACGAGTTTTATTACATGTTCACCTATGAAGACAGCAGAGATCTCTTTGCCATTCCTTGTGAGCATAGGCTCCCTAGAATACTGTGGCAACTGATGCTGACCTCGAGTAGACGACATCGATATTTTGCAATCTGTCTACCAGGTACCATCACCTGAAGACACCCCGGAGACACTCGCCGCCAGACCGTTGTACAACCGTACAAACAAATTCTTCACTGCGCAATCGTTAGCAGACCTTATTGGCTCAATTGAGGATGAGTCGGCCAAGGCGAAGCTCAACGGCGAGCTTCAGCGGGTGAAGCAGCTGTATGATCGACTCAGTGCCACCTATCAAGAAGGGAAGACGAGTGGCGCCGAGTCTAGCAGCTTCTTCAAATGATTTTAGGTGAATGGAAAGGTAGAAAGCTTGCTTATCAGTTGTGCATTGGTTGCGAGAGGGGTTGATCTCGGAATTGGGAACACATCCCGGGATGTCTTTTCACACGATTTTCCTACGTGCTATCAGCTAAAGCCATTACAAAGAACATGGCCTTAATTCTCTTCAACCCTCCTTTGCCACATAAGGCGCCGAGATCACCCTGCAATGGCCTCGTTTTCCCATCTCACTCCGGCACCTGCGTCACTGCTTCAATGTTGTGTCCCGCGGGGCTAATGGCAAACGCCCCATAATAATCGGGATGATATTCTTTCCTGATACCCGGAGCTCCGTGATCTTTCCCGCCAGCCTGGAGAGCCGCCTCGTGGAACGCGTTGACTTGGGCTCGATCTGCGCAAAATCTCAATAAGATGATCGCGCAAGAAAACAAATAATAGGCCAAAGGGAAGAGGGGAGAGAGCATGAATACATACCTTTGGCCGTAACCGCCACGTGCATCGATTGAATATGTACATCATCTGCGATAGGCTCAAATTTCTCGTTCAAGCCTGATATCCAAAGCCAGGGAGACGTGTCTCCGAGGCCAACATAGTCGGGGAAAGGCCGCATCACCTCCTTGACACCCATGTGTGCGAAGGCTTTGATGAAGAATGCAACCTCGGCGTCGACTTTGCTGGCCGCACAAGGTATGGTGATGTGGTCGATCGGTGACATGTTGAAGAGAACACTAGCCTTTTTATCAAGGAAGCAAGAGCTTATTCACTGTATATATCTTTATGGTAGTGGGAAGAGATCAATGCCAAAAACGATGGATTGAGGTGGGGGAATCTCGAGACTTCTTATGCTTGCAGCTTCTTACCAACCCATCTTGGCATATGAAAGAGTCAAGACTTCAAAGCCCCGCAGAGATTGGTGAACCTTCTCTTCGTATTATTACCTGACTCACATTTGCTGTGCTTGAGTTCTTTCATTGGACTGCGATGTGGCATGATTGCTGGGATGAGAGTCGTCACGTGTGATCGCGTCTTCTTCGTGTCTCGATTGGGGATGTCGGGCCAGGCAGCAACACGCCTCAACATCACACCATTGGCGAAGATGCACTTGCCGCCTGCATTGTGCAGCCATAGCTTGTACCTCGTATCAAGTAGCCACATGTAGTGCTATGTATGATTGAAGGACGTGATGTTTATGCGAACGTTGACCAGAGTACGTTGGATGAGATGGCCCATGAGCGTGAAGTGGTCGACCTAACGGTAAGAGACCACGGTCGTTTCCCGGACACTCAGGTTTGGCTGAAGTGACTGCCGAAATAAAGACAACAGCGATCGCTCGCCTAAAGCGCATGCATTTTTGGAAATTCACAAAGAAAGGAACGTTCAAAAAAAGACTCGAACAACTTTTCTCCTTCCCTGGAACCATTTTACGTGGGTAAATATCTAGGTAGCTCGCCTACAGGTACCTTACGGTTTCAGCCTTGCCCACCACAAGATTAGCATCCTATTTGGAACATGCAACGCCTCACCACTCTACCTTTGAGACGACTGAATCTTGTGAGAGTGTTTCAAGAACGCCGACTTGTCTGAAGCACACGGTAAGTCGTTCTGTTTAACTAAATGCACATCACGCGAAACCCACGTGGGTATCGCTCGGGCAAGATTATCTCGATGGGTTCCTCGAGAGCAGGCCGGCGTTTGGCCTATGTTTGCGACTACGGATTCATCTTGAAAAGTAGGGGGACTTCGGATGCGGTGTCTTCGCTTCAAGATCAAAATGTCTGGACACTTATAAGAACCTTTGACATGCTGCTGTTTTCCATCACCCTTTAAGCCCATTCAGAAAATAACCATCAGCGCCCCGACACCTGACCATTTGCTCGAACCAACCAACATACACAACAAGACTTTCACAATGATCTTCTCGTTTTCGGATCTCTCCCTCACCCTCCTCCTACTCACCTCTACCGGGTCTTCTTCACCCATATGGCCGAACGCTGCAGTTCCAGGCGACGCCCACCCAACGGTGGCGAGCAGCGTATTTCACAATCGCAACGCCGAACCATATGTTGTCCAACCTCGTTCTCCGGCGAGCACATCGGTAGACCCCAACGACGTGACGGGTACGACGTGCGACGACCCGACCGTTTCCCTTGTCTCTCACGATACCAATGTGGCTGTACTCTCGATATGTGGTGGCATAGCCGGGTCTATACAGAAATGCGAAGGCAACCTGCAACGACGGTGGGTGCTTCGGGCACGTCTAAATTCACACTTACCCCCGTAACCCAAGGGGCGACGTTGAATGTCAGCAAAGGTCGCTGGGAGAGATGTGTCCGGGCGGCGCAGGCGGTCTGTCCGACGGGTACCTTCACCAGCACATGTAAAGGCGGAGTGAGCGAAGGAGCAGGATTTAAATTTGTCTTGTCGCAAAATAAGGCATAGCATGCATGGAGTTCGGATCTATAGCTCGATGACTTGGAATCATGTGTACATACTGAGACTTCTGGAAAAGAATATAGGGGTTAGAAGTTATGAGACTGGCACAGCTACGGATGGATATCCGAAACCTTCATCTCTTTCCAATGGGACATCCTCAGTCACCCTGTTATTACATACATCAATAACCCAAGTCGAGGGCCCCTACTGCACCCGCTAGGACCCTGAAGTGGCCCCATTTATCCGCGTCCACGTTCAGGGACCAGCAGAACATGCCGCACGCCTGGCGCCAAAAAGCGGGTAGGTAGCGTGAAGTGCGTATGGAGTTAATAAAAGCCGCAACAAATCTCATGGTGCAATTTGGATCAGGGCGTACTGTACGTGATCGAACGTTGTTATCAGAGTCTTCATTCGAGATGGGGGATGAGATGCCCTTCATTTGTTGTGACGGCCTCTGAATTGCGATCTTTGAACATTCAGTACGAGTAGATCTGATACTATTTTCTACTACAGAGTACGAGCATTCAGATCTAAAGACTCAATTGATCAGTCAGTGCTCTTCCCCGCGTCAATTCCAGGGCATCCACTGGACGTGAGTCGCTAGAGATGCGAAATCTGCAGGGAGCCGAGGCGATTTGCGGGCCCGTAAGAGCAACAACAATTAAAAAAACACACGAGGCTGGCCATTGCGTCCGTGTGTCCGCTTGTACGTGTTACCGCGACTTCATTCTTTGGTCCTGCAAGTTTCGCGTGTTCGTTTTCTCATTGTTGCATATAGAAGGTGCACATCTGCGTTCTTGTACTGTCTGGGTCCTTTTTCCTCCTTCTGTTTTGCTTCCTCGGTCCCTCGTTCAGCCTATCGCCAGGGTTGTCGTGTCCGGCTTTTACCTAGAATATCCCTCGAGCCCCGAATACTTTTGTTTAGGTCAGTGTCGACGACCACCACGACGTGCTTGCAGATTTTGACGTTTGTACTAATACATGACCATAACAGGAGCCTGTCTCATTCTCTCCAGATCCCAATCGCTTCAGGAAATGAGTACTGTAACGTCGCCCACGCGTCGTGTGCTGGGCGAAAAAGATCCCAACGCGCTGTTATCCCCGACAAAGGCAACAAAGACAAGCCTGGTAGAAGGTACCACCCTCAGTCCTCGATCGTTGAAGCGCTTCGCATCTCCCATCAGTCCTCGAGCCGGACAGAAGCGAAAGATTGTCGAAACATGCAACAACAACGAAGAGGCGGAAGACTCTCAGCAGCAGCAGACGAACAACTCTCAACTGTTCTTGTCACAGCATACCGACATCTTGAGTAGCGATGGACCACTATCAGAGCACCGAGACGCATCTCAGTCTCCGATGGCTGCCACCCAGCACAAGTCGATGTCTAACACCACTCTCACGTCATGTCAAGCATCGCAAGAAGAAGAATCTGCTCAACTGGAATCCGAATTCCAGATCCACGACGAACCGAGCCAGCAGACCTTGGACAAGATGGTAAGGAAGGATACCACCAAACATTTACAATCTCGTGTGTTGTATGGATACTGAGTCTTTTCGGATGCGTAGCACGCCGTGTCATTCACACAGAGTACATCTCAGATGGTAGCACTTGTTCGCCCTACGTTCAACCAGGAACCATCCCAAGCCAGCCTCAGCATGTCGAGCCTGATTGACTTTGAAAACAACTTTTCTTCTCAAAGTGACGAGATGCAAATGCTGGAGGAGCATGACACGACAGAACCTCGAGCTCAACCGCCCAAACCCGAAGGAGATACACGAAAGGAGATGCTGCTCGAAGTAAGTATTTGTCTTCCAATCTCGTCTCACCCACCTCTCTTTGTATTACGCGGCTCGAGATGGAAACTGGAACTAACAGGGACTCTTAGAAAGCAGAAACACTCCGGACGCGATTACAACTAGCCATCTACAAGATTCAAACGAACCAAATATCCAAACCCTTCTGGCAACTCACAGTGCCCAAACACGCACCATCGTCGCCAGAGATACCCGCAATGTCGTCGTCATCTCCGAGAGCAGGGTCTTCGTCGACTCTACGGCCAAGTTCCGTCCATCGACATCCTGTGTCCGCCATCAGTCCAGAATCACGAGTTGCCATCGCGCGCGCTAGAGCGACCATGAAGTCCAAACCTCCAGTACGACCTCTGCGGAGTCTAGCAGTGCCGACCATCGCACCCACGGCTTTCTCAGCACGGTGGGCAGAAGACATGGAGGGAGACAGCCACAGCCAACCGGCCGAAGAAGATATCCCAAGCAGTCCTCCAGCAGCATCAACATCCGAAGCCGAAGATGAAGATCTGGACGACGAGGTGCGCATCAAGCACGAGCATAGGGATCCGAGAAGCGACGATCATTCCGAGCAAGCACCGCCAAAGACGCCCGAGCTCCTTTCGAGGAGGAGCGGGACGAGAACAGATCACGGACACAACAATCAAAACGAAGAAGACGTAGCGCTCCAAAACAGCCACCTTCGACCCCGGGGGCTCACCAGTAGTGTCATCAAGGGCGAGGCTGCGAACAGTCTGCTTCAACTTGTCCGAGGAGGAACACGAGGAGCCACGTCTTCGGGTGTTGGCATGTGTGGATTGTGATATAACCACATTATATTTCTGCTGATATGCTCGGTCGATGTATTGTATGCAGTATCACGCTCGGAGGGACATGTATCTGTTTTTTCTCCTCCATCATTGAAGCAGCCACGAGAGAGAGAGTTCAACCTGCAATTTGAAAACCATGGGGGCGACAGAGCCCGAAACTTAAAAGAGAAATAGAAGAGAGAGAATGACCAAAACAAAAGCCTCTACCATAGGAAGCATCATAGGGTATCATCTCATGTCTCTTTTCCTGCTCTAAGGAAAAAGAGAAAATGATTACTGGCTGCATTGCAGCATGCCAACCTGTCGCCTCTTCTCGCTTCTGCTTTCTGACTACCACCACCCCTTGGTCAAGTAGTGTAGAAGATCCATCCTGGTGTAATGCATACTACAACAAAAGTCTGCCCGCTTCCAAAAAAGCCATTTTGTTTTGATTCGCCTCCCTGCAAGGATTCTGGTTCTTTGTTTCTCCCGTCTTTCTCACTACTTCCCAGAACGTATACAATACGTATGTGTGTGCCCGCTGAGAAGACAAGAAAGGCGCAGCTCCCCCGGTCGCCGTCGGATTTCTTTCCTTTTTCTTTTTGCATCAATGTTCGTGAGATTTCATTCCTGACCCTGCTCTAACCGCTGTGCTACCGTCACCGTCACCGTCACCGTCACTTTAAAAAGTCTCCGGCTCTTCTGCCCCGTTGGCTTCTAGGTCAGGAATCTCGAACCCTTCCTCTGTGCTATAGAGAATGGTCTGGATCTGTTTGATCAGACCATTTTCGTCGGCCTCCAGGCTCGGGTCTTGCTCGACGGCCGTCTGGAGGAGGAGTTCAATGTCGCGAAGTTTGCTAAAATAGAAATCCCGTTCTTTCTCGAGACCGCCGATAGCTTCCTTGAGTTGGTCGTTTTCTTGTTTCAGCGCCGCCGATGAGCCACCGGCCGCACTGAGAGCGCGTGGGCCGGCTCTGTTGATGGGGGTCGCGCCGGTCTTTCTCGTGGTACTCGCGCCCGTGCTCACCCGCGAGGAAGCAGCAGGGGCAACAGCAGCGGGAGCAGCACCTGCGGTGCCGGAGGCCTTCCTTCGAGCCACCGCATCGTAGTCATGTCCCGGAAAGTATTGGTCCCAAAATCTCTTTGACCATTGTAAGAATTCAAGGTTGTCTTGCATCTTGCACTTGATAAGCTGTTCGACGGGTACGGTGCGATCGATTCCGTGTCTCGTGAAGCAGTCTAGTAGTAACCCCGGGTTGTTAGTTGTGTAGAAACAAGGTGACCAAAGTGGTACGATCCTGGATTTCACCTACTCTGTAATACCTTGAAGTTTTGTATGTAGGCATATTCCGTGTTGACATTGAACTTTACTCGGCCCATTGGCAGGTCCACTGTGATGGTTCAAAATCAGTACTTTCTCGTTCGTGTTGTTTTTTGGCTCCATCACAGGAGGTACGGCATTGCCGCCGTGGAGGGTATTGGGGAAGACGTACTAAAGATCGAGTCGAACAATTGACAAAAGGCAGCACTTTCAAGAATCAGGCGGCAATTAGTGGTGGCCCTCGTAGATGTGTGAGAGTTGCCTTTGGTCAACAACATACCCCGTGCCACATTGTTCAACTTTTGTGATGTTGAGTTGAAGCAGACCATTCAGCCAGGCCAGTAGTTCTTGTCTGCAAAATACATCGATCAGTGGATGGTGACTTTTATTGCTTTGTCTGCCATGTGACTTCTTGCTCACCTGGATTCACCCATGGCGAGGGAATTCGAGGGGTTGTTTTGCTGGGCGCGAGAGGTGGGTAGGTGATACGAGCGAGGTTCGTTCAGAGACTCTATAGACGTGTGACTTGAGGGGCGACCGAGGTCAAGTCAGAAGTTAATCGTAGCAAGTGGGCAGTTCAGGTGGTTGAATGCAACACTGGACAGTGAGGATGAAGATAGATAGTGTTGCTTGTTTCTGTTGCTGCGCAATTGTTGATTTTCGGCGGCAACGAATCGTCCGCAGTTGCGGGTCGATCATCGGGCATCAGTGTCAGGGGAAAACAAAAGAGAAAATATGCACGTCTGACAAAAATAATATCCTCCAAAATATCGTCAAATGTATTGAAAGCTTTTAGTCAGACGCTTTGTTTTGTTCTTCGGATAGCTGCACTTTCTCAGGCAGTGATGCCATACAATCTACGCCTTCAATAACATCTTTATCAGTTTCGGAACCAAGTCCATTCATCATGAGCAGATTTTTGCCCCTAGAAAAGCCACTCTCAAGGGTATGGCGCGATGAGGCTTCCAGGCCTGGCAGGAGAATACCCTAAGACTGATTCGACCCCACTGTCAAGCCCGGAACAACCACCAATAAATGATCGTAGAGATCAGCTCGACGGGTGAAAGGGCCCCCTGCTCTTCTTCCCCAGGTGTGACCGAGGCACTCGGAATGACTACACTATCCGAGGAACTGTTACTCATTGGAGGCGCCTTTATGATACCGGACGTCGGATCAAAGCATTATCGCATGCGACAGGCACCACAAGAAGTGCACGTCGCAATAAACTCCTGCCAGGCTGCTCATTGTGTGTGAAAGCCAGTACATCATGCATTGACACTCCTCGAGATCCTGCTATCCGCCGACAGGAATGGAGGAAGCCAACCTAAAAGCAAGCCTCGTCTGCCCAACCCACAAGGGAGGCTCAAAATCCACGAGTCAACAGTCAACAGTGGACTTTAATATAGAAAAACCACAGCTCAAAGAACGAGGCTACTAGTCAGGTCTCGGGACTCCAGCTATATCGTGCTTGCCGAGTTTAAAAGCGGGATGCCTCCCAGTTTGGAGGCGTGTTCCAGTCTACCATCCACGCTATCAATGACATATATCGTCCTGAAACCCTCAGAGCGTCCTGTGAGGTTGGCGCCGAAGCTGCCTAGGCCGCGGCCGAGATAGACAAAGACTGCTGATGATACAATTACCAGCACGGCAGAATTCATGCAGGGGAGTACTGCTCTGAATCGTGAATACCCCAATCAGGCTTTTGGTTCAGAGCCTCACGAGCCGCAAAGGTAGAGAGTTAACAAGGCTGCAAATGTCCGTGTCTTATAAAGAACAATCCTGTCAAATTCCCTGGCTCGGGCTCGAGTACACTCAGCAGCATTATATCCTCGACTTTTAATAAGACAAGAACCTCTTCAGCTGGAAAGCTATGGACATGCTTGATCTCCTCTCATCTCCCAAAGGTCCACAATCGCCTTCATATCGTCTCTCGGACGGGGACATCACCCGGATCGTTCCACCGTCACCTCGCTCCGACTCACACGCCTTCTTCGCCTTCATCTGAACCGGCACTGTCACCACACAGTGGCCATCTATGTATCAGTCGCAAGTGTCACTTGAAGGCAATCCTGCCGATCCTTTCGGATCTGAAGCCTTGACCATGCTCTCCATATTTCTACTTCCCTACCCAGGCTATGATACGACACCAAAAAAATCTCCGCAACGGTTCGGCTATGACAAGTTACCACACGAATTGATTGGTGGCATACTCTATCGACCCTCCCCTAGGTCATCTGCAACTTGCACTCCTCCACAAGGACCAGACCACTTTTACTCAAGCTATACAGCTAATATTCGCCCGCAATGGGGTCGTTGAGTGCAAAGTCCCAATGGTATGGCACCGCGCATCGCTTTCAGGGACCTCTCAAATTCCCACCAGTCCGTGTGGCCAATTGACTTTGGCCCGCTATATCCAGACTGTCTGTCCAACACCAGATTTTTCTCACGAGTTTCTTCTCGACCTCTCTTGCGGCAGACGCAGTGTCGAGGACGATCGTGCCCTATATCCCAAGCTCACTTCCCCAAATTAACCTCAAGACACTGCTTGCACGTTCTCACCCATCAGTCCGCAATATGGCCTTCTCACCGTCTGTGATCCGGTTCTTCATCGTGCTATTCGTCGCCCTGGGCTCTTTGACCTATGGGTACTGCTCCAGCATCATCGCGACAACTCTTGGGCAGCCAACCTTCATTTCCTACTTTGATCTCGACACTCGTTCAAATGCCACACAACTGATTGGCGCGATCAATGGCCTTTACCAGGCCGGTGGCCTCTTCGGATCTTTATCCATGATCAAGTTTCCTGACTGGATTGGACGACGCAAATCACTGCTCTTGTACTCGATCGTAACGGTCATCGGCGGCGCTTTGCAGGCCGGTTCCGTGCACATCGGCATGTTCCTCGTCATGCGTCTCATCACCGGCTTCGGGATTGGCGCCCTCGTCGGTCTTGTCCCTCTCTACCAATCTGAAATGTCGCCGCCGCGCATTCGAGGTCTGCTCGTCGGCATGCACGGTGTGCTCATCTGCGTGGGCTACACTCTTGCCAGCTGGGTCGGTTTGGGTTTCTACTTTGTGAACGCCAGTGGTGCGCAGTGGCGCCTCCCTCTTGCTATTCAGTGTTTGCCACCCTTATGCCTGGCCATCGGTGTGCTGTTCTTGCCCGAGAGTCCACGCTGGTTGATCGATCGCGACCGTGTCGAGGATGCGTACCAGGCATTTAAGGCTGTTCGCGCCGAGACGAGCGACAACATCGTCAACAACGAGGACGCCATCCGGGACGAGTTTAAACTACTCCAGGGCCAGATTCTGCACGAACGACTAGAAGCTCTGTCCATGTTGGATCTGTTCAGACTACCACACATGCGCAAGAGATGCATCATGGGATTCTTGGTTCTTTTTGGGTGTCAAGGAACAGGTATGCAGTGCAGATTTGTTCTCACTAACAGAAGACGCCGAAAATTCTATACTAACATCTTCTTCAGGAACTCTGGTGATCAACAACTACGGACCCAGTTTGTACTCGTCGTTGGGCTACGACACGGTCCAACAACTCCTCATCCAAGGTGGCTGGATCACGGTCTGTCCCTTCGGGAACCTGCTCAACTCTCTCCTCGTCGACAGGGTCGGACGCACGCGCATGCTCATGTTTGGCTACGCGGGCTGCGTGGTGGCTTTGATCGGCGAGTGCATCACCGTCGACCTCTTCGACAAGTCCGGCGACCGGGGACTCGCGTCCGCCGCCGTCTTTTTCCTGTTCTTGCACATCGCCTTCTTCTCGGCCAGCTGCGACGCCACGTCCTACATCTACGCCAGCGAGATCTTCCCCACTCCCGTCCGCGCCAAGGGCCTGGCCGTCAGCATCTCTGGTCTGTTCGTGGCCACCATCATCTTTCTCCAGGCGGCTCCGACCGCCTTCGCCGCCGTCGGGTGGAGGTATTACATCGTCTTCATCGCCGTCACCACGGTCATCGGTGTCGCGATCTTCCTCTGGTTCCCCGAGACCAAGGGTAGGTCTCTGGAAGATATCGGTGAGCTCTTTGGCGATTCGGTCGAGCCTGTGCACCTCGACGAGAAGAAGTTGCAGGTCGAGTGTGCATCGGCTCGGAATGTCGAGGAGATCCACTCGGACGAGAAGCATTGAGATCGGGCGGGTACAACAAGACCATAAAAGACTCATCATTGACAGCAGGGAGTCTCTAGGATATCAGAGACACACAATGAACCCAGTCGTAAACAAGGTATAAATCGATCTAGTTCAACTTTTCCATTTACTCCTGGCTATCTACCCTTGAAATACCTTTCCCTTCTCAATCTCCTCAAACGCACACATGGTGTGCCTCCACACCATTTCCCTCAGCTCATCTTTCTTGACGGGACTCTTCGCGTACACTTTTTCTCTCGACTCGGTTCCATTGTCATTGAAGACCAAGTACACGCCACTCCCCCTTTTCCCATCGGCGCCCATGGCAAAACTTTCCTCATCTCCTTTGGTCTTGGGCGCGCTGCCGCCGCCGGCCGGATAGTGCGGCGTGGCCATGTAAAACATCCTCGCACCGTTCTCGGCATGCGACGTCCCCACGAACCACATGAGCGGCCTGCCCACGACGGCAAAGACCACCTTGAACCACGTCGGCAAATCCGGGTTCTTGAACCCGGGAGTGTGGACGAGACCCGGGAAGACGTGGCAGAAGCTCAGTTTGCCGGGGTACTTGGCGACGAGGGTCTCGAAAAAGGCCGTCTTGAAGTACGCAATGTGTGAGCGCGCGTTGAGGTACGTGAAGTGACCCGGCTGGCGCAGGGAGAGGTCGTCGGGAAACAATGTGCCTTCGGTACGAGGTGCGTAGATGGAGATGACGTGTGCTCCTCCTCCTCCACCGCCGTCACTTCCTCCAGACCCTCGAGGAAGACGAGATTCCAAGAGGAGTGGGAGTAGACGGTCGATGAAGCGCATGCGGGAATAGTACATCAGCGACATTAGGTTGTCGAGACCTTCGGGCGTGTCTGGTTCGTTTTGTCAGTCTGTCAGTCCGTCCGCAGTAGTCGAGCTGAGCTTGTAGTGGGGTCGGACAAGTACTCTGATACTGACCTTTCCTCGTTACGAAAATGGAACCGGCTTGGCTCATGACCAAGAGGTCGATCCTCGGTTTCCCATTCCCATCCCCTTCTGCGCCAGTGGCGGCGCTTTCAAGCTTGGTGATTTCGGCGCACACCCGGTCAACGTCCTTGAGAAGAGCGAGGTCTTTGGCTCGGACAAAGGTGATTTTCGCACTCGGACACGCCTTGGTGCACTCGGCGATCGTCTCGTCGGCGGCCTTTTGGTTGCGCCCGACGATGTATATGCGCAATTGGAGAGGTTTGTCGTTTGTTTTACTGTTCACTGAAGCGGTGGTGGATATCAGTGCGTGAAGAGCGTATTGGCATGTGCCTGACGTGCCGCCTACGAAGACGGCGACGAGGGGTTCTGTGAGAGAGGCGATGAAGTCCCTGTTTGCCACTTTGACGTCCGAGAGACGAACCATTGTGAAGGTGGTCGATCAATGCAGGAGCGAGCTTAAGCAGAGACTGTGCTAATATTCGGTGATGGTGGGAGAGCTTTTTCGTACGGAGTAGTCTCAGGGAGAGTGGTGTGATGCTAAGTCGATGCAGTGGTCATATATATATATATATATATATATCTGGTATTGCTTTAGGGGGCTGTCGGCCTGATCTCAACCTCGGATCTAGCGGATACTGGAGGAAGGGACACAGACACGGCGTATCTTGCGAATCCAACAAGGATCAGTTGCATGTCGTCGTATATTTACTCCTTACCCGAGTGTCTGATTAATCGTGGTGTGTCCTTTACAAAATGGAGTCAATTGGCCCGGGCTCGTCGTATAACGTATAAGATACTCTATCGGGTTTAGTTCCTGAGGGCGGAGCAGCATTCCTCACTTTATCTACATTACGAGTACAGGAAATATTGGTCCGTACATATGTCCCTGTCTACCTTACCTCTCCGCGCATGTGTTGGACCGTCCGACCATCCGAAGAGTCACGACAGGGATAATATACCTAACCACAATTCGTATCTCAAGTCCAAAAAGGCTAGGCTCGATCGTGAGAAGCGGCGCATCATTCGGCCTTCTCTTCTTTTTTTTTTTCATGACTGCCTAGGGTTTGATGGTTCTATATTGCAATTTGTGATCAAGAGATTCTATTTCTAACCGATCTATACACCGATTGTCGCAATATTTAATTTGCTCCGAGGTCCACACATTCCCACCCAACAATGCCAGCGGCGCCTCAACGACGCTTCCACAAAAAGAGCCGACACGGCTGTGTCCAATGTAAGAAGAACAGGACCAAGGTGAGTTGAGCGAATACACTTGGTTTTCTTAGCGTCTTTACCTCCCACCGGAGTCGATCCTACATGACTCCGTACCTTGCAGAGGCTGATAACTAGGCCTGGGCAGTGTGACGAACAGAGGCCCACTTGTGGAAGATGCACTCGAACAGGGCAATGCTGTTCATTAAATTCCCCCGACTGCGATCTCCTAATCATCATTGACGAGAACGATCGGGCAGCGCAAGGGAAGGTCGCTACTACCGCTACTTCCGCCTCCTCAACATCTCTTCTCCTGTCGACAACCTCTTCTTCTTCTCCCTCACAGACCGAACTTTCCGGTATAAGCATAACAAGTCCCAGCAGTAATAGTCATGCATCATCATCGTCATCAATTTTCAACATCAACGAACCACAGTTACCATTTACCACCCTCGAACGTGATCGACTCAGGTTGATGCATCACTATGATCGATTCACGTGTGAAACCGTGGCGGACCTGGTTCTTCCCACCCCCGAAGGCGTGAACATCATGCGCCACTACGTCCCCGAGTTGGCCTTTGAGCACGATTTCCTCCTACACGGGATCCTCGCTCTGAGTTCTCTCCATCTCACCCTGCTGTCGCTCGACAACGCCGATGCACAGACCCGGGAACGACATTTGAGCCTTGCGACGTACCACCACAGTTGTGCGATTCGGATGTTCAATCGCTACTTGGCCGACAACCCCGCCGATCACAACATCGACGCACTCTTCTTGTTCTCCAGCCAGATAGCCATGTGTGCTTTTGGGTTCCAGCGCGTCACCACTCGAGGATCACAAGAAAAGTCGTTGGAGCAGATTGTCGAAATGTTGAACCTGCTCCGCGGCACAGGCACGGTCGCCAAAAGTAGTTTTCACAAACTGGTCCAGGGTCGACTGAGTCCGCTATTTTTCCAGGCCAGACGAGCACTTGCAGGGGGGTCCGAGGAGTTGTCAGTGGGTGTGGAAACGGTGCTGTCGAATCTTTTGGATCGCGCCCTCAAGATCGATTCGCCTCAGCGCGAGCTGTATCTCGACGCACTTGCCGCGCTGCGGTTGAACCTTACCCTCGCTTCGGCCGTGAGCATTCCTCACCAGGCCCCGATCTCGACTTTCCCCGTCATATCACCTCCAGGATTTTTCCAAATCGTGGCCACGGGAGACGCACTCGCCCTGGCGTTGGTGGCGAATTACGGCATCATTGTGCATTGGCTGAGGGGGAACATATGGCTCGCCGAATGGGGTAAACAGACGGCTCAGACCATCAAAGCCGCATTGCCGCCTGACTGGGACGATTGTCTTTTGAATTTACGAGAAGTCGATTGGAAGTACAGTGGCTGTGGTCAATTGTTGGCAGCAAGGTGAGGTGGGAGTGATTGAAATCAGGCGGAGCCATGTATATGGGTAATTGGCCTGTGCAACGTACAGAGAGATCGAAACATAAAATTCTGGAAACATGTCAGCCTTAAAGGTTGCTGTTGTATGATAGGTACTGGGGCATGACGGGACAAGTATCTCCCTGCTCAAATGAATGTTGTGAAACGGCTGTGATTGTTCCGGGTATCCTCGAATGCAACTCAATCGTGGCAGAGATCAGCTGTGAACAACCTACCGCGTGTGTATTATCTGGTGTATATTATTAGAGACCACAATGATATTTCCAAAGCCACAAAATGAGATGGAGGAAGAAGTCTAAGGAGTATGGAATGACATGTGACAATAAGTCCGTAGGGAGCTCAGCCTCGTTCGCCAAGTATCAATCAATTTACGGAGTAAAACGCGTTCTGTTCAAAATAAGCGCGACGAGGCTGAACTTCATTCAACAACCCGCAAACTGCGCCCGAAATCCCAGTTGTCTACTGTACTGATGATCACCATCAACCGCCACAAAAGATCCCAAAAACACCACACTACCCTGCCTCCTCCTACTCAATTTCATACCATAAGAAAGTGTCTCCCCCCCGTCTACATTCCACGATGCCACCGAAGCGTCGATCCGACGCAATATCCCGCGACGACGACCCTCACTCAGCATCATCTTCCGGCCCAGAAGAATCTGGTTCCGACCATGAAATGGTAACACAATCTCGTCACCGACGTCGACGGCGTTCCTCCTCTCAATCATCCGCCGCATCTTCTTCCGCCTCTGCTTCGTACTCCCACCACGACCCTCACGGCACGCTGGTGAAGAAACTCGTCCGCCTGGCGCTCGCGACCGAATACTCTCGCACCCCTCTGCGGCGGAACGACGTCCACACCAAGATCTTCAAGGATTCCAACGCGAGCGGGCGCAGCTTCAAAACGATCTTCGACTCTGCCCAAAACATCCTCAAGGACACCTTTGGCATGCAACTCGTCGAATTGCCCGGCAAGGAAAGGACGTCACTCAAGGACCGTCGGACCCAAGCCACCCAGCCCAAGTCGACGAGTTCTACATCCTCCAAAAGTTGGATTCTGGTTTCGGTGCTGCCCGAGAAATTGAAAAACGACCCGGCCGTCGCACGACCGACCAAGGCACCTTCACAGGAGACCGAGGCGACCTACACGGCCCTGTACACGTTCATCCTGAGTCTGGTGTACCTCAACAACGGGGCGTTGACGGACCAGAAACTGACGCGCTACCTGAAGCGGGTCAACGCGGACACCTACACGCCCCTCGGGGCCTTGGAGAAACTCCTCGCGAGGATGACCAGAGAAGGTTACGTGGAGAAACGGAGGGACACGACCATGGGGGAGGAGGTCATCGAATGGGTCCCCGGGCCGAGGGGCAAGGTCGAGGTGGGGGCCAGAGGGGTGGCCGGCCTGGTGAGGAGCGTCTACGGGTACGGAGCCGTACCGTTGGGCACGGTGGTGGCTCGGCCAGACCCAAGCGGGAGTGGGAGTGACGACGAGGGTCCGCCTGGCGAACCGCAAAGGCTGGTCAAGATCGAAGAGGACGAGTTGAATTCGAAAATCAAGAAGAGTTTGGGCGTCGGATTCGAACGCGAGAGGCCGCTGAGTGGCGACAACAGTGGCGATGAGGGTGAAGAAGGGCCGGGTGGTGTGGACGGTGAGAGTGCCGTTGAGCAGGCCGTGAGTGGCAGTGGCGGTGGACCGAGATCCGGCCGCACACAGACGACACGACACCAACACAGGACGAGAGTGGGAACCGGTGGGAGGACGAGGCGGACGAGACGAGACGACGACGATTGACCGATTCCACGGGCAAGAATCTATTGAGGGATTCTTTCCTGGGTAAATACGATTTGATGGATCGGAGTGATGAAGAAATCTCTCTCGGTCTCGATTGAGAGCCACGTTGATGGGAAGACAAGATCGAACAGCAAAAAAAAGAACAAGCAACACAGCCTTCACTACACCCCTCAATCATTGCACACGTTTGTACACTTTGCAATGAACTACCTCGAGATAGATCTAGATACCCAAAGGTACATGTGATACGGTTCTACATACGACCTAACCTAGTAGGACCATCCAAAGAAACCATGTTCCCAATGCAATGCGATCTGAAGATACTCCGTAGTAATGCAATTGCAATGCAAGTTTTGTCAAATTCTAATTTCAATTCCAGTTCGAGTCCAAATTTGCCCTTGTACGGGTAAAAGGGGAGGGGGGAATGCCCAAAAAAACACCATTTGAATGCAAACCGTGCGGCGATGCGAGGTGATGATGCTCGTGTCTCAAGGTCTGCGCCTTTTGAAATCTCAAGCCAGATCCAAAAAGAAGGAGGAAAAAGGGGGGGGGGTGGAAGCATAGAACTTTGTCATTTGTTGTTGGTTTTTGTTGAATGTCGAGGGCATCAATGACTACCCCTTGTGTTCCTTATCAAAAGTTTCCAGAGCTTCCAGACTTCTTTCGTCAAGTATGAATCTTGTCGGTACACTCTTCACACTCACCCACGCCAGGAGATCAGATTGATAGATTGTGATGCATCTCCCCAGCAAACCCCGGTCCCCCTTTTTTGGTTCGCAGTACCGATCATTTACACGGCGTCTAATCTCCTGACTTCGACACCCTTTGAAAACCGGGATTCGTCCGTAGATCTCTTACTCGTACATGATGGCCGCTGATTTCGAACCGTGAACCTCAGCTCTCCCCCGTCTCTCTTTCGGACGTCTTGTCTAGACAAAAGCCGTGGCGAATGGCCCGTGTTCGTGATACTGACTTCTCCTCTCTCGCCCTGCTCAAACTCGGTTTCAAATTCAAGCTGTTTTGCATCCCCTACTCCCCAATCTTGTTGTTCCTCAACCGAAACCTGAGAAACCACCACGACCACCGCCACCAGTGCTGAATCTGAATCCGCCCCCACCGCCAAAGGGGCTGCCACCACCTCCGCCACCGTTCATCATGTTGAACAACATCTCGGGATCAATCTGAACGCCGCCACCGCCCATACCTCCCATCCCGCCCATCCCGCCCATACCTCCAAAGCCACCGGGGAAACCGCCGCCCATTCCCATACCAGGCTCCATCAGGTCCGCTCCAGAGTCATACATCTGCCGCTTCTGTGGATCAAGCAAAGTCTCCTTGGCTTCAAGGCAGTCCTTGAACTCTTCTTCCTTGTCCTTGTCGCCTTGTGTCTTGTCCGGATGCAGAACAGCAGCCTTGCGCTTGTAGGCCCGCTCAATCTCCTTGTCTCCTGCATCCTTATCCACGCCCAGGATCTTGTACCAATCCTTTCGTTTGGACTTCTTGAGCTCGAGCTCGGCGTTTCGCATTTCCTTGTTCAACTCTGGATCTTGTGGATTGTCCTCGAGCAGGGCCTTGTAGTCCTTGACTGCTTGTTCCCAGTCACCTGATTCGCCCGTAGCTTTGGCCCTCGTCCGTCGGGCCTTGGTGTATGTAGGGTCCAACTTCAGCGCTTGGTCACAATCTGCCTTGGCCTCGTCAAACTCCTTGATCTTGATACGTGCCAGCGCCCGGTTTCCTAACAGCTTCGCATTGGTGACTTTATTTGTTGGATCGATGGTAATTGCCTCACTGTAGGCTTCGACAGCATCATGGTACTTGCCACGCTTAAACATGTCGTTAGCTGCCGTCCTCGCTCGGTCAAGTTTCTTCATCGTCCGCAGGCAGTGTCGTGCATCGGAATTGTCTGGGTCTAGGGCGAGTGCTTGTCGGAAGAAATCTTCTGCCCGTTCATAATCGCTCTTTCCAACCCCGGACTTCTCGTCTCGTAGATAGAATGCCCGAGCCGCGAGAACAATGGCTTCTGCATCCATAGAATTCTCGCGCATGAGTGCCTGTGCGATGCCTTGAACTTCCCCGAGGGCATTGGCTGAGCCGACTTTCAGGTTTGCCTTGGCCTTCAATATCTGCCAACTTCGAGGTGTGGGTGTGTCTCTTCCCAGTGTCTGTTTCGCCTGTTCAATGCTCCATAGTGCCATATTACCATTGCCATCTTCAGAATTAATCTGCTTCTCTGCCAATTCAATCGACTGCAATGCCTTTCGAGCAGCCGCAGTATCTGTCGCCGAGGCATTTGGAATTTTGTCGTATGTATCTAGGGCGTCCTGCGGTCGACCTAACGAGGTGTATATCCGGGCAAGACGGTGCAAAATCTTGTCATTGTTGGGGTCTAACCTGCTTGCCTGTAATGAATCACCCAAAGCCTGATGGTATTTATTTGCGGATATATACGCCGCTGCTCGATTGGAAAGGTAGGTGGGATTGGAAGGGTCTGCTTCAACGGCTGCGAGAATTTGTCAGCCTCAAAATCCAAACCAAAAGAAGTCGAACTGTGTGGTACAAACCTTTTGAATACTCGATAATTGCTCGATCATAATCCTTCGCCTTGAAAAACTTGTTACCTGCGGCCTTGCAGGCTTCGGGATCTACCTTGGGTGCTGGAGGTACTTTGTGTGGTGGAGGGGTTGGACTTCGTTCCTCCTTGGTGTGACCATTAATACCGTTCGTGGCAGGCTCTTCGGGGAACGCTCCAGGCGTGTCGTGTGAAGGTGTGGCAGGCTGCGATGAGCCATTAGGTGTAGGCATTGATGTTTCTTTATTATCAGTCTCTGGCACTTCTCTGTCCACCGACATCGACTGTCTCTCAGCCTCTTCTCTGGCCATTCTGGCTGTCAATTTGCGCAGTTGATCGGGAGGGAGATTTAGAGGGTGTGTGTCGGGATCGTGGCGCTTGGAGGATTTCTTCCTGTCTCGATCTTTATCTTGTTTCTTTGGAGATTTTGACTTCCGCATGGGCGATGATGGTTCAAATTTTGCACCAACCGAATCCAACTCTTTTGCGACGGCCGATGCGGGTGGGGCGGTTGAGGCAGAGACAGACACAGAAGGCCAGGGACCGTCACTTGGCCTGACACTCCGGGTATGATGGGGACTGACACGGCCTCGGCGAGCTTGGGCTTGTTGGAGAGTTGAAGGTTGCGGCTCAACTCTTCTGCCGCTGCCGCTGCCGCTTCCGTCTCTTTCTTCGTCTTCTTTCTTATCGAGTGTGCGTAGGAGATAACGAAGGTTGGCCTCTGTCAGAGGAGCAGCCTGGTGAGCCCTAGAGTTGGCCGTTTCGGCGAGAAGCGGGAGAGGATCCGTGTACGACGTCGACGACCGGAGAAAAGCACGGGGACTACTGTTGTCCCTAATAGCAGTGGAATTCTCTCTACCATTGACTGTTCTTGTCCGATGATTGTGAGTGTCTGGAGTCAACAAGGCTTCCTTGTTGTCGTGCTTATCGCCCTGGTCGAAATTTCTCGAATCGCGCCTGCAAAATTGAGCGGGCCTCGCATGGCCACCGAAATTGTCTAGTTGGGCGCCGTTTGATCGAGTTTTGTTAGGCGTGATAGGCGAATCAGCCCCTGGTCGTTTCGGATTTGGCATCGCGACATCAGTCTTGAATGGTCGCTGGGTCTCAGAAGATGGATTTGCAAGGCTTCCTTGTCGTTGTCGATTCGCCTGCGTGTCTGCGCTCCTCTTATTAGCCTCAACATCAGACTGCCAGTCAGGAGGAAGTTTTCTCCTTCGACCGTGCATATTGGAAAAGTGATGTGCAGTGCAAGTCACGGGTCGAATGTTCACAGGCGAGTGATGGTCTACTGCACAAAAAGAAGGGGGAGAGTGAAAGGTATTGGACCTGACGACCGCCCTCGATGGAAAACTGCCTGTTCGGTGTTATTTATTACTACATGTGAGACTAAATTGAACAATAGCATGTAATTGAAACATTTCCTGCCAGGTCGTTCCATGAATCACATTTCGTTGTCAGAGACAAACGAGAGATGATTGCAGAATCAGAGTCAAGGTGCGTATGAAGACATCGATCTCAGTTATGAACATATTACTATTCGTACAGCTGCAAAAGAGAATGTAACCAGCATTGATCCTATCAACGCGATGCTCAAAGGCATGTCGCCTTACTGTGCGTTGCTCGCACAAGTCCAGCTGCTTCCACCTGGCTCGTTGTGAATAGCATAACCACTGGCATACAATCCCATTCCACAGATACCGGCGCCCATGCCAAACAAAGCCAAATTGACTCCAGTGAGAGAGATCTTCTTCCAGTTCTTGGTGTATTGCCCCCAGTTCAAGAAGAGCCAGAAGATGCCAGAGATACCGTAGGTAAACCAGGCTGCAAACAAACTCGAGATCAATGCGAGCAGGTCATTGAAGTTTGGAATGGACTCTGCAATGACCCAAGCAATCACCCAAATGGTCAAAGTGATGGCGAGCCAGCTGCCTACAGCCAACAGTGTCCGTTTAGACATGTGCTTGGTCCCTCGGAACAGTCGGACATATATGTACTTCGAAGCGACATGACCATAGATCACACCAGCTACGATGATGGTAGGGATAGCCAAACCCCATGCGATTTTCCCGACAACCTTGCCAGCGGTGCCCAGGGCCGGTGAGTCGACGTCGTCTCCCCCGTATGCGTATATCACCATCGCGACAAGGAAGTACATGGCCGTGTCGGTGACCTGTAACAGCACCAATGCCTTCGGGAAGTCTTTGGGGTTGCGCATCTCCGAGATGAAGCTGAAGAAAGCGACATGTCCAGCATACGCGAACACAATGTTTGTGACGCTGAGAAAAGCCGTAGCGAATGTTGCTGTTTGCGTCGCATGATAATTGCCATGGGCAGGGTTTCTGGAACCCACTCCAGCCATGCACACAATCACTGCCGTGATGATGGAGAGGAAGCTCGCACACGAAAGCCAAGAGACCTTCAACAGAGTCCGAGGAATGTCGCAAATCCAGAAAATAACCAGCCCGATGATGCCCCAGGCTATCGTGCAGGCGGCTCCGTCGGTCAGAGTATTGAGGCAGATGGTCCATGTCAAGATGTGACTTGCCATGCTGAAGATGAGGAAGATGGTCTGAGCAGCACCAAAGACTTCGCGCATCACGGCTGCCCATCGTGGGCCAAGTGGCTTGAAAAGGACATACCCTGCATCGGCCATATTGTGAACCTACAGACCGGCTGTCAGGAAAGTTTCTTATCATGACCAGACGGCTGAGCTTACCCATGGATGAGCCATCTTGAATTGGCCTATGACATAACCAGAATAAGTCGCAACGATACCCAGGCTGAGAATCAAAATTGCTCCTGGGGCCATCCCGATGGTAGCCAGCACGGAAGGCAGCGAAAGAATGCCCAAAGAGATGGTCTCTGCGATCATAACTGCAAAGAGGTACGTGTTAGAATGCCTTCTCAGGTTATTCGGCGTTCAGTTGAAACATACTCATACTGCATTGCCTGTCGGGACTTGTCAGTATATGATTGCAGGGCAATGCATGCGGATACTACTTACCACCACTTCAATGTGCGATACTTGACACCATCGCCGTCATCTTCATCTCCGAAGGGATCTGACTCCATATCCACGCTTTGGCCTCGGAATGCTGAGCCCAGTGAAGAGCGACGCCGCTTCTCGCCATCTCCGGACATGTAGGGACGTTGAGAGTCTTCGTAGCGAGCGCTGTCAAGGGGCCGCGCATCCTTCTCTACATCAGTGCTATAGGGCTCCGCAGAGGCACGCAGAGTCGGCGATCGAGAAGCCATGATGATGTCGTGGTCTCGAATGTTTTACTGTATCTAGCTGTTGACGTGAGGATACGGTTCGAAAGCCTCAGTGGCACTGATACCCAGCAAGTCCACGCTATTCGTCAAGGTCGACGATAGATATTGAAAGCAGAAAACCCTTCACACATGCGATCGCGACCCATCGCTGGGAGGGGTATATAGTCATGCGAGCAGTATGATGACATTGTTGCTGTCGGGATCGCGAAAAAGCCTGCGACGTCATGGGGAATTCGATGGTGCGAGGGATTGTCAATGCATGCCGCGAAGGTGGAGTTTTTGTTATACATCGCCACGGACCCTTGTCAATCTTGGGGCAGTCTAAGGATTCCCAGTCACAGTTGAAGCGGCAGTAGTTTTCGTGGGATGAACATCTTCTGCGACTCACATTCGCTGTGATGAAGCGAAGAATGGCAAAGCATACGCTTGATCTTGTGATCAGAATTTTGGGTATGCTTGTGTTATGCTTGGTATATCTTAAAAAGAAACCCCGGCAAAGGGATGTACGAGACGTCAACGTGCAGGGATCGCTCCACGTTGTTATAGGCATCTCGGGGCTCGACTCTCATTACGTGACAGCCAAGTTAAGGGCCTATATCATTCGCTGGCTTCCTCGTGCTTGTCCTCGTCCCGGGCCTGGGCAAAGCTGATAAGGAATATGGCTTTGTTACATCGAAGATCGAAATCACATTAAAACGTCTGATTATCGACATTGCCATCGGAGATCGCTAAAATCGTGCAGAGACTCCAATACCATCCCATCACTCCATCTCTACAATACCAGTCTGTCGTGCAGAAGGGTGCGGACCAATAACGGTTCCCGCATCCTTCTCGACGGGTTCTTGGGGTACAGTGTTACTGGACACTCTTTGTTTGGCTGCAAGTTCGGCGGCCTGATGCGTTCAAACAAGTTCTGCTGTCCCTTGCGAGGAATCACTGCTATAGCTGGGCAGACCGTCTTTTTCAAGTTCGTCTCTTACCTCAGTGTCTTTTGCCGAACGACGTGATCGTGAGTAGAAGAAAATTCCACCACAGGCGATGGCCACAAAAGCCACCGCACCAATAACAATTCCAGCAACGGCACCACCTGATATGCCATGATCTGTGTCCGACGAGACATCATATGGATTCGAGACTGCAGTCGAGGTGGTCCCAGGAACCGAGGAGGTTGTTGCTGTTTTGATGCTGAAGAGCCGAGAAAGTGAAGAATCTGTCCACCCTGCCTCGGGCTGTGTCTTGGTAGCACCACCTGTTGGGCTAAAACATTGTCAGTGAGTTCTGACCTACGCATGGGATATCAAGTACTTACTCCCCACCAATGGCCGCCACCACATCATCCGGCACATCATACTGGCCAGCATTGGCATCGAAAACGCTACCCCAGCTGATGGTACTCAGGTCGAGCACAGCCAAGCTTTTCTGTTCCCAGTTGCAATCATGCGATATATTGCTAGACTTTCCTCCACCTCCGACGGTGATCATTTGTCTTCGAGCTAGAAAATGGCACGTCACAGACCAGCAGGCATCTTGACCAGTGAATACCTTGACCCATGTGAAGGATGGTAAACTCAAGACATAGATATCATCGAAGATTGTGGATTCTGAAGTTCCGCCATAGAGGTAAATGTTGGTGCTGCTGTTGTCCTGAGCCGGCGCAGCAACGAGGCAAAAATCTGTGCGAGAGGAAGGAATGTCGCCACTGGCCTTTTGTGAGTACCAGAAGTTTGTGTTTGGCGATGGACTATCGCTGAGGTCGGTACTGTTGACATCAAAGGTTGTTATATCGTCCATTGCGAGTAGCCCGTCTGCTTGCGTTTCTCCTCCGAGCAGCACAAGAACACCTGACTCTCCGAAATTAGCGACATACACCATTCCAGCACCCTGACGATTACTCCTAACCGACTCGTCCACCGTGAGATTTTTGACGTTGTTGGTCGTGGTATTGATGACTACCATACCGCCGACCCCGATGGTTTCATCGCCTAGATTTTGCGTCGTGTCTGCAGTACCACTGTCGATTTGGCCGCCTACAAAGAATGCCAAACCCAAGTCGGGTACTTCGGTGCTTGCACCCCAGGAAGGAATTGTATCGAGCGCTCCTGACGTGTCAACTGCCAGCCATGTATCATCTCTCATATCATAAGACCAAACAGCATATTGAGTTGTAGGAGCGACTTCAAAATAGCGGAAGGACTCGTTGAATCCGGACGTGGTGCCACCAAACATATGAAGCGTTGTGGAATCATTCTTCCCGGCAAACAGAGAGGCATCATGTACGTTGATTGGACCTGAAAACCCTTCGACCGATCCGCTGATATATCGTCTGGGATATTGAGACATTCGTTTTCCAATCCCGACGCTGTCATGTCGACACAGATGAGGTTCTCGTTGATGCCGCTGATAATCGTTTTCGTGTCTTGCTGTCCGTCGGCACCAAAATCAACAAATGTTTCAATTCCGCCATTGATGTACAGTGTCCGATTCTTCACCACGGAGCTATGTCCGATTCTTCTGCAGAAATTCTTGACTGAGTCGAGCGAGACTCCAGCGCGAACAACAGTTAGTTGAGTCAAAGCAAAAAGCGCGAGGAAGAAGCGGTAGGCATCCATATTGACATCGGAATCAGGAATGAAGTGATGGATATCGTTACCGCGCAAAAGGATAGCAGGAGAACGAGGAGGTCACAAAAATGAAGGGGGTGAGGACGGAGACTGGTGTTGCACATCGCCGTTGCTTGTGGGCCAATGGTTGGTTGAGTGATCAACTGTGGCTACAGGTCATCTCAGGACTCAGCCTTGAATTCTTCAGGTCCTCGATCGCAGACAATGTCAGCTCTAGCCAGACATAGGAGCTTATAAACGAGTCTAGGATGGTGGATCCGATCATTGATCTGCCTATGAGAGCTGCAATTCTCCGCCGACTGTAACACGAGGTATTTTGACAATCAGAAAGAAGACCTTGGCTGCGGCGGCGCTCATTCCTTCACATGAGGCAAGCTCTTGTAGCACGAAGAGGTACGGCCTGAGGACAAAAAAATATAGATCGTGACACGTGTACTGGCTAGTCCGAAGGAACGATGTCTGAGGATGAGAATTGCTTTTCCGTTGAACTTTCGAGCTGGCTCGTACATATGTACTACTCACCTCGCTCAGTTCAATCAGTGGAGTGAGAATGATCTTCGTCAGCGCGAAAGATCCATAGCATTTACTCCGAAAGGCTAGAGCGGGCAGAAGAACACTGCCAAAATGCGTGCTTGAGGTTAGCGGATTGATTCGAATAGGATCCCCCTGGTCGCCGAAGACATGGGCACCGGAAGTGAAAGGCTGGTGATGGTGAGGCTGAGAATTGGCGATGCCATTAGCGACACGTGATCTGGTGTTGTTGCCAAGCGCCAAGAGCGACGGGGATTGTTTACTTGGTCACGTCATTCTGAGAAATCGAGCATCGCAGCAAAGCAGCCAATCTTTCCATCTCAACAATCAATCCACCACAGACCACCTCTAGCGAGACCCTACGACTGCTCGTACTGTACATTTCATATTACCCTCTATCCTTCTTCTTGTCCTGTGCGCCATTTCCATATTCATCGCCTATGGTCGAGGATGGCTACGCCACGTCGTAGATCTGCTCGTTTGAGTAAGAATGCTCAACCTCAGGTAATGTTCGCCCTCACTTTGCGGGTGTTTGTTATGATATATCTGCTCCTCGCACCACACAGCAGTCGGCATCCGCGTTTCGCAGTCATATTAGCATCGACTCGGAGACTGACTGCTTGATAGCGACAATCTGCTCGTAAACAAAGTACAGCTGTGCTCGGATCCCTCATAGAACGAGACGAAACTCCCGAGGTCGGTGAGCCTCAGTCAATTGATGATGTTGTTGAGACTCCCGCGTCCGCCGCAACCGCCAAATCTCAACTTTCGAGGCTCTCGGGCCTCAAGACACCCAAAACCGAACCACGAGTCGATCGAGGCGAGATGCATCCTGAACACGCTCATCATACCACAACAAAAGCTCCCGACTCTGGCCTCAAGCTAGGCTTTGTCGATATCTCTTCCCGTCCGCAGACAATCGCGAGTGCACAAAACACCCCGTCCAAAGCTAGAACAAGCACCCCTGCGCATTTCCAATCTACCAACTTTGACTTCAAGTTCGGGGCCGAATCTCAATTGAGCACTGAGGCACAAGAATTAATGGACAATGTAAGAGAAGAGGCAGCTAGGATCAAGGCGCAGATGCAGGCTGAACGAGATGCTCAGCAAGACAAGGACGACAAGGCTGAGGCCGAGTTCAATGGAATCAACGCTTCCGGCAGAAGAATTGCGAAACCCAAGGGGAAAGCTGGTCGGTTTAGTGATATCCACATGGCTCAGTTCAAGAAGATGGATTCGATCGCGAATCACCCTTCAGCATTCCGAGGAAAGCCTAGTTTTGCGCAACCAACTACACAGTCACTCAAGAGAAGCGGCTCTAAGGCAGGTCTGGACGAGAGTGAGCGACCCCGAACTGCTGGAAAGGGCAGTCCGGCGCGGCGACCGCCGCAATTTCTCGGGCGCCCAACTTCTGTCAGCCCCTTCAAGTCTATCCCGTTTCAATCAGAACGAATTGAAAACACAGCACCCGCCAAACTTGCTCGACATTCCGAGTTCCATGATGTCTCGGCAAGTCGGTTAGTAGAGCCACCGCAGCCTGTACGGACATTGCCCAAGCCTATATCCAGCCACTTGTTTTCCCCCACCAAGGCCTCGTTAGCAAGAGCTGCAGCAAGTCAGATCCCGGTCTCGTCGCCGAACAAAGCTCCTTCGCTGAAGCGGCCAGCATCTGTTAAATCTTTGAGGACAAACTCGAGCATACCAAGTGTGCGACCTGCTACAGCGCATGGAGGATCTTGTGCTCAGAACCCTTTCAAATTTCCTCCTGTCGACAAATCAAGACTTGATCGACCACTCCCACCGCCGCCTGAAAATGATTCTTCTTCATCGCCATCGCCAGAGTCGGCAAAGTTTGTGCAATCCGAAGCCACCGTTCAATGCTCGTCTCCCTTGAAGCACCCTGGCTTCTCATCTCGCCTACCAAAATTCAATGGGTTGAAATCGATCCTACGAACTGGCCGTAAGACTGACATCATGCCCCCGACTCAAGAACGTCAAGGCACTCCAAAGCGACCGGCAACTGCTTCTAATGGCAGTGGCGATGTGAAGAAGGTAGACTTTACACCCAGTGTGAAATCGAGATATGCTGTCAAACTGGCAGCTGGAAGCCCTAGCCCAGCCAAGCTCCCAACACAGCTCACTCCTGGAAAGGCACTTGAGCCACTTGTCGCGTATGATCCAGCTGCATATGTGCTTGGTGACGATGATGGGGACGATGCTTGGGAAGATGCAGAAAGCGAGATCGATTATCCGGTCTTACCTGCCATGTCCTCAAGCCCTGCGCAACCTGGATCTGGCAAGTCTTTCGAGAAGAAAGCCAAGGACCACAAGCGTCGGGAATCCAAGGACTTCAAGTCCATCTTCACAACTCTTCATCACCCCTCACGCCCTACGCAGCCATCAAATTTTGCTTCCTTCAATGCTGCGGCCAACAAGAGCGGCCCAACTGTCCACGTTGACAAGATCATGAGATCACCAAGCAATACTAATTTCTCACGACCATCGCCATCTACAATCCGTCGCGTCAGAACATCAGGTGTCACCGAGTTGGTCCAGCCTTTCGAGGATGCGGAGGTGCAGACCGTGCCTCACGGTATCCCTGGTAAGAAGCGGCGTCGCGAATCGACGGCTTCCAACGAAGACGAAGACTCCTTCGTGTCTGCCGGAAAAGAGAACCGACGTATCAGCGTCATGCCATCTGTACCTGGCGGTTGGTGCGACACTCCGCAGCCTGAGGAGCAAGATGAAGGCGCGAAACGTGGTGGCAAGCGTGCAAAAGTCGGTAGCTTCACCAGTCCGCCCGAGAAGCCCAGAGCTGAAGCAAAGAAACCTCGACAGAGCATGGCGCGAGAAATGGCAAAAAAGACTGCTGATGCACGTAAGGGCAAGGGTATTCTCAGCCTGACCCGTTTGAACATGTTGAGCCGCCCGAAGCAGAGAGGTTGAATTGTTTTATGACAATCTTTGGATGAAATCTGCCGCCTCTTTTGTTCATGATGCTGAGCAGCGTCTCGATTGAGAGTCTTGAAGGCATCATGATTCCCCATTCGGCTCGAGCTTGTTCCTCACCGAATTTACAAGCCGCTCAACCATTCTCTCTGCCTGGTCAGAGGTGAGTCAGGCTCTTTTTTACGACTTTTGCCTTGCGGAAATTTGTGTTAATTGGCCATCACTTGATTTTATCGGAAATACGAATTGTGGAATGTGTTCTCAAGGGTACGGTCAATGGATTTGGTGCAGATGAAGTTTGAATCCGCAATCTTTCGTGCGCCTCGTTTGACCTGGGGTGAGAATTGGACTTGGGCTCTCTGGAGTTTCTGGAAAGGTCTCCGAGACTATGGGCGAAAATGGGAAATGGAATGGCTTCGTTGGAACTGTCCTTTCTAATTTGGCGTTTTCGAGGATCACAGGATTACAGGACCACCGATTCAGTGACAACATTCCCGAACGGTTTCGGTCGATACGTACCAGAAAAAAGTCCCTTTTTTTCAATTTTGGAGTCATTGGCCATGGAAAGGGTCGGTTTGAGCTGGACAGGCTGGATGGATGGAGTGTTTTGTGTGTTTCTTGCAATGGCAGAACTTTTGTTTCCACACAAATTTTACATGTCGATGAATCAATTAATGCCTTTATGACTTTGTCCAGGATAGGACAGCAGTACTCCGTCTGGAAGAGACAGCAGAATGACCCCTCAGCTCCAGTGGTTACCTAGGCTGGTGGTCAACAGTCCAGTCGAGGTGTGTTTTCGATCACTTCACCTCGACCAGAACCTTTTTCGCCCTTGCTTAACTTTTATCTGTCGTTGGGAAACGCCTTGATCAAATCACCTCACACTGTTGTAGACATTTACTGGGCTACATGAATTCCAGGAGAGTCAGCGAGTACTGACCTTTACCTATTCACTTACTTTGTATGACGGAGTACAATCGAGTTTGATCTGATCAAGGTCCTCCGTAGTTTTTATTTTTATCGTTCCCTTTTCGGATGACCACATCAATCGACACGAGCTGGTGCGTGGCACCGTTAACCCCCTTTTTCTCTTCGTTTTCCTTTCTTTTTGTTTGCCTGAAATGGTTCCACACAAAACCAGAAAAGCTGTAAAGTCTGTAGAATCAAGTACAGGTACATGTACATATACTACCTAGGTACCTGGTACCCGGTCGCCTCAAAAAAAAAAGAATTATATTCTTGCAAATCGTTCGGTTCTCAGGTCCCCAGGATTTCATGATATCCACCTCCGTTACCAGAGGTATCAGATGACGCATTTTTATGATACACACACTCTCTTTGAAAAGCCCCAATCACTCCATGAGTTGTCAAACCATCCTGTTTTGTTGTATGTCCCTGGTCTTCCTTTTCCTCTTCAGGAGAAATTGAATGAGAAACATCAAAAAAAACCCAACAAATCCAAAAAGAAATCATTGAATCGATAGTAGTTTGCAAATCAATACACGGCTTCGAGAAGGTAAATGACGCCAAAGACCAAGAAAGCAATCGCACCTCCCATGGTCACTGTATTTGAGAAAAAGGAAAACGTTAGCCTCACGGTCCCGATACTACATGTATTGACTCGAACAAAACCAAAAAAAAGACGGAAAGACTTACCAGTTCTCATACTGACTCTGCCCGCAATGGCTCTACCACCAAGTACAGCCGCACCGGTACAAATCGCATGCCCGCCCAATGCGCCCGCCGTGACCCACCAGTAATCCTGGCCTGCTGCCATGGCGATGGTCGCTATTTGTGACCTGTCGCCCCATTCACCCAAAAAGGTCATGACGAAGGTCTGCACCCACGCTGGACTCAGGAGGAGTGAGAACAGATTGTTGATGCCGCCGAGCATGCTCTTGAACGTCGACTGCCGCTCCGGGGAAGCCTCACGTGAACTCGCCGGGCTTTCAGGAGGCGAAGGTAATCGACCGTTGGTGTGTTTTCGTCCGATTCCTGCGCGACCAGCTTCCAAGGCGTAGGGGGAGATGGACGACCGCCGTCGGGACATCCGCCGTTGTTGGTGTTCTTTTTCTTCCAGTTCCATTTCGACTTCCTTCATCTCTTCACCGACACCGTCGTCTGGGCTCATGCCGCGCGCTTCGATCAGCATTTTGACCCCGAACACCAGGAACAGGCCAGCTGCGCCGAAGTTGGTGAGCGTCTTGGGGATCAGCGTCGGGACGGCGTGGCCCAGCACGGCCGAAAGGACGGTCATGGTGATCAGAGCGGAGAACGCAGCGGTGAAGACGAGGACCCGGGGGTGGCGCATGGCCATGAGCGCTGCGACGAGGAATGTCTTGTCGCCCACTTCGGAGAAGAGGATCATGGTGAATGAGAGCACCAGGGAGTGCATGGGCGAAATGACGGCCGGTTCATGGTCTTTTCCTTTTGACGATTTGTCCGGGTTTTCCGAGAGGATGGTGCTGTCTTTCGGCGAAGATGGGTTTTCGGGGTAAGGGATATCGTGAGGTTTGTCTGGGAGGTCTTGGGGTGCCTACGATCAGGGGGTCAATAGGATGCGCCAAAATACGAGGGAGCGCGAACTGCTTACCGTGAGGATCTTTTTGGGCTCATCTTCTGAGGATGTTTGCGTCTTATCTGTGTCTTGCAGAGTCTCTGCTTCGTGGTGTGGGAGAGGCCTGGCGTCCTTGGGAGGATCAGGTTTCTTGTCGGAGAGTCTGTTCTCTTTGGATTTCTCTGAGATGCCGCCTTCCACACCTCTAGTGCCCTCGGCTGGATTCGATTTCAGGCGGTCATCCATCACCGCATCGTTGGTTTGCGGAAGATCTCCGCTCGTGTATGGTGATTTCTCAGCCACCGGATCGTCTTCGTACCCTTTCCCTTGTGTCTTCTTCCGCGTTCTTTCTGCGTTCGTCTCGACAAAGGGTCCCTCGTGTGGCATTCCATCTCGGCCATCTACAGGAGCATGTTCGGTCCCGATCGGTGATGACTTTCCTCCCCCAGTGGTACCTCCCGACGCAGCGACGACTTCCCCCAGTGACCTTGCGTTGGCAAAGTTCCTGGCCATGGACTCTCGAGGGAGGGAGGCATCTGTGGCTTCCGCCGCAAGGGCAGAGGCGAGGAGGAACAGGAGGATCTGAACACGCCGTCGTCCGATCTTCATGGTCGCGTGAGTTGTCGTGGTTTTTATCGAGGGTGGAAGTTTCGAGGGTTAGAAGAAAGGGAAGTGCTGAAACAAACGTGGTCACTTGTCGCCGCAGAGAGAATAATTAGGTAGATAATAGTCAACGACAATTGACGATACAAGGTTCAAAGAAATGATTAGGGGTTATTCGACACCGGAATTGGTAGGATCCATGTACACGCAACGAGTCTGACAACAAAGTGTCACTTTTCTCAAGATCTGCTGGGGCCCAAAAAAGGTGGGAAATTCAAAGGCCACACGCTCCTTTTCCTATTGATGAATCTTGACTTTTCGGGGGGGGTGTAGGCTCCGCCTATGAAAAGCCCTAACAGGGGGCCTAGAAGCCCTATAAGAGCTTCCTATTTTAGTGCCCGTTGATGATCTTTAGGGCCATTTTCCCCCTCTATTTCAAAGGGCACCAATCATCTCCGCACAAATTACAGCGCAGGCATGATCATGCGCTGCTTTTACAACGGGTCGTCGGCAAGGCTGAAAAATAAATGGCAACGAGGCCGAGAATAGTCAGACCCTTCAGTAGAGGCTACAGTACTCCGTATGTGCGGTAGTAATCTAATGGAGATCCAACAGTGTAGTAAGGCTTGCCAGAGTCTATAAACAAGACCAATATCTGCTTGATAGCTTGTTAACATTAATCAAGGATCCCGGCCATGGCCAAAGAAAAGGTGTTTTAACAAAAAACTTCAATCAATCCCCAACTGTCCGTGAATTATTTTTTCTAACCACTCTCATCTACCCAGAGTCGGAAACACACAAATGGCGAAGTCAAGCAGAAGAAACGGAAACTGAGCCACGATACTGAAGACGGCACAGTGGTCGACACCTCCAAACCGACAGCCGTCTTCCAACCGTCCGGTGGCCGGTCTCACACGCTCTCGATCGCGCTCCCAGGAAGCATCATAGCCAACGCCAAATCCCACGAACAAAAGACTTTCCTGGCAGGTCAAATAGCTCGTGCCCTGGCGGTATTCTGCGTCGACGAGATCGTCGTCTTTGACGATGAAGACGCCACCACACAGCGCCGACGGCCGGAAGTAGGGGAAGGCGAGTACACTGCCTTTTCCCACCCGGACCACTTCCTGGCGCACGTTCTTTCGTATCTCGAGACACCACCGCACCTGCGAAAGACCCTGTTCCCCATGCACCCCAACTTGCGCACGGCGGGGACGCTGCCGAGTCTCGACATGCCTCACCACCTGCGCGCCAACGAATGGTGCGAGTACCGCGAAGGCGTCACCGGCCATTCCACGACCGGGACCGGCGGTGGCGGGACACTGGTCGACGTAGGACTCCCAGAGTACCTGGAGGTCCCCGAGGAGATCCCGGCCGGTACGCGCGTCACGTTGCGGCTGCACGATCAACATTCCACGACGGCCGAAACGGTTGCGCCCGGCGCTCCCCGGGAAGAAAAGGGCTACTACTGGGGGTACGCGGTGCGGCAGTGCAACAGCCTGTCGAACGTGTTCACGGAGTGTCCCTTCGACGGAGGCTACGACTTCTCGATAGGGACGTCGGAGCGAGGTACGGCCTTGAGTGACACGCTGAAAAGCTCGGCCTTGTCGAACAGCCCACCGTTCAACCGTGTGCTGGTCGTCTTTGGCGGCGTCGCTGGTCTGGAAAAGGCCGCCAGGAACGACCCCCAACTCCAGACGATGGGCATCGCCGAGGATAACGTCAATGATCTGTTTGATGCTTGGGTCAATGTCTTGCCCGGTCAGGGCAGTCGCACCATCAGAACCGAAGAGGCGGTCTGGTTGGGCTTGATGGGTCTGAGGCCATTTACGGAACAATTGGGATGATGAGTATGGGGCACCAAGTTGCAGACCCAGAAGAGAAGACACTGATTTTCCTTCTCGCGCTGCACCTTCCACTGGTGCCAGGTTCTTATGGGTCAAAACTGAAATTCTATTAATTATTGCATGTCTAGGACTCTATGTAAGGACAATTCTGCTTCGTCAAAAACAACACACTCCCATCAATTTTCTCTTCCTCAACGTCCTGCTCCTTTTTCTAATGGCAGAGTAACACCAAATCAAGAGGACACGCCGTCTGTTCTCTCTAGTGCTTCTTGATAACCAGAGCCAGGTATCCCAAAATCCGATACGCAAAGATGATGGCAAACATGATTCCGATCCACTCCCCGATTTTATCGTCAGACCAGGGATACTTGTAGGCCCGTAGTACGGCCGTTCCGCGAATTTTGCCCTCGGATTCGAGATCACTAGTATACATGCACTGATATCCGGATGCCAATTTGTCGCAGTTCCAGATTGTGCTTCTGAACTGGTTTGCCATCATTCCTTGGAACACGTAGCTTTGATAATCGATGTAATGGAAGACGTCTGCGAAAAGGCAATGTCAGTCAGGTTGACCCGGTGAAATGACGGGTCTTTGGGGGGGGGGGGGGCGAAGGAAAGAAGCTTACATTTCCAAAACACATTCAAGGTGCCGAGAGGAACAAGGAACCCGCCGACACACATCCAGAGGCCGTTGGCGAACGCAGTGATGGCGAGACTGACGACAAATATCGGGAAGATGCTCGACACGAGAACCACGAGGCCTTCGGCGGCAAGGAGGTCGAGGAACAACCACAACACCCACATCCAAAAGCCGCCTGCCGTTGGTCTGAAATGTCCCAGCCAGTATGTGATGATGCTGAACATGAGAGCGATGAGGAAGAGCCAAGGGATACTGACGAGCGCGTTGGCGATGGTGAATGGCAACGGGCCGTAGAGACCATTCGCCCTCTCTTTACGGAATGTTTGCAGGTCTTCGATGATGCTGGGAACGTAGGCGACAGCCATGAACGACATGAATGCTCCTCCAAAGAAGATCGCGTTGATGAAGGGTTGGATCGAAGATTGATCGTAAGAGAGCCGCAGCCAAACAGTACCTAGGGGGGAAACCAATGTCAGCAAGGATCAAATTTCGTGCAAGAACCAAATAATCCGTACCCATCATGATGGCCAGACCGAAATACATGACTACGCGGGTGCCGTAGGCAATGATGTCTCGGTAGGATTTGATGAAGTTGCGGTGAAGAAGGATCCAGGACAATGCCAGGCTATTCTGGTGGTAAGACGGTAGCACTGGCGACGACGTTCCATCTACCAAGATCGAGCTGCACTCGTTGATAACTTGCTTGCATTCGGTGCATGATGACCACGCGTCTTGGATGTATTTGAGCTCGTTTTTCGCAGGACTGTCCTCGCCCCCATGGCTAAAGTCGCCATTGACCAGGTCCAGGAGAAATTCGGCTGGATTGGTATGGACCGGGATAGGTCGATCGATTCGGTTGAAATAGGCCTGGACGTCGGCCAGAGGGCCAAAGTAGCACGTGCGGCCTTCAGAAAGAAGCATCAATTGGTCAAACAAATCGAATGTTGTCGTCGAGGGCTGGTGGATGGATGCGATGCAAATCAGGCGGTACTCTTTGGCAATCTGCTTGATGTAATTCATGACTTCGAAAGACGCAGCCGAGTCAAGACCGCTGGTAGGCTCGTCGAGGAAGAGGATGCGCGGGGATGTGACAAGCTGGCTGGCAACGCTGAGTCGGCGCTTTTGTCCACCACTCAATCCTTTGCGAAGTGGTGTGCCCACAATAATATCTTTCTGGCGCTGAAGACCAAAGGACTCGATGAGTTCATCGACTCTGGCGATTCTGTCTTTCTTGGACAAAGTCCCTTGGAGCGACAACCGTGCAGCGAAGTCGACAGTCTCTCGCGTCGTGAGGATACCAATCATTGCGTCTTCCTGTTCCACATAACTCGACACTTTGCGAATCGACTGTTGGTTGGTAACCTGTCCATTGATCATGATCTTGCCGTCGAAATCTCCCTTCATGGTGGAGGTGCGATGGGCCAATACATTGAGGAGGGTTGTTTTGCCGGAACCACTTGGGCCCATCAAGGCCAGGACGCTGCCGGCCTTGACGCAGCCATGGTTTGAGTCCAGAATCTTGAGAGGTTGTCCAGACTTTCGATCTTTGACCGTGACGCTGACGGCATCCCAGGAAAAGCTGGTCACAACACTGTTTGTCAAATGGCGGTGGAGCTCGTGTCCTTTCTCGAGATCGATGTTGGTGTCGACCGCATTGCTGGACGCGTCGGATTGGTGTGTGAGAATTTGCTGAGGCATGGTTGCTCCTGAGGGTGCTTAGGTGAGATCATAGAGCGAAGAAGAATTCAAGAGCCACAAAATGGAGACACGGGGGTGCATTGCTGATATAGAAATCAAAACACAGGAGAGATTGCCCTGTACAAGGGTTTCATATCTTTGGATTATGCATTGCCCACAGAATTAGGCCTACTACCTGAGGGTCAATTCACCAGTGAAATGCTGTTCCCCGGTTGATACAAGGCTTGCGCAACAATGCGACTACCGATTCGATAAACCCCGAACATGAAGGTAATCAAAAAGCTTAAAATCTCTTTGTGATACTGAAAGTTGAAAAAGAAATTCGTAAGCATCAAACAGTAAGTCAGTGCTCCTTTGCAAGTCCAGACCGACGAGAGACCTTGGATTCGGTACTCGAAGGTCGATGGCCGAAAACAGTAGTCGCGGAAATCGTGGCGTCGACCCGTGATCAGCGCAGGTCAATTTCAGCAGAGGCTGAGGTAACACCAACGTCAGCAGCACGTGGTAGCGACTGATTTGGGGGTTTCGGGGACCAGAATTGAAATGCCTCGAGCAATCCAAATACTCGTATCCGTACCCCGTACTCGTACTACACCAAAAAGAAGTGAATCCATCAATAATGCGTTCGGGGTCTTCAACTTTTGAGTTCCCAGAGTACGGTAGAGCATTCAGACTATATCGCATGTCAATAGTGTCTCAAGTGAGTTTCAGTCACGTGGACAATATTCCGATTCCTGACACCGCCAAGACGCTTGACTACAATAGGTTTAGCTACATGCTCGGGGTCTGCTGACATAATGTGGCCGTCGGGGTCTACAATCGGGGACCAGAACGTTTTCTCATGGTGGGATGACCGGAAGTGCCTGATTCTAGCCAGCCCAAGTATTTGCTCACTGTCGTCGCATGTCCCGCATTTGCCACGATATTTCACGCCTCGGACTAAAACGGTTCTGAAGGGATTCACATTGTGGTGCGCGAGTTTGTGGTTTTTAATGAGTGGAATACCCGTCTTCAAAGAATTCGAGGTTGTTTACTCATTATTAAAGAAAAACTTGGACACCTGTATTTATGCATAGTATTCAACTAACTTCGAGATGTCAACACCCGAGAACGATAATGGCTCCTCCAGCGGTGCTTTCAAAGGCCGATCAAAGCCACCGAGTCTCCTCGCATGCATCCCCTGTCGCCGAAGTCACTTAAAATGTAGTGGTGAGAAGCCGCTATGCAAGCGATGTGCCGACAGGAACGGGGACTGTTTCTGGGTTGAATCCAGAAGAGGATACCGCGAGTTCAGAAAGCACCAGCCTGAGAGGTTGAGCAGAAATGATGCCATATTCAACGAATCGCAGGCCTCCAACCCCGAACCACCCTTTGTCGACGAGGCTGACGCCAGCAAAATCCGGGCTCTTACTTATGATGAGCTGTTTCCTGACGATCTGATAGACCCTACATTAGCTACGATGCCGCTCGAGCTGCAGACAATGCCTGGCCCCCGGGCCCTTGCCTCCAGCCCGGGTGGACATAGTGACTCAACCATGTCGCTACCTCGAGAGCCCAGATCAACAGGTGTCGCTAATGCAGGCGACGACTTGATCGAACTATTCTATAAGCATTTCTACCCCTGTCACCCTTTTGTCGCACCAAGGAAAATGTATCTCGAAGATCCATCCATTCTATCCAGGCCTCTTCGCATTGTCATCCACTGGCTTGCAAGTCACTATGTGCCAGGTACAAACCAGACTGCCCTTGAGAATGCTGCCAAGTGCATCTTTTCGGACGACATCCCCGATGATGGAATCAAGGTCCAGGGCCTCCTTCTCTATGCCATGACATGCTTCGCAAGGTTTGGTCAGGAAGAAGGAGCCAGCGCTCTCGGCCAGGCCATTGAGATCGCTTTGAGGATTGGCATGAATCGACAGAGCTTTGCCATCCAGCATGGCCGCAATGACCCGACGGTGCAAGAAATGTGGCGCCGAACATGGTGGACCTTGTTCATCATGGAGGGCACCGTTGTGGTTATGGGCGGACAGTCGCAGCCCTTCCGGCTATACTCAACCTTCAACGACGTCCCCCTTCCCGGGGACGACGAAGACTACAACGACCTTCGCGCCTCACCTTTGCCCCGTACCCTTTCCGACCTCCGCGACCGCATCATTTCCGAAGACACATACTCATATTCCTCTTTCGCGTACGCTGTCGAAGCAGCCTACATTCTTGGCTCCGTGCTTGCTTTGGAGCCCGACACCTTTGCCGTCACAGATCCTCAGGTGGAGGCCATTGATGCAAGCATCACGAATTATTTCCTCTCTCTACCTCCCGGCAAGCGTGAGGTCATTGGACAATGTGGGCGTATTGATGAATGCCTCCTTGTTGCTCACCTGCTGGTCAACTGGGCCGCTATCAGCCTTCATCGGCCTCGGTCGAGCCTGACCTTCATTCGCAATCACTACCGTACCACATGTACACGCGCTGAAGCCGCCGGTCTGCCGGCACTTGCGTACTCCTCACATACAGCAAAAGCCCTCCGAGCAGCAAACAACATCGTCAACCTCGCAACAGTTCAACATTCCATGTCTTATGCCCCACCGGTACTGGTCTGTGGCATCACCACGGCTGCCACGGTGCACCTGCCCGCATATGGCCTGATCGACCGTCCTGATCAGGCGACTGCGATCAAGGAACGCTTGCAAGTTGCCATCTCAGCGTTGGCTGCTTTTGGTGAAGTTTGGCCCCGGGCCAACATAGCCAAAAGTCAGGTGGCCAAGTTTGCGCGAGAATTACTCACCAAGCAGAATGTGTGCGTCGATAGTACAGGCCCAGAGATGATCCCGCGCATTGCCAATGATTCGATGCCGCAGCTACAGTACGACGTGGCCTTCAACGGCGAGCTTTGGATGGAGAATTTGATCGACAGTGATGCTAATGTTGGTGATGGGCAATCGTGCAACGTGCTTGACAACTTTGCCATGTCGCAAACACAAAGCACGACAGCATCGAGTATGCCAGCGTTGCAGACCGCCTCGTGATTTCAAGGCGCCAGGTGGAACTGCGTGACTGAATTTATATACATGGGGTATGATTGTTTGTATTCTAATATTTGACGAGTCATGACGCATGATCATGGGATGGATGCTTCGGGAATTTGGACTTACCTATAGGGTGGCGGTCTGGTCTGTTTGACTAGCGGTTTTCATGATATCCTTCTGACCTTCTTGCAACCGTTGATCTTATTCTCCTCGGCATGTGTTCAAGTACGGAGATGACCTTGTAAGCGAAGAGTGGCGATTCAACTGTTGCATCCTCTGCTCTGGTGCAAGTGTACCTACCATTAGTCTAATTTAACTGCATTCATTCTCATCTCCTTTACCATGCTGGCGATCCATTTTAGATCTAGATTCCGAATGACGCTGTTTGTGCTCAGTTTTACAAGACCCTGTTTGACTGCCGGTTGCCTGCATGTAGATGGCCTCCGTAGTTCGTTCTTGATTTATTCTTTAGCTACAAGATTGGGCGCTTCCTTGATCCTAGCATCTGTCACGTGCCTTGAGGACGAAGTCCACATATTGCAACAGACGACCATGTCTCAATGTCCGTTGTGATTACACGGTTGTATGCATTCTATTGGAATCAGGCGACGAAATCTCTCGTTATTCCTCAATCCGATGGTGGCCTTGAGTCTTGACTCAAAGACATGCCAGCCGTCAATTTGGCCCAAGACGGCAACTTCGACGAAGTCACTTGCCTGCTTCTCTTCTTCAATGTGCCATGCATCCGTTTGCTCTGACAATTAATCCTCACCTTGGAAGACAGTCACTCTTTGTTTTATCTTCTATTAAACAAATAATCAGCAGCCCCTACTAAACAAATATTCAGCAGCGCATCATCAGGGTCCAAACATTGATCTGGGAACACAACATAAGGCGTACACGTTGAGCCTGAATTTATCACACCGCATTCTTCTCCTTTCAATCTACATCTCGCTAGATACTTCCCCGACTTATCTTCTTACCGCAATCTCCTGTGAGATGGTGACTTGAATTTGAGAGAGAAATGCGCTTGACGTCCCACGCGGCCTTCGATTTCACTGCCTTTCCCTTCGCTCACTCAACAGTGGAATTGAAACATTATCAACGTCAATACGCTCATTCTTTTGTCACGTCCTCTTGACTCTGGCCTGTCTTCACTCCCTCGATGCAAAACCGGTGTCATTTAAGTGCCGGTTCATCCTACTTCCTCCGTTTTTTTGTGTCCTCACGGTATGGCAGCAGGAAACTGAGCCTCGAGTTTGGTCCTCAAAATGCGACCACAACATCGAACATACAGGAGATCCGAGTTTGTCCAGCCCCCTACAAGAGATGCTGGTGCTGAAGAATGGAGACACGCACCCTCTGTCAGATGTAGGCTGAGACGCTTGCCGAGAGGTACGACGACGCTTCAGATCCACAAGAATCTTCGGCGTTATGGCAATGTTGAATTCATCCGCATCGATGAAACACGACAAGGAGAATCTTCCAGGTCTGCGTTGGTAACGTTCAAGTAAGAACTCCCATTCAGAAGAGGCAAACGTCACTGACTATCCAAGGCCTCCCCCTGAACGTGCACCGTGGAAATCTGGCCTAGCTCGAATCCCGTTTGTCGTTGACCCGCGATGTAAAGATTCAAGTCCTACTGTCGAGGTTTTTGGCCCTGTCGAAGGACCATCCACGCAGACAATTGACTCTCCAGTCCGACCAGGTGTTAAGTATCCTACTGAAATCACTCTTCAGGCTGAGAGCATTGACTTCGGCTATCTTGAGCATCCAACGTCCATGATTGTCAAGGCCACAAGACAGAGCTCGGGCCCAGATGCTGTAAGAATTCAGCTAAATCTTCAAAAGCTCGAAATGCAGGTTCACTTTCCTGTCAATTTGAGGTCGAAAGGCTCATTTACTATGCGATCCTATCGTTTCATGGTAGCGTTGGACGACAAACTCTCTCTCTGTGAAGCCCCATCAACAACTTCGACTTCTTTGATCTTACACCTTGCACAACAACCCCTGTACTCGCGACAGTCAAGAGAAGCAATTGCAATGAGCCATTCCGACGACTCTCTCAAATGGCTTCAGGATGACACGTGGTTCCGCCAGACGGACATCGTCCACGATAAAGAGACATATTCTGTCATAGACAGCAGCCCTGTTTCGGCGATGAAATTGCACAACAGTATCAACATTGCGAGATGGACAACATTCCGTGTCAGTATCAAATCGACACCAGAGAGCTCAACGCGTCCACCACTGCTGCAGCAATTCCTCAAGGCTCTGCAGGACTTCAATGTTCCTGTTCGGCACAACCCTGACCTCAAAGTGTCTCATGACCCTAACTACTTGGCGCCTATCTGGGATTTACTCAATGCTAGAAATACTTCTCTATCTCTGGTCGAGGAGTTAGCGACAATCTATCTCCCATTCGAGGTCCGTTATCAACTCGAAGTCTGTTTGTCAAATGGCTGGCTGAATGAGTATACTCTGCACGAAGAGTTCCTGCAACGCTTGGCAGCTCTGCCATTGCATCGAGCCAAACAAACGTTGATTCACGTCGATACTTATCAACAACGAGTGTACAACCCAATGGACATCTTCACCGACCTTAGATACTCAAAGCCTGTCAGAGCACGGCCACTTCCGCCTAATTGTGTTGAGCTACATCATGCAACGGTGACGGCAACGGGGATCCTTTTTCATACACCTTCTGTGGAAGTCACAAATCGTATCGTTCGAAAGTACCTACGACAGAGTGACAGATTTCTTCGAATTCGCTTCGAAGATGACGTCTATCGTGGCCAATCACGTTTGTACCCCATGACGACCGGGAAAATGAAGTTGATATTTGAAAAGGTTCGACGAACACTCAAACATGGCATTGTTCTTGGGGACCGTCATTATCAATTTCTAGCTTGGGGTAACTCTCAGCTAAGAGACCATGGTGCCTATTTCTTTGCATCCATCAATGGTACCACGGCGGACACAATTCGCTCAGACATGGGAGTCTTCGAGCGTGAAAAGGTGGTTGCAAAGCGCGCTGCTCGCATGGGTCAATGTTTTTCCACCACCAGAGCGGTATCTGTCATGGGCAACGGGAAGTGGAAGAAACACCCCATTCCAGACATCTTTAATGAAGGGTATAACTTCTCTGATGGAGTGGGCAAGATCTCACTGTTAGCCGCACAACTGGTTCATTTCAATCTCAAGCTGAAAGGCCATGTTCCGTCAGCCTTTCAGTTTCGTATGGGTGGCTGCAAGGGAGTACTTGCCGTGGACCCGGAGCTACCTGGTGTGGACATCAAGATCCGACCAAGTCAATACAAGTTCGATAGTGCATCAGATGAACTTGAAATCATTCGGGTGTCCGAATTCTGGCAACCGTACCTGAATCGTCAACTTATTCTGGTACTGTCTCACTTAGGTGTACCAGATGCCGTCTTTCTGCACAAACAGGAGGAATGCATCCAAATTTTGGACCGGGCGTTGACAGATGATGACAGCGCTCTACACGCGCTGCGCGACACTGTTGACCCGAATCTAATGACGCTTAGCATCGCTTCTATGGTTGAGGCTGGCTTCCGACAAAGCCAGGATCCTTTTGTTACCTCACTGCTACGACTTTACAGAGCATGGAGCCTCAAATATCTCAAAGAGAAGGCAAAAATTCCCGTCAAACAAGGAGCGTTCGTGCTGGGCGTGGTAGATGAGACTGGGAGTCTTCGAGGATATACAAAAAGTGAGGAACCGCGCTACTCACATGACCGAAGCCATTCTAATCTACCCGAAATATTCATCCAATACACCGATCAACATACAGGGGAGCCCCGGATCGTCGAAGGTGTGTGCATCATCGCCCGCAACCCTTCCTTACATCGGGGAGATATTCGAGTCGTGAGAGCGGTGAACGAAAAGAAACTTCTTCATATGAGGGACGTCCTGGTTATGCCAAGTACTGGTGACCGCGATCTACCCAGCATGTGCTCTGGTGGTGATCTAGATGGAGATGACTTTGTGGTTATTTGGGACCCAGATCTTATTCCAACCGAATGGAATGCGAAGCCCTTTCATTACGATGCTCCGAGCCCTCGCACGAAGGATACGATATCCACAGACGACATCATCGACTTTTTCTGCGATTACATGCAGAATGATTACCTTGGTAGAATCGCCCACGCTCATCTTGCAGCTGCTGATTACCTTGACGACGGTATCCAAAGTGACCAGTGTTTGGAGCTTGTGAGACTTCATTCCATGGCGGTTGACTATCCGAAAACTGGCGTACCGGCTGTAATGCAGCGAGGCTTGGAACGCACCAAGTTTCCGCATTTCATGGAAAAGAAGAGATCCGGAGAGTACAAGTCTCACAAAATTCTAGGCCAGTTATATGATGCCGTCGAAAGAGTCAAGTTTGAACCAAATTTGGCGGGTGCATTCGATCAGCGCATCCTCTGTCACAAAACACCCCCTCAAGAAATCATGGATCTCGTGCGGCGACTCAAGAGAGAGTATGATGACAGCATGCGTCGCATTATGGCACAACATCAGATTGGTACGGAATTCGAAGTCTGGTCGACCTTCGTTATGCACCATAGCAAATCTGCCGGAGATTTCAAGTTTCATGAGGAGATTGGAGAGCACTCCAAGAACTTGAAGCAACAGTACTATGACGCCTTTGTTGCTGAGGCAAAAGGTCCTGAGTTCGAGAAACTGGTGCCCTTTGCGTTAGCAGCGTACCGCATTGCAAGAGACCAGCTACAGGACTACCTCGGAAGCAGAGAAAGTTTCGAAGAAGAAGACTTTGTCGCAACCCCGGCTGAAGTACCCTTCATCAGCTTCCCATGGGTACTACAGGACGTCTTGGGCAAGATTGCTAGGAGCACTGTTCTTGATATGTTTGCAACTGAAGTTGCCCGAGACGAACCCCTGAACGAACACACGCAGCAGCTGAAGGCTGTCATGGACAATTTCAACACTGGTTGGCATGATATTGGAGAATATCTTCCAGATCCTTTCGTGCCCCTGATTCCGACCAAGATTGAATCGCAAGAGCCAAATCAGGCAGGAAGCGAACAATCAGGAGCAACATTAGCCCTGACATCCGACGAAGAGATGATCAGCTTGTCGGGCATTCCAACTTCGGCTTCGAACACGTTCAGAAACCTTGAGCGATTCGCATTGTACACTTCAGACCCAAAACTACAAGAAAAGTCAATCTCTGAACAAAGCTCAGTAGACTTATCAATGCCGACTTCTACAACTTCGACCATGGAGAGTGCTGAGGTGAGCGAAGATGACGTCGATCCAACCACTTCAGAACTTTCCCTGGACATCTTGAGTAAAAATGCTGGAACGATGGCCCCGGATCGTTGCTCTGCGCAGCCGGAACCCGCGGGTCCTGCAACTGAGCAACAAGTCTTTAAAGACCCGACTTTGATGTCCAAGGATGAGCTGATTGCTTTCGGAATGGCCGATGACGAAGAAGAAGATTTCACCTTCTAAACAGAGTGCAGGAGACGTCGGCGACGACCACTCAGAACAATCCTCCAATTTTTACGACCGTGGCAGGTTCCGTTGTGGTCTACAAGGGCCGGGTTGTGTGCTACCATTGCGACGAGAGGCTAACCCCCCCGCAGAGCTATTCACTCAGGATTGATTTGGATAGCTCTTGATGTGCTACGATATGATTACTCTAGCGAGACGAATGAAATGGCAGGACACCATGGCATGAGCGCTGGAGTTCAGGACTTGAGACTGACCCTCTTCTTCAGTCAACGAAGGATTCTAGCAGTTGACAACAAGAAAGGTCTATATTAGAAAGAAATAAAAGATCTTGAAGTTCACCCCCAAACATACTGTTTCCAAGACGACGTAGCTTGCAAGGCACTTTTAGAGACTGGAGGAGCAATTCAAAGTGCCCAACTCTTTTACAATGCTGCGAGGTTTAGTAGAGCAGAAGTCGCAATGGCTCAAAAGGCAGAAGCACGAGTGATTTGAAATGCGCAGTTTCATCATCAGTTGTTGGAACTTCCTTTCGTATTTGACCGTGCCCATCTGGGACAAGACATGTTTATCTCAGCGTCCAAAGTTTTCTTGAAAGTTGTTTCACTCGCAATGACCAGCTGTAATCATTGCTCGATGAGTTCTTTGCCGATCCCGATATCCCTAGGGCCGATCCAGGAACACCGGGCCTGGCGAGGAACCACTGAGTTTTGACCAAGTCCGCTTTGTTTTCTTCCTTCAACAAGGGTTCCCCATTGGTGGCTTTCCTTTTTTTGTTGTTGTTCATTTTGTTTTCTTTGCCATTTGTCACCACTTGGACACGCGCACAGAGCAACACACCCTTGCCCTCCCCCGATTCCGATCCCCGTTCGTAATCACGCTTCTCGAGAGAAAAAGTAAAGAAACACTTCGCAATGCCATCCACACAAACAACCCCTTCCCAAAGTACTTTCGTCTAAGGGAAGGGTCGGTCGAAGCGACGAAAACCGCAACGTTCTTTGTTTAGATGTGGGTATCGTATGGTTGGGGAGCGAGGCTCTCGATCTCCTTCATGTCGACGGTGTGGGCTTTTCGGGGACCGACCGGCAGACGCTTGAGTTGGACAGACTCTCCCTTTTCCTTTGCTTCGCGACGACGTTGAGCGTTGGTCTTGACGCGGGTCAAGACTGTTTCATACACACACGCACACAAGTGTCAGTGAAAAATGTCCAAGGCTTCTTCGAGATGGACACATCTTTGGGCGTGTGCAAAAAAAGTGACTTACACTCTTCTCTCGATCTCGAGTGGGCAATGTGCTCGACACGGACGTTGACTCTCTTCTCCATGTACCGGTTGCCGACCTTCTTGTAGATGATGACCCCGACGGCCGACTTGGTGACGTTGTAGATGACGCCGGTCTTTCCGTGGTAGACCTTGTAGGGCATGCCCTTCTGGACGGCACCGTTGGCCTTGATGTCGACAATGTCACCGACACGGTACGTCTTCATGTACGTGCCGAGAGCGATCATGCCCTAGAAATTTTTGAGAAGAAATGTCAGTCTTTTCCATTCGTTCGGACATCAGTTGGTTCTCTTCCTGCGTCGGTTTATGTGTCCCTCTCTCTCTCTTTTCGTTTGCCCATCATCCATTCCCTCCTTTACATTGCAAAAAGACTTCGTGTTCGCGGGAAGATTGCGTACCTTTTGGCGAAAGTTGCGACTGAACGCATATCGCGTACCAGCCCGGAGACCTGCAGCGTGACCCATTGCGACGGATTAATTTATCGAGACTGGCAGGTTGGTGTGGGATGAGGGAAATGAAAAAGGTTGTCGTCGTTGTTGATCGTTGAATTGGAATTTCGTCGTTTGGCTTCTGGTGTGGTGTGCAATTCGGGGGGGCGCAGGACCAGAAAAGTGCCAAGACCGACCGTGATTGGAAGGGCACACACAATCTCACCAAAATCGATTTTTGTGTGTGCGTCTTGGCATTTTTGGGTCCCATCGACGCAAGCCCATCAATCGTTTCCGAGCGCACACCCACAAAACTGCGATTTTACCTTCTCATCCCACGACCACGACAATCTTTCGACAACAACAACAACTCGACAACTTCGTGACGAATCACTTGGTTGCGCAGGATCAATCGCAATCATGGCGCCACGATCTTACTCCAAGACCTACAAGGTCCCTCGTCGACGTAAGTTCAGCATCCCAAGCACCGCCCGCAATCGAGTAACCTGCGTCGTCGTCTGCTGTCACGATGGCGTGGGCGAAGGCGAAGGCGAAATCTGTTATTCAACCAGGCAGAGAACCAAGACTGACATTTTGTGCCTCCAGCATTCGAGTCGGCTCGTCTGTACGTTTTATATCCTGGCCACTGAGCATTAGCTTGACTGTGCTTCACGTCTGAGATATGTGTCTAACATTTGTGTGTGTGCGTCTCGGAATACAGAGACTCTGAATTGAAGATTGTCGGCGAATACGGTCTGCGCAACAAGCGTGAAGTCTGGCGTGTCCAGCTTACTCTGTCCAAGATCCGTCGTGCTGCTCGGTACGTGAAAAATTTACCACCACACACCCCTTTGGCCACAATGCGACATTTCGTGTTGCAAAAGATGCAGAAAATGAACAAGAAAGACGAAGAAGTGGACTAACATTCTCAATTTTTTTTTTCTCTCAATATAGTCAACTTCTCACCCTCGACGAAAAGGACCCCAAGCGTCTCTTCGAAGGCAACGCCCTCATTCGACGTCTCGTCCGCGTCGGCGTGCTCGACGAGTCCCGCATGAAGCTCGATTACGTGCTCGCCCTCAAGGTCGAGGACTTCTTGGAGCGCCGCCTCCAGACCTGCGTCTACAAGCTCGGCCTCGCCAAGTCCATCCACCACGCCCGCGTCCTGATCAAGCAGCGACACATCCGCGTCGGCAAGCAGATCGTCAACGTCCCCAGCTTCATCGTCCGCCTGGACAGCCAGAAGCACATCGACTTCGCCCTCACGAGTCCCTTTGGTGGAGGCCGCCCCGGCCGCGTTAGGAGAAAGAAGGCCAAGGCCGCCGAGTCCAAGGAGGAAGGTGACGACGAGGCCGCCGAGGACGAGGAATAGACGACGATGTCACGAGACCATCCGTCGTGGTCGGCTTTTGATACTACTGTGCCTTTCTGATCACACCCTCTGGTACCTGCCCCCCTTTTGCCGAGGGGTTGCCAGAAAGTGTGTGTGGATCATTATCACGATGGAAATAATGAGCCAAGGGTGACCACAGAAGAAGAACAAACCCGCAGACTACCAAGTATCTGCAAGGAAAAGTCATGTCACGTCGAGAAAGCAAGCGGGAAGGAGAACAATCAAACAGAAATGTGAAGATGCTTCTCATATTAGCAGTATCCTCAAACCACAAGCATTTCCAACTTGTTAGCTGAGGACAAATCAACTTGGTAGATACAAATTCAGAACATCTACTACCCAAGTAATCACGGCTGTTGTCCTTTTTCCCTTTTTCCCATAGTCGTACTGTTGGCTGCGTTTAGTACAGTAACTCTAAACCTGGTTGTCGAGATTCCCAAGTCTCTCTCTCTCTCGCTATCAGGTATCTTACAAAGCCATCCGTTCATTCTTGAAGGCCTCATTCGTCTTGGTACTCCGGTACTCCAATACCTAGTTGTCATTTCCAAATGCCTCGTACAGTGTCGTTATCAAGTCGTGTCGAATCCGTACCACATCAAATTCGTCCCATATCAATTACCCAAAAGCATACGAACTGATCGTGTCCAGCTACGCTTCCACATCCAACCCCAGGCCCTTCAGCACGACCTCTTGACTCCTGTACCACTTGCCCAACTCCTCGACCTCGTCCCTCCCACCGTTCTCTTTTCTCCGTTTCCCCTCCACGGCGAGCCTCACACTCTCGTTCCTCCTCCGATCCAGTTCCGTTAACTCGCGATCCACCTCTTCCAGTCTCGCGACTTTGCTCGGCACCTCCCTCTCCAACGCCCTGATCTGGTCTTCCACAGCCGCCATGCGGGAATTCCGTTCCTCGAGCGCCCTCCTGGTCTCGTCCAGGGACATGTTCATGCGCGGGTCACTCTCCCTCCGCTTCCCGTCCTCGCCTTGTCTCCGGGCCAACTCTCGCCTCAGCTCTTCCACCTCGTCCCTCAACCGTTCGACTTCTGGGCTTGCGCGGTCCAACTCCCCGATCTTGGTGTTGACGTCTTCGTAGACCCCGGCCAGCACCCTCGCCTGGGCCTCCATGTCCGCGACGAGCCCGTCGACGGTCTGTTTCTTGTCCTTCAACTCGACCTTCATCTCACCCAGACGGGCCTCGAGCGCGGCGTTTTCCTCGTGGCCCACCACGCTCGGCGGGTCTCCCACGATGCTCCGCAGGTATTTTTCTTTCGTGACTTGTTCGAGGTAACTGAAGCGAAGTTTGGAAAAGAGGTCCTTGTAGTGCGCCAGGTCGGCCGCGAGAGATGCCGGCGTCAGCTGCAGTGAGGAGGTGGAGGTGTCGGCCATGGTGTCTGCTGCTGCTGCTGCTGCCGCCGCCGCCGCCGAGGAAGAGGCATTGTGGTAAGAGGAAGAAGTGGACGCATCGGATCTGCGACCAGGCTCAAACTGAGATTGTGCTTGTGCTTGTGACGCGGTGATCGGTTCGGCCAGCGCGAGGATCGAGAGTGGTTGATCGGCTTGTTGGGCCCGGAGAGTCGAAAGCGTCGAGGCGTAATCGGGTGTCGACATTTTTTCGTAGATGTGAAGGTTCAAGCACACACAATACACATGAAAATCTGGAAAGGTGAGCGAGGTTTTGCTGGTGCTCGTGGTCGCGGTGGTGGTTCTTGGTATCGCGATGGGAGTTTCTAAACCAAATACTCTCGACAGGGAACAATGTAAATAAAGCGTCACGTGATCGTCAATTTGTTCTCTTCGGAGCGCAGGACGAGAACTACAGATCACAAAATCCGAGGTAGGGAAAGAAGCCAAGTGATGTTCATCATGAGATTTGATTGGTTTGTAATCGACTCTACAATTGATATACAATGTCTTCTGTTGTACATGATATGGGGCCGGAGAAGGGTATCAAGCGCCCTCATCCTGAAGTGCGCCAAAACCCAAGAGGAGACTTTTGTTGACATTAATGACACCACCACATGCAGCGTCTATCTTGACGCCGAGGTATTAAATGGTAGTAATTTGATACAATGTTCATCATAGGTAGGAGAGGAGATGTCGCATCACGATGTCGTTCCGAACAATCGCAGTATGATTTCGTACCTGAGTCGAATGTTAGCAATTGGTGTAACCAAAAAGCGGAAGAATACTCACGTTCCAAACATGATCGCAGCACTAGGCACAGCCCGGAGCAGATGCGGCGTCATTCCTCCATACAACCCGGCCATACCTTCCTCCTTCGCGACCAGTCTGAAGCACTGAACAAGTCCGGTGTACTTGACAGTCGCCTTCCCAGTTTCACTGATAACGGTTGGAGCCTGGCGTAATCTCGTGCGAACAACTTCGTGGGGATATGTGATCGCAGCAGCAACACCCTTGGCACCAGCGGCAGCAGTAAATTTCCCAGCCCATTCCTCTGTGTCGTCGAGCCACGTCCGCACATATCCTGGTGTGTTCAGACGTCTGGCCTCCCGTCTCGCCAGGGAAAGCTTTAATCGTTCGTAGAGTACCCATTGCAATGTGGACTCTGTCACCCCAAGATATGACGCCGAAAGACCTCGATAAAGGCCCCTTATGCCTTCGTGTCTGACGGTCTGTTTGATGCAATCCCAGCTATTCTTGTATTGCCTCCCACGGGTCGGGTCGTTGGTTGCATGGTTCTTGTCCAATTGTAGTCTCGTCTTGACAAGCCAGATGGGGTTGGTGGCCGTGCCTGTGGCAATTCCAGCAATGGCTGCCGCTGCAAGATGTACACTCCAGACATTCTCTCGTCCTTCTGGATTGAAGTAGTTATTTAAGATTCTCTTGCCATTTCCATAGACGTAGAAATTAATACTCCGCGCAGGAACGACACCGATCAAGTTTGCGCCTAAGCCGCGGAACAATGCTCGGAACCCTTCATGTTGGTGTATGGATCGTAATATTTGTACAGTTTCTGCAATGTGGAAGAAGGCGGATCGGGGGATGGAGGTTAGGGTAGTCTTTTGAGGATAACGGTGCTGCGCATGTAGTGTTCGTAGTTGTGCCTGGTAGAAATCCGATTGTAGCCGTGTTTTTAGGACGTCAAGGGGCGATGTCAAAGCTGCTGCAGTCATACCACCAATTCTATCAACCCATCAGTCATATTCAAGGACCTTCACGTTGATGGAGAGGCGACTTACCCTCCCGCAACGAAATGGGCCCATGGCTTAGCCGCAGGCTTGCCTTTTGTCACCGACGTAGCATCGTCATCGTGGCCTGTTGGTACCACCTGCCCAATTTCTTGGGCCTGTGGTAATAGATTTTCTTCTCCTTTTCGTGTACCTGGAAAAGGCTTCGGAGTAACCGTCGAAAAGGTCATGAACGTTGCAGGGCCCGAAAATGCAAGGAGTGTAAAATTCTGTCGTGAGCAAAGCGTATGTAGATGAATTAGTGTACAACCTGAGAAGCGAATGAGAATGTAAAGTAATGAGGCGCGACGAAGCAAAACGTGGGTGATGAGAGAAACGAGGCAGTGAAATCTAGAATTTCCTCATAAAAAGCACAAGGCTAAAAATGCGACGTCGACAATGAACAAATGCGTGACACAGTCGGAGGTTTCGATTTGGAGAAGCCGGATTATGTAAGTATGCCACGTGATATACCACGTGACAAGGCTCCAGGCCACCGATCTTTCGTCTCGGTCTGAAGATGCTCCATGTGAGAGGTATGAGGAGCATGAGGCTCATGAATTCACTGTTGAGATACCTTGGACTCATACTCGTCACAATGTTGACTGACCTTTTTGTGCATTTTTGTCAGAATTGTCGAGGTTTCGTCCTGCCGAGGTGTCTCGGCCTCCCTAGGGCTTGACTTCAGGGTGCAATTCCACCGGAATCTCCTTACTCTTTACTCTGATAGTTCACACCGAGGAGTAGTTTCCGGTGGATTTTGTTCCGCTTCCCTTGCAAAGACAACTGGCTCGCGTCGGACGCGATTGACTTGCAGGTTGAAAACATCCAATCTTTGATATCCACCCACGACATCATGATATTGTTTTCCCTCAACACACTTGTTCAAGTCTAGCTCGGCTATCAGGACGCCTTCTTCGTTCTTCAAGCAAAGACCTTCGCCCGGGACATCAGTGGATGGCCAAACTATGCGTGATTTGATCAATTGGCCGTTGGGGTCGAGGAATTGGGTTGTTGCCTGCGGATAGCTAGATAGAATCTTGGTTGTCCATTCAGCATCAGAGGTCATCTCTGCAATGCCCTGGATGCACGCTTGGTCGAGCAGTCCGGCACTTTGTATCCCAAAACACTTGGCTTCAAAGCAGTGCGCCGCCGCTCTGATCGTGTTAGCATTCACGTTGTCATAGTTGCCGGTTCCAGGCGTAGTTTCTCCTTCTACAGGCAACCTTGTCGGCCAGATAGCTGGCCAGCTCGAAATATGGACTTGCTCCCCTTGTGCCATAAGAGCATATCTGGCCAAAGGATTGGTGTTTTCACCGCATACGAGAGCTCCAATCTTTCCCAACCGCGTGTCAGCAACTCGGAGACCATGGCCATCACCCGGAGACCAGGTCAGCTTCTCAAAAAAGGTCGGCATCAATTTGCGGTGATGAACGAGGATTTGACCATCATCTCCAATAATCAAGTTCGAGTTGAACAATGTTGCAGAGCTGTAGCGAACCTTCTCTGAGATGCCCAGGCTGACCACAACACGCGACTGCAAAGCGGCCTGCTGTATAGCCCTAATCTCCTCACCGTCAACATACACCGATTCCTCGGCCATGTACCGAAAGAAGGCATGGCCATTGGCAGGTGCAATTATTGACGACCAGTAAGGGAATCCGGGGATGGACGACTCGGGAAAGACGACGAGTTGGGCGGAATTCTGAGCAGCTTTCCTCATAAGCCCAATGGTCTTATCGGTGGTCTGTCTGGCTGAGCCGAAAACAGGTGCGAGATGACATGCAGCCGCCTTGAACCTTGGTAGAGCCATCGCCACTCGAGACCACCACCAACATTAGGATAGCCTTGTCGCAGAGAAGTAGCTGAGACAGACCTTAGCCGTAGGATAGCCAATCCAGCAGTAATTCGCCGGGCCACTCGTGGTCTGATATGGGCTGCGTCGGTGAGCATGGAGTGATGTACTCGGTCTGGGGTACCAACAATGCCCCATATTCGACGAGCCTTAGCCGTCAATCCACTTTAGGGTGTATTTTCAGGCTCTCGAGCAATCGGAAGCTCTGACTGTTGTTGACATCTTGGTCGAGTTACCGCCACCTCCAATTCAGTCTTCATGCCTCGGCAATTCGGAGATGTCTCTGCATCACCTTGGACCTTGAAAGGAGCTCACAACGTCTCGAACTCATCATCAACTCCATTATAACCATACTATAATTCATTTCCAGATCATATTGCCCCTGCTTGTTCATTCTTATCCCATCGTCTCCCCAGATTCTTCCTCCTCCTTTGACTCAAAAATGTCTGTTCCTTACCTCATCAACGGGCCCTCTGGGCACGTCCCGGCATCTGAAAGAATTCCCGTTATTGCTCGACCTTTTGTCAGTGAACGGGCGAAGAAGACATTGGATCTGGTAAGCATCAAGGAATGTCTCATGAGCTAGTCTGGTCGATCCTTACATTTCCAATTCAGGTTGAAAGATTTGTCGAGGAAGATTGTATTCCTGCCGATGATGTGTTCAAACAACAGATCGGCGAGGGCACCGTCGCTCGTTTTGATTCTCACCCTCAGATCATCGAAGATCTCAAAGCCAAAGCTAAGAGCCTTGGGCTATGGAACATGTTCCTACCTAAGAACCACTTCAAGGAGGGTGCTGGCTTCAGCAATCTTGAATATGGCTTGATGGCAGAGTACCTCGGCAAGAGTGTGACCGCCAGCGAAGCCACGAATTGTGCCGCTCCCGACACTGGCAACATGGAGGTCTTCGCCAAGTATGGTACCGAAGAACAGAAGAAGCAATGGCTTGGTCAGCTGTTAGATGGCAAGATCAGATCAGCATTTCTTATGACTGAGCCCCAGGTGGCCAGCAGTGACGCTACCAACATCGAACTCAACATGCGTAAAGACGGGGACTACTGGATTCTTAATGGACAGGTACGTTTGTCACTCCCAATGCACTCCCAACTTGTACTGACATCTACCAGAAATGGTGGTCTAGTGGTGCCGGTGACCGCCGCTGCAAGATTTACATCGTCATGGGCAAGTCGGATCCAAACAACAAAAATGTCCACAAGCAACAGTCGGTCATTCTGGTCCCCGCCGACACCCCAGGTATCACAATCCACCGCATGTTGTCAGTCATGGGCTTCGATGACGCACCACACGGTCATGGACACATCTCCTTCAACAACGTTCGTGTACACAAGAGCAATATGGTTCTCGGCGAGGGTCGAGGTTTTGAAGTCGTTCAGGGTCGTCTTGGGCCTGGCAGAATTCACCATGCCATGCGATCTGTTGGCGCTGTATGTTCTAAATTTCCCCTACTCCTTTAGCCCAGCGATACTAACAATGTATGAATAGGCGGAAAAGGCTTTGGAATACTTCCTTGCGCGCTTGAACGACCCGGCCAAGCGACCTTTCGGCAAACAACTCTCCGAACACGGCATCATGCTCGAACGCGTGGCAAAGTCACGTATCGAGATTGACTCCTCTCGTCTAGCTGTTCTCAACGCCGCCATCAAGATCGATCAGTCGAATGCCAAGGATGCGCTCAAGGAGATCTCAGAAGTCAAGGTGCAAGTGCCTGCGATGTTGTTGGACGTGCTCGACCGTGCGATCCAAGCATATGGAGGTGCTGGCGTGTCTCAAGATACACCCCTGGCCGGTATGTGGGCTAGTGGCCGGACGATGCGAATCGTGGATGGCCCCGATGAGGTGCACATGCTGCAATTGGGACGGAATGAGAACAAGCGCGGTGCCAACCTGTTGAAGAGGATCCAGGCCCAGAAGGAGAAGACGAAGGAGTTGTTGAAGAAGTACGGTTTGCAAGAGCAGGATGTCTTGCAGCTCAACAGAGTCAGCGGTGGGAAGTCGAAGTTGTAAATCATCTGCATGAAACATGGTGCAGTATCATCCACTAGCTGATGGAAATTGATGAGCCCATTACGTTTTTCTGAACTGGATCTTGCCTTGATTGTGAGTGGGTTGTCTCGTTCTTTTTTCCGATTCAGCTCGTCTGTGCGAACAATGCGGCCATGCTGTAGATCAAGATGATGTTTCTGAGGGAGCCTCGTCTTCCCTTACACGTGAACCAGACAACATTCTAACTCGCGGCACCCCAAATGTCGCGGATTTGCGCCGTCTGACGAGTCATCAACTGACAGGAATGTGTTGACCAACCCTGCAGATTCTTTCTGTTACTCTATACACATCGAACTGTGGAGTGTGACCGTAAAGGCCAATATGGCACCGAGTAATGTACAATGTTTAGCTACTGTTCTCTCGACGCTGATCATCAGAGCGGAATCCAAATAATGGTCAGACTGACAGGCTTTACTCATATAATATCTGGACGGATCGCCCTGGATCTGGACATCAGACGTCGATCATGAAGCTATACTCCGTATCAGGCGCGACATTAACCTTACTGTCCCGGTGGAAACGTCCCTCTTGTAGTGGTGTAACATCGATGTTGATGTTGCCAGTGTTACCAACGAGCCAGTAAGAACACCAACAGAGACGTCCCCAGCTGAACACTGCAATCAGGCCCCGTTGAATCTGAGACCGCGTCTCGACTAAACCTAGTCTCACCTTTTGTGGCGTGAGTCTTTGCTCGCAAGCATACGGGCGAAGATCAGTTTGTACGAGTACGAGCAGTCGTGTCGACGACGCAGCTCGCATGCAAGCGATACCTTGTCGAAAAGTACAGTAGTCTTCGGCCGTTGCAGACGAGCCGGCCAGTCTCCACGAATATCGAGCCTTGAAGTGGACAACGAGTATGCATGCACTCCCCGTACAGGATCCTCTTGTTGGTCAAAGGTGACAACGCCAGGACCAAAAGATCAAGTCAGAGGGAACGATGCCGCGCTGATTAAGATGTATCGTGTGGAGAGGAAATGGGGAAGAAATTGAAAATACTCTGTACGCGAGATCGTAAGGCGCATGGAAGAGGAGGACTTTCTTCGTATACGAGGCTGGGATTGTTCGGGTTCCGCAGTGAGATGACTAAAGACTTTCGCTTGTAGATAGATACCTGACGACACCAACCACCATCGCCTCACCCAGCACAACCCCCAGCTTTCGGTGCAACGTTTCTTCTGCATCTTACCCAGCCGCATCCCAGTCGTCTTCCTCACAGTACCCACCGATTACAAACAGTCTCTTCGGAGTGGTCGAAGAGCCGTCAACGGGATCCTCTTTACCTCGCCTTGACTACCACGAAGAGGCATTCAGTCAGAACTGCCTCAGCCCACCTTATCTAATCCTCGTCATGCAAGTGCGGGAAACCAAGGGGTTGTTGAGGTCTTACGGCGACCCACGATCCTTCTCTCAAGACCATCATTCGCTGCCTCTCTTCACCTCTTTGCCTTGCGGTGCGGACCTTGGGATCTTATTTCTTCGCTTCTTCGCTTCTTCGCTTCGTACATTCTACCTAATCCAATTCTGACCAGGTATCGGATCGACATCATTCAGTCTACCACACACTTGTGTCTAAGCGTTCTGACACTCGTTACACCGTCGGCGTACAACGGCATCAACACGGCGACTTGAGCCTTGTTTCCGGCCGCTCGCCACGCGTCCAAAGATCAGGAGATGGACCAAGGACCCGTCTACAGGCCCATGCGCCCTACACTTCTGAATCATTGACCTGGGATGGACTATTCTCCGCCCTACGGAGAAGCTCGCTCTTCGAATGCTGTTTTTGGAATGCGCTGATCATCATCATCATCAACCCGAGCCTTTCCCCCTGCGAGGCTAAATTTATAAGAGAGTCAGATGTTCCGTCAACAGACAGTCCTAGACCCCCAATGGCGCCCCACGAAGTACCCAAGCATTCGGTGTCGAAAACGAAACAGGAACGCATACGTGATAACCAGAGACGAAGTCGTGCTCGCCGTGCAGAGTACCTAGCCGAGCTGGAGAGGCGTCTGAAAGAATGTCATGGTATTTGTCGCGAGGCAGATTTGCAACGCCTAGCCTTTGCCGACCTCCAAGCCGAGAACACTCGACTACGGACTCTCCTAAGCAGCGCCGGACTCGACCCGGATGCAGCTGGCTCTTTGTCTCAATCTGGAGTACCTTGTGCTCGCGGCAACATCACAGCAGTTTCGAATCGGAATCTCAAACCCAAGTTCCAACATACCGATATGCATCAGTCAAGTTCTGTGGCACAATACAAGCAGGAATACGAACGCTCTCCTTGCCCAGTACCATCATCGTCCTTGTTCGATGCGAACCAGACCACTGCCTTCCCCGAGGTTTGTCTTCCGTACGACAACTACCGCAACTATCCTTTGGCCTTGAATGACTCTTCCTTGGCACCAACGCCCCCATATTTGGTCAACACATCCCCGTCTCCTTCATACGAATGGCTGCTTGGCCCAGATGTGGTTCGTTCCACAACGTCCAGCGAGAGTGGACTGGGCACTGACCTCTTTCACGACCCCTGTGTTTTGCCCCTTCTGCCAACCACCGAGGGCATGATATCATCCTCAGTTACGAGGGGTGTGCGTGACCAAGACGAGCCTGAGCTCTCAGAAATGGACGGAATGCAGGCACGAGAATCTCGTTCATTTGGTCGGTCGATGTTCTCGTTTGCTGACCGTCAGGTCAATTCACAGGTTCTATTTCACTTACTCAATGAGATGAATTCGAAGCGACACATTCGGAAGAATCCATTGATGCAGCCGTGAATGAAAGATGTCTTGAACTCTTACGCCGCCCAGTTCTTCCTGCGCCCGTACCATTTGACCACATACACCAGACCGAGCAAGACAGGTACCTCTATTAGTGGGCCCACGGTTGCAGCTAGAGCCTGATCGCTGTTGGCCCCATATGTCGCAACTGCTACAGCAATGGCCAATTCGAAATTGTTGCTTGCGGCGGTGAAGCTCTGTGTACACGCCAGTCGATAGCCAAACCCGAACCTTCTCGTGATCACCAAGGTCAAGCTGAATATGACGGCAAAGTAAACAACGAGAGGCGCCGCGACTCGGACAACAGAGACAATTTGATGGACGACCCGCCGACCTTGCGACCCGAAGAGGACGATGATCGTGAACAAGAGACCGATCAAGGACAGAGGGCCTATGACCTTCAAAAAGACCTTTTTGTACCAGTTGTTGCCGAACAGTTTGCGCAGTGTAAAGCGTGTGACAATCGCAGCTGCCAATGGAATTCCCAGGAACACACCAACACTCTTTGCAACAGGAGCGTAATCGACATCGACGTCCTCTGTAGAGTGGCTGATGTCGACAATGAAGAGTACCGCAAGAGGTGCGAAGAGGACCATTTGAAGTAGCGAGTTGATGGCGACGAGAATTGCGCAATACTCATTGTCACCCCCAGCTAAGCCGGTCCAGATCAGGACCATGGCTATACACCTAGCGATTCCTACCAGGATAAGACCCTCGCGCAAGGCTGGCTCATCGGGAAGAAACGCCCAAGCCAGAGCAAGCTGCAAGTTTTGTCAGCACAAGCACCTGAGGCCGTAAGAAGGATCCGGTACCATGAACAGGGGAGCAATGATCCAATTGACAACAACGCTGAAGGCGACTTGCACCCAGAGTTGTTTTTCTTTGAATGAATGATGCAATGTCTCGAACCTGACTTTGCAGAGGATGGGATACATCATGACGAGGAGACCAACAGCTGTAGATGAGATCAGTACTTGAGCAACTTTGATGGCAATGTCGGCCTACCAATTGGGATGGATACTCCTACAAACTCTCCCCGTTGCAAAGCCGGGCCGGTGTTTGGGACGAAGTTTCCCAGCAGAATTCCTATGAGCATTGCCAGAAATATCCACAAAGCCAGAAATTGATCGAGAATTCCCAGGCTCTTGAAGACAGAGCTCTGAACTGGTGGATTGTTTTTGTCTTGATTTTGCTGCTCGACATCGTCTGGTATGCTTGTGGAGGGTTCTACTTCTGCAGCAAGTATGGCTTCTTTGTTTTGGACATCCATAATTTCAGAGTAGCGAAGAACAAATTTCTGAGTGGCCTCTATTAGATAGTAAAGAAGAAAGCTACCAGCAAAGTACGTAGATCTTGCAAAGACAAAAAGCTCAAGAAGTGGCATTGTCGACAGAAAAATGTCGTGCCTCCATCAGCCTCAGCAGCCAATCGCACTTCAGACGTGACACATCTGAGAAAAACCAGCTGGCGATGCCGTTGCTGCACTTTGGTATCGCTGTACCGAAGGACGATAGGTCATGATCATCCGATGATGACGGCCACAATTACCCAACCCATTAATTGATGACCCTTTCCGAATATTTCTAAACATAGAGAAATCAAATTGCAGGATCACAATTGCTTTTATTGTTGCTGGCCTCGTCCTGCTTCAACCTGCTTCCCGTGACTGGGAAACTTGGAGAGGAAAAAGCGGCATAGCGCAGGAGTCACGGGTTGTTTCATTGCCAAGGAACTTCTCCAGTTTATTAGGCGGGGTCTGTGGTGGTGTTGAGTGCTCCATTAGCCCAATAGTAGACACCAAAGGGGCCTATAGGGGGTCTGTCACGCCTATAAGCGACATCGCTAAGTGCCTGTAAGGGGCCCCTGCTGGGGTTACGCAGCTGGCCTAACTTGTTACAAGGAAAATGCCGTCATTGTGCCCTTGGGGTGCGTCGGCTGACCAGCTGCTCCTCCAACAACTGCGCATTTGAGGTTCTGATCGAACTTCATCTCTCTACTACCACTACTACCAGACATCTCCCTTCAGTCAGTTTTGTCCTCGTCGGGCGAGTGGTGTCTTTGGAGGAAGTTTTCATATACTTGCATTGTTCTTCACACACACAATCCTCCTCATCATGCGGCTGGTTTCCGCATGGGCAGTGCTGGCAGCTGTCCTCCCCGCCGTTGTCGACTCTTCTCGCTTGACTCCCCCCGTCCTGCCTCTGGTGGTGCGAAACCCGTACCTGAGCACATGGCTGCAGAATGCAAGAGACCCGCCGTGGGAGAGGTGGCCCATGTTTTGGACTGGTCAAGAAATCGGCTTTTCCGTCCTCGCCAGTGTCGCGGAGCCGCGAACGGTTTTCCCTCTGATGGGAAGACCGCAGGACTCGCTGCGGAGCGAGGGTGACAAGTAAAGACTGCCATTGCCACATATGCTCAAGAGAGAGAATCTAACTCTTATACAGCTATACGGTCTCTTATCCCATATACCATGGCGCCCAGTACGATGCTTCGACCACCAACCTGTCCTATTCGCTTCCTCTTCCATCGTCATCATCTGCGTCGAGCCGTATAGAAATTACGCTGTCGTTCTTGTCCCCTATCACCCCTACTTCTACTGTCCGACAGTCTGTGCCAGCGAGTTATTTGACTGTCTATGTATCCGGCAATGTGGGTGTTGATATCTACGTCGACCTGAACGGCCAGTGGGTGAGTGGGGACAGAGGCAGCAAGATAGTCTGGGGACTTGACCAGAGACCATTGGATGGTATGGGCAAAGGCTTCAAGACATGGCAGTTCCGGAGGGAGGTTGAGCAGCTATTCACTGAGTTTCAAGATCGTGCCGAATGGGGTACCCTGCACTTCTCTGCTCCTGGGAATGTTCGACATGAGGTCGGCACATCTGCCCTTCTGAGGCAACGCTTCTCAAGGACCGGAACCCTTCAGAATGCTGTCGACAATAACTTCCGCTCCATCATGGACCAGGAACCGGTCTTTGCTTTCTCAAAGAGCTTCCCGATGAACCACAGCACAGCATCTACCCACCAGGATAGCGTCACCTTCACAATTGCCCACATCCAAGATCCTGTGGTACAATTCGCTGCTGCGCGGGGACTGACATTCATGCGACCTCTATGGGAGTCCTATTTCCCAACCGTCGATCAACTCCTCACATTCCACTATCTGGACTTCCATTCGGCAAAAGAACTGGCGTCTAACTATTCTGCGCAGCTAGCCATTGATGCTTACAAGTCCGGAGCTGAAGATTACGTCGACATTGTTGCTTTGTCTGCTCGACAAGTACTGGGTGCGACGAGTTTCTCCGGCACTCCTGACAATCCGATCCTGTTCTTGAAAGAAATCTCTTCCAATGGAAATTTCCAAACCATCGACGTCATCTTCCCTGCTTTCCCTTTCTTCTTGTACACCAATCCTAGATGGCTTGGCTACGTGCTTGAACCTCTAATCGAGCACATGCTGAGCGGGCAATATCCCAACAAGTACGCCATGCACGACCTGGGTACTCATTTCCCCAATGCAACTGGTCATCCGCTTGGGCGGGATGAATACATGCCGGTAGAGGAATGTGGAAACATTCTCATCATGGGCCTAGCATTGGCAAACTCGCTCAAGAATGGCGGCAACACTTCAGTCTCGGCCACTTGGCAACCCATGGATGGAGTGCCAACGCCAAAGTCGTCAAGCGATAGCCTCGCGCCTCTGTCGGTCGGTACCCAAGGCGGTCTTTCCTACATTGATGACGCATATGTAGGCCAATCCGAAAGTATCCGCAAAGCTAAGAAATGGGTGAGCAAGAGTTATCGGTTATGGAAGCAGTGGACTGGTTATCTGGTTGAATTCTCCTTGGAACCGCATAACCAGCTATCGACGGACGATTTTGCGGGCTGGTTGGCACTACAGACTAACCTTGCCTTGAAGGGAATCATCGGTATCAAAGCAATGGCAGGCTTGTCTGAGCTCGTCGAGAACCACGAGGACGCAAAAGTCTACAATAATATTTCCAAGGTTTACATCGCCAGATGGGAAGAGCTGGGTATCTCGCGGGACAAGACTCACGCCAAACTCGCGTACAACTGGTACGGTTCCTGGACGACTACGTATAATCTATATGCCGATAGCCTGCTGTGCTTCCACCTCGGCAACAACAGTTCGTCTGAGCATGATGTGGTCGACAGCGTACCGAGCAGCATCGGCGGTCGCTACGAATACCAGAACCCACTGAAAAAGGGCAAGGGTATCCAAGGTGACAAGGATGGGTTTGTGCCCAAACACGTCTATCAACTTCAGAGCGACTGGTACTGGGCCGTGCGGCAAAAGTACGGTCTGCCTCTGGACTCGAGACATTTGTACACCAAGACCGATTGGGAGTTCTTCGCCATGAGTGTCGCGGCGCCCAAGGTGCGCGCCGGGATTCTACAGAGCGTGGCAAAATGGGTCAACGAGACTGCCACGGACCGTCCATTGACCGATCTTCACATGACCGAGGGCCGCGGGGGGTTCCCCGGCCCCAACTTCTTTGCGCGTCCCGTCGTGGGTGGCCATTTCGCCTTCCTCACCCTCGGGCAAGCGTGTGACGGAAAGGCGATGGACGGCTTGAAGTTTTTGGATGATGCCGTGACAAAGGAAGACTCTGGATTGCTGGATGTCCCGAGTATCTTGGATAGAGAGAGACTCGAGTATGAGGCCGAGTGGGGAGGTTTGGAACTGTGAAGGAATTTTGTGCCGAGGACGTGATATACGTACCGAAACTAGCTACTGAGGCATATATGGACCTTGAGTGGTATGATTTCGTCAAGTTGTCCCTCTGTGGCTGTATATGTCTATAGGGAGGTATATACGAATATTTATCGTCTATCACAGTCACAATTACCATAACACCATTCGCGCCGTGATCATATATGGGTACCTATCATTGTCTACCAGTATCAACAAGTATGGCTATCTATTGTAGGTTCCCATATGTATCTAGGTAGGTACCTGGTCGCTTCCCAAAAAAGGGAAAAATAGACTCAAACAGACTTCCAACATTGTGTCAAGAAACAAAAAACTTCTTCTCCAGTCGTCTGGAGAGGTTTACGCATGGTATATCCACCAACCTCAAAAACACATCTGCCGCCCAGATGACGGCCAAGACGATCAAAATGGACGCTGTCAAAAAGTCGAGTTCGAATCGACGCATGATTTCGGGTGTTTCGTGGATGGGTGTTTTCGGAAGGATCTAAATGACACAATCAGTGTTGGCCTTCGTTACCACAAAATTGACGCCGACAGAAAACAAAAAAAAGAGAGACATACCGAATATCCCAACGTGTGTATAACCGGACCGTGCATGACATACAACGGGAAACTGATCTTGCCGAGATACTGTACAGGACCAAAACAAAACACCCTATCGCGCAGTCCTCTCAATCGACAAGAAGACCATATAACCATGACAGCACCTATGGTCGGCCAGAAGCGATGTTTCTGTGTGAACGCGGCCGGGATCAGCTTGGTGAGCGTGATGTAGCCTGGTGTCGCGTGGCCGGCAGCGTCCGGGTACGAGAGGAGGAACAACGACACAACAAACATGAGTCCGTAGAATATCTCAGACATGGCTCGGTTGCATTCTGGGTGGTCGGTAGGTTTTGAACCTGTACAAGAAAGATCGCCATCGGATGTCTTGCTGAGCCTTTTGATGTCCAATTCTGCAATGATCGCTCCAGCCCAAAAGGGACACAGTTCCCATCGATCCCACGATACTCCCCAGACTATCAACGCTGAAAGGGTCAAGACGCGAAACTTCGTAGACATTCTTGACACCATCATATGGCTTAGGAAAAGGCCCAAGCTGCAACGAAATTCGGCAGGAATGGTCCATAGGTGGCGGTCGAGTTCGATTGAGCCGGCATACAGCGACCAGTTGAACACATCAACAAAGATGTGCATCTGTTGTAGCCAGTCGGTGAACTGCAGCCAAGGGTTGGGCTGGGTGTAGCAGTGGTCCTCGCGTTGCATGCGCACCTGATTCACAAAGACCTCGGTTTTCTGGTACAAGCCGAGTTGAGCTAGACATATGACTAGAAATGTCGAGGCGAAGCAAGGTAAGAACAGTCGGAGGCCACGGCGGAACATGGCCGAGCTCATACTGGTCATGAGTTGTTCATGATTTTGCAATCGCATCAACTTGATGGGTTTGCAGCTGAGAGCATAGCCGGAAATGACGAAGAAGATGGCGACCATCGGAGGGCCACTGTACAATAGTCGAACGACGGGAAGACGGAAGAATTCCTTGTTGACATTGTCGGCCTGGTCATGGGATTCCGGATCAGGGTCTGCTCCCCAAGCATGACCGATCTCGAACGTGCCGTAGGTCAAATGGCATATGAACACAACAAAGGCGGCCAGTCCTCGCATGCCATCCAGGAATGCCGTTGGTGGGAGGCTGTCACTCTTGCCAGAGGTATGTTGCTGGCGAGGCTGAAGAAAACTCGGCAGCAATATCTGTAGTATATGACCGAGTAATCGACCAACGTGCCGGAAGGGAAGACATGGCCAACTGAGGAGGATCTTGTTGGCTGGCGGATTCTTCAGCCAAGCTGTCGATGTTGAACGTTGGGCTGCTCGATCGTCATGAAAGTGGTCGTGTTTCTCGTCCAGGAGACCGACTCGAGACTCATCCGTATTTGATAGTGAGGAATCGCTGCGTCGCATGATTTTGAGAGAGGCACATCGACATTGCAAGACTTGAGGAGGCAAATAGAAAACAATCCGAGACACAAACAGTGGCCTGGGAAGGCACAATCACTCAATCACTCACCTCAATCACCACAGCCACCCACGGCATGTGGTGGGCAATCACGTTACGGAGTCAGAGGAAACAAGGTGCACATGGGGAAGTTCAGGGATGAGGCATGTCACTCTGAGCAACGAGCGCCAGACAACCAGAATATCCAGGGATGATCTGTGTCTTGATGCTCCACTGGAATCCATTGATCCTCGCTCTCCTGAAACATTGTCAATCCACACAAGATGCAATTCGCCAATACTCGACCGCATTGAAAAAAACCCAATGTGCTCAGTGCCCAGTGTACGCGTAAACATCTGGGTATTATGGGAAACTTGTCATGTCTGAGAACGGGCATATGTTGTTTGAGAAAATTGTTTATTCCTTCCAGAGTTGTGCGCATACTGCAATGTGTGATCGAGATCCCTGTGCTAACTTGTGAAAAGGAATGTATCAGAAACTCCCTGCGTGGTGAGTAGCGCCAGGAACAGGCGTAGCAGCAATCTATAGTGGATATAGTGTACTGTGCTTATGGTGATCAATTTGGGAGATGAAGGTATACATACGGAGTATGGTGTATGTGTAATAGGCAAAATAAATAAATACATGCATTGTCGCGGTTAATGTTGAGCGTGTCCGTGTATCGTCACATCGCGTTGGTGTCTATCTTCATCCTGACCAAAGTAAGTTGCTGCTCCTCTCTTATCGCCACCTTTCTATCTCTACCGTCTGGCACACGATCGGAGTGCAAAGTTCACTCGTAGATATTTATCGCGCCTCGCACTCTGATTCCCTACGGAACTCACTCCAAGACCGCCCTTTCCACCGTCCTTCTCAATGGCAGAGACAGCGCCCAAGAGACAAGCATGTCGCGGATCGTGTCACTGCGGATTGACTCAGTACATCATCTTCCTCACCCTCCCGCATCCATTCTCGTCGTCGAACCCACCACGCCCACTCCAACAAGAAGTCTACCGCTGTAACTGCAGCACGTGTCACAAAATGAACTTCTTTCACGTTCATCCGGCCCATGCTCGAGACGATTTCATGCTCCTCTCACCACTTGAACCAGATAAAGAACTGAGTACCTACCAATGTTACGAGATGAAACGGAAATATTACTTCTGCCCCAAATGTGGAGTGCGGTGCTTGACCTTTGGTGGTGAGGGCGAAATCGATGTCGTGGATGACGACAAAGGAGGCAAGAGAACGGTTTGGCGGGCGAAGTGGGATGGAGACAAGGACACAGAACCATATGTTGCAGTCAACGGTACTACGATGGACCCTAGAGAGGACTTCGATCTACGTATTCTTACTGAGGAGAAGAGAGTGCAATATTTTGATGGTCGGAGTGAGCCTGAGAAGGAGAAGGATCCAAGATGGGACAGACCTCATTATTGTGGAAGTTATTGATCTCTTGAGAAAGGTATGAAGTTCGAGGGCCATGGATGCCAATGCGTAGAGGCTAGAGCCCACCAAGATACGGACGATCCTTCACTCGGTCGTTACGCTCCAATTCCATGAACTTGGTCAATAATGTCCCTTTCAACAATTGGACCATTATAACGGCCTCGAAGATATCCAAAATAGCTGGTGATTCCGATAATCATGGTACCCCCCCACAGAAGACAAGACCAATTCATGGTCTGCAGAGTCAGGTCCGTACGGACGGATGGGAAGAAGCTGAACACCATAACGATCGCGATCCAACAGAGTCCGAAAATGTTGCAAAAAATACCAAATGGTCGCCCCAAGGTCCATGGCCCATAATGGATGGAGGATGGGTTGAAGATCTTTTTGTGCAGTATCAAAATCATTGGCAGGGTATAACTTGAGAGGTAGCCCGAGACAACGAGCGAGGCAACGGCATTGAAGCTGCATCAAGTTCAGCATTTGAGTGAGACCTTCAGGGATAGTACTTACGCTGCGCTGGAGCCGATGTTGATCAAACCCAACAGCATGGTGATGAGGACTGAAAGTCCGACTGTGTACAGGGGCAACTTTGTTCGAGGCTCAACTCGAGACAGATAACGCGAACCAGGTAACCCATTGTCCCGGGAGAAAGCCCACATCTACTACCCGTCAGAACTGAAAGGAGCAACAAAGGAATCGGAGATGCTGGTTAGACTCACCATCCTGGAGGCCGCCGCCAATACCGCAATAGTTGCAAAAATCATCAGAGACAAGACAATGGCAGTCATCGCTGTAGCTCCGCCATTGGTATTGACAGCCTGACGGAAGATTTCAATGAAGGGAAACCCCGTTGGCGAAGAAAGGGCGTTGTCGATGTCTCCAATGCAAAAGAGAATAGCGATCAGCATGGCAAATCCCATCACCCCATTCAGGCCGATTGAGGCTACGAGGGAATTCGGTACAACCGTGGAAGCATTGATGATCTCTTCAGACATGTGTATAGCTCCATCTGCTCCCACAAATGCGAACACAGTTGTTATCAGGCCCACGAAGAATGAGGTTCCCTTGTTGTATCCTCCCGAGTTGAGATACTTGATGAATACGTCGTGTGCAGTCCCATGTGGTGCAAGGTATACCAAAGTGATGAGGACTCCGAAAAATCCAACAATATGCACAATCAAGACTGCTCCCTCGACTTTGGGCAACTGCTTTGCAAGGTAGGTGTTGAAGAGCAAGGCCAACAAGATGACTGAAAAAAGCAGCAAAGTTCCATGCCATCTTTTGAAGTCATAATTCGGGTAGTTGAGCACCAATAATCCCTGAATGATTGTGCCACCCAGGTAAGCGGCCGATGCGAGACAAGCTTGCCACGAAAGAACAGACTGCCAACCAGTGACGAAGGAAAGGAAATTGCGACACGACTTTGGTGCAAAGAGGAATGTCCAGTGATACTGGCCACCTGCCGTCGGTGCCCTGTCAGAGTTAGCAACATCAATATGGTATCGAGATCAGCACGCACATCGACACCATTTCGGCCAGGGAAGCCACAACGGTAAAATAGCCCAGCCAGCAGAAGAGATAGCCATACACGAGTCCGGCGGGACCGCCGTCAGTAAGTCCATAGACGAAGACCGTCAGCAGTCCCTCCCATGTTATCATAAGCGTGCAAGAAAATCCAAGCATGCTCATAAAGCCAAAGTTTCGCTGTCTACATGTCAACTTGGTCAATGCGGGAGATGCTGAAGTCATACTCGCAATTCCTGGCGTTTTCCGAGCCTCGCCATTTCTTGCTCATCTCGGTCGATTGACTTTTCGACATTTTGCATTCCATCTGACGAGCTTCTGGAATGATGAATCTCAGGCGCATATCTGCTACCACTCTTCATGGTATATGCGTTGTCCATTGCACCGTTTTCGAAGTGGAAACCAGTTCTTCTTCGCGCACAGTTTCAGGAGAGATAGAACACGATTCAGTTGTTCTGCGGAAGACGCAAACAATGACCGACAAACGCTCAGCACAATTGTCGAGAATTCGATAAAAGAGAGATTGACCAGCAGCAGTTATCAAACGAAGAGGTAAGGAGGTAGATCTAGCTCTTTGGACCAATGACTACAATGTCAGTTAAAAAGGAGCTTGAGATGGATGGAAGTGCGCCACGCCGGAGTGGATCACGGCCCATGTGTCTCGTGTGTACCTCATCTCATGCTCAGGCAGAGTACGACAAGTGAAAGTCAATATCGGCTAGCAGGGTCAAGGGTACTTCTCATGTCTACTGCATGTCGTTCATGAGTCTCACCTGACCATCAGCATTGACCCGAACGGGACTTGCGTGTGCCTTGACTTCAACCAGAAAGCTTGAGAACACGAGACATAGGAAAGGGTGGACCATCCAAGTTCTCAGCTCTCGAAAACCTGCCTAGCGTGGCTACTAAGCACAGTTGTTACTGGAAACCAGGGTGTCAATCGAGGAGGAAATGAAGGCCCTGGTCCTCTGAAGGCTGGCCAACTCATTGATGTGACCGGAAATGCACTGTTGCAGTTCGCTTAAGCAGCATTGGACCTAACAAAGATTATCTCTCAACAGACCAACTCCTGCTCGCACGGACTACATGTTCCAAATACCACAGACTGTGGCAGCAAGGTCTAGATACCCATAAGTTGATCGACTCATCCATGAAACCCATGGCTCTGTGCCATTATGATGCACATGACATCCTCGGATCAACCATCAGTCGACTTTCGTGGAGCGAATTTCGTGTTGCAACCTAACGGCCAGATCCTCACATCCGAGACAAGTTTACGTCGTTTTTCTCAGTCTGGCACTACGATAAGGGAGACAAGGAACAGCTAGGCTGATTTTGTATACACGGACCCAAGGAGGCCGTTTCCTGTTGTTTTCCACTCAACTACTTCGTAACTTACCAGGGATCGTACAGCAATCTCAACCCAGAGCACTTAGTGCAGCGATACCAAGTTTTAGTGGGAGTCTTACAGGGAGGGTAGAGCACCAACGCACCAATTGCAAGGAATTGTAATGTGATGAAACCCCTGTCACGCAGCCACATCTTCTTCACATCTGCGTAGGTCAGGAAAAAAAGCAAAGTCATGCACGTATTCTGTGTGGTTCAACTCTAATTCCTTAAGCGATGGAGAGCTTGTCAATGGAATTGTGCCGTCCTTGACAAGATGCATATTGCTTGTCAAGGGCTATATTCTCTAAGTGCGACAGTACGCCAATGGTCAAAGGGAGTTGCATAGGCCACCAGAACAACCGCATTCTCTCGAGGGCTTCGTTCTAGACCAGATTCCTTGCAGTCCGGAGATTTATCCTAATCAACACCATGGATCATGTCAACCAAAGACATTGTGACAGCCCATCACAGACGAGGCAGGTGGCAATACAACCACACATGAGGTGTGTCGGGATTGTGCCCTCAATCTACTCCGTACTAGACCAACAAACAAAGGTGATAAGGCAACCGGGGTTCGTTGGAGGGGTCGGTTCACCGGTAGCGCCTCGCCGGCATGGATATGGCGACGTTGGATGCCTGGTCTGGCTTCCATTGGTGGTGATCACAGTCAACCAAAAGATCATCCTCCGAGAGTCACAACGCTAGACACGCGCATCCCCCGGCAGAGCAGCGGTTCCCATGTCCCCCAGAGAAACTCGGGTGGTTTGGGATGAGACTTGGGAAGATCCTCTTTGCTTGATCAAGTCTAGTGGCAGCACCAAAAGCGCATGTCAGCGCCGGACGGGTCTGTCCACCAACGCAGAAGCTTCTTTCAACCCACGTCAACCTTTTTCTAATCCTTGATCAAAAAAACAGCCACCAGGGGAAAGATGCTTCTGCCAAACATGTGCTAGGAAGTTTCGTGACTGCTTGGGATCGATTCATGGGCGGTAGGGATCGCCCTCTAGTCTCATGAAGCTCATCGGCAGATGTTCCAAGCCTCCCGTCGCGGGAAGAAGCCTCACATACGGAGTACTATGTCTCTTCGAGAGAAAATTGCCCCCTCAGTGGTCTCGCTCATGGAGTCCTTGCCAAGTGGACAGATAGTGTGAGCCAGGTTATTCACACGACTATCGCAAATCTTGTCGCAACGCCTGCTCCATCAATTCAAAACCTAAACCAAGTCTGGTTTTCACCTTGGGATTTGGTCTACAGGGTCACAAACATATCCTGATGATGTTAGTCTCTAAGTATTCTTTCTTGGTCGGATGATATTGTCGAGCGCCTTGCTAGAATCTCGATGTCTCATGGTTTGGAGAAGTGAGAGTAAATGACATATTTACATCCAGCCCATACAACCAGTGGTAGCAATGCATCAAGGTCTTGTCGCCCGAGTGCCCTTGATATCTGCTACAGAGAAAGGTCCAGTTGTGAATCTGGTATCATGGGTTTCGCTGGCGACTTTGTGTCTGGCAGTCATCACCGTCCTCGTCAGTAAGATTGTGGTCCTACGACGGTTGATGTGGACGGATAGTATCATTACCACAGCCATGGTATGCATTTTCAGCTCTTTAGGAACTTGTAATCTCAGACCAGCAGTGACTGACGTTAATTTTCAGCTCTTTGCGATAGGTTTCACAATCGCGATCAACAACCAGGTCAGCCATGGACTCGGCTCACTGCGCTCCACAATCTCCTCGCAAGACTTTGAAGGATTTCAAAAGGCTGGCTATGCATGGAACATGCTGTACATTATAACAATCGCCTTGGGAAAGCTCTCGACACTATCCCTCCTCATTGCGCTGGCGCCCAACAAATCATACCACCGCATCCCCATGCGTGTCCTCGTCGGATTCATTGGACTCTGGGCCGTTTCATCACTCCTTGCCAGCGCGTTCCAATGCTCCCTACCACATCCGTACTTGATCACGACGGAGACATGTTTCAGTCAGGTTGGTTTTTGGGACGCCGTCGGAGTCATCAACATTCTCACCGACGTCGCCATCATGGCCATGCCCATCCTCCTCGTTCACAACCTCCACCTCGCCACGAAAAAGAAGGTCGCGGTCTGCTTCGCCTTTTCATTTCGTCTGGGGGCTATGGCGTGTACGATCTGGCGCCTGTCGGAGATCCACCGCTTCTTCGACCGCGGCACGGACATTACGTTCGACACTTGGTTGCCCACGATTGCCACCATTCTCGACCTGTTTTTCGGGGTCTTTTCGGCTTGCGTGCCTCATCTCCGTCCGTTCATGGACTCGATCCAGGCCGGTTACCTCTCCGGCGTGGCTTCCGAGGACGGCCGGTTCGGATACGGCAACGACAGTTACCTCATGGGCAAGACGGTTTCTCGGAGCAATGCCGGCGTCGTCGCTGCGGCATCCGCCGGTGGTGGTGGTGGTGGTGTGCGGGGTCAGGCTCTCAAAAGCGAAAACCGAAGTGAGAGCCTCGACCTCCCCCGCCAGGGGGCTACCACCACGGCCGTGCGAGGAGCGAACGGCACCTCGGATCACAGTATAGGTCGTGCCTTGACCAGCAACAGTCGGGTGATTGTACAGAGTGTCGGGGGTGGCAAGGCACAGAAAGAAGGATCGTTTCCTGACTATTCACGGGCCGAACGCAACAGGAGCGAGAGTGTCACTTCGAACGGTGGAAGGAGTGACGGCAGCGACGGGAGCAAAGCGATGATCATCAAGACCACAAAGGAGTGGAGTGTATCTTATCAAGATGTTTGAACTTGGGTTCGGAACATCTTTCCTCTTCTTCTTTGGTTGGATGTGGAAATATACGTTTGGTGAATCGTATTTTGTATATCTAGGTATGTACAATGATGGAAGGATCCAGGGAAAGGATAGGAGTCACAACTTTGAATAGGATGGGCCGTGGAATGGGGTTGGAAACAATATACAGTCTAAAAGATGGGCGCATGATCGTTGTGAGAGGATTCCGTCCGAGAGACGTTTGGCCATGGTTAGTCGAATACTACGATCTACAGTTTCGACCTGGAATACAAACACAAAGGTTCACGACCAGGAAGAACGAAACGCGTTGAGAGAGCCCTTCATTTCCAAAGGGCTATCGAGTGATTTCTGTCGAATATCAAGTCTGCGTCTGACCTGGTTGATCAACACGATCCCCAAACATGTCAGGATTGTTGACAGTACTCCGTAGAGGTGGTGCTATTCTCTAGTCCAACATGCCAGGGATGAGGGCTCCCGGGATTTCATTCGTATCCGTGACTCGGAGAGGTACCAATGGGTACTCGTATGGAAGTGTGCGGTCGCTTGCGTGGGTCTCGATTGAACGTACTCTGTGAATGAGCTAAGGGAAACAACCTGGTACGGACCTTCGGGTGGGCAGTGTGACTTTGCTTTTGAGGTTTCAGGTTACTCGTGATTCGCGATTCACATGGAAGTTGTTGGTCCGGTGCCATCATGGCTACAGGGTACGCTGTTGTCCCACCGCTGGTCACTGACCCCGGAATCCCTGAACCTGGTACACATCTGTCCTCGTATGTAAGTGGAATGTTGGGTGCTGGGGTTACGGCACAATGCCCGCGGACGGAGTGAGTTTCCAGACCCTCCGACCCTTGCTAAGCACAGGTCCAAGGAAAGGATGTCCTGTAACCGAGAGAGATACGGAGTACTTCGGTTCTATTTATCTACAATAACCCAAGAAGGAAAGGTTCATCAGGTGGGGGACACTTTTGGCCAGGCATGGGTGCTTTGTTTCATCTGTTGCCTTGTTCCTGTACATTGTGCCTAGGTACTCCGTCGTATCACAGGGATACGTTCATGATTCGGTGCTCTGAAACTCAATGAAGCGTGATGTGTTATCTCATCACACCTTTAAAATCAGGTAATCGTCACAAAGGAGAAGATCCTTGACAACCTTCCTCGAAAGTAAAAGGAGTACTCCGTAGCGTTTCGTGATTTGAAAATAATCGACTCCTTATTTTGTAGAAGCCAAATGATGAACCTGGACGAGACTCGTTGGTTGATCGAACCCCATATGATCCAGACAACGTTGCATGAACCAGACTTTGAACTGGTCATGGTGTAACTCTGTAAACTCTGGTTGAGGTGGATCGAAAGTCCTATCTCAAGGTACAGCAAATTGCCGATGTCATCTAACCTTCAAATAAGGGTCATCAACGGGATTCTTGTGGGAGTGGAATTTGGTCCTTTTGTACATCGTTCTCGGTGACACGATCAGTCCGCAAAGTCGTATTCAGACGGAACCGACTGGAGAAAGATGAGACGTTGCGGTTTGAAAACGTCATGGTAACGGATCCGTCAAAGGTATGAAGTCAGCAATGAGAGCACCAGATGTCGATTGAGCTAGTGATATTGATGGTTCACTCGAGGTGAATGTCCACAACGTATGCCGACACTCGCTCGGTCTTACCATCCAGGTCAACCCATGTTCATTACCAGACGGTACTCCATATCAGCAACCAAAATGAAGCCTGGGAGACAGTCACCGTACTCGATATCCGATTCATGTCAAGATATGGTCGAATCCAAAGGCATCCGCCACATGGCTTAGTCGCTTATCGACACTTGGAGATGTGGAGGTTCTGACTGTACAACAAGTAGGCACGAGATCGGCCGAGGTTGCGAGATCCACGATTGTTACAAAGCTGGAGATGAGGGGAACATCTCGGCATCAACCCACACAAGAACAACTAAAGCCGGATGGGAAGTGGGATCTCGTAAATTGAAGGAAGATTTTTCTTTCGGTGAGTAGCGAACATCTCGCGGACAAGCGTCAAGTCACATCAATTCATCAACATCGAACCACAGCCAAAAAAAAATACATCAGCCTCGCGTTGACGATTTCGAACCTTCATTTACAATTCACAAGTACGCCATACAATCATACCGCCAATGGCTCCACCATTTCGTGCCGACCAAGTAGGCTCATTACTTCGTCCAAAGAGTCTAGTCGACGCGCGAGCGAACTCGACTCTGAAAGTAGATCGTCTGCGTAGTGGACCATCATCGCATGAAAAGGGTGTGGCAGCCGACAACAACGCCCAAGATGACGACCCTCTGAACGCATTGAAAGCCGCCCAGGATGCCGCCATCAAGGACGTCGTACGGGAACAACTCGACCGCAACATTCTTCCTGTTGTCACCGGTGAGTATGAACGTGGCATCTTTTACGGCAACTTTTTCGAGGCTCTGAGCGGGTTCGAAGTCCGTTACACGCCCTTTGAAGACTTCAAAAAGGATTTCCCTACCAACCGACCTCTCCTGAAATGGGGAGTTCCAGGCCGAGACGCCGGGTTTCCAACGGCCAAAAAAGTGACGCTCGAAAAGTCCGCATACCTCGACGATTGGCTCTTCTTCCGCAATCTCTTGCCAAAAGATCAGATTAAGAATGCCAAAATGACCGTCCCCCCACCGGGATGGTGGCACATCCAACTCAAACAGCCATTCTCACCGGACCTGTTCCCCTCGGACGAGGCATTACTGTCCGATTTGAGCGCCGCCGTGAGGAAAGAGATCATGACGCTGTACGACCACGGTCTGAGAGTCGTTCAGGTTGACGATCCCAATCTCAGTTTCTTTTGCGACGAAGAGTGGATTGCGACCTGTAAAGCCGAAGGAGTTGATCTGGACCGTCTCCTCGAATTGTACATCAAGTCACATAACGACGCCATCCAAGACCTTCCATCGGACCTGCACGTCGGTGTACACATCTGTCGAGGTAATTTCCCCAATGGAGTCGGGTTGGCGAGTGGTTCGTACGAGCGTATTGCGCGGAAACTGTTCAACGAGACCGCGTACAAGTTGTTTTACTTGGAGTTCGATAGTCCTCGGGCGGGAGACTTCACACCTTTGAAACACTTACCGGTTGACAAGGCCGTGGTGTTGGGTGTGGTGACGACCAAGTTCGCGGAACTAGAAGATACAAGTGAGCTCCAAAAGAGAGTGTATCAAGCCGCGGACGCGATTGCACAGGGACAGGGCAGAACCAGGGAAGATGCGCTGAGGGATAATCTCGCCGTCAGTCCTCAATGTGGCTTCGCTAGTGATCATAGTGAGGGTGGTGTAGGCATGAGTAGGGAAAGAATGTGGGAGAAGTTCGAGTTGGTGAAGAGGTTGTCCGAGGAAATCTGGCCTGGTTGGAACAAGAAGTGAGTAGGCATAAGGGACATACACGGTATAAATCTTGCAGAGCATGTTGTCAGGTTGTACTTGCATGTCAGGATGTCTCTGAGTTCCAGTAGTAGGCATACAATACTCCAGAAATCATATTCATAGGAATTCAACAATAGAAGAATGCGAAGGACTGAGAGAAGAAGCATTCGAAGAAGCGCAGACGCATCGACTCTTGTTGGTATAGATATTCTCGACAAGTCGTGATGCTGGAATTATCTGGCCTTAGCACCCTGTCAAAGCCAGCAACGGCCCGCTGGAAATCTCCTGTCGTTGGTTCATCGCCTCCGCCTCTTCATACTTCCCTCGATCCTGCACTGACTGGAGCGCCTCGCATACCACTCCTAGTTCGTTGTGGGCTGTTGTAGTAGCTCGACGATCCCAACATGTTGATTCTTACCCGCCAACGCTATACCCGTTTGCCCTTCATGGTCTTCTACTTCAGTATTGGCACCCATATCAAGCAGCTGTTGAACAATTTCAGTTCGCCCGGTTTCAGCTGCCCATAGTAAGGCCGTCCTGCCAAAGTTGTCCCTCGCTTCCACATCGGCATTATTCCTAAGGAGCTGCCGCACTACAGCAGTGAATCCTTTCTGAGCCGCCAAGATGAGGGCAGTCTTGCCACTGACTCCTCTGGCATCGACCTTGCTATCCTTCGTTAATAGTAGCTTAACAGTGCCGACTGGTGGTCGGCGTAACTCGTCCTGTTCTCCCCTTGCCATCATGAACATTTTCTTGTTCTGCTGTTCGAGAAGCCTTAATTGCATCTCGTTATCTAGAAGCGCACGACAGGCTGCTGTGCTTGTAGCAAGCGATAACTGTGTTGTCGCAGAAAAATGGGTTGCTACATCATCTCCTACAGCCCATAATAATGGCGTTCTGCCATTCTCATCTTCAGCAGTAACATTGGCGTGCCGTGCAAGCAATAATTGGACAGAGTGTTTGTCTCCGTTTTCTGCCGCATGTGACAGTGGTGTCCGGCCATGTTCATCTCGCACATCGATATTCGCGCCCCTAGCCGTGACTAGGTCGATAATTGTATATTGTCGTCTTGTCACTGCCCATAGTAGAGCTGTCTTGCCGGTCTTATCCGTGGCTTCGATATTAGCGTCCTTGTCTAGCAACAGCCGCACAATAGATTCTTGCCCATATTTGGCTGCCCACATCAAGACTGTCATGCCGTCGCTACCTGTGGCTTCGATATTAGCGTCCTTGGCTAGCAACAGCCGCACAATAGATTCTCGCCCATTTTGAGCTGCCCATATCAAGGCTGTCATGCCGTCGTTGTCTGTAACTTCGATATCTGCGTTCTTATCTAGCAATAGTCGCACAATAGATTCTCGTCCATTTTGGACTGCCCATATTAAGACTGTCTTGCCAATCTTATCCGTCGCTTCGATATTAGCGTCCTCGTCTAGCAACAGCCGCACAATAGATTCTTGCCCATATTTGGCTGCCCACATCAAGACTGTCATGCCGTGGCTATCTGTGGCTTCGATGTTAGCGTGCTTAGCTAGTAAACACTCCACGATGGTGTCAGACTCTCCCGAAGCTGCCCAATGTAGAGCCGTCTTGCCGGTGAAATCTTTCAATTCAAGCTCAGCATTCCTGTCCAGGAGAATCTGCACAACTTCTTGATGCCCTCGCTCCGCGGCGTATGAGAGCGGCGTTCGACGAGACTTGTCAGTTGAATTGACGTCAACTCCTTCGATTGCCAACAACGAGTTGACTATTCTGCCGTGACCATGGATAGCCGCTAGTGACAGTACGGTTCGACCCTCAAGGCCCTTTAGATTGCAATTGATATCCGTGAAAGTCATAAGTACTTCGGCAAGAGCCCTATGCCCTCTATCAAGTGCCCAGGAAAGTGGTGTATGGTCCTTTCGAGCCGAAAAAGCCCGGCTAAACTCAAGGTCGGCGGTGATATCTTCCGTTGGAGCTTCTCCATTCTGTTGTAACAGTGCTCGAACCACATCGCGGTGGCCATTTGCCAATGCGGCGAAAAGAGGAAACTGATATCGTTCTCCACGGACACCCATCTTTGCGCCATCCTTGCAAGTCGTCCTTACTAACATTGCCAAGTTTTTCTCGGCAAGTATATAGAGCAGGGTGACAGCGGACGTGTACCGGCGGGTGTCGTACGGTGCTAGCAGGTTATGGATCTTAACCCAGGAGCCAAGGGCAAAATCTCTCAAGAAGTCATCTTGTGAAACTCCTGTGGCGGCTTCATCAGCATGGCATAACACATAACGGCTTGCATAGTCGAGAAATGGCAATTTGTTTGTCAACGCTTGTCTGAGATTCTTTGCGGATTCAGAAGAAGCCTTTGGAAGATGTTGATCAGATGGTACAAGACCAGATACGTCGACATGCAGGTAAGTCCGACAGCATTGCTTTAGCTGATCATGACTGGTGCTGTAAAGATTGTTTTCGAGATCCGGCCACAGTTCGCACAAACCATTATCCTTCAGGAGGAAATCTCGCACTGATTCGTGAATGAACTGCACAGTAGGCGTCTTTGACTTGGTCAGCTCAGCGAGACCTTTCGAAGAGCTGAGCACAAATCGATTCATGTCGTCCACGGTGATGTGCTCAGAGTCCCAGACTGCCATGGCATCAGAGTCAGGATCAAGACCAGCCCACATCGCGAAGTAAAATTCTTCTCGCCTCAGCGGCCGTTTAGCAAACAATATCCAACGAAGGCAAAGTAATAGGTCGTTCATGTTAGCACAATCTCTCCTCAAAATGGTTCTGAAGAGGTCACTGAGCTTGTCAGGTATTTCTTGCAGTCTTTTCTTGACGGCCGGAATTCGCCCGCTCTTGTATTCATCGTTTAAGATAGGGACGACCAAAACCGCCCACATGAAGACACCATTTGCCTTCTCCTGTATTTGCACTCTGACTTCCTCGAGGTCTCTCCGTGCGCCAGCCCGGAGATGTCGTTGTACATACTTCGCCAAATCGTGAGCATGACCTTCTTCGTTTTCCAAGGTCAACTGCCGCCCGTTCCGAATATCGATAGTTGGATAATGGCGACTGGCGAAGCATACATAGAGCTGGGCTTCGCGTTCGAGCGCTGTTTGTGATAGTTCTTCGAAAAAGAAAACCATTTCCTGAACCTGCTCCTCGTCACATTCGTCGAGGGCGTCGATGAAGCACTTGATTCGTCGGTGCCCAAGGCGTGCGGTAGCTGCAGACAAAAGTCTACACAGCGTTTCGACTGTCCAGGCCGAGGATCCCCCTTGACCCGATATATTATTCACATCATCCAGAAGGTCCTGCAGGTCCGTCATTTTGGTCAGGAGCTGAAATAGTAGAGCTCGGTACATGCCAATCGTTGACCTTTCGAGCTCGTCCCCTCTAGCGTTAAAGAAGAACGAGAGAATAATTTCACTCTCCGATCTTGCTTTGTCGGCATTCGCGAGAGCGAACTTCACCAAGGTCGATTTTCCCGCGCCAGGCTTCCCGTTGATCCATAAGAACCCACAATGTTGGGATAGTTGCTCGGGATCAATCCAATCCAGGTAGGCACAGTGCTTCAACAGCCACTGACATGTTGAGGAATAGGCCGGTTTGATCGTAGATCGCCGTGAATCCATTTGCTCAAAGCCCAGGGAAGCCAGCATTGTCTTTCGATGGTTGACCAGCCTTGCTCCTTCCGTAGGCGTCGAAGATCGACCAGAGCCGCGTACAATAAGACTACTAGAGTGTGAGTGGACAAGGCTTTGCCCGATGCCCTCGAGTTGCCTCCGATAGTCTCTGGCGATTGCATCCTTCAGCCGGTCAAAAGCTCTGTCTCCTTCACCATAGACAATAGGCATAGACACATCAAAAATCCCGAAGAGACAATATGCCATATCTTCCGTCTTCTTAGTCTCACGTCCAGCTAACCATCGCATCCGCTCCTCGGGACTGAAATCTTCCAGAGAGCATCCACGGAGAACTTCTACAGGGATACGTGTTACGTCGTGGATGACCCGCTCAAGCGTATCTTTGTCGCCCAGCCACACTCTTTCCCGAGAATAGAAATCGACTCTTCGCGGAGCAAGCAGTTCTTGCAGTGTCCAGCCCCGTTTAAACCACTTGCTTCTCCGGAAGGCGGATTCCCAGATTCCAGTGCTTCCAGTGCTGTCCCGTTTGCAAGCCGATACATCGGACAGGAACACGTAGCACCTTTCTGCGTTGGCGTACCACCGAAACATGGACACGATAGCTTCTGAGAGTTCCACCAGGTTTGTCTTATCGATACAGCATGTATCGATCCAAAAATGGTGCAGGTCATCCTTTCGCACTTGATCCGCACAGAACTGTATCTTTATGTAGCCCTCCTTGTTACTGGCTATTCCATCTTCAAGATCCTTTAAAGTCACCTCCTCCTGATCAGGTCCCCATGTATGTGAGAGGATTGCGTAGGGCGGAATGTCTGCGTCCAGGTCATCGGTAAGCTGAGCTCACCTCGATCGCTAATTCGTATCAGGCGCATGCTCGGGAGTTGGATTTGGAGATAGGTAGAGACTGGAGCATGGAATCGATGTTAAAAGGCTGTACATTCATGGAGACTTCTTCATCGTCCAACTCGTTTGACTGATCGATATGCTCGAAAAGAGAGACGTGGTGTCGCGGCTGCAGGTCAGTAAGTGGCCGAGAGCAAGGCTCCAAGACTAAGCGTCGTACGAGAGGTTGTTTCGCAAGTCTGAAAGCTACATACCGGTTGAGGGATGTGGGAGATGATCATGTTCGCAAACCACAGGGGACAAAGATCTTTTGCATCAGGCTGAAGGATGGCTTGGGCACTGCCTTGAGGCTGAGCACGCCAAGTTCTCCGTTAAGCTAGCATTTGGTATTTTTGTACAATACAAGAGTGCAGGAGCCGTACTTGAAGACGCGGGGTTGATATCGCAGGCTGCCTATTCGCTCACTAGCCAGCGATCAAGCGGCCCGAAGGAATTACCCGCACACTGTTTCCTTCCCCGACGGAGTGAAGGTGGTCCACTCATAGTGAGATGACTCGGTTTGTGTCTCCGGACGAGACGGGTTTTAAGAGAGTGATAGGATAGCTCAAGCGGTGGGAAATGGAGTCGCGGTCATCCAACCAGATTGCACTTCAAATCAACGGGGTAGGTAACGTCCAATGTGGTCAGACAAGGATTAGTGTGGGACGATGCGTAGTCTGTGACAGTCTAGAGTGGATGGAGGCGATGTGGAAATCCGAAAAGAACAATATGAAAGTGCGTCCATCATCTCGCAAAACGATCTTTGCGATTCCAATTGAGCCCGACCCCTATTTTGTCTTTCGAGATGCCATTTCATCGCCCGTTAAAGATCAATTTGAACGGTATCGACGGGCGGTTCTACGCGGTATGGGTGGGACCGGGTACGTGTTATACACCACACTCCCGGGAGACAACTGGGCATATTAACTACAACATTAGAACATCGCAAATGGCCATCGCCTATGCGCATCAGCACCGTTAACAGCATCCAGACAGCCAAGTGTTTTGGAGGTATGCGGCCACGAGAAGTCGGTTCGTATAGGCATGCCAGCAGATGGCATGACAGTTGAACTTATCCGGATATGAGGATGCCAAAACAGATGCCTGCGAGATGGTAGCGGCACGATTAGGTGAAGAGGAGAATGGGCCATGGCTCCTGATCGTCGACAATGTGAATGATGCCGATCTCGCCTGGGTTTCATGCCTTCGGGTGAACTAGATGTTCACGACGGTGCACTGATGAAGCAGCTGATGAAGCAGCTGATGGATTACCTCCCTCTCAGTCTGGACGCCGCAAAACGGCTCCTGATCACAACACGAAATAAGGGCGTGGCGGATAGCCTCGGACAGAGCGCATCGCCCATCCCCATAGGACCTATTTCGTGGTTTTATGGGCATGCGGCAAACATGAGGCTGCATTTGAACATGTGTCGGAGTCACATGATATCTTGGTGATCCTACTTGGAGATAAGGAATAGCAAGTATCGACAACCGCACATTAATGGCATCGGTGCTACAGTATTGAGTGAAGTACGAGGAGGCGGAGGCGATGAATGGACGAGCGCTGGCGTGACGTGAGAAGGGGCTGAGGATGGACCGTCCCTTTATATGGAAGAGTGTTTACTGCCTGGCCAACCTACTCGATACTAGGGAAGATTTCCAATAGGCCTTTGCTCTCTATAACACGCCATTAGTGCTTTTGATAGAGTCCTAGGGCACGATGATCCCACTACAGCGGCTTGTCGAGAACATCTATCGTCGCTGCTAGGGAGAATCGAGTAATTGTTCTTTGCTTCTACCTTATAGTGCGCCTGTCGACGCGAGACTCTCATACTGTAGTGAATAGTAACCTGGGGAAAGTCTGCAATATGTTCGGAAGCAGGTCAGGCAGGCTTCGGGAAGGTCTGTATGAGAACACGGAATATGGTGGAAATCGATGCATAAATTAGGACCCAACTAGGTTTTCGATCAAGCTTTTGCAACCGTTCATGATGGGCATAGATCTCGCTGCGACATCTCGTCAGGTGAAAGTGACGACTTTCTTGACTGCTTGCGCGGCAGGACTTTCATTTTACTCAAACTGGATATCCGGTCGTACCACTTCAATAAGAAGTGGGTGATTGTGCAGTACCTCCGAAATCAAAGCAGGATCAGATGAGAGTCTTGCCAAGTCGAGAGAGGTCCAGATCTCGGATTAACATGACCACAAAGTGAAACTCCATTACACAGAGAAGCAGGGTCTTTGGGAGAGGTATGTCAGAGAGATCAAACGGAGTTCGGAATGTTAAACAGCCCCGCAAGGATGTAACATATGCTGACCTACAAATCACTTTACCCCTCGGAGTACCATGTGTGTACATAGTGTGTTGAGTACAGTAGGGCCAACCAACAGTTCGGGCGAGGGAAAAGAATCGCGAATCACTTGCCTAAAAATAGGACAGTGATCATGAGCCTCAAACGTCAAACGAATATCTTGAAAGACTCGGCCAGAACCGTTGGACCGAAAGGATGTGATGATGTCGTGACATTGACGTTTGTTTCTTCCGTCTGATTACGGAGGATTTCCAGAAGACACGATGGAATAATGTTTTTTTAGTGACGGATGAAAAACCTTGAGGGAACTCGTGATCTTCAGGGGACCTCGGCGCCTCAGGTGATGATTGCAGGCCCGGGTGGGGCTCACGTGCACCACAGAGCAAACACCGCAGAGACCACAGACCACGGACCACGATTCACTGCCGGGCCAACGCTCAAGGCCCTTACTATTTACTCACTATTAGGGCGCTGTGAACATTCTTCCAGGCGCTAATGAGGCCATGGCACAAGCCTAATGAAGCTCGAAGGCCCATGAAGATAGGTAGGTACTGTACCTACTTTAGAGTGTGAACACCAGAGCATGAACTGGGTACGGAAATTCGGCTACAAGGCCAGGCACAATACTCGTACTGGTAATTAGGTGTCAACGGCGAGGGAGCCATTATTCGGTCCGCATAGTTCGATTGTGGCCCCCATCACCTGCAGTATGCTATGTAACTAACGAAAGGTGATCGACTGACCATTCGCGCGTACTGAAACCTTCCCATCGACAAGTCCAATGGACGTACGTTTTACTCTACTATACAGTGCTTATGAGCACAACAGGGTGCTCAAATTGTATGCAGAATGGCCAATAAACTGGATAAAATCATCTCGTTGCTCACCTTGTTGTGGTGGCGTACTGAGACCTCAGGTTCATGCGGCGAAACTCCCCACGGGGAGTGTGAGAAATCTGATTACGAGGGATACGAGGAAACCCCCTATACAAAGGACATGTTTCTCTCTTACTCCGTCCTCAAAGTAACCTCACATCGTCATTGATCAAGTGACCAAGTCAACAAGTTAGCAATTGCTGACAGGTTTGGGATTTGTTGTGGTGAGTCGAACATCCGCGCCTTTCCGGTAGGTGTCCAGCCTCGCCTCCCGTGATAATTCGAGATCTACACAAGCTCCGCGGGCCTAGACTAGCGAAGAGCTTCTTTCACGCCACAAAGACGTCTGCGGCGCATCCCTGGATTGTGTTTTCGAACCTCGGGACCCTCTCGATCGTGCACTATTATACTGTACTACGCTGTTCGGCATCGATGAGTTGCCGAATACCACAAGATCATGCGGAACCCTCATTGGCTCCGGACAACCTCACGCGAGGGACCCACTCTCGTACCATGGGCCATTTTCCCTCGGATTACTCTGCACGGTATGCGCACTATGTGCTTTGATGGAGACCTCGTGCTTACCGATCCCTGGAGAAATCACTCACTTCACAGGCGTCATTGGACGTATGCGATGAAAGCATCCCCCCGGTCTCCTCTTTCGTGGTGTCATCCGTGGGCCTCCGCCATTCGGGAAAGTTACATTCACACTTCACCTCGACCAGAATGCACTGATCACCACGTGTTGTAGCAACGATTTTTCCGCGAGCAGGTGGGTCAGCCTGGGAGGTATAAGATCAACCCGAGCTGCTATACGTTCTCCCAAACGAAAAGAAAGCTGACTGCTTCTCATCACAAAAGAAAACGACAATCAACAAGTTGTATCACATCTACTCACACAAATTATGGGGTCTTTCAAAGTCCCAAAGTTCCAGAAGCCCACGCGGGAATCTCTGGGCTTGACCAACTACGTCTCCTACGCAAAGTACGTGCACTCATCCCCAGGTACACTCGTAACTGAGTCAGAATTCTTTGGGTTGCTGACTGTGTGGTTTACCTACAGATACGATCCGCATAGCGGAGATTCTACCGATGCAAGAAAGTCCCTATCACATTTGGACTATAGCCCGTTGCGACGAGTAACATGGGAGTCCTTCTGGATGGGCATGCTCGTGTCGATGGGTGGTTTCATCTTCGGTTATGATACCGGTCAGATTTCGGGATTCTTGGCCATGCCGGATTTCCTGAATCGATTCGGTCAACATCACAGCGATGGAACCGCTTACTTCAGCAACGTCAGGTCTGGTCTCATCGTGGCCATGGTAAGTCATTCGTAGTACACGGCCTTGGACTGTGGTTTTTTCACTGGAACTTCACCGCTGACTCTTTTAGCTCTCAATCGGTACATTGATCGGCGCTCTTGTGGCAGCTCCCATTGCCGACTTCATTGGCCGAAAGCCCTCGGTCACATTGTGGTGCTGCATCTTCGCGGTCGGCAACATCGTCATGATCTCGTCGGAACACCACTGGTACCAAATCATGATGGGCCGTTGGGTGGCAGGTTTGGGCGTGGGTGCCCTATCTTTGCTCGTGCCCATGTATATGGGTAAGTTGGAACGATTGCTAAGGTTTCATGGTTCCGTATCTAACGAAAGACAACAGCCGAAACCGCCCCTCGACACATTCGTGGAGCCCTGATCAGTACATACCAACTTTTCGTAAGTCTCAATGGGCACGAGATCTGTCTGCTTGATCCCAAATAACTAACTGCGATGGCAGATCACGTTCGGTATCTTCCTGGCCGCATGTATCAATTTTGGATGCTACGAACACCAAAGAGGCAATGCATCATCCTGGCGTATCCCCATGGGCCTCGCTTTCGTCTTCGCCTTTATCCTCGGAGCGGGCATCCTGATCTTCCCCGAGACACCCCGTTACCTTTACCGCAAGGGCCAGAAGGAGGAAGCCAAGAAGATCATGCTCAAGGTCTACGGAGCGTCCGAAAACCACTACAGCGTCCACGTCGAACTCGAAGAGATCGAGGCCAAGCTCCGCGCCGAGAACAAGCAGGACGGCGTCATCCAGGAATGGGTCAACATGTTCAGAGCACCCAAGATGGCGTACCGGATCCTCCTCGGTGTCGCCCTGCAGATGTTCCAGCAACTCACCGGCGCAAACTACTTTTTCTACTACGGAACGGTCATCTTCAAGGCCACGGGCATCAACAACTCGTTTGTCACGCAAATGATCCTCAACGGAATTAACTTCGGCACAACCTTTTACGGATTATACATCGTAGAGCACTACGGACGTCGTCGTTCGTTGATTGTCGGCTCATTTTGGATGTGTGAGTATCCCCCTGAGGCTTTACCAAAATATCAGCCTTGTCATGTGACAAGGCTGTGTTTATTGGTAAAGGCTTAGCATATCATGTGACAAATCTTTTACAGACTGCTAACAGCCAATCACAGTCCTCATGTTTATGATCTTTGCTAGTATCGGCCATTTCTCCCTTGACCGCAACAATCCGCAAAGCACCGAATCTAGTGGCACTGCTATGATTGTCATGGCGGCTTTCTTCATTTTTGGTTTCGCAACGAGTAAGTTTTTGGACATGATCTGTCACTTCTACGATGATGAAAAGAAGATTACTGACATACTTGCCTTCTTCTAGCTTGGGGACCTATGATCTGGACCATCTGCGGTGAACTCTACCCGTCCCGCTACCGTGCCAAAGGCATGGCCCTGTCGACCGCCTCGAACTGGCTGTGGAACTTCCTCCTCGCCTTCTTCACCCCCTTCATCACCGGCGACATTGATTTCCTCTACGGTTACGTCTTCGCCGGGTGTAACCTGCTGGGTCTCCTCCTGATCTACTTCTTCGTCATCGAGGGTCAAGGTCGGACCCTGGAGGAGATCGATTCCATGTACCTCCTCAGCGTAAAACCTTGGGAGAGTCGGAAATGGGAGGCCCCTCCACCCGACGAGATCGCCAGGATCAGAAGGGAGGCCGGTACCGGGAACGGCGTCGCTGAGGCCGGAGAGATTCAACCGGCGGCCACAACGGCCGGCGATGAAGCCGCTGCTCGCAACAGTACCGATGCCGAAAAGGAACTCGAGCACAGAGAGTAAATCTCAGAGTGTGTGTGTATGGGGTTGAAGAGGCGCTTCAACTCTCGATGCGTGAAAGGTATAGTAATGTCGGTGTGAGTGTGAGAGTGAGTGAGTACCTTTTTACGTATCGGAGTTTTTTGAGGTGAGACTGAAGAAGTAATGTGAAACAAGGAAGAAATGGGTGAAGTATTGTTTGAGCAATTTCTTGATGATGATACCCCCCGGCAGAGAAGGAATCTATAGCCACATTGGTCAATGGTGACTTTGTGTGCCGAGTCATGGACTTTTTATTTGTGTAACTGTGTCATGATACCACGATCGTTTTTGGAAAAACAAAGAGAGCTAGATAAGAGAGATATACCTCGCATTTTAATATATCCTAATATACCTGATATAAAACCATCACTGGCAATTGGTAAATCTACAGTAAGTAAATCAACATTCGAGGCATTAGTCGATAAAGATAGTCAGTGCGGAGTACTAATAGCAATAAATGCTACGGCAAGGAAGTTAACAACTACTAGCACGGTCCAAATGAACCGACAATCAACGAACGACGACGTCCGTAGTGCTCTACAATGTATAAACCGTAAAATTAACATAGGGATCGATATAACTTAGTACCAGATCAGTTCTGGCCAAGTTTCTTCGATCGATGTACCTTTGCTTTCTGTGGAACAAAAGTTTAGTGAATGAGCACCGTCTACTTCGTACCATGTACATGCATCTATGGGTAAGTCTATAGTATGACGGCCTGCTAGCTATGCATACTAAAGAGAGGGTTCTCATCACCTAGAATATGAGTACTCTCCTCCCGCTTGGGATGGCCGGTCAGGGCTTGAGCAAACAAAAGCGTGATACACCGAATTTCCAAATTGTGTAGGGACCCACTTTACCCATTTCAGGGTATGCTGACACAACATATTGAGCCAGTTTACTGTTCCATGTCTACTGATAGGTAATCAATACCTCGATTACTTGTTACAAGTCGATATCTACCAAGCATCAATCTTGGTCACGAATCTCTAGACAGTTTCTCAAAGTTGTGTCGTTGATACGCACGAACATCAAAACGACAACGCGTTGAGATTAAAATCAAAAAAAATAGTCATGCACAATCCCCGGTACCCCGTCCTCCCACCCACCTACAACTCAACTACAACACCTTCCATGCATCCCTGAGCTCACCGGAAATCGCGACATGTGCAGTCGCGGGCAAGACATGAGCGCTCAAAATCCCATGCAAGCCGGGGACCGGGTCGAAACACGCATCCTCCACGACGGTCACGATGAACCCTCGATCGGTGGCCTGTCTCGCGGTACTGAGCACGCAGCCACTGGTGGTCAACCCACATAGCATCAGGCTCTTCACACCCCTCTGGCCAAGTTCGTCCAGGAGGCCCGCTGACTCGAGCGCCGAGACCGTCCCCGGCGGTCGGACGACCATCCTCTCACGGCCCGGGTCGATCGGGGAGAGCACGTCGGCCTCGTAACCCAACGCCGGCATGCTGGCGAACTTGTCCTCGTACATGCGCCATTTCAGGGACATCCTGTTGCGGGGGGACGGCCTGTTCCCGGGCGTCGTGTCGACCAGGCAGTGGTACACCACCATGTCCTTGGACAGTGCCCAGTCTCGCATCTGCCGGGCCACGTTGAGCACGACGGGCGCCGCGTCCACGAGGCGAGAGACGGCGATGTTTTGGTAATCGAGAAGAAGAAGTGCCGTCTCGGACGGAGAGACCGACAATGGCGAAGAGACGTCCGTGGAGGACAGGATGGCGCGTGAGCCGTAGGACATGGCCAGTCGTACTTGTAACTGACCGAACGGTTGTTGTTCCAGGCGGACACTGAATCGAGGACGGTCTTCGTATTCGGAGTGCTTGGTAAATTCCCCGAGAGGCTACTGTCGAGTAAGACTGTCAGTTGTCAGTACGGAGTTCACTTGAACTCCCATGAGTGTCCTGACCAGGCAAGTGGTGGTGGTGGTGGTGGTGGTGGTGGTCCAGACTGACACTACACAAAGACAGTATCAACGCCCTACAATCGAAAGTTTCTTCTCTGCTCACATCAGGCAGTTTGTATCACAAAAGAGTATTCGATGGGCTATTGATCGAGACACCAGAAGAGGAGGTTGCAAGCGAGATTCCCCTCGGCGGTCGTCGTCGTTGTTGTACTTGCAGCTGGTAGTATGCGGGCCGGAGATAAGGACATGGATGGTGGGCATATCGCCGAAACTGGGCGCATCTGCGACTCTTTGACCTCTAAACATGAACCGGAACGAAGACTGGCTAGACTCACACATTAGAACAAACTGTTTCCCCGGTCATTTTTCGTTATCGCCGATTGCACACAAGAAAGCCAAGTCCCCCGGTGTCTTTTTTCTCAACGACTCGTTTATTACTCGTACGGCTCCGGAGAGCATTGGCCGGACTGACTGATTCTAGATTGCATCCGCCTCGGAGAAGTGTTCTCCTTTTCCTACGCAGTACCCTGGTCAAAATCATGTTCGCTTCACCGATCCGGTCTCTCAGTCGTTATCCTACCGTTAGACGAGCTCGCTTCCTCCATGGAGACAACGTTCGATTTTGGAGGAGGAAGAAAGATAGATTGCGCCATTGAATCCCTACTTTATTTGACGTCGCTTTGATTGATGGCGTGTGAAGACGTAGAAGGAAAATTCACAATTTGCAGACATGGAGTAGATTGTTTTGTCCATACAAATATACCTGCGATGGTTGATGGACCACCGAACTTGATTTACGTACTTTGTAGTCGAGGTGCCCTGTTTGATGGAATTCCACCAGTTGCCTCTGGGCAAAGCTTGGGTAAAGCTTGGGTAAAGCCTGGGTGAAGCGATACTAGATCACGTCACGCCCATGTCATTCTCACCGGCCATCTACGGCTGTCGTAAACATCCATCTTCATATCTGTGTCAGTCCTGGTCCCGCTACGAACGTACCACCGCCGCTACCGATCTCTTCCTGCCTGATTCCCGTATCTTACCGGCCTCAATAAACCTCCGGAGAACGCATTGCTAGATGAGTGACTAGGCTTGGGAACTCCTACCGTGTACTCTTCAAGAGCGTCGTTGTAGGGTCAGTGTTCAGGATACGGCGAACAAAAGGACTCTGAACAGACGCGTGAAAGAGGATTGGCATTGCGGGACATGGAGCAGAAGTGACTTACAACATCTCGGTCTGCTATTTCTGAGATTGGGTTGGACATCTTCCCTCTGCTGTTTCTTCCCTGCGACGATGCCACTCCTCCTACCTCTTTCTCCTCAAGACTCCCCGACAATGTTGCTATCAGCATTTGTGGACAAATCGGGATTCTTCCCCACGGTCATCAGTCGGCCATGTCTCATTCAAGGAAGAAACAAGAGGTAGTGAGCGGCATCTGGGGGCATGGGAGCTGAGACGCTTACCACGGCTGGAAAATGGTAGATGCCTTCTAAACATACCTAGTTTCGTGTCTGATGGGGGCCTTTCGAGACCATTTCTCACTTCCTGATCATCTCGTGGAGCCTCAAGCCATGACGAATGAACAATTGCGCCCTTTCTCTCCAGTGATTTATGCAAGGAGTGCATTTCCTCACTCCGACCTCTGATGCCACATGAAATTGTTGGGAGCAGTTCCACTTTTCCGCAACTGTTGCCTTGACTTGCCCGACTCCCCATTCCCCTCCTCTGTTGACCCTTGATGTCCCCAATGCTGCTCACTTCCCGTTTGATAAAGGCTCATCTTCGGGATGATCTGTACATTCTCTGATACAGCCTCGCGCAAGTATTTGACAAGCTTCACCGGTACAGTCTTCCAATCCCCGCGAAGTGGATCTGCAAGACTGTCTGCCTGAGTCGATCCAAGAGATGTTCGTGAGAACTCTTCCGGCAAATATTGGGTTCCGAAGGCCCCTCAAGTGGGGATTGCGCATTTTGCTCGCCTTGTGTTTTGAAAACTCACGATTTGTCTAGCACATCCTCAATTTGCCAGTCCCAGTGCGGATACCTTGTCATCTGCATACCCTCAAACGTTCATAAGGTTGAAGAATTTTCTGGTTATACTGTGGCTCGCTTCAGAGGGTCCTTCTGGCGTGACTGCTGACTGGCTGGGCATTGAATATCGAACAACATTGTGTGTGTGACGACGGATACTGCTTCCGTACAGACAGAACAGTATCTCTGCAACCCCATTGAGAAAACTTTGGAGCATGGAAACTTTTCAAGAGTGGCTCACCTGTAGGCAGATCGGCAAAGAAGAGGAAGAGAGGAAGGCCGGGAAAAGACTACAAATAAGTGGCATCCCCCCCAAACCTCCCAATTTTCCTTCCTTCAGAATTCTGAACATTTTTCACGTCACAGTAACATTTCATCCAAGATGGGTTGTTTCTGCAGCAAACCAAAAGCTTTTGAAGAGACAATGGACGCTCCGCGTCCTACTTCTCTTCGTGTGGCACCAACCACACCACCCGCTTCCGTTCGTTCTGAACGCCCTGTCGTCATTTGGCGAGGAAAGGTGCGGACATTGCCCAAGGAACGGCCGGAGATCTTTGATCAACGGCCGCGTTTCTTGCGGCCCGCCACCACCTACTGACCGCTCATGACGTGGTGAGTTCTTCGTCATGAAAGGTTCGATAGAGTCCATCAGGATCAGTAGCCCCTGTGCGAACGACTGATGGTGTCTCTTGAGGCCTGATTGGCAAGTTCTCATCCACTGAAGTGGGATGATGTGGGTGATGGTGGACGAGTGGAAGTGTGTGGTGTTAGGAGGTGTGAGCCGGGGAGTTGGGGTTTGGCTAGCCCACCATCGTTGTCATCGCCTTGTTGCAGTGCTTCGGGGGTGGGCTAGCCACCACTTCAAAAGCTGCTTGTTTTTCGCGCCGACGGTTCGAATTCTCAGCTGAGTGGACTGAACAGAAGTACGTGACAGTGTGGTGAGCTCACGTTCCAATGTAATGATGACCCTCAGTATTTCTTTCAAATCCACCCACCAGGGCGAGAGCAGAAATGACATGAGTTCTTGGTTCTCTCTGTCAAAAGTATGAAGTCTTGGTACAACACTCTCAAACCAATCAATACCCGGTCTCTGAAAAGACACTGGGGGCTACTGTTACTGTTTACACAGGGCTCATGGAGGTTCGCTACTATCCCGCTGAGTATCGCTTGGACAGTCGCAGCCCCATCGTGTACATTGCCTGGTGCAATTGCTCGGAGGGGTTGTCGCTTGAACACCTTGTTGTAGTTGTTCCCCATGAATGTCGTCGTTACCTTGCATACATGTTGTTACATCGTCGTTGTCCTCATATATGTCGTCGTTGTCTTCCATTTATGATGCTGCTGCCATTCATGTTACTGGTATCCTCGTCCAGTTGTCGTTTCCCAGACCTTGTAGTTGTCCCATGCGATGTTGCTGTACTTTTCCCACGATCTTGGCTTCACAACTCGTGGACGTACTGATCCTGACAATCATTATGATGACATTGTGGCACTCAACGAGCTCTTCCGAAGCCACAAGGTGTTGGAGGATCTTACAAGATCAATTGTAGAAGAAGTTCGACCGGTGATCTTGCGATCATAGCTTCTGAACCCTCGTCGTAACCATTAGATTTATACTAAGGACTTTTACATGATTGTCGAGTTTTATGGCAAGAGAAGTTGAACACATGAAGATGAAATTAGATGTCAACTTAACGTCACTTTGCAGCTACGAAATTGCTTCTTGAGACTTTTGCTTCACCATATCGTTGAGTCTCGAGCTTCGTACGAGTACGAGGGACACGCCAAAGAAATTGCCGCTTTTAAGGGGCGATGGTCCCTTTTGCCAGTGACTCAGACAATGACGAGCGGAATCGGTGAAATTATTTTCAACCTCCGCCCAATCTTCGCTACTTGTTGAGCCTAGATACTCACTCATTCAAAACCTTTGGACAATCGACAAGTGTGGTAGTCACCTAAACTGTCACATTGGGAAAACGCATCTTCAATAACGATTTCTTTCTAGGCTACCAATTGTCCCTCATTTCGCAACTACAGTCAAATCCTGAAATACTACAATTCGGGCCTTTGAAGATGGCAAACGCATCCTCTCAACCCAAGAGGAAATGTGCTGTGTTAGGTGCAACAGGTACGTTCATTACATCTTATATATGCTCGAAATACTTATTGTTCAAGGATCTGTCGGGCAGAGATTCATTCTGCTTCTGGCCGACCACCCCACGCTCCATCTACAAGCTGTTGGTGCCTCATCGAGGTCGGCTGGGAAGAAGTACAAAGATGCTGTCCGGTGGAAGCAGGCAAGACCAATGTCTGCCGACTTGGCCAGCCTTGTCGTGCGGGAATGCAAGGCCAGCAATTTCACCGACTGTGATCTAGTTTTTTCTGGTCTGGACAGCGATGTTGCTGGAGACGTTGGTATGTTTTGAATGTTTGACTTGACACTCTCAAATACTTAGACTCTTCAGAAATGGAATTTCTCAAAGCCGAAATCCCGGTCTTTTCCAATGCGAAGAACTACAGAAGGGATCCAATTGTGCCTTTGGTGGTACCTACAGTCAATATCTCTCACTTGGGACTTATCCCTCACCAGCGGAAACACTTCGGGCTCAAGAAGGGGTTTCTGGTCTGCAATTCTAATTGTGCCGTTATTGGCATAGTCATTCCTTTTGCGGCTATACAGGCCAGATTCGGACCCGTCGAGGACGTCGAGGTCTTTACCGAACAAGCAGTCTCGGGTGCAGGGTATCCAGGTGTACCAAGTATGGACATTTTTGACAATGTTGTCCCTTATATCCAGGGAGAAGAAGACAAACTGGAGACTGAAGCTCAGAAAATACTGGGGTCCATGAATGCAGATGCGACTGCATTCGAGGAGCAATCTGGCCTCACAATAGGAGCAACATGCACACGCGTCGGAGTCACAGATGGCCATATGGCTTTCGTATCATTGAGGTTCAAGCAGAGACCTCCACCAAGTGCGGAACAAGTCAAGCAAGCCATGAGAGACTATGTTGCCGAGGCACAGAAGCTGGGTTGCCCTTCTGCTCCAGAACAGGCAATCGTTGTCTTCGATGAGCCGGATCGACCACAGCCTCGACTTGATAGGGATATCTCGGGTGGTTATGCCGTCAGCGTAGGGCGAGTACGAGAGGCTGCTAAGGGTTCACACTTCGACATCAGATTTGCTTGTCTGAGCCACAACACCGTCATTGGTGCTGCTGGATCCTCAATACTCAATGCGGAGGCGGCCATCATCCAGGGGCTGCTATAAAGTAGGGGATGTGGTAGAAATCTAGATCCTGAAGTGTAGCAATACAATACGTGTTCCTCGCAAGCAGCGTTTGACATTAGCCTAATAAATCGTGCGTGGCCCCATTTTCAAATGACACACCCTCGACTTCCTGGACCACAAAACCCGTCATTTGAACAAATCAAGTGGCGCCAAGACGCCAAGATTTTGCGCCAACTTTCAACCCTCGAAAATTCATCTACAGATTCGCAGATTGAAGCTGCATCCCTACACACATCTCACAACATCACAACAAGATGGGTCGCGGTCCTAAGAAGCATCAGAAACGCCTCAGCGCACCTTCGCACTGGCTGCTGGACAAGCTCTCGGGCGCCTATGCCCCGAAGGCGTCCCCTGGTCCTCACGTTCGTTGCACAATCGTCCTTGCGAGGTGAAATGCAAATACTGACTTTCTAATCAGAAAACCCGCGATTGCTTGCCCTTGATCGTTTTCCTCCGAAATCGTCTCAAGTATGCTCTCAACGGCCGTGAGACCAATGCTATCCTGATGCAGCGCCTCATCAAGGTTGATGGCAAGGTCCGCACCGACGTTACCTACCCAGCTGGCTTCATGGATGTCATCTCGATCGACAAGACTGGCGAGCACTTCCGTCTGGTCTACGACACCAAGGGCCGCTTCGCCGTGCACCGAATCGAACAAGCCGAGGCAGAGTACAAACTCGGCAAGGTCAAGCGTGTTCAAATCGGAAAAGGAGGAATCCCATACTTGGTTACGCATGATGCTCGCACGTAAGTCTGCGCTCAAGCATCTATCAGCCGTTGGGCCAAGATGTGGTTGGAAAGAAAAACAAAATAGCTGATAGGTTTAATAGTATCCGATACCCCGACCCGGCCATCAAGGTTAACGACACCGTCAAGATCGATCTCGCAACCGGAAAGATCACCGACTTCATCCGATTCGACACTGGTGTGATCGCCATGGTTACTGGTGGTCGTAACATGGGTCGTGTTGGTGTCATCACTCACCGTGAGAGACACGACGGTGGCTTCGCCATCGTTCACATCAAGGACGCCATTGACAACTCTTTCGCTACCCGAGAAAGCAACGTCTTCATCATTGGCAAGGAGAAGCCATGGGTCAGTCTGCCAAAGGGCAAGGGTGTCAAGGTACGAATAATTCACCTGAGATATCACTTTGCCTACATGCTAATAATCATCACAGCTGTCGATTGCCGAGGAGAGAGATCGTCGTCGTGCTGTCGCCATGGCCAGCGGCCATTAAATTCGATTTCCACCACCTGTAGCCTGATAATATGGCTCGCAGATTCATTGAGATGTGGTCATCAATTGCCCTTGACTCCCAGCCACTGCTGGCGAGGTTCAAAAAAAGTCTTCTTTTGCAAGAACGAATGGATTCTTCGAGGCGAAGTTATGACTAGCGTGCTTTTAGAGCATGATGAAACACAAAGCTGCTCTACTTCAGAGACTATGCTTGAGTTCTTCGGACAAGGCCATACTTTTTTTCTAGCCGTAGAGGCATAGACAGGAAAAAGGGAATGAAAAGGCAAAATACCCCAACGAAATCTTTCGAAAGACTCTGCTTGCCATGCTACACCCGCCGTAGGCGTGCCTGTTCTTCGTATTCGTATGAGGGTGTTTTTTTTCTACCTCGTCTTCTTCTCACCAGTCGTGCTGGTACCCGTGGTCGTTTGCTCACGCGTACCGAGCTTGCCAAATACGCCCGCCACAGTCAACACCCTATTCACATGCATGAACAAGCTCCCTCCAATGTTTCCGTACGCCATCTGATTCCACTGGGAAAAATCCCAAAACACATCGTTCCCTATACCGCAATACGCAGCGTATATGTGCGCGAGGTCCGCAATCGCCACGGCGATCAAGTACCTCCTCGTGATCTCGGCATGGGTGGTCCAACAGCACGTTATAGCGATCGCGACCATCAGTAAGAAGACATTCCCGAGTTGTAGAGTCAGCGAAAGGGCCTGGGGCGTGAACATGAGACTCGACAGGTCCGCGTTCGGCGACTGATCAGCGTAGTATTGTTTTGGATCAAGGATGGCTGTTGCAAAACCCCAAACACTATGTATACGAAGGGCATCTAGTAAGAAAAGGAGATACTAGACAGGGCGGAGGGTACTGCTCACAGTGCAAGCGGGTCTAGAATGCCAAAGAGGATCAGTGGCCATGTTGGAAGGGCCGAGTACGCCATTTTCTAGACGATCGTGATGTTCGCGAAGGCCACCTTGAAGTGATAAGGCTCGGTACAAGGCGTAGAGGTCAATTTTCTCACTGGATGTAAGCAAGTTACCTACCGGTTGAGGACGTTCGGATGGTCTCATCGCGCTCTACAGCTTGTCAACATGACTATTCCGTGCTTACGGCGCTGGGAAATCCTCGGCGAACTCCTAGGATCCTCTACTGTCGATAGCGTTTGCGGAGCGACATTTTATAACATACTCTTCCTTCGTGAATAAAAGATGAATATGATCAAGTTTTCCGATACTACCGATCTACGGAAACGTGATGAAAACCCAAAGGCGGTGCGTCGATCGAATACCACGAAAGGTAAGGCTACATTGGTTCTTAATCAGGAATTCTAGACTTTTTATTCGACTTTCTGTGTACCATTCAGCAAGTTGCAGCACATACACGGGGAGATCCATTCATTTCTTGCAGCCATATCAGCCACCGTCGACTTCAAATATAATATATACTGAGTACTGTGTGGACGATCTGGCTGGAACTGAACGAGCTCATGCTTGAACACGGACGTCGTCAAATCCACCCGGGGTCTTATTGACCATGGGCTTCATCCCAACTGGGGATATTACCAACAGTATTGCCTAATACTGTCCAGTCGGTCTGCTGAGGCCATGATCACCGATATATAAAGATAGGTGTCTCCACACTGCCTTCACAATCGATGTCTCGATAGTCGGCTTGGTGGTGAACCACAACATCTGGAGCGTCGGAATTTTGCTACCTCCTGCCAGGGTACCTTTCATGGATATACCATCAAGATATCTTGATCATCAAGTGGAAGATCCATTGACGAATGTTGGAAGCATTCAGAACCACTCTTGCTCTTCACCGGCTATTCTTGAGATCTTGCAACCATGCTGAGCCCTCCAATATAAGATCCAAGGTAGGTCGCGATCGCAAGTCGCTGAGCTTCAAAGAGATTGCATTTCCTCTTTCTCTGGTGACTTAGCCTGGTAGCTGTATCCATATCGAGGCATCTTGAATCTGGTTATCACAACTGCACGGTCGAACATCCACTTCCCATTGTTGCTGTGATCGTGAAGTATTGTTCGGCTAAACCTCGGCAATGACCCCATGCCAAGGCGATTGTTTGTTGACATTGTCAGCGCCAATCACCATCAATGCATCTTCGTCTTCTCTATCTCGTTCTTGTTGTTCATTTTCCTCTTGTCGCAGGTGTTTCTCAGCCAGTATATTAACGACACAGGTTAGCTCAGAGAAGCATAACACGACAATGGCCGTGCCTGTGATTGCAGACAACGACCTGATTAACTTCGACATCATAGAAACACATAAGGAAAACATACAGTCATTACCTGGTGGTCGATCTGCAAAGCAACTCGCCGCCATCCTCACACCACGACCGTCGGGCAAACCAGGCTTACAGTCAGAGCCTACATTGAACGAAACAAAGACACTGAACAATGCGATTCGACAGGAATACGAGATCGAGCTGCAATCAATAGCAGATGCTGACGATCCACTGGACATTTACGACCGATATGTGAAATGGACGCTGAATTCCTATCCTTCTGCTCAGGCGACCCCCGAATCGCAATTACTGCCTCTTCTCGAACGGGCAACCAAAGCCTTTCTTACCTCTTCACTCTACAAAAATGACCCACGGTACCTGAAGCTGTGGCTGCACTACATTCGCTTATTCTCCGACAGCCCTCGGGAGACATTTGCGTTCCTTGCCCGACATGGGATTGGTGATGCGCTCGGTCTCTTTTACGAAGAGTTCGCTGCTTGGCTAGAGGGGGCAGGACGATGGATGCAGGCAGATGAAGTGTTCAAACTGGGCATTGAAAAAGAAGCGAGGCCCACGGAAAGACTGATACGAAAGTACAGCCAATTCCAGCAACGATTTGAGGCGAGACCGCAGGCAGATAATGAGCCCAGCTCTCCAGCTCTTCCAACCGTACGACCTGCATTAGCGGCCAAAATTGATCCCTTTGCTTCTGCGCATAGAAGCGAAGACGCCCAGGCATCACAGCAGCAACAACAACAACAGAATGGTGCGGGAGGCCGCCCCACAACCAGTCGTTCTGGCAAGCCTAAAATGGCTATTTTCTCTGATGCCGACAATGCTGCACCTCCTCCAGCAGCAATGACAACGAATGGCTGGGATAACATTGGTTCAATCAAGGAGCGCAAGAAGGAGAACACTATCGAGGCAAGACCTTGGACTGGCGAAAAGATGAAAGCTGGAGGTAGAGCAGGGACAGTACCAAAGATGGAGATTTTCAAAGACCCGGTATGATCGACCTTTCCATTTTCCTAGATTCATGTACAGTCAATGCCAATTTCCATTCGAAGCGCCTCTGAATCCCGGTTCACAGACTGTTAGACGAATACTAACATTCGATATTTTAATAGTCTCTACAAACAATAAACGGCGCAAGGCAACCTGTTCAGCGACCTGGGGATGTTGTCAATCCTCGTACAGGCCGAATAGAGCGAGTCTTTGTCAATATCGAAGCCATCTATCCCAGCAACGACCAAGAGTTCAGTTTTGAAGAGTTGCGGGCCACGTCGCGAGGGTGGTTCCGCCGAGACTGGCGTCAGCCAGAAGGACCATCAGAAGGGGCTCCGTTGCAAGCTCTTTCTGGAAATGAAGCCTCGCCACCAAAGCCAAGGTCCAAAGCCAGCAAAGCTCTGGAGCAGGAAGACATAGAGAATTTGAGCGAATCATTCCAGCAAAAGGTTGATCTGAACGATACTTCTCAGGGCAATCTCAGTATTCATGACGTTTCAACACAATCCATGGTCGGGATGCCAGAATCGCAGTCCACTTCTCAATCACAACCACAAAGTCAGAAGCCGAGGGAAAAGAAATACAAGGTCAGAGAAGTCAAGCAGGAAACACAGACGGTCAAAACACGCCTTCAGTCACCTACAGGCAAGAAACTCAAGAGGAAAATCACGGCCGAGCCTACGATGACCTTCCACTCAAAAGCTGCGACCAATGAGATATATGACATGTTCAACCAGCCACTTCGTAAGCCAGAGATAGCGAAGGAAGATACACAAAGTGGTGAAGAGATTGAGTTCACTGAAGACGTGGACGATGGGTACAGCACGACAGGGGACGCCGAGAGCACTGGCACTGGTCGGGAATTCGGAGCAGACAGTGAATATGGCGAGGACACCTTGGCTTCACAATTTGATCACACCGAGAGCCAGAGCCAAACACAAAGTCACAGTCAGCCTGACAGTGTTTCTCCTTGGTCAGATTTCACAGCCAGCAAGCACGTGCCCCGGCTTGATTCCCGGAATACTTCATCTACCAAGCCCAATCCTTCCTCAAACAAAGCTCACGGCAGGATGAAGTCAAAGAATAAACACAGACATGTAATGGCTGACGATGTGACTGAGAGTCTAGATTCGTCGAGTCAAAACGCAACTCAGACCTCTGGGCTTGGTGGTGACTTTGATACACAAGCTATCGCTGCCATTGCCAACTGCAACTTTGACGACATGGACACCAAGGCTATCGCCATGATGGCTGGAGATGTTGACGATGAAGAGCAGGACGATCTTGAGATTCAAGATCATCTGCCCGCATCATCACACTCTGAGACTGAAGGCGCGGCTGAAGAAGGAGTGGCTGCACAACACCAACAACAAGAAACAATGGATGAAGATGACGACGACAACAGAGACAGCCTCTCGACACCTGTGGATGATGTCTTCACGGAGCATCATGAAATCTCTCACAAGCCTCGCTTCATTCCTCTTCCACCGGAAGATTATGAGCCTACCCCGGTGAGACCGTATCGAGACCCTGCTCTCGTCGCCCAAAACAAGCTGCCATTCATGACGCCAATCGTCGAGAGAACCGAGAGCTCCCTTGCTCCATCGACCGTGTTCAATGACCCTGACTACTTCACGTCCAAGACTCCGAGCAGATCGACCCATGCTTACGAGAGCCCTTCGCAAGTGCAGATCGACAAGCTCTTGATGAGTAGTCCTCAGCAGCAGGACGCCACACCTCCCTCGTCTGCTAAGAGAAAGTACGAACATACCGGCATCACGGAAGAGGAGGTTGCGAGTTCTTCTCCACGTCAGAGAAAGGGACCTGGACGAGATCGGCCCAACTCGAATGGTCACATTCCATTTCCAATCGCCAAGGCTAGTCCGGCTCCAATCAAGGATGAAAAATCTGTCTTTCAGACTCCTGCTGTCCCAGTCAAGTCCCCGGCGAAAAGCATCATTCCACCTACCATCAAGCACAAGGGTCCAATTGTAGCTGATTTGCAATGCAACCCGTGCGACGACGTCATCCGACGGCAGGTTCTCACTGCCGTTCATCCTCCAGTTTCGTCCTACTCCGGATACTATGATCACTCAGCGCAGGCACTCGGTCAGTATTCTCTGCTGAAATCCTATGCTGAGAAGATCTCGAAGCTCAAAGCTAAAGGCAGTCCACGAAAGAGCCAAGGCAGCAAAGACGCAGCTATCAAAGCAGTTCCGCCTCTGCTCAAGTTCGCTGGCGCTTCTCGCGTGTATGCTGTCAAGCGTGAGTTGGGTGCAGGCGCTTTCGCTCCTGTCTACCTCGTCGAAAGCTATGACCCGAACGACAATGCGCTCGCCATCGTCGATGATGTGGAAGACAAAGAGAATTCAAGCCCGAAGAAGCCAATGGAGTTCACCCGCCAAGGTCTTGAAGCGCTCAAGACTGAAGCTCCTCCTGGTACTTTGGTGTGGGAATTCCATATTCTACGCACTGTTCGTCAACGTCTGGGCCCTGCTGCGCGCACGATGCAGTCAATCGTCCTTGCGCAAGAATGCCATCTTTTTAGCGACGAGGCGTACATTGTGCTCGAGTACAGTCCACAAGGAACGTTGCTCGACCTGGTCAACCTTGCCAGAAGTGAGAATGTGAAAGCTGGCAAACCGGCCGAAGGTCTCGAAGAAGTGCTTGCCATGTGGTTTGGGGTTGAATTGCTGCGGAGCCTGGAAGATCTGCACCAAGTGGGTATCCTACACGGCGATCTCAAGGGTGACAATTGTCTCGTCCGCTTTTCCGGCACCGACGTCACTGGCCCGTATGACTCTCTTGGTGGATCCGGCTGGAACGAGAAAGGATTGAAACTGATTGACTTTGGTCGTGGCATCGATACCAGGATGTTCAAGGCGGACGCCCAGTTCATCGCCGACTGGCCCAGCTGTGCCACCGACTGTGCCGAGATTCGGGAGTGTAAGCCGTGGAAGTGGCAGATTGATTACCACGGTGCGGCGGGCGTGATCCACAGCTTGTTGTTCGGCAAATACATCGAATCGGTCCCTGTCGGCGGCGGTCTCGGTCCGGGACAAAAGAAGGAATGGAAGCTCAAGGAGAACTTGAAGAGGTATTGGGAGAAGGAGATCTGGACAGAGGTGTTTGGCGTGCTGTTGAACCCTGCCACCGTGCAAGACGGTGAGGAGATGCCGGTTCAACGCAATCTCAAGCGAGTGAGAACGCGAATGGAAAAGTGGTTGAGCGAGGAAGGTGAGAGAAGTGGAAGAGATCTTCGAGGTGCTTTGAGGAAGATGGAACGACTTGTGGCGGGAAACAAGTCTGCATGAAGAGGGAAAGAAGAGAAGACGACGATGACTGAGAGGACAGCATATTTCCAACCTTGGCAATGGAGTTTTTGATCACTTGGAAATATTGCGGATGCCGGAGACGAACAAAACAAATGGGTGGTGACATTATGTGTGATCGGATACTCGTTATGAGCAAGCAGGGTGTTGGGGGTGTTTTTTTCTTCTCTCTCTTCTTTTCACTGTGTTGCATGTCGATGCTGCATACCTAAGGACTCATAAGAAGGTATTGAGAAGGTATCTTGCCTCGACAACTTTGTGATACCCAGAGTGGTAAAGGGTGGATTTTAATTATTCAATGAAAGAATATCACCATAAATATTTCTTGCTTGTAATCCTTTTTATATTGCACTGATACGAGTACCTCAATAAGTCGTACAGTAGTCATGGTATTTAGTCGGTGGTAGTTGAAGGACTGCTGTTCTATGATCTGTCTTTCTTGATATGGCAAAATGTGTCCCCAAGAGAGGAGTAGAATATTTTCCGTTGAGATGGCGGAGATGTGCTGATGCTTACGGATACTTGGACTAATATGGAGTACGAGATTATGGAGACGGTGATAGATGCGATAACACGTACCAGCGAGAGCCTCCCCCAACTTTGTGATCTTTCATCATCATCAAATAAATCAATAACCGAGGGCGAAAGGGAAAGCTCGGAACCCCGTTTAATAATAATAACTGCTGCTGGTCGTGTGTCATACCCGTTTGACCCGTTGGGGTTTATCACACCTACTTTCCAGGATCAACGACCCTTTTTTTTCTCCTTCTCTGCTTTCTAATCGAGCTACTGATCGTTTGACAAAGCCTTGTGCCCTCGGCGCCCGCTGAGAGGAGAGAGAGGGAGCATACGACCCTATCCACAGTATGCGTTGCTGACGACTGTACTCCGTAAACACATGTCATTAGTCGGTACTTGTGTTCGTTCGGCATCGATTGATCCATGCGATAAGCGATAAGCGGGCGATAAGTGAGACGCGAGATTGACTGAGTGATATTGTTAAGTGAGCGAGCAAAGCATCCCACCTTTTCCGAAGAGAAACCTCAAAACGAAAGTTCGCAAAACACACCAAGCGGGGACATTTGTCGCAACGATCATCGCATTACGACAAACATTGGATAACGGTGGTCAGAGAGCACTAGAAGAAGAAAAGGAAAAGACGGACATTCAAGGACGAAGACGAAGGCGAAGGCAAAGAGTTGACACTCTCGATATACATCATCCCTCACACCACCACCACCACCACCTCCTCCTCCTCTACATATTGCAACCATACCTCGCCCGTACACACGAGTCGCATCGGCGCAATATAACCCTTAACCCGCGGTATCATAATTAAAACGACCTGCGGCCCCTCTGTGTCGAACGAGTTCAGTGTTCGCCTTGTTATCGATAGTGGCGCATAAGACACCGCTCGATTGATCCTGGAACTATTGGAGGAGACCAGGACCACAGAACATTATACCGCGAACAGATCTACGAAAAAATAAGCAAGACTCACAAAAAAAAAGGCCGAGAAGATAGGATTGACGAGTCTGTATATACTCGAGTGAATATACGTATACACATACACGCTCTCGCGGGCGCACACGAGATGGGTGACGCAGGTCCACCGACACCACCGCCGGTGTTGGTTCAAGATCGTCCTGGAATAGATACGATCGAGACACCAGATGAGTCACCTCTGAAGGAAGTGAGGGTACTGGTCACCGGGTTCGGGGTGAGTTTTTTTTCTTTCGTTACTGGCCTCTTTCTTTGTCGTCTACCTCAAGATGTGACCTCGTGCTCCCTGGTGAGAAAATAAAATACTGACCGAATGTTATCCCCCAGCCATTCAAATCATTTTTGATAAACCCGTCATGGCTCATCGCCTCGGCACTACCGGATGACCTCCCCCCGCCCGCCACCACTGCCACGTCGGGCAAAGGCAAATACAAAATCAAACTCGTCATTCATCCGTCGGCCATTCGCGTTTCGTACTCGACCGTGTCGGAGACCGTGCCGGAACTCATACGTCTACACGACCCGGATTTCATCTTGCACATCGGCATGGCCGGAGGGCGGGATTGTTATTCCCTCGAGACCCGTGGCCACAGGGACGGGTACCGGATAAAAGACGTGGACAACCTGGACGGGTATCTCTGCGGAGAGTGTAAGTGGAAACGTGACGGGGTGCCACCGTTACTCTACGGCATGTGGGATGAAGACGACGTGTTGAGGAGGTGGGAGGTTGGCGTACAGAAAGAATTGGTCGCGAGAGGGTTTTTGGGTTCTGCGGGTGTGGATGAGAATGAGATCAAAAAGACGTCAAAAACTGAGGGTGGTGATGCGACGAGTACAAAGACAGAAACAGAAACAGAAACGGAAACGGGTACAGGTACAAACTTTGTATGGGGGAACAACAGCCAGAATACAAGTGTCGAGAAGGCGAATTCGAATGCCAGTGTCACGGGACGAAGGGCAGAAGAGAATCGTAAAAGGGCGGTGGTGAAGTTGTCGAAGGACGCTGGAAGGTTCTTGTGTGAGTACGCCTTGTTTGAGAGTTTGAGTTATAGATGGATGGAGGCGGAGAAGAAGGAGAAGAAGAAGAAGAAGAATCGACCTACGGGACCGCGGGATGAGGATCAGCAAGAGCAAGACGAGGACAAGGTACGAGAGAGACTTGGGAAAGTGGCATTTTTGCATGTCCCAGGATGGACGGGAGTAGAGGACATCAATCGTGGAGTCATGATAGCTGAAGAGGCCATCAAGGCGCTGATAGGAAGTTGGGAGGAGGGGGCAAGAAGAAAGACAGAAAGTGATGGGAAGAGTGTTTCCACGTTTACGACTCAGAATAGCGAAGTGCAATGATGATGATATTATGAGATGTTTTGTCATGTCAGCAATTGCATTAATTATTTCATTATCCGGGCCTTGAGTAACAATCGACATTGCAGTTGAAGAGGTTTTCAATTGTTGGCTCGAAATCCAAGTGGACTTTGACATGATACAGTATTCTGTACATTGAGCGATTGGCGAGATCTTGCAGAGTCCAAGTATTCGTATTCGTAGGTGCTTACGGTAACAGTTTTTCCCATCACGACCCGAAGACCTCGCGTGTATCGTAGATCGATCTGGAAAAATAAAAGTCTCGATCTCTTCACAGTAGCTGAAACAAAAACAAACAAGGAATGTCGTGGCTTGTAAAGATGGAGTCGATCTATTTCCTTCCCAGTAGTTCCGGCAGTCAAGGATGACGAGGGGGCCTGGGCTCCATTATTGATCCTTCCAACCTCGCCCGCGGCTGAAAGAATAATGATACGAGGTTTTGACAATTGACATGCCCCTCGGGAACGAAGCAAGGGCTTGCAGAGCTCGAATGTGTCACCCTTTCTCATGCAGGGTATATAGTAACAGCAGAGGCCGAGGTACGAGTGAGCACTCATACAAAAGTCCCTTTGTTCTTTTTTCCCTCCCAAGGAATCCTTCATTTCGGATGTGAGCGAGCCAGGATCATTGAGTCGGTGCCCATTCCACTGACGACACTTGTTTGTTTACTTACAGATGTATACCTCGGTGGTTGAGTAGTCAAATGCTCTGTCGAGAATGGATCCAGCCGGTCAAGCCGATTGTTTCAGGACTGGAGAAGATGTCATGCATGGCCCAGTGGACTCTGGGAAGTGGTTCTTGTATGTACTGTACGAGGATCTACCTGGTAGAGATACTGTACTGTAGATTTGAAGGAGCGAAGTGATGGATGATGCCGGTCGGTGTATCCTGGTTCTTGTTTCTGGGGAAGCGAACGATTGGTCCCACGTCAAGACGGATGAGGCGCAGATTTCGCCAGACCGTCTTGGGGTTGGTTTGTCATTTTAGCGCGCATCTTACGCGTTTTTTTCTCTCTTTCTCTTTCCGAGCTTGACGCGTGAGAGGAGCAAGCCAGTACGTCAGTGATTTGCAGAAGAGAAGAAGCAAGCACACGACAACTTTTTTCGAGATGCCCAATAGCTGGCAACACTTGGGGCTGAAAGTGTGCCCAATATGCGTTCTCCAGATGTTGGGTATTGTTCTCCTACCTCCCTATAGCAGGTCGATTGTACTGTACTTCGACAGTCAGACAGACCGAGTCAATAAGGGTGGAGAGCTGGACAGATACTTTTCTGTATACAAGAACAGACATGTGGTGCTTTTGACAGCGGCTGAAAGAGAATCGCGCCAGTCTGTGCTTTGCAGGGTTGAACATGATGACGAGACAATTGAGAAAGTCTTTGAAGTTTAGTGACTCGTACTGTAAACTCAACAACGTACAGTACGTACGAGTAGCCATGCAGAGGCATCTCGTCAAGACAAGCTCCATCACGGCGCGCTCTCAACTTTGATGGATACTCAACGACTTCTCCGTAGAGAATCTTACTCCGCGTCGCGCGCCATTGAGATGTTTGTGATGGTGGGTTGTACAGAGGCGAAGTTGGTGGTCTTTTGCGGTGCAGCGTACTCCGTAGAGTCCACTCGAATGCATGATGCAGCTGAGACCAGCAGTCCAGGATCCTTGAAGGGAGGCGTCCTTGGGATATGTACTCGGATGGAGATGGCTCCATAGAAAGGAGACGAATATGTACGGTGCAATCGATAGACACATCTTCCTATCGATTGGGATGATCAATGTCGGAGGTGCATATCCCTTACCTGGCCTGTGGTAGTGGTGATTGCTGGGACGAGTGCAAATGGTATTTACTACTCTTCTATCTCTGTCTGTGCCTTTTAATCGATAGTGCTAAGAGATCCGACAGATAGTCACAGAACTGGCCTCTTCAATTCTACATCCCAACTCCCATCTTTTACCGTACCAAACCATCATCAACTTCACCTTCCTCTTTCTCTTCCTCGTCTTCTGTGTTTGCTTCGACACCCGTTTGTTTGTTGTGACTCCGCCTGTCAAGTGGTTGAGACATCTCACCGCCGAGCTCCCACTGGTTGGGGTTTGTGATAGGCGCCGCAGGACTCCTCACGCGCGCGCACAGGCCTTGGGGGGCGCGGCGATAGACGCAGCGAGGATTACAATACAAGTATTAGGGCAACGGGGACTTGGTAGTGGCTACTGTAGGGATTATTTCTAGGTATCTGGGACTGTGGGTGGTTGAAAAAGGCTCCCTTTCGCCTCCACCACGGCTATTTTTACGGAGTCCTTGCTTTAGGTGCCTTCGGAGTAACTACTGTGCCTAAGGAAAACTCGCCTACCGCCCGTGAGAGCTCGGAGGCGCCCACTCATCCTCTCACTCACTCCTCTTTCCTCCTCCCACTTGTTGCGCCAACATTCCAACATTCCAAGGTTCCGTCGACGACACACTTCTGCCAACAATCCCTTTCTTCCCATTGAAACTTCTCCATCCACGTCAGATGTGCGTGTAAACAGCACACGAAGTATTCTGACCACGACTTCTTTCTTATTCTTCTTCTCACCAAAACCTTTACCTCGACCTCACATCGACCTCACTTTCATTTCACCACCCCGAAACCCTAGTTCGCTTCTTGAGCCCCGGTCTAATCTTCCCCTGCATCGTCCCCCCAGCCACCGTCATTTTCTCAACGCCGTCGACTTTCACACCTGCGATCTTCCGACTTTGACAGTCGCTTCTCTGCGCGTCCGGCACGTCTCTTCTGTCGCAAAATCCACAACAACTCGCAGTCATTTTGCTGACTGCGCATACCACTCGACCGATACATCCGCAGTCGGTTCATACACGCACGCACTTCCACACATACACACACTCACTGCACGCCGCAAACCGCGGTGGCGCTCTCCGTCCTTTTCTTTTCCACCAAAAGCGCGCTTCCACCAGTCTGGTCGATCGCATAACTGCATAACCGAGTCTTGACACGCGTCCACAACATGAACGCTTGAATACGGGAAAAGACACTCATCTCGATCTTGACCAGTTCTGCTCAGAAGCGCCTTCCTGCGCGCAACATCACGTTGACGCCGTCGATCCGAGACCCGTGCGCACACTTCCTCCTCACAGCCATGGCAGGTCGCGAACCTTCACCCACGCTGATGGCCTCGTCAGCGCAGCGCAACAAACCACAAATCTCAATAACCCTGCCGCGGAATTTCGCTCCTCTCAGCCTCGACAGCGGCGACGATCCCAAGACACCCGATCAGACCTTTGCTGAGCTCAAACTACCTCCTGCACCACATCACTCAACCTGCCGCGTTCGCCGGACGCGAGTCACGATGGACAACTTTCAGGCGCGTAACAATTCTCTACTGCCCACGCTGTTCGCTTCAGAAATTCCAATTCCTTCCAGCGCGCAGTCGACTCAGACCGAATTCCTGGACGCCGAGATCCCGATTCCTTCTATCGAGGCATCCTCGTTGCGACCGTCCTACCAACACAGCATTACAGATCCATCACCAAGTGACAGACTAAAGTTGTCCACGTTCCGAGACATGCAACTTCCACGAACTCCCATCGCTCAGACCAAGCCAGTCTCTTCCGAGTACAAGAATGGTGCCTGGGATATGCGACGTTCTTCCTCAGAATGTTCGACTCGCTCGGATTCTTCAGAGTCGTGTTCTTCGGAAAACTTCGCGACCCGACCTACCTCATTTGATGGCAGCGCGACGAGTCCAGACCTAGACTCTCAGGATCCATTTTCGCCTACACTGGTCAAGATCATTCCAGACACACCTTCACGGAAGAGCAAGAAGTTGAAAATCAACACTATGCTCGCCAAAGGCAACGTGAAATGGAGCATTGAAATGGACAACCACTTATTCAACGTCTATCAAATGTACTTGGCAGATCCTACAGTGACCCCATTCAAGACACTACCTGGCAGTATCCCCCCAACGGGCGTGTGCCACCGTGTCGCCCGAAAAGCTAAGGAAACCTGGCCACGAGCAAGCAGAATCAACCGACCATTGATCAAGCGATACAAGATGCGCAATGTCATTGAGAGCCGGAGTCTGGCTCGAGAGCGGACTCCAGAGCCTAATGATTTCTTACGCACTGACGACGCTAGAATTGCCTGGCCTTCCGAGTCTGCCACTAGAAAGCGTCTGAAGCAGTTGTGCAAAGAAAAGTTCACCATCTCGGCTCACTATCAACGTTTGCGAGAATCAAGAAGTCCCTCTCCATTCCATGATCAATTTGCTCGTCGTCCATCTTCGAGACTTTCAAGATCAACATCATGTCAAGCCGATCCTGAAGCCACGACTGCTTATGCGACACGCGAATTGGGTATTTCTTTGGTGGCTAGCAGTGCAACAGGACCTCTCGCTCAGCTGGTTACAGATTCACCACCAACACAGAAAATGTCTGATGATTGGTTCAATGCTCCCGTGAACAATTCTTCGGATCCCATGATGTTATCGACACCCCTCGAGCCGGAACACAACAAGCTCAAGGTTGCAAACAGCATTCCCCGATTGGCATCGCCATTTAATTATAGTACATGGAATGGATCAAGCAACTCAAATCACCACCATCGACGACACATCAGTCATAACCAATTCGAGACCATCCATGCTACAGGTTCAAGACTGCTCTCTCCGTTCAGACCAGAGCCTGATACTTCACTCAACGCCAACAAACGTCGCGCCCAGCATAACCTGGAAGATGAGATGAGCCCAAGTGGAAGCAATCTTCCCGTGAACCCTGAACTCAATCTTCCAACACCCACCACCTTCGAACCGAAGCCTGAGCCTCGGCCGGAGCTAGTTTTCACAGGCGCTGGCGACATTCACCAACGAAGAATTCGTGTTCGCAATAGGGGTGCGACACTCAGCGCTGTCCACAGCCGAGAGCATATAGCACGTCTCTTCAACCCTCCGTTCGGCGTGGATGGTTCCAGCGAAGACAATGGGATTCCACCCGTTCCACACTTGCCAGATTCTCTTGCAGCTTTGGCAGCTCCCACCAACAAAACGAGTACTTCGTCGTCGCTCACAGTTCCGGAGGTTGATCCTACACAAAAGCGACTTGGCAGTCCATTCGAGTTGGATCCCAACAAACGTAGTCAACGTGCAAGACTGCCGAGACACGTTCCAAGTTTATCCGACCCATTCATCAACACAAGCGCATTCGCTACGACGCCGAGTCACGGTCATACTAGCAGTATGAGTATTGGAGAAAGATTGGCAATGTTTAACACATACCATCCGAGTCACTTTCAACGTCAAGGATTTCCTCAACCACCGAGAGATGATCCTTTTGCCTAATTGGAATCAGGCATCAACATCTTCTAAACACGGTGCTATCGTCCCTGATTTGTTTACATCATGAGGAGTTTAGGACAGTCATCTATCAGGACAGATTGACAAACTGGAATTTTTGTGAGAATCCTGGTCAACGGCGTCCAGGGCTGATTTCACATTCATACCAATATTATTGGGAACCAACACAGTGGGAGGCGTTGTAGGTTCAACATGCATCGTTAGGGCATTCCTTTGCCCCAGAATTTTTACCTTGGAGCGATTTCAATTTCGCATGGAATGGAGTACCTCAAAATCATCGAGAGAAAGAAAGAGCGAGAGCAAAAATAAAGTCCATCCAGAGACAAGACAAACAGAATTGGCACGAAGAAAAAATTACAGAGATCAAAGCAAGACCATTTCTATTCTTCTCAAATGCAAACCATACGCTTGAGGATAGTTGGAGTTTTTGGCACGACGAGGACAAGAACGGCAATCGAGAAGAGATCATGAGAAACTAGAATGGACAGAATGAGGTTTTCAATGTGTTGATGAGGTTGATGAGAGTTTGGAGAGCTCTTCGTCTTTATTGTTCCCCCCCCTTTGCGGACTTGCATGTGTGTTGGCAGGAGACTTAATTATCTTTCAACTGGGTTTTCATTGCTCCGCAGATTCAGTTGTATTATTTCGAGAGCTTGAGCAAGGACATGGACTTGGGTGGGATGGGCTCCGGGATCAAGGGGTCGCGCTCTTTATGGAAACCCTGGTAAAGCATGTGTCTCCAGGTGTTGATTGGTTTTCTTTTTTACCTTTTTCTTCGCACGTCCTGGTATTGTCGCAGGTACGGCATTGATACATCGGGATATGGGACACATGGGGATGACCTGTTGCGGTTATTACGGAGTACCTAGGGTTTTTTTCTTCCCACCCATGACGAAGGTTACGAAACATGAGAATGAGCTTGAAATGAATACTATTGAGATTCAATTTGTTTTGCCATGCCGAGTTCTTTTGCTGGTGTGGTTCGGATCAGCTTTGATTTTCCAGAGAATGTTTTTTGACCCTGTATTTTCCTCGTGATGCTGTGTTTTGTTTCGTGATGGTGGAGTACCTGCAAGAGTGTAAGAAGAGGGTTTAGTCAAGTCAATACAGAGGTTACTACAGAATGGCAAGAAGAGAATGAGATTTTCTGTAAGGAGAAAAAGGGGAAGTCAAAGATTTGAAGTGGGTTTTTTTGGAGGGCGATGTGATTTGAATTGAATATACGGAGTATTCAAAATAAGACTCCGTACAGAAAGTACCTTGGGTAGGTGGTAACTCGAGTACAAAAAAAGAGTCACGAGTTGTTCTTGGTCCCCTCGATCCAAAGACCCTGTGACGAGACGCACAGTAGTAAGCAGTACGGAAGTACCAGTACTTTTTACAACCTTTTTTCCTGTCAAGCAGGGAGAAGTGAAGAAGGCTTTCGGATTTGGAGGAGGGGAATGTTTGTGCGGTTCTCACCTTGTTGAACTGATGGATCATCGTCATCGTCATACATCAGTGGTGATAGTAGTAGTAGTAGTCTCAATAGAGTAGATGCAAAGGTTGGCTTGTGTTATTTTATCATCTCCCAAGATAACTCCTCCTGCTCCGTAATCGAAGTTACGGAGGTCAATCGAAACATGCTTCGCACGGATCGTGACCGTCACCACAATAAGGGCACGTGGACCATCCTGGGTCACGATAATTGACCGGTTCCAGTCTCACTTTTTCCAAAATCGTCGCGGTGGTGGTTTCGGTCGTGAATTGATCCCCCGATCTTCTGACTTGGGTGGTTGTGATTGTTGGTTGAGACATCTTTTGTGACTCCCAAAGGGACTTTTCGAGTCTTGTTGTAATTCGTACGGGATAGATCGAGATTGGGAATATGTTTGAGTGTTTTTTTCATCAAAAAAGAAAAGCCCGTAAGAATCAACCAGACCTGTGAATAGCTCAGTTGATGACAGACGTTGATGATGATGATGATGATGATGAACAAATTCCAAAATCAACAGAGGGAGTAAAAAGATACATATATACCCTTTTAATCGTCATCACCACCATCATCGTTCTCACGATGGTAATTCAATGGTCGTGCAGTGCAGTGCAGTGCAGTGTTGGTGTCAGTAAACAATGAAATTTTACCATTGTATTGCATGCCACACATTGTGCATTATTGTGGTGACGCGTCGTGTTTTTTCACCAAAAGACGAAAGAAGCAGGGCGGTGTGGTGATTATTGACAATGAGAATCGAAAAGAAGATAACATTCGTGACCTTGACCGTGACCACGGCCAGGTGCGTGACAATGGTATTGTCTTTTGCAAAATCCTCGACATAGCCCAAAGGACGGGAAAAAGAGGACGGACACAAAACATTGTCGTGTTTGAATGAGTCCCATCGACGTCTTGTCTTTGTCAAGTGGCAACAAAAAGGTTTCTTTGATGCGAAAAGTGGCATGTCCTTCTTCGAATTGAAGGGTCGTTCATTCCACCAGTCAATGAATCAATCAAAGATCGGAGAACGAGTAGTGGTCGTAAGGCTTTGTCTCGGTAAGAAAGAGAAGAAAGAAAAAATGACTACTGGTGTGAGGATCTTGGTAACGCAAGTGGTAAAAAGGGGTGCGGAGAGGAAAGTGTTGTCGATCTCTTCTCAACAGCAAAGACAGTAAAACTGTACTGATTCTATTGAGCCAGAAAAAAAAGACTCTTACCGTCTATCTTTGGAGAGAATAGCGGGAGAGATGTATGCGCATGTGAGTTGTGTGTGAGAACAAAACCCTAAATCCGTCCATCACCATGCGATCGTGGTACCGTCGTAGGACCAGAATTTCCCAGAATGTGAGTCTCGGGTAGATTCGTCAATCTTTTTGGGGAATTCAACAAGTCAGTACATCGCAACAGGCAATCCAAATCACCCCAAGACTCGACTCGAGGAATGACAATGGTTATGGGATGACTTGATTTTTGCTAGTAGAGACTTGCGACTTACCAACTTTGTCAAACCAGAGATAGAATCCTCGATGGTGGTCGGGGCCCTTTCGACTCCTGCCAACCTAGCACCCGCATTTCCCATGTCCGTTTGTACCCATCTGACGTGACCATACAATAATAGTACGTTAACTTTCAACGCGGACGACAAGAGGATGTGAAGGATGGAGTGACCCAAAAACATCGGTAAAGGGTTTAAAGTCAGGTACTCACCCAGGATGAACGGGAAACGCAATCAAATGTTCATTCTCGACGTGAATCTTTTTGGTGATGTAATTCAAGGCGGCCTTGGACATGCCGTAGCTGGCGACCGGCATGGGGTACTGCTCCATCCTCCCGATGGTTCCCATGACGGAGCTAATGGTGACGAATTTGGGCTTATTTTGGGATCCTTTCAGCAAAGGTGCCACGGCCGAGAAGAGGACCGTCGGACCGACGACGTTGACTTGGAACGCCTGGTTCAGGTCCGGGGGCGACGCGGCCTCGACGCGCGCCATTTGAGGCGACATCCCGGCGTTGGCGATGACGACGTCGAGACCGGTGATCCCGTGCTCGTTCTGGAGTTGCTCGACGGCCGCCGCGGCGTCGGTCTCGGATGAGCTATCGATCTTGACCACGACCAGAGAGCTCGTCGCCGCTTTGGGCAGAGATTGAAGATCTTTGATACATTCTTCCGATGGGTTTCGGACGGCCGCAATCACCACACTGTTTGGGCGGTTGAGGTAGGCTGAGACGAAACCTCGGCCCAGGCCTGTTGGTGAGGATTTGTTACGAGTCAGTGGTGTGTTTGTGTGTGTATAAGGTACCCAGATACACTGGGGGACTTGGGGATGTTAACGGACAGGCCGGGGAAGCTTGCCTCGATTTGCTCCGGTGATCAAATATTTCGTCGACATTTTCGGGAAACTTGTTTGGTGGTAGAGAAAATTAAACAGCACTTTTTGGGTGGGAATAAAAGAGAGAGGATTCTTTCAGCAGACTGAAGACGAGGAAAATCCACACTGTTGTACCATTTTACTTGTTGCCATGTGTGAGATAAAAGGTACCCGCCAAGTAACACATATACTTTTTACTAGGTACCTAGAAGGTAAGCAAAGTGTCTGTCTCGTCCAACGGATCGGAATCTCCACGGACCCGACGGGCGAATATTTCAATGGATTCCAAGTACTTCGTAGGGGGTTTCGAAATTTATAAAGGGCGGATATTGCACTCCGTATGTATAGTAGACAATCTCTGGGGGCCTGAAGACATCATATACGCCTTGCGATTCGCTCCCAATTAACCGCCCACATCATCCCTCTTCCAAAAGAGGAAATGGCTACTTAGGTACCCGTATACTCCATATACTTCTTCTATCCTCAGATAGGCAGCCGTTGCGAAATGTCCGACTTATGTGAAATGCTTTCACAAGCCCGCATCAATCTGGTCCACTTCACCGGTCGCTGAAAATGCTTGCCAGTCCTTGCATAGTTGATACGAGTCTTCTGGGATTTGCATGTCTTTGATTATTGCGGGTCGCTCGAGGATGTCTACGGCAAGTCCACCAGATCCGTGGAAAACCATGTGACAATGTAGCGCCCAGGATCCTGGATTATCTGCATCGGCTTGAACAACGAGATAACCATTCGAAGGCACCATTTGCACGTCGCGTCTTTGAGGGTTGGTGGGACGAATGATGGTCCCGTTCCAACTTCCGATGCCGACGTCTAGGATGTACTACAAAACAATCAGACAGCTGTACTCAACAGATGCGAGGCCAAGGAACTGCAGCACTGCCGAAAGCATAGAACTTACCATGTTGTGACCATGTAAGTGCATAGGATGCGGTTTCGGCGTATGATTGTTGATCACAAAACGATACGATGAGGAATTCCCCGTATCAAACACGTTCCAATCTGGTTGATCGTCGTATGTAGTTTTCCCGTCTTTGGTCAGAAGAAGAATTGGCTCATTATAGTCAGTCCGGAAAGATGAGTTGTTGATGTACCAAAGCCAGATCCCTGACGCATTTTTCCCGGCAGTCATGTCCAACACCATCGTGTTTGCAGGCTCGCCAGGGTCAATCGAGTATAGCGGGACGGTCTGACCCAGCTGATCGTTATCGCAGCCGACATTTTGATATCTCCATGGTGAAGATTTGGGCAGGGCTGTCAAATCTGCATCATCGTAATACAGGGCCGCCAAAGCATAGGGTTGGTTGGAGCTTGTGCATGTGGCGTTGCTTCGAATCCAGTACGCTCCTTTTGGATCTCCAGTGGCTTCGACGATGACATCGGTCCTCTGACCAACCGCGAGGGTGACGACGTTGGTATCATATGGCTGGATAAAGAGTGTTAGACCTATATCGAACATGGCCGTCTTCTACTCACTTCCACGGGCACAAAGTCGTTCGCAATGACCGTCATACTATGGTCATCAATGGAGAATTGTTGGGTGGCGTCGGCTCCAGTATTGATGAGACGTAGTCGATGTCGTTTCCCCGACTGGAAATGAAACTGGGCCACTCCGGCATCCTCGGAGCATTTCGCTATCTTGTCCGTCGCTGTGCTGCAATTAAAGCTCATTTTGCCTTGTATGAGGTTGTTATCGCTCATTGGCCTGGGTGGCAGCGGACTTGGCGACATGACAGTTTTGACGATCGAGTAGTAGTCTGTGTGAAACCAATCACTCAGGAGGATCGGGCCAATATCGATATCATAGTCTTCTTGACTGGGGCCATATACGACCATCGCACCAACAGCTCCATCTGAAATATGTCAACCCTTGTATCCTTCCAATATCCGCGCCAGCCGACACACTATCGTGGCCGGTCGATTTTAAATAGCGCCCTTTATATCTCCCGAAGTGCAAGAGAACCATACCTGTGTACTGGGCCGAATCTGTAAGGTGTTAGTAGAAATATGGAGGCATTTGAACAATCGAAATGTAGCAGGGAGAAAGCGACGTAGTTCGCCAAAGATCGGTAATGGAAAGATGAGGCATGCTGTATACTTTGGAGCAACTTACAATGAGCGTGGTACCAACTCGTCCCAAATAAGCTGGCATGGAACCGGTAGGTGAAAGACTTTTCTGGAGGAATTGGGCATTGCGAGAAACCTGGCATGTCAGAACCGAGCTACCTTGACTTAGTCGAACGACAGACCCGGTGCACCGTCCATCCACTGAGTCTCTTGCTGCAAGAACCCATGCCAATGTATCGTCGTCCCTTCAGGATCTGTTGTGATATTGTTCGTCACTGTCACTTCGATGGTGTCTCCCCAGTTGGCTTCGATTGTTGGACCGGGAAACTGATTGTTGACAAGAATGACTTCTTTCTCATATCCATCAGGAGAGAGGATGCCACGAGAGATTGTAAAGTCATATGTCCGAATGACTCCGGTGTCTGGACCCGATGTATATGGGTTGGTATTCGTGCAGTTGTGCTCTCCCCAAGGGAATCCGTCTGTGATTGGATTGTTTGTCAGAAATGGAGGTAGTAAGGGAGTAGTAAGAGTTCCTAAGGTGCTCAAGCCGTTTGTGGTGATCTGATCAAGTGGTGTCGCTGCAGCTAGCACATTAGACAGGATAGTAACGAGATCCATTTTGAGCCGATGAAGACAAAGGACTCTCGACCACAAAGCACAGGAAGACTCGGATATAATACTTTCATTGCAAAAATGAGAGTTGCCGATCATCACAAACTGTAGGAGATTGGATTCTTCCTTGATTGTATCTGAAAAAATTGTATACGAAAACAACAAGATACCGCCCAATCGTGGAGCCTTCACCTAGAGCCCCTTGATGAATGTTTCGATTAGACTGAAACATGATCCCAAGGAGGGTCCTGATTAGAGTCGAAGTCAACAAGGTCGAACAACAGATACCTCCTCGCATGAAATGCGCGTAAACACAGAAGCTCCTCTGATAGCTATCGCGTTATGAAGTCGTTCACCATAGGATGCATGTCATAAACTCAAGGGAGTGTTGCAGCTGGGAAGCTGAATCGCTCATTGTATACAATCTGTTGTAGATTGTAACATGAAGTCAAGTATATGAGTATTGCCCGTCTCTCCCAAATAGTTAGAGTCGTGCTGCGTTGCCACTACTCTAGTGCTCTGAGATGAATTAATTAGGTCTCAACGCGTTTTGTGAATTATGTAGCCTTGGTTGACGAGGCTGTGAGAGCCTCGTCGCCTCACAGCCTCAATAATTTCCTATTGTGACGTCAGCCTTTTCCTGCGTAGATCGATCGTCAACTGTTTGTTTTCGGCGAGTGACTTTTTCTCCTCTGCCAGGGTTTTAGACGTGATATGGTGTTCTAGTACGTTGTCCTGCGTTTGAAAGACAAAAGAGTCTCCGAAGAGCGTCTACAGTTCCACAATATGTTAGAATAACACGCATACCAGACAAGACAATGGTGGGCAGGGATCAACAAATAGACGTGCTCAAGCTGACATTTTGCAGGCCTCTTTACTGCGGCAGATTGTTGCAGGGCCGCGAGCCAGACATCCTGAGGCTGGATTAGATCTGTGCTATGTCACTGATTTCAGTTGGTTTGACCCTTCTTACATGCGAGATAGATCATGCTAACACCTGCAATAGTTGTAGTCACTTCTGGACCCAGCTCAGTATGGCCAAAGAAGGCCTACCGAAATCCCCTTGACCAACTAGTCTCTTTTCTTGATCGCAAACATGGTGAAGATTGGTCGATATTCGAGTTTAGAGCTGAAGGCACGGGATATCCTGACAAAGAAGTGTACAACCGAATACACCACTTTCCTTTCCCCGATCATCACCCACCCCCATTTTCCTTGATCCCGAAGGTCATGGCCGCCATGCGGAATTGGATCCAGAGATATGACGAAGATACACAAGAGGCGAACGAGCAAGATAAACCGAAGAGAGTCGCGGTTGTACATTGCAAAGCCGGCAAAGGACGCAGCGGTACCATTTCATGTTCATACCTCATCAGTGAAGAAGGGTGGGATAAGCAAAAGGCCTTGGCTCAATTTACAAATCGGCGGATGCGAGCCGGTTTCGGTCAGGGCGTGAGTATTCCTAGCCAACTTCGATGGGTTGACTACATCGACAAATGGACAAATCAAATGGGAAAGTACTACAAGGACATACCGGTAGAAATACTTGAGATCCACATCTGGGGTCTGAGAGAAGGCGTTACAGTCACGGTAGAAGGATATGTCGAATCTGGGCGCAAGATACACAAGTTCCATAAATTCAGTCGACAGGAGATGACACTATTGGGAGCAGCGAGCACCGAACAACCTAGCATGTCAACCTCGAAGAAAGATCAGCACGGGCTGAGCACTCCTCCAACAGGCACACCGCAATCATCAACAGTGAGCTTGAATGGAACGGCAAACACCTCACAGGATGTCATTCTCAAGCCATTCAAGCCTATCGTCCTGCCGTCAAGTGACGTCAATATCGACTTTGAGCGACGAAGTAAGGCTCCCGCAGGATTGACCATGATGACCGCCCTCGCCCACGTTTGGTGGAATGCATGGTTCCACGGCGGTCACGATGGCCACAATAGCGGCACGTTCGAGATACAGTGGGAAGCCATGGACGGCATCAAGGGCAGCTCGAGGAAGGGCACGAGAGCACTTGATAGGTTGGCTGTGGTCTGGAGATACAGGGAAGATGGCCGTGAGACAGTCGTGCCCGAACCGGCAAAGGGGGAGCCGGTCCCTGAAAACCCGCCTGCTAACTGGCACGGCGAAGATAACCCGGAGGTCAAGCCCTCAGATGGCATCGACAGTGGCCGATCCGGAGGTGCGCTCTTGACGATGGGAGCAACCATCAATGAGGGGGCAAGTACGTTAGGCAAGGAACTTGGGTTGAAATCGAAAGAGTCCGAACCGTCCAGCGCCAGCGTGTCACTAGCCTCGAGTGACAGTTTGGAGGGCAAGCCTGCTCGGAAAACCACAGAGGTGAGGGAGGCTGAGGACGATTCTGGAGACGAAGGTGTCAGGACGTACGGCTTGAATGGAGAACACCATATTCCTTACAGAGAGGAGGATGAAGGGAGGAAAGACACAACTACTGACCATACGATGGAGGCTGGTGTGGCGAAGATGGCACATATTGTCTCCAAAATGAAATCTTCCGACCAGAAGGAGCATGGGACAGAAACTTCTCATGAACAGTCAGAGGCAAAGACGTCTATAGATTCGACCGACGGCAAGTCTAGCTCTCCTCCGGCATGATTTACTGTTTTTCTTTTACGGATAGCATTGATACCCCAGTACACGTATTGCTAGAAAAATAGGCAAGGTGGTATACCCGTTGTATTTTATTGGACATTGTAAGGTTATTTAATTCCTTTCCATTTGCTTAATTCCATTGATCCTGAGAAATGGTCTTTGCGAGTTCAATATTTCCAGAATAGTCGATCGCGACATCGACCAACGACACGCCCTTGTGGTTGAGGGCTTCCTGGATGACACTCTCGACCTGGGACGAGTCGGAGATACGGAACCCTTTGGCGCCGAAGCTCTCGGCGAACTTGGCAAAGTCGACGCCGCCCAGCTTGACGCCCGACGAGCGGTTGTACTTCATGACCTCCTGGAACTCGACCATGTTGTAGGCCTCGTCGTTCCAGATGAAGTGAGTGATGTTGCAACCCTGTTGCACGGCCGTCGACATTTCCTGCGACGAGAACATGAACCCTCCGTCGCCGCTGACGGAGACGACCTTTTCGGAACACGGGGGGTCCTGGGCGAGACTCGCACCGATGGCCCAGGGTAGACCGACGCCGAGCGTCTGTTGGCCGTTGGAACAGAGGAGTCGGCGGGGTTCGTAGGCGAAAAAGTACCTAGAAACAAGGCAAGACAGTGAGCAGTGAGTAAAACTTTTCCAAACGTATAAAGCCAAGGTGCCGTGCGGCGTTGTGTGGGTTTGGACATTGGAGTTTGGGGTTTGAGTGAGGTTTGGACGGTCCATTGTTTCAACAGTACTTACCTCATGAAGTAAATGTAGACGGATCCGACGTCGACGCAGACGGTCGTGTCTTTCGACACGAGATTTTGAAGAATGGTGATAAAATGGAGAGGGTGGACGAGACCGGATGAGCGTTTGACGTCTGGTAGTTGCTGCCATGAGAGGTACTCCTCTCTGAAAGGACGACACTGTTCTGCGATGGACGATTTCGAAATGCGGTCAAGGTGGGAAGAGATGTATGCGAGGTTTTCGGCAATTGAGCCAACCAGTTCTAAGATGGGTCGGTATGACGCTCCATAGTCTGCCGCCGTCACGTCAATGTGGACGATGCGACCGTCGCCCTTGGGGTTCCAGGCACTGGCGTCGTACTCGACAGGGTCGTAGCCGACGGAAAGGATGAGGTCGGATTTGGCCATCAGTCTGTCGCCGCACTGGTTTCTGAAGAGGCCGACACGGCCGTAAAAGACGTGTACGAGGTCCTTTGAGATGGCACCGGCAGATTGGAACGTCTCGACGGTTGGGATGGGGAACTTAGATAAGAGTTTACGGACTTGTTCGACGACTCTCGGCGCGCTGGCGCGGAGTCCTAGGAACAGCACAGGAAGCTTTGCGTTCTGGATCATTTCGATGGTTTCGTCGAGGCGTGATGTCGGAGAGATGCCATACTTGGGAGGCAAGAAAGCGTGGCTCGGGAAAGGGAGGATCTTGGATTTACCTTTCGACACGTCGATTGGGATGTTGACGACCGCGGTGCCTCTGGGTGAAGAAGATGCCGTTCTAAAAGCGTCGAGGATGACTTCGGCGGCTTGGTCCTCGACGTCGATCGAAACGGCCAGTTTGGAAGTCGGGCCAAGAATGTCAAGCGTCTTCATGCTCTGATGAGTTCGATGTAGTTGCATTGCTCGAGGAACGCTGCCCACGAGAGCTACCACGGGGTCGCCTTCTGTATTTGCTGTGACGAGACCTATAACCCCGAGGGATCAGTTCTCGACACTTAGTTGCCAGCGTGGAAAGGTTCCAAACATACCTGTAGCCAAATTGCTAGCACCAGGTCCGCTCGTGGCTACACAAACTCCAGGCGTTCCTGTGATGCGTCCGACAGCTGCCGCCATGAAAGCCGCATTCTGCTCGTGTCGAGCAACGATCAGTTTGATCTCGGGGTGGTCTTGAAGGCAATCGAATATGGCATCTATCTTGGCGCCTGGCACACCAAATACATAACGAACGCCAGCCTTGTACAAGCTGTTGACGATGATCTGGGCGACAGTATCTTCAGCCATGGCTGCGGTATGGTGGGACGTTGTATGAGCAAGGTAAAAGGAGAAACAAGGTGTCAGTAGCTCAAGCAATCAAGGGTATCATAGTCTCATTTTTGAAGAGAGATCATGCACTTTTGGTCCCGTTATATAGATGACAAACAAACCGATTCAACGGGTAATACGTTCTCTGCTTTTGGCGACTTGATATGGAGGTCGAAGAAAAAGGCGAAATGAGGGAAAGACGGGATGATGTAATCGGCGTTGATTGGGTGAAGATGACCTCACTATCCAGTACACACGGTTAATGGCGGAAGATGGAAAAGACGCGTCTGGGAAAATTCTTCCATTTATTTTTCTCATATATATTGCAGTTTCTTGTTCTTGTTGTGAACCGGTGAAAACACCGCGAGAGTCGACCATATCGCGAGAAAATGCCTTACAACGAAATCTACCAGTATTCGCTGGTCAACGCCCTCATGAGCGGCGTGTCAGACTCTGGCATTGCTGTAGGGCAATTGATTGAAAAAGGAAACGTCGGGCTGGGAACATTTGTGAAGATGAGAGGAGAGCTGGTCCTTCTTGATGGCAAGGTATACCAACTCCAGGCTGAGGGCAGTGTTCGTGTTGCAGAACATGAGGAACAAATCCCATACGCTGCGTGTACGAATTTCAAGGCCCAGGACACGGTCAATGTGACCTTCGACACTAAGGACTCAGTCGATGAGATTCTGGAAAAGTTCGACAATCATGCGAGTAATCTGTTCATGGCTTATCGCATAGAAGGAGTCTTCAAAAAGTTAAAATGCAGAACTGTCAAGGGTCAAGAGTATGATGGTCAGGTAGGTACCAAATCATCGAGCTATCGGAGGGAAGAAGATAGAGAGCATGGCTGATCGATCAATTCCCAGCCACTTTCTGAGCTCGGAAAGTCACAATTCGTCGCCAACTATGACAGTATTGAAGGGACGATTGTCGGGTTTAGGGCACCTCAAGCTTGGCAGGGGTTCTTCGTGGCCGGTGAACACATGCATTTCATCTCAAAAGATCGCAGCTTAGGCGGACATGTCTTGGAGTTAAGTGGTGCAGAGGTTACGATGGGCATAGCGACGATAAACAACATACACCTCGAATTACCTACGAGCGAAAAATTCAACGCGGCAAAATTGTCAACTGATGATGTAGGGCTGAAATCCGTCGAAGGTTGATCAAAGCATGGTACACAGTAACAGCTAATCCAGAGTTGGGACTGTTTGTCGATGACTTTATGGCTTGCCTTGTCTTGTCTACAAGCAAATTCTTATCTTGGCTACTTCCAGGATTCTAGACATGGAGAAATCACCACCATCGATGACACAGGTACAGGGTGAATGAGTGTTCTTCACACCGATGGGACTGTTGGCCACAGTTTTCACAGGAACTGTGCCGAGTGCCGCACAGGTCTTGTTGGCACCTGATTGCGCTCCTAAATTAAATATGGTACATTGCGGCATTGTCTCAGAAATGTGAGTCAACCAGAACATGCAATGTATTGTCTTACAGAGCGTTTGGAAGTCGAGTCTCCTGCATGGCTCAGTATCTTGTCTCCAAGGCCCTGCACTGAGCTATATATTCGCCCTTTTCCTCAAGCTTCTGGGTGTTTCTTCTTCTTGCAATTCCCATCCAAGTTCCTCCAAGTCGCCTCTCGAACGAGCACGGCATTGTTTCTACCACGGAATGAAATACATCTTCTCCACCGTACCTGTTACATAGCGGCCTTCCACAGCGGCAAACCTCCAACTACCCTGCAACTGCCACTCCAGCCTTGAACATGAAATGTTACATACTACTTCGACCTCGTTGACACATCCCATTCTCTCCAAAGAGGAGTGCTGTTCGGCATATGAGGAAAATTCACCTCGGCAAATAGGAACGGGTATCCAGACAAGACTTTTTGTGTTTCCAGAAACGCAATCATTCCTCTATGAACCGAAATCAATGTGTTCTCGACAGTCGTTAGTTTTCAATTTCAAGTGTGACCTTCGACACAAGCTTGACGACCACGTTCTACGAACAGTTGCTACGACCGCCACTCAGCAAGTGACCTGGATCCAATCGGTCCTCGCGCAACTCAGGAGCTCAGCCAGAAGTCCATAACCAAATTGAAGTCTGAGGTGAAAACCAACCTGCTCGCCCACTTGGCCTCAAAGTCGAGTATGATGATTCCTATACATATTGAGTCTGGTGGCACTCTTTGCTCGCTATATGTCTAGCACAGTCGTCCTGCCAATAAGTGCTATTGGAGTCCTACTGTTGTCCTCTGCGCTATGCTTGTTAATTGATCCAGCCTCCACCTGTTCCGACCCAGGAGCCAAGGTTCACGCAATTTGGTGAGACCCAACTGTCATGTAATCGAGGAAAATTCGACTTTGAAGGAAGGCGATGAAGCGGCTGATATCTTTTATCATAGTTTAGCGATAAGCAGTCGAATTTTCTGTGAAAACACTCAGCCTCAGCCTGCTGCTGCAGTGTATTCTTCAATGCTACGCCAATCTCGCCTTCCTCAGGCTTCAAACACGATAATCCTGAAGGAGCCCCTTGTTGCCACCACTGCGAGCCACAACTCTCCTCTTATATACATATTATTTCGTCAAGGTCAAGGCCGCCTTATGCCTTTCATTCCCGCAGACATATGCTGTGTTCGTGCAACCAAGCTGGAACACAAACACAAGTTGCAAACATCGTACTTGCAATGCACCGTCCGAAGTCATCTCTTTAGTCAGTACCAGCAATTCATGGAGGACTAGAGGTTTAGTTTTGTCCTACCGGAGTTGGGTTTCGCTACAAAGGGAAAAGAAGCCAATGAGAATCGATTGAGACAGTACATCGATGTTCTACCTAAACTAGAGGTTGCATGAATCCTACAAGCAGGAGAGAGGTCGGGAGTGACTTGAAGACCGTGTGCGAGGGCTGCTCGGGCGTCTGCCACGCCAGCTTGCAACAAAGACCCAGTGTTCCCCGAGCGCGTCTCGGTGCAGGTATCTGGTGGGCATCTCTTTGCCGGCAAATGCATGAGCTGCCAGCTGCGTGGCGGAACATGTTTGTTGGCCGCTGACCGGTCCACCTACACTCCAACCACACCATCATCCCTCAGTGCAGCACAATTAGACAACCTCTCGGAAGAGACACAGGCCCCTTGTTTACGGGTCAAGAGAGGGGATCCAAGGGAACTCACGTCCATGACCACTTTCTACACAATCTCGACGAGATCATCGTCGAAATGTGTCACTTTCCAGTCCTCGTCGCACAGGAAGTCACGACCAGCATGAATTGGCAAACCACTGTATCAATAAACCAATGTACATTTAAGGGAAGCTCAGACGGCTGTTCAAAAAGAGGCTACTTGCTATTATTCGAACCCATCAGTTGCCGAAAAGAAAACACTTAGGCAAGCTCCTGATGCTCTCAAAGGTTTACGGAGTTGTATGAGTCGAAAATATCATCCAGTAAGTATCATACGGTGGCAAATGAACTGGAGCAGTCTTTCGAGGTGTTTCTTCCTTCCTGCGAGTTGGAGGAAGAGCTCGTCTGCCTCGGTTTACTAAGTACTATTAGTCGATACGAATAGCCATTAGAACAAGGAGATTAAACTTCCCTTGAGAGCAGTCAAACTCACAGCCCGAAATTTTCCCAGATTGGAACTCAAGGATGAATTGAAGGACAATTTAAAACGTTCAACTAACGAGACAAGAGATGAGCTCAAGACGCTGAACAGGAGGCTGGAAGGATTGAACACGAAGTCGAAGAAATGCAAACGGAACTACATACGGTCAACGCAGCGCTCAAGACCGAGTTACTGAAAACCATGAAAAAGAAATCCAAAAATGAAGTCTCTGAAAAGGACATATCATTGCAGTTCGAACGCTTTCAAGCCAACTTCTTCAGAAGAATTTTCACTCTTGTAAGTACTCGAAAGACTACATATTTACTAGCGATCTTCTAACGCTCACGAAGTACCGTCCTTAGCTGGAATTGCAACAGAAACGTCGCTCGCAAGTCTTTGGTATGCGTATAAGATACGCACGACCGGTGAAGCTACGAAGGAGGCTAAGCTGCAAGTACGGCTTTGGATTTAAGGAGCAGAATGAGCAATACAACACGACTAATGATGAGCAGGTGAACGCACCATACGCATCAAGAGACAAACGATCTGGCGCAACCTGAGATAACAGCCAACCTCGACCGAATGTTCGCCCTGTTATCGATGGCTCAATTCGCACCTAGGTAGCCACCACCGATTAGGGCCTGCCTCGTTGCGAATCTTGAAGGCGCTCAGATTGTCGCCCAACTCACAGTCGCGCAGAGTTTCAACACTGAGGACGCTAAGCACGTTCGCGACACCGATCAACTGTATCGTAACTCTATCATATGGGTACTTAGAGACGGCCCTGTGGCTAAGTCAGAGAGCTAACGTGTCAATTTCATTTCCCACGATCTAGAAATCGTGCTGTACAGTTGGCTACATTCGAATTGGCTCAAAGACCTCATGAGTCATGATCGCAGTACGCAACCTACACACAGACTCAGCATAAAAAGCTACTAGGAATATCTTCGTTCAAAGGATAATGTGGACATTTATCAGTACACTAAGACTGTGACAATGAATAATTCTGAGGACAGTGACACATCGTTCTTAACACCAGACTAACTCTTAGGTAAAGAGGCCATACAGGTTTTCGAAGCGGCCTCAAAGCTACCGGTTAACTGCCTAAATCTCGCGATCTATAAGGCTAACTCACAGCCATAATATATCGACACCCAGCGCCATTTGGTCGGTCCTACAATCCTTGCTGAAGAATAGGGGGATACGTCTCAAGGATATTGTACGAGTTCGTTAGAAGTTCTCAGAATAGTCTTCGGACCTTTTTCTTGTTTAGCTACTAAGCATGCGACCACCCGCACGATTTTGGTGCTGCTTCATTCTCGATCCGACTGACCTATCGGCCTGGCGTGACTGGCAAGGGCCGACGGTCAATACGCCTCAGCGTCCCGTGGTCAAACTCCCACGCGGCCAGCGTATCTGGTGATGTCCCATCCACTGGCGACTCGGTATGAGATATTCTGTGAGATCTCTGGCCCAGATGATAATCGCCGGCCACGGCGACGGTGGACAAGGTTCCCGCATTCGGTGGAAGACTTGCCTCCCGGTGGCTGGGTGTTGTGTTTTTGGGCTTCATCACAAAGGATCAATCCTGTCAATCCAATGGGAGCACCTATCACATGGTATGTGATTGCGACCACATTACACAACAATGTTAACGAGTTACTTGGACCGTCATATCTATTTCAAACTGGACGCATTTTTGGACGATTTTATGGAGTTGGCCAGAGATGAATTCATTTCCGATAACACTGCCGCTTTTTGGCCTACGGCTGTTTACTCCCGAGTCAAAACAAGATTTCCCGACTACAGGAATAACGAAACATAGTGACTTACTGCCGTATCCCTACGACCCACGAGGGTTTTCTAGATCTTTGGAAAAGACCTACAGAGGATCTACAAAGGATCTAATTAAAGACGGGAGCCTTGAGTATTTTGAGACAGAATCATCACTGAATGGGTATTAATCCCATTTGGGCAGTCAAAATTGACAAGTTTAATTACATCAATACTGATGTATCTGACCTCAAGGCCAGCGCTTCGAATACCAAAAGGCATATCAATCCGACACCTTAACAATATCTATTGGAGATCGAGGCCAAGTGATGAGTGTCGTATTCTCACAGTCACAAGTTCCAACCAGTATTCCATGCATACAAGTCAGTACCAATGGAAGAGTTGGTTTGGTCCCATAGTGGACAATGACAATCGGAAATGTCAATTGTGCTGTGTGCACCACTGTCATTCTCGATATTCCAGCAACACTACCCATACATATCTCATTTGGATCCGATACTCTACTTCGCCGAATGATTGAAGGTTGGGCCGAGAGCTTACGACAACTCAGTAATACTTTGACCCTCCCTGATCGATTGGAAGAAACATTGCAAGATCAAGATCTTCAAATGGCGCTTATTAATGCAATCAGTCAAGGCATTGAACGTGCTGGCCTTACGAATGTATACAATTCAAAAGGAACCGTACAACAGCTCTTTAATACGGCGAAAAACACTCGTCACAGCGGCCCTCTTAGTGGAATTTATTCCCTACGCCATCCTTTTTTTTTGCAAAGATAGAATACTACGGTACTGATTCTATCCTATACGTTGGCAGAAGCGCTGAAATGGCCATCAAGATTTGGCTGCAAGCACAGATCAACTCACAAGATGTTGAGTTTGTTATCGGGACATCCTTGGTAGTTACCATCCAGATCATCGAATAGCGCTTCCTCCTGTTTCCACCCTTGATGATATCAGCAAAGGCGAGATTCAAATGTGGATGTTGGATTTCTACAAGGTGGTACAAGTCGATTTGAGTGACCCGCGGCATGGCTCAGCCAAAGATCGTTTCATGATCCTCGTAGAAGTCCACCATGCCGCTGATGCCTTCCGGACTTCCTTCAAACAGACTGCATCAAGACGTCCAGCAGTACCATTTCTAAACAACCTCGCATCTTTGACGATATAGCTGCCCAAAATGGCACTCCTTCATATCTTAATACCGCAAAGCACTCTACAAAAAATTGGCAGCAACTGCCCTGTGAATCGGACAAGAAGGTTATCACATCAGATGGAGCGAGCTTTTTCAGATCTGTTGACTACACACATCGCATTCTCCCTTACTCAATCTTGAGACTACTGTTGTTCCGCTACAAGGCAAGATCTGTCAAACCTACCGGATCCATGAAATTGCTTCATCCAGGCACTATTTTTGGTCACAAGTGTCTTGAACCGAACAAGCAGCTTCAGCAGAACCAGGCATTGTTGAAATCATACTTGGTACTCTCGAACAACGATCACGACCTTGACTCGAATGACGAATGATATATCTATATATACACTAAACAATGGCTTTGCCGGTCGTGTTCTTTATTGTCTATTCTATGGTTCACTTCCAATCACCATCGTGGCTTCATATGTGCAAGGATATTGGCCGCTGTTGGAGGATTTTCCATAAAATGCATTGAGGAAACACAAGACAAAGTCATATTGGTAAGAACTCAACACCTAGCTCAGAATTTCATCATCATTCGTCGGAGGCCCTTTTCTACCAAATCCACCGATAAGCAGTCCAGAGTCAAATAAGACAGACCATTAGGTTGAACTTCATGCCGGAGACTGGTCCGTTTGTGGACACTGTGTTTGACGAAGAACATCAAGACAATACTTTTCTTGCTTGTGTTTAACCCCTGGCTCTGTGCTTCTCGAGGAATTCACAAAGTTAGACATCATCAGAAAAAGTTGGTAAAAAGGGCTATCCGTAACGATTGGACGATATCAGGGTCGCTCCTTAAGATAGCTGCACGGTTTATGACGGACGAGCAGAAGGATCGATGGCACCAGTCTTCGGAAGTAAAGACGGCAACTTCTCACACCTCGAAAACCGACAAAACATCGTTGGGTAAAAGAAAAACGAAGAACCCTCCTGCAAAGTCGAACCGAACGACAGAAAGTGTCGCCATAAGGGCAAAAACGTGTCGCCTCTCCCCCCAGCGAAGGACCATCAGCTACTCTGACCCCCATCAAGCCTACTCCTTGTTCTTCAGCACACACCTCGATATGTGGCTCGCCCACTCCTCGCTCTGAAGGTAAGATCCAACCTCTAGCGACACCTAACGTCGATTGAGCAACCAACAGTTCAACAGAGACCGCGAAAGCGCAAGCATAAAGCTGCTTGGCTCGATATAAAGGTTAGAGAGATGGAGCAACAGGAACGAGGTGTACGATATGGAAAACTAGAAACTCAAATGAACTGAGGAGTTGTATAATGCGCAACATCATATGGCATCTCGGGTGTCTGAATTCCGATAGCTTCCCTCCCGATGAGATCGAGCTGATTGACCATGCGATGGAAGAGGTGTAATGCCAATTGCGCCTTACACTTCCCCTTCCGACGAATTGGTACGTTCGGATGAACATACAAGCACGCAAGCTGTCGTGCGAGGAATATACTGGCATGAAAGATGTATCGATTCCAATGGTTTCGCTCCTACTGAGGTCGAGCTCATGAAGTACGTTTGTTGTCATCTCCCAATGGACTGCCGCATACCATGGACAGATGGACCTCATCACTTGTCTCGTCTCTCTGATACCTTACCAATCACGAGATGGCCACCACGGATGAGGAATAGGAATCTGACTTCCACGGTGGCGATTCCGTCAACGATGAGTACGAGGACTTTGACATCACTCCGAAATCTTCGTTCTTGATTACGTCCAGTCCAGCATCAGCGGCATGGAGGAGGAATGAAGTGTACTCCACAGAACTCGACGATGAAGAAATTACAACTTTATTTAGACCTAGGTCTAATAGTTTACGACAACTGATACTTCGAATGACTACATTTGTAAGTCTGACGGTTGAAGCATCGGAAAACGCAAAGGGATCCCGAAAGGTATGTGCCAAGTTGTTGGAGGAAGATCACCCTATCGACGAAACAAGGGTAGCCATGTCGCCAACCTTCATGTGCCTTACGATATCAACCTATGAGCCAATCGAATGAAACTACAGAGCCCGACTTTTCGACATTACTAAAACTCCAGTTGATGAAACAGTTGGCGACCTTTTCTCGGTGGCAATACTAAAACAATTGAATTCTTTCGTTAGCAAAGATGATAAGAACGCTTTTTGGTTCGAAGCAGGATCAGAAGGAACACCGCAACCCGAACCGCAACCAATATCAGGATCAGGTCCTGCCCAAACCTCCACCGATGGACCAGGTTCTGCCGGAAGCCCAGCACGAGGAACAGATCCTGCGAAAGCCCAGCGCAAGGATCTACCGAACAGTCATCAGTAGATAACAGCGATAAGGAAAGGGCACGAATTGACCCATTGTAAAGAGAGCATCGAGCTCTGCCGAGAAGTCCTTGAGGTTTGTCTCAGCAGCCAAAGCAAAAGGGGGTTCATCCCACATACTTACCCACGGGGTACTTACGATTCAGATAGCTAACCTAATCTAAGCTAAACTGAAGTGAACAATCAAATACTCCATAACCATTCTTCCCCATCGTCTTTGTTTTTGCTATCATCGTCGTCCTCCTTCACGGTTCCAAAAGCATCCAAAATCGCTTTCCCAGCTTGAATGACGCATTCTTTTTCATCCTTTTTCCACGTCTCGAAACGACCAAACTTGCGTGCATCCACGATCCTATCCCCGCCCGTGAGAATGGCACTCGCGAAACAGATACAATTACTTCCCTTCTCGTCGGGGCTGGTGTGGGTGCCATCTGACAATGTCGAAACGACTTGCACGCACCTCTCGAAGACGGCGAACATGTTCAAGCGCGCGAGGGGTAAGACACCCGACTCGGTTGTGGCGGTTGTAAAAGACCTTTGTGCCGCTTCTGCAAGATCCAAAAGACGTGGTTGTTGTGACGACTCCGTTGACGTCGACAACGACTCGCGACGCCGCTGCGACGACACCGTAGCCCCAACACTCCGTCTTTTGGTCGTCCGGGTGGTAGCACAACCTTTTTTATCGACGACGTCGGCGGCAGCGACGTTTAGGCTGTCCCACACGTCGTCTCCGACATTGTAGTCTTGCTGTTTGACCCTGAAAACAAGACAATCGACCTTGCTGGTCGAATCTGTGTCGCCGCTGCCACCGTAAGCCCCGAGTCCGGCGGCGCGACGGGCAGCGTGGGCCGGGATCGCCATGCACCACGCGTCGTTGCTGTTTCTGTTCTTGTGGCCCCTTTTGAACTTTAGGCGAGCGCCGACGTGTCGACTCCAGCACGCGCGGAAACTGCCCTTTGGCCGCGTGCCACCCGGGAAGAAGACACCACCAAATTGATCGCAGAGACTTTCCAGGATCGGGATCTTTTTGAGACGGTCGAGTTGCGTGAGGGCGTTGTAGGAATGCAAGACCGCCCCGACGTAGTGTCGGTAGTTGAACAGTCGCATGCCGTAGTAGTGACACAGGTCGAGAATCTCCAAAATCTGGTTCCCCGCGACCCACGGCGACTGAAAGTATATGTCCCAGCACTTGTACTTGGCGTAGGAATTCAAATCGGCCTCGAGATTCTGCAAATGATACGCCAACGTCTGGGTGCAGCGGCAGGGGAAGCACGTCTTGTCGTTGAGGACCCTCGACACCTGCGAAGAAGCTTGCTGGGCCAGCCGGAGAGCCGCGAGACGGCACCTAGAGATCTCGTTGGCCAAAGGAAGGGACTCGAGGTAGCTCCGGTAGCCTTTGGTCAGCAGCTCAAGACCCAAGATGGCGGACCAGGACTGGGCCTTTTCGTCGTCCCGCGTGATCAGATAGCCCACGTCGGCGTACACGGGCGTACTGTTTCTGACGATGTTGGGTGGTGCGGCCGTCCTAGCGACGAGGTGTACGATATTGTCGACTATCGCTTCCACGAACCGGGGTCTTGCCGTGGTCCCACTGCCGCCTGCTGGTGGTTGGATGTATTCGGCAGGTTTCTGGACGCACACAGCGCATGACTGGATGAGCAACTTGCTGTGTCCTTCTCGAAAATGAAGGAGTGATTGTTCCATCTTTTGCAGCTCGTCGAGAAGAACGTGGCCACCGTCGCCCGAATTCTCACCGTTCGTGACCTCGTCACCGATTCGCTTACAACACAGCTGATGAAGTCTCGAAAGTGTGAGATCCTCGTCATGCGTGAGCAACTCGACCCCGACTTGACGCAACATCGAAAATGCGACGTCCGTAACAAAGGCAGCTACCGGGAAGGAAAGGTGGCCATTCGCGGCTAGAGCCCAGCAACGTTCAACGGAGGACGAAATATCACTGATACGCTATTGTTTACCGATCAGTAAGTCATGTAAAGGAAGGTACTGGTACTGTGAGACTTTACCTGGATGGCTTCATTCACTTCGAGAAATGTCCCGAGTTCGTCGTCACCGAAGTGAACTTCTGGACTCTTGCCCTCGCAACTCGTCGGGCCCGCTGCGGTACATTCTGGGCATGAAGAAAGCGCATCTTGCTCAGACTCTTCCTCGGGTTCGTCGATGTGTTCCACGTCCAGACCAAGGTAAGTGTTCTTCGGACTTTCCAGGGACGACGCGACCGACTCTCTCTTTTGACTTCCCGATTTATGGTCGTTGCGACCACAACACGCACAGAGATCGTTGTAAATCTGAGCCAGGCTTCGTGATGATCAATCAAAGTCAGTTTTGAGGAAACTTCAGGTGTACACTGTTTGCACTCGTCAAAGCACCGACAAATAACCTTCCTTACCTTGTCGTGAAATGCTCGTGATTGATCGTGTCGACATCAACGGCCGATTCATCCACCTGGGCACGGAAATACTTGCTGAGTCTCTTGCGAGACGTGATTGTTTCTCGAAAATAGAAATGCACCATGTCGGGTACAGCCCGCAGCCTTTTCGCGGCCGTCTTTGCCAGAGCTTCGAGTTCCTTGATGGGCAGTGTTTTGACGCGACGGTTCGGCGTCGGACTGTACTGGATCAACCATGCCACCAGTGCGCGGCTCCCTTTCTTGTACCGCACGTACGCATCGAGCACGTCAGGTGGCAAGCCGCTGAAGGTGATTTTGTGGGAAGGATTGAGAAGCATTTTTGGAATGCTTTTGTGCCGAAGAACGCAATGGTCGAAAAGAAGGTAAGAAGCTTCACCTCTGATTTGCAATAGTAAACGAAGCAAGGAGAGCAAAGCGCGTTTTGGTCGGCAGGCAATGTTGGAAGGGAACAAAGAGAGCAAACTGTTTGGTCGGCAGGATCAAAACACAATCTTACCTGAGAAGTCGTCATAACTTGGGAATGAAAGCATATCTATACCATGTATGCTGCCACAAAGACCAGGAATGGAATTTGAGGACAAGGAGGGAAACATGAAGCTTTTTTTCCAGGACGCCGTACCCCGCCACTATCGACATCATCTTCCACATTCGGCAAAATCGACACCATGGATTTGACATTCTGGCGAAATCGAGAGAGATTGATTGGGTGAGGAGTGAGAGTGGACGCAAAGAAGAAGAATCGAGGACCTTAAAAGACACAGACGCTGGACGGGATGTTGAGATATGTTTATCATTTCCGGCAAACTTTCCTAAAATAAATCCGATTGTTTAGTTGATACGAGAACGAAAACGAGCAACAGTACGAGTACGGACGGAAAGTGGTTTGGGAAAAAGTAAAATCATCACTCGTTTCATGAGATCTAAACTACCTGAAGGTAAACTTGTTATCAAATACAGGTGTCATCAAAAAAGGGCATTTCAGCCAAAGTCGTGTATCGTCATCGTCCTCCTGTCGTGTCATGCATGAAGCGTCCACCAAATTTCAGAATGGCAGTACAGTACAGTACAGTACAAAGAGATCTCCCCCAACAATTGACCACCATCCCTCCTCCTCATCATCCTCACTCCTAGTCCTCCTCGTCAATCAATTTTTTATAATGCACTGGCATGCTGTCCTTTCGAGTAACCAGTTCTTTGAGAGAGTTGCTGACGCGTCGGATATTGTCGAGTGACTTTGCGTATCGGAGACGGTAAGGTTTCTTCGGCGATCTTGCTTTGACCTGCGTCAAAAACACCTTTTTGGTGGTGGGAGGGGCCTTTTCATGGTCGAGCCCGTCGACAATCTCGACAACCTCGACAATCTCCTGGTTGGCCTTCTTCTCATCAACGACAAGTTGTGCAGGACCGTGGGTGCCGCTGGCGGAAGCGACGATGCCTCGATCAAGCGGGCAACGCCCATTCTCACTTGACAGCGACCCGATGGAGAATAATCTCGACAGTCTCGACGGCGCGGCGAATTGGGCTCGGAGGTCGTCGTCTCCCATGTGTGTCGACCAGACCACGTTGTTGTTGCTATTCTGTCTGGCCCAGTCGATCTGCCTTCGTCGTTCAGATGCACCCCAACCATATCGTTGGGCGACCAGTGACCAGATCTTCCCGACGGCCAAGGTGAAACCAACAAAGACGAGTGATGCCAGTATGATGAGGACGATGATCGTCCCGACGAATGCTTGGGGAGGGAGATCGCGAGTTTTCAGGTGTTGCAGCAGTGGTGTTGAATCGCCGACTGTAATGTCGTGGGCGAGCACATCAATCGATGGGATTGGCGCCATGTTTGACTGAGAGTTTCGCCAGGAAAAGGAATGTGCGATCAGGATTCTGCCCTTGAGCGATACCGGTACGCCGCCGTGCAAGTCAAGCACGTTTGGTGAAACAAGTATCCAAGGTGATGAGCTTCGCTATCCAAGATGTGATCAGGATCTTGATCTTGAGCAACACTAAGACCCTGCTGAACAGTCAAGCACGTTGGAGAAACACACGTGTTCAAGGGGTGTTTGATGTAAGACTTATCAAGAATTGCTTACGAGTGGATTTTGGGTAGATTGACTGAGAACAGCAAGATCGGCGGTCCCGTGGTGGCAAGATATACAACTATGTATGCTTGAAGGCTGGTGTTGCTGATGAAGCTGGCAAGCTGGTAAGCTCAAGCAATGTCATGCCAACCTCCATGGCGGTCTGTGCACACGGGATTTCCTGGCCTTCCAGAAAAACCGCGTTTCAGGTGGCCGGGGCCTTTTGCGCAGGGACCTCCCTTTGTTTTCCCAACCTCACGGAAAGCTTAGATCCCAGTAACGTGGGTGGTGATCTGTGCGCAGATCTGAAGAAATGTGTTGCGACAACGAGGGATCGACTTGCTGAATGGCTCAAATACAATTTCATGGCTTACACACGATGATTTATCGGGATATTTCAAATCGTCGCGCAGGTATATCTTGAAGCCACCAAAGGCTCCTCGTCGCGTGGCCCAGGAATGCATGCTTCAGTCAAAACTCGCTCGCGCTTTAAAAACGCCTCTTCTCCATGCTCCTGCTGGTAACAGGAAAGCTCCATGGATTTTTTATCGCTGCAGCATTGGATGTGCCAACAAACTGTCGACCGTGATGCTGGGCCCGCGTCGCCTGAGCGCCAGGTACTGCTGGTCTAGACTGTTGATCGGCGATACAGGCGTAGGCTCTTGAGCTTCTATCGTGGGAACTTCCATCATCGCCCTTCTGGTGTTACTGGGATGGTACGTGCTATGGGCCGAAGAGGTGCTCGTTGAGACGTAGTCCCGAGGGTCGTAGGGACGCAAACCTGGCAGTGGCTTAGGATGATATGCTTGGTACGATTGCGGTCTCGTGTGGCTGTGGTGGTTATTCTGTTCGGGAGCTTCTTGAGGGAGAGAATATGGCGGCGGAGGGTTGAAGTGATCTGGTGGTAGAGCAGCAGCTATTTCCACACTCATGCTTTTGCGGCGATCTTGAGCCTGTTGATTACGTTGATGCATCCTAGAATTTCGTTCTAGAACACCTGTGGAGAAGTATTGGTCCGAACGTCGCCGATGCTCTTTCGGTTTGGTGTATGATGGTCCGTTCCCCGTATCAATTCTCAGCTTTGGTCGAAATACTGCAGCGGGTGACGTTGTCCTCGGTCGAGGAGGTGGTCCCGGAGTTGGCCGATAAGGTATATAGTGGTCTGATGGTGGCCGTACAGCTGCCCTTTCCACTGGGCGATACTCTGCCGGAATGTCTTCCCAAGGCTCAACTTCTGGTCTAGAGGTAGTTAAATCGTTTGTGGAGGAGGATGCGGGTAAGAGCAAGCTCGATCTCGAGGGTCGCAACTTTGACCGTACATGGCTGAAGAAGTCGTGACCTGATGAGGCCATGACAATAAGGAAGTTGCCGCCAGCTCTGACGGTGCTGAAAGTGAAGACTAGTATACAGCGAATGTGGTAACGTAGGTGGGAATATGGAATCCTATAGAGCTGCAGAAGAGTTAGGATATTTGAATGTATGAGATGTTCAACGCGAGCTGGCCTAATCCGGCTCCAATTTGTAGTGTACTGGGGTATTTGTATAATATTAGTTGGTGACCATCGAATTCCCACCACGCCGGCACTTGTCAGAGGCGAAGTTGGACGCCGCCTGAGCTTTAGCAGGGAGACAAAAACTCCACAAAGAACAAGCATGAAGACGACAAGAAATACTCCGTAATAGTGGCTCAAATAGGCAAACCTGCTTCGCAAAAGCCTTTACGGCCCGACAAGGAGATGCATCATTGAGGCACATGGGGGGAGGGAGGTTGTAGTAAGATTTGACGACATCAGGCGACAAAGGATGAACGGGGGCGGGATTCTCGTTAGTTGTTGCCCACTTACCTCGTGGTACAGAGAATGTGTGGGTTAAGGACCATTGAGATGATGATGGATGGTTAGTGTAGTGGCCATATCCATCTCCGTAGTGGAAGCACAAGACAACATGTTCGCATGTTGTTGGCTGTGTTAGCCGATCGTTGACGTTCGATTCATCATGAGAAGCAGCGTGACATGTCGACGTCGCGATATTGAGCCATTTCGAGAAACATCCGTCCGACGCAAGGTCAGTCATCATGCATACATACCCTGAACATGTCGGTGAGCAATCATACGTGAGGAAGATTGACGCGGAGAAGTTGATCTTATGCATTCATACCTAGATCAGTTAGAGCTGACCCTTATTGAGGCTATGATAAGCAACTAGCCCCCAACTTCGCTCCATTTGCACCTGCGGACATCTTGAGGCCAGGGCCGAATCTTGGGGCGGAGAAGAGAGTGCCAATTATAAGACGGAGTACTGTAATGCTCTTCGGTAGTTTCAAGATTCGCAGTTTTTGGCGAGTTGGGTCAAAACTGCGATGGTGCATGGAACCGGATCTCCGGGGGAACTGCCAAGGCGAATATGAAGAACGAAAGCTCGTATTGACCGTCGCAGTTTTGTATACATGGGGAAGGGATGACCTGACATAATAATGACTGGACCTTTGTAAGCCTCAAGGTAGTCTGCTGACTTGATTGATGGACACAAAGGTGAGTGAATACGACTCAGTCGCAACTGAGAAGCAGTCATAGCACATGCACTGCTATCGAACACCGGGCTGTTGGCAGCAATTATCGCTCAGGCAGGAAGCTCGATAGAGGACACCTCAAGATTCCTTCAGCACGGTAAAGGGTTGCCACGCCTCCGTGGGAAGCCATACACTGAAATGATACGGAGCGATGGGGCTTTCTGCGATTGAAGGCCTGGTTCACTCACCGCGCTTTACTCACCATCATCACCACCAGCAGGCCAGGTGATTGTTTACTGTACAAGTGCGGTGAATGACCACGGAACCGAGCCGGGATTCTGGGATCGTTGTTGTACGGAGTATTGTAGATATTGCATACATTTGATCACACAAGACTATCTCGTTGTTGCTCTACTGTAGTTGTGAGCAGTTCTCATGCGTAGTTCTCGCCATCCGGCTCGGACCTAAATACGCCAACTCGATGTAAAGGACGCGTAGGACCGTCCTTGGCCATGCTCAGCGTCATAGTACGAGCCCAATGTACGTAGGGAGATATCTTGACAGCCAGACCATGACACTTAGACATAGGAACCATCAGTGCCATGTTTCAGAACATCAAACAGTCAGCAAAGAACGCAGCGACCGTAACGAAGATAGAAGCAACGACGGCGTAGAGGATACGGCGTGGGTATTGGCCCGAAGGAACAGGGGGCCGGGCTCCACTGGAGATCTAGTACGGAGTAAAATGTCTATATTCTGCTTTGGGCGACGTCTAATTTCCACCGACAGACAGGAGACGAAACCTCCCCCACTCACTGCCACTTCCCATCTCCTGAGGTTTGGCTTTTTCGATGGTCATGGGTCAATCAGTATTTTGGTGTACAGCGAGAAAATGAACGCGAAAAACGCGTGCGCATCAAGCCTTGGGAAAAAGGGCAGAAAAACCATATCCGGTAAATCAAGTAGGTATTACGCAAAATGCTAGCTACAGCGGAAATCCCAGCTAGCACCTCTGGCTGCGTCTAAACAAAAAAGACATGCAAGAAAAACCCCTTCTCCAATATCACAACCCCCAAGACGTGTTTCCTGTCCTCAGAATGTGGCCATGTGAATCGTGATAAAGCAAAAACGCAGCACTAAAAAGGGCATTTATGCCATGACGACGGCAGCGGCGGCAACGAGACCAGCGAAAGCGAAGGAGCCAGCGTTGGCAGATGCAGCACCAGTGAAGGTAGCAGGGCTGACTGGGCTTGATCTAGAGTAACCGTTAGCATATTCGAGTTCCTCTTCTTTGGCAAACGGCAAAGGAAAAACTTACGGAGTGTATGACCAGACACCAGTACCAGTGGAAGCAGGAGCAACAGGGGTCTCAGAAGTAGGACCAGCGGGCCAGTATGGGGAACCGGTCTTGGTAGAGATTGGCGCAACTGGAATGCTGGTTGGGGCAACTGGGCTGGTTGCGACGGACGAGGTGCTGTAGGTGTAGTAGCACCAGTCGGCGGGAGGAGCACCGGTCCAGGCAGCAGAGATGGAGCTGAGGACTTCAGTTGGCAGGAGAGAGAACCAGGCGGGAGGAGTGGTGGCCGTGTAGCTGGGGCAAGCAGCGGAGCTGGTCGAGACAGGAGACACAGGAACGCTGCTGCTGGTGATGGTGGTCCAGTCACCCCAGGCACCCTCGGAGGAGCTGGTGGTGCTGATGGGAGAGACAGGCTTGCTGGTGGTGGTGGTCGAGGTCCAGTCAGCCCAGGCAGGGTCGCTGGAGGTGCTCACAGGCGCGACTGGCTTAGTGGTCGTGGTAGTCGAGGTCCAGTCGTCCCAGGCACCGCCTTCGGTGGGAGCGGCGTATGGGCAGTTGGTGACGGTCGGGCCGCAGGAAGTGATGGTCACATCGTCGGTGACGGTGACGGAGTAGGTCTTTGCGGATGCAGCGGCAACAAGGCCAGCGGCGACGGCGACGGAGGTACGCATGTTGTTGGTTGTTTGTGGTCGTTTGGTTTCGAGATACCGGAATCAAAAAATTATAAAGGCTTCGAAAAGCGAAGAGGCTGGTTTGTGTGGTTTATTAAAAACGAACGTGGTTGGAGCTGAACTCGAAAGAGTGGACGACCGGAGTCAAGGCGTTTGGATACAAAAGTCACAGCTTGGGTATGCGAAAGGAAAAGTGCAAGGCATTGGGCATCTTGAGGTACTTGTAGGACGCGCTCGTAGTCTGGGAGATTGCGGCGGCCAGAGGCTCTGACGGGGCCGGACGCTGAACCAAAGTGTTAGCCATTCGCCGTAACTGGCTAGCGATGGAGCTTCGATGGCAGTGCCTGGAGATTACTTCTGGAGAAGCGCGAGCGATCAAGGTGAAAGAGACAGGGGACTTCGTAAGGAAAAGGAGCAGCTTGAGTCAAGGCCGGAGACCGGTGGTCCACTAGAAGGCTCGCCAAAGCTCAAATTAAGGCTGCGGGAGGCTTTGACACCAACGCAGGTACCAGGAGGCTAGCTAGGCCAAAGAGCCAGTGATGGAGCTCGATGTGAAAGCCACCGACGGACCACATGGGCGCTAGAATCTCGCAGCTGACTCGAGCCAGGGAGGAGGGACTGGGCTGTCACAGGCGCGCTCAAGCAACAGCAGAGGTGGATCTGCGAATAGGAGAAGCGAAAGCTGCAATTAATTTGCCGGGACAGTCAGGGCTTGTGCCGAATGGTCTCTCGCGTGTGCTCCTCTTCGGCTGCTCACTTGGTTTCCCAGCGACGAGAGGTGGAAATGCTTGCCTAGAGGTTCAGGAGGATGCACCCGTGAGATGGAGTGCTGCAAGTACTGTACATAGTGTACGAGTACAGTACGGGGTACTCGCATACTCAAAGAGCTTGTCATGCCCAATGTTTGTATAGCATACTGTCTGTCGTTTTCTAACTGCAGGCTGACGACCGAGCTATCTGTAGCCCACTGTACGTGAGTACCAAGCGTCAGGTTGACCAGAAGAGAGCCCAGCCACAGCAATGGGTGCTCAATGCGTCGTAAGGATTTTCATCGTGGAAAATGAAAATACTACGCCAAACGGAATTGGGGAGTTTCATGTTGGTCCCTCGTCGTGGGTTCAGGGGTTGGACTGCCGGTGGATGGTGGTTGATGAGAAGATGTATGGTTCCCCATTGGTCTAACAGTCATCACCTTGGGTAGGATGAGGCGTCGGACTCTCTTCTCGTATGATTACGGAGTCACACTCACCGATTGATCGTCCTCTTGGTGTACTCCGTACTCGTACTCGTCGTAATCTTGTACTCCGCGATTTGTTGGTTCAATTCAGACAAGATTACTTCGTATAATGTGATCTCGCTGGGTTTCACAAAATTAATTAGCAGAGGTCGACACTGTACCGCATTTCCGAGCCCTCGTCCACTACTGTTTGTGGTGTTTCTGTGAGCATGACAAGAATAGTAAGGCACGATCTCGATTGATGCGCCCTTCATATGTGGCTGCTTGACGTGCTCCGTGTTCACTTGACGCGTCGCAACTTGGCGCGAAGTGGCTGTCACGGTCTCACTTGACATGAACGTCCAAGCTGGCGACGGAACATCTTGACGAAGTGGTAACTACTGGGTACAGAGGACACGTACAAGTGTGAAAGTTAGTTATCATTTTGAACGGTGCGATACGAAACCTGGCACAATCACCAGATCCAGATCGAAAAACGTCGACATCGTCCGTGTCCATGCGCCCAACCTTGACGTGTCTACAGTAGATGCTTCCAGTTCCCAGTATGAGCACTGACTGTGATGTCTTTTCTCAGCACCACCATGTCAACGCCCGTGCTCTTCGTCCTCGACCCAGCCGCCAACCTCTCGCTGGCTCAACCTTACCAGCCCTAAAAAACGCACCCTCCACCGTCTTGTGTTGCTTGTTTTTGCTGTCACCCGATGTCCTTCAACTGTCATTGGAGCTCCGTAGATAGAAAAACACCTTGCTTTTTTTTGGCAGGTGGAATCTTGAACGCTGAATTTTCCCTCCTCTCTGACCTTCATAAGTATGGGCTCTTCTCCTTATATGGGGCTGTGCTGGATCTGCGAACACACAACCACCAAAGTTACCAGGCTCTGGATAATGTTGAAATATATGACAGGCGTTGAGAACGCAATTTCCTTATCGCTACAAGATCTCCGCCTCATCCATATCGATTGTCTGAGTCTTAGAACTTGATTGTAAGCCCAAAGAGTCACTGATACTACGGAGTATCAAGCCGGAGCCTCGTGGATTACGGACTGTATATTCATCTAAAGAAAGCACCTTAACATTCCGGCAGTTCTAGCATCCTCAAACATTCTACGGACTCTTCATCCAGCTTCCTCATAAATTGATCTCACGAGACTTAGCACGCGAATTCTTTTTCCATCCAAGGGAAGTTGCGTTGTCGACTTGTCGAAGGCCTTCTCACAGAGTAACGAATTCGTCTAGCCTTCAGTTCCGTCCAGTAATGGGCATCGTCTCGTGAACATCACTGCGGCGAATCGCACACTGTTACTCTGTCATTGCGGATAAATGAATGGCCATTTCATCACAATGCCGCATCATAGATATTGAAGCCGAGATGGAGATGGAAATCTCATCCGCACTCGATACACCACGTCATGACATTCAACCAGAGTCCCAAAACTTGTCACCACCAATGAACTATTGGATTCGATATGTCGCTGACAATGCATTTTTTCATCACCAATACTCCCGACTTCGAATCATGGTCGCTCTGTGTCTCTCCGGCTGACGATGGAGAAGTACAAGTCTCTCCTCGTATGACATTTCCATCTCCACTGTCCCCGGCAGTGACAGCCTTTCTGTGCTACTGCTTCTTCTCAACAGCATCATCGACTGCGTCACCCATTGAACATCATAACTTGCCTCTCTTGTTACAGCTGACAAAATTGCATGAGAAGCTGTACCTCAAGGACCTTCGATATAGCTTAACATCCGCTAATCCCGGATGTACGACCCATCAGGAAGCTACAACAGACTCCCTCTGCATCAATCCGAAGGCTTTGGCCTCTGCTCGCAAGCTCAACCTTGTCTGTGTGGAAGACCTATGTCCGCCACAGTGGGAGATGGTGCACAATCATCATTGCCGTCCTCCACTCCCTACCCAATTCTGGATCACGGTGAGTTTCTCCGTGAGTGCTTCGCAGTCTCGTGAGGTCATTCTGCTTGGTATGAGTAGGTCTGAGACAACATTTTCCGACGCGTATGGAATACTCTGTCAATAAATATTGCATCGATTATCCCACAGTGTGGTTTTAGTCTTCGGAGTTACTTTTCTTCATCCTCTTGACAATCCCAGGCACCATGAAGTCCTACACCAGCCTTCTGTTGAGCTTCGGAGCTCTTGCAGCTGCCGCTCCTCAGGTCACACTCACTCCTCTGAGTGGCCCTATCCCTCCTGTTCGCAGCCCGGAAGTGACTGGTCCTACCTCTCACGGACCTTACTCGGGTACACCGACCGTTACTGGTGCTCTGACTGCTCCTGCGGTCGCAGAGTCTATTGCTCCTGGACCTCCCAACCCAGTCACGTACAGCAACGACAACGGCCTCCTCCAAGCTGGTTACGAGCCGATCCCGTACCAACCAGCCGGTGGCGCTGGCACCAACGGTAGTCTGCCGTACTATCATCCCATGTCCGATTTTGATTACCAGTCGTTCGCGCTGGCACTTCATCAGGAATGGATCGAGCTCGATCTCTTCCACAACGGTCTGGCGCGTTTTACCACGTCGGAATGGGAAGCTGCCGGCCTGAGTGCCGAGGATCGATTTTTGATTGAATTCATGGCAGATCAAGAAGTCGGCCATGCGACCTTGATAAGCAACATCTTGGGTGCAGCGGTATGTTGTCTCTGAACCCGATCTACTACTCACATACGTCTGTATATGTCCACCCTCTTCTTCGTCGTACTAATCAAAAGTTCCCATGGCAAAACAGGCCCCTGCCCAATGTACCTACAACTATCCCTTCGAGACGGTGCGCGAATTCCTCGACTTTTGCCAAAAACTCACTCGTTTCGGCGAGTCCGGGGTTTATGGCTTTCTCGGTCACCTCGACTCGCGTGAGTCGGCGACCCTGCTGTTGCAATCCATCACGACCGAGGCGCGTCAACAATTCGTCTTCCGCCAGATGACCGGTCTCTTCCCCATGCCGGTGTGGTTCGAGGTCGGCATCCCTCAGAGCTGGGCGTGGACCTTGTTGGCCCCTTACATCTCCAGCTGCCCCGCCAACAACACCCGCCTGGCCTGGCAAAACTTCCCGGCCCTCAGCGTGCTCAACCAGCCCGACGTGTTCAAAATCAACCCTGACCTCGGACCTCCGTCCAACGACACGGGGGCCAACCCGAGCAACGACACCGGCATCGCCAAGAGCAACCAGTGCTACAGCACCAACGTGGTCGGCGAGGACTGCGGCTCGGCCATCACCCACAACCGATCCATCCCGCTCTCGTACCCCGGTCGTCCCGTGCACTTTTCGTGGGGCAACGTCGGTGAGGCCGTTGGACCCAACAACAGTTACATCACCGCTCGATCCCCCCTGGCCGACGCTCCGAGGTTCGCCATGTTTGTGTCGCAGCTAAACGCCACCTACGTGCCTCTCGTCAACATCAGCGGCAACACCGCTTCATGCGTCCAGCCCAACATGAGCACTTATGCCGGCGACCCAGCTGCCAACGGGACCATGTTTATCGCATTGGTATGTTTTACTGCCTTCCTGCCCTATCGTCCGCCTACCATTGTTCTAACCTGTCTCTGTACTACAGACTTCACAAGATCCATACGTGACTCCGTTCAATCTCAGCATGGTCAACCCCTATGTCTGTAAGTAACAGCTTCCCTTCTCCCATTATCTTCATTTCGAAGTGGATGTATTGTACAGTTATTGATTAACATTATTTGGAATTCCAGACTCTGGTCCTGCCTTGTATCAGGCCGGCTAAGAGCCATAATATGAGACGAATTGATAAAGACACTCATAAAAGAGTAATTGATCGTCGATCATGTGCACGTGAGGGAAGCAGGAGAGAGAGGGACATCAAGTTGGACGGTTGATTTCGAATCTGTCGAAACCTCCAGGCAAAACTACTACGATAATATATAATACATCTTACAATGCTTGCAGTCTGCACGTATGGCTGTGTAAAACGCTATCTACTCAACTCGAAATCTTCCTACTCACAGCATTGTACGTTCTTCTTATGCAATATCTATACTCCACGGCTACGATATTCAGTGAAATGGTTCGAGCACGTTCAGAAAGTCTGCTGTATCTTGTTTTCACATCTCGACTCATTGATATCGGCTTGATGCTGAATGGTCAGGTCAAATCATATTCTTTCGCCCTCTCTGACCCAAGCCCAATCGGCCTCGAACCGCTGCCAGCCACCCTCTGGTTCGTCGGACATCTTCATCTCGTGCACGACCATGTCGTAGGTCCCCTCGCGCGGGATCTGCCCTTGGCACACGTTCCCGCCCATGGCGATGTTGAGCAGCACGACGTAGTCCCTCATGGGCCTCGTGCCGGCCGGGATGGGGGCCTTCATGACGGCCCGCCCGTCGATCCACCACACCATGCGGCCCTGTTTCGAGGCCTCGTCCTGCTGCCAGGCGAACTCGAAGCGCACGGGCCGGCCCGACTGCATCCCCTGTACGGGCGTGCCGACGACCCGGTGCTTGTCGGTGTCCTGGGGCGTGTAGGTGCCCCAGTGAAGGCAGGTGTGGTTGACGCCGTCGCCGTTCCAGGTCTCGGCGATGTCGACCTCGCCGTCCGTCGGCCACGTAAAGGGTTCGAACGGCAGGAGCCAGAACGCGGGCCAGATGCCCGGCGCGCAGGGCAAGGTGAGGGTGGCGACCAGGCTGCCGTGGGCGCGAGACAGGCGCTGGTGTGACACGAGGCGGGCCGACGTGAATTTCTGGGCCGGGTCGTGGTGGTTGGGTTGGCTTGTGGCCCGGAGCACGAGGAGGCTGTTCGGTGTGTGGAACGAGTTGGAGGCGGAGGACGTGTAGGTCTCGATTTCGTTGTTGCCCCAGCCGCCGTTGTTGCCTTGCTTGTGCTCCCAGTTGGTGCTGAGCGGCGTGGACGGGTCGAAGGAGGGTTGCCAGTAGATCTTGGACGGGAACGATTGAGGAGGAGCTTGTTGGCCGGGGTGTGTGCCGTGGGGGATCGGTGGTGGCGATATTGATTGTTGTTGGTTTTGATATTGATGCTGACTTACGCCGGGGTAGTCGGGTTGCTGATATTGCTGGGGAGGTGGTGGTGCTTGGTGCTGCTGTTTGTTTTGGTATTCGGAAATTCTCCTCTGGCCTTCCTGCTGAAGGTCCTTCAGCTGGCCCTTAAGCTGGTTAAAGGTGCTTTTAAACGGCATGGTGCTGGGGCTTTTCACTTTCGTTTTGGTGAAGTTGAGGTTGTGACCAGTACTGTAGGTACCTGACCTTGGGTGGTCTGAAGATGGACGGACAAGGCTGTTGAAGGGTCTTCGGCTCGATCCGATGTGGATTGATGATGGTAGCTTGTCACAAATGTCAACTTCTTGATTCTCATCTGCATCAGAGGTAAATAAAATACGTTGCTTCTTGTATCTTTTTGAAGACTCAGCGCGAGTGATCAAAGTCACTGGCTTCAAGATGGCATTTAACTTTGATCAATTGAGGCTGATGGCATGACGTTGCCATCTGAGATTCAAAAGTCTTGGAATTCGTATTCTCCGGTGGAATGATTTCCCGGATCCCGGAGTGCAGACTCGTATTCGTACAAATATATTCATAATGCAGCCAATTTCTTCTGCTTCAACGCTCCCCCTTCTAGCTATATCACCTACATGCTCCTCTGTTCCTCAAAAGTATCGTGACCGACCTCTCGAGAGCGTGCAATTGTTTTGTCCCTGCGCTCTCGTCCACATCATCCCACTCGTCATCACTACCAGCGGTCATTGATGCTTCTGCATACATTTCGGCCACCTTCTTCAACTTGATCTTGAGCTGTACAACCCATCTTTCTGCCTCCCTCCGCCGTGACCTTTCCTCCTCCGGCATCCCCTCATATGCTATCTTGGAACCAGTCTCAGAAGACACTATCAGGTCCCTCCGTGACTGAAGCCTTCTTACGACCTCAATTGTCAGCTCCCGGATCTCGCCCTGCCATCCGTACTGCTTCGTCAGTGTTGCGAAGTGTGCCATGAGCGCATCGTAAATTGTACATTGGCCGATATCAGCGGCCGACCAACGCGCAGCTTGCTGAACAAAGGTAGGATATTCGACGTCCTCTGGCCCCACCACCGACGCCCTCGACAAACGACTTGCCTGTCTCCCACCCTTCACACCGTCACCCTCTACTCTTCGCCTGTTGGCAGCCGCCCGCCCAGATGCCTTCCTTTCCTCTATCTCCAGATATTCGGCGTCGAACGGGTTCTTCTTCAATACCACTTTGTTGCCGTTGATGCTGACATATTTGAACCTATCCTCCTTCGAGACCCGGAAATCGTTCACATCATCGTTGACGCAAGGACTGCATTGGTGCTTTGATCGCGTCCAGATGGCCCTCACCCCATCCACGCCTCTTCCTCCCGGCGCTCGTACTGAGTGCATCGTCATACCCCGTTGCGCTTTGTCTTGAAGAACGAGTACGCGACGTTTCTTCTCGACCTCACATTGCTCTTTGGCATGCTCCAGAGCGACTTTCAGGGCATTGACCAGGTTGTTGTCGGCATAATCTTCCTTGGCCGATACAACGTCCTCCTCGGCCCTTTTAATGATTTGTTCCAAGTATATTTGTGGGCCATCCGAGCCATATACGGCACAGTAGGAGTCCAAATCCACTCGAAACTTGTTGTAGGTACGTTCTCTCAAAGCCCTGGTCGGTGATGGCGGTGGTAATAGAGATAGTGGCGGCGGCGGGGGTGATTGTTGTTCTGTCGTCGGGCTTGTAACATCTAGGATGGAGTTACTATCGCGCCCTTCGATATCTACCGGTGTATCCGGTATCTCGACTCCCTCTTGAGCATCAGCAGTAACAGGTCTTCTCTGTTGCCTCTTTCCTGCGAAAAGGATGGTCCACTGTTGTGAGGCAGACATTGTTGCAAGTATAAATTTTGTCGTGGGTATGATTGGTGTATGAATTTGATATAGCGGAAGGTATGTTCTTGAAATGGATTTACTGATGACGACAACTTTGGCAAGTGTTGCAAGTCAGGTCGTATTAACCCAGTCAAATATCGTATCTAATAAATTTCCTGATATGATAATGTCCTGTTGATATTTTGTAGGGAGAATGTGAGGAAAATTTGTTACTGAGATTCTTTGGATAATCGAGCGGACATGGGGTGTTGTGGTTCGTCTTGAGGACCTTTTCTGTCTTGAGGACCTTTTCTTTCAGATACGGTGTGACTAGAGCCTGGTGAACCATGGTTGACAAGGCCATAGTGCAGAGTTTGAGCTGAGGATCTGATGGATTTTGAAAAAGCTATCGACCACAACCCAACCTTACAAGCGAGGTCAAAAAAGAGTGTGAATGGATATCCTCTGGAGTCAAACATCCACGCTGTCTCATATGCAACACAAACCATGTAGAAGTGGATCACACGCCAGAGTCATACTGCACACCCAGGCACACAGCCTGGTGATTCCGTTGGGGGGCACTTGTTGTACATATCGAGCTTCGGTAATAGCACAATAGAAACTGGTCCAAAGGGAAAAGGGCATGCAGCCACAATGTAAATTCATAATCTAACAAGATGCCAATTTGGCGACCGCTCTCTCTAACTGGCAGTGGAACAAATCTCCCTCCCCCTCTGCTGGGGCGTCTGTCTTTCTCGCTCACTCACAAGGACCGTCCATCTACCCCCCGAATCACGGTGGGGTGATGGTGACCTCCTCCTCGACGACAACAACAACAAGTTTGCCCTCCTTCTCCTGGGCCTCCTTCATCTCCCACCATCGCTTTTCCACGGCCTCCTGCGCCTTGCTGCGGATCTCCTTGCGCTGGGTTGTGGTCCAGCCGTCCGAGTCTTCTCCCTCGCTGTCGTACTCTGGCCTCTTTTCGGCCTCGATCTCCCACTGGGCCTTTTGGGGGGCGCCCGACATGCCCTCGGTGAGCAACCACGGTTCGAACGTTACGAGAGCGTTGAGCTTGGCGATCGCTCCCCTCATCAGTTCACATGTCTGGCACTTTCGCTCCCATCCACCCCAGGGGTCCTCGACCGTGACGTTGCACCAGTTGCGGCCGGACCGCATGTACTCGACGCAGTAGTCGTACTTGTCTTGTTTACAAGCACAGCAGAGCCATTTGTAACACATGTTGGCAGAAAAAGGAGAAAAGGGATTTTTGAGTTGAGAAAAAAGGTTCTTGTGTGATTAGGAACGGTGGTGATGTGAGATGGACAGTAAAGGTCAGGATCAGATCGTCCGCATCGAAGAGGTTTTGGAATGATGTAGAGGACAAGAGAAATTGTGATCCGTGCATCGCAAAGCTGTTCGATGTTCTGAATGGGTCGTAGCGAGTGTTGAATTTTGTCGGTTATGCTAACGAGTGACTAACGAGCTGGCGATCTGTCTGTTCATGGAACTGAAACAATTGAGATAGATACTGACAAGAGGAGAAGAAACAATGAGAATAACAACGCGACAATGTAGGGGCGGTGAAGTTCCAAGCCGTGTCAGTTCTGTATCAAGTCGCGAGGACCGTCAGATAGTACGGCAAAGAACTGGGCTGGCCGCCTGGGAATTTTCACCGGTTTGCAACTGATAGAAGAGGATGGCCGATTCCACCTTTTAGTCTTTTACCATGAGAGAAGCCTTGTGCCTTTCAACAACGGCCCTCCCTGCTCCTAAGAGATCCGGTCTTCAATCTTTCCGCCCAAAAAACAAAAAACGTTATGGTCGGAACCAAAGACAAGAGAAACTCTGCTAACAATATTGTGCTCCAGAGTGATGGCACACGATTCTCCGCAGCATGAGAATGGTCCAAAGCCAAGGCAGGACAACTCAAGGTAGAGTAGTGATATGGCCCTAGGAGTGAGATCAACGCAGCTGATACTGCCTAAACAGTGATGATGCCACCACCATTATTGACGGATTTGCATGTGGGAGGGCTCAAGAATCTCCCCCTTTAGTGTCGAGGTGAATCAACCTTTAATCGAAAGAACCGATACAACTGTGGGATAACGTCGAAAGTATTGATCAGTCAAACAGCAGGACCGTGGGCACTTCCCCGCGGTTATGATTGCTGTAAGTGACATGGCGCAATGCTGGAGAGCACATCCCCGCCAGAAGACTGCCATGGTGGGAGGACTAAAACCTCATCAAGGCTACCGGACCATCAAAAACCATCCTGGACCATAAAGGCTACCGTTTGTCAACAAGAATTCCATAGCATGGTATAGTATCCGAGGGGCCGCTTGTTGTGCCCCATCAATATTCAGAGTCAGAGACGTCCACTCCATACTTTGCTTCCAACTATCGCCCAATGCTTGATCTGACCCTCATACCTTCTAGTTCCAGGCCTCAAAGAGGTTTAACCAGAGGCGGCATGACCAAGAGACACCAGTCGAACACAATATGGCGAACAGTATCAACGTACCAAGATGAAGTAGTGTAAGGGGGAGAAGTCGGTGTTTGTTTCTATGTATCCGTCTCATGTGGCGCAACTGCTTCTCACTGACGCCACAGTCTCGGCGCTCTAGCCACATCGATCTGAACCTCATCCCTACATCTGGAGCCCTTTCGCCTTCAGCCTGATCATTGTTATCATCATCATGGTGAAAGAACGATTGCCGACAAAGCTGGTACAGATATCTGATTTCTTTGAATAACCTTCGGGTTGATTGATGCTTGGAACAACGAGAACACTGGATACCACCGCCCTCCCATCATGGCTCAAATCGAGCACCATTTTACCGTCTTCATCCGGCTGCCCTTCAACCGCGGCGACTTCATCGACCCGCCGCCTGTAGCATGGTCAGCAACAAAGGAGAGTGCACTATGGAACATTATATCCCGTCAATCCAAAGGAAACGAGATCGACTGGCGCTCACTATCCGAACAATTCGAAGTCAGCCAATCATTCCTCCTCCAACAAGCCGCTTGGCTCTATGAACGCCAACTGTCCCAGGTTCGAGCACAGATGCGACGGGTCGGTGGACGCCAGTCTGCAACACCGTCCCCCGTACCTGGATCGGTGTCGGCGAGCATGGTGGGTGGCCAGGCAATGAAGCGAGCAGGAAGCGGCGGATCACGTGTGCCATCCAGGCTATCAACACAAGCGGTCGGAAGTCCCATCGCTACCGGAGGAGATAGCATACCTGGAACTCCCGCTAAGAGCAGGACATCTCTGCCATTCAGAAGCGCTTCCAACCCACAAGGAGCTGGTGGTCCTTCGCAGGCCAGAGGTGCAGCAGGTACTTCGCGACCAATCTCGCGCCAATCTTCCAAAGACGATCCTCTAGCTCATACGACGCACTCACGCAGAGGAAGCATACAACACCAAGTCGTCCGATCCCCCGGTCCTCAGAGGACACCGCAACCACAGTCGTCAGATTCGGAAGATGACCAAATGACCCAATCGCGCATCACAGCTCGCCGACCAAACCCGTCGGCTATCCATCGTCGGGCGCTCTCCCAGCGCCAAAGTCAACGCGCCTCAAGCGAACAAACTCGACAAGTTGCTCAAGCATCAGATGATGATGATGATGACGATGACGACGATGAGCCCTCTTTCCTTCCGTTTGCAGCTCCCAGCTCAAACACAAGCGAATCCAAACCCCGCCGTGCATCCTCGTCCCAACAAGACCCCAGCGCGACTTTGCGAGGTAATTTACACCTTCAAACCCAGGCTGCCGCCACGACCGGGCGTCCTGACGTGATTAGACGCATCACGAGCGAACGCGTGAGCTCGCCAACCGTCGAACCACCGACACCCATAGCGCGGACCAAACAGCAGCCAGACCCATCGTCGTCAACATCCTCCATGTCTTCGCCCACGAACCTGTCACGACCACCTAGTACCACTGCTACTGCTGCTGTACCGCCGCCGAGGCAATCGTCCGGCCAGCAAACACAGTCTTCTCAGTCTGCTGCCACCACCACCACCACCGCCGGCAACCCACGACCAGCGGGTACACACCCTTTGTCCCCGCCCCACCGCGCATTGTTGCTACAATCTTCGCCGCGTCGGGGTCCTGGGTCCGACACGTCACCGAGCATGGGCTCGTCCTTCTCCGACCTCGACGACGCGAGCGTGACGCAGAGTGCCCTTGAAGAGGCCCTGCTCAGTGGCATGGGGAACACGACCATGACCATGCCCGGAGGTGGCGGCGTGGCAGGCCGAGTGAGTGGAATCAGTCAGGCTTTGAGGAGTAGGTATTTTGATGCGAGAGGTGAGGGACAACAGCGAGGTGCAGGTGGTGGTGGTAATGGAGTTAGTGAGCGTTAGAATGCTGAATACCTTTTTGTTGCTGATGGTTTTGTTGACAAGTCGACGAACTGCCCAATGACAAGGTAATCCAGTTAAGAATTTCTTCTTCAACACTCCTGTCTGAACCAGTGTATGCATCGGGTATTACGAATGATACGAATGACGTTTGAATCCTTGAAATATTATTTGACGGTAACACCATGTCGGCGGAAAATGAAAGACCCGATCTGTACGGAGTACGAGTGATACAACTCGTCACATATCATCTCCTCTAGTCCAAACTCTCAGCAATGGAGCCACCCATGCAGACAGTCGCCAGGTTTGCCTACCTGGATACCCAAGCGAATCAGTCTGTCATTGTTTTCTTGGTGAACAAAAACTCATCCCGTAGCCCCTCATGTTATAAAGGGAGGCTTATGAGAATAGAAAACCAAAGCCAGGAAAGAACCGTGATTATTAAAGGGGCAAAACCAATGCGACTGGAAGCGACTGATAGCATCATGGTTGACCACCCCGTACGAGAGATTGGTGTGTGGGCGACTAAAGATATGACGGAGACCATCTCGGAAATGGATATGGAGTAGACATTAAACTGGTAATTTCTTCATTTTTATTGTACAACGAGGCTTTGGATTTAACACAAGTTATGCCCACTCTCTGGGGTTCTTGAGCACATCCATAAGTTCCTTCTCCTTTTCGTGTGACCCGTCATCTTCCTGTTCTATGGTTTCTGGCAGTCCCGTGCCGCACAGTGGGTGCATGTATTCCCAGCGGGCAGTCAACGGGAGACTCATCAGGATACTCTCGACCCTTGCACCGGGGGTGCGCAGTCCGAAGCTCGTCCCCCGATCGTATATCAGGTTGAACTCGACATATCTCCCGCGTCGTAGCTGTTGCCATTCTTTCTGCTGAGGGAGAAACGGCATGTCCTTTCTCTTTTTGATGATGGGGAGGTAGGCAGGAAGGAAGGATTCCAGACCGGAAACGACAAACTGGAAGAGATCCTCTTGAGGATTCTTCGAGTTGGGCTGTGTGCTCGCATCGAGATCGTCAAAGAAGATCCCGCCAATCCCTCGAGATTCCTTGCGGTGTTCAATCTTGAAGTAGTCATCACACCATTTCTTGAACCTGGGGTAATAATCCTTGTCATGCTTGTCGCAGGCGCTTTTGATGGTCTTGTGGAAGTGTTTCGCATCGTCTTCGAACAGATAACATGGTGTCAAATCCGTACCACCACCAAACCACCAATTCGTCTGTGAGGTGCCCGTGGCATTGACTGGGTCCCGTGGGTCCGAGGTCTCGAAATACCGGTAATTGAGGTGGACGGTCGGGGCCATGGGGTTATGTGGGTGCAGAACAAGCGAAATGCCTGCCGCGAAGAAGTTGAGCTTCTCGACATCCGAGTCGACAAAAGACTTGTGGTCCGCGCGCATCTTCTCTATCGCAGGTCGAGGTAATTCGCCATAGACGATGCTGGTGTTGACGCCCGCCTTTTCAAACACATTTCCGTCCTGTAGAACGCACGACGTTCCACCACCACCGAGTGGTCTCGACCACTTATCACGCTGAAACTTCTTGCCGTCGATATCTTCCAGCGCAAACACTATGCGGTTTTGGTGTTCCTCAATCAGAGCCTCCATGCGCAGTCTCATTGGGGAGTTCTTGGTGATTTTGGTCCTTCTCTTGGTCACCTCGTCTACCTCAGCTAGTGAGACCGGTTGGACCGGCGGTGAATCATTGGCCGCGGTATTGCTATAGGCCATGGTGTAGACTAGAGTTCCGAGGAAGACTACACCGAGCGACGTCCCTAGGTGGCGTCGCCCTGCGGTCTGATGAGTTTGAGGAATCGGAGCCGAAGCGAGACATCTTCGACTTGTCGAGAAACGACAGCGAGACTGTATCGACTGCGCATTCCGAATCGCCGAGGGCTTGAGCAACGACGCTCGTAACGAGCTTGAGGGTCGAGGTATGGACATGTTGAGATGGACGAAGGTCCGACACCACACACGAAACGAAAAACTTTTTGGGTTTAATTCTCCATATCAGAACACCATCAGAAGCAGGAGAAAGAAAATTTAGAGCGCCAGTCGCGAATAAATACTAAAATTTATTGTGCTAGGATGAGAGAAATCTCACAGTCCCAAAGCTTCCAATTGCTAGTTTCCTATATACAATCGTCTCCGCAGCGGAGGCTACTCGTACCCTTGGGACCGACGCGTGACATATCATACCACGGTGATGCGGTATGGAGAGCGATCATGGCACGAAACTCGTCTGCTGAAGAAAATCCGGACTACTTATTGTCGACGCCTCGGCAAGCTCAATGTATTCTAGACGAGGCCGTGGAAATGTCACCGTCTCTGGCGGAGTGATTCGGCTCCAAATAGCCATCAAGGGCTCAAATGAGTCAACAAAGACACACTACACAAAGACAGTCATGACAAGTATGCTCCTGTGACTCGACGTGACATTTCTTGATCCTGGTCCAGAGTCATTCAGACATATTTATAGTCAAGCCTCGTGTCCATGCGAGGGAGAGTGGGTGATCAGGCTGCGTAACAACACGACTTCATCTGACCTGCGCAGAGGGCGAAGTGCAAGTGGCTGGCCAGCGAGTGAAGCGGGGCAACGCCTAAAGTGCCTGCCTGCGACGCCTCGTTCTCCGTCCCTCTCAATCTGTCACTCATCTCTCACTCACTCACCGACCAACCTCTCCATTCCCACCTCATCGAACCCTACATCCAATTCTCAATCGACCACCTCCACGAGACACCACCAACCCTAGAATCCCATCCAGAACGAGCCAGCACTGATAATTTCTTCACCATGCGTTCCAAATTCAAGGATGAGCACCCCTTCGAGAAGCGCAAGGCAGAAGCCGAACGCATTCGTCAGAAATACACCGACCGCATCCCCGTAAGTCTACCTTTGTCCGCGTTGTGCATTCTTGGACCTTTGGCTAATTCATCTCCTTCTAGGTCATCTGCGAGAAGGTCGAAAAGTCCGACATTGCTACCATCGACAAGAAGAAGTACCTCGTCCCCGCCGACCTCACCGTAGGCCAGTTCGTCTACGTTATCCGCAAGCGCATCAAGCTCAGCCCAGAGAAAGCCATCTTCATCTTCGTCGATGAGGTACTGCCTCCCACGGCCGCTCTCATGAGTAGCATCTACGAAGAGCACAAGGATGAAGACGGGTTCCTGTACATCACGTATGTCTTCTTACCCCGCCGTCGATGTGATAAGGGCTGTCGGCTGACAAATAAAACAGATACTCGGGCGAAAACACCTTTGGTGAATTCTGAGCGAGGAAACCACCTGAGCGAAGATCAATCGCGCGAGGTCGGGACCACAAGGCACGGTTGTACTCGATCGGATGGGCAGGCTCGTCATGCGTTTGACCTGACGATGGCGTTTGGACTATACTTTTTTCCCTTTCAGCACGACCAAACATAAAGAAATGAGAAATGACACCATGGAAGAGTCTACAAGTTACACGTGGGTGGTTGAGGTGTTGGTAGCTGGTCGTGGTTGTATGCGTGTTCTTCATTTGCGAAATACCCAGATCAGTGTCTTGACATTGTCTTCCCTTCCAACATGTCAATGCCCTCCCCCTTCGCCAGTGCGATCCAATGTACCCAGCCTAGCGTCTTGATTTGGCATGCATGAGAGCAGCGGTGACAAGATGTTTGCTGCCTATCCTCGGGCTTCCGTCGCCAGGTCGCCTTCCCTATACCCAGGTCCGAGGTCGAGGCAACGGCGAGATACGTGACATGCTTACCTCGGTGGTCCTGTTCCATAGTCCCGAATCCAAACAACGCCTTGTCTCAAGCAAACCAAGGTCCATTTCGTTTGTTGTCCCCTTGGGTTCGATATCGTATCTTCCATCAGGCACCCATGGGATGACGTCACCTCTGATAATGTGACTCTCGGAGGATGAGTGATGAGATCCAAGGCATGGCCCCGTCCCTTTTGGGATACAAACACGAACATATTGTTTTTGGTGAGTCTTTCGTGTATCGCGGTTTGAGGCCAAATCCCAAGGCGGCGCATGAAGCGATACGTGTTCTGGCATGACCAAGCAGGGTCTGTTTGACGGCATTGCGGTCTCGCAAGGCATTCCCTACAACAACCTCGAAAAGCAAAGCGCGTTGGAAACGACGCAGCAGTCAGTCTAGATTCGACAGCTGTCAGTTTCATGCCCCATGGTCAGAAGGACGAGTTTCAAGCGTGCTTCTTCCGTTAGCCGTTTCGTTCTTTATCATGCGGTAGCAGAGTGACGCTTGATAGGGATTCTGCTCTCGTAATTGGGTTGCGCATAAGGTCGATCTACGATCTACCACTCCGTTACTGCTGGGTTGAGTATCGATTGACATGCGCAATCACACCGCCACATAGCAGTCCTTCAACCAAAACGACCGTAAAAGCGTTCCAAGTTGTGAAGGCGGATGAAGTCGAGAGACCTGTGGGCCATCACCGATCGCTACCTATGGCACAGGCAATGTTGACATTGTTCGCCTTCAACAAGACAAGATTGATTATCATCTGACCTTCTAAGCATTCCCCTACCTTTACTCGTACGAGAGAAGCGTGACTCGTAGGTACAGTACTGATACTACGAGTACTCGCGTGCACTCCGTCAAATGTTGTTTAAGGCTACCTACCGGTTGGTACTCCACGCTTTGATCACCGACTACCCTCCTAGGTAAAGCCTAGGTAGGTAAAGCACCTGCATACGAGCAAGGCCTAAGATAACTTGCCGCACTGTGGGAAGAGTCCACTTTTGTAGGGATTCAAGGGCATGAATGGCGAATGTGGGATCTATTGTAGGGCGTCTTACTTACGTGAAAGGTCGCCTGTGTGTACAGTATTCAATCGGCTTGCTACCGAAGTCTACTGGAAGTTACTGCATGGCTAAACCAGTAGACCTACAGTACCTTCTAGGTAGAGAAAAAAATGAATCTCGCTTGTTATATGCAGCTAAAACCAGGCGGAAGAATGCCGCAACCATACACCGTAGTTCAAAAACATACGAGTACCGACTGTCCTTGTACGGTGGCAATCTGAAGTCAGCCACTGTCTTACAAAGAGTTGTGCCACCATTTTCCAGAGGAGAAAAAGCGAAGATTAAATTGGTACTCTGTAATGGCCAAAAAACATAGGGAGTACAATATGTGAGTGCGAGTATTCACGATATCCAAGCGAAACTGTAGAGCATCAAGGGTATCCGGATGTTTAGGCCAGCCATAACACAAAGCGATACCCCCTTGCGGATTTAGAACTCCATACCTCTTGTCGCCAACTACATTGGGACAGGAAGGATGCCGTGTTGAGGCTTACTGTCTATTGTAGGGGAAGGACTTGCACAAGTATAACTGACTGTATGTACGTAGTTGTCAATGGTCTTACACCTCCCTTTTTATGTATCAGTCTCGGAGCTAACGGCAATGTGGCAATGAGCACGAGGATTGGGTTTCACTAGACTGTTCAGCGGGCGCATTGACGTGAGAAAGTGGAGGCAGCCAAAGGCCAGGAAGAGGTTGAGGATGAGTACTCCGTAAAACTAGGGTACCCAGGGTATTGTAGGTAAGAATGAGGAGGGGGTTCCTTACAGTACTACCGGTGTTCTCAGTAACTTGCCTACTTATCCGTGCCTAGGCTGTTTTGGTACGAAGAGCGGAGTACGTAGCACCTAAACTCTTGGGAGTTGAAGCCTACAAACCTCTTTTAGGGCATCGAAAACCGGCCATGATTGATTCATAACTCCGTCACCAAACTTCAACCACCGCAACGCGCGCCCTGGAATCTGTACACCGCTTACAAGTCCCCTGTACCCTGTCGCAAAATCCCAACTCAACTCTCTTGTTAGATTCCTGTCAACGAACTTGATTACAACGATTTCTGCAAGAACATCTACTCATACGGACGGCGCGAACACCCTTGCTTCAAAGTCGGCTGATGGTCTTGCCCCCACGTCTCATCTGATCTCCTGAAACCAAACCTCGCCTGTCTGTCTTTCGCGGAAAATACAGTACTACACAGGACAAACTTGGGAACATCGAATTTCAGAGATTTCTTCATGGACGACAATGACGAAGCGCGCACCCGATCGCAATAACAACAACGACAACAACAACGTCTTCCTCTTTGTCAACAAGACCCAAAAGTCCAAATCTCTGTCGAAAAGCGATGGCGCCGTCGCCAAACAAATCAACCGTCACGCCCAGCATTTTCGGACTCGGAAGATCGAGGCGCAAAGGGTCACTTCAGCCTTGACCAGTTCTTCTTCAGCCCGTCGCATAGCTCTTGATGGCTGGAATCGGAGGGATGCTCCTCAAAGGTACGTCGTGGCATCCCACCAGGTTTGTAGATGGACTTATTGACACACTACCATCTCTACAGTTCGAGCAGTGATGAAGCATCTCCAAACTCGACATCTCCCACCGACAGTTCCGGGCCATCGACAGCAACGCCCTTTCCGGCAACTCCTCAGACAAACGAAAGTCTGCTGGTTGACACGCCACGAAGTCAGCAGGCCCGACGCTCATCCCAAAAACTTCCTCTGCACTTTATTTTGGACAACGACAGGATCGACACTTTCGATGGCAACCATGTCGCATCAGAACCCGACCAAGACCACACACTAGAATTGGTACCTCAAGTGTATCGAGCTAATTTCACTTCTTACGACTGTGTCGACCCTTTTCGAAGTACTCCGATACGGATCACTCCGAAAATTCACGTTGTTCTTCAGTATACCCTTCGAATATACCCTTATTCCGGAAATAACTACAAGCTGGCCTTTTTACCTCCTCATGTGCGACTCGCCATCACGCAGTTCCCCATCGGGACCGTGGTCCAACGCAGCGTTTTCAAGGAACACCATCTGTACGCCTTGATGGCTGCGATGACGGCTCGCATGAAACATGTCTTCGCAGTTTCACCTTCGGGAGACGATCCCAACGAAATCCGGGCCCTCGCCTCTCGTTACCTGAAGGAGGAGTTGACGCGCTGTTCACAGACCGGCGTCATTGACAAACAGACCATTCTCGACATTCTGTACCTCGTGGTCAGCGAACTACAGTACAACCTCTACGATGACGCGAGAAAACACCTCCTCATCGTCGACCGGCTGTATCATCTCCTCGACCTGAATCAGCACCTGGACAGGTGGATCTCGGAGACGGCGGCTCACGTCGACAATCAACTCGCCCTGTCCACGGCGACACGACCCATCCTGAAGAGTTCTTTTGACCCGGGCCCGATGTTGCCCGAACGAATGGCGACACTCAGACGCACCGCCCAGAACCTGAGACACCAGACACTACCCAACCCCGTCAACCTCATCATTCCCAGCGGTTCCAAGGGATCTTTCGGCCTGAACGACGCCATGGCTGACGTCGCCTCCACGTTGGACGTCCGTATGGGGTCCCGTTTCGCGATCGGACTCAAGGCCGGGGCGTTTCCCGGACAGTTGGGCATGATCGTCTCGGATCTGGTGGATTGCATCGAGATCGCCAAGGTCGTCTGGCTGTCCCCCTTGGCCGTGTGTTTCGACGCGGAATGGCTGTGCAGGAAGGCGAGGGCGGTGCTGAGGGCCCTGCTGGCCCTGGCCCCGGAGAACAACATCGGTCCGGATTCCATCGGCAGCAGGTGCACCGAGTGCGCGAGGATCTGTCTGATGATACTGATGACGTACGCGTGCACGCTCATCGGGCCTCAGGTGGTGAATTTGAACGTCAAGCGGCACCTCGAGGCCCAGTCGGCCGCGTTGGAACACTGGTGTCCCGCCATCGGGTGGACGCAAGAGTGTGAACCTCTGGTGCCGGGCACGCGCCTCCACCCGGCCTACGAGTTACAGGCCGGGTTTGTGCTGTGGTCGTGTTTACTGGCGTGTTGGACCTCGGAGGGTCTCCCGGAAGAGCAGGAGTGGTGTACGGTTCGAGCGGTGAACATTGCCCGGTATTTCGGATATTCGACCTACGATGATCTACACGACCATATGGCTCAGTATCTATATTCGAGGACCATGCAAGAGTCGAGCATGAAGAAAGTGGCACAAAGACTGCAGACGGCGACGTCGCGAAAGTCTACAATTTCGACCTCTGCCGGACCTTGAGGTTGAATTCTCGTTTTCCTTTGGTCGGGACTACACCTGATACCGAGTTCGCTTTTGGGAAGCGTCGTTTTGCACTCGGAACCCGGAACGCGTTTCGACCTTTTTTTTAACGACGAGTGTCCTGTACCGTTGCAGTATGTCCTCCTCCACCACCACCACATGCACAAGATTGCTTATAGCCTGCGTCTGAGAAGGTGTGCCTTTTTTTTCCAGGTTGCACAGATTACAGCATGAAGACAGAAAATCTTTCGGCCGAATTATTGTCCCGTTGTCCGGACTGTCAGCATCCAAGGTGATGGCGGAAAGCCGGGAAGGGCCCGATTTCTGCCGACACAATCTGATAAGATGAACGGGGCCGGCAAAAGTCGAGTCGTTATGTACTCCGTATATGGATCACACCTGCGTCCTTCCAGATCATCGTTGGGACCGAAACTCTGATGTTGACGTTGTTGTGTTTCGGCCGAGTGACATGTCGATATACGGTCGCCTCGGTCGCCGACGAAATGAGGTCGGCCAAGTCATCGGTCCGTCCTCGGAAATTTGCACGACTTGGAAAGAAGCAACAGACAATACTCGTTCGTCGAACGTGTCCATGGGATAACATCATTGGTTTGTGAAATGTTTGGGATTGAGAGGAGTCACGAAAGAGGAAAACCAAAAAGGCGAGCCTCGTGTGGGTAACAGAAGGAAACATTCAACGATGGAGTGAAGAGAAAGGAAGGAAATACCGTCCCTGGGAAGTGTGTGATGAGTAAGGAGGTTCGAGCGCCCGGGCACTGAATCTGAGGCCAACAACACCGTCCAGCAAGTCAAGAAAGGCCATTCGAATCGAGAAGGGGCATGTAACTGAGAAAAGCACCACAGGTCCCCAGTCCCAGTATCAGCGAGTAGGTGTAGAGAGAGAGGGTGGCGATACTAGCCGCGCCCGACAAAGAAGGGACCGATATCTTATGTATTTGGCTATTTGAGGGAACCTTTTGTTTGTATCCCTTGTGTTTGTAGGAAACGTGAGATGTGAAATGTGAAATGCAAAATGCGAAAACCAATACCTCGGTGCGATTTGAATTTTGATTTGAAGATTTTGATTCTTGACATGGGCTACCCACCTAGGTTCGTTCTGAGCGATCCTCCTCGGTCTTTCTTTGGTTCCCTAAGAAGGGAGGTAGGTAGGTAGGTAAGTTTGCCCAGGTAATGTAATCTAGAACCCTTCGACCCCCAGGGCCTTGTAGGCGGCCTTGACGTAGGCGGCCGTCTTTTCCGACCCCATGATGCCCTCACCCATCTTGTTCATGACGTAACTGAAGGTGACCTTCCTCTCGAGGTCCATGAGGATGACGCTGCCACCCCAACCGCCCCAGAAGCACATCCGGCCGGACTTGGGCAGGAAGGGGACGGTCGACAAGGTCCCACCTCGGTTGAGACTGAAGCCGACCCCGAAACACAAGGGGATGCCGATGACCACGTCCGTGCCGTCCGCCTGGACGTCGAAGATGCGCTCGACGACCTCGGGGGTCAGAAAGGTTTCGCCGTCGACGGTCCCTCCCAGGGTGACGGTGGACAAGATCCGGGCCAGGGACCGGGCGTTCCCGTGGCCGTTGACGGCGCCCAGTTCGGCGCCGCGCCATGCCGGGGTGTGAGCAATCTCCGCGGTCATGACCGGGTTGGCAAAGGCCTTTGCGGTGGCCGAGTCGGGGTCGAGTTTACCGAAATCCATGGAGCTGGGAGGCGGGGCGACCAGGTCGGCGACACGGCCGTAGTCGGCCTCTTTGGCACCGAGTTGGAAGTCGGCGCCCAGGGGCCCGGCGATCTCGGTGGCGATGAAGGACTTCAGGGATTGACCGGTCACTCGCGAGACGAGACCGCTGATCAGGTGACCCATGGTGATGGAGTGGTAACCGGAGGCGGTGCCGGGTTCCCAAAACGGTTCCTGAGCGGCGAGCCGAGACGTCGCCAGGTCCAGGTCCATCAACTGTTCCGGGGTCATGGGTTCCCGCCAACCCGAGTGACCGGCGGTGTGGGATATGATGTGACGGACCAGGACGGGGGTCTTGTTTTGGGTGTTGGAAGCCCCAAATTCGGGCCAGTATCTGGACAGGGGGGCGTCCGGGTCGACCAGACCACGGGAGACGAGGATCAAGACGGCCAACGCCGAAACGGTCTTGGTGGACGACCAGACGTTGGCTATGGTGTCCTCGGTCCATGGTCTCTTGTGGTCGGCAGAGGCGTAACCACCCCAAATGTCCACCACGTTGGTGCCGTCGACGTTGACCACGATGGAGGCACCGAGTTCATTGCCAGACGCCAATTGACTCTCGAGTTCGGCTTTGAGTGCCGAGAAGCGCGGATCACATTGACCTTGGACCGACATTTGGTTGTGTTGCAGTAGTAGTCGTTGGTTGTGGTCGTGGATATGCACAGTATGATGTGGTGGGTGTTGATCGGGGAAGGTTGTGGTTAGTTATACCTTCAAGGTACCGAGTTATGGAGTATGGAGTACGGAGTACCTAGGCAGTAGTTAAATAGTTTGTGGTTGTTAATAAGTGTGGGGGTATTTTCAGGCGACAGTAAAAAGTCAGGGGAGCCCTTTATTTTTTGAACTACAAAGCTTTGGAAATGTGAACTTGAGATAAGTGAACAGTTGAGAAGAAGAGAAGAAAAAAGGGCGAGAACAAGCACTAGGTATATATATGTAGGTGTTTTGTGAAATTCCCCAAAGCTTTGTATGATTTTGTCAGAAAAGGTGGCGGAGTGAGAGTTCGAATACAGTGTTTCACAACATTTGTCCCTTTAGAGAGAGATTCTACCTTCTGACAAAATAGCTGCCTATGGTTTGTGACCAGAAAAGGTCATTCAACTCGGTCGGTCGAATTGTTTGGCACAAAAAGAAACCTCGGTCGAATAATGAACGGATCATGACAAGTTCCGCGTGGTGACATCTTGGTCAAATTACTTGGACCGTCGGGAGGGTTGCTTCTGAATTGGAACAAGTCTGTTAACACAGAACAAGGGAGGGAGGGGGGTTAGTACAGTACGTGGTATACCAAGAACACGCGCACCACCGGGGTACGGAGTAACTTGGATGGCTTTAAAAGAATCCATTAGACAAGGGCATCGCATGGAATTCTGAATATTCCTTTGGGAGGCTAATAACAAGTGCCCAGTAGGGAGTCCAGTAAGTAAGTACAGTACCCTTAACCGAGGCAAAACCCCCCAAATGAGATCTTGCTGACACACCAAGACTCCTTTCTTTCCTTGAAGGTATCTTGGGTACCTCGAGGTAGGTACTTGGTTGCCGCGTCATACGAACGAATACTTCGAGCCCCATTCCCTACTCTAGTTTTGAGGCCCCTAATACAGATATCTAGTACTGTGGCCTACTCGTCTAAATATCCCGAGGACGCGTGTAATATCAACTCAAACAACCTAGACTGGACAATATGACATGAAGACTCTCATTGGGTGTTCAGAGGAGGCGTAAATCATTCTTCTGATTTGAACTTGATACTGTAATGGTCGTTGAGCATGATTGACATGTAAAGAAGACCATTTCAATTTCTAACTTCAATTTTCATTGTCATTGTCATTTCCATTTCATCGTAATATCTACTCAAAAGTCTATAAAGAATAATCTATACCTTCTTCTTGACACCTTGACCCAATTTCAACCTGGCCAAGAGTACAAACCCAGCAGCGGCCAAAGCCACACCGCCAGCGTAAAATATGGCCGGACGATAAGGATCGATCGAAGTCGGGACACCCTTCCCGCCGCCGCCGCCGCCGTCGTCACCCCCCTTGTTGCCGTCATGTTCCGAAAACGCACCGATACCCACACCGGCAGCTTGAAGTAGGTATCCCGCAATGGGCGCACCGAGAAGATACCCTCCCGTCCAACCGGTGATGCTCAGACTCATGGCGACCGCGGCGTGACTACCAGCCTGACCGTCCAACGCGTTCGCCGTACTCATGACAACGACAGGATACAGCGTGAAGAAGGCCCCATTGGCCAGGCCGTTGAGCATGGCGAACACGACCAACGGAGCGATCGAGTCGGAAAAGGGCCAGATGGCCAAGATACTCACGCCGTTGAGAAGCATCGTGCACAAAAACATATTGACCGGACCCATGATGTCGCTCGCGTATCCCGAAAAAAGCCTCCCGATCGCCGTGCACGCGTTGAAGCCGGCCACGAGCCCAGCACCAGTGGCTGAACTGAGTCCGATCGTCTGTGCGACCAGAGGCAAGAAAAATGGAGGGACGAACAATGCAAAGGTCCCTATGGCGCCTGAAAAGAACACGGCCGTAAAAGGCAGATGTTTGAACAAAGACAAATCGAGGAAAGGCGCTCGGCCGATGGGGACACGTTCTTGAAGGAACCATGCCGTCGGAAGGCCGGTGGCGAGGATACAAAATCCCAAAATTCGAAATGTCCACGCGACGCCCACACGACTGATCATCGCATCGACGCCGATACTGAGTACTGCCGCGCCAACACCGCCACCGAACTTGATCAGACCCGATGCCAACCCGAGCCTGTTGGCAAAGTACTGCGTTGGTAGCGTGTTGGACATGGCGTAACAGAGGCAAGCTCCCGACCCGAAGAGGGCACCAGAGGTGGCGAAGAGGCCGCCCACGTTGGAGACGGTGAAGCTGGAAAGAATCTCGGCGCTGGCAAGAAGTACCACACCGAGGACAGCGGTATTGCGCACCCCAAGAAGACGCATCATGCGAACCCCGAAGAGGCCAAACGCGACAATAGTTGCGAGACCTAATGTGCCGACGAACGATATCGTCGAGGTGGGTGTCGATTCCAGGTTCGAGCGGAGCAAGGCTGCCTGGATAACACCCCAGCTGGCGGAGATGCCGTTGAACCAGAAGGTGAGGATGGCACAGCATGTAACAACCACCCAGCCGTAGCCGCCGTCAGGTATGGCCGTGGTGACATTGGTAGATGGAGGGCCGGGGATAGGAAAGTCTTCGGTATCGCCATGGTCGGTATTGATATTGATACGCTCAAAAGCTCGTGGCTGGCCGTTCTCGGTGGTCTCAGAAGGCGGTGACCTGAGGATGGTGCGAAGCTCTGTCACTGTGGTCGTCGACATTCTTGGTGGAAATCTTGACCCCGTTCAACTATCGTAGAGGGTCGATGATGTCGACGCTAAGGCAAGCGATAAGCTTCGTCTTCTATATCTTGTACATTAATGAATGACAACCGTGACTCATTTGATGATCTTTGAAGCCCTAGAATCATCGCTTCGGCGCCCTTTGACGTAAGCGAGGAAGAGTTTTCGAGGAATCTTCATGTCTCAACGGACTTGACCGCTTCAACCTCGGAATGGAAGTTCGCGTCGTGATTTCGTATCTCATACACCGTAATTTCGGCCTCAGCATATTCAACATCCAGCCACTCCAAGAAGCGTATTGCCTCTCCATACCGAAGCATGGATGCCGTGGTATAAGCGTAGAAAGCTCTTGCCACAACTTCCATCACGGATCCATTTGAGTATTGTAGTAACCATCATCTGGACCAGGAGTGAAGCCTTCCATGGCAATATCTTCTTCGTCCGCATTTTGTTGCAGCATTGGGAAAGACAACCCTCGACTGTCGATGGAATCTGCCGCCTTCAACAAAGATCCTACAGCTGACTCCAGAATGCCACTAGCAATCTCGAGAAATTCCGCACTCTTGTTGGACACTCGTAAAGTCCATCGATACTCTAATAGTCGACGTTGATAGAACTCGGCTTCTTCCTGGCTGACCGAGGTGACAAAACATAGTCCCGCAAATGTCCCTATGAGAGCAAAATTGAATTTGGACGCAAAATACCAAAACGACTGCAAATGTTCCGGCTTGAGTCTGTTGAAAAAGTCCATGGCGCTGATCAAACGTGCTTTCGCCGCTGACCGGCAGATTTGTATCATGTACGGATCGGTGTTTTGTGACAGAGAGCGAAGAATCCGTCGATGCAAGGTGATCTCTGTCGCGAAATATGCGAGGTGTAGGTACCCAACTGAACTCAACTTGCCCACCTTGGTGGCATCCATGCGGAGGGCTTCAGGCATGTCGCCGTACCACGACCGAAGTTTCAACTGGATGGGTTTCGCTCGCTCAAGAATGGCCTTGGTGGTGTCGTAAGAGTTCTTGACTTCCATCTCCGCCTTGAGGGAGTAAAGGTCCTCCAAGACTTCTGCAAGCATCTTTGTCAGTGTGATCATTGCACTGAACAACGTCCGGCCTTTCTCGACTTCGGTGCTGCCATCCTCTTCATCCTCATCGGCTGCGCTTTCGGGGAAGTCAGTGCTGCTGACAGGCTGAACGGCCCAGTTCGTTTCGGAGATGTGCGGTGGGCGTCCATAGATCAGGGAGGACCAGGTGTCTTGCATGAACAGAGCCCATGCCAACCGTTTCCGTAGACCTCGTTCCCAGCTTGGTATGCGCCAATTGGTACAATCTAGATGAAGTCCGAGATCCTGACCAATGGCGACAAGTTGAGAGGTCAACTGCCAGGCTTGGTTGCTCCCTGGGCGTTGGAGCAGTAAAAGTCCTGCTTGTACTGTGGACAACTTTGCTCGTTGCGACACATCCTGTAATGTTCGATATGCGATATCTTCCAGGAGAGCGACATCAGGCTTGATTGATCGTGACAACTCTGAACTGTATGACCACCAGTTCAATGCCAAGATATATACGGCAGCAAGCAACGGCGGGGAGAATTCGCGATGGGTTCTGCTATACTTCTCCAGATAGACCTTCTTGTGTAAGATGGGGAAGCTGGGATGGACGATTCTGAAATAGAGCTTCACCAGAGCTTCGCCATGAGGGGCCACAATGCGTTCAATGTTGTCGAGCTCCTCTATATCGCGAGAATGCGTAGGCGAGTCGGAATCAGGATACTGATGGAAAAAAACTCCTTGGTTGACTTTGCGGAAAGACCCTAGATCTGCAGGGCTCTCGTTCTTGACATGGTCATAAAGCCGAAGGTCCAGGAGAGCAAAGTCGTGCTCATCAGTCGGGCCGATATACTTTGCATATCGGTTGACTTGAAGCCTGGACGACATAATCAGCCACGGGGACGAGGTTAAGAAAGGCATTGACGGGGAGATGTCAAGACTGGAAACAAACTCACCCAAGAGTTGTCTTGAGAAGACTTTGGCCCTGTAGGTTCGCATAGTCATCTACGATAACAGGGTCGGTTCGAATCATGGATTCAGCGGATTGCCGTCGTGGGGCGTTATCATCAGAGGTTCTGATTATCTGCTTAGCCTTTTACATACGATAGGGAACGAGACAGCAATCCCAAGCAAGAGAACGGGTCAAGAGTATGTCTTGGGAGGGGAGGAGGGGCTCACGGTGGTCTAACCGACCCAGTGGTAGTGGTATCGGCAGGGTTGGTCTGTTTTCGTCGCCTTGGGGCAGCTTCTTCGATAAAGGTACATGGCTGGTTGTGGAACTGGCACATTACACACACGGACGAGTCTGGATTGATGACGCACCGACTCTTACGCCGACGACATCGATCGCAAGGCCGTTTTTCTGTTCTGGTCCCAACCTGGACGGGATGGGAGCTGTCACTCGCGCGAGCAGCAGAGGCGGGAGATGCCATTCCGCTGCCGTTATCTTCAGAAAGACCTTCAAAGGGAAAGTCGCCTTGGTACTCGTAGGGATGCGACATGGTTGAGAGCATGGCTATTATGTCGTTGATCTGCAATCTGGCGGCCTCTATTCGTTGGGCCGATGGAATTTAGACGCAGGCATGTCAGTTGGTTCTGTTGACTTGCTTTTTGCTTTGGCTGCATATTCGGTCGGGGATTGCTTTTTCACGGTTCACGTCCAGGATAAGCTTCGCTCGACGATGTTTGGGTCAGCCCGGTCGCGCTGAAAATAACAGGTCGTAGTCGTGGGCGCGGGAGATACAGATCTGTGGCAGGCTCCGAGGGAAGGGCAGATTGGGTCCGCTGTCAGCTAATAGGAAGCCAGCAACCACGATATGCTTGCATGCAACACAGCATCATGCAGCAATTGATTGAGTAAGAAATAACAGGCAAGCGTCCTAGTGCAGGCTTGGAAAAAAGGAGAATTGATAAGGAACCCGGGTGTGATAGGATAACCTCTTTTCCGGTTACGAGAAAAGTGGGATTATGGCGGCTGTTTAGCTAGTGTCGAGGAAGATCCATGCTGCTCCCGGGGGGCACTGGCACCTCTTTATCAGGTCCAAGCTCGCAGGAGTAGTTGCGACTTGTCATCAGGCACAGCAATACAAATGACAGCAGAAATCCCTTTGCCGTCGTGAAAGCGAATGAATAACATCTTGGATCTCCTTGGGTCTCCTTATTGCTCCGTACTGGTTTCCCGTCATAGGAATAGTGAGGGACCACTCTGGTGAGCCACGTCTTCAGCACATCTGCCCCATGACGTGCCGTTGGTACCGGGAAGCCACTGTCAACATTTCGCTATCCGAGCAGCGACTCCCGAGGAAAGTAATACTGAACGGCAGCTGCGTCGGGATCGATATCTCGTTACTTGCTGAGTAGGAACCTGATGGTACAGCCACGGCGCAGAGATCGAGTACATTGCCAAAGTGTGTGAAGGTGCCCAACTTAGCGTTCTGCTTGATGGGATCAACCAGCATCGCCTTGATTGTTGGGTGTTCGGGAGCTGTCGGTACCACCAAGACATCAATACCAAGCTGATCGGCCGATGCGAACTGAACAGTGGCCTGACGCGTATGTAACGCCTTGTTCTGAAGGTCTCGAAATAGTTGGACCGCGGTACTCTGTCTCGCGACGACTTGCTGGAATAATTCCAGAATCACTGGATGAAGACGTTGGGCGTTTTTCTCAAGAAAATCGTCGGGTAAGCTGGCTAATCTTTCGGATACAAATGTGCCCTCGTACAGCAGATCTGCAGCTTTTTGAAAGGGACCAAAGTCGATTGGAGTCCGTATGCCGCCCATCTTCTGTAAGCGCTCGACAGCTTCGTTAAAAAGTCTACGATAAGATGGCGTACAGATCTCGAGAGCTTCTGGAGAAGGAATTCCAAATCGAAATGTATCTCTTTGCGATCCAATCGCGTTGACATGTCGTGGGATCGGGAATGTGTCTCTTGCATACCGATCAGCAGGGTCGAAACTTTCGCACACTTGCCAAATACTTCTCGCATCTTCAATGGTTTTGGCTATCAGGGCAATACAATCAAGGGACAGACATGCAGGAGTGATCCCATCGAAAGAAACAAGCCCTCGTGTCGGCTTGAATCCCACAACGCCATTGAAACCGGACGGTACTCGGCCTGAGCCAGCTGTGTCCGTCGCCAAAGAGAAGCTCGCCTTGGTTCAGCTGTTAGGAGGAACTTAGGAACGACTCAAAGACTCGAATAACTCACCAGATTAGCCCCGACAGAGACTGCACTACCACTGCTTGAACCGCCAGAAATGTACTCCTTGCTGAACACGGAATGTGTAATGCCATATGGTGATCGACAGCCGCTTAAACCGGTGGCCAGTTGATCCAAATTGACCTTTCCTAGGTAAATAGCTCCAGCCTCGATGACCTTCTTGTAGCAGGTTGCGGACCTGGATGCTACAAATGCAAGGGGTGGGCATGCTGTTGTCGTTTCGATTCCCTGTACATCAATGGAGTCCTTCACTGTGAAAGGGACACCAAAGAGTGGTGGAAGGGCATTTCTGTCCGGGAATCGTGCGACCAGTTCTGCAACCTTTTCCAAAATATCTTCTCGTGATTCCCGCTTGATCCAGACTGCCGAATCCACGGTGTCGTACTTTTCAATTCGATCGAAGATTTCATTGACCACCACCGTAGGAGAAAGTCCATTTTTGTATGATGCCAACAAATCAGGAATCTCAAGTTTACCATTCCATGCAGGTGGTGTTTGAGGTGGGGTGTTCACTCCAGAGCTCGACTTTTGCCATGGAAACAGCACATCAAGGACCGGTTGCAGATTGGCAACAAATCCAAAAAGTCCCTCTGACCAACATATCATATCGAGGGAGGCGGTCTTGAAAGCAGGGTTATATCCTGCCGTGCTCTCTCGAATTCCTACACACTCGAATCCACGATCATTCGCCTCCCTCAATGTCGTGGCAAAGCAACATTCAGTTGTGCTGGAGGTTTGTTAGTGTTGGAAGAATCGTGTTGGGATCCCAAGTTGAAGTTCAAAAGAGTTTTATAAGGCATGAGATGAGACTCACACTCCTGAGATGAGAAGATGGGTAATTCCAGAGCCTTTCAGTTTATGCAAGATCGGTGTGTTCCAAAACGAGCCTTTCCCAGGCTTGTCAATTACAACTTCAGAAGGTAACGGTTGGAGTTTGTCGACTATATCGTGTCCATACTCCCCTCGAACGAGCAATCTGCCCATGTCGCCCTTGTCGCCGATCACTTTTAGATGCTGGGAAGAAGGAGATGCCGCTTGTCTGATGAGCTTCGATGATGGACAATCCGCCAATGTCTGGAGTCACAGTCAACCTTGTGAGCCATATAGTGAATGCTTCCAAAGGGTATGGATGGCACATAGTAGGAGCGTTATACCACATACAGGAACATGTCCTTCTCTCGTATGGAAAATCTTCATCCCTGCCGCTCGACATGCCTCGAGTAGTGCTTTTGTCGGCGCAATCGACGCCTGCACAGCTTCTAGATTTCCTCCCTGAATCTCACCGAAGCCAGCAGGGTAGAGGAAGTCCCGTTGCATATCAATCACAAGCAAGGCTGTGCTCCTCAGTGGAAATGTAAATGGGTATGGATCGGCCTCGATAGTGAGGACATTTTCATGCGACGATGCCATTTTCGGGCCGATAGAATACAACAAGTAGGGCAAGCTTTGTATTCACGTAGATTCCAGGATAGAGAGGCTCATGCAATTTCTTTACAACTATGAGAGGAGACAGGGTTTTTGTTTCGAGACGAAAGCGTTGACAAAGGCCTTTGGATCAAGTCAGATTGATACTCCCACGCGAACATCATCAGCAAGGTTCCAAAACACACGACCATTCACCGATTCTGATACAACTGATAAGGATTTGACCGTTTGCTCCTCAAGGACTACTCCGTCTACAAATATCACTGAGACCCTAGCCCTAGGTTTATGGCAAAGCCTTATCACTAGATCCTTTTCGTAAGGCCGTCGGCGCGGCAGATTCTGGCCGCGGCACTATCTCCAGTCTTTACACACGGATATCTCAAGATCGGTCATTCATGGTGAGAGCCTGAATGTTTTCTCTACGTAGCATTCTCATTCGAAATATGGGATACGATTGAGCCCATGGGAAAACTTGACTAGCTTCTTTTCATTTTTCAATTCATAACTTTCGTGATTCGTCAATAGTACTCCTCGGTTCGTTTTCGGACCTCATGTTCGGAGTAATCGGAATAATCGTCGGCATGTCGTCGTCGTGAGTGTCGCCTTCTGGACCGACTTCTCTGGGGTGGATACGCCCGCCTCGGGGGTGCATCGTCTTCGTACTCATAGCTCCTCATAACGTCCTCGGTGAAGGTCCGTTTGTCGTCGTCGTATTCTTCCTGGCCAGTGATGCGCGGTTCACTCATCCGTTGAGGTGCGTATCGTCTCCTATGCCGACCACTCCGGTGATCATCATCGTCGTCATACTCATCATCTCGGACGCGCTGGCCTCTGTGGCCAACGAGGTATTTGCCCGCAAGATGTGCCTCGGCGCCCGGTCGTTCGTGTCGACTCTCGCTGGCGTCGTGCAGGCTAACCTGGTCCCTGTAGAACCCTACTCGACTTCGTGACCGTTTGTGCTCCCACACTTCGGGCGGGGAATCATTCCTGCCCCTCATCGCACTGCGCAAGCGCCTTGGTGGTGGCGGTACTTCGTCTTCTTCTTCATACGAACCTACTGTGCGACGCCCACGTCGGTCGGAGCGAGGACCATCGTCGTAGTCCTCGATCACTTGGACATCCTTGTAGACCGTGTCCTTCACGACTCGGTCTCGGCCACGTGAGTCGTACATGACGACATCGTCACCGCGTCGCGAGCGATAGTCGACATCGTAGTACTTCGCTTCACGGTCGTCACGTCCCCGAGGACGGCCGCCTCCCCCGAGGTCGATCACATATGCACCGTCGGCATTCCTTGTGGGGCGGACGACCTCGTATTCTGCACGCCCATAGTCTCTTGGGTTCTCGATAACGATCGCGTCGTTGCGTTTGAGGTAAGCCTCGGATTTCCGGTCTCGACCGACCTTGTAAGTCGTCCTGGTGCTACCAGCGTCAAAGTCACTGCGGCTGCTCCTGTCGATCTCTACCCGTTCATCACGGTAGTCGCGACGCGCAACTCGTTCTTCGGGATACTCGTAGTCTCGGCGCGGTCTGTGATGGTCGACCCGATCGGAATCTTTCTTTCTGCTGGTGTAGACAACCTTGTATCCGCGATCGTCTCCAACAGAGGACATGTCGCCTCTGTACAGGAAGATAGCTCAAGGTATCATATGGAATTTGTGCTACCCCTGGGGTTTGAGATGAAATGTTGTTGTTGCTAGATCTCGAACAGGCAAAAGCTGAACCTGGCCGCTGAGGTTGCGTCGTTCGATTGCTGATCTCATCAACAAGTGGACTGACCGTTCCTCTCGCTGCCCCTCAGTGCCACGGATTTGGGGGTTTTAGGCGGCAGGTCGATGAATGAGAGAATATGCGAGACTTTGGTGTGATGTATCTTGCAGTCCCGGGAGCAGGGCTTGCCGAGGACAGCACAACGCGTAGAATTTCCAATACGGCAGATTGATTGTTGATCAAGATGTCTACGGATATGTGTAGGTGTATGTTGCAAAAGGAACTTCGAGCTCGGCAAGACAGAGAGAGTATGTGAGACTGCCAAGTCCACCCCCCCAACACGTTGGCACGACCTTCTAGCGCACCATTAACATGTGCCCCGGAGATCCACACAATGCCAAAAGCAATGAAGACAAACTTCATACTTTATGCCAAAACATGAATCAAATAATCCGGACAGGATGGACTCTGATATATGTTGTCAACCTGATTTATACGACTAACAGTCAGACGCGCCACCGATTGCGCCACAGCGGACTCTGCGTGAAATTCCCGTCGCATCTGAAAATACTTGAATACAAGTACCCATATCCCGGAGTACTCTCTCTGTCTTCAGGCACGCTATTACCTAACAGACCCAAATACTAGGCCCTAGAGAGGACTCAGAGGCTTCCCAGTGAAGTTATGGTACTCGGACCGAGACATATCGAGACAGCTCTCGGCTTCACGTTCTTGTATGGCACCGCTCGTTGAAAACAACCACATTATGAGGAGCATATCAAATAGTAAGTAGGATTTTAACATGTAGCAAGCTTAAGTAGTGGCTTGTGCAAGTGCAGATCAAGTGAATTTTATGCATAGCATATTCATTGCTTCTCACGGCACGATATCCCACGTAAGCAAGTGGGTGCATCGGTGCATTAAGCCTGTCCTGTGGTTGTCCGCTCACAAGTGAGACTGATATTGGATAGGGATACCTACATAAGTACGTTGCGCGTTTGGAACAAACCATTCATTTCGACGAGTGATACCTCCCAATAAGCAAGGGCAGTGGTTCCTTCAAGACATCGTCTCAAGAGTGAATATCAAGGGTTTCACCTTGGCCAGGCTGTGAGTCAGTATGCACCTATAAAGCTGCAGAGGAGACGAACTTTCTCTTCATGGAGAACGCACTCTGTGGTGTATGTCGGTACTTCACCTTGAAAGACAAATCTCTCCCCAATTGACACCAAGAGAATGCAGTATGCTCATGCAGTCCTCAGCGCGAAACCATCAATAAATGGTGTTCTGCATGGCCACCTTGGTCAACGTAGTGGCGACATAACGACGTTGAAGTTTCTGCTAGTCCACGGTGATTCTAAAGGTCAGTGTTGGGAAGTTTAGACCTAGGTCCCAAGCAAGTTCAAGCGATGACAGCTTCGGAGGGCCAGAACAAAGCTATCCCATGTTGCTACGCGATGTCAGCTCATGAGCGGAGCGTACATATGCCTCGCCGAGCGAAACGGCCCCTCGTTCGAGTCGCGGCGGAGACCAGTTTTTGGAAGTTTTCCTTTTTGATTGGGTTCGCTAGATTTAAATAAATCTGAGTTGAGTAGAAGACATCTTCAGTACCAGAGACAGCCACGTGGAATTTGAAAATAGTGACAAGACTAAAATAAATCAATTACCTGGAGTTCGGTAGGCGGAGTGTGACTCTGTACTCAATGTTTAGTACAATTAGGAAAGCCACGACCGTGCTGCATCGCGGTGAAGGGAAGGTGTTGCATTTTTCGTTAGGGTAAGTAGTATGCCTTGTGGCTTTGGTCTTGACACCTTAGACTCACGGTTGAAGTCTTATAAAAGACTTCAAAAACACAACTCTGCCTGGGGAAGTTCAGTTCAGTTCCTATTCTACATACTACGGACCCGTTAGCCAAATTCGAGCTATCGCCAAAGACCATCATTAGAGAACAGCCTACCCTTCGAAGACAACACCATACTTTTGTCAATCTACCATCCTCCACCGACCACGCTCTGATTCGCAATGTGCGAAGTGTACATATACACCTATCGCTGCTGCGAATATATGGATCGCGACTATCAACACTGTCATCAGTAGGGGCGATGCAGGGTACCACGCCGTCACTACCGAATTGTGGGTGGCAGCTGTAGCGTTTGTGCTTGGTTTTTATGATCAAGTCTAGGGGCTTGTGGTGTCAGCGCTCCGGGGTCGGTGTGAGATGCTCAACTCTACGGATATGTCACCACAAACCGATAGGACGCTATTGTCCTTGCATAGGCATGAAAGAAAGACTTGCTTGCATTGATACTTGAAGGATAGAGCTTCAATATCATACATTGTGAGTTTCGTCGGTTCTTTCCCAAGTTGCTGCTTCATCCACTCTAATTTCTCCTTTGCAGGCAAGTTGGACATTTTAAGACGCCATGGGTATTAGCCAAAGTCGCATAAATAGGATCATGAGAGGCGACACCCTCCTACTGTAGTTGATGGTGTTGGTGGGTAGAGAAAAGAGATAGAATTGATAGCAACATACGGAGTAATTATATTGGAGTTGCTGCTGCGATGCAAAATGACGTTGTTGGAGAAAAGAGCAGCTCCCGCACTTTGCGTATAAGAGAATCGCACCACGCCTTTCTCCACCACAATTACACGACCAAAGGAATATATCGAAACGCGAAAAGACGTGTTTATCCGTTGATCGGAATGGCTTCAAGGCAATAGTGGTTCTCTCGGAAATGCCTCATACCGCTCTCATGTATATCACCCGCTAAAATAGCCACCTCCCGACTCTGGCCACCTCCCAATATGTCCTCGGACCTGACCTTCACCCAAGGCCTTATTCTTGGTCAAGTCTCGGTCGCTCTGTTTATTGCAGCGTTCATCAAGTTCTTTATATTCGGCGAGCCTCCTCCTCCTCCTTCCCGATCGGCCAATCGAATTCCTAAACACGTTCGGACACCCTCTCTTCACAGTGTCGCCTCGTCCAAAACCGCAGTTTCACAGTCTCTTCGAAACAAAGCCAGCTCGAATGTCCTCCGGCCAGTGCCCAACAATGCCACCGACATTGCTTCGATCCTGCGTAAAACGTATTACCATATACCGAATCGACCCCACAAGAACAGCCATTCTACTCACCAGCCCGAAAGCTTGGACTGGTTCAATGTCTTGCTCGCGCAGACAATAGCGCAATATCGACAGACCGCGTACAACCTTAGAGAAGGGACGGGAAGTACGCCCACGATACTGGCAAGCTTGGAAGAAGCAATCAATAATCCGGACAAGAGACCTTCGTACATCGACAAAATCAAGATAACGGAGATTTCTATGGGGGAAGAGTTCCCAATCTTCAGCAATGTTCGAGTCATCTCAATTGAGGACGATGCTTCAAGCTCTACTGGTGGAAGGCTACAAGCTTTGATGGACGTGGATCTTTCAGATGACAACCTGACCCTCGCAATCGAGACTGCACTCATTCTCAACTACCCCAAACCCTTTTCTGCGGTCCTACCGGTTGCTCTCGCCGTTTCGGTGGTGAGGTTTTCAGGTACTTTATCCATCAGTTTCGTCCCTGCAACACAAGATGATCCAGAGGACGGAAATTCGAAAAAGAATGGTTCGACAGGAAAGCCCAAGACTAATTTGGCCTTCTCCTTCCTCCCTGACTATCGACTCGACCTCTCCGTGAGAAGTTTGATCGGCTCGCGTACACGGCTACAAGACGTGCCCAAAATTGCACAACTTGTGGAAGCACGAGCTCAGGCATGGTTCGAAGAAAGAGTTGTAGAGCCTCGCGTACAGGTTGTTCCTTTGCCGGGCTTCTGGCCACGAATGGGCAAGGTCAGAGTCAGAGAAGGCCAGGATGACGACAGGCCGTCAACTCAGGACGAACACAGACCGTCTTCTTTCGTTGAGCGCAGAGAACAGCGGCCTACCGACGACTTCCCATCACAAGAAGAAACGGAGAGAATCTTTGAAGGTCTCAGATGGCGTACAGGTCGTGATCGATCGAATAGCCAGGTCTTCGAGCATGACGATGATGGTGCAGCTCCACAATTGGCGCCATCAATGCCTGGAGCTCTACCAGTTTGAGAAGACGCCGAGCCCTGGCTTACCTCTTCCAACGCTCAACCTCTAACAATCGCAACAACGACTGTGCTGCGAAAACTGTTCAATAACATGGTCGCCTTTCACGCCACCTCGCCGCTATTCCCGTCTGTTGGATACACCTTGCACCAGGGATTCTGGCCTGCTGGGCTGCAAACCGGTTTCCACCACAGGTGTTTCAAACAGATAGTTTCAAGGGCGAGCCATTCTTTGACCTGTAATGACGAGATGTGTCTTTTCAGCTGCTGCACATACAGCCCACGAGGGGCCATGGAGCTTGCGGCAATTTCGCCGCTGGTAAGAGTCCATAAGAGCACTTGACCATGCGGATCCCAGCAGTGTAGCCCCTCGCCTGCTTGAAGAATTTCGAAAAGCATGGAACTTACTGAGCCCTTATTCGTTGCGTTGGTGGTAGCTGAGTATATCCATTCACAGCCTTTGTATGCGCATCGGAGGTGCAGGGTTGTGGCATAAATAAACGCATGAAAAACGACAGACCATTGCGTTGTGCATCGCAGCCAGGCTCCTTTGACTGGATTGTCATCCCTGCACTTTACTGGAACGGTGTTTGGCCACGAAGATGTGGTAGCCTGTCGAAGCAGTGTCATTCCATGATATCCATGGTACGAGTTACATTATAAGGCTCCGATATAGCAGCTGATGGGTTTGAATACTTACATGATCAAGAACCTTATGAAGGTACAGGGATATTTGTTTACAGGCAGGGCATCGAATGGGTCTGTCCTGCCTTCACCAAGTCATATTTTCAGCCCGGGCAAGAGCTCATGGTGATAGTGAGTGCTCTTGTGAAGAAAAGTACTTGTTTGGTTCAACAGGCTGTGGGAAGATTTTATCTTGGTCGCCGTGGTCATCATGCCCGCTTTGCGCCGCCTTGCGCCGCCGCGTCAGTATGCTTCATGTCTGTATTCGAACAGCTGGATAGTCGCTTCTCTCTCAATTTTCGATGAACCTCTTTTGTGATGTGCGCTCGAACTTCACTCGAGCCGCCTCGAGGTCCTTTTTGGCCTTGGACCCGAACGGCTGGCTTCTTGTACTGACCCACACGAATCGGTTTTTATTATCGGTGCTGGCCATGGTGCGATCACAACCGTCGATGTGTACGGGTCTCGTCCGGTTTTGTGTGAACTGCATTACATAGTGGTCATTAATTCTGATCCACGATGAGGCATGGACCCGGAAGAAGATCAGTGTCACCATATCGATAGCAGGTGGTGGTTCGAGGATATGTCGGCCGGACTTCCTCATGGTTGAGATTGCTGTTCTATCCCTCGTCTATTCACCGTTGCAATCTATGCGAGTCTTAGCCTCTTATTTGCCAGGTCTTACAGAGCCTCTCGTCGATCTACCTTTCCCGACGGGTGCGCCGCTAGGTGACTGGCCTTGCATGATCGTCCTATATCAAGTACAGAGGAAGACGACTAGAAAGATGTGGAATATTGCATTCCACTATGTCCAGTACGCGGGTCAACAAGTGCGTACTACCACGATAGGACAGCACTTGAAAAGATCTTGACCATCATTGTGATTCGCTTTGGTCAGAGCTTTCACACAGTACACTCTTCCAGAGTACTCGCTGAACAGATCGCCGACGAGCGCGGTTGCATAGTTGAAGATAGCACATCATCCTCGGTGCGTGGCAAACGACATAGGATGACTTGGATCAAGACCAAGAAGTGTTCAATATTGTTCAATATTCATTATACATCACATATATTTGCTGTTTGCAGTTTTTGGTGTCCAAACTGTTTGAGATATCTCATGTCTCACTTTTTTGACTGGTCAAAAAGGGCGGTGCCTAAGGTAATTTACGAAACAGCGACTGGCGCAGCAGCACCTCGGGTCTGTAGGTACGCTTTCCGATGTTGGTTCACATCCGTTTCGGCACCTCTGTTCAATGGGGTCCATTTAGGTTCGTCTTTGAAAAGTCGCATGGCTTGAATATACTGCAGAGAGTCCCTCGTGTTAGCGCAGCTTCTTCTTGATCCGTCCGTCCACGATGGAGGTACTTGTATTGTTTGGGCTTCTTACATTTTTCTCGTCCGTTGTGAATCGATGGTATATACCTGCGGGCAAGATGATCATATCGTCCTTTTCCAGTCTGATGCGCACCCAGTCGTCGTTTTGGCTCCGGACGTCAAAGTAGCCCGCTCCGTCACGGACGTATCTGATCTCCTCATCTTCGTGGAGGTGTTCGGCGAAGAACATCTTGACCTTGTCCTCGTAGACGGCACCCATGGCGTCGGGGGACACGGTGATGACGTCCCTGTTCTTGTAGTCTCGGTCCTTGGCGATGGCGTCGACTTCCGACACTTGAGGGCAGTGGTAGTACAAAACGCCTAGGCTGGCGAGGTAGGAAGGGTCGACGTCCCGGCCGGAGTCGTGGGTCTGACGTTGGTCGCCCTGTTTGCAGGAGAGACGGGGGAATGTCAGTCTGATGTGAATAGAACAGCAAGGACGCTTTCAAAAAGGGACGACCAAAGGTCAGAGTCTTGTCAATCGATGAGACGACTTACCTCTTGGTTGTCGAACCAGTATGCCCTCATGTTTGGTTTTGCGCTCGCGGTGTTGTTAAAAGTTGTAGGGTAAGGAAGATGTTGGGTCGGCGGAAACTGAAAGATCAGCTGCTCGTGCGGGAAATATATAAACACCTTTTGTGGGATTTCGTAGGTGAGAGAAGAGGGCTTTTGCAGTTTTTGTCCTAGGTGCTTGATAAAATGGATTTGATTATTTGTTGTAAAGAGTTCTTAGGTGAGATTTGGGGAATTGTTGGTCGCTGAAGAGTTGACGCCATCGATCCGCCCATCATCATCGTCAAATGGCGGGGAAAAGAATCAGCACATGCGCCACTAATAAATCAATCAATGTTGGTTGGATCTTGCCGTTGCCTCGTTTGCCTATTTACACAACACCACAACACATCTGGTGGCTGCGGTTCATGCTCAACTGCATGCTATCCCCGACGTTCTGTCACTGCTGTTGTCCCTGCTTATCCATCTGACCCATCCCTTTTCCTGACCACTCCCCGCCGCATCCTGGTGATCGGCTTAAGATGAAGTCCAAATTCCAGGTATATTTGAAGGAGTAAACTGTTTCGCAGCAATGTCACTCTGCCTACATTTCATCAACTGATCTTTAGCATTCGTTGAAATCCCGTGTCAAGTCGTCTTAATTATTAATTCTAGACCGTACTCACTTCCGATTTCAAGCTCGCAACAGCGGCGAAAGCAACTCCTCTGGGTGTTTAGGGCATTCTATGACATTTTATGAACCGTTCGTGGTCCTTGCATTTCTGAAGATATTTATACTGACAGAGATATTGCAGTATCAGATTCGTATTGCAGTATTGTACCTACAATCCTGGGTGGAAGTTTGCCTTTGCCACCCTCTGCTTGGCCTTGTAGCCGTCCAGCAACTGATTGAGTTTGTCTGCATCTAGCCCTCTCACCACTTGATACGCCGTCGGATGAATCCTTTTCTCTTTCAGATATCCTGGCAATCTGGCCCAGAATGGCTTGCTCAAGTCTGGGTTCAAGAGCGACACCCCATATATGTCTTTCAGCTCATACTCAGTCTCGTTCAGTTTGACCTGAAACAGGTCTGGAGGTCCACTGGGCAGAAGTCTGGCCAATTTGCCCTTCTTCGATGTCGACAAGGCGTTGATGCCAATGTGCTGCGTTGGTGGCGGATTAACGGCATCGAACGCAAGTACCAAACCATCGCCTACAATGTCACGGATCCTGGCGGTGACTTGGTCCGGCGAGCCGTGACGATCGATTACATCGGTCGCACCGTACCCTTTCAATTCCAGAGGGTCGCCACCCACGACGACAATCCGTCCGATTCCCGCAAGTGCAGCAAGCTGTACACCGAATCTACCTGTATTGCTTCCTCCGCCGAGAATCAAGATGGAGGTATCATTGTAGTTGAAATTAGCAGCCTCTGGTGTCCACGGGGCAGGAATACCCAGGCCGTCATGGATCGCGAAGAGCGGAGCCAAGAGATTGCAAGGCAGGGTCGCGGCTTCGTCGTCGCTACATGTTTCGGGAACCTTAGCGCTGTGGTCGACTTCGACTATTGCGTATTCTTGGAGCGCGTTTTGCGACCAACCAGCTGACTTGAAACATGCCTGTGTGAAGATGCGGTCCCCAGCTGCATATTTGGTCACACCTTCTCCGAGAACGGTCACTTCACCGACAACGTCGTTGCCCAAGACCCCAGGCAGGCCGTCTTTGACGAACAGCCCGTAATCACGAGCCTTTTGGTCATGAGGGTTGATGCTACCGACTGAGACACGGACTTGCACCTGGCCTGGACCAGGATCGGGGATGGGCCAATTGCTGACCAAGGTGATTGGTTTACCCAGTGCCTCAACAACAAGTGCTTTTTGTGTTTTTCCGGACATTTTGTGATGCTGGAAAGAGTGTACGGCAATTGTTACGGTTCCAAGGCCAACTGACGTGAGATCAGATACGTCTATCGAATTTAAACAGGGGACAGGGTTCCGTGAATGACATTGATTTCAAAGCCAGGACTGAGCAGGGCTTTTAAAGTTGAATGCGGTAAATTCACCTTCTAGGAATGCGGACTCCAGAATCAGAATAGGTTCGGACAGTGTGGGACCCTGGAGCATTTTTGGATCGGGAGATGGTTTTTTCATTTCCGCAGTTCCCGATTTCTACAATACTTCCCTTTGTTTTCAGCCATGGCCGCCTTCGAGTCCAGTGGAGTCAACCATAAAGCTAGAAATTCCGGCGGAAGTCTGGTTTCCTCAGAGGTATGCCTAGCAGAATATGGTGCATCACCAGGAATCATATAACCTGTGCAGGCCACTAAACTAAAAAAGACACCCATTGCGTCTTGCAGACGAGGAATATAGATTATGTCTGCTCATGAAGATGGACCAACACGGTCGGAAAGTTCGTTACACTCATCCAACAGCATTGTCAAATTAAAAAGGTCCGGAATTCCAAGCCAAGCCGTCAACAATCGACAGCAAGTATTGAGATCTCGCTGGCAAAGTCTTTTCACAGCGCAGATCAATCTCAGGGTTTTCCAAATCGATTGACAATGCCTATCCTGATTGGTTCTGTGTATTATGACGAAAAAGAGTTCTTCAGGGTAGACGAGATGATTTTGTGCCCGATCCACGATGTCCATTTCAACTGCGCGATAGCAGAGGTCATCTTTCAGCAGACCTGCGCTTCCCAGGTCGAGGACGGTAAAGAATAAGACGCATGCAAGCCTTGCCCTATGCCATTTTCCAAGCGAGTATGGATCTTTCTTGTGTGGTGGCCGGCAAAGCACTGTCAGAATGGGGCTTGAGATTCCAGGACCTAAGCTGTCACTTGTCGTCACTCGGACCCCAAATTGTTGATGGAGCTTTCTCAGGAAGTCTTGTAGCTCCTGATTCGTCGCGCTAACGTGTGACGAGACCCTTTGAGGCTGCGCGATGGAGCCAGATATGGTTCTCAACACGACGGCCTCAACCAACAAAAGAAACGAGTAGAGATCTCGGTGCGTTCTCAGACGGCAAATCCCCCCGTTGATGTCAACCATCTGCTGGAGGGCACTCCAATGAGAATCCACCATATCAGTTTGATGAAGACATTCGCACAGACTGGCCAGCATAGCAACTGCCATCATGGTGCTGTAAGCTGGTACCGTTGGTGACTGAGAGAGCTGCGCAGAAACCTCTTTCAAAGCTTCATTCTCCAGCTCAGTTATGTTCAGAAGCGGAGTTTGACCGTGTTCATCCGCATAATTTCTTGCTACTATCGCCAGGAAGGCGTTGAAAGTTCCCGCAGTGTCACGGTAAACTCGTAGAAGCTGATGAGTGATCGGAGACCCGCCGGCATATTGAAGATCTGCGGAGCATTGTCAATTCGAAAACCCGTCCTACCGGAATTGGGACCTTACAATGCTGTAACAGTATCGCTTCCACATCCGACGGGCTTGGCACCGGCGGACTGATCACGGAATTCAAGTTTCCCGACGAGGCGGGGGAAAATGGGGAAGAGTACAATCGAAGGCCCCCATGTCCATCACCTGGAGCCTGACCGAAGTCCAAAGGCAGAGACTCAGGAGAAGTTCGGCTGGAGGAAAAACTCTCGCAGCGATATCCGAGCCAATCTTCTGATCGACCAGAATGGTCGTCCAGGGGGGACCAGAGATGAATTTCTTCGCCGGACTGGCGTTTGTATCTCCTCGCTTGTGGAGTCTTTTGATCTCGTCTCGCCTGACGATGGCGTCGCCGCATGATGTGCACCCGAATGGCCTCTTGCGCAGGCTTGCAGCGCCAGTCCACGGGTATGAACGTGAATGAGCCGTCATTTGAGTCTGCCATTTGGGCGAACGATGCCCTGTCAATCAGCAGTCAATCTGAAGGGATTCATTTCAAGACAACGCCATCAAAGTTCCGAAGGCGTCGTGTTTGCGTCTCCGGTCAGAGAGTCCTGGTCCTGTCTTGAAGGACGTATGGACAATGGAATCGGCTGAACGAGCTCGCCCACAAATTATTTGACCTCTGCAAAAGATGAAAAGAGGCGAGGGCGGCCGGATCGAAAATATGACGTTATCTTAAGATTAGAGCTACTGCTTCCTCAATCCCCTCCCCACGGCCTGGACACTACCAACGTATCCACTTGCCGAATACGGCAAGCCAATACCACTTTAGGACGGTACAGGAGGCTCCTCCTTGGGTGCACCCCGGAATCCCCGTGGTCTTCACTCTCCGGCATATCATGCTGGTAGTACTCGGGGGCCTTCCACTCCAACACCTATTTAAGGACAAGACGTATCGGAGTCTGCTCGAGCCTTTCGTTCGCAGCCATTGCATTCTTAAGTCGCCATGTTGCAGCTTAGCTCTAACGCGCATTTTCATTTTGAGCTTCTCCGTATCCTTGCGACAGCCAGATCTTACGGAGCAGATGTAGCAGAAGTTCTCCGAGTCTGCCAGCGCATCAAGCCTGGGGATTTCGAGAGTTGGTACGAGGAGTTTCGACGGCTCGCGGACTGGGCAGAATCGACGGTTGGCGCCGAGAGCGAACACGACAGAGTGACGCTGAGGGACGCCTACTTTCGGATATCCAGATATCATTTCGCCTCTACTTTTTTCCTTGACGGCAATCGATCCGACCCCCGGTTGGCAGAAAGCTACCGACTCTGGAAGTCCTACTTCGACAAGGCGGCAAGTCTGCTCGCCATCCCTGCACAGCGCCACACTCTGGACGCCGGCGACTTTCAAATCCCTGTGATCCTGCTGCGCGCATCCCTGGATGATCGGCCCCGCTCATGCCTAATCATGGGGAGTGGTCTGGACGGATCGGCCGAAGAAATGGTCCATTTCCATGGCTTTGCAGCTCTCGAACGTGGGCACCATGTCATCCTATATGAAGGACCCGGACAAACCAGTGTCCGCCGTGACCAGGGTCTGGGTTTTGTCCACGACTGGGAGAGAGTCGTCAGTCCAATCGTTGACTGGCTTGAACATGTCCCGTTCGTCGATTCGAGCAAATGTGGCTTGCTCGGCGTTTCCCTGGGTGGTTACCTGGCAGCGCGAGCCGCCATCGTCGAGCACCGACTTGCCGCCGTCATCCTCAACGATGCCATCTATGATTTTTCTGATGTCCTGGAACAGATGCTTGGCGTCAATACGAAGCCGCCGGTGACGTGGACAATTTTCATGCCGCGGTCGAGCTGCAGTGCCAGTCAAACACCAAATTGAGATGGCTGACCCATCAACTGAGATGGGCTTTTGCGACAGAGACCATTCACGAAGCTCTCCAGAAAGCCAGAAAGATGACGGTTTCCGGCAAGCTGAACAGTGTGCAGTGCCCAGTTTTCGTCGGCGACGCGGAACACGATCTCTTTGTAAGATCCGAGCAGCCTCCTTTGGTCGCGCAAGAGTTGGGCAAATGGGCCACTTACAAAAAGTTCACCAAGGCAGAAGCGGCAGAGGCGCATTGCCACCTGGGCGCTACCGCCTATGCGAATCAAGTCATGTTGGAATGGTTTGGGAAACAGGTGGCGGTGGTCGAGTCACAGAGCATACATCTCAAGTAGAAGAGCGATACCAGTCTCTGCGCCGGGTTTTTTCTCGGCTGGAACAATCGTTGGAGGCTACCACTATCCAGTCGATGTTGCTGTAGGTAGATTGAAAAGGCACCGTCAATATGTTGCCCAAAGAGGGTTGTCTACTTTGCAATGTTTGTTGTGGTAGGCGAGAATGAGCGACCCAATTTTTGAATAAACGTTTGAAAAAAAAAACTGCTTTCTGAAGTATCCATCTCACCGGACTTCCTCAAACATCGTTGCCGCTTCTGACAAAAGACCCGGCGCCGCTACCAAGATCCTCCTTCAACCTCAGTCCGTTGACCACCACTGGTTGACTATCTTGCAAGACATACAACATTCGTGCCCATTGTGTTGAGCTCGCATTCCTCCACGCGTGCATGGTACCACGCTGGATCACGACATCTCCCCTCTTCAGCCGGGTGCTGCTCCCGTCGTCCAAGTCGATGATCATTTCTCCCTCCAAGACGACACCGTAGTCCAGGCTTTGGGTGCGGTGGTACATGACACTCGTGTCCGTCCTCGACGGCTCGAAATCGACGAAGCGAATGACTGTACCGTTGGGGTTGACGATTCCAAGTTGGCCCGACGCCATCAATTCCCGGTGTTGGCAAAGGTCAATCTCATCGTTGAGTTCGACGGGGAACTTGGAAGATGTGTAGACCTCCGTGACGATCATCCCATGCTCGGGAAGTGGTCGGCCGACGGGTTTGTTGGCAAGATACATCGCCGCTTGCCCCGTCGAGCTGTGCGTGGTGATGTTGACAGTGGGAGACTCTAGAGGCGACTGCAATCCATCCGGCTGAATTGTTGTCATGTTGGGAACTTCGTTTCAGAGAGTCTGATCTAGCTGTCAAAGGGCAGGTTGATTTTGACTTCACACTCGGAAGAGGCTCCTTCGAGTCCTTCGAGAAGATCTCTTGAATATAATGATCTGACTAGCTTCTGGTTCACCGTGCCAACATCGGAAAACTAAAAGGTTTGGCCCTCGATGATTACAGGGATCTACGAAGCCTACCTATTTCCCGAGTCGCCAAGGATGACCCGTTCACGCTTCTACCTTTACCGTGTCCGATTTCCCGGTCTGCAGAGCTCATTTTGTCGGTTTCAGGGTCTGGGGAAGGGCTTGGAGCGGTTTTCTAGTCTGTTTTCCAGCGTCGGAGCCGGGGTTCCCTGGCTAGTCACCCCGGATCATGATGGTAAGGAGATAATGAGAACATAAATTGTCCCTCTTCCGGCTTATTTACTTGCTTTCAATCCTTCCCTGGTTATTAGCTGAGCAGTTCATTACATCGATACCCTTTCCGTCTCACCATTGTCGCTCAGCCTCGGTTTGCCTGACGATATCTCTTTGTTGAGTGTGAGAGGCAAAAAGACTCCATATCAAACATGGCCTCGCACAACATGAAGTCCGATTCTGATAGTATCCAACATCTGGATCGCCAGCAGACTATCCAAAGTGTCAATCTCAGCATGGAGATGTTTGAAAAGCTCTATCTTGCCCCCCGGAACCGTGTCAGGGGCGAGCTTCGCAAGACCTTTGCCAATCCTACACCACTGTGAGATTTGGACCAAAAGTCTCAAAGTGTGTGAGACGTGTTCTAATTGTGATGCTGTTCAGGCCCCTACTTGGATTTCTCATTACTGCCGCTCCACTCTCGTGCGCGCTGATGGGGTGGCGAGGTGCCGGAGGAGGCGGGGCTGCGACCATCGGGACATTCTACTTCTTTGGTGGGTTGTTGCAAATCATGGGGTGTGTGATGGAGTGGCTCATTGGCAATACATTTCCCTTTGTCGTCTTCGGTTCTTTTGGTAAGACTACGGTCGTCGAGGCCTTCATGTTATTCTGTGGAACCTGTAGACATATCTAACTTGTGTGTGATCAAAGGGGCCTTCTTTCTTACGTTCGGCGCCACTTTGACACCCATGTACAATGCTGAGGCGGCCTTCACCGCAAGCGCGACTACGGAACAAGAAAGAGCCATCGGGGTTGCCAGTTTCGAAGCCAGCCTCGGTAAGTGTGACCAGTACCTTGAAGATCAATTACTGATTGTGTGTCAAGCATTCTTTCTGCTTTTCATGGGGGTTCTCGTCTCGATGTATCTAATCTGCTCTCTGCGAACGAACTTGGTATTCTTCGGCATGTTCTTGTTCCTTGAAGCAGCTGTCTTGCTCCTGACTGGGGCCTACTGGAAGGCCGCTCAGGGCGACGTCGTCACCTTCCAAAAGCTCGAAGTGGTATGTACAAGCTTCACCAGAGTTGTAGATGTCCTTTCTCATCCGGGTCCTAGGCTTCCGGCGCATTCGTGTTTGCAATATGCATCCTTGGTTTCTATCTTCTTTTCGCGCAGCTTCTTGAATCTGTCGAGTTCCCTCTTCAACTCCCTGTTGGTGACTTGAGCAAGAGGTTTGCCAGACGCAAGCTCAATGAATCAGACGAAGCTGTTTAGGATCAATTTGGCCGAGGCCTTTGAGGGAGCTCCATAACAAGAGTCCCAGAAAGAGTGATTGGATCTAGACTCCGAAGTAGAATTTAAGTGAACAGATTTGATCGAAAGATCATGGGGGAGAACATGTAATTTGTCACAAACGCCTGTATGGAAACTAGATGTGTTCCAGAATTAGTAAACCCCCACAAGCAAGTAGATACCGCAAGCGATATGTAATCCATCCTTAACCTCTGCGTCTCAGTATCGAAGATGACGTCCCGTTCGCTTGTTCCGGTGGACCTGCGTTTGGTAGGATATCGGTGCCAGCCATTCCAACCCATATGGATCGATACGAGTGGCATACTTCTTTAAGCTGCTCAACTCGAGAACGTCTAGAATAAATGGTTACCCCAGTGACCCTGCATGATTCGACCTAGTGACCGGTCAAAACTCCGGGGAGATATCTTTGGTCTCTGAACATCAGTCGCGGGGGTCTCCAATGTCTCCCTCGCGTGGCGAAGGTCATGGCACTCGAAGTTCCAGCGATAGAATCCCCGCTTGTCCTGAAAAATATCTATCGAGTAACGGAAGTTGCATCAATCGACAGAGTCATTAGGTAGGAGTGCAAATCGATGTGGTCGAAGGGTTGAAATCGACGAATGACAAGGCCGGAGAGTGGAGAACACGAGAGAGGGGAATCCAAGTACTCCCAAAAACGGTATTGACATTCTATTTATGGTCTAGTTCAACTCTTAAGCACAAGTCTTGATTGTGGATGTGGTGGGTTTGTTCAGCTTCATAGAAGGGGCTAATTAGGAAGGTTCCAGTGTTGCGAAGGTGGCCTTGAGACCTTGACGAGACTGAGGTCTCATAAAGCAAGAGAGAAGGTCACCTCGCACCGGAAGGCCGTTCCAAACGACATCACTTCATTTGTCTCTTGTGTTCCACTACTAGACCCGATCAGCTCCCCAGACTTCGCCCGCACGCGGACACCAACGTCCGACTCGTGTCCACTCCTTGAGCTCTTCTTCTTGGTTCACATCCCACCTTTGAGGTCTCAAAACAGTGTTGCCTCTTTCATGCTGACTGCGCAGGCGAGTTGTATTCAAGGGGTCGAACCTCGAGAGCGACCATGACTACTACTACGACTACTTCAGGGCGGCCGAGACGAGCCTGTGAGATTTGTAAGCGCCAGAAGGTGAGCCCCCAGCGTTGTGTGTAGGAGAATGAGTGGCTGACTCTACAAGATCCGTTGCTCCGGAGAGAGGCCTATGTGCGAGCGATGCCGTCGACTTAATCACAGCTGTGTCTACCAGAATGACAGGGCACCAGGCGGGTCGAAAAGAAAACCTCGGCAAGGTTTCAGCATTGGTGCAAGTGGCTCGCTCCCATTTGCATCCCGCCCATCATCGCGAAGCGAGAGATTGGCCTCTGGCATGAGCGATGCAGACCACGTCAATAAAGTGGTAGAATCGACAAAGGTACTGCGAGAGCCAGTACTTGAAAGATCTTATGAGCTTGCTGTCCCTGGGCCGCTCGTTGTGAAGCTGATTGATGTGTATTTTGAAAATGTTTACAATGCAAGTCTGCTACTTCACAAAGGACACTTTCTCGAGACTCTAGCAGCAGGAGTAGCTCGCCCGCATGTCGTCCTGAGCGTCTGTGCCTTGGCATCAAAGTACGTTGACGAAGACATCCATGTCAAGGATGAGGCTAAGTGAGAACATTTAGCTACTATCGAGATGAAAATGGTCATCATACCTTGAAAGATCATGGATTTATGATTGAATGGGCTCGACGTGCCGGTAGGATTGTTTTTTCGGACGTCGAAAGCTTCCATGACGACAATTTAGTCACCTTCGTGAACTTGAGTCTGTTCTGGCACAGCCAAGGTTCCTGGAGAACGTTCTATCTTCACAAAGGTACGTAACTAGAACAAGATGCGGTGTGTTGAACTTACATATGCAGGCAATTCACTCAACTTGTTGGTCATTTTGGGTTTGAGACCTTGTTCACAACCTGACGAGGATCCGTGGGTGGCTGAATTACGTCGACGTCGCCTCTGGGCCTGCTATCTCATGCACTGCCAGAATTCGGAAAGTCCATCTCGATTTCCCATCGCTGGAATCGAGGATCTTGAGTTGCCATGGCCAGAAAAGGATTTCAATGGAATGGTCAGTCAGTACAGAGGTCTTCCGGTTACGCTACGTTCTGGTGGATGCTCTGGGAGCATCTGGTCAAATATCATCAGGGCAATGACTCTATGGTAACCCATTCTACTTGAAAACAGGCTTGGTCTTCTTGATACTCATCACTTCCCACAGGTCCTCCGTGGTCAGTTTCATCAAAAGTCCCGATCCAGATCTCAACGCAAAGGTGGCTAGAATTCAGGTTTTAGATGAGGAATTATCCCAGTGGTGGCAAGGCATTCCGGATGACCTGGTATTGACACCATCAAACATTGCGAAAGTTCAGAAAGATCAAGTTCCGAACATCCTCTTGCTCAACGTCGTTTACCACCAGTCACTTTGCGCCTTACATTCGTCCATTGTGCCTCTTTTCTCTTGGGGCGAAGGCGACGTGTCTTGCGCCACGGCCAGGCAGATCTCAGCGCAAGAGGCCTACGAGCATGCTTGCACCGCTTCCGAACTATTTGATGCGGTGCTTTCAGGCTATGACGGGGTCAGTGCGATGCCGAGCTTCATCGCATATGCTGCATACTGTGGTTGCGCGATCCAGATCCCCTTTATGCGGAGCTCCAATTATTCAATCGGGAAAAGGGCTCGAGCAAATGTCGGCGCCAACGTGAAATTGTTGCAGATCATGGCAAGCTACTGGAGATTTGCATGTTTATTGGTATCTGATGCCGCCTCCTATCGACCGTGTTGGAAGCTGACCAGCCCGTTTGCCAGAGAACCTACTGTCGGTGGCTGCTTGACCGGCACCTGAGGAGCCCTACGGTACTCGAGAGCGAGCCGCGGTTTGTCGACATCGAGAAGCTGACCAGCTTCGAGGGAAATTCTCCTTACACAAGAGCATCCATCCTTGAATCTATTGGCGTGCTTCACTCAGGAGACCATGGTTATGCCCTTCCAGGCAAGGAGATGGCCGCTTTCGCGACTGACCAACATGGCGGTGAAAGGGGCCTTGCCCCTGACCTATCCGTTCATGATAACTCGGAAGGTCAGTGAGTCGCAGTGCTGATTCTACCATCGAGAAACTTAGGTAAGACGGCTACTGACAGCGTTTCACAGATATCTCCTCTGTCCAAAACCGCAGCGACCTATCTGAGAACGATCGGAGTGAAGAATACTCAGCATCAGCAGGAACAATATTACCCTCGCTACTACAGAATCAACAGCAGTTCCTGGAACACGACAAAACACCACCACAATGCAGGTCAGAAGAGACTTGCTCACAAACTTTTGCGGATCAGACGCTCGACATCTTCCACGCCGGCCATGGTCCTCAATTCCAAAACTTTTTCCCGGACGACGACATGCCTGATCTCTCGATATTTGACCCAAGTTCGTTCAACTTGGACTGGCATGACCTGAATCCCTTGGACAATGGCGGTCATTTTACTATGGAATACTAACCAAAGGCTTTGGTACAACGAGACGAAACTCGAAGGATATGCACGGTGGCTCGGAATCAAGGCGCAACATCCGGCAATCCAGATGAAGTCTCCAGAGGGGAGATTCATCCTGAGTCAAGGTTGACCAGAAAAAAAAACAGATCATGGCTGCGGCCCGTGAGACAAAGCATGTATAGTGTTGTGAGACCCAAGGGGTTTGAAATCGGAGTATTAGGCACTGGGCTCTGTTCAACTGAGTCGCGGGCTCATTGAGCAGTATACCCACCGTCAACAGCCACCGCACTTCCTGTGATGAAGGAACTTCTTCCACCCGAAAGAAACAGAACCACATTCGCCACTTCCTGAGCACTTCCCCAACGCCTCATAGGAGTGAATGTCTCGACTTGTTCGGTGGCTCTTCGTACAAGTTCGTCGCTCGTGCCGATGAGAGGAGTATTTATATATCCTGGGCAAACGGCATTAACCCTTAAGCCTTGTGCGGCGTAGTCTAGCGCTGTGGTCTTCGTTAGACCCAAAACAGCGTGCTTCGAAGGTACATATGCGGTCGACAAGGTGATCCCGACCAGACCCATGCTATACAATCAGCGCGTTAGTGTTATAGGGCATTTAAACTGGAGTCTGCTAGGACATGAGATGTCATGTGTTGTCGCAGCCCTAATTTGTTTCCTACCAAAGGGAGCAGAACTGGGTATACACCTACATGGACGATATATTGACTATCGACCCCCGCTGACGTGAATTATGGTCCCTATTACGCATTGCATTAGCAAATTTCTCTAGACGGTCGTGTCAATTTCGCCAACTGAACATGGGCAATGGAAACCTTCTCACATGGACGAAACCACCCAGTCTTGCTTCAAGATAATCTGTGCCGCTACCCGAACGCAGTAGAAAACGGCATTGACATTGACATCCATTACTCTTTGCCAGTCACTTGTCTCCGTACAGATGACCCCGCCAACCTGTTTATGTGCAACACCGGCACAATTAACCACGTAGTCGAGTCTGCCAAAGTGTCTCGCGGCTTCCTTGAATGCTGAAATGACACGGCTCTCGTCTCTGACGTTGACCTCCAATTTCAGGCACTGGAACTCCTCCCTGGTGCAGGCTCGCTTTACTTCTGCTTCCACAATCTCGAGGTTCGTAGCGTCCAAATCCAACAATGCGACGCCAGCTGCGCCTTCCCGTGCGAAAGCAACAGCACATGCTCTACCTATTCCACTACCGGCGCCTGTGACCAAAGCAAAACCTGTTACGTCCATGTTGCTTCAGTTGGGCAGAGGAGAGATGGATGTCGAGTCGGCAAAGCTCACACCGAGAACATAGAGAGACGTCGTTCCCGCTCTTTATGTACCTCGTTTCTCGCTCTGTGTATGCTTTTTTGTCGGTGTGAGATCGACCTATTCTAGATGTCATTCAAAAACTATGCATGTTCACTAGGGTTCGGACAACCATTGCAGTGCTTGTCGAAGCAGGAGACGGACACGGCACCGGACACGGGAAACATTCGGATGCGGAACCCATGCGTAAATTCTGAATACGAAACAAGTAGCTTCCCGAGGTCGCCGATTCTTGTTTTCGGTCCATCATAGGCTTGAGGTTGTTTTGAGGATCAAACTTCCAGGCATCTTCGTTCGGCGTCGCCCTCGTTCTGCAAATCTCGAGAGTCGTGACTACTAGTTGAATGAAGGCGCCATGAATTGTCAACGAGGCAGTAGCATTGATCCAACTTACGGGGTCTGTTTACTCGCTGAGAGGTTCAGACATCTCGTTCATTCGAGGGTCAACAAAATATAATGACGAGAAACGAAGCCTCTCAACTTTAGGACCGGACAAGCGATATGGCGCGTCAAAGCGGCGGGGTAATTCGTGAGGCTGTTTTGGTCGATCGAAGGCGGCTTCTCCGCAGCTTGTTTAGGGCGGCCAGTTCACCCACATTAATCAGAAACTGGAGTACTTTCCATCAGGTATTCTGAACTCACTAGCACTTCCAACACCCAACGATCTGAGTAGCTAGCGACCTATTAAATTCGGCATCAGGTGTCTTTACCAGCGTAAATTTGCACACAGCGCTCGAGTGAGATCGTTGATGCGACATAGGTATATTGAGGAGGTGTCTTTCTTTTCCCTACATCTTCCATCCTTCGTTCACAGACACCAGCGACTCGCGACTCGTCGAACGAAGGCGGGAAAGGGCATACGCTCCTCCATCAAAATAGCTGTCTATATTCTAAGAGAAGTCGAAACTTGCAAACGAACGGTCTTTCGAAAGAGGAATCTTCATGACAAGTAGCGAATCAGCAATGGGTTTCACGCAGAGGAAAGCCTGAGACAAGACGACCTCCCAGTGCGAGTACCAAGCGTCACATCAGATCTCATCAAGAAGCTTATCAGTACGAGAGCTGCTCTTTTGAGCGTCTGGACGGCAATATTAGCCCCAACCACCAGCTCGACGAAGCTTTGGTCGGAAACGAAAAGACCAGCAATGGACGCCCTGCGTCGTACCACATCCCAGGACCAAAGCCAAACCATTACCATAGCGTCCTCATCACCTTCCACGCATCGATCTCCCGCCTTCTCGTCTGACCCGACGTTGAAAATTTCACTCCCCAGCACGACTGATCCGCCTTCTGCCGTTAGACCTCCGAAGCAGAAAGTATGGGTCGTCTTTGGCGCAACGGGCCACATGGGCCGCAGCGTGACCAAGACCGCTCTTGCCCATGGCGATCGAGTCTGCGCGGTCGGCCAGTCTCTCGAAGACAACCTTTCCACGCTCTCAACGCTGCTATCGTCCTTTTCGAGTACCTCGTCGTTTTCCAGTACCTCGTCGACCAACTACGCCGACACGTACCTCGGTCTTCTATGTGACGTGCGCATCCGGCCCTCCGTCTCGGCCACACTCGACGCCACGATCGCACACTTTGGTCGCATCGACATCATCGCAAACTGCACCGGCTACGGCGTCATTGGCGCCTGCGAGGACCAGGACGAGCACGAAATCCGCAACCAGTTCGAAACCAATTTCATGGGCACCCTGAACATTATACAGCTGTCTCTGCCGCACTTTCGACAGCGCCAGGCGGGTCGGTACTTGATCTTCAGCAGCACGTCCGGCGCGCTCGGTGTACCTGGTCTGGGCCCATATTGCGCAACAAAGTATGCCGTCGAGGGACTGATCGAGAGTATGTTGTATGAGGTTGATCCCTTCGGGATCAGGGCGACATTGGTCGAGCCGGGTCATTTACGGCGCGATGACGATTATAGCGTGGCCTCCAGCACTGTTGCTGCTGCTGCTGCCGCTGCCGCCTCCGCCGGCACACAAGTTCCACCAGGGGCTGTGTCCACCACGAATGGTGGTGGTGGTGGTGGTGGAGTATCACGACCAGGGACCACAATTGCTGCCACAAGCGGAACGGGAAGCAACAATGTCAATACACTTCCTCTGTTCGGTCACTTCAAGGTCGCCAAAGCGTCCGAGCCCTACACGGGCAGGGATGCGCCCGCCGCACATGCGCAGCGGACGTTACATTGGATGGGCAACAATCAGCCGGTCAGCGTGGTCAAGGCGGCCGAGCTGGTGTGGCAACTGGGACATTGTCGCTACCCTCCTCTGCGCCTGATCCTGGGCAGCTTCGCCGTGGACAGCATCCGGGACAGGCTGAAGAGCATCATCGAGGAAATCGAGGACTGGAAGCACTTGAGCTTCCCACCACTGGAACCGGAACCTGACGCGGATGGTGAAGGAGAGGGAGAGGGGGAAGGTGAAGACGACGGCGAGGACCAAGGCGAGGGTGACGAAATGGAAAGGGATGAATTGGACGACGACGACGACAACAACAACGACGAGGAAAAGACCGAGGGCGGGGACCCAAAGGGCAGAGGCGGCACGGCGACAAACTACGACGCAAGAGCACCCAATGTCAAAATAGAGGATCGGATGGACGTCGATCGTTGACAGCGGACGATGGAAAGGAAGAAGAAGAAGCATGCGAAGAATTTTGAAGTATTCATCTGTTCATTGCTATCTGCGAGACGATTCTTGACTCGAAACTGCTGTACTGGGCCAATTGTCGAACTGTACGACAACTGGCAACTGGTTCGGCGGATCACCTCCGATTGTGAGCCACGGCCATGCTAGAGATGAGTATCACTTGGAAGTGTTGGGTGTGCCTGCTCGGTTCCACTTGGAGAACTCGCCATTTTGAGCCGGGTCTACTCGCCCCGTATTACACTTTGTGCATCCCATTGACGATTATAGTTGGCGGTCGTACCTGACTTGTCGACATGATGAATCAGCTACCGCGAGAGCGGACGAGACTGTGGCATACTCGGTACTATCGTTGAAAGTCCACCTCCAGGAGAGAACTCTTCCATTTCGATTTCCAACAATCAGTCCTCAAAGTGGAGATATCCTGCGTGATCAATTCCGCGAAAACCATGCGCTGGGTTATTGATAGTCGTACAGATTGAGAGCAGAATCGGAGCACGGCTCAACAACCGAGCTCGAGATTGATTGATGTCAATGAGGTGTGTTGTTACAGATGTGAACGTTCCTGTCGGACATCAGAGCGTGATCCGCATGTGATCGTTGCTGCCAAATGCCTTTCCGCAATTCGGGCATTTTCTCGATCTCGACGTCATTCGCTCTTCGACGCATTCGTTGCAGAATGTATGGCCACAATTCTTCATGACGGTGTTCTTGAGATTCTTCTTGCACACATTGCAATATGCAAATTGCCGCAGAATCTCGTATTGTTCATTTTGGCCACTCTTGCTCTTCCACATTTCGAGGTTCCGCCGACAATCCTTCAACGATGCTTTCAGTTCTTCAGCTTCAACCTCCGCAGCACGACAAAGACTGGATGTTTGAGCTAATGTGGCATCTTTCGTGCTTAACTGATTCTTCAGTTCTGTGATTTGAGAATTCAGTCTCGAAACTTCGAGACCTTGGGTGATGTTTTGCTGTTGAACATTGCGGTGCTCATTAATTTTGTGGGATAAAGCATCCTTCATTTCAGCCAGCTGTTTCTCCATCGTAACTAAGAGAGCTCGACTTGCATTTTCAGCCTCTTTCAATTGTGAGACTGCCTCCGCAGATTTCGAGTTCTGCAAACGCAAAGTTCGCACCTCAGAGTCACGAGTTTCTTTGCTCTTCATGGCTGCAAAGAATTTCTGGTCAGCTTTGGCTTTCTCAGCTGACAGTCGCAAGACCTTTTCTTCCAAGGCTGCAAATTCTGAGACTTTCTGAGTTGCAATCTTGGACGTCTTTTGGAATGCTGTCGACATGGACGACAATTCAACGTTCAGCAAATTGTACTTGCGGTCCAGCTCGGTGTACTTTCCTCTCAGCTCTTCGAGACTCAGGCCTTCCAAAGTCGCATCATCCACGGCCATGGCAGTCGACTCTCCAGAAAGGCGCTCATTCTTCGACTCCAGTGCCCGAATCTGGTCTTCTAGAGCTGAGGACAGGTCTTTCATTTTTCGCAATGCTTCTTGATCCTGTTCCAATGTTGCTTTCTTGACTGCCTGGTCTGCTAGCAGCTCATCCCGGTTATGTCGAATACGTGCGAGATTGGCTTCTGATGCTGCAAGGAGGGACTCCTTCTCTTGCAAGGCAACCCGGCGCTCATTTTCAAGCTGCAGCTGAAATGTCGTCCTCTCCGATCTCAACTTTGTGGCTTCCTCTTTCAACTCAGCATTGGCTGCTTCGAGGTTATTTATCCTCTTGATCACATCTTCATGTTGTGATTTCAGCTGTTTGAACAGTTCCGTTTTCGCATAATCGTCATCCGTCAATATTACCGATTTTGTCGTCAACTCTGTTATTTGGGCGTTCAACCGAGTGTTCTCTTCCTCAAGTTTTTCCAGCTGTTCTCTCTGCTTCTCGGAAGCCGCTGCTGTCTTGTTCAGCTGAGTTTCAGCCTCCGCAAGTTCTTCCGCATGGTCAGTCGTGCCGTTGACAACACTATCTTCTCGCTTGGCCGAGCTTCCATCTTCGGTCTGCATCTTTGTAGCGCCCATTAGTGCCTGTTTTTCGAATTTTGCGACAGTCACGCTCTTGGCTCTATCGATTTTCTTTTCCGCAACCATATACCGCAAAGACGCATTTTCTAGTCGAGCCTCTAGATCTTCCTTCTCCGATTGGAGCCTTGACAGTTCCACTACGTGTCCCTTCTCAGCAGCGAGGAGTCGGGATATTCGCGACTGCAGTTCCGTTATGTCGGGAGAGACAGGGTTGTTAGAGCCGAACAATTTCGATATCACAGCTTTGATCTCTTTGGATCGACTTTGTAGATGCTCTTGGAAATGTTCTTGGTCGGTAAAGAGGAGAGAGGATGGCAAAGATGAGGAATCCATATCTACGTCGTCATCGCCTTGCACAATGAGCTTGACCTCATCAATTACTTGCTGAAACCAAGAATCAATGATCCGGAGATGATCATCGTGATGTCGGGTTTTTTTCCTCATCTCTTTTAATTGTGACTCGAGCGTGGATTTCTCCCTCTTGTACTCTTGCATCCGTCGGAGAATTGCATCTTTTTGATATGTCTATAGATGGATCGCATTAGTGGGTGTCCACTTCCATTGACGAAAAGCCAATGCGGCATGCGATGCTTACCTCAAGATCATCTTTCCATGGCATATCGTCATCCTTGTGGGACTTTGACGCGCCATTAGCAGAGGTAGCCAACTTCTTTGACGGAGGAGCCGAGTCGACCTGATCGTATGGACTTGGTCTTTTGCGCTCTTCCATCTTGACTAGGCTCTGGTGAGAGAGGGAAAGGGGAAGGGAGTCGACGGCCGTCATCAGTCCTGGTCAGCGGGATGGCTGAGCTTCTTGGAGAGAGTCGTCTTTTCAATTGTCGCGTTTGACAAAGACAATGAAGACCGCCAGGAGAAAAGAGAGTTGATTCTGGATCATGGCAAAGATCTCTATCTGAAGGAGGGCAAGACCTTGAAGGCGCATGAAGTTTGAAGGGAACAAACGCTAAACTGTTTTAGGTTAACTCCTTGGCTTATTGCCGCTGCTTTTGTGGTGACACCGTCCCCCCGCCGTGAAAACCATCTGACCCAGAGACAAGTCGACAAGAATCTGTTTATCATAGGTGAAATGGATAGGGTTTATTCTTGCAGACGCGATGACCTTTTCCTCAGTTGTCAAAAAGCCCGGACAGAAGATCACGCCCAAGACTGCGCCGCGTCGAAATGTTCCAAGATCGCGACCGACTGCGCCGCCTTCGTTGACACCAGACAGTTTGACTTCAAGTCCTGCGGTTGAGGTTGTGGATGATGAAACGAGAAGTCAAGTGCCAGAGTCAGTCCAGAATCAGACTGTACTAGAGTCCACTGAGATACCTTCGATCGCCGAATCGGTAGAGACATCGCTTCCGCTTTCCAACCCACTTGAAACATCGAACAGAGACAGCGTCGGGGAGCCGTTTAATGAGACTACTAGCAGACCACCATCGGTTCCGATAGAGATTACTGCTCCCAGTGGCACAAGTACAGGGATTACTATCATACATCCAGCCCACGAAACTGCGTCGGAAACGAGATCACAAGCCATTCCGACGATCGCGTCCAGCACCCCGCTCATAAGTTCTTCGCGGAGGTCTGCAGACACTCACAATCCGTCGGCGGCTTCAGAGGAGCCAGCGCAACAGATCGAGAATGTTGCAGATACAGAAGCGCGGTCTACCACGGACTCAAGAAAGAGGCGGAAGATCACACACACGTCTCAAGAGCTTGACGAGTCGCGATCACCAGCCACTCCGCCTTCATCCGATGATATACCTCTGCTGCTAAGAACCAGCCCTCGACATCGACGTAGTGAGTCTCGCACATCGGAGGTTCTTTTACAGGATGCGACCAGTCAACTTGTCGCGATCTCGGAGCTCGCGAACTCGATCGAGCAGAGAGCCCGGTCTCTACGGCCACGTTCTGCTAGACCTAGTTATTCGGAAACGGAGGAGGTGGCTGATGGTGACGCTGAAGGACAAATGACAAGGACGGAAAAACCGCAAAAGAAACAGTCGCGCGTGAAGCGAATCCGAGATCTTGCGCAGCAAGTGGTCGAAAATGCCGCCAACGGAGCGCCAAACAGCCGGCGAAAGGCTCGACTTCCCACACCAGAGAACGCCGATGAATTACAGATCGACCCGGAAGAAGTATCAATGAGCGATTTGACCAGAGACAACAAAGTTGGGAGAAAGTCGGAAACGGAGAAACGAATGCAAGATAATTGGATCGAGATTCAAAAACGTCGAAAAGAAGACGTTGAGCGGCGACGAGAGGCTGCTGGAAAAGGCAGAGCGGGCCGACAAGAATTGTTTCAGGACGCTCTAGCCGAACCCATACAAGTGCCTAAACAGATCATTGTGAACGGTCAGATTATTGTTGCCAATGAATCTCGAGAGGTTGCATTTGGTGCAGGCGTGGAACAAGCGGCCGACAATGACCAAGAGGTTGCTCTCGAAGATGACCGCATATACAGATACGTCAATCAGGGTACATTAGGCAAACGCGCAGGCTTAAACAAGAAAACAAAGTGGGACGATGAACACACCGAATTGTTCTACAAAGGTCTGCGAATGTTTGGCACTGACTTTGCCATGATAGCCAATCTCTTCCCATCCTTTGACAGGAGGCAGATCAAGTCAAAGTTCGTCATTGAGGAGCGTCTCAACCCAGTCCGAGTGAAGAACAGTGTCGACGCTAAGGAAGCCGTCAATCTCGAAGAGTATGCCAGAATGTCGGACCAGCAATTCGAGGACCCAAGCAAACTCATGGCGGAGTTGGCTGCCGAGGAGAAGAGGCTTCGGGAGGAAGACGAGCGAAGACGGGCAGGCGAAGGCTATGTTCTTGAGGGTGCAGACGTGCCATTGCCGTCAACGGAAACGGATTTCGAACAAAGCAGCAATGTCGTGGAGGGCGATGACACAACCGCGCCGGCCGGCGCTCACAGAGAAATAATCTCGACGTTGGCAGACTCAGTGGTCGCAGGGGCTACGGGACCCAAGAAGAGGCAAGGTGCGCAGCACAGGGCGACGAAAGAACCTGTCGGACGTGGACGGCAAGCCAAGAAAGGCAGAAGACCGACTGAAGGTGTCGAAGAGGCACTTGGACCGATTGACGAGGTTGGTCGGTAGAGTACTTGACAAGGTTTCTTGTGTCGAGTGGCTCTACCTGTTAGGCGAGCATCATACACGCAGAATCTATTTGATATTGTTCGAGTTCTTGAAAGATGTAAACATGTAGAAGTACCTGATCCTGTTTATCGTCTTCACTATTGTCATTCACTGCCTTCATTATCCTACCCACCTCATCAAGAAAGAGAAAAAAAATAGGTATTGAGAGACAAAAGGTTTGGACGTTCGAACCCTGGGCTCTTCTAATACTTATCCCGACTATGACCATTCACACACATGTCTCTAGAAGATCCGTCCTACCTGGGTAGGAAAGATACTTGTAGAGGAGATGATGCTACATTGGTCATGGAAACCATGCCGACTCCCAAGTTTAATCCCAACTAAACTTGGTTTCCAAGGATAAGCCCAACCTCCAAACCATGTATGTAACAAAGGTCACGTTTCGACGTGGTGAGTCTTTTTGATAGTTGGGCCATCAAGGCGTATCAATTGTTGAAGGAAAATTGACCAGTTTGAATATACATAGTCGAATAATAAAGTAGTCACTGCTGCTGCTGTGTGGACTTCAGTAGGCACATTTCGTGTGAGTTGGGGACGTGTCCCCTTCTGTCTTCACTGTCTTTTCCAGAGGCGGTTTTCCTGGACCAGTGCAAAGAAGTTGGTTTTTGATCCTGGTAAAGGAGCCACTATCATCTCCATCGTGAGAGACATTGGCCCTGTTTCTTTCGTGCTCGTGGACTCGTGAGGTATGTATACGCCAACATTTCTTCGCTGAAAGTCATGCTATCACCTTGCACAGTGCTGCTGCTTGACCGGGGTAGGTCTCTTGTGGAGAGCCTTGGGTCGAACTCGACTTCCGTCGTGATCAGTTCAATGACAATTGCGTTCGCTGTGGCGAGTCGGTCATCTTGTGAACCAGAGACCACAACAAGGCTTATTCTCACAAGTAGCAGCCTTCTGTGGCAAGCTTTCAGATCGAATATCGTCTTTGGGCAGAGATCAAGAATTAAAAATTCTGCTGTACAACATCTCATGTCTTCCGATCCACAAGTCCATGGTCGGGACTACTTGGCCAGCATCTTCGGGCTGGAGGAACCATATTTTCTCCAGACTCTGACGAATAATGCTCTGTAAGTCCCGACCAGCCAGGATGTTCTGTGCCATGTACGGGCCCATCACGGAAGCCCTGACAGCGGCACTCAGGACAGCCTTGGCATGGTTCAACAGAAACAAGTATCCTGCTTCCTCTAGATTGAGGCCCAGTGCGAGACACACCACACCCCACAACGGGGCGAGGTGGCCGTTGACCAGAGGCAATGGATCAGAGCTTATCGACGCGAGTTTGAGGTCGCGCGCAAAAATCTCGATGGTCAGCAGAGCTTCGAGGCCCTCGTCTTTGTTGGGCCTTGTCTTGAAAGCCTGGGAGAAGGCCTTCTCCCACACGCTCAGAAGTGCGCGGCCCTGAGCTATACTTGCTCGCCGTGCGACAGTGCACGGCGTCGAAGCGTCGAGGTCGTTGTCCAAGTCCGCTAGGCCAAGAGGGTCCCGGAAGGCAGATAGCACGTACGGCACGTTCGTATAAGCGACGGACTGGATTGATAACCTAAGAAATTTAAGGAACAGGGTCAGGTTGGTCTGGGTTTTTGGCAGGGGTTTATGGTGTGCTAGGAACGACTCGAGCCCGGAGGAATATGCAAAGCTCCCAAGTGGCAAGGCAGAGTCGGATAACAGCATAAGATTGTGTATAGATGAATCCACGGGTATCGATACAGGTATGGCGAAGGAATTGACGGCAGTCTTGGATTCTATCCGACTTAGGAGTGCTTTGGTGGTCTGGAGCTCTGTCTCGAGCTCGAGAACTCGCTGGCGGAGCCTGTCCGCGTCGCTGTTATTCATGACATGCTTTGATCAATGTTCGTATGCCACGCTGGTCAGTCTAGTAAGAAAAGGGTCGAGGTTGAAGCTCATAATGAGGTCCACCACCGGATGTTCTGGACATTTGAAGTGCGGAGAAATATTCTTTAGCTTCGACCGCGAGTCGATGTCGTCAACTACGCAATTACATCGTCCTTTGTATTCTTCAGGTTCACCCACTACGCCTCTGAGCAATTCAAATTGTACTTCTCCTGTTTTGCATATGCCATAGTACTGTGACAAGGGTCTCTGACCCCATCCACAACCATGTCCGGCAAGAGAATCCTCGATGCGATTGCACTCTTGAATGCCTCTCGCAATATCGCAGTCAAGCATTTCAACATCCGGGTTTCTCAAGTTAAGCTCTATGGCCAGACATCCTCGGTTGTCAAGGCAGTGAGAAACCGAGCCTTGCCAGCGCTGGCCACTTCCGTGTCTCGATTTGCATCCTCACAACCCCCCTCCCGACCTCCGAAAGAGGGCCTTGACCAAGACCATTTTTATGACCGCTCGGAGCAGAACTCGCCTGCTCAAACTGCCCCAAACGGCGACCTCGATGTCCAACAAGCGCAGGCAGGGAGGTCTCCTCTCCCAGATGGGACGATACCGCCTGATGGAAGCCCGATTGGGCAAGAGACGGGAGATGGAATGAGTTTTAACAAGAGACCTGCCGGCGAGACGCCGCAACATCCCGTCGAAGGAAGTGGCGCCCAGGACCTACACCCCGAGTCTCTAGCACAGTCAACCATACCAGACCCTACAAGCCGGCAGCCACTGTCACCAGACCAGGCCCGAAGGCTTCAACGCCAGTCCGAGAATCAAATACCTGCGACAGCCGCCGAACCTCCTACGGGAGAAGAAAGAGAATTTGGGGTTGAGCAAGAGCAGGATGTGTTCTATCAACCCCCCGACACTGCTAAGCCTGTCCTATCAGCACTTCCACGAGTCAAGGTGCCGAAATCTGAGAATGATGTTCAAGAAGGTGACTCGCATATTCCTCCAGGTATCAATGCAGATGTCTACTATTCTGGATCGAAGCCCCAACACGGGACTGTGGACAACGAGCCCAATGAGGAGCAATTGTCCCAGCTTTTTCACAATCCGAGACATGCAACGACACTGCTCCGACAGAAATCCAATTCTCTTCCCTCGTCAAAGCGACGATTCCATACCTCACGATCCTCGCCACAGAAAGCCTCAGACACAGATGAGGAAAGCATCAAACAACTTGCTGCAGACATGGCCAAGGATGCTCAAAGAATCAAAAACGTGAGACCCCTTGACCCTCCTCCGTTAGATGACTGCAACTGATCAACTGACAGATATCCTAGGCTCAACCCGTCGCCAATGTCCAGCCATACCAGATGCGAGAATCTCGAGTTCCATCTTCCAGGATTGGACGTATTTTCGAGTACGGAGGTCTGGCAGCGAGTATGGCATTTGGCGCAGTCAGTGAAAGTATCAGCCGGTCGGGCGGTCCTCAAGGTTCAATCATGCTCAGTGCAGGCAATATGGAGCGTCTAGTGGCGAAATTGTCCAAAATGCGAGGTGCAGCTCTGAAGTTAGGCCAAATGATGAGCTTCCAAGATGCCAAACTGCTGCCCAAGCCCATTCACGATGTGCTACAACGTGTGCAAGATAGCGCTGACTACATGCCCGCCTCACAACGTGATGCAGTGATCTCAGCCGACCTGGGCCCCAACTGGCGTGACTTGTTTGAGGAATTCGAAGAGCGTCCCATGGCTGCAGCCTCGATCGGGCAAGTCCATGGTGCCACTATGCGAAGCTCGGGAAAGAGGGTGGCGGTGAAAGTGCAGTATCCTGGTGTGGCCGAGTCTATTTCTTCAGATCTGAACAATCTCTCCCTGCTCCTCACTGCTTCGCGACTGTTGCCGAAAGGACTGTACCTCGACAAGACAATAGCAAATGCTCGTACCGAGTTAGGCTGGGAATGCGACTATAAGCGTGAAGCTGAAGCTGCGAAGAGATTCCGCGAGCTACTCGCTGACGAGACAACGGTCTTCACAGTGCCAGAAGTCTTTGATGAAGCTTCTGGGAAGCGCGTATTGACTATGGAGCGGATGGAAGGCGTTGCTGTGACGAAGATCCAAAACTTCACGCAAGAGCAAAAAGACTGGATCGGGAGTCAGATTCTTCGACTCTGCCTGCGCGAGATCATCGAGTTCAAATACATGCAGACAGATCCCAACTGGACAAACTTCCTCTACGACGCCCACACCAACAAACTGGAACTGCTCGACTTTGGAGCATCACGAGAATATCCAGCTCAATTCATTGACCTGTACGTCAGGGTCCTCGACGCCGCGTCGAGGAACGATAGAAATACCTGCCGAGATCTATCGATCAAGCTTGGATACCTTACTGGCTACGAATCCAGAGCTATGCTGAACGCACACATTGACTCAGTTATGACGCTGGCAGAGCCTTTCATGAACTCGGCGCCTGATGTTTATGACTTTCAAAACCAGACTATCACCGACCGAGTCCGGGGTCTCATACCCGTCATGCTCAGAGAACGGCTTGCACCACCGCCGGAGGAAACGTACAGTCTACACCGAAAACTGAGTGGTGCATTTCTTCTGTGTGCTAGACTCGGCAGTCGAGTTCGATGCAAAGATATGTTCCAACAAGCTCTTGTCAAGGCTGGAATACGGTGATGATCAGAAAACTGAAGAGTCATCATCTTCATCGCTGTGCTCGAGGATCGTCTGTTGAAGCAAGCCAGGCCGGTTTGACCCAGAAACACTTGGACTCAATGGACTGATAGGTGTGCTCGACAAGGGCATATTGCGGGCTTCACGGACGGCCTCCTGGAGGAGCGGCCGGGAGGCAAGCAATTTGGCCTGAACAGCCAGTCGCTCTTGGTCTTTCAACTGCTTCCTCTTCTTCTCTTCTCTTGCTTTTCTGTACGACATGGCGTCGTGGCCGGTCGGAGGGGAAGGATCGACGCTCGGTTTCTCGTCGAGTCTAAATACGAGCACAACAGCGCGCAGAGTGAAGTGTAGAATGAGACCGAGCACGGTGCCGAGAACAATTGCACTACCGATGAAGTACCAGAGGGCCTGCAACAACGATTAGCAACGGGCTATTAGATAACACGAGCGCACTCAGGGCTGGCAGACCTCAAACCGAGCGAATACGCGCCATGGCATCAGGATCAGAGCGAGAATCGATGATCCAATGTATATTACGGGGGTGGATATCAATACTAAAATGTACCATAGTGCCTTCAAAAGCACCAGGATGGGGTAGAGAACGATGTAATAAAGAATGACCGTGGTGATTTTGAGCCATGGAGCTGGCAAAGGCGTGTCAGTTGTCATCGCATGGTTTTGCCTCCAGACTGCTGTAATCTCCAGTACGAGCCACTGCGTACCGAGTAAGTCGTGGAGAATCAAGTATCTAGAATTAGAAAAGATGACGAGATGCGCGAGCCAAGCAGGAGGGAAGAGATGATGATGATGATGATTGTGATGATGGAATTACTAGTAGTTGACTTGACTGCGTCTTTGGTTGTCCAGTCAAGTTTTCCCCCGCAGACGTCAATAATGGCCTCATGCAGCGGTCGTTGCCCTGAACTAATGCATTCGATTTCGCCTCTAGGCTGCTCCGTAGGCGGAGGATCCTCATTACCTGCCTAATAAGTGAGGCGTCGTTCTTTTCTCGCCCGCCAACTGAACTGAACTGCCCCCCTCCAACTTGTCGCCTACGAGCCGAATCCATTTCACTTTCAACCTCTTGGAAATTCCTCCCAACAACCAAACGCACTGCAAATAATCCACCACTCGATGGAATGCTCATCTGCCTAAAGCCTACCAGATTCTCTTCTGACTTTTTGTCGCCGTGACCTCTCGCCCCCCTTCTACTACTGGGTGAAAGTGCCCGCTCTCGTCTCTCCCTCCTCCTCCTCCTCCGCCGCCGCCAGCCCACTGGTCGCACGACACACTTGCGCCGCTCTCCCCCCTCCTTCGAAATTCGAATTTCAGCCTCACCACAATAATGGGTCAACAACAATCTTCAGAAAAGAGCTCGGGTCCAAGGTCAGGGACACCGCAAGCCGAGAGAGATCGCAGGGTGAACCGGAGAGTCTCCATCCAAGCTCTGTCGCAAGGCCGCTCGACACCCGTTGACCCCTCGGCTACCAAAGACACCGCTCTTGCGCAGACCACCACGACACCGCACCTCGAAAAGCCGGCCTTGCAACAGTACCTTCAAGCCTCTTCCTCCTCTTCTTCCTCGCCCGAAGCCAGCGCCAGAGGAGCCAAGTTGGTGGAAAGATCAGGATCTCGTGCGTCGCGCGACAACAGGCACAATGAATCATTATTAGAACACCGACCACGGCAACAGCGAGCGTCAGTGCCTGTCCCCCAGGCTTCAGGTCCCGTGGATGTACCCGTGTCCAGGAGCAAACAGGACTCGTCGGCCGAAGAGCGATTCGAGGACCACCACACTTCAGCATACCAGGACCGGCGATATACTCCCGTTGCTCAGCTTCGCCCGCCACGTCTTCCGCTCCCCATTGCTGATGTTCCAATTCCCGAATCACCGACTCTGGCACCCGTCGACAAGGGTAACGCAGATGTTCCCATCTTTGAGACCGACGAGCCGTTGGCGGGCATTGAGTCCCAGCTAAGGAGGAAGAGTTCAATGATTAGCACTACGACCGAGTCCGAGGAGGAGGTTGGCGAAGAGCTCCAACCGTATGCGGTTGAGCCGGCCAATGCCCAGACTGTACCTACCGTCATCGAATGGAATCATGGCGGTCAACGGGTGTACGTGACGGGTACTTTTGCCAATTGGGAAAGAAAATACCGGCTTCATCCTAGGTATGTTCGCGGCATGTTTCACTTCTTTGTTTCCTACAACACCATGCCGATTCTTCTACTACACAACTAGACAAGAAACGGCAACAAATTCCCCAGAGAGAGCTTGAGCCTTGACAAGCCCCCTCCCGATACTTTCGTGCTAATATCATCCATAGGAAAAATGGTACTGGAATGTTCACAACAATCAGCTTGCCCTCAGGCACCCACCACCTCAAATTTGTCGTGGACGGTGAGATGGTCACCAGCCCAGACCTGCCCACGGCCGTCGACTTCAACAACTTTCTGGTCAACTATATCGAAATTGCGACCGAAGATCTCGCCAAACAACGGCGGGAGAGTGCGCAACAAGGTAACCGGTCTTCGACTCTTGCTCCAGAAGAACACGAGCAAAGCGCATCCGGTGCACAAACCCCAGAAGCCACTGACATGGAAGAACTTCTCGCGGAAGAGATACCTCCTGGAGACTATCGCCAGCTGGTTCCTCAATGCTTGGTGGATGTTGATCTGGCCGAAGACACCGACGATTACAATAATGCAGTCAAACTGATCCAAGAGGCACAGCAGCCGCCGGCCTTGCCGCTTTTCCTGAATCGATCCATTCTCAACGGCGTTCTGCCAGTCAAGGACGATAACAGCGTCTTGACCTTGCCGAACCACACAGTTTTGAATCATCTCATGACCAGTAGTGTCAAAAATGGGGTATTGGCCACGAGTGTGACAACCCGGTATAGGAAAAAGGTACGTTTCCAAGGTCTGCTGTGCAGTGCAGGAATATGCTAACAGTTTGCAGTATGTGACCACGATATCATTCAAGCCCGTCCCTCGATTTAAGACGCAGTTTCAATGAAAGGCAGTCCGGAATTCAATGACTTGATAGAGCTTCGTCGGCGATTTTCTCCTCTCAAAACTTGCACGGCTGTTGCATTGGTCCCTTGGTCTGTTTCGGGCTTGGCTTAACGATATCATGATGGTACGGGCTTTGATGATGGCGTATTCGAAACCAAGGTGGAGCCTGGGATTTCCTCGAGCGCCGTGTATTTGACTTGTCGCCCTGCGCCCGCAGATAATGCGAGTATGAAATGATGCATGGAATTCATTTTCAAATTGTTCTTTAATCGTCCCTCCACGCAACGTGTACCTCGTCCGTCCTGAATCTCTGTGTACAGGTGCTTTCCTCGAGACTGGTGGTGAACCCTGTCTCGTACGCCAACAGCCCGGCGTGCGCAATCATGATTCCGTTGTCGATGCAGAAGCGCTCGTCGGTCGCGTAGACGCTGCCTCCGCGCTCGCGGGCCATGAGGCCCATCATCTCCTGGACGCGCTCGTTGCAGCCCACGCCGCCGACGATCAGGACCTGGTTGCTGCCGACGTGGGCCATGGCCCGCTCCGTGATCTCGACGAGCATGGCGAAGACGGTTTCTTGTAGGGAGAAGCACAGGTCGGCCGGCGTGACGCCCTTCAAGGTGCCGGCGTACATTTGGGCGGCGAGCTCGTCAACCCTCGCCAAGATGCCGGAGAAGCTGACGTCCATGCCCTTGACGGCGTACGGGAGGTCCAGCAGGACGCGCCCGGACTTTGCGAGCTGCTCGATGTTGTAGCCCGGGGCCGGGTCGTTGGGGATGTGGAGCGTGCGGGCGAACCGGTCGAGGCAGTTGCCCACGGCGATGTCGAGGGCCTCGCCGAAGATGCGGTACCGCTGGGACGTGTAGGCGATGACCTGGGTGTTGCCCCCGGACACGTACAGGACCACCGGGTTGGAGGCCCCCGTGATGGCCCGGCCCATCTCGATGTGCCCCACGCAGTGGTTGACGCCCACGAGGGGGACGGACCAGAGCTGAGACAGTGTCCGGGCGGCGATCGCGACGGACTGCAAGGGCGCGTACATTCCGGGACCTTTGGTGTAGCATATGCACTGTGGTTCCAAAAACACGGCAAAAAGCAGATGATGTGTCAGCAGAACCGAACCGAAACGTGGATCCCAACTCGTGGTGGTTATGAACCTGGGGGGGGGGGAAGTCACTCACGTCAACGTCGGCAATTTTGATGCCGGCTTCTTCCAATGCCCTTTTCACGAGTGTCGCCACGTGAGAGCGGTGGTGGATGGCGGTGTCTTTCGGTAAGAAACCCTCGCCGGGTGGAGAGACGTACGTATGTCGAATGTTGGAAAGGATCTGAGGCTCGCCTTTGCCTTTTGCCGGGTGTAGGATTACACCCACACCTAGTTTGTTGGCAGAGCCTTCCAGACCGATTGCAATCATCGTGTCTTGCTAGAACTGCAAATCAAGACGCTCGTCGTAAATTGGTCGACGGGATTTGAAGCGGTAATATAGACCGCCCTCTCTCTCTCTCTCTCTTTGCAAGGCGTCGGCGATGACTGCACAAGTGGTATTTTCCCGTGCCACCTATATATCGGCTTATTGGCGTTTCCTCAGTCGGACTGTCACGAGGATAAGCTCTTTCTTGTGAAAGAATTGAATAGAAATGATGTAGTCTTGTGCCAAAAAATCGACGAGGCTTTCGATAATGAGTGAGTGCGTTGCCATCAAGAGTGGATTCTGTCCAGACATGAACAATAGAACGCCGTTTGAGTGGCCAATCGGAATATCAGTTAAGCCGATCCTTGGCGTCAACTGCCAGAACCGCCCTCTTTGCCATTGCCTCCCACCATATGCGTGTGGTTCCACACTTTGTCCCATGGCCTTGCATTTCCTTTCATGCCACAGATTTTTCATTCATGTTTCAAGGAGACCAGAGGTCTTTTATGTTGAAAGAGTCTGTTGGACCTGTCCTTCTCTCCGATCTGACTGGACGACCGCCTTGCGTGCTCGGGAGTGCTTCGTCGCAGCCCAATGGACCTCGAGCCGACGTCAACAGACCTGCGAGATCAGATCCAAGGGATCACACCGTGAGAAGAGATCCCTTGTGTGCCTCTCCTGGAATCCTTTTCAGAGTGTGTCCTGACGAACCTGCGACGGTGGCTTGAGAAGCACCCATCGCCGCCGGCTCAAGAACTATACGACGCTCCCTCGACCCTTCGTCCTAAAATCCCCCGGACCTCGAGTATTTCTCATTCGGCACTGTGAGACAGCATCAGGTCTCCAAGTACACCTTCCCTCTCATCGTCACCATAACCTGCGGGTTGTTCTGCAAAAGAACATCAGCGTGGTGTCGACCTCGTCGACTCCGACCCACCACCTCTTGCGGCGCTTATTTTCTGGAGCCATGCAGAAATTGCAAAGTTACAGGCGAGCGTACTGGTGGCAACGATGGAAAAGTCAGAGTCTAAAGAAACATGAATATGGACGAACATTCTCATCATAACTCCCACATCCAAACCTCCCTCTTCCTCACGAAACGAATCCCCATCCTGGTTAACATTAAGCTTGCCTGCGTAACCGATATGCTATTCCTATCTGCAAGGACGTCGATGACCGGCTGGTTTATCATGATCCACAAAATGAGCCGTTAGGATGAACTCGAGGAAGATTACAACTTGCACTGGAAGATTGCCTCGCCGACCCAAGACACCCGGTGACTATTCAAGAGGCTGCTCTGTCGCAGACCGCAAGAAGCAAGAGGCTTTGCCAATGTGGTACAACCTACGAGTGAGACAAGGCTATTTTGAGGGACCTGCGACCTGAACATACAACCTCGACAACAGTTGGCTGCAGAAAGCATTGGTATCCTATGGTCAGCCTCGGCGCTAAAGAAATTTGGTAGAGACTGCGTTCTGGCGGGTCTCACACCAAACAACATTAGTCGAAGAGACATTAGAGATGGCAGGGAAGCACCGAAAGGATCCGGCCCAGAGATCAAAGCAGCAAGACTTCAATTCTGAATGAACAAAGACGACATGGAGGTTTACAATGTTTTTGGATTTCTGGATAAATCAGGCGCTGGCCTTGATACTCATATACAATCCCACTGTCACCGACTGTTGCCATCGACAGCAGCCACGGCTTCGCGAGCTCCCGTCAAAACGGTTTCCACCATCTTACACGCCCCAAATGGACGACTGTTGAATTACACAAAGCCCCTCCCAAGCTGGGTTGGGACTATGAGAAGAGAGTTTTTGAATTGTGCTCTCGTGGACAAGATAAAAGCAAAAAATTCCAAACAATTGGGGAGACTTCAAGAGGGTGTTGGTGTCGGCTGTGGGTGCGCCTGAGGCACTGATGGTGATTGACTTGGACCACCGGCGTCAGGTTGTTGCCTCCTCGACGAGACCGACTGAGCAGAACTCGCACCCAGGAGGTATGCCCGCTGTGACATGCGGGAGTATGACATGTCTTCCAACGAATCGATATCTGGAACATCATCATCATCAGAATCGAATCTGAACTTGTCCTCTTCGGCAGGATCCCGTTTCGGCCGTGGAAGTCTTCGGTCTATTATGATTCGACCTCCACGACCTACTCTCCGTCGGAACGACGGCATTGGCCCAACGGTTTCGTCATCTGCTGGACTCGCGTATCTAAACGGTGTTGACGGCCGAGAGACATCTTTCATCACGACGTCTTTATCCTCAGCTGGTTGCGGCTGAGATTCTTCATCCGAGATACTAGCCGGCGGTGTCGGAAGATACTCTGTGGCAGCCATGGCTTCTCTAAAGTGTTCATCCGGCGAGGTAAATTCCTCAACTTCGGGTGTCAGTGGTGCCATGGTCTTGTCAACAAAGCCTTCGTTCCAGCGAATATGCTTCTCGACATTCGTCTGGATCTCTTTCTGGATTTCTCTTTCTCGAGCGGCGGTGACGTCCTCGAGAGTCCGTAATTCGGGCCCGGGACCAGGCGGCATAGGCATGCGAAGTTGATGGGCGAGGGCGGCTTGATTCGGGGTCATGCCCGGAGGCAGTTTCTGTTTCTTCGAAAGGTGAGTACAACGGACGTCTCTTGTGGGAGGAGGTGGTATTACCTTTTGGTTGATGAGAAGATCATCATCGCCCTTCATGCCCAACTTTCTCTTTGTGTCTCTCAGCGACTGGCGCTGTTCGAACACTTGCCGGTCAATTTCGAGACATTCCTTACGGAGCATCTCTCTGCGTTTGATCATCAGCAGCATTCCTCTGGCGGTTTCGAGCTCCATCCGGAGTTTGCGCAGCTTTTCGGCACTCTGAGCATCACGATTCCTTGTCTTTCGAATCTGTCGCAACTCTCTTCTCCGGAAGCATACGTATGGGTCTGAATCATCTGACTCTTGACCGGTCTCAAACTTGAGACGCGGTTCAAGACCTCGATTGCCCTTTTCTTCCCGCCGTGACCGCCAATGTTCATACACATACTTGGAAAACGTGCGAACATAGGCAGGGGTGGCGTCATCGAATTGCTCTTGCAATTCTTCTAAAGGTAAGACTGGAGGACTATCGACTGCAGCAAATGGTTGTTTGGTCTGAGCTGCCTCTTCGAAAAGGTTCATTACCTCTTCGAATTGGTCTTCAGTACAAGGTTCGTGGCCAGAAGGCAGCTTTCCATTGATCAGTTTTAATGCCAGGTCATCCTCCTCATCCATGCAATATGCCACTCCGGAGCAGTCTTCGACTGTTGCAGAAGACCGGATGTATGTGGCGGGTTGCTGAAACCCTTTTGGATAGAGCACGTCATACTGGAGGTCACTGGCAATGGTAGGTGGTGTAGGAATGTATGCATCTTTGACCTTAGCATCTGCCTTGGCAGCTTCTGCGGCCTTGATTGCTTGTTGAAGATGGTATTCCTGCAAGTGAACAATCAGTAACAGCTAACAGCAATGTCTTGTGGATGGCGATTCAACGATTGAACGAATTGCATTGCATTGTGATGATGAAATGATTATGATTGAATGTGATGATGACTAAGCCAAGAGAAAAGGACAGACAGGAATGAAGACGAGACCAAGGGACGGGTGAGTGAAAGGTGGGAAGGACTTACTGATTCTTCGGCCTTTTCGACACCGGTTTCAATTACAGCGCGTTGAGAATCATAGTCGATGAGTGAATCAACTTGATCCTCACGGAAGATCTGTACATTTTGTTTGGCGTTGAGTTTTTTAGGGCGAGTGGCTCTTGCCCGTGACATTTGAAGTGGGCGAAGAAGTGAAGGTTAGGCTTAGGCGACAACCATGGGAGATGGGACCCGGCGGCGACCACAACAAAATTTTCAACGTGCAAAATTGGGCAACAATCGGGCCCAATAATTCACAAAAATCCCATCAAAATGTAGCGAAGAATTCAATGAATGAACCTAGCGCTTCACTTGATAATTATGATGAGGCGTGGTTGAGATGTTGATGAATGAAGGGCGACGCGAGGATGGAAAAATTTGCGACGAAGACTCGGACGAGGAGGGTGGGAGTCTCAGTGACGATGGGCAAGCAAAACAGAAGGCATGCGCGGGCAGAAGATCAAGTTTGGGGCCGGATCCAGGCACTTGTTAGGAGATGATTTGGAGGTGCGTGCCCTGTCATGGTGCAGAGTGTGCGAAAGGTGAATTGGGCCAAGCAGCGCCAGTTACTGCAGACACCCTAGGTCACTAGTGCCACCACTAGCGTCACTTGGTGAGTGCGAGTTGTCCAACTTAACTGGCGCTAATGAGAAAAGGCCAGTTTTACGGATTGATGCGAAGTTGGAAAGCAGGGAACACGACAAGGCAATACGAATACCCGTACTCTACTCTAGGTACACACACGGTGCCAGGGCCACATAGTTGTTGTCACTATAATTTATTCGCCGTCTGTTTGTCTTCGTAAGCCCAATTCTCTACCCGACAAATGTTTATGCCTTTGTCTATCCAGACTACTCAAGCTTCTCTAATTGCCCTTGAGTTGGCCCTTTCTCTGGCATGCCCCTGATCTTGACCATTTCAAGCCTAGACCTTGTGGCGCTCACAACTGTGGCTGGTTGACTTCTGCCACACCACCAGCAAGAAGGACCTTGGGCGCTGCCACTGTACGTCAGCAGAAGGAAGGAGTAGACGATGGCTATCAAGACTATCATTTGTTATCTGTACTTTATACTCCGTATCTCCTGCGTTGAACCTATTACAGATCGACTGGGAATGTATATCAAACTTGGAAACTTGACTAAAGCTTCACTTTGTCTTACAAGATCGTATTTTTCCGAGCTTTGGTCGAATGAAATCTCTGTGCTGTAACCGCAACGCCTGCAATCTACTTCCCAACGCCCTTCAGGTTCCCTCAAATGCCTCCTTCTACTCTTTCTGGGGCCAAAAATGATTGGCTGTCTCCGCTGACAAAGCAAGGTAAAACTGTGACTTCATTGGGCATCTATTAATTGTCGGCCCCTCGTACTCGTACCGTCCAATGGGTGCAGTGTTTCAGAATCGGAGTCCGTTTGAGCACGTCTTGCATGCTCAAGTTATGCCACTCGTCAGTCTCGAACTTCATCATAGTAGTAGTCTATTTCACTAGCCGACTTGCACGATTTCAGCTGTTACTCCTGGAAAAACACAGCGTTGTTCCTCTACTCTCTACATACATCTTACCACCGCCTATATCTGTTCACCTTCCTTCTACAATCGGCATCTTTGCGCAGAAGCAGCACGCGACTACCCCCCTCCTTTTAGCAGCCTCACCGTTTCTACATAACCTTCACCATGGCGACACCTGCCTTGTGAGTCGTGCCCAAATTCCAGGAAGCGATCAAGTGCACAAAAACATCCGCAGCTTCGCGTGTCGGGTTTCACACAGGCCAATGCTAACGAAAATGAACAGTGGAGCGCAGGCGTCTACCGAACCCGAACCTAACAATGCCGCACTCTTCGAGTCTCGAAGGAGACAGACAATCAGCGGCTCACAGATCCTCGACAATATCGTGTCTTTCTCCAATTGTGCGTCTACCTCCTCCCCGAAGGACAGGTCCTCGAGACACCCATCATTAAGAAGAGTCGGGTGAACTGACTACCACCGCAATTTAGTCGATCGAGATGAGGTGGACCGATTACGGAAAAGATTCATGAAATTGGACAAGGTACATGACGGCTACTGTGCTTGCGCCTTTACAAAAATTGACACAGAGGTTTAGGACAACAGTGGAACAATTGAGCGAGAAGAATTCCTCTCTTTACCTCAAGTCTCTTCAAATCCCCTGGCCACTAGGTGCGCAAACATTTCAAGACGCCCGGTGGGCTTGTTCGCAGATGATTGACTTTATGGGCAGAATGATAGCGATATTCGATGAAGATGGAGGTGGTGATGTCGATTTCCAAGAATTCGTGCTCGGACTCTCTGCCTTCTCGGCCAAGGGACACAAGGAGGAGAAGTTGAAGTTTGCCTTCAAGGTCTACGACATTGACCGCGACGGATACATCTCTAATGGCGAACTATTCATCGTGCTCAAGATGATGGTGGGAAGCAACTTGAAGGATCAACAGTTGCAACAAATCGTGGACAAGACCATCATGGAAGCCGACAAGGACGGCGATGGGAAAATCAGCTTTGAAGAGTTCACCCACATGGTTGAGAACACCGACGTGAGCATGAGTATGACACTGGGTGAGTTGACCAGCTCTTTTTGAGAAACAGTAAACGTATATGACTAATGTTTCTGGTACAGATCAATTCTGAACAGTCTGGTCGTGCAGGCTACGATCTATATTGGGAGCAAGGTCTGGACGATGGTCTGGTACCTCAGAAGGACAATATGATGTGTAACGCTTTGATGACCTGTGCCATGGTAGTATAACTGCAACGATGTGGCTTTTAAAAAGACCGGCGACCACGTTTTGACTGAGTGGTCTACTGAGGTAGAATGCGACGCCTTTAAACAATATGAACAGCCTGGGGTTTTTGTTGGTCGTCTACTTGAAGTCTATGCCCATATTTCATATACCACTGACTTGAGGACTCGATCGAACATACACTGTACTTGTCGCTCATGGGCTCTTGACCTCCTGCATTGATTGGCCCAGCCGAATTTTTGGTCCATTTTCAGGCCATCTCGTATCCATATGAGACCACAGGTCAGCCGCACTCACCGATCTGTAGGATTTTATTCTGCTGACGAAGCACGCATCACATGCTCTAAGAGGTACACACTACCCACAATACTCATCCCTTCGGATCGGATGTACGGTTACATCTCCTTTACCCCAGGTAGTACACAAAGAATGGTTGGATTTTTGCCGAATGACATTGTCAACAAACCGGACAGCATTTGGGCTTGAAAGACAAGAGCCCGCACTGCCATGCTTTCGTAATTAAAATGCAATCTTCCTTCGGATACCGGAATCGACTTTGTCAGTCAGCGACATTACCATTCCCAGGGTACCACCATATTCGGCCATTTCGCAGCCGAGGAGTTTGTCCAGAGTCAAATTTTATGGTGGCAGAGAGTGACAAGTACGATTAATGCAAGGACACTACTTGTCTCACGTGGCAATGTATCTAGCCGCTTTCATTACTTGAACCGAAACTTACAGCCTTGCTCAGCCTTATTGTGGTCATAGATCGACGTAGTTGGTGGCCTGGTAAACAAATGTCGATGCGTCGAAGAAACAAAGGCTGTACCTACATATGTGATCACAGTCGTGCGCACCTACCCGATATCATCGGACCATGGGAGCTTTCCGACTGCGATCACGACGCCCAACCTTCTCGAGTGGCTCATCCCTAATGAACCTTCGTCTCGACCCTCCCGACACTTCCATCCCTTGTCTGCCGCGGCGGTCCCTACATTATCAATTTAGAAAGGCACTTTTCAGTTTTAATCACAATTTAGGCTTCTTCTGGTTTGGCGGAACCATATCGAGCCACGAAAAGTCCTGTCATGTGTCAGTATATTTGGTCACTGCCAACAGGTCCCCGCTCATGGAAAAGAGACGACAGGAGGTACCAAAAGACTGAACTCACCATTGGTAAATCGGATTGACTGTCGATTATGACGTTGATCACCACCGGCACTCGAGCTTCAAACCCTTTCTCTGTTGCTTCTCGCAGTTCTTCGGGTGTGCGTGCCTCGATTCCAATACCCCCGACCATCTCGGCAATCTTGTGATAGGCCGTCTGGTATCCGAGAGACCAACCTGAAAGTCCCTGACCTTCTGTGGTGTTTCCTGCGACGGTGTTTCTCTGGCGTTCGGCATATTTTTCGGCCGAATCCGTGTCTCCTCGATACAGACCACTGTTGTTCATCACAAAGATCAAGACATCCATGTTGAATCGCGCCATGGTCTCCACCTCCATCCCGGAGAAACCGAAAGCGCTGTCACCTTCGATGGCAACGATCTTCTTGCGGCCCTGGGCCCCGGCCGCACCTTCAGGCTCCGGGAAGTTGTAAGCTGCGTAGGCCGCGATCGCATAGCCCAGGCCGACACCCATGGTCGCGTAGGTGCCAGCATCTAGCCGTGTCCGAGGGTGCTCCATGGTGAAGATCGACCGGGAGATGTCCATGGCATTTGCTCCTTCTGACACGTAAACGACATCACCGTCGGCGGGGTTGGACAGGCTATCCAGGGTAGTCTTGATTATGTCGAAGGCTCGCTCGAAGCGCATGGGGACTTTACCAACTGCGGCCTTTTTCGTTGCCCTCTCTTCGTTTCTAGACTTGGCGGCTTGGAGCTCGTGAAGGAAGGCCGAGGACTGTCCCTGCCATCGCCATCCTCCCAGCTGGGAAGTGATTTGCTCAATCACAAGGCCGACGTCTCCGACCAGGCTCAGCGCTGGATCGCCACCATTCTTCCCAAGTTCGTCGGCAACAAGGTCGATCTGAATGATCTTAGCGGCCGGATTCCACTTGGGAGCCAGCCCGAAAGAGAGGATCCAGTTCAGCTTCGCACCAAGGACCAAGACAACATCCGCACCCTTCAAAGCCGTCGATCTGGCAGCAGAGACGTTGTGCGCGTTCGAGTCCGGAACAATACCCTTCCCCATTGGTGTAGGCAAGAAAGGAATACCGGTACTACACACAGAACTGTCAGAACTTACCCCTTTTTGGGTCTGCATAAAACTTCCAACAGAGTTTCTTACCGATCGATCAGATTCCGGATCTGTTGCTCGGCTCGCGCGTACGCTGCCCCTTTACCCACCACCACCAGTGGTGCCTTGGCCGCCTTGAGAGCGTCGACAACGTCTCTTATCTTGTCCTCTGGCGCGGTCGACTTCGGTGCCTCGGGCAGCGCCGACAATCTTTGCCTTGGGACATCGTGGCCACCCAAGATCAAGTTGGCCGGTAGGTCGACGAATGCGGGACCGGGGCGACCAAACATGGCTGCACGGTAGGCATCTCTGATGAATCCTGGGATCATGTCGGGGTATGGAGGACGCAGTGCGAGCTTTGCGTGCGGTGTCATCAGGGAAATGGCGTCGACTTCCTGGAATGCCATTTTGTTTGCATTGTGGGTCTCGCTGGAACCCGCGAGCACCAACAACGGCCACGAGTTGGCGGTCGCGTGTGGTATCTGTTCAAAAGGCCACCATTACTGTCTCAGGGTCTTTCCTATAACTTGAGGGGAAGTTGTCACAATGTCAACGTACACCGGCCATGATGTGGAACACACCCGGCCCTCCCACAGACAAACACACACCGGGCCTCCCGGTCAGGTAGCCGTACGCAGCTGCCGCGTAAACCGCGGCCTGTTCATTACGAAAGGTTATGAAGCGAAGGCCAAGGTATAGACTCTCTTGACCGATGTCAGTCACCGGTAACCCGGGAAGGCCGAAAATCACCTTGACCCCAAGGTCATGAAGCGATTGAGCAATCAATTTGGCGCCAAAGACCATGGTTCGCGATGACGAAGAGACAGAAAAGCCCAGTCGGGTGTATAGATGCTCGTGGTCGAGAAGCCGTAGACATGGTTCATTTAGTAAAAGGCCACAACTTCTCCACTACCCGAGTCGAGCATATAGCTGGAACCGAGTTGCTTTGCCGACACCCGAGCATACGCATTTCGAGTGGCAAGTAGCCGATGCTCTACATGTTCACTGCAGCTGACTAGCACGCCTTGTCTATTGCTTGAAGTGAGCTCTGGCTAATCCGGCCGGGTTCCTCCAGTCACGTTCACAGGTTTCTTTCTACCAATTCACAAGCCCTCGCTCACTTTGAAGCATTCGGCTCGTGAAATCTTCTGAGCAGAAGACGAATTTTTGGGTAGAGAGACGGACTTTCTGTTTCTATACGATTGGAAAAGCATAGCCGAACAGCTCTAGAGCCGCGAAGCGCGAATCAACCCTAGTGCTTCTCTTCTTTTGCTGCTCCGTGACTTCCTTCATTAGCCTTGCTGTCTGCTTTGCATTTACACATCTATAGTCCGCGTCTGAAACAGCGCTCTCCTCGAGCTTCCCCGTCTGCATTACCACTTCAATGCACCACCTCGCTTTTTCCTCATCCTCGGTTTCGATGGTGAAAAAGAAGAGGGGCCAAAGTATCATGGCATGGACAGATCGCGTCGTCGAGGACGGAGAAGATGTACCCTGGGAAGATCGGACCACCGCTGGCAATGACAACCACGCAGTGGTATCGTTCCCCCGTGTTCTAATGGCAATCCATCTGTAAGGACGGGCGATCCTCATAGAATGCCAACCGAGACATCTGGCATATAAAGTGGGTGAGGGGCCCGCTCATCATATAATGTCTTCAAGAGGTATACCATCACCTCAACAACGACAACACAGCGGAGAAGGCTATCGTCCATATTCGACATGGCTCGTTTCTACGGTCTGCGTGGGCACAAGCTCAACAGGCTGATGCTTTTCACCGTTGTCGGACCAGCCTTCCTGCTGTTGGGATACAACAACGCCTGCGCTGGTGGTCTTCTCAACCTACCAGATTGGGTCGAAACATTCCCCCAGATCAACACTGTCTCCACAACCGGTCGTCGGGCGGCACATAACTCGACCATTCAAGGTAAGCCAATCTCCGCCAGAGACAGTCCGCGAATGAAACCCGCTCACAGATCTTGAAGGGACCGCGGTAGCGTCATACACACTCGGATGCTTCATGGGTGCATTTTCATGTATCTTTGTGGGTAACAAGATTGGCCAAAGCCTTGCCTTCTTGCAGCTGTGCGGAGTGAATGCCATTTCATTTTATATCGGGCCGACCATTGAGCTTGACCTGGCGCTGTCCGGACGCATCGCTAGCATCCTTGGAGCAAGCGTGTTCACTTGGCAGACACTGTGCTCCTTGATAGCAGTCTACACGATCGACAGGCTTGGTCGACGCAAGTTGATGTTGTTCTCCGCCATCGGCATGGGATGCTGTATGGCGATAGCAGCCGGAACAGCGTCCTATCCCGACAACTGCGCGGCCATCATTGTTGCTGGAATTTGTCTCTTTATGTTTTCATTCTTCTTTCCCATCGGGTTTCTGGGCCTGCCTTTCCTCTATTCTGCTGAGGTCGCGCCGGTCCGAGCGAGAGTCCTCATAACCGCAATCTCCACCAGCACGACATGGATACTGAACTTCATGATAGCCGAGGTCACTCCTGTTGGATTTTCTCACATCCATGCACGATACTTCGTCATTTACGCCTGCATGAACTTCGGTCTCATCCTCCCGAGTAAGTTTAGGATTCTGTCGTCAAGTCCCAGGGTGCCAGTTCGTTGACCAAACCTGCAGCCGTTTATTTCTTCTTCCCCGAAACAGGAGGCAGATCTCTTGAGGAGATAGATGAGCTGTTTGCAGCCTCGACAGTATTCAATGTCGTAAAGAACTCAAAGGTCTCTGGGGGTGGCGTAGATGTACCACTAGAGCAACAACCTGAACGTATTGGGAAGGTTCCCGAGGAAATGGTAGAGACACGAAATAACTTGTAGGAAATTAGAGCTGCACAAGAGAGTTGTATGAGGGCGGGCAGGGCCGAGGACAAGTGCTACTCCTAATCAAGTCATACAGTGAGAGCATGTGCCCGGGTGCGTGACATATCTCTCTCTCTCCATTCCTCGCGACGCGCTCTCTATCTCTCTCTCTCACTTCAAGGGCCATCCGATCTTTTGCAGAAAATCCTCCATGTCTTGCATCATTTCTTCAGGTTGCTCCATCACAGCAAAGTGGCCTCCCTATCGTACGAGGACGTTGAAAGTCAGCCGGCACATCTTCTACTAGAAGTGTTCTTGTTACAGCCCCATCATGGTTTGCAACCACATCGGCCCAGAAAAGAGCAAAAAAACTTACCACTTCGTGCTGTCTGAAAAGCACAAGATTCATATCCTGCGCAACCGCCCAAGCTTTGGGCACCGGAAAAACCTCTTTCGGGTACCATGACCACGCGATGGGTTTACGATTGTTGTATTTAGGATCGCTGTGCGGCAATACGCGGCCACCTGGTACGGCGGAGTACTAATTTTCGTCCAAACGGACACATTAGCAATAGCAATAGCAATAGCAACAGCAAAGCTTACACCCAGAGGGTAAGACTGGGGAGGGAGGGTTTAAATGATCCTTGTTGAACCTCACCTCTCGATAAGTATAAATGCAACGTGCAAAGGATTGTGTGAACCAGTATAGTGATATCGAATCGAGGATCTGATCAAGAGGAGGAGTCACGTCGGTCCACTCGATGAATTTCTCGCCGATCCTGCAAATTCATAAATCCGTGTCAATCAGTCATACCAAATCTCACAGGCAGCTTGATGTTGTTGTGTCACAACGCAAAAGAACTCTTCACTCACCAGGCAAGAAGCGAAAGAGGACTGGCCGACAGAGCAAACCCGATCGTCGCTGGCCTCGTCCCATGTTCCTTTGCGTACCCAATTCCAGTGGTATAGAAAGCCTTTGCCCGGGTCTCCATGGCATGTTTCTCGGCCTCGGTGAATTGACTCTCGTCCACACCCGGCGGCATCTCGTTTTGCGCGGCAAAGTTGACTTTTTGGCAACGATCACCCATCAACCAACTTACACTCTCCAGGTCGGGTGCGGGTGGTTTGTAACTTACAGTGAGCAGCTGAAACAGCGCAGGACCCTCAAGTCAGTTTTGATTCTTTTTGCGGGGGAGGGCTGTGGTTGATTGTGGCGACACGACGCACCTTTGCATTCATCGTACACTCCAATCATGACCTTGCCCGTGAAGGAGCCAATGTCGCCCCCTTGGATCACGTAGCCTGACCCGAACCCGAGGCCGTGCATCAACTTGTTCATGAGGCGCGCGACGTCCAGCGTGTCGAAGTCCCTTGTCAGGGGAGGGCCCGAACTGAGCGTCCACCCCGGCAGTGTAGCGGCTATGACGTGGTAAGGCAGCTCTTCCGGCGAATATTTCTTGCGGTACAAGTTCAAGATATCCAGAAATTCAAAGTGACTCCCGGGCCAACCGTGCATATACAGTATCGGAATTGCATTTTCCTGTTTCGAGAAGAGCGCGGCAAAGTGCATACGATACGTCTCACCGTCGTCGTCTTTGACGTGAGCGATATAGTTCGGAAAGGAGTTGTTGTACGTCTCCACTTTACGCCTGAAGGGGGAAAAAAAGAGTCTCGCTCAGTTCTCACCCAAGTCAGGGCTTCTTTTGTTTATGTGTTTGTGAAGCTGAGCGCAAGGGGGGAGGGAGGAAGGGGTTGGAGAGAGACAGACCAGTCATATTTGTTCAGCCAGTGTTCCTTGGCCTTCTTCATCCATTCATAACTGACTCCAAATTTACCGTCGTCGGTGTGCAGATTCTCATAAGTCTCTGGGGCAAGAGGGGACAAGCGGAGCAGAGTCTTGAGATCCGAAATCTGCTCGTCGGGGATGGACAATTCGAACTTGTCGACTTTGACGCTTGCTCTGGAGGGGACATTGTCGTATTCCGCCATATTGAGGTACCAAGAAGCACCGAGTGGGATGTGAAGCGGTTCAAGGATACAATGAGTGGAAGCCAAAGGTTCAAGTATCTGTCGTGCTACAGGCCTGGACCGTCTTACAATGCGTCCCCTCGAAGAGTTGAGCTGGTCGGTCTGCCCCCGCGTCTAGATCGATTCTGCTGTAATGACAGATATCGGTAGATTTGGTTTAGGACTCCAGCGGACTCGCTCAGAAGCAAAAAAAATGAAGAAATCAGGTTCTTCAGGAATCGAAGAATGATGTCGAGGTCTGAACATACAGCAACACGTGTCTTGTATTAGCAAAGAAATCGCAAGTGATGACGGGAGTCCGAGATCTTGTGTATGCCGAAGTGCCTTCGATTACCCCGGCTGTTCAAAGGCACAATGTGGGGCTGACTCGAAGTTGGTTAATCCAAGCTCGACCCTCCACATCATGGAGCAAGAAAAGAAAGGGAAAAGGCCCAGGGGATTGATTGTCCTGTCTCATTCCTTAGTACTCCGTCAGCAATCTAAAGATCGGACTGCCAGAACATTCGTGGAGATATTGCCAATAACATTCGAATTCTTTTGCCTCTTATCTGTTTTTTGTCCCCTGTTATTACATGCAAAATGCCATTACTCTGTCCTACCTCCAATTCATTTTGACCAGATCATTCCGTGCTTGAATCTAGAAACTAAAAGGAGATCGGTCATTTCACTTCGTCGCCTCGCTAGCATCACTAGCAGGCTTTGCTTTACTCTCGTCCTGATCTTTCTTCGCCGACCCTCCCGCGTTGGCCTCCGCAGGCTTGTTCTTGGCCTGTTCTTCTGGTACGCCTCTAGTTGATGGGTTCTGGCCCTCAACGTCAGGATGGTCTGGCGCAACGCTCGATGGGTTGATCTCGTTGCCTTCTTCGTCAACGAGTCGTGTTCTTGTTTCATATCTAGTTTGAAACGAAGCTTTTCCCTCATTCAGTAGAGCTTGGACTTGTTCTTCGTCCAACAAGTTGCCATCTTGGTCGCGGTATTCTACGCGCTCTTCTTGGCCAATGACATTCGGTTCACCAGCCTGTGGAGTCACTGCCGATGGGTCGTCCTTTCGTGATGAAGCAACCTGTGCTGATGGAACTGTGGGAGTGGCGCCGCCTACACTGGGTTGGATCTGAGAGTATTGAGAGTACTAATTTCTGTTAGCTAAAATGTCGCTAGTGGGATTGCATGGCGTTTTACATCGGTGTAGAAGGTATTGCAGTCAAAGTCCCATGTGTCGAAGAGCTTGACCGCCTTGCATTGATCTTGCGTCCATGCATTACCATATACGAGGGGTGCGTAAAGAGTGAACACTCCGACGGCGAACGCGACAAAAAGAACTGCCGCAGCACGTCCGATCTCGGGATGCTGTTTTAATCCAAGCGAAGAGATTCGGTTCGCAGCAAAATCAAAGATCTGGCACATTGCAATGATGGCGAAGTAGAGTGCTGGGAAATAATGATGCAAGAAGAGTTGTCGTGCCATGAGATAGAATGGGAAGTAGTGTAGCGCCCAGCCCAAGACGGTCTGGCCGATTTCGTAGTCAAATCGCTTGAAAACGACATTGGAGTAGTCGTTGCAGCTTCGCTGCCATCGAAGGACAGCAATGCCCTTGAAGATAACATATGTCAAGATCGCGAGGGTGGAAGGCCACCAGATGGCAGGATTTCCGAGAAGGTAGATCTGACGATGGTCTTTACCCCAGAAATTGATACCACGTCGCAAGATTGGCCACGAACCAGGCCTGGAATCCCAGGCATGGGACTCAACGAGGCCAGCGTTGGTCTTCCACATAACCTTCTGTAGCTCCCAAAATTTGCCCAAGAAGCCAGGATTCCTGTAGTTTACCTTTTCAGCCGTTTCATCCAGCTGAGGATGGTAGTTTTGCTCAATGTACCAGACACTGTTTGGCAAAGTACCGCCCCGAGCGCAGGTGACCTCCTGTTGCTCGAAACCCCAATCTGGAAGCTTGACTTTGTGAGAAAATAAAACACAACCGGTCATGATGTGAACGAGCTTGAACTTCGTCTGGATGGTTCGCAGTCTCTGTTTGGCTTCTTCGCCATCAGACATTGACTTGATAATCTCGATTCGGAAGAGATCGTTGGCATCGCCCTCAAAGCCCTCATAGCCATAAGCAGTCACTTCGTTCTGCCACTCCGCCTCGGTGATCGGAGGTCGCACATCATGAGAGTGAATACGACGGTGGGTAATGGTGTGGTAGAGTCTGACAACGTCGCCATCGTGGATATATTGAGGGCCCTCAGTAAGGTTCGCCCAAGCCTGAGGACCTGGGATAGTAGTGTTTTCTGCTGAGATTGGCTGGGTCTGGTTTTCAAGGAGGAAAACATTGTTCTCGTCTTTGTGCGGGTACAGCGTGATTTGTTGCTGTTTGCTGCCAGTTGGGTACATGTGAGAGTGCGAATGAAGGTAGCCACCCTGAGTGTTATGATGCCTGATAGTCACCTCACTACCGAAAGCAACGTTTGCTGGAGTATCGGCCATGCCCTTGTTGTTGAGCGTGGCTTGAAACTCGGAGGACATGAAACCATCACCATCGCCCGGGTTGACTAGACACAGGAAGTGAATGCCGAACATGCCGACGTAGAATGCAACGGGAATGACGATCAAGCAGAAGACTCGAGCAAAGAAATGCTTGAACCACTTTCTCGCAGAGACATTGGCAGTGTCACCAAGCAAGATCCATAGTTGCAGGACAGTCAAGCTGCCAACCCAAGCAATCGTAAACAAGCCAACCCATTTGACGCTAGCAGTTGCTCCCAAACCCAGACCGGTTGCTGCTAGCCAGAACCACCAACTGGCATCGAATGCTCTTTCAGGACCCAGTTCATGCTGGTTGCTGAAGCAAGTCCATGCCAGAGCAGTAAATGCAGTGCAGATAACCAATGGAGAATCGAGCAGAATGAGGCGGGATTGCGTGACCAGACCGTTCTCGAAAATCAGCAGAGCGGCACCCAATGAAGCCGTAATTGTCTTGCATCCGGCAGCTTTCAGGGTCAGGAACATAGTTGGGATGGTAAGGACACCGAGAATGGCAGGCAACATGCGCATCGCGACATAAGGGACACCAGGTTCCAGGTAATCTTTTCCGATATCTTTGAAGTCAAAATCACCCTTGAAACCGGCGGCCCAACCAGCGAGCGTGATGAGCAACTTGGCCAAAGGCGGGTGGACGTCCATGAAGAACTTTCCCTTGATATACTTGGTTGCAAAACCACCGAAGCTGATCGAGTCGTTAGAGCGCTTGTTCCTCAAAGCCGCAGACAAACTCACTGAACTTCATCGAAGACTACACTCGTCGGCTGGTAGATCCGGAAAAGACGGACCACTGCAGCGAGCACGGTCAATAGCCCCATGATCTGGTAGTCTGATATGGGGAGGAGGAAGACATCGTTGTCTGTTACTCCGTCTGATGCATAGCTCTTCTTTTTCAGTGTAACTGCTTTCGTGGGCGCAGGAGACTGGCCCTTTTGCAGAGCCCCATTCTTTCGAGGTTTATAAGCCATGTTTAGGTCGGAGAGAAGTCAGCTGGGGCAGATACGAGATAGCTCTCGATCTCGACTCGAGAGTTGTCGCAGAAGGGTGATTGATGACTTCGGCCCCAAACGGAGAGACAGGGGTGATGTGGTCAAAGAGAGACGGGAAAGAAATGAAGAATTATTGAACAGGTCAGAAGACCATCATAAGAGAGGTATGAACAACAAGCATAGAAGAAGAGAAGATGAGCAAAGGGATAGAAATGGTGAAGAAAAGGACAAATGTTCAGGAGACCTGACAGGACAAGTTGTTCTATGGATGCATCAAGTCGCAGTCAAAAAAAGTGACACAAAGGCCACATGCGCGTCGTGAACAGTGAACGCACCCGTAGCGGCCCCTGTCAAGCGACAAGCCCGAAGTCGCGCGCCTCACTAGCACCTAGGCAAGTTTAGGTCCAAGTAGGCTGCTAAGTATAGGCTCTCCAGGCGGGCGTGTTCGAGCTCCCACTTAACTAAAAGACTGCTAACTCCAGTTACTCGTTACTCGTCCGTACAGTATACCGTACTCCTACTCACGCACTAGCCACAGCCTTGCCTTCAGCCACATCTCTCCAAAGGAAATTTCGTCAATCCCGTTGTTTTCGATTACAACTCCGCCAACGACCAGTCTTTCTGTGATACTCGTACACTGACCTCGACACATTCTCCCCACGCCAAACAGAATCTATCAGAAATAAGAGTGCTCGCAGCAAAGCTTACCTGGCGCCAAAGCCAGTCGCACCTGCAGGCAAGAGGAGGAAACAAATTTCAACAAATTCGCAACCACCATGACTTCAAACGGCGCAGTCCCAGACCTGCCAGAGTCGGTCTCTAAGCCTCCTGAGGGTGTCGTCCTACCTCCAAAGGATATCCGAGCCATCATCGAGAAGACCGCAGGTTATGTCGCTCGTAATGGAACCGTTTTCGAGGATCGAATTCGAGATAAAGAAGTGTCAAATCCCAAATTCTCCTTCCTCAATCCTGCCGATGCCTATGCTCCCTTCTACCAGTGGCGCTTGGACGAAGTACGCTCTGGCCGCGGCACTGCTGTCTCAGCAGGCCGGGCTGGCGACGCAACGCCTGTTCCCGAAAAGCCCAAAGGACCCGAACCACCTCCAGAGTTCCAGTTCAGCGCGCGCATGCCCAATATCTCTGCGCTAGATCTTGAAGTTGTCAAACTTACGGCGCTACACGTTGCCCGAAAAGGAAAGAGCTGGATGACCGCACTCGCGGCTCGCGAGGCGCGAAATTTCCAGTTCGACTTCCTGCGACCTCAGCATTCTTTATACAATTTCTTTCAGCGTCTAGTGGATCAGTACACGCTTCTATTACAAACCGGACCTGAAGGTCAGAAAGCAGAGCAGGCACGCATACAAGAACTCCAGGCAAACATCCAAAATCGATTCCGTGTTCTGGAGCGAGCAAAGAAGCGATCAGAGTACATCAAATGGCAGGAAACACAGAAGCAAAAGAAGGAAGAGGCCGAGGAAGCGGAGCGTTTGGCATACGCTCAAATAGACTGGCACGACTTTGTCGTCGTCGAGACGGTCCTCTTTACAGAAGCAGATGATCAGGCCGATCTCCCTCCCCCCACGACGCTGAACGATCTCCAATCCGCAAGTCTGGAGCAGAAAGCTATGATGAGTCTCGCGAGACCGGACATGCGCATCGAAGAAGCTATGCCAACATCAGACATGGACTATGCTTATGCAGGATATACAGACCCATACTCTCAACACCAGCAGAATGGCTACCAAAATCCTCCAGCCCAAATGCCAGAAGTCCAAATGCCAGTGTACACACCCTCACCTGCTCAACCACAACCCTCGCCCGTCCCCGCTGCTATGCCTCCTCAGATCCCACCTCAGGCACCGTCTCAACCGACGCCCTCGCCTGCTTCAGGTCAACCCCCGATGCGCATCAAGCAGGACTACGTCCCTCGCGCCCAGCAACGGGCCGCCCGCGCCGCAACAGCACTGTGTCCGAACTGCGGTCAACAAATTCCCGTCGCCGAGCTCGATGCGCATCTACGCATCGAACTACTCGATCCACGCTGGAAGGAACAACAGTCCAAAGCCGCCGCGCGCTTTTCTACGACCAATCTTGGTGGCACAGACGTCGCAGCAAACCTCAAGCGCCTCAGAGCACGAACGGATGGGACCGGTGCAAACTCGGGCGCAGATCCTGTGGCCGAAGCCGCTGCACGTGTCCTCGGCGAGCAGGAGGAAGAAGAGCGACGAAAACGGGCCAAGCTTGATATACCAGGCCAACCACAACTTCAGCAAAATCAACAGTCCACAAACGTGCAGGAACAGATCCAAAGGATACACAGCAAATACGGTTCATGAAATACGAGTCTTCTTTGGATCTTACTGGTACAAAAAGTATCTAGCCACCTCAACGACCTCTTGCTCAGAGTCGTATCATGCATGAAATCCAACGATCAGCCCTTGGCAGATGGGATGGGATGGGAACTAAGAGCAATTGAGGTCAGAGACCGATGAAAGAAGCCTCTACACCAACCTAGGCCAACGGACTTTCCGGTGCCTCGGGGGCCCTGCACTCACTTGCGGCCGATATTTGCTCCGGCTTGAGGAAGCCCTTCTTCCAGGACGAACGTTGACTGGCAGACCACTCCTCGTACTGCGCGATGCATGACTAGGTCGTTGTATTGTCAACCAGCGAGACTCCAGACGCCACTATGGTTAGTGATCAGATTGGAGGACGACAAGCTGTGTACCATTTGTTGGCACTGCCAGGCCGACTTGACAAGGAATCAGAGCTCCTGGAAGACGTCAAGCATCAATTCGACGATGACATGACCAAATCAACGAGTTGATAGGCTCCGTCTTTTCAAGTTAGGGGGTTGTGAGCAAGACTTGTGAAACAGAATTAAATGTATTATTTTCCACACTTTTGTCTGCTCGTGTGGGCTATTAATAACTATTGGTCATTGCTGTTCAAATGTCCATGTTTCCATGTCTTCACGTATCCAAAAATTATCTTTACTTGCACCAACTTTTTGTACGGACATCAATTTCAATATCCAAAAGCAACATGGTACTCCAATGAAGCTCTTTTCAAGCTCGTAACGATCAAAACTTCGGCAAAACTGCTTGCACGCTTGAGCATGAATAGGGCCCGGGGTATTCGCAAAAGCCAGAACATGAAAAAAATAATTCATTGCAGTAATTCAGCCTGAGATTGCAGATCCATATCTCGGAAATATAGATGATGATGAGATCAGTCGAGGGTAGTCCTGTGGTGTACGGGAGCTGGAGCACCACCGGCGGCCGGCTCATTGTCTTGGGAGGACGCAACACGTTGTGTGGAGAGGAGAGACGTGCTCCTGTCGTCCTTTGAAGTCCTAGGCACGCCGTCGCGGGACGGCACTGGTTCAATCACGGCCGTGGGGCTGACCACCGGTCGAGTAATGTCCAATTCGGGGTTGTAGGCGGAAGCTTCCAGGTCGTCAAAGTCTTGACCAGGGTTGGCGGTTTGGTATTCGCAGCTCTTGATGAACCAGAAGAAGCCAGAAGCGATCAACGACCCCAGCAGAGGACCTAGCCAGTAGATCCAATGTTCGGGTGGAAAGTAGGAGTTGGCAACACAGGGACCAAAGCTCCGAGCAGGGTTCAAGGAACCGCCGGTGTAGTACACACCTGGACGATCAGCTGCTGAAAGGTCAAGGGGGATCTACAATGGACTTACCAGCCAATTCGGCGATGAAGAGGGAAAGCCCAATGCCGACGGGAGCAAGAAATGTGCCCTTGTGTTTCTCAACTGCGAGCATGAGGATGGTGAAGACGAGTCTATAGATGGGTCACTTTTAGTCTCACGCACATCCAGAGGTGAATACAGCCAAAAAGTGCTTACTGGGCCGTGAGAAACATCTCAATGAACAGTCCTTGTGCCTTGTTCGTTCCCCCACTGAGGGAGGTGGTGACAGCTAGAGGGCCGGGAAACAATGCCTTGACGACGCCTGCAGAGGCCATGGCTCCAAGCATCTGGGCAATGAAGACGAGAAGCCCACGCAGGAACGGCACCGCCCCGATCAAGCAAAGACCCAATGTCACCTGTATGCAATCAGTCACTTCATCCTCCCCATATCCCGAAACCACTCACAGCTGGGTTGAAAAGTCCACCTGAGATGCGGTAGAATATCCAAGCATTCACCGCAAGCGAGAATCCAAAGCAAAGGCTGATGTACAGGAGTTGTGCGGGATTCGGACCTTGTGGGAGGTTTGTGCTGGTACTACCGGTCGTAGTTTGAGGAGTGTTGGCTACCTGTGTGCCAGCAAATGCGAAGAATCTGCAAAACAGCCTTGTCAGCGCATCTAATCATCGTCGGAGCCGCCGAGGTGTAGCAAAACGTACAGGAAGAGAAATGTACCGACAAACTCGCCGGCCATGGCGACAAAGTGGTTTCGAGGGCCATTGGGAATCCTCAGAAAGAATGGGTGCGCTTTGGGGCCTTGCATCTTTTCGTCTTCGCCTTCTGGTGTCACTCCGGTCGAATTCTCTGCGGTCTTGACTCTACCTCTCCTGTGGCCAAAAAGACCAGGAAGGAAGCCGGACTTCGCGCGAATATTGTCCATGGTTGGGATGACCCCGGAGGTGTCTTGTGGTTTTTTTGCACGAACGAGCGTCGAAGGGAGATCAGGCTGATGAGGAGTGTGTAATAGGTGGGAAAGGAGGCGCTCAAGGTCAGGTGGCTACCCAACGCAACAGCCCACGGCCGAACAGCAAGCTCCAAGACAACAAGGGACAAGGATGTACAGGAAAGAAAGGTCGACTCGGCTGAAGACAACAACAGACACCTTACGAAGTAGTTCCAGGGATGATAGGCGGCCCTGCCACCCTGCCATTTGCAACCATCATGAGCAGACATGGGGGGGATGTTCAAGGACGACACATATTGATCGCCCACTGTGCAGTGGGTGCGTTGCCGCGTCTCGTCAATGGGACATGGGACGCCATCAAAAGCTAAAACATGGGATTTATAGCGACGTGATGGGTATCGGTGAGTCGTGGCACTCGCTGGAACGAAAGTGATCGGAGATGGCGATCACCATGACTTTTCGACAATCGAAGCCTGCATGACGAAAGCGGCAGATGCAGTGAGTATCAATTGGACTTTTGGTGCCTCGTTGCCACGAATGATCGTCCAGTCATCGTAAATGAGCTCACGCGCCGTCGCGTATCGTGCTCGGCTTTGGGGCTTGCTAAACCCAAGTGGCCCTAGTTAAGCTGGGGGCTTTACCAGCCTTTTCCACAAGTTGTGCCGTTTCCGGGCACCATCAATCGTGAGATGCCACAATGGCCAGCAAAGGCTGGGTCGGTCTGAAGCTTCGGAACCATGCCCTCTCAACTGGGGATAGTGAAAGATTCATCAGATCCGACGCGCAAGCCTTATGATCCACCATTGTTCCATCCTGTCGGGCCCAGTGCGAGTACAATACTTGTACTCGTAAATGATGGACTGAATTATGGCCCCAAGAGGATGTGATCTCGGTCAGTAAGTGTCATACAAGTCTCAGAAGATCTGCGTTCTATAGAAATACCCACAATATCTCTACAATGTACAGTAGAAGTACCCGTACTAAAAAATCTCTAGAATCTCGCCATGTAACGAGTATGGGAAGTTTAAACTGCCTCCCAATAACGGGTATATGCATCTGCTTGCCATAAAGAAGAGCTCAGATCTCCTCTCCAGCTGCATCATTTGATCAAGGACGACTCAACCAGATTCGGTCAGTGTTCAATTAGTGGCTCCATAACATTGAGCGCACATTCCGACTCCTGGGACTTCTAGGGTCCTTGCCGCTGGCTTCTTTGACAGCATGGCCTACACTGTGTGTAGCAGCATCATTGAATGTGAATGGTGTAGCTGTCATGTTAGCATGCAGGATACTCAAAGTAGAAACCGCTCGTGCCCACAGAACGATTCGTGGGCGGCGCCTCTATCTTCACGTAAAACAAAACCACATCTAGTCCGCGGCGGACGTGCTCAGCCAAACCTGTATACTGACCGAACTCGAATGTGAACTTTATAGACCGAGACTGTCTGGGGACGCACAGTGAAGTGTATGTCTCCTGAATACGTCTCCCCAAGTTCATCCCCGTTTGATCCGAGAATTGCGCGAAAGGCTCTCTTACTCTGGACTATCTCACGTGAGCAGTCTACCCCCAATTTGTAGAATGTACAGGGATGTCGCCATGATACGGATACGGATCCCGCCTGCGCCCTCACTTGTATCCCATGACAAGTCCAAAACCCTGGATCAGGCTTCAAAGTCTTGATTGACACTTCACTCACATCCCTTTCAACTCATCGCAGCATTCTTTTTTCATATCAACTGTTATCACCGCGACCGTTGTTAATCCAGCGTTACCAGCGTTGCTCTGTCTCCTGTCGACCTTTTTTTTTCAAGCAGATGGCGTGTCCATCAACCACTCCTTAGACCGCCGCCTGCGAAGTTCTCTTTGCCAGAATGAGGCCACTACGATTTCTGCTCCTCCTCACCTTTTTCATAACGCTCCCAATAGCCTTGACTTTCTTCTCGCTCTTCTCTTTCTCCAAGAGCAATGCCGACTCCTTTCACACCGGCTACGCCCCTCGCCAACGGAGTCTGCGAGCCTTCTTCTCGTTTCAAACCCCATCCAGTCTATTCCCGCCTTCAGCAATCATAAGTCTGACAGCGGATAATTCTACATTCTTCCTTGCCAGGCCTGCTGCGTTTGGGCCAAGTCTACCCTCAAAGGGGCTCAGTGGGCAATTGTGGGTGGGTAAGGGATTCGGGGATGACGCATTACTGAAAGAAGAGAATATTCATGTTGTAGGATGGGAATTGGGCTGCTCTGACGTGCCAGGCTGGGGTGAGGAGGCTTCCAAGAGGGAGAAGAACCTGCCCCAAGTCGACAAACCGCAGGAAAGCCCTAAGAAGCGGCGAGATCTGGTTCGTGATGGCCAAGGAGGCGATGGGAGTGTGGGTGGATCGGAATCCCTTCACGAAATTGTACAGGACGACGGAACGGACGACTATTTACACCATCCTCTTCCTGATTCGAATCCTGCAACCCCTGGCCACCTCGGTGAGCCTGCAAATGTTGGTGCTGACCAGAAGAACCCAACACACGCCGACATTGAATCTTTACAAGAAAGCGCTGATATCGCCGGGAAGATCGTCATGCTTAGCCGGGGCGGATGTGGATTTTTGGAAAAGGTGAAATGGGCACAACGTCGTGGAGGTATTGCCCTTATCGTGGGAGACAACGAACGAGGAGCACAATTGACAATCATGTACGCTAAGGGTGACACGTCGAATGTCACTATACCTGCTGTGTTCACATCCTACACTTCCGCCCATCTCCTGGCCTCGCTAGTCCCGCCTGAGTCGGGCGAAGATGAAGCTGGTTCTGTCAAAGGATCGGACAAAGCATCCAAGGGCCCGGAGAAGGGTAATAACCGTAAACAGCAAGACGGCAAGCCAGTGTTCACTTCAACCACTCAGAACCAGCGACCAACCATTGTCCCAGCTAAGGCACCTGCCACTGCTCAAACGGATAAGGGCTGGGTGAGCAATGTCCTCGGCGCCATCGGCTTGAACGAAAATTCTCGTTTCGCACATGTCGAGGATAGCCGCCGGCCACCAAGTAGTGGAAACATCGACTGGGTCCTGGTAGAGGATTGGGACGACGATGTGCCTGTAAAGTCGAGCAAAAAGGTAAAGACGGCGGTCAACCTTCCCACTTCATCTACGTCGGCGCTGAGAACAAAACCAACAAGCTCTAAAAACCCTGGAATGGACGACTTCGTAATTGGCGTTCAGGATTGGAGAGACACTGACTTGGTGGCACCAAAAGCAACGAACAGCATAGCCAACATTGTCGCTGACCCAAAAGCTGGCAAAGACGGCCAAGCAGAAGCCACCAATGTTGTTAAGCCGTCTAGTCACGCTGAGGACGCACTCAAGGGTGGCAGTATCACGCCAGGCAGTGGCGAATATGCCCATGAAAAACCCGAACAATTAAACCGCTACAATAGAGGGGAAGATCAGTCGAAACAGCAGCCAAAGCACGCTAACACTCCTCCAAGCCGAGAAGGGACAAGTTGGTTCGACTTGTTCAGATCCGATGAGTCAACCAAAGAAGCACCCAAGGCACCTGCCGCAAAACAGGAAAAGAATGCCAAGTCAAGGTCTGAGCAAGTGCACAAGATAGCAAGCCAGCAAGATGATGGAGATCACCCAGGCTTGTGGGTCACCTTGACACCAACAAGTGTGTCGACAAGTCCTTTCTTTGATACGCTGCTCGTGCTCGTCATCAGTCCCTTAGTTACGCTGACGGTGGTTTATGCACTTCTGCTGTTGCGTTCACGAATCAGACGACGAAGATGGCGTGCACCGAAATCCGTTGTCGAGCGCTTGCCCGTCCGTACGTATCACACCATGAATACAGCGTCATCGACTACATCGTCACAAGTGGCATCTCCGGATGCCTCCTCACCAACGTCACCCCTCCTTATTTCCACATCACAGAACGTCTCTCAGCGCCCCCGACCACGATCGCAGACCACAAACGGCGCATTTGCAGGAAGTACAGACTCGACTACTTCCAAAGCTCGCAATCTGAACTTGCCGTCAGAAAAGACGGCTTCAAAATTCGCCAGACGCAAGCGCTACACTGGTCGCCAGATTGAATGCGTGGTCTGTCTGGAGGAATATGTCGACGGCGAGAGCCAAGTCATGTCTCTACCATGCGGGCACGAATTTCACGCCGAGTGCATAACTCCCTGGCTTGTGACGCGGCGACGTACATGCCCGATTTGCAAAGGTGATGTGGTGCGGAGTCTTGCGCGCACAGACTCCCGGAACGAGGAGGATGCAACGGAGGGCGAACAGACTAGTGATGATGTGCAGGAACGCGCTGCACAGACGACCAATGAGGAGGCAAGTGCCGCCATTCCAATTCCGACCCTCCTCCGCGATGGGGACGAGGACGTCGAACAAGGCCGTGCCGTCGACGCCGGGGATGACGTACCTTTGCTCGACGACGGCCAACATCCTGGACGTCAAAACTTGGCCACGGCGAGAGATGGAGGTGCGGTGTGGAGGAGTATTAGCGCCAGTGTGAGTCGACTGAGTGGGGAGACTCTCTGGAGACAGACTCCCGTCGATCGCAATAGGTGAGAAAAGGGCGTGAGCTGGGTTAAGTGATTGTTCTTGAACCAGTCGCGAGAGACGTGACTGTGATGGCGGTGTTGCTGTTAGTCGGAACAGGAAAGATACCCAATTGGACTCGCGAAGTCGGTCCATCTTGTCCCAGTTTTTATAGTGTCTCGTTTTTTGTTTTGTTCTTGTTTTCAACCTATTTTTGCAAGCATGTTTCAAAGACCCATCAAGCGCTTTGGATGTGATTTGTGACTTTACAGTAATGTGTACCGGCTACAACTCGGCTGCCACCGGAATACATTTTGACGCTACGGATAGGACGTCTACAAAGATTCATGCACTTTCTAGGTACATACCTGGTAAATACATATTATACATGTGTGATGGGGGGGAGGAAATGATCCCAGACAGACAAAACACCATCTTTTGAAACCGACTCCTTCGCTTTCGTTTCTTCAAAAACAGAAAAAGAGGAACCCATTATTGCCACCCCCCGGCCTTGAAAAACAAATTACTCAGGTAGGTATGTTCTCTGTGATGGTATGATACAGTTTGTTGTTACTCGGTAAGTTACGGGAGGTTGTGTAGGTGATCAATTACAAGACGTGCGTTTCCCGTCTCGGCGCGATTCATGGTTTGAGTACTGGTACAGGAGGATAAAAGATTGTATCGTTTCATGTAATCTCGTGTATCTTCTTTTTGTTGTTGTTGTTGTTGTTGTTGTTGTTGTTGTTGTTGTTATTGCTGCTGCTGACAAGGTTTTGGGCTTTTGGCTTTTGGGGCTTGGGAACTCTCCTGAGGTTACCACCGTCGCCGGCGAGCTCGTCGGGTTTTTCAGTCGACTTTTGGAAAAGGCGACCACCTGGCCGTGTGGCTTGCCCTGGCGATCCTGTTGAGTTCCGACTGGCTGCGCGTGGGGAAGTCGCGGGGCGGCGGCTCGGCGACGCCTTGCGGGTGGTCCTCGTCGACGAGGTAGTGTCTGGTCACGGGCTCGAGGAGGTCCTCGGCCTCCGGCCTCCGCGGGCGCATGTCGGCGGGCATCTCCCACCCTTCGGGGGCCGGGATCTCGACCTTTTGGCCGGTCGCGGGGTCGACGATGAAGTGCCGCGCGGGGAGGACCTCGACGGCCCGGACGGGCTGGACGTGCGTGTAGTAGTGGTGGACGTGGATCTCGCGCGTCACCCGCTCCTGGACGACCTCGACGGTGTGTTCCTTGACGTGCTCGCGCGTCACGGCCGGCCGCCAGACGGTCTCGACGTCCGTCTGGTGGCTGGACGTTCCCGGGCGGAAGCCCCGCGGGAGGGTAGGTATCGTGTGTTCGTCGAGGTGAGGGCCGGTCTTCTGGGTTTTGGGCGCGTCCGAGTTCGTGGTGGTGGGTTGCGCGGGGGCTATTGTTGTTGGTGGTGGTGGTGGTGGCGGTGGCGGCGGTGACGACGAGGACGCTGGAGATGTCGGCTGTTGTTGAAAGGGTCCGCTGGACATTTCCGGAGAAGGAATGTGGTAGAGAGGGTTGAGAGGCGAGGGATCGAATGGTGCGAGTGGGACGTGACGAGGTGTCCGTGGAGGGTGGAGGCCTGATTGGTCTCTTGTAATAGACGATGTAGAGGGAGGCAGAGGAGGTGACGGAGATTTCTGGTCGTGCGCAACGGCCGCGGTGTCTTGTTGGTCTGGGTCCTGTGCGCCGCTGGATGGCGGTCGTACACCGAGCTGTTCGGCAGACGGCTTGGATCTGGCTCTTGTCGTCGCACCGTCGGCGGTCGGAGGACGTTGTTGTTTGCGCAGAGATGAGGAGCGCTGGGGGATGACTTGTTGGTTGCGTGACTGAGGCGAGGCTGCGAGGCTTTGGTCGGGATGTTGGACCGTAATTGGCACCATCGGGCCAGTCGTCGTGGTGGAGGAGGAGGAAACGGTCAAGGCATTGGAAGATGAACGCTTCTGCAACCGGCGTGACCTTTGTGGACGGACAGTGGCACTCTGACGACTACTGTTCTTTGCTTCTCTGCTGCGACCGGTGTTGTACGTGAGAGTGGCCGTCTCGCTCAGACCGGCCGACATGACGTATAGCGGGCGGATATTTGGGACTCTTTATGGGGTTTTCTTCTTCTTACCAATTACGAGTTATCGCGTGCCACGCCAGGTTTCCTGTCAAAAAGTTTGTGATGTCGAAATCCCATTCGGCGTCAATGAACTGCCGTCATGACTTTTTCCCCGATGGCTCTTTCTACGGCATGGAGTAAACAGAAAAACGTGGGAAATGTAGCGATGGGGGAGAGAGTGGGAATTAGCTGGGCACGATTGCGCAAAAGGAAAACAACACACCCAGAAGCCCTACCAGGTTGTTTGTGGCCTTCGCTTACCTCCTGATACTAGTCGCCTTGGTTTGACCCAGACTCCCACGAGCAAATGGCGAATCTAGTGGCCTAATTCTGGATGCCACGAGTCTTGTACCGAGTAGGTGAAGAAAACACGTTACCGATTAGTACGGAGCAGAAAGAAAAGGGCTTAGGTTTGCGTGGGAAAGGTGACTACGGGCTCGCAAGCGAGTCTCGGCTTGGACGGTGGTGAGATAGGGAGCAGTTCCTAGGGAGATATTGTACCTTTAGTTGTACGGGAGTACTCCGTACGAGTAGTTTGACTCCATACGTCTGGTAGACAGCTAAAGGGCCACGCAGGGAAATGAGCCACTACTGTCCTAGTTCACGAGTACTTTCTAGGCGATTGGGCATACAGGCCCTGACGAACCCTTGGTGAACCCTGGTCTCCTCGGCATCTTTGCTGGAAATTGAGGCGCTAGAGCTCTAGGCCAGAAACCCATCACCAGAAGATGATTTATTACCGAGTTATGCGTGATGGTAATGTGGCGAGCCTTTTTCCCAGTCCCGCACCTTGATTGCGCCTCCTGGAAAAGGGGTCTCTGGCCTTTTTCTTTTCTCAGGACGAAAAGGACAGACGTGCTACGAAATACCCTGCGCTATACACAATAATTGACCTTGTTTGTCCCACTGGGTTGTTCGAAAACGGATATATACGTAAAAAGTCGCTATTGAGGTGGTGGTCAGGAATTGGAAAGTCCCCAGAAAATCATCCAGAAAATCCCTGCTCCATGTCTACAGAAGAGTAAAAGCCGTGATGATCGCTGCCTGGAGCGTGGACGGAACGATTGGCCGGAAGTATTTGTCTTGGTGGCTTGTCGAACAAGCTTCATGATTTTTTATCCATCTCTACTAGGTCACAGATCTCAACCGTGTTAGCTGAAATACTACATTCTAGGCTTTGACCACCTCTCCACCCCTTCAACTCATCGCTGCATCTCCACCATCCTACATACACCTTCAACTTACATCGTTATGGTACTGGAGGAACTTTTCATCATTGACCTCAATGGAGTATTCATGACGCAAGTTGAGATCCGGGGTCTCTTTTTTCAGCTGACGTGGTCACGGTGACGCCGGGAAGTTGGTTGAACACCGGTCGTCGAAGCTGTCCGAAGTACAGGATCATTCGAACGCCCAATTCTGTGTCTATGGGAACCGGTGCACTTGTACAGCGGCAGCCCGTTGTTCTCGTAGACCCGGACACAGCACATGTACTTGTCATAAGTCTGTGTGGGCTCGATTTGGCAATCACATCATCGCCCTCACGCACGGCATGGGATTTTTTCAGACTTCGGTCCTACTACGCTAGTGCATGCATATCTGTCCTTCACCCTGCTCAAAAACCCATACCGGTGGGCGACTCTCGATTGACGACTCTGTCATTCGATCTGATCGACAGTCCCTTTTGGGACCTGGGCGGTTGATCACTTCACACGGCATTACCGTAAATGCTGGGGCGGGTTAGCTCTCTCGGGGAGTACTTGTGCTCACCTATGTCAGAGTCAGGAAATGGCCATGATATCACATCCTGATGATGTATCTCCTTTGCGCTGGTCACTGCTCAATGACGGTGTATATAGTCCCATCATGTTCCTGGAACTCAGCTTCCTTCCTTCTTCATTTGTCCTTTCCAACCTGACTCTATCGTAGATTTTGAAGCTCGATTCCTCATCCTGACAGTCCGCAAATATGGAAGCAGCCAAAGCAGCCGTTCAAAAGATCACTGGCAATCGGGGCCACCACACCACCGTCGAGGAAACCGTCAACCCCGCCGTGACTCGAGAGACCATTAGACCACATCGTCACGAGGAGGCCACTGAAGCTATCGACCGTGAGGTTCATCAACACCATTACCACACCACAGTCCAGCCTCTCCAGCATCAGGAAAGGTTGCCCGAGAAGCACACCCACAACATCCTCCCTGGCGAAGAACGAGAGTATCACCATGACAATCCTAAAGACACCGAGATGAAGCTCAACGCTGAGCTTGGTCATTTCAAAGACCACAGGACGACCGAGCAGGTGCGCCACACACAAGCTGCTGCTCCTTCTGTCACTGGTGAGCACGTTCACCATCATGTCCACGAGACTGTTATTCCCGTCGTCCACAAGGAAACCATCCAACCAGAAGTTGTCCACACCACGAAACCTGTCCACGAGTAAGTATAGTCGCCTTGCAAAGGCGGACCTGGCTAACAAACACAGAACCCACCACGCCGCTGCCGAGCATCATGGTTTGTCCGCGTTGCCCATGAAGACCTTGGAGGAGTTCAAGACCGCTGGCGGTGTCCTCACCGGAGGCAAGCACGGCGCTCACGAAGAATACGATGGTCCTCCCCGCAAGTACAACGAAAAGCTCTCGACAACCTTTGACAAGCTCGGTCTCGAAGCTAAGGAGGCGTTGAGTGGTAATCACACTAGCACCTCGAACACCACTCATACCGGTATGGGCACTGGTGTCGGCGGCACCGGCACTCATACCGGCACTCATACTGGCAATACTGGCAACACCGGCATGGGCATGGGCAATGATATTAGCTCTCGCAACCATACTGGCACCAACACTGGCATGGGTATGGGCAATGATATTAACACGCGCAACCAAACTGGTACCGCGGGAACCACTGGCACTGGCATCGATAGTGGCCTCACTGAGAAGTCTCGCCACCGTGGGGATTCCGGCATCGGTGGTTTCGGTGATGACCTGCAGCGAAAGGAGGTTGGATCTAATAAGATGGGTCGCGACAACATCAATAGCACTACCAACACCAAGCCCACCTTGAGAGAAAGATTAGATCCTCGCATTGACGCTGACGGTGACGGAAAACGTGGTCTTGGAGATTAAGAAATTGTGCGGTTCAGTGACGGGCAGTTCAGTAACTGGTTTTGGCTTTGTGCGACAACGATGATGTATGTATCAGGGTGAAACATACGGATACCCAAGTACGAGTAGCTGTTGTTATTATACCAGACAGCAATTTTTGTCATTTTTGTCATTTTGGTACAGTAACAAAGGTGTCTGAATTGTTTTTGACAAATGTACCAGCTTCTTCCCTATCGGTGAATTTTGCTTTTCCCCGAGGCCGAACAGTACAATGTGCCCTCCTCGCTTCTCTGTTGCAGTTCTGTACGCGCCTGCGGACCTACGGACGCTATCAAGGCTCCTGCTGACAAATGTCACACTTTTGTGTCTGCTTTACATGTTTGCTATCTTTCTTCCCGGTCCTCTTCCCAGCACCAATGACAGGCTTCCCGTGGCCAGGTCGGCATTCTTCTGCAATGCGGGGGGGGATTGCCGAGGTCATGGAGAATTCGTTTTTGGTCGTGTTTCCCAATCTGGCCTCTCGGGAAAAAAAATATGGAGATCAGAACTGGGTGCCCGTAGGGGAAGATTGGCAAACAACTCGTGACTCGCAGGCGTACTTCACTCGAAAGTGGGTTGAAAATGACTCGGGGTACTCTATGGAGTCCGGGTACAATGGGTACAGTAGGTACTTGTCTAGCCAACCGCCCCGATGTCATAAAAGGTTGCGCCCATGTCCACCGAGTTGATTGTTCACAGACCGGCAAGAGATATCGGTTCAACACCTCTTTTGGCACATTCGATAAAAGCAGCTATCTTTTAATTTTCTCTCTTCGAGATTTATTATTTTGTTGTCAAGGCTCAATCTCGAACTCGACAAACTATATTCGTACAAACAAACAAACACCTTCTGGCAAGGCAACTCAACTCATCAGCCAGAACAAAAAAAAATGTCGGACCAACAGGTCATCTTTTACGACCTACCTTCGAAACAAGGGACAGCATGGAGTTTGAACCCGTGGAAGAGTAAGTCTTGACCTGTTTACTTGGTGGTTATCATCCTCGTCCTGTCTTGTCATACCACGGCTCATTATCACTTGAATCTAACCCGTACAACCATCACTTGTAGCGAGACTTTACCTCAACTACAAAAACATCCCGTACAAGACCGAATGGACAGAGTACCCTGACCTAGCACCCAAGTTTGAAAAATTGTAAGTCATTACGTACCCAAAGGTAATGACCATTCTTTTTTTGTACGGACAATGACTCACATGTCTTTCTTCTGTGATGATTAGTGGCATTCCACCCAACGAGACGGGATTCAAATATACTTCGCCGACGGTGAAGATGCCCGACGGCAGTTACGTGATGGAGTCACGTCGCATCGCCGACGCCCTGGAACGAGTCTTCCCGACCCCTTCCATGCACATCGACTCGAAATACCAGGCCCCCGTCGACGCCGCCATCCTCAACTGCCTCGGGAAGATGAGGCCCGTCTTCATCCCCCTGGTGCCCAAGGTCTTCCTCAACCCCCGCAGCGTCGAGCACTTTGTCACCAGCCGCGAAAAGGCGATCGGCAAGTCCCTCGACGAGTTCGGCAGGACGGGCGACCAGAGCATCAAGGACGCCCAACCTCACATCCGCGAGCTCGCCGACATGTTGGCCGAGACCGACGGACCCTTTTTCGAGGGCGAAACCCCGTGTTACGCCGATTTCGTCGTAATTTCCTTCCTCAGGATGTTGAAAGGTTTGGGGGCTGTCGAGAAAATCTACAGCTTGGAAGGGGGGGAGCGACTGAAGAAGCAGTACCAGGCGGCCGAAGCTAAAGGTTGGCTCGATCGGGACAGTTACTGATTTGAAAAAGGCGTCGACATCATCATCATCATCATCATCATCATCATGACCATGACCATCGCCTCAAATGAGCCAGATATGAATCACAACGCTCAAGTCGGAGAAAGTATTGTCATGTATATAGATATATACACAAGATAGGTTTCTACATTACATACGGTAGGGGTAAGATGATGCGAACCGCAAACTCTCCCGAACCTTCTTTTACGCTCCGGCTCCAGGTAATTGAATGACGACTTTTCCAAATTGCTTTTGCTGCCATTGATACTCGTACGCTTCGAGGGCGTTCTCGAAAGAAAACGTCTTTTCGTCCACGAGGGGACGGATGTTGTTCGCCTCGATCGCCCTGTTCATCGCGTTCATCTGTGCCTTGGATCCGATGAGGATGCCGCGGATGATGCAGCCCGCCCCCAACGCCGCGAGCGGGCTGGGCTCGTTCTCAGCCTTGGGCCCGCCGAGGAAGCCGATCACGGCGATGATTCCTTCCATCTTGACGGCCTTGAGGGACTGCTCCATGGTGCCGGGGCCGCCGACCTCGATCACGAAGTCGACGCCCGCCTTTCCCGGGGACAACCGCTTGGCCGTCTCGCCCCAGTTCGGGTCCTCCTTGTAGTTGATGACGACGTCGGCGCCGAGCTTCTCCAGGCGCTTGGCCTTTTCCGCGGACGACGTCGTCGCGATGACGGTGGCGCCGGCCGCCTTGGCGAACTGGATGGCCGCGAGGGACACGCCGCCCGTCCCCTGCGTGAGGACGACCTGGCCCGGCCGCAGCGCCTTGGACTCGAGGCCGTACAGCGCGTTCCACGCCGTCAGGGGCGCGCAGGTCAGGGTCCCCGTCTCCGTGGGCGTCAGGTTCGACGGTGCCCGGACGAGACCCGACTCGGGAAAGACGGCGTACTGGGTGAGCGTGCCGTCCACGGCTCCGCCGAGGGTGGTGGCGGTCATTTCCGCCGTGATCGGTCCGGCCTGGTGTGCCTACGTGAACAAGGTGGCCACCTTGTCGCCCTTTTCGAACTGCGTGACTTTGGGTCCGACGGCGAGCACACGGCCAGCGCCGTCCGAACACGCCACCACCGGGAGGTTCAACGGGAGTGGGTACAAGCCCTGACGAACGGTGTGAGCTAGTGCTTGTTTTGACGGGGAAGGTTTTGGTACTCATAAAACCAGAAGGGGGGGAAACAAACCTTCGGTATCACGAGGTCTCTGTAGTTTAGAGAAACGGCCTGGATCTGGACTAGGCAGTCATGTTCTCCGAGTGCTGGAAGCGGCCGGCCCTTTTCGAGTTTCACATTGTTGAAGCCACCGGAAGTCTCGGTGCTGTGGATGACCCAGGAGTCGGTCGTTTTGGGCAGAGACATGGTTGCAGTGTCGAAGTCGGAAGGGTTGGCTTGGAAGGGAGTTGTTTCTTGCCGGGTGTAGGACGATTGGTTGTCCAGTTCTCGACGATGATCCTGCTTTTATGGTCTGTCTTGAAAAGCTCACGTACAATACTCAATGTGCAATACGCTGGTAGAGGTCAAGATAGATGCAATGCTTGTGCTGTAAGATGATTTGAAATCATCGTATGATCACAAAACTGGGGTAGTCATAAATTCTTATTGGATATACCGGCATCACTTATCCGTCGACTTGATGACTTCAATCTGCCGACCCAGGGGGGGTTCGAAGCAACTATCCTACCGACTTTCGGGAACAGTATTCGCCATCATAGCCTGACCCCACCAGGGGATATTCCCATTATATCATGGATTGCGTCCACGGATGGATGATCGCTCAAGTCGATGGATTGGAAACTCCAAGGATCTCTGGAAAGGCATTCCGGCAGTCAAATTCGATCAGAGAGGCAGTCTCTCTACAAGACGGTCGGGTTTTCACGTCGAGTTGCATTTCAAGTCACGCATTTCGCGTTGAAGATGACGCAGACAACCTCGAATTGAGGGGTCGACTGCTTTGGCCGTGCTCGGCCGAATGACGGCAAGTCCACTCGACCGCAGCCTTGTCCAGCCTCGGGGACGTTTATCCGAATATAGCGGCATCAGGCTGACTCCAAATGGAGAGATATCAACTTGCTGTTTGGGTTGGAAACATGCACGTAACGTACTGAAAGTAGATGCCACCCAAACACTGCATACAGAGTGCCTCGCGGACAACGCGAATCAACGGTAGACCTTTCTTACGAGACCACTCTACTCGGATCACAATCTTGGCGAGTGGCAATGTGCTGAAAGACAACAACCGAAATGAGTCGACTAGACCGAAGGATCTAACACGTCCTCTGTCGCCATGGATGTAGCGTCCGCCGTCCAGAACTACATCTCCAAGATCGCAGGGCCCGGTGAAGGTGCCGCAGCCACTCAAAGTCAGAAGCTCAAGATTCTACTATTGGATCCTGCGACTGTGTCAATCGTCTCTACCGCCATCACCCAGTCTGCCCTCCTCAAACACGAAGTCTTCCTCATCGACCGACTCGACAATGCCTCGCGCGAGCGCATGCGCCACCTTAGATGTCTCTGCTTTGTCCGACCCTCGCCAGACTCGATACAGCTGCTCATTGACGAGCTGCGAGACCCCAAGTATGGGGAATATAACATTTACTTCAGCAACATCATAAAAAAGTCTTCCTTGGAAAGGTTGGCGGAAGCGGATGATCATGAAGTGGTCAAGGCCGTGCAGGAGTACTTTGCGGACTATATCGTAGTCAACCCTGATCTGATGTCTCTGAACCTTGGGTTCCCCAAGCAGCGTCTATGGAGCCACAGTCCGGACATATGGAACACGGACGCCCTGCAAAGGACGACGGAAGGTGTGATTGCATTATTGCTGTCACTCAAGAAGAATCCTCTCATCCGCTACGAGAAGAACAGTCTCATGGCCAAAAAACTGGCGACTGAGGTCCGATACCAGATAACACAAGAAGAACAGTTGTTTGATTTCCGCAAAACAGACACGTCACCCATACTCCTCATCCTCGACCGAAGAGACGATCCCATCACTCCCTTACTCTCACAGTGGACCTATCAGGCGCAGGTCCACGAACTATTAGGCATCCACAATGGCAGAGTCGATCTCAGCCACGTGCCTGACATCCGCCCGGAGTTGCGAGAGATTGTTCTTTCGCAAGACCAAGACCCCTTTTTCAAGAAGAACATGTACCAAAACTTTGGCGACCTGGGCGGTAATATCAAAGAATATGTCGACCAATACCAAACCCGCACAAAGTCCAACGCACAGATCGAATCTATATCGGACATGAAACGCTTCGTCGAAGACTATCCTGAATTCCGCAAACTCTCGGGAAACGTGTCGAAACACGTAACACTGGTCAGTGAACTCAGTCGCCGCGTCTCGGCCGACCTGCTCCTTGACGTGTCGGAGCTCGAACAAAGCCTCGTCTGCAACGACAACCACACCAACGACCTGAGGACGCTCCAACAACACATCCAGAACCCAAACATCCCGGCGGACAACAAGATCCGTCTGGTGGCGCTGTACGCCATCCGATACGAACGGAACCCGAACAACGCCTTGCCCGTGCTTCTCGACCTCCTCACCACCGTCGCCGACATCTCCCCGCACAAGTTGTCCATCATACCCAAGCTGCTCGCGTACCACCACAGTCTGCAGCCCGCGCCCGTGGCCGGAGGTTTCAGCGACCTGTTCGAATCCGCGTCTTCCCCGTTCAGTCAGTTCCGGCGCAACCTCAACCTCAAGGGCGTCGAGAACGTCTACACCCAGCATTCGCCCCGCCTGGAAAACACACTCCAGAACCTGATCAAGGGGCGATTGAAGGAACTCCAGTACCCCTTCCTGGAGGGCCACACGCGCGACAAGCCCCAGGACATTGTCGTCTTCGTCGTCGGAGGCGTGACCTACGAAGAGGCCAAGATGGTGGCTCAGGTCAACGCGTCGGTGCCCGGGGTGCGGGTCGTGCTCGGCGGGACGAGCGTCCATAATTCAGCCACGTTCCTGGAGGAGGTCGACGACGCCGTGGGCAGTTGGCCCGATCAAGGCCCTGCGACGGCCCAGGGGAGGTTGGGAAGAGCCGTGGGGAGGTAAGCTGACCTCTGGGTGGACCTGGGGGGAACGTTTTGACACTGCTCGTCGTCAGTCTAGATGGTCCAAAGATCCTTCTGTCGTCGAGTCGTGATTGGCATCGAGGGGACGTCCACCTGTTGTATTTGAAGCTCCAATGATGAGCCCAAACAGACGAAATGAGATTAATGACCAAGAACGATGCCATGACGAGATAATTTTCATGTTGAATTGCTCGGGCTACTTCTGACTTCTCGCTCCGTGTCTTGCCCTTTGCCTGAATTTGGACCATTCTATGCTAGACTGCCGGTTGTTGCCTTTCCTGACGCAAGACATTCTCAAGAGCTCGTTTCCTGATCCCATACCTGTAGCCACTGTAGCCATTCACGTCTTAACAACATTTCATGACGCCGTCATCACACATTCCCTCAAAAAGATTTAAAAAGTCAGCCCAACATCAATGGACTAGATGTCTAACGCCATTGACACAGACTCAAGCAGTGACCTTTGCGCTGTACTTGCCAGCGGCGGCGTCGAAAAGTGCACTCTTCTCCTCTAGATCCCTCAACAATGCATGCCCTTGGTCCCGCTCCCGTAACTGCTCGATCAGTCCCTTGACCACCTCGTCCTTCCTGCCCATGACGCTCGCGAGCACGATGCTATTCGCGATGGCTTGTACGTCTGCCCCTTCGCTGTTCACTGCCTGTTGTAACGCGACCTCGGCCTCCTCTAGTCGTCCTAGGTGCAACTCCGCGACCGCCTGCCCTACCAGTGCGGTCGGAGAGGTGTTGCCCGGTGCGCTCGCGAGTTCTTCGTACACGTAGAATGCGGACTGGTATTTCTCGCTGCCCCCCTCGCGCAGGTTCGTCCAAGACTCGGCGAGGTTGATGAGGAGGCTGTCGTTGGCCCAACGCTTGGCGGCCTGCACTTCCTTCAGGGCCAGATCGGTCCGGTTCTGGGCGAGGTGAATCTGCACGAGCAAAGCGACGGCTTCGAGACTCCCTTGGTGTTTCGACAGGAGATCGATCGCGGTCGTGTATTCGGCGGCCGACGCGAGGACGGTCCCCGCGCAGACTTGGACCGTCGGGTCTTCGGCGGTGGAAGGGTCGGTTGCCAATTCCGTGGCGACTTCGACGTCGTTCTGGGCGAGAGCCAACAGGGCGCGGGATGAAGGAGAGCCGGAGGTGGCTTTGGGTTTCAACTCTGATATGACGGAGGAAGAGTCACCCAGCGCGATCTGCGCCCGGTATTTGAGGGTTTGAGCGGTCGCCTGGTTCGAAGAGAAGAGAGCCGATGTGTCAAAGTCCAGGACTGTTTGGTATGCGTTGGTGTAGAAGGCTGTTGTTATGTTGAGGAGTTCTAGAATCATGGGTTAGTGGGATTGGGATTGAGCAAGAACAATGAGAACGATCAAGACTTACCGCCCTCGCCGGAGAAAGGATCCATATTGAGTTGCGTGTACGTGTCAACGACTTCCTTTTGAGCAGAACAGGAATGACTGATGTCGACTGTGACCTGTATGGGTGTACTCCGTATGAATGAACCAGCGAGACAAGTGTCCCATTCAACATGGGCTGAAAGTCCCTTCTAAAGGGGGAAAGTGCGGCGAGGCTGAATATCTCCGCACTACATTCGAGACAAACAATCGACCACGAGTAGGAAGTACATCTCATTCTGACCCGACAACAAGATTGCACCTCCGAGTATTCACATCACGTAAACTTGCACTTCTAAGAACCCAAACCGCCGTGACAGGCCTCTCAGCCGTCTAGTCCTACTCCTTCGAGCCTCCTGGTTGCGACGCAATAACCACACTTCCAACCCGCATTCATCATGCCTCGAGGCGCACGCTTCAGCTTCACCTACAACAGCATAGTCTTGGACCACAAAGCCATCCAGACGCGCAAGGCAATGAGCCGAGTCAAAGCGAACTACCACCTCTTTCTCAAAAACCAGCCACGAGCGCCACAACTCAAAACACAAGACCTGGGTCCATCCAGAAAATGGGAGGTGCCTAGGATGAGGAACCTCGAAGCGTGAACATCACGTAAATGCAAGGGCATTTGTACAACAGAAAGAGCCTGGTGTCTGGCGTTTGGACCGGATGTCGTTTTTGTGTATTGACATGACTGATCTCAGCTTTTCATACTATGTACGAGAATCTCATCTCTACTCCGCGTTCCAGCTTTCAAACCATGTCTCCTACTATATGCAAGTTACTCCTTCAGAGGTACAGTGGTTACGAACAAAGCGCTCGCGAATGCCTCGGGATATCGTCCACCATGGACTTCTGCGGCATTGATCGCTTTTCTGATCTTCTGGTTGTCCTCTGGCGTGATCTTCACTTTCAGTGCTCCCATGTTGTCATCGAAATTCTTGGTCTTCGTCGTGCCGGGGATGGGAATAATATCATCTCCTTGAGCCATCAGGAATGCCAGGACCAGTTGTCCAGGAGTACAGCCTTTGGCATCAGCCAATGCCTTGATCTCTTGCACCAGCTTCAAGTTCTTGGGGAAGTTCTCCTCGCTGAATCTTGGGGCCAATAAACGGAAATCTCCTTCCTCGAAATCGCTACGGCTCTGGATGGAACCAGTCACGAAACCTCGTCCAAGAGGCGAGTATGCGACGACCGCAACGCCGAGCTCCCTAGCAGTCTGCAGCAGATTGTATTGCGGATCCTCGATCTCCATTGACAACGGGCTGTACTCCATCTGGACTGCGTCGATGTGAACGACCTTGCACGCCCTTCTCAGCGAATCTGCAGAGCACTCGCTCATTCCCAGGTACCTGACCTTACCGGCGTCTTTCAACTCCTTCATGGCCTTGACAGTGATTTCGATGGGCTGCTTGGCATCCAGTCGGTGTGCGTAGTACAAGTCGATATAATCCACGCCGAGCCTCTTTAGGGAGCGGTCGCATGCCCTGTGGATGTATTCTGGTTCATTGTGGACTTCTCTCTTGCCGGTGTCGGGATTGACGTAGTTGGCGAATTTCGTGGCCAGGAAAATGGTCTCCCTCTTTCCAGGATTGCGCTTGAACCACCGACCCAGCAAGTCTTCATTGTCGAGGTATATGTCTGCGCTATCCCAGAACCGTTCACCAGAGTTGTAGACGTGGTCGAGCAGGGCATACCGCTCTTCATCGGGCTTGGGGGCACCGTAATAAGCAGATAGACCCATAGCACCGAAGCCCAGGGCGGTCACTTCAGGGCCATTCTTGCCGAGTTTGCGGGTGGGAAGTTTTGTGGTCATCTTGGAATGGTGCGTTGGGTTTGGTTAGTAGTGTTGTGATTGTGACTGTCGGGGACATGAAGCGATGATGGTTGTCTTATATACCTACTTCTCATCAAAAACATCAGTCTTTAGCATGGTCTAATCGTTTCGGAGTTTAGATGATGTCAATACAAGTCAACGCCGACTCGACCTGCGGCCGCAACGACCGCTACAAATCAACTTCTTTTTCTCCAACGAAGTTGCCCCGCGGTGCTGTCTCCCTTGTCTCGTAGGGATACTGTACCCTGCTAAAAGATCCCGATAGCCGGTACCTAGGTACGAGTAGGTATCTTGATTCTGACTTGAGCGTAACGTCTTGGTCTACAACAGATCGTCAGGTGATTTTTATGGCTCTGATCCCTACTCGACGACCACAATCCCACAATGTCTCACAATCTCGAGCCCTCGAGTTGCAAATACTGACTGCACAGTAATCGCCATCCGGCAACGTTGAGAGGACAAAATCCTACCGAGAACGAAGTACAATGCCGTCCTATCCACCATCGTCGTCGCATCGTCTTGCACGGCTCGTCGGTCCCAGTCTCGCTGCGATCTCGTTGACTGAACACCTCAACGCTCACATCTGGTCCGACAATACGCCAGCGGTGATAGCCCTCAACGGCTCTATGCTCTTTATTTCCGGTCTGGCCATCGTACAACGACACAACCTCTGGAGCCGGGATTGGCGTGTCCTCCTCACGCTGGTCGGCTGGGGTAGCCTCGGGCTCGGCTTGACGCGCATGGCCATCCCAGAACGTGTTCTCGAGCGTGTGCGTTCCGGGGGCCCGAGGGAGGTCCGAATCGTGTCGAGCATCACGGCCGCCGTGGGAGGCGTCTTGACCTTGTTTGGATACTTCCCCTGGCTCACTCGTTGTGAAGATCTCGGAAGGTAAAAGACAACTTCGCCTTATCACTACGAGGCATATACACAATCGATGCGGGTACTTACAATTTTGGTTCCTATAAAAACAGGCTCTACATCTCCTCACCCAGTCCAAATCTACCGGCGGGAGTCATACCATCGTAGCATCAACGTTGCTCGCGAACCATCTTCCTGACAACACCAATACCGCTCTTTCCTCGAAGGCATCTTGTGTCAGGCATTCCCAAATACAATGATGAACAAGGTCGATTTCCCGAGAATGCATGATACAGACAAGGACCATAGACGACGAGTCTCTCAAAGAATGATCCTGAGTCGAGTCAGGTATCACCGAGGCAGAGCACCAGCTTAACTTCTTTGTCCCTGACAACGAGTACCGTTTTACTACTCTCAAGGATACTCACAACCTACGTAGATGAAGTAATCAGCGATCATTAGTGTTTAATATCAAAAACGTGAATTGTTGCCATCCTTTGTTTGACTGGGGAGCTCGGCTGATATGGTACTTGTAGCCGTTGTTATCGATAACGAATTTAGTTTATTGCTTTCCGACGACAACCGAATGAGTAATAATTGACCGATAATGTCTTTTCGATCTCGTCAATAATTGAAGCTGTCTGGGAAGAAGTCACCTTCCATATGATGGCGGGTGTTTGTGGGACACCATCATGCTAATGAACACATACTCTTCACGGTTATGGCTTTCGCTCAGACCGCCGCCGCCGCCGTCATCATCCTCACAAATCGCAAGCCTTGTTGGTAAACCACGACGACGACGACCATTGTGCGCTGCTGCGGCAAGGTACTATTCCCAGCACCATGCTGCTGCTGCACCCAACAACACCAACAATGACGGCCGACCGCGTAGTCCCACGATAGCAATCATCGGCTCTGGGCCGGCCGGGTTCTACACTGCTCAAAAGGTGATGAGGGAACTCAAGGGGACCAAGGTGGACATGTACGAACAATTACCTGTACCTTTTGGTCTGGTCAGGTTCGGAGTCGCACCGGATCATCCAGAGGTAAAGGTTAGTCAGTCGATCTGAGTAAAGTCTCGTCCCCGGGGGACGGCGAGGGACTCTTGTGGCGACTTCTGCTGACGTCTCCGACGGACAAAATAGAATGTACAAGACACTTTCCAAGACATCGCGGCGTCTCCAGATTACAACTTTATCGGAAACGTGAACCTCGGACACGACCTGCCTCTTCCCTTGCTTGCGAAACATTACGATGCCATAGTGTTCGCCTACGGAGCGTCCAAAGATCGAAAGATTGGGTTGGAAGGAGAAAACAAATCACACGTATACTCTGCCCGGGCGTTTGTAGGGTGGTACAACGGTCTCCCCGAGTACCGAGACCTGGACCCGGACTTGACGGCCGGCGACACGGCGGTGGTCGTGGGACAGGGGAACGTCGCGTTGGACGTGGCGAGGACGCTGTTGAGTAAGCTCGACCAACTGGGAAAGACGGACATGACGGAATACGCACTCGACAGGTTGTCTCGAAGCACCATCAGGCACGTCCACGTCGTCGGCCGCCGAGGACCCATGCAGGCGGCTTTCACGATCAAAGAGGTCAGGGAACTACTACATCTGGACGACGTCAATTTTGAACCCATCCCGGAGAGTCTTTTCCCGCAGGACCTGAAGAGTCTACCTCGTCCCAAGAGACGGTTGATGGAACTGCTGAAAAAGGGCAGCCCCGTCAAGGAAGGAGCCACCAAATCTTGGTCTTTGGATTTTCTTCTGTCTCCGAAGTCACTGTCGCGGTCGGCGTCGGACACGGACAAACTCGAAGGGGTGGTGTTTTCCAGGACGAAACTTGACGACCCAGACTCCCCCGGCTCCAAAGTTACGAGCACCGACGAAACGAGGCTCATCCCTGCGTCGACGCTGTTCCGATCGATAGGTTACAAGGCCGAAGCCATACCGGGCATGAGGGACATCGGGGCCGACTTTGACGAACACAGGGGGACCGTCCGACATGACGGTTCTGGACGAGTGTACCCCGTCGAAGACCCTCAGAAGGACAACGACGCCGACAACCAGAATGCGAGCTTATACTGCTCTGGTTGGGTCAAGCGTGGTCCGACCGGTGTCATCGCCAGTACCATGACGGATGCTTTCGAGACCGCCGAGGCCATTGTCCAGGACTGGAAGAAGAAGGTGACGTTCGGGTCGGATCATCACGTCCCTCTCCCACGACCCGGTCGCGCAGGCTGGAAGGGTGTGCAAGCGGACGCCGCGGCCCTCAATCTACCTCTCAGACCCGTCCATTGGTCCAGTTGGCAAAAGATCGACGCCGCCGAGAGATCCGTCGGTGCAGCTCACGGTAAACCGAGGGAGAAATTTGGCAGTGTCGATGAGATGCTACAAGTTTCGAGGGCATGATAAACATGGTACCCCGTCGCGGACATGATACGCCTACGAGTACTCATATATACCCAAGAATAACATGTAAGATATTAGATTAAAGAAGTGGTTTCGAATTGTAGACGACTTGTCTATCATCATCATCATCATCGCCTCCGGCACGATACCTGGGTACAAAGGTTGTTCCAAGCTTTACTGTTTTGGCAATGTCATACCTTTGCCTTTTCACCGTACAAGATGTCCTCGACGCGTTCGGCGATGGCCAAGGAGCTGGTCAGCCCGGGACTCTCGATGCCCAACAGGTTCACGAACCCGGGGAACCCTTCTTCTTCACGGACGATGAAATCCTCGAACCCTTTGCCGTCGACACCGAACGTGCCGCTACTTCCCCTGCTCAGTTTCGGCCTGACGCCGCAATAGTCGAGGTCGATGGCTCCGACGTCGACGCCGGGCAGATAGGTTCGGATGACCTTGATGGCGTCCCCGAGCCGCGCAGGGTTCGGGGTCAGGTCAGTAGGGTCGTCCACCCACTCGACGTCGGGGCCGAACCTGGCTCGGCCGCCCATGTCGAGGGTCAAGTGGGTGCCCAACCCTCCCAGACCCGGGGTCGGGGCGGGGTACAACAGAGTCTTGACTTTTGGTCTGGACGCGGCGTAGGAAAAATAAGTGCCCTTTGCGAAGAAGGCCGTCCTGTGTCGGTCAGGCGGGAGGACCATGTTGTTTATGTTCATCGCACCCAAACCTGCCGCGTTGATCAAACATTCGGCCGTGATGGTATCTTCACCTCCCGCTCCGTCACGGCTGCGTGTGCGGATCTCATAAGATCCTATTGTACTACTGCCGTCGTTGCCGGTACCGGTACGGACCGGTTCAATGCCGGTCACGATGGTGTGCAAGACCTGATCCCCACCTAGGTCGTCCAGGTCACCTTCCAAATACGACATGAGAGCGTGAGAGTCTACGATTCCTGTTGTCGGGGATTCGAGGACACCCGCTTCGGCGCGCACGTCGGGTTCTCGCTCTTGAATCTCCCGACGCGACAGGAAATTTGTAGGGACGTCGATCGATCTGGTAAAGGTGTGGAGGTCCTCTAGGTGTCGCATCTGTCGTTCGTCCTGTGCGAGGATCCACTTTTTCGTGCGCCGGTAAGGGATGGATTTGCTCTCGCAGAGGTCGTAGAGAAGATTTTTCCCTCGGATGCAGAGCTTGGTCTTTAGACTCGAAGGGCCGTAGTAGATGCCCGCGTGAATCACCTGTGACAAAAGGACTCTCGTGTTAGTCGAGGGCCAGCCTGCTTCTGCTTCCACTTCCGTCGATGACGATGCCAAAAAGGGGGCAGGTGTTGTGTTGTCAAAGTATATACCTGACCTGGTAGGGAGGGAGGAGGTGTTTGATATGGTACGTTGTGCATCCAGATGACCGAGTGTACATACCTCTGAATTCCTACTACTGGTTTCGGTCCCTACCGAACCATGCCTCTCGATCAATATCGTACTCGTCCCGGTCCGTCTGGCCAGTTGACGAGCGACCGCAAGACCTACCACGCCACCTCCGATGATCTAAAGAAGTACAGGATCGACGATCCCCAAGTCAGCTTTCCCAGAACAGACACGACTGGAGAAAAACAAAAAGGAAAAACAAATAGCTATTGCCGTATTTCATTTCGACAAAGGAGGTGAACCAAACTTACAGCGTGAGTAAAATCTGCATGATGTGTCCTCGAGGTCGAAAATGTCCTCTTGATCCCAGAAGACGAGTGGCCGTGGCGAGGCTGTCGTTGTAGTGGTAGTGGTGGTGGTAGTGGTAGTAGTGGTAGTAGTGATTGTCGCAGAGTGTTTCCACTTCTCGACCTCGTGAAGACCTTTTCCATCTTTTCTTCAAAGAATCAACAAGATCTGGTCAATCCTCTTAGAATGTCTTGACCGAGATTGAGAGAAAAACAAAAGGGAAATTCGTATCTCATCTCATGCGAAAGTTGATTGATGGGAAGCCGGTGTCGTTCGAAGTAGTTGCGGTGTGGCGGGAGGGACCAGAGGTAAAGAAGAGACTCCGATCTCTTGTTGGTGACAAAATCTTGGAAAGGCGCCTTGTTATACCCGTACTGGTTACTATGTAACGACTAATATGGTCGATGTTTACGTTTAATCCCAGAGTACTCGTAGAAGCCGTCTCGACAGGGGCTGAACGACAGGGGCTGAACCGTTTTCGATCTTGGCTTGATCAACGGAACTGGATTCGAGGTCGACTTGAGCAATACAAAAGTACTCTCGCAAACATTCTCAAACATAAATATTTTACAATCAAACGATGCGGTTGCAATTCTAGGTAGATACTTAAGAGCAACCGTGAGTCAAAATTATAGAAGGCATTGCCGATAACGCGCGGGGGAAATTTGATAATACCTGATTCCGTACGGAGTAATGATAACCGCTTCAGCCTCGTTACTGATAAATGGTCGACGTGGAACTCCATAGTCGATGAGCTATCCAAGCTCCTTGCCTTCGTGGCATGATTTCTATGTACAATTACGTGATGCTTTCCTCGTTTCCTCGAACGAGATTCTCAAAACCTCAAGTGCTTCGTTGTGCCAATCTTCTCTATCGCGGCACCCAGGACTGAAAATTAACTGCTGTCATGCATGTCTCCTCGTCTCCAACGACGAGTTCGTTGCTATGTACAGTTCTTTGCCATTGTCGCTCAAAATTACGATTTCAAGCGGGGAAACAAAAAAAGACGTAAACGCTCAGAGCTGTATCTAAGCTCGGTCCGTAAAGGTCAGCTTGCAATGATCCTGTATGTTTAGTTAGCCAATATTCCGCAAAGTCAGCAAAGAGTCCAATCTTACCTGAGGAAAGATAGTGGCAAAAACTTCAATATCTTCGCTGATAGCGGTTGGCTCATGCACCCAATCCAACAGTATGCTGGCCTTCCCAATCATCGCCATCAGATTCAATTGAGCATAGGTCTGGCCCAAACAATGATGAGGTCCAGTGCCAAATACCAACCAATTCTTGACCTGCTTGTCCGCGTCGCCAGTGATCCATCGTTCAGGAACAAAGTTGTCGGGATCTGGATAGGCTTCGGGATCATGGGTTGCAGGCCAAAGTGCTGGAATCACCATAGAACCCTTCTTCACAGTGTAGTTCTCTGACATCGGGAAGTCCTTTTTGGCAACGTATGGCACGAAAATGACTGGAGGACGATAACGAAGAGTCTCCTTCACAACTGCCCTTGTCCATACCATGGATTCCAGCATGTCCATGTCGAATGGCTTGTTACGGTCGCCGCCTCGAAGGGCAAGGTTTTCCTCTCGAACTTTGGCCAGGATCTCGGGTCGGTCAGCCATGATCTGGAACAACCAGGTACAAGCACTCGATGTCGCATCTTGGGACGCGAACAACAGAGTGAAGATGGTCTGGGATATCTCCATGTCGCTGAATTCTCGAAGCACTTGGGCTGGCTTCTCTGACGAGTCGACGTTCTCGCCTCTTGCAATGCGCTCCTTGTATCTGGCCGAATCTTGCATTTGCTTGACCCACGCATCCATGGTACAAGAGACAGAACCGCCAGCCGCCATGCGTACCTTGGACTTAGCTGCACACTTGGCGAACTCGTCCATGACCATGTCGCATGCCTTCTTCCCATACCAAGTTTTGGTGAAGGGAATGATGATGGGGAAGTTGACCAGTTCCAATGACGCGGTAATCAGATAATAGTCCTCAGCAATTTTCTTCACGACCTCGTCGCTCATGTAGTGACCGACAAAGGTTCTGCATGACACAGCGGTCATAAGTTCTCGCAGGATGGGCATCCACGGCTTAGGCTTCATATCGTTCTCCTTGGACTCATTGACAAAGGTCTTGAAATATTTGCTGTAAACTTCCTCTTGTCCTGGCAGATAGGCTTCCAACGCTTGACGGGTAAAGAGTCCGTTCAGGCCTTTGCGGTAGTCGACATGCTCTCGGCCATCGAGAAAGACCCAGTTGGTTGGCCGGAGGAGCTTGGGAGCAATGTCAACCACGGTAGGTTTGAGGAACGCGGGTGAATTGAAGATCTTTCTCGCCGTATCCCGGGAAGCGCCAATGACCACGAATCTGAAAGCATTATTAGCCAAACGAGGCTACGGACAGCAACCAACTGTGCTTACTTGTGGAAGACGGAAACGCAGCTCAAGTCGCCGCTTTCCCACTTCTGTTTGTATTTTTGGAAGGACGGGTGCATTGATTCGAGAAAAGGTCCCATAAACGGTAGTTTCCATGCTGGTCCAACGATGCCATGCTTTTGATATTGATAACTACCTGTATCATAGTTAGTTGTTGGGATCGTGACGACTACTCGGTGTAATCTCACATTGATCGTATGCAATCAGTAGTGCCAAAACGGTAAACAAGACTGTCCAAACATTGAGCTGGGAGACCACCCTGCCCACCAGCCCCGAGGCATTGGCGGCCTGAATCTTTAACTGGGCATCGGCGAGGGGGGATGTGAAGGCGGTTCGATTGGCGACAATATCCATGGCGAAGGATTGACTTGGGTAGGGTCGCGCGGGCCGATTGTCGAATGAGGACGACGCTGTTCCTGGCAATGACAGCGCGAAGATGTCACTACGCCAACACCGATGGTGGAAACGAGTGTTTTAAAGCAAAAGCACTTTCGCTCGGTAGGGAGTACAAACACAGAAAAAGAGAGAAGGCGATGAAGTACGGAGGAGTAGTAGTAGTAGTAGGAAGAGGGAGATAAAAAAGGTAGTGAGGATGGGGAGAGCGAAAGTCCAAACGCAGGTGGGGATCGAGGAATGTACAGTAAAGACTCCTTTCGCAACTCCGTTGTTTTTTACACCGCCAAAAGAACTGTCAAGTGGTGGAAAGATCTACTACGGTCCGTACGGAGTAGGTGGTGTACAGTCTATTCCGTGGGTGGTTGGTACCTGTACATACAAGCACTCGGTACTCCGTGGACGCTGCTGTTAGGCGAGATGGGCAATTTTTTCTCTCCCCGGACCGACTCTGCCGTGGGAGATTGACACGAAAAGGTGCCCCCCTTGTCCCTGTGCGTTATGCCTGGCTTCTATTGGCCTTAACGAGCCTCACTAGTCCAAGATCCCCATCGGTTCAGCCAAATCCGAATCGCGTCACTCAACATTTGCCAGCATCGCACCACTCAGAAACACCAGCCATAAACACCACACCACCATCCTTAGTCATCATACTACAACACACTCTGTGGTTATGTTACTCGTACCTGAAGGTATCTTGGTAGAATGATCTTTTCTATATGTACCACAAAAAGGATGCTCCGGTGAGATCATACACCCAGAAACAGTAGAGAGAAGATTCTCCCAATCTGGCCATCATCATCAATTTATCAATCATCATCCTACAGTACGCCATTTGCCATGCCCCTCCAATAATACAAATGTTCTTTTTCCTCCTATCGTCATCACTATTGTTCAATAAGTACTTTTATCCCCTAGGACATATATCTAAGGAATGTCAAACAGCGGCTTCATCTTCCTGATCAATGACCATTCTTCCTTGGTCACTTCATCTCGATAGAACTCCTTCAAGGTGTCGATCGAATTTCGAGAGATCAACGAATACAATGTATCCTTCTCGTCGAGTTGTCGACCATACAAGGGCTGGTTGGGTCCTTCAATCTTCACCGCAACGGCCGGCTGGCCCTTTTTGCAGATTGGGATGGCTTTGTGTTCTCGCTCAATTGTAGTTCTGTTGAATGTCAGTAGTGGTCAAAAACAAGGCAGCTTGCGTGATACTCACACTCTACCCAAGGAAACGATTTCCTTCACGTGCGTCACAGGATTTGTTCTGACAGCAGCAATTGGCGTCAGAGGTCGAAGATTTCCGTCCACAACATCGACACCGACGACGATAGGGTCTTTCTTGTTGAAAACCTGCAATGGATGGAGGACGCATGGGAAGACAGCGTTGAGCTTACTCTCCTCTTTGCGTTGTTCGGCAAGTTGATTCCGATACTTAGTGAAGTCGTCGAAAAGGTGATAAATGATGTCGGCGGTGAAAATCTTGATGCCGTTCTCGTCTGCGTACGATTGTGCTTCCTTGTCTACTTTGACATCGAAGCAGAGCATGACCGCAAACTCCTTGGCCTTTTCCAGCATAGTACCCGCCATCATCACGTCGCGTTTGAAAACAGGTCCGATTGAAATGTTTGCCACGGGGATCTTCATGTCTTTTAAGAATTTCAACAAGGCTTCCAGGGAACCCAGTGTTGAAGCCTGTACGCTGACACCGCGGTTATCCTTAGACACAGCGGTAAGTAGTTTCTGAAGATCACCCATCACATCATCTTCCAGATCTTCTTCGTCATCTTGAGGCCCAACCACAAGTAGTCGGGAACCAGCAATCGCACCTTCCAGGTCATTGGCCGCAATCTTGACACCGAGGGCTGCCTTGACCTCCTTGTTGTGCACGTACGCCGACTTGAGACGAAGTTCCTTAAGCGGTGCAGGCGTTAACAGCGCTCGAATATTCGTGGCGATTGGCCCGTTGATACCACACAAGACTATTCGATCACCTTCACGTAGGACACCATTCGATAAGATGACATCGATCGTCGTACCAAGACCTTCAATGACTTTGACTTCAAGAATGGTGGCTTCAACTTCAGACAGATACATAAGACTAGAGGTCATACGTTCTTGGGTCAGAGTGACCAAAAGCTTCAGCATATCAGGGATACCTTCGCCAGTATGCGCCGAGGTTGGGACTAGCGAGACAAATCTTCTCATATCATTGTTCTCGTAGTAAAGCTCGGCATTAAATCCTTGCTCCGCAAAGGCAAGCTTGGTTTTGTCGAGTCGATCCTTGAACTCGTTGACGACGCCCTTGTTCTGCATGGCCAAGCTTTCCTGGAAACCGTTGTTATCGATCTTCCTCCAGCCGTACAATCGGTCGATCTTGTTGAGCGCCACGATAAAGGGAATCTTTCGCTCTCTAAGAAGGTTCATGGACTCAATAGTCTGTGGTTCGAGACCGTGCATGATATCGACCACCAAGATGGCAATATTACATAGCGAAGAACCGCGAGAACGTAGATTAGAAAAGGACTCGTGGCCGGGGGTATCGATGACGAGAAGACCAGGTACCTTGAATTCGAACTTGCCATCCTTGTTGACGACAGCTGTTTTCTGTTGTAAGGCCTCAACAGGGAAATAGGTTGCACCAATTTGTTGCGTAATACCACCAGCTTCACCCTCTTGGACGTTTGTTTGTCGAATCTTGTCAAGCAACTTCGTCTTACCAGTATCGACGTGGCCAAGAATACAGCAGATAGGTGATCGCAGGTTATCTTTGGACCGAGCTGCAAGGGCTTCTTCGTGTGCCTTTTGTCTTCGAGCAGCAGCCTCTGCTTTTCTTTGGGCGATTGCTCGTTGATTAGAGGTTTGCTCTTCGTCATCCGAAGAGTCCTCATCGGATGTGTCGGACTCAATTGGCCTCTCTTTAGGCGGTGGTCCATCTCGAAGTGGCAAGGCTGAGGTTCTCGATGGTTTGGTTGCGGTACCGTTGGTTGCAGCTTTGGCATCTCCATTGACTGCCGACTCACCTGCTTCCTCATCTGAATCGGCATCCCAACTGTCCTTGACATCTTCATCTGCAGCCTTCTCCCAGTCGTCAACCTCAGAATCTTCATCATTTCCAGCCTTAGCAGCTGCGGCGGCAGCAGCAGCCGCTTCGGCCTCTTTGGCAAGTCTCTGACGTTCAGCTGCAGCAGCTTCAGCTTCTTGTCTAGCTTTTTCTGCAGCGGCCTCCAAGTCAATTTCTTCTTTCTTTGGGCCTTTGCGCTTCTTGTCAAAGGCAGGCTTCTTCTTCTCTTCCGTTGTCTCAGTCAGACCTGCAACCTTGACGCCTGCTTCTAGCATCTGTTGCAAGCGAAGTTCTTGCTGCTGCTTACGTTTCCTGTCTGCCTCAGATAGTAACTTGCCTTCCTTTCTAAGTTGCTCTTTCTTCTCCTTCTCCTTTTCCTTCTTTCGCTGTCTGGCTTCAGCTTTCTTCGACTCCTCTTCAGCTTCTTTTCGTAGTCGTTCCGCTTCCACAGCTTTCTCTTCAGCCTCTATTCTGGCTTCCTCTTCTCTTTGTCTTGCAAGAGCTTCTTGCTGCTTCTGGATGGCAGCAAGATGTGCGGGAACCTTTCTCTTTTTGCCGCCCTTGTCTGCCTCTGTTGCAGCTTCAATTTTCTTTTCCTCCACAGGTTTCACTTCCTCAGCCTTAGGCGCAGGTGTTGGTGCTGTAGTCTTCTTTTTGGCGGCTTGTTCCTTCTTTCGCTGCTTCTCTCGCTCTTTCTTCTCTCGTTCCTTTTCCTTCTTTGATTTGACGCCACCTCCCTCGCCATCATCTGCGTCATCGGCTTGTTTCTTGTTACCTTTGTTCTTCTTTGCATTCCCAGCGAAAACATCATCCTCATCATCGAGCGTGGCTTCGGCGGGAGCCTTTGCGGCGAAATCTTCGGCAGGGGGTGTAGGAGCAGCACTATCGGCATCTTCGCCTTCAACAAAGTCGTTGACGGGTTTGCCCTTCTTTGCACGCTTATCCCTGTTTTTTCTGAGCGCAGCCATCAAGCCGCCGGCATTGACTTCCTCCTCGGCCGCATCCTGATCAGCTTCGACCTGTTTGGCATCCGCGGTGGCTTGGGCAATAGGATCGATGGTCTCGCCCATGTCGGCATCCCAATCGTCCGCCTGCTTTTTGCCTCCCTTCTTCTTGGGTGCCATGGTTGTGATTAATTCTTATGAGGTGAGGAGATTATGTTAGGGTATGAAGCGTGCACCATGGGATGCGGATGCATTCAGTCGAACGTAAAATCGATGATTGGGGACGAGAACAACCTCGAATGTTCAGACGACGGACAGTTGTCGACAGAAGGCAAGTTTGGAATGCCTATTGCCACAGTCACTGTTGAAAAAGAATGAGAGCCGGATTTAAGAGATGTCTTTCGTGCGTGGGTAAAGACGATGGTGGGGTTTTTGCAACCAAACTGCAAGTTTCGTCACTGGTGAAGCATCAGCCTCGGAGATCTTGGCGCTTCAAGCAACGTTACTCGTCCATATTGTACAGACATGCAGAGTTGTTCTAGGTAGAGGTGCATGACTGAAGACGCTCATGCAGACGACGATGGTTTTCAAAGAACACCTGCGTGTATCCTCACAACGCACAACGTGATATGCGCCTATCTGAAAAACGTGAATGTGATCCTTCGTGACCTGGATGCCTATCACCAGGTGACATCTATTCAGCACAACATGACAACATGACAACCTCTAGTAGCTTATATCCTGTGCAAATTCGAGGAGGGAGACTGCGACTACAAGGCATAGAGATCCAATGGGTGGTCTTTAATGGCTCATCTCAGCCGATACAGCAACGTATATCAGACGAAGTTGAGGAAGGGCCCTGGAACTTTTTGCATAACACGGCCGTCCCTCAAGCATTCCACAAGTAGACTAGTACTGTATCTGGTGCTCGATGGGCCGTACCCTGCTTTCTTTGGGTCAAGTTGTCTTTCACAATCGGACAGCATAACCTCTAAACATGAAATGCACGTCGACGCTGCTGCTCTCGTAGGCACAGATACAAAAGGCACGTCAGGACTCAGATACTGCTCGAAAACGGCACATTAATGCCGGCTCCTAGACCACTGCTGGCTCAGGATCCTGGTGAATGAATCGAGTTTTCCTCATCATAGTCCTAGAAGAACGTGGCAAAAACCCCTCTGTACTGCTTGAAGACCAAAAATGGTGTTGTGAAAGAGAACAAGTTGGAAATACAGCCTTAAATACTTCTGGTACAAGGGGTGCTGCCAAGACTCGCTCTGTGATTGAATGATAAAAGTCCGGATTTAGTCTTTCATTGTTCTATAATCTTGACGTTGATGAGCCAGGCATGAGACGGCGACGATGGCCTTCTCTTGCTCTCTTCTGCTTTCATGACATTGAATCAAACTTCTTGGCCCCGTCGACTCCATGAACCCAGCTAGCACGGTCCTTGACAAAGTATTCCAACTGAGGCCTCAACTTTGTCTCGTGCAGACTGAAATCGTCCACCGAGCCAATCCTCAGGAAACTGACGTCCGGGTAGGCGTCTCCTTTGCGATACATGAGTCCACCGCAGGTTGAACAGAAATAGTTTGTCATCTTCTTGCCCGAGCTGGGGGTCTTGTCCTGACCCCAGGATTTGAGGTTCTCTTTCCCGCGGACGTGTTCGATGTGTTTGTCCTGGACGGTAAAGTTGGACGCGAACATGGACGCAGTGACTTTACGGCAGTCGTAACAGTTGCAGACAAAAGTGTTGACCAGTCCTGGTCCTTGAATCGGCTGCCACACATCAAAATCGAGTTAGCAATTTTACTTGGGAACAGTACCGACCAAAAGACAAGAATATCGAGTTACCAGCATCGGGCGAGTGAGGGTAGTGACACCACTGCTTCAAGACAGTACGTCCGGGGGGAGGGAGGAGGGGGGCGGGGAGGGAAGAAATATGATTGTGAGAGGAGGAAAAAGACTCACGAATGCAAGTTGAACAGCACCGCAGAAACAAGTCGCTGTTGCTTTGTCTTCGGTGGACCAACCATCCATCGCTACGCCGGCCAGAGGGAAGAAGGGCTTGGAATTGTCGTGTGTTGCTGCCATTGTGTTTGGTTTGGTTTTGGGAACCAAGAGTTGTCTTTATATGTGTAGGTTGTTAGGTAGCCTTTTTAGACTTGAAGTAGTAGTTCTGAAAGAGGTTGATGATGGATAGAAGAAGAAAACATATCCTGGAAATGTGAAGGTCCATCCCTCTTTATACTTCTACCCCTGCTAGCGAAGAGCCAGACATTCTATAGCATGATGTCACGCAGGGGTATCTTTTTGTTTTCAGTGTCGGGTCGCTCATTACTAATTCTAGAGGGTCTACCTCGCGTAGACAGAGGTCGAGTATGCGTGGAATAGCATAGACTTGCTCGCAGAGGTTTATCACAAAGGGGGACATGCATTGATTCGCTCCAAGGTCGGTGAAAGTGATACAAAAAATTCAGGGTCATTGAGATCTAAAACCTTCTTGTTGCTGAGAAATGCCGTTTGGAGCCGGCCGAAAGAGGAAATTCATACTCAAAAGAGGTTTGGTGGCCTTTGCGCGCAGATCGATTGGCGTCGCCGTCGTCGAAAACTCGGCTCTGTCATCACCAGCCCCAATGTTCCGGAGAACCTGGGACGAGGAACCTGGTGCTCTTATTCGCCCCCTTTGATCCGCCCTCTACGAGTACCCTGGACTAACCCTCTCACGAAGGTATTTTCCTACTTCAGTCGAATTCTCCTTAGAACGGCAAAGAGACGCGACGATCACTTTATGGGCGTGCTACGTAGTTCGCATACGTTGAGGACGAGTAAGGTGTTTGACACCATTCCCCTAATACAGCGAGGTGTACGCAAAATGGTGTAGAATCCGGTGCACCACCTCTCGGCGGTTATTGTTCCGCTTTGAAACAAGGGAGAAAGGAAGAATGGATTATTCACGACGATACTCGTCACGTTCCAAAGCGGGCGACTTGCCCACCAACTAGGTAAACTAATTAAGAAGGGTAACTGAGCAGTTCCCTCAACCACACGGCGACAGCCTCGACCAGATCGTCACTCGTGTGCAGCACCATAGCGGCCAAGGCCTCGAACTCTTCGAGCATGGGCCCCTTGAGGATCCGGCGCAAGTTGTACGGTCCTTCCTCTATCATCATGAACAACCGATCACCTCGAACATGCAGGTCTTTCAGTCGGACGGCCGGCGGCCGAAGAACAACCTCGTCACCGTCGGCGTCTCGTGCCCTGATGGGGACCGGCTTGATCGATTTCTTGTTCAGGTAGCTCGCCTGCTCCAGAAAATGCAGGAGCTCCCACTCGTTGTGTCTCAGGAGGGAAAGGTGGAACAAGGTCCCGTCACTCGCGCCCGCATAGAACCGATGTCGGTCGCCGGATTGGTCCGAATCCGGCCTGAGGAGGAGGTTGTCGACCAGGAGTGGCAGGTTCGCGTGGAACAACGGGTAGGGCTCTTGGCCGTCCTGGCGGAAACCGGAGAACGCCATGATGTCGGTGGTGCCCCCGTTCCAGGCGGAGAAGATGGCCGAGTTGTTGCCAAAGGGCACCACGTTCTGGGTCGCCCTCGCCTCGTTGTCCGACTTGTGCTCCGACAGCTTGTCGCCTCTCTCCACCAGGACGAACAGCGAATGTTTTGCCGTGGCGATGAATATGAGCGAGCCTTGACAGGAGATGCTCTTCGCGGGGGACGGCAATCGATGCTTCGAGAGCGTCTTCCATTTGCGAGAAGCAAAGTCCAAATGGTGGAGGTGGATCTCACTCCCGGCGGCGATCAGGAGAGACGACATTTTGTAGGCGCAGATGGCCGTGACCGGTTGTTCGGGACTCCTGAATGCAACCTTGGGGTTGGTGTCCGGGATACCTTTGCTGAGGTTCTTCGCGTTGACGCAGACGACACGTCCACTGCAACGAGGGAAGCCCGGCTCTTTCTGTTCGAGAGCCAGGACGAACCATTCGTAGTGATGTTCGCCATCCGTCGGAGCCCAGTGGATGAGAGCGTTGACACTCTCGTTGGTTTCTTCCGTCACAATCACAGAGAGTTGATTGTCGCTGGGCACTTTCAGGCTGGGTTCGATGATGTGAAGACCCACCTGCTGTATCGTTCGTGGAGAAACTGATGTCTTCACGCCACTTTCCATCCGACCAGACGCAAAATCTTGGGGTCCTTTGGCACGAGGGCCCCCTGTCAGAACATGGGTCTTTTCGAATGCGACGACAAATTTTTGAAGGTACTCTGAATACAGTACATGTCGTGGTACACCGTCGACAGACGTCCTTCGCGTGACGGTCTGTTCTTGCGCTACGAGCGAGCAGAACAAGAGCTCGTCTTCCGTTGCGCAAACCACCAAACCACCCGGGTCTTGGGAAGGAGGTGACAGCTTCGGGATTCGATGAAGAGAGTTGACCGTGTACTGAGTCGAAGGCTGGCCAGATATCAATGGGTGAAAACACTGTTCAAGAGGGCAATCCTGACTTACATCTGAACGGTCTGTGACATACAGTGACGAGATAGTGTAGTCTACAATTGACGCAGGGCGGTGAAGTGTGATACGGCTGGTCGCCGATCCGCAAAGCACCAAAGCTGAAGATGGCCTCGATCGTCCTGAAGATATGTTTTCCTGGAAAATCCGGACCGAGGTGGTTCCCAATCCGTGTATGCCGGAACACGTCAATTCTAATACTCTGTCAGTCAAACGAGTCTTCCATTCGACATGCAACACATACTGAACGACTGATTTGGCAATCGTAAATCCAGACAGATCAGAAGCCCATACCGTAAGCCGCAGAGAAGCAGCACTGGATCCCCGTCACCTTGTTGAAGTGCAGCCAGGGAACTCACGGCGCACTGTTCAATCCTGAGATCAAAATCAGAAGACTCACGCTGGAAGACTTTCCGCAAAGACAGGTCTTTCTGCACAGTGTACCAGTAGAGTCGCCCCTCGTCCGTGCCGACGAGCACTATGCGTTTGCCCCGAACTTCAAAGCAGCACAAGCTCGTAGGGATATCCAACATTAGTGTTGGCTCTGCTTCCTTCAAGCTCACACCACCATCATCGAATGAATGCAACGTGGAAGTAAGACAAATCTCGTAACCCTTGGCCGCTTGGCGGGCTGTGACGAAAAGCCGGCCGTCATCGAAGAATGCCGCTTCGCATAATTCACATTTGATCCGAAGAAATTCGGAAAGAGAAGCGTCAATTCTGGTGGGGATTATGTTGATGCTCTGTGTGGTAACCTGTAGTATGGAGTCCCCGTCACCAACAACGACTGCCGTCAGCGTAGGGTGGTCAAAGTCAAACCCGGGATGGCTCTCTGGATTCGTGAACGAAAGCTCTTGCGTGTCAAGCTCAAATGATACCATGGTTGACTGTGTTGGCAGGGAAGCCAGAACCAACAGTTCGTTGCGATGCGGTACCTCCAACGTCCATATCCTGTCGATGAAGGCAGCATCTGGATATGGCACGGTCCACCCAACTTGTGCCTCCACCCCATATCTGATGTCGAACAGTACTCCCTGGTCTGAGCCGCGACTGCAGCATGCAAATAATTGATCTGGACTCTCTCGCGACCAGAGTCCACCGGGTCGATTGCCGGCGGATGGACCAAGAGTGATGTCTCGAAGAGGACATATCGACTCTAGGAGTTGAATGCACTCGGGAGTTCCTCTCGCGGAGACATGGAAGACACCTCCATCTGTCATACTGCCCCCGACTATGAAGATGTCGCCACCTTTGCCTGGAGGGCCTGCGAGCATGCAGAAGGCCGTGTCCGCTTGAAGCCCCAGTCGGCCGATTGTCCAATTGAGGTTGAATTTAGAACTAGAGGCCTTCTCAATTTGAAAGTATTGAAGTAGGCCGTCTTCTCTCAGCAGCACAAAGTCATCCCGCTTCTCCTTGTACTCGTTGTGGCGCCTTGGTTTTGCCCACTGAACCCACTCTAAAGATCCTGCCGCTTGTTGTCCGAAGGGGCAATGAATTCGCTTAGTGCTGTTGGTATGGACATTCTCGTAATACGACAGACCCGTTTTCATGACCATGATAAATGAGTAGGGTCGTGCAGAGGGAATGAGCATCGTCGGGAGCTCGTCCTCGGCCAGGAGCCGGCCACTGCTCTGCATAGGTTTTATTGTCTGAAGTGGAGACCGTGTGTCCCAGCCGTACATATATTGACGTGTTGCCTTCTCTTCTTCGCCACCCCAGACCAGAAGGAGAAGCACCACTAGATGGGGATCCGAATCAGGGCTAGGCAAGAAAGTCATCATCATGACATTGCCTCGGACTTGAATGAAGCGTTGCTGGAAACGTTAGTACGTATGCCGTGGTGTACTGTGCGCACCATACCTCATCTGACGGACGAAATGAGCCATTTTCCAGAGGATTCCACCTGTCTATCTCTCTCTGAATTTCGTCAACCCTGCGTAGCTTGAATATTCCAACATAACCTGAAGGGGATGCAACGGCAAGCGCACGAGATCTGGCCTTGTCAGTCCAACATAATTGGTCAAATTCGAGTAAGAGACTTACTGCGGCTCGACAGCTACATATCGGCATTGACTGGACGGTAACCCTGCTCCTCTGAGCAGAGGGCGCTTTGCAAAAACGAACCTTACATCGCCGCTGGTGTCTTCTCGTGCACAGGCAAAGATGAGTTCGTTGTCGACAGTCACGATGACTAGTATCTGTGCTGGATCTCCATGGTCAATGGGCTGCCCACCAATGCTGTAGTTCTCTTGATCTCTCTCTTGTTTTAGGATCGCATCAAGGATCGGGATGACTTCCACGTCGGCCGAGATGACTTTTGCATCGGTTATTTGAGTTCCAATGTCGAGCTTGGCCGTTGTGTTGACTAGCTGCCCAGTCTCTATGAACTCGTACAGTTGTATGAAGGTGGCCCCAACAAAAACAACATCCTCCTTTGATGGAGATCTTATTCTTGCCGGGAGAATCCATCTAATGCATGACGTTGAGTTGAGTGTTCGCGACAGAATGCCTATCTTTTGGCGGTGCTCGTAAATGTGTGCTGGAGGAGACTTGACTCTGTCAAGACCATTCATTGCTGACACCTTAAGTGCAGGCGAGACCCGGTCAAATCAATTGAAGACAAGGGCTATGCTGTGGTCAGAGCGAACAGGGTCATTTGCCGGTCAATAGGACAAGTCTGGTACGTGCAATTGATGCGTCATAGACTTAGGGAGTTTCCACAACACAAAATGTTGATGAGAGAGGAACAGTATTCGCAGAGACAATCGCACGACGGATATATATCCTTGTCGACATTGATCGACTTATTGGGCAATGGAAGACACGGTGAGGCAGAGTGATGGTGAGGGGCAAAACCTCTTGACCAAGGCACTCGGTCTGATTCGGTGGCTGTTCATCCCTATCCTGGTCCACGGCGCTGTACAAGTGATAGACAATGTGTGTGGTGATGTTGGGCAGAAGTACAATTTCCGGATGCGAGGGCAATGATGTTACAGCATGAGATGGAATGAGGTCAAAAGCAGAATAGGTCAAGGCTCACTTTCACTCTGCCGCGTCTTCACGCAATCGCGTTCATTGTGGTGGATCTCGACATGGTGGTGCCCAGAACCTCATTGCGGCCTAGTGATCAACGAGGCAATTCATCCGTCACCCCTTCACTTCTTTGATGCATCCTACAACTTTCCGGATGAACAAGCAAGCAGTGTATCCTTGTGCAAAATAGACCCATTGAGAGGGAATGGAAAGAGCTCATTAGCTGATGCAACACAAAGCTTCAACACCTTGACACAGCCAGGCTGAACCTTTCGTGTTACCTGTCATCTTCACCAGGCTTCCTTAGAATCATCCCCAGACAGCCGTTGGCATCATCTGCTGTGCCACAAGAGTGTCGCTTTCCTTGAGTCTATTTCAATTTCAACTCAAAGAGCGGCGAGCTCTCCCACTCTGCCTGCAACCTGGTCTCCTTTCAGCTTAGACGGCTTGCCATGGCAGAGGTACGCTCCAAATAAGGTCCGGTGCATATTCAATGCATTACATTGATATCAGCCCTATTGAACAGACACCTGTCAATCAAAGCAGCCTGCGTAGGGGTCTGCAGCATCAATGGATCAATACCAAAATGAAAAGTGCCGAGCCATTGAAGACGCCTGCAAGCAGGGTGACCTCAGCACTCTAGTCAAGCTTGCAACTTCGACCGGTGGCCTTTTGACCGATGAAGCTCGCCGGCAAGCTTGTATGTCCCCATGCTTTCTGCTTTGACTGACCGGTGGAACCTCACTGACGCAGAACTTGGAAGGGCCGATTTTATTGGGTTGCAACCCTCAATCTCGAGACGCGGCACAAGAACAGGCAAGCCAGACATGGGGGAAACTACCCCGGCATCCAGACGAAGACCAGGTGCAGCTCGACGTCGATCGCGCCTTTGTTTACTACCCGAAAGGTCTGAACAACAATTTTGCCCCCTGGTGTGACTTGGCTAAATGTTACTAGATGAATCTGAACAATCTCTCGATAGGCGGAAAACGGAACTTTCCAATCTCATTGTCTCGACACTGAGAAGCCACCCAATACTCTCGTACTTCCAAAGCTATCACGATGTTGTACAAGTACTTCTTCTTGTGCTTGGGGAATCAAGTGCCGCTGTTGCCGTACCACGGATATCTCTGATGAGACTTCGTGACTACATGCTTCCGACAATATCTCCTGCAAGAAAACACTTTGAAATTGTCTCAGCCATCGTCAAGTCTGCGGATCCCGAGCTAGCCGACCACATCGCCGAGGCCGAGAATAGCTTCGCACTCTCAGCAACTCATTCCTTGTTCGCCCACGACATTCAAGACTACGGAGATATTGCTCGAATGTACGATTTCCTCCTGGCCCACGAACCAGTCATGAGCCTCTACTTGTTCGCCGCCGTGACAATCTCGAGGCGGTCTGAGTTGTTCGAGATGCCTGCTGATCAGTCCGACATATTGACCTTTGTAATATCCAAGCTGCCACAAACTCTCGATATTGACGCATTGGTCGAAAACACCTTGACCCTGTTTGAAAAACACCCACCAAATCGTCTACGAGGTTTCGTTTGGTGGCGTCTGTCACAGCTCAGTGTCCTCAAAACATCGCGTCAGGGTGGTCAACGCCAAAGTTTGCAGGAGGCAGAAGATCTAGCCCGGAAACAAATCGAGCAGCTACGCCGAGAAGAAGTATTGCAGAAGAGGATGAGGTTATTGGCGACGTACAGACGGCCGGTCCTCTCACTGACCGCTGCTTTGCTGGTAGGAACAATGTCCTACTGGATGAGGCGAAGTGGGCAAGACAGACACATGTGGTCTATACTGTCGTCGATAATCGACCATCTGCGCAGCCCGAGCTGAGAGAAACACGTCACAGTCCAGACCAAATCTTCTTCACCAATGCACCACCAACTAAGAAATGCGTCGAAGCCTAGGTGTCGTGAAAAGTACTTCGCCAATATACGAGACCAGACAGGACAAGGACAACAGGACCCAATAGATGAAAAAGGGATCATGGTCTTGCTTGTTACCACAATCTACGACATATTTTCTGAGAAATAACTGTCGAGCAATCTAACATGTGAAATCGCCCCAAACCCTCTGGTCGAGGCCTGACCAGACACTCGGAGACTCAGTGGCGGTGAACCATGATAGTCGAACCCTCAGAATTGATCCTCCTTATGTACAATAACGCCTTTTTATTCTCATAGCTTGTCAGTTAAATACACTACAGCACAAATAATTTGTAGACGTTACCTACTTGCTTGACGAGGATAACGGATATTTTGGTGTAATGACAGTTATACTGGTTCTTCATGTTTGCAGTTCTCAAAAATTTTACGTCATTACAACCAACAATGTCGTACATGTCAAACTGCAGGCAACACGTTTGCATTTCCGTCAACGCCAGCCCGACCTCTTTACCTCCTCCTGCGCGCCCATTACATTTTGTCCGCTGTTCGCTCTACCATCTTCTGTGCCTTTTACAACAAGACAGCGTGTGAGAATTTCCTCAAGATGGCAAACAGGGGCTACGATGTCGTCGTCGACGTCGACACGGAGGTACGTCTCTTTCTGATCCAGAGCGTTGTCCCCCACGGACGAAGCTAACAAGAAAACCCAGGGTGACCTGGGCCACACCGACCTCCAAGATGACGACCTGGAATTCCACCCGTCGAGTACGTCTCTTTCCGTAAATACGTTGTACTTGATTCACGAAAAATGCCATTCTCTGACATTTGCTCCCTGCAGACTTCGAAAGCAATCCGGCCAGCCGCAAGATCCAACCAGACTCGACACCTTTCCTCGCCAACAGCGCGACGAACCCTGCGACGCTCCCCAACGATCCTTCGGCGGTGCCCCCGAAACACATGCTCTGGTCGCTGTCGTTTTACGCGCAATTCTTCGACGTCGACACGTCCACGGTCTTGTACCGGTGCCGTAGGGCCATCCTCCCTTTCCTCCCCAACCAGCAGCCCTTTCTCGACACCTTGGACGGGAACCCCGACCTGTACGGTCCGTTCTGGATCGCCACGACCGTGGTGGTCATCCTCTTCCTCACGGGAACTATAAGCCACAAGCTCGCCTCGGAAGGCCGGAAGCATTTCGAGTACGACTTCCGCCTTCTCGGCGGCGCGGCTGGTTTGGTGTATGGCTACACGGCGTTCGTCCCTCTGGGTCTGTGGGCGGCTCTGCGCTGGTTCGGCGCACAGTCCCTCGACCTGGTCGAGTGTTGGGCTCTGTACGGATATAGCAATCTGTTCTGGATCGCCGTCGCCCTGGTTTCATGGTCGCCGCTCAACGGCCTGAATTATGCCCTTGTCGGCCTGGGGTACGGCGTGAGCGTCTTCTTCCTGGTCAAGAATCTCTACCCGGTGATCGCTGCGACGGAGAAGAAGATCAGCCAGATCCTTTTGATCGTCGTCGTGGCTCTCCATGCGGGGTTGGCGATTGCGATCAAGATCCTATTCTTCAGTCACAAGAGTCCAGCAAAGGATGTGGACGAGAACACATTCGCACAGTTCCTGAGCTAGTGTGTCGCTTTGTACACTGAGGTTTCCAGACATCAGATGTAACAGACAAGAAAGATCCGGATGTTTTGGGTAAGGAATTTTGACTGCATGTACGGATATGGATAGCTTATCACTTTGAGTATAAAATTGTGGCGGGAGTATTTCACGATACGAGGGCACGGCTTGAGCCGATTCATAATGTATGAATAACGACGTATATGGCATTCGAGTGCGTAACCGTACGGTGGGAGTCAGGTTTTAGGACGTAGTAGACTTGTGGAATCATCTTCTGTAATTCTTTAAAAATAAGCGGGCACGTACAAAGAGAGTGCAGTGCTTTGTCCTTGATTTGGATCTTAACGATTCGAAATCTGGCTTGTGAAGCTAGCAGTCCGATTTTGTGATCTCGAGCAGAGGCCGTGTCGACCACGAGTTTTTTCTCTCTGCACTCTTTAACAACATATCGTTAAGACTTTGCTGGTTCCTAAGCGCGAACGCCGCCACCCCGCCAGTTGAGACAAAAATTCTGCTTCTGCTTCTGCACCACTCTCCCTGCACGCCTCGCCTTCGCACCACCACACCCACACCACAAAAAAAGCCAAGGGGAAGGGCGATACGTCTATTTGATCTTCTTCTTTGGTCGGAGTTGGTTGGTGTGCCCGCACTTCTTCTTGCGGCAGTTGGTGGCTCGCGGGGGCAGACGGGCGTAGCACTTTCGGCAGATCATCTTCTCGCAGTTGTACTTGGACGCAAGGGCCTTGAGGGAGGGTTCGATGATACCGCCACGGAGACGGAGGACGAGATGGAGGGTCGATTCCTATCAGGAGCGTCATGTCAGATTCCATTGATGTCCCCAAGATTATATCCCAAATTTATCATCGTTTGACCAAATTCATACCTTTTGAATGTTGTAGTCGCTAAGAGTTCGGCCATCCTCGAGTTGCTTTCCGGCAAAGATCAATCGTTGCTGGTCAGGTGGGATTCCTTCCTTGTCTTGGATCTTGGACTTGACATTGTCGATGGTGTCGGAAGACTCCACCTCGAGGGTGATGGTCTTGCCCGTGAGGGTCTTGACGAAGCTGTTTGCGCAACAGAGTGTCAGTCTTCTATGACATTTCCTGTTGATGCTTTTCAAATCACACAAGTTTCGATCGAGGGTTCGTTCGGTGGCGTTTCGCGCGAATTCGAATGGGCGACGTTGAGGGATCGAAGGGGGAAACTCACATCTGCACTGTTGACAAGAGTTAGCAATTAAAGATCAGTATTTCAGGCAAGACCAGAACATCTAACTCACTCTTTACAGTCTCTTCGGTTCACTGGGGAAAAGGTTGGTTGTCGTGATAGGTACGTCGCAGTTGGAACGAAGCGGACTTGAAATGTTCAGTGTGCAGAATTGAGTGCCAAGACGCCATCACGTGTGAGGCGGGCGCACATCGCCATCGCTTATGTCAGCCAGGCTGAGACTCATGACCACTCACCGAAGTTACTCCGTCGATCATGTAGTTTCTTACGTGCCACTTACGGCCTCACATGAAAAACAACCAATTTCAATTCCACACTATTCATCTACAACACATGATGATATCGAAAATGTCGTTTGTCATACTTTGGTATACTCAAATGACGTTCAAATTTTCTAAGACGTATTCGACTAGGAAAGTCACGGCTAGTGACAGGCTGCCCAGGTTCTGACGGATTTAGTGCTACCTCTCGAGTGCTGACTTTTATCGGCCGAGATCGAATTATGCTTCAATCGCATCGTACGCGCCATTGCTCTTTTGTGCTCTCATTATTCGTCACTGTAGTATTGGAAATGGGAAACCAGGTTCCGATAAGCATTGACGCTGTGCACTGATCCGATCAAATCTGCAATTTGAACGAATGCTACGCTCGCAAGGCTGTTGTCCCTTGACCTTGATATAAGCCCGTTGGTTCCTCTCTCTCCATCTGTCACTGCAAGCATTGTGAGAGGGTCCAGGTAAGGGTATCTTTCCTCGAATCACTGCATAAGAGTTTTGTCTGTTCCCGGACCCTACACCTTCGCATCAATCTCTTGGAACGTTTTGCTTTCGTCATCATCTTCCGAGCCCTTGTTCCGACAACCATGGCGACCACTACAGCAACAACCTCTGGCAAATCCCGCCCTGCCATCGTCCTCGGATGTGCAAACTTTGGCTCGGCCACTGATCCAACAACCAAGCACCACACCACCGAACAAGCGTCCGAACTCTTCGCGACGTTGGTCCGCCACAAGCACAACGTCGTCGACACATCGCGCCGTTACCCACCGCTAGCAGGCGGTACGAGCGAAGAACTCATCGGGTCGACACTACGATCCGCCGCCGCCTTTCCAGACATCAAAATCGACACCAAAGTCCTCTCGGCACCGGGATGCCACAAGCAAGAGAACATTGCCAGGTCCATTTCCGACTCGTTCCATGCTCTGGGTGTCGACTCGGTGCGAACCATCTACCTGCACTACCCAGACCGGTCTGTCCCACTTGTCGAACCCATCAAGGCTTTATCACACGCCGTGGACATCGGACGGGCCGAGCAATGGGGGTTATCCAACTACACGATCGACGACGTGCGCGAGATCTTGCGCCTCTGCGACCAGCACGGCGGCTTGGTCAAACCTGCGATTTTCCAGGGCGAGTACAACGCGCTCAACCGTCACAGTGAAGAGCTCATCCAGTTCCTGCACGAGAACGGAATCGCCTTCTACGCCTACAGCCCCGCCGCGGGAGGGGCGTTGGCGCCCACGGGCTCCCGGATCGCCGCTCACGGTCCGGCGGGCGACCGCGTGAGGAAGCTCTACGGCACCGAGCAGGTTCAACAATCGATCGAACACGTGAGGGACGCGGCGGAGAAGAATGGGCTCGGGGGCCACGAGACCGCCATAAGGTGGGTGGTGTGGAACAGCATGCTGGACGGGAGGTATGGTGACGCGGTGATCGTCGGAGCCAGTAGTGCGAAGCAGCTGGACGACACGCTGCACGCGATCAACAAAGGCCCACTGCCCGACGAAGTGAACCAAGCCATCGAAGGTATCTGGACATCCGCCTTGAAGGACAAAGCGTGAGATTGAAAGGGTTGATGGTCACTAATCAAAGCCAGATTGATATCGAGACGGAAGTTCACCATCAAAAGTGCAGTATAGCTTTCTGCGAATTTTCAAGGGGAGGACGATCGACTGTCCGAAACAATGCAAGTGTGCTGAACATTATGGTATGCAATAGAAATCAATTATCATCTATGTATCAATGCATATATACCCTGCTACAGGCTTGGCCCTGTGGCCATCACGATTGCAGTTGTTTAATCCACGGGTTCCTCCTCGAGCAACAGCTTAAAGCTGAAAGGCTCAAAAGGCACACCCTCACCAACGAAATGTTTACTCATGGCTTCGACCCAATGCAGACGTAAACTGTGCAACATGGCAGAAGTGCCTTCCATGATACACAAGACGGCAATGGTCAAGACAAACCATAGGTAGAATGTAATGATGATCATCGGGATTTGCACACCACCACTCATACCAAAGGCATTTCCGAGAGTCATGTCCCACAAGACAACAGACAACTGTTGGTGCGCAAGCGAAAGAGCCCAGAGACGCAAGTAGGAAGCCGTGTGGGAGACACAGTTCAAACAGAACTCGATAGTATCTGGGTGGGATATTAGCAGCCACTTACAGAGGCGGTATTAACACAACTTACGAATGGTTTGATGAATCATGACCTCCGAAAACTCAAATTCTTCATGTTCGTCTTCTTCGATATTCTCAGTGATCATAGCACCTTCGTCGTTGGTGTCTTCACTTGGGCGGCCATTCGGACGATGGTTAGTGTGCTCATCGTCATCGTCGAGATCGGTGGCGTGGGTGATGCGACTAGTGTCACCAATACCACGATAGCCCTTGGCCGCAGTCTTATTATGTTGGTGTCGGAGATATAGCGGCTTCAAGAGTAGAAGGATTGGCACATTGATGACAGCGATGAGTAGCAGACACACCTGAACTCCCGCCTGACCACTGTAGAGCTGTTCACCTGGTTCGATATTGCCTGGGGACAAGAACATTTGAATCAACATATTGAGCAATGACGGAGGGTTCCGTCCCTCTGCAGCCCAGTCGATAGACCATTTGTAGACAATGCAGAAACTCAAGTATCCAAAGATACCTTGAAAGAAGATCATTCCAGGAACAAAGTTGCCCCAGATGTCGATCCGTGACTTGAAGTGTTTAGCATTGATGTAGGAGAAGCACAGAGCGTAGGTCATGTGGCACCAACCCATCAGGATAGCAAGCTTCATCTTGAAGCTGTTGCTGAAGATTAGGTCGTTCTCGGATCCGTGCCATGCCCAATCCAGACCGAATGGATACCGATAACTGCCTTTGAGATGAGCGGTGACCTCAGGTCGTCCTTCTTCAGGGTACTCCCACGCGGATGGGAATGGTGTGAATGCCTTTGAAAAGACGTCGTTGTAGATTAGACCCGTGAACATAGAGAAAATACCCATCATCAACATGATGTATCGGCCATAGAAGGCCATTGAAAAGAGTTCATCTTGTTTTGACCTCAGCAATGGCTTCTCCCAATAGATCATGGCAGAAGCGGCCATAGTCATCAAGCAGCCATGACCAAAGTCACCAAACATGACTGCGAACAAGAATGGAAAGGTCACGATGGTGTACAGGCCAGGATTGACTTCTTGGTACTTGGCAGTACCGTATGCATCAATAATAGTCTGAAACCCTTCTGTGAACTTGTTCGTTTTGTTGTAGGTTGGTGGTGTCTTGTTGGTCTTGATCTGGTTTACAATGGTGGGAACAGACAAGCCAGCACGATCATTGACATCTTGCAAAGTGGCTCTGATCTGTGGGAGCGAGTTCGTAGGACACCAAGCTTCGGCGATCAAAGTCTTTCTGGCATGATCGTAAGAGCACATGTTCAACGCGTTGTAGACGGCCTTCTCTTTCTTGATCACGATCAGCCATGCAGCGAGTGACCGGGAAATAGCAGTCAGCTCCGCGTCGAGAGTGTTTTTGGTATTGCGAAGAACGCTGGCGAGATCGCTGAGGCGAGTGTTGACCTCGTGAATCTGGTCGCGTCGAATGTCGGCGTTCTCGTCGACACTGTAGAGGTCGGCACCTAGAGATTCAGAGATCTTCCTGATCTTTGCAATGATCTCCTTGCCATGGGCAAAGATGACAAACACGTTCTTGCGGATTTCCTCGTTCGTCTCCGGGTCGATGATCGGTTCAGGGATCTCTGACTGGTTCATGTACAAGTTGCCACGAAGCGTACGCCACAAGATGCGTTCGAAAGCTGGCAGCCTCTCACGGCGAATGACACCGGCCACGAAGCCAATGTTCATGACTGCGAAGCTCTGTTGTTGTCCGACATCGCCATTAGCTCTGCCTTCTTCAGCCTCGGTGTTACGGAGGAGAGGAGCATCGTCGTCGTCGACACTTTGTCTGATATCGTCACTCTGTCCATATGCACGGTCAAAGAAACCGCCCGCCTCTTTCAGCACCCATCGCCACTCTGTCAACTCGACTTCTCGTTTCTTGAGCGTCTCGTAGCTCTCGTTCAAGCTGCTGACACGATGTTCCAGAGCTTCAGATCTGTCGACGAGCTCATCGATTTCGCTAGCCTGAGGTGCGGCGAGCATGTCCTGATCGAATTCCCAGTGGCTGCGCATCTGAATGCTTGCCTTGTCCATCTGGGCGTGGAAGTAGCGCAGCTGTCGTTCAACATTGTCGAGGCGTCGAATTTCTTTGGTGAAGGTTCGTTGAAAGGCAGTGGTCTCGGAGTTGAGATCTCGAAATTGCACCACACCAATTTCACCCAGGGCAGAAACGACTTCGCGGCCGATTTCGTTGGAGATGTAGAGCTGGGTAAGGGACATGCCCGCCGAACGGAAGAGCGTGTCCTTCTGGGCCATGCTGGGCGGGTGTATGAAGGAGTGGAAAGGCCGCCCAGGCCGATGCAAAAAAGGAGCTAAAGGGTTCGAAAGGCTGGCAAGAAGCTTCCTCTCTGCGTGGTTGATACAAAATAGATGGACGCCTGCTATCACAAACCCAAGAGAACAGGTCTCGATGATGCCGCAGCGACTTGGCACCGCTTAGTCATCCGACTTTTCTTGAAACTCGACATCACCTCGAGCAAAAGAGCTTGTCGTGCATCATATTGTATACCTCCCTTCTTGCAACCCCAATTCTTTCTCCTTGGGTGCCTTGTCACTCCAGTTTGTCTTCAGTCCATTGTATGGTGGTGACCGAATGCTTGCGCCGCCGCGACACAATGCCACGGTCCTGATGTCAGGCCTGGCAAGGCGTCGCGGCGTGAACGTCAGGAGTCTGTGTTTCGTGGCCGGACAGACTACGACACCTATACGTCCAGCATGGCAGATACATCCTACTTTAGGTGCCGCGAATGCACTTGCAGCGTCAAAGTTCGGTGGCTACGGCCTCAGCAACAATAGGACGTGGCTCGTTTCGGCCTCGATGAAGGCTTACTCGAAGCTTTCTGGGTGAGTTAGCACATCATTGTCAAGTAATTCCTTGTTCTGAACACTGACAGCGTCTCTCTCAGTCCACAAGCTACCGGAATTCCAGCAAGGTGGCAGCAGAGGCAGTCATGGCTACAACGACGGAGGTTGTCTAGTCAAACACCAAAGGTTAATGAGGAGAAGAAGAAGACCAGGTAAGGAGAGAACAAAGGCCCTGTATCATGTTTCTGCGCCTTCATTGTTGAAGATCGACCTTGACGTTACTCTTGTTTCCCTGCAAAACGAAACTCTCCGCAAACCCTTCCATACGTCGGACTGGAACCATCAAAATGCTGACAAGAAACTCCCAATTCTCTTTCAGTGACGACCCATCCTCGGCTTCTCCTTCGCCGACAACGACGACGATGATAGTACCACCCAAACTCACCAAGATCCTGCCCCGGATCACGACCCACGAGAACATCTACACCATCCCCAACATCCTCACGTTCACGCGACTCGTCGCCGCGCCCGCCGTCGGTTACTTCATCCTGACCGACCAGCCACTGGCCGCGGTCTCGCTGTTCTTCTACGCCGGCGTCACCGACCTGATCGACGGTTACCTGGCGAGGCGCTTCAACAGCACCACCGTCGTCGGCACCGTCATTGACCCCATGGCCGACAAGGCCCTGATGACCATCGCCGTCGTTTGTCTGGCCCTCAACCACACTCTCCCGCTCTGGCTGGCCGTCATCATCCTCGGCCGAGACGTAGGCCTCGCCATCTCCGCCATCTACTTCCGTTGGATCTCCTTACCCCCACCGAAAACCATGGCGAGGTACTGGGATTTCAGTCTGCCCAGCGCCGAGGTCCACCCGACCGAGATTAGCAAGATCAATACCTTTTTGCAGCTCTTACTGATCGGAAACGCCATGGTCCTGCCCGTACTCCCCGAATCCTTGGTCGCCGCCTACAATCTTACCGGCATCTTCGAAGGGTGGATGTACCTCGTCGCCACCACTACGGTCTGGAGCGGTCTCAGTTACATCGGGAACAAGTCGGCCGTCAAGATTTTGTCGAATGCCGAAATTGACGAGAAAATGGCACAGACTAACAAGGACAAATAGTGTCGGCGCCGGTCTACGATACATGACTGACGCATTCGACCGTCATACTGCCTGTTCTTCTCCCTACCCTCCCTCCCGAATCGTATGTACATTACCTTTAAACTGTATTTGCTTTGTAGTGAAAAGTCTTACATAAGATATGTATTCGAAGTAGAATACCAGATATTGTCTGAACAGCAAGATCGATTTTCGATTTCACTCGGTGAACACTCCCCCCCTCCTAGAGAAAAGGGGGCAAAGTCCCCGACTATCACGCGTAATAACAAATCAATCACTCATTGCATTGTGCGGTTCGGTGCCAAAAATCAAAACAACTATCTATCTGCACGGCTCAAAACACATCGATCAAAAACAATCCAACACAAATAAGTTAGATATGAATATATTTCAAGTAATAGTCAATCGCTACATAAGTCAAAGGTGAAAGTAGCATCTCGTTTGGTAGAGTATAGAAAAAGCTTTTGAGGGATTTTTCCTGTCACAATCTCGACACCTTCCTCCTGTGTTGATACATGACACACCATGAACCATCCAAGAGATCTCTTTTTTGGCCGTGGTCGGACAAACCACTTTACGCTCGACCAGCCTGAGCTCGCTCGATCTCCTTGAGAATGAGATCACGAGCAGATATCACCCCATCCTCCTTGCCAACAATGGTTATGGCTTCGCCTTCTTCCCCCTTGCCTGTGTTATGCTTGGGCACCTGAATGTCGCAGCCGGACTGGTTTCGAATCGAGTTGATTGTGGAGCCACCCCGTCCGATGATGTGACGATGCAGACGTGGATCAGGCAAAATCAGATATCCAGTAAACTGAGGCTCTTTGGCCTTTTCAAGCGATGACTGGATCTTTTGCTTCGCCTTTTCCACGACGTCCTGCGCATCAGGTTTCTGGCTGATGAGGACCCAAGGAATCTCCCCATCATCTCCGTCCAGGGCAGTCTGGTTAGAAACAATATCCCAGCTGTGAGAAGTTTCACCGGGCTGATCAGTGATCAGAGGCATATCACCATTGGTTGTCCGCGCTCGGGAGCCGCGGCTAGGCTTTGGAGGCGGCTTGTGACCATTGTGCTCTACTCTGACACCATCCCTACTCAGTTCGCGGAATATGTCTCCATTCTTGGAGACAACGTGATGTAGACTTCGAGGAACCATTATCGTCTCCGCAGGAGCTTTCATGGTCTTCTTCTCGATGTGCTCCTTAGCGTTAGCCACATTTTCGGGTCGTCCAGTAATTTTCACGCCAGTCTGTCCGGTGCCCTGCCGAGGCACATTAAGAGTGACCCTGAACTGGTCTTCAATCTGCTTGCGAATGCTGCCGTTAGGTCCAATCAGATCCCGATGTTGGGTGACTGGCACATCCAACGTCTCTGTGACCTGGTTTTCCCTCTCATTCACAAACTCTTCAATGGCAGCAACGATCTTGTCAACGACATCCGCCGTACCAGTGATGGTAAGTTCATTTGATACGTCGCCTTTTCGAGGGAAGCGGACGTGCTCAGAGCTGCGCTGCTTGCTGCCCGATTTGGCGACAAGATCCTGAATATGAGAACCTGCAAAACTTTAACCACTGCCAGTATAACTTCTGTCATAAAAAACTTACCTCCAGCACCAATTAAGGCGCTGTGATGCTTTCTATCCACGTCCATGGTACGCGTAACAATGTCATCAAAGGCCTTGGCTCGCTTCTGCAACTCCTGCCTAGCTTTCTCAACTTGTTGTTTGGAGCCTTTGATCTGGATGGTTACACGATCAGAGCTGGAGCTGGCAGCTTTTGGAACGTCGATGTGAGCACCAGTATCAGCTCGTAACCTGTCCATTTCCATGCCTCCTCTGCCAATAAGGGATGCAACCTGACCCTGCGCGACAGACACCGACGCGGTATGCGAGTTATCGACCATGTACTGGTGGAGACTCAGCAATTCATCTCGCACCTTCTCGGCCTTTGCACGGGGTCCACGAATCTTGATTTCATCGAGAGGCTGGCCTTTAGAACCACCGACTTGACTGGAATCGTCCGCAACAGAAGCGTCGTCACTTATTCTTGATTGCTTGGGGAAGTCGATCCTCACAGCATTATCGACTTTGCTCTGAATCTTCTGCAAATTTTCACCATTCCTGCCAACAAGCAAACCATGGTACTTTGGATCAATCTTGATGGTGAAGTTGACCTCATCTTCCCATTGCTTGGCTAGTCGCAGAATTTCAGCCTTGCATGCCTCGGCCTTTTTCTGAGGGCCTTGAATGGTGACCTTGCCGTTCTCTCGAGTATCAATCTCGACGTCGTGCTTCTCGCGCAACGCCTTGATATTCGCACCCTGTTTTCCAATCAAGTTTTTGTTGAACTGGGTAGGGAAAGCAAACGTAGTCGTGTAGCCACGTTCCTTCTCATCCTCCTCGGCTTCTCTGAGGAACTCCTCGATCTTCTGGCGGAGCTGCGCGATGTCTGCCTCACTCGGTCCTCTCAAGAACACTCGTTCAGGTGAGCCACGAGAGGCAGGAGCAGATTGTCTTTGACCGGCTTTAGCTCGGCCAAAGTCAACCTGAACCGGGAACGCATTCGGCGCTGATGGTTTTGGTTCATTATTGACGAATCTTCTGACCTTGTCATGAAACTTCTTGGGCACGTGAATATCTTGTGTGGATATTCCCCCGCTGGGAATATTGCTGAGTAGCATTGCTTGTGCCTCTTGTAGAGCCTTTTCAAAGTTCGAAATGTCGGCCTTTGATGGTTTATTGCGGGGAATTGAGAATGGGCCATCCTGCTCTGGACCTTCGTACACGAGAACAACCGGGTCAGATCCATCATCGGGAACGATCAAATGGACTCCAAGGTTTTGTCTCAGATCAGATGCATGCATCTGGCTGAGGTGAGGATGGAAGAATGGATCCACTTCAACCAGCTGTATTCGTGGAGTGGGATAAGCTTGGGTAATCTTGGAGAGCTCGTTTCGAGCAGAGAGGGCCTTCTGGGGATCATTGCTAATGACCGTCCAGCTGGGAGAGGCATTGGAGCTCCGAGGAAAGACAATCTCTGCTCCATGAGACTTTTGAAACTCCCTCTCGATGGCCTTTTCTTGCAGATACTGAGCCAAGGCTCTGGAATGACGTTCAGGGCCATGAGGTGCATCATTAAAATGTTTATGCATATCAACGGCACGATTGTGCTTTCTGGACATGAGCTCCTCAGCTAGATTGCGACCAGCATCCAGCTTGTCCTTAGGCCCAATGATGTGGATGTCTTCCGTCTCATGCTCAGGTGGAGGGAGAATGACTGCACAGCCAGTCTCTTCTAAGAACTTCAGAGGGTCCATACCACGGTCTCCAACAATGTATGGATGCAAGATTTGCTCGGCGGCGAGCTCCTCAAGCAGAAGTTCCTTCTGGAGCTCCTCGGCCAGCTGTTCGAGAATAGCACGTGCCTCGAGCACAGCAGCTTGTTCACCGGAGACGACAATGGGGCTGTCTCCGTGCGGCACAAAGGCAGGGGCTTGACCCGAGTCGGCAGGTCGAGCCGGAGGTTGTTGTTTCCATGTAGTATACTGAGGGACGTTTATCTGGAGGCCACGTTCTTGCTCCATTTGTCGCAAACGAGCAGCATGCTGACCAGCAATAAAGGGGTAGAACTCCGGCGGAATTCCACGAACAGGCAAGTCCACCTTCGGCTGGAGAGCTTTGACCTGCTTTGTGATGTACTCGTAGACCTGGCGGACTTGCGCAGCATTTCCCCGAATCTCCACAACATCAGTCTTGATATCTTCCGGGTTTGTGGTAGGTCTGGTGTCTCGTTCGATGTGGATCCGGACGCTGAACTGCTGCTCGAGCTTCCTGATGTTGGCTCCTGCTTTGCCAATGATCTGGGCCGACACAGACGAGGGAATTTCAAGCTTGACTTGCTTCTCTAGGGTCAATTCCTTGGAGACATGCATCAGAGCCTCAGTGACTGCGCGCTGATTTGGACCCTCGGCAGTGAACTCCGTCCTCGTTGCGAAATTGGTCTGGCGGGGAATAACGACAACATTGTACTTTCTGTTGACATCATCAAGCACCTTCTTCACCGACTTGTTCTTGTTCAGATCAGTGTTGTCTATTTCGAATGCATCTCGATACCGTCCCGGCATCAGAACACCACCTCGGCCGCCAGCAGGCGCACTCACGGGGGTGCTAACACCTGGTGTTCGCGTGGGAGTAGGACCACCGGAAGAGGGAGGTCGAGAGCCAAGTGCAGTAGAGCCGTTGACAGGAGGGGCCTTCATGGAAGGATTTGCAACCCAAACTCGTGGCGGAGGAGCTGTCGTCTTGGAGGTAGATCCAAGAGATGGGAATGCCTCCTCAGACTGGGTATCGAGGACGGTGGGTTTCTGAGGAGGTGCCTCAGTGGCTTTCTGCTTGCCCTTGTCTATACCATTTGTAGTTGGAACATCGGCCTGGTTCTTTTCTTCAATATGCACATGTGGTGGAGGCGGATGCAGAACATCGTCTTCATCAGGGACTTCTTCGACAGTCACATGGTGAGTCTCAGCAGCCTCGTGCTTTTCTTGCATAAGTTGAGCTTGGGTCTTGGTGGTGCTGGGACCAGCCTCGACTGGAGCATCAGCAGTGACAGAAGCCATCGTCGTGGTGGCTTCGCAGAGGAAGCCTCGAGTAACCGGTGGAGTTTGAACCGAGAGCAGGGACGATGACCGTGGGCGGAGGAAGGTTTAGTGAGCGAGAAACATGCAGTTTCTAGCAGGTCGATGAGGAGAAGGATCAAAGTGTAGGAATATAGATAGATATCAGCTGTGGCCGAAAAGTCACAGCACTGAAGGGCTTAGCAATAAGTAAAGGAGGATGAGAGGTGGTAAGTTGAAGGGAGATCCAACTGCGTACGGAATAGTTGTGCCAGTGTCTTCTTTATTTGTGGAGAGACCTGGTGAATCTCCCAACGGCCCTGAAACTTGGGGGGACCAGGATATCACGTGAGTGGGTCTTTCATGCCTAGGGCACATCTGCGGTGCCGTGCGAATCTTCCAACGATTTCTAGACTAATTCAGATGTCATGATGTGCAAACTGTATCAAACCAATCTCATTGTTATTTGGCTCGCTGATGGTCACCATACACGCTCCTGGATTATCCCTCATGGACCATCACTTCCATCCCTCGTGGCAATGCCTAGGCAGGGGTGTCACTCTTACCTCGCTTGCTTAAGGAATCCCACTTTGACACCGTTCGCCGGCGTCAAAATGATGTCCGTGTGCATGGATCGGTCATTGCCATAGTCTACCAATTGCTCAAACTCCTGCAAAATCCTGACGATCGTATATCCCATCTCGACCATGGCGAACTGTTGTCCAATACAAATTCTGGGTCCACCGTTGAAAGGGATGAAATTCCAAGCCTTGGGCGTCCATGTTGCCCATCTGTCTGGCACCCACTCAAGAGGATCGTATGGAAATTCTGGTGACAGCGGCGGATACAGATCCCTCCGACGCTGCATTTGAAGCGTACTGTAGCCCACTGGTGTACCCTTGAGACAGCCAACCGGGCCCTTACCATCGGGACCTCCCCCACGTGGCAACGAAGTATCGATCAGCGACGCCCGGACGTTGAATGGGACGACTGGGTACAATCGCAGTGTCTCGTTGATTGTGTAATTGAGGTATTTCATATCCTTGATATTCTGGTATGATGGTGGCTGCCCTCCTTCACCCAAGACCTCGTTGATTTCTGCTCGCAACTTCTTGACAACGCGAGGGTTTTTAGACAGCTCTAAGAAAAGCCAGGACAAAGTACTGGCAGTGGTGTCTCGCCCAGCAAGAAGCAGAGCAAACAGCTGGTCACGCATGACCTTGGGATCTCGTGTGAATCGTGCAAGAGCCTGAATGAAGTTGTCGGACTTTGACAATTTCGACTCCAACTCATCGGGAGACATGGCTAATGCGTCTGTGATAAAGGGTTCGATAAAGTTTTCGACAATCTTGATACCATCGTAGAATGACTTCTTCGATTGGAAGTATTTAAATGGCCTATTCTCAAATTAGAACGGGAATGGCGTTGTAAAGAAATACTCACCCAAGGCGACCCTCCATGCTTTGCACCCTCTGTACCTCATCAAAGGCAGCCGCAAAAGTTGACTGCTCTGAGTCCAGACTGCCTACGCTGTGCCCAAACAAGAAATGTGTCGACGCATCGAGGCTGAAGCGGAAGAATAGTTTGTGCAACACGACCATTTTGCCGTCCCCAGGTCCGATCAGTGCGATGAGCTTGCGGACATGACTCTCGATAAGGTCCAAGTCGGCCACTTTCTCGCGGATGAACATTGGCCTCAGCAATTGTCGCGAGTTGTGCCAGAGCTGTCCATCCGTAGTGAATATGCTGTCACCTAGGAAATCCTTCCACTCATCATGAAATTGTTGTCCTAAGCTATATTAGGCCTGAAGGAAGAGGATGGAGCTCTAAAATCATACTAACCTTTCCCAAAGTCTTGAAACTGAGTGGTGAGAAGGGCTTTGATATTCTCTGGGTCGGCCGTGAAGATTACTCTGGCATTTTCTAGTATATGAAGCTCGCTTGTATCTGCACAGAGTCAAAACCAGCGCCGGACGAGTCAGGAATGAAAATAATGTCGAGCAGGAAGAGATAACTGCTTAGGGGAACCCTACATGTGCCTGTTCCGTTGCAATCAGTGCCAGTATGTTCATACATCCAGTCGAAAAAATCCACTGTTCGGTTATTGCGACTGGCGCGTGTGGACCAGAATGGAAAATCAAGACCTATTTTGTTCAGTCTCCTATATCCCGGTATTCAGAAGTACTCACTGTAGAAGACTCGTGTTTTAATCCTAGGAGATTCCCCTCCTAGTTTCTGGATTCCCTTCGCGGACACATACCTCCTAATTTGTACGGATGCGATATAGATGGCTACGAGGACTGCGGCGACATATTTCCACGACAAATATTGCAGCGCCATTTCCAGATGCGACATCCGATCGCAGGGGGAAATGATCTTTGATAATATAATGTGATAGGATTCAGATGCTCTTTGGTCAGCCGAGGCGAGGTGACGTTCTTAAATCATTGTTTAATTGAATGCTGCCTTCGCGAGCCACAATCTGGCCGAGGCCCAAACAGGCAAAATCCACGAGCGCACGGAATGCCGTCAATCCCAGAGTTTCCTTTCTGTTTACCAACTCCAATAATGGAGGAGTTAATTGTCTTCGTATTGTGCATATAGTTATACGCGGTGGAGGAGCTGCCGTGCAACTGGAGCGAGTGGAGCGTGCGAAGCCACTAAAATTCAACGACGTCGCAAGGATGGTACGAATCCGGTATACAATCACATCAAGTCAAGTCCGTCTCGATCACAACACCACCAGAGACCACTTCACGCATACCCAATGCACGCGCATCTCATCTTCACACATTCAGTAAATAATAGAAAGTCTATAACTACAAGTTACAGCGGCCTCGGTTCATCAGACACCAGGTCATTGCAACTGGTGTCATATTGATCCCTAGGTCGATGATTCCGCGTTCTCGCCATTCCCCCAGCCTCCGGGTGGCATCTTCCATCAATTCGTCTTGCCTTGTCCCACTCCATAACACTTCTGCAGCAGAAGCTACTCTTGGCCACAACTTGCTGTCCAAGTCGAATGAGTCGGTCTGCTCACTCCACATGAGGACCTCTCCGCCCTCGACGCCGGCGATGAGGTCGGCGCTTATGTTTGCAAGAGGGTCGTACGTATACATCTGGCGCCAATTATGATAGGGAGCGCAATAGTCGAGATAGGGGCTTGTAAGTTTGCTTGGCCGTCCGCCAGTTGTGTTGACTGGCACACCAGGTGGTGACTTGCCAGTCGGATAAGGATCTAGAAATCCACCGAATCCGCCTACGTTAAGTTAGAAAGAATCACCATTTCCTAAGATTCGCGCACTTACAATCGAGATACCAATGCTTAAAATCACCGAAGATGACACGATGGCCTTTCTTCAATACTTCTTCGATGCGGCTGCTGTCCCTCCATACCTGCACTAATGCTCCGTCCGACGTACCGTTGACCAGCGGAAGGGTCAGGTTCCAGTCCAGTATCATTTCCTCCCAAACAATGGGTTGCAATCCATGTTTAGTAGATAGGACTATTGCATGGTCAATAAAGCGTTGCAGCAAGGGTTGTAGAACGCTAGGGTCATCGCTGCGAACTGTGTCGTCCAAGAGGTATGCTGGAATGTTGACTTCATCACCGCCAATATGATAGAACGAAGTGTAGGGCCGCGTCCGAGGCAGAAGATCTGTCAGCACATCCTCCAAGAAATCATGGACCGCTGACAAGTTCAGCTTCAGCTGCCCACTGAGAGGTTCTGCAGCAAACGTAGACCAGTCGAGTTCATTGAATGCCGCTATAAGAGCTGGGAAGGCGTGTGCGACTGATGCCGTATGTCCCGGCATGTCAATTTCGACAAAGACAGAGATGCCCTTGGATGCGCCGTAAAGCTGAATATCTCTCAAATCCTCGGCCGTCCAGACCAGATCAGGTCGGTAGGCTCCCTTACGAGCAAGTTCGGGCAGAGAAGGGATTTCAAGAGGCCAGCTCTGTGAATCTGTTGCATGCACATGCAAACGACTCATTTTCGTCGCAGCCATCGCCTTGATGGTCCGTATCAGGTCCTGTGGCTTGAATGGGTTCCGGGCTACGTCAATGCTCAGCCCGCGATGCCGCCATCTGGGGCGATCTGCAATTTGTAAAGGTACGTAAGGTGTGTAGACGCCAGACGTGCTCGAATGTGCGTAGAATAGCTGACTGAATGTCTGGAGGCCTCGGAGACTGCCAAGAGTGGAATTTGATCTCAATATGGCTGTTTCATTGGTCATGACCAGTTCATAAGACTCATCTCCGTCAAAAAATGTATCCGGGTTGAACGTGCTTTTAGCGGGACAACTGGATAGCTGTATTTGCAGAGCTGAGAGCTCATGACGTGGGGCATCAGGAAGTGGCTCGAAGAGTTCATTGCGTTCATGCAATTTCCACGGTACGAACTTCGAGTTTTGCATCGAGTTCATTGCCTCGAATGCCGCCTTGTGTAGAATATAATTCTCGGAGAAATTATTGTTGCCTCCATGCCAACCTTCGATGTCTGATAGTGTCTGAAAAAGGCCCCAGGAAGCTTGAGGAGGACGGAACACATTGTCCATGAAGCTCACAAGAGACTGGATTAGCCGCTGGAGTCCACGAGTTCGGAGGGTAAAGGACTTCTCATCGCAACGAAGTGTGACCTCGGGAGCATGTCCAAGCCAAAGTACTTGAGTTCCCACAGACCACTCGACAGGCTGTGGCCATATAGCGGTCACGGACCATAGAACAATGAAGAAGATAGACACGTGGATATGCATTGTGCGCTGATATCGCAACAATTTAGGTGCCAAAAAGCACAACAATCAGTACTAGTTGCTGTGCCTTCACTTACATCAGACGACGGTATTGTCGGTAAGTTCCGCTCGTTAAATGACCGCGTACCATCCCATGAGAAAGTTATGATGTCTTCCGATGCATTAGAAGATAGGTCTGTCACTCAGACTAGAGGTAAGTTGCTTTGTACGGAGTGAGTCCAGCACAAGAGGGTGAGATGACAAAGACGCGAGTGCAATCGATAAGAGCCAATCACAGATGAGCAACTGGTCGGACGGAGACACTCGATGAAAACAATCGAAGACGCCAGCCCAATGACATGATTTCTGACTAATCTGTCTTGGCGGCAAATATCGCCGCTTTTTCCAGAGTTTCGCAGCGATCGATACAGATACTGCCTCGTCTCTCGCGCGAATGTTCACATTATTACCAGACAATTTCCCACTTCCAAACCATCAGAATTGAATACGGGTGCGCGTTTAGCACAAAGTCTTCAATACAACATCGCCTCGAATAAGACCCCTGAGACTCGACATTGTCACATCCTCGACCTTTTTTCATTGTCTCCGCAAACAACATTGACAGCGCGACTCTCTCCCTCGCCCTGCTCATCAAAGGCGAATCACGTATTGTCGTCCCTACGACCCTCTCCATCACTCTTCACATTCACCACAATGTCATCGATCGCTCTAGAGACGCCGTTGGCCGAAGCGCTGAGTAGCGCAGTACACTCGAAGATTGTTGACGAAGGATGGACACAGGAAGACGATACGTCACTGGCAGAGTATATCGTGTTAATGCTCGCAAATGGCAAGACGCAAGATCAGATCGCCTCTGAGCTTGCGGGCGAATTATTACAGGACGCAAAAGGCACCACCGAATTTGCGCAGTGGTTATTCGACCAGGTCAACGCGCTCTCTAACGGTGCTTCTGGCTCAGTTCCAACAGAGACTTCACAATCCTCGGAGCAAATAGCTGAGCCTGCAACGACAGGTTCATCTGCGGAAAATGGAGCGTCTGCAATTCCTGCCGCATATGATCAAGACATGGCCGACAACGCCCCAGAAAATGCGTAAGTTCTCCATTCCAGTTTCCTGGTTGAAACATCTCTGACTTTCTCTTTCAGACCTCGCGGGCCTAAAGGCCTCCATGGCGGCCGGCCAGCTGGCAGAGGTGGACGTGGCGGCCCTGGTAATAAGGGTGGCGATTCAGTGCTGCATCGAACCCGAGGCAACGACCGGATCAATACACACTCGATGCGAGGGGCACCGAAGGGCCCTCGGAATATCCAAAACCGCGACCTTCGCCCGGGTATGCAGAAGGCTTTGAACGGAATGAATATGTCAGGTCAAGGCATGCAGAATCCAATGATGATGAATAATGGCCAACCAGGCCAGCCAATGATGCATATGACACCTCAACAACAAATGGAGTTTATGGCTATGATGGAACAGCAAACCCGTATGCTGGCTCAATTTACAGGCATGATGCCCGGTACGGGGTTTGGTCAAGGGATGAATCAACAAAATGGCCAGGGTCGTTCGCTTTTTGATAGAGTCGAATCGGGCCGTGGGAGGGGTGGTGCCCGCGGCAGAGGACGTGGCGGCCACCAAAATGGGCATATCAAGACCAGCAAGCCTGATGGTGATGTCAGCATGGAAGGTGATGCCCAAAGTGCCGCTGCTGATGGCTCAACAACAGAGGCCGAGTCACAAGCGGACGGAGAGAAAAAACCACAAGACCCATCAAACACCATGTGTCATTTCAACCTTCGCTGCACCAACAAAGATTGCGCTTATGCTCATCAGTCGCCTGCCGCTCCAGAGTCCACGGTGGTTGACATGTCTGACATCTGCTCGTTCGGCGCGGCGTGTAAGAACTCGAAATGTGTGGCCAAACACCCATCACCCGCTCAGCGAGGAGCATTCCAGGCGCAGGAAACATGCAAATTCTTCCCAAATTGCACGAAGCCGAATTGTCCATTCAAACATCCCACCATGCCTCTGTGCCGGTTCGGATCGAACTGCAAGACACCCAACTGCCAATTCACACATCTACAAGTACCCTGCCGATTCAACCCGTGCACGAATCTACGGTGTCCATATAAGCATGAACCCGGTCAACAGAAGGCCACCAGCTTGGCGGATTATAGCTGGACTCCAGACAAGCCGGGTCCATCAGATGCCTCCAAGGAGCATGTGAGCGACAGGAAGTTCGTGGACGACCAAGCGGGAGAGGAGGAACTTGTTAGACCTGATGGAGGCGGCATTGAAGAGGCAAATGGCAACGGTGGTATGAGGGAGGAGGTGATCACTTAGGGAGGATTCCCCAGCCCATGGTTGGACCATTTGGTTGACCGGAGTTTAATCAACTGATGAATTGTTCATCAGGAAAGCTGTACAGTATGGCAGGGTTGTTATAACCCATCTTAGGAGCTGTGCTCATATACTGAGACACGGCCTGTTCATGTAATGGACTGTCCATGATATCGGACAGGGTATTGAATGCAAACATGATGTGCTTGGTTCTTGCACGAGAAGTATTTTTCCGTGAAGTAATTCCATGTGTCTTTTTCCTTTGATTCTCCCTGAGATTCGCCCACGGTACTCGGTATGTTGTAACTCTCTTTGCCATTCGTTGCCATAAAAATCCTTACCTCACAAGCCATGTTGTTTGTCTTCTTCTGGGTCGGGTCGCATGTCAGTCTCTTGCCATATTGCCACTGATGAAGAGCCGACAGGGTGAGTGATTCAAAAAGCAAATTCCGTCAGTTGTGGATACTTCGCAAACTCCTGCCGAATCTTCAAATGCAACTTGGAACTACGGAGTAACATCTATCCATCCCCCGTATGCACTTAAACGACTTCGCTTTACGTCTGAGAAGACTTCAGACGGGATGACTCATACAGTGTCTACGACTTCAGCGATGCTTTTACAAAAGGTCGACTACAATTTTCGGACACGCTCAACACCGCAGAGTAATTGAAGTCAAGAATCACAGAGCGACCCGTCGTGAAGAATTGTACTGGGATACTGGTCGCCGGGCAGCAGTTTACTTCAACATGGATCAAAGTATCAGCATAACGGATGTGATCACCGCCCTTCAGCAGATTGTCTCGGATCCCAATTTGCCCACATCCCAAGTTCAATCGAGAGACGCCTCTAGTGCTACACCTGGTCTAATCCTCCCCAGAGACACCCCCGGCCTCGACCAGATACAGGCGCAGTCGAATATCTCGAAGCCCCTCGCTGCTTTCGCCAAGTCGAATCCTGGTCCCGGGAGTCTCCAGTCTCTAGCAGGGCATCTGACAAGAACCATCCTGCCCAATTTGAACCTCGCATCCCTCTCTCCCAACTACTATGGTTTCGTCATCGGCGGTGCCACTCCCGCCGCTCTGCTGGGCGACTTCCTCGCCTCGATCTACGACCAGAATGTGCACGTCCACCTGCCGGCCGAGACGATCAGTACGACCGTCGAGGCCGCCACGCTCAATTTGTTGGTGCAGCTCTTCCGCCTGCCTCGAGAGGACTGGGCGTTGGCCCATCCTGGCCGCGGCAACGGAGGAGGCATATTCACGACCGGGGCCACGGCGAGCAACACTCTCGGTTTGGCTCTGGGCAGAGAATACGTCGTCCGCAAAGCTCTCATGAAGAGCGCAGGCGCAGGTACCATCGAGTCCGCCGATCAAAGTGTTGGCGAATGCGGTCTTGCGGAACTCCTCATCAAGGCGGGAAGGACCAAGATCCAGGTCCTCAGCACGCTCCCGCACAGCAGCATCGCCAAAGCCGCGAGCGTGGTCGGGATAGGGCGACGGAACGTCGTTTCCGTGGCTGTTGAGGACGATCCTCTACGCATCGACATGGACCGTCTGAGGCACGAGGCGAGCCGGCCGGAAGTCCTCAACATCCTCGCCATCTCCGCGGGCGAGGTCAACACGGGTCGATTCGCCACGGACTCTGGCTCGACGATGCGCGAGCTACGCGACATCTGCGACGAATACGGGGTTTGGATGCACGTGGACGGGGCTTTTGGGCTCTTTGGCCGGGTCCTGCTGCAATCCGCCCGCGACGACGCCGAAACCTACAATGAAATAATCCGGGGAGTCGAGGGTCTCGAACTGGCCGACTCGATCACGGGCGATTGCCACAAGTTGCTCAACGTGCCTTACGACTGCGGCGTGTTTTTCACCAGACATAAACGTCTGAGCGAGGACGTCTTCGGTAACCCGGGCGCCGCCTACCTGAAAGCCGGCTCCGGTGACGGCGTGCAGAGTCCTCTCAACATCGGCCTGGAGAACTCGAGAGGTTTCAGGGCCCTGCCTGTATATTGTACCCTGCTGAACTACGGACGGGAAGGTTACGTGGACATGCTCAAACGACAGATCGACCTCGCGAGGAGGGTGGTCCGGTGGTTGGCGAACGACTCACGGTTCGAGGTTTTGGGTCCGAGGAAACCTCACGGTGAGACTGAAACCTCTCTGACCGTGGACGAAATGGTCGCGAAGACGTTCATGATCGTCTTGTTCAGACCGAGAGACGACGAAGTCAACAAAAACTTTGTCAAGGACGTCAACGCCACGGGGAAGATTTACATCAGTGGCACGGCCTGGGAGGGCAAACCCGCAGCGAGGATAGCCGTCAGTAATTGGCAAGCCGACGTGCAGAGGGACGGCGACTTGATCGAGGCTGTCTTGGATCAAGTTGCGGGAAAAGTTTCGTAGGGAGGATGTTCCCGGCTGCAAAAAAAGAGACGAAAATATATCGACCCTGATTACAACAACGGCCGACGAGTTTAGACACGGTGATGGAAAGATGTGGCGTGTCATAAACATGTAGATAGTGTGATTGTAAGGGAAGGATATCCTCCTGGAGAGTAGACGATGGCCGATGTTATATCATGGTTATTCCCTTCGTATACAAGGTGAGGATCGCACGGCAGTGTGACATGAAACTTGGAACGGGATTGAGCTGTCGAGTCGTGGAATTCTCACGACTGACTATACGGACAATAACAATACACTTGGTGTGACCATGTACATAAGTAGGAAGGGTGGATTGGAACCAGAAACAAACACTGCGCGACATGAGCCTGCTCCAGACAAAAAAACAAACACCTCGTAGCGTTCGTAGCATTCGTCGCAGCGAAACCTCAGAAGACAGCACCACCAATAATAAAGATGCGCTCTTCCTCCCGCTGTATCCATTGAACCACCTTGTTTGCACTCTGGGCCAGGGCGTTCCTCGACACCGACGGACCAGCCACACAGTAAAGCTCGAACATAGGAGTCACCCAAGCCAGCGCCGTGGCTGTCGTGCTGATGCTATGGACGACCTTGACTGCGGCATACTTGGCGTGTACCGCCGCGTGTAATTTGTGGTACAGCGACATCAACCGTCTTCGCTGTTTCAAGGTTTCGAAATTCGGCGAAAAGGATGGCATGAAGAATTGGACGTTGCCCTTGGACTTGTAGAGAAAGTGCCGCAAGACAGTGCCTGCGATGATGTCCGTAGGTGTCGGCCGTCCAGCCTGCACGGAAGCGTGGATGATGTGCATGCTCTTATTACGTCGAAACTCGTGAACCAGGTAGTTCTTCATGCTATGCATATCCTCGAAGCTCTCTTTATTGGCGCTGAGCAGAATAATGGCAACGGAGTCCTCCTTGGCAATGCGCTCGTTGGTCTCCAGTTCTCGGACATGCTCACCGCCCATGTCTAGAAAGCTGACGTACATGTACAGGTAGCCAGTGTTGTTGAAGCCTGGTAGACAGATGGGCACCCAAGAGTCGCCACCTCCTGCTTTTATACCTTCTGCCTCAAACAACATGTTGAAAATCAGCTGGAGGTCGCTCGGGTGCAATGAATGCTTCTTGGGCCTGATGACGCTGACGAGCCTTCCTCCTGCGACGACTAGCCCGTAGAGTAAGTCGTCGACGCGAGCTTTGATCATGGTGTTGTTGATCACCTGCCTGTGTGACTTTCGTATCTTGAGACATTCCAGAGCCGACAATAACGTTGAGGGTGAACCACGAGTGAAGCTGTCGGCGAGCGATGACAGCAAGACCTCCGTGCCCTGAAGTGGTCTTCTCAAGTCAGTCGAGGGACGTACTGAGAATAAGTGCGTCAAGGTCGGCAAGGTGAGTGTGGAGAGGATCTGCATGTACAATGCCTCGAGCTGAAGGCGTAGCTGAGCCTCGCTTTCAGGGAGACTTGTGATGCCAACCAGAAACAGATTTGTCTGGGAAAGTATGACGAATCGAACGCCATCGGCTTGAAAGCTCTTCAGTTGGTCGCCATTCCCAGCAAAGGATGAGATGATGGTCTGTACAATTCCGACATAGCTGGAAATCACCGCGTCGGAGCCATGTCGAGTATAGATTGGTTTGCCAGCTGCAGAGAGAATGATAAAGTGTTTCCGTTTCGCTTTCCACACCATGTGTGCCACGTCTTCGCCGACTACTTTGTCGTCTACCTCTTCGAATTCCTTCGTAAAGTCGACATCGCCTTGATCGTAGGCATGGTCGACATCCTTTTCGAACAGTGCATGCTCACTATTTGACGAAGAAAGTCCATTGTCGTCCCTCAGGTCACCATCAAAGATACTCTCGGTGTCTTGTACAAATCTTCCGAATGGTTTATAACTCCTGATACTGGAGGTATCCTCGGCACCTTCACTTGTGCTCTTGTAAGCTGATGCAGCAATTGAACGGCTGGATGAGGTGCGAGAAGGCGCAACTCGTGTTTCCTTCGAACCATCTGGTCGATTGAAACTGTTCACATCGGTCATGGATACTGCCGTCGTTGGCCCTGCAAGAAGACCTGGTCGCGCGGAGGGTTGCGAGGCATGACTGCTCGGAGGCCGCACTTGTAACAGGTTGAGCTCGCTAGGACGAGGCGGGAGCGGTGGTCTCGATTCGGAGGCTTGCGATTGAATCTCTGCCGAGGGAGTATCCTCTTCTTTACCCATGGCTCTTGTTGGGGACGCCGCCGCAGTCTGGACAATCGAGATACAGTCCAGTATGTAGTGTGTAATCAGCCTCCATCATGTACAATTTGTCCAGTCGCCTGAGCAAAGCTCATTACACGCATCATGAAGGAGAACTTGTAGCCCTCATTGTCTACAGGTGATAATGATGATACTACTGTAATTGTGAAGCAAGAGAGAGTTGTGGTTTGTGGTGGCTCAAGCTGCGATTCGTTATTGCGGAGAGTTGCGCCCCCGACGCCAAAGTAACACCAAAGTGTCTGACACGAAACCGCAAAGTAAAAACGACCTGCTCACGACTCACCCTTCTACTCACCTTGTTCTCGATTTTTGACTCACGCTGTCACGCAGCGCGCACAAGTCTCGATGTCCTTATAATTCCTAACCAGAGATATGGGGCTCAAGATAGTTTTAAATGTATACAAACCCGAAGCCGCCGTTGGGAATGGCTAACTCCTTAGATACCTACGTCTGTCTGGTCTACTCTATTCTGCATACCGCACACTTTCAACCTTCGCTGGATTAGAGAGGACAAAAAGCGTGACGCCTGGACAGAGACAAAGGGACGAGATCCAAGCAGAACCTACAATCCCAAGGCATCGAGAATATGCGGCAGACACCAACAGAAGCGAGAGTTGCCTCGCCGCTTTTGACACTTCGTATATCGAGTTCCTTAAATTTTCTACTTTGGTTCAAGCTTAGAAGTCTCCGATGTTGCGGCTATTCATACCACAAAAGGGGTAAGATCGAAATCTGTACTCGCGCCAAATGGCTTTTGGCAGCTTGAGCACCTGAACAGTTCCGATCTTGTTTTATCGCGCGCGACTGTTCCAAGGGTACTTCTAAGATCGCTTGCAAGACCCAGAACTTTCCATAAAGGAATTCGCAAACGCAAATTATCAGCCAAGGACCTACTTCTACGAGGACTCCGAATCTGCGACAGGAAGGAGAAAGCCCGAGAGATACGTATACATTTCTAGAGCTTGTGTTATGACCCTTGAGAGAATTGTTCAATCTAGTCTAATGCGGACGACGATCTGCGTCCAAATGTCAACTCGAACTTGTCTGCCTCCTTACGAAACGCATCGCATCAGAAGCCCATGTAGGGGTTACGAGTTCATTGTTGAGCTTGTACCTTGAACCAGGAGTTCATACCTAAGGCAGCTATCATGCTAATGGTTGCTTACTTTGGTGGAAAGTCTCTCCTTGTGTACCCTGTCTCTCTTTTTCTCAAGCTGTCGAAGTTGAAATAGCTTCGGCACCCCCTCAAGACTAGCTAGGAGTTTTAAGCAAGCTGGGCCAGGCTGATATCATGGGCGCCGGTGAGATAGTCGCGATCGTTCTCCACCCATTCAATGCATGGATCCAACTTGCCCCATTGGACCCTGCCCTGCCAACGCTTGGGGAGTACAATTCTCTGGTTATTGCGGTACCAACTCGCCATGACCACCGTGACAAGCATGATACGGGTACGATCGGTCCGATTCGGCATTCCTGCATGCCACAGGCGTATGTCGCGAATGATCAGAGCCCCCTTGGGCAGGCTCGCCTGGATAGGAGGTCGTACTTTGCGGCGTTCTTCCAGCAGACCATCGGCATATCCGATTGGCAGTCCTAACGCTTTTGCCCGGGCGGCCCTTTTCTCCAGGGCAATGTCGGGATCTGGACCATCATCACCATGTCCGTTGATGGTGAGTAGGCCCAGCTTCGGATCATTGTGACTACCAAGCCAAAATTCAGTGGCCCCATTCTCTGGCGAAGTTGACACCAGGTTGATATTGACGCAAAATCCGAACGGCGCGTGGGGGTAGCCATGGTTCAAGTCAATGTGCACAGGCTGGCGGGCCTCTGCTTTGAATGCTGTGTTGGCGCTGTAAAGACGGACCTTGGGCGTCGGGCCCAGAACGTGTTCCAGAATTGCAGCAGCCCAGGGGTTCGCGATCACATCGTCAAAAATATATCCGTCTTCCGGCACAGGTTCTTGTTGGAAGTTGCGTGTCTCCGTGCCAAAGTTGACGTGAGCCTGCTGCAGGACCTTGAGCTTTTCTGCATCGGCTACCATGCGTTCATTGAGATGATCCAGATGAGCGGGGTCGACCGCATTCTCGAGTACAACCAGGCCGTCGTTATGCAAGGCCTCAAGGGCAGCTTGAAGATTATGCGACCCGATGGACATTGTCGCCAGTTCCTTCTCGGTCAACCTAATGATCCGGGGCTTTTCTGGGATTTGTGTCAACCCTGGCATTGTCGATTAGTTGCTCACATCCGAAGTAAAGATTGGTTGATATGCTCTGTTCAGCACCAAGAGCCACTGAAGACATCTTTGTTGGCGATAACAGTGCGCAAATATATATCCTTCGTTCCATTCCTCGGTCAGATGCCGCATGGCTCGCAAGAAATTAGCCCTTGCTTGTAATGGCCAAGTCTTCAGAAACCTAGTTTATTGATCAACGCCTGATTAATGTCCCACGTCCGTTTTATGAACTTGCTCTTAACATTCCCTAGGTCGGTTAAACGAGCCGCAGAAGCGTTGTGGGATTCGCTATCTGTAGTTATGATAAGGGGATTTCCCCACTTCGACTCGAAATGCGGACACGTACTAGTGAGTTGCTTTCCTGTACGAAGGAGGCATTTCGCCTGTGAAATGTCTATAACAGTTAACTGGTAGCTGTCACGAAGAAATCGACATGCAACCTGAATGCCTCGAACGAAATCAGGACTCGCACGGCTCCCGAGTCCTATTGCCTAATCACCCATGACTACACCGACGCCCCCTACAGCTCCTCACCAGCCCGAAATCACCGGCTACGTCGAACCGTGGATTGCAGGTCCTGGCGGTCAAGTGAATGTAAAAGTAAGTGCACTGGGCGACGTGCCGATTGCTATCTTGTGTATCCTGCCCTTGACTTGTTATTTTTTACAGTCGCAACGCATAGAATGCTGACGATGGTGAAAGGTCTCCTCTACAGAGCCAGAGCTGAATTATCATGTTGTTCGCCTTGTCCACGGCCCTCAAGGTCGCGACACTTCGCACGTGCAGCCAGAAACAGTGACTGAGATCCCTTCTGGCAAGTGCAGAGGGCGCTATCAGGTTGCACAACCAGGCTCTTACGCCATTATCGCTAAGCGAGACTATCATCTAAAACCCACGGGCATGAACTTTACCATCTACTTTCAGTCTCATCTTCCAGAGGCGGGACATGTTCAAACAATTGTCTCCAGCCTCGACATATTAACAAAGACTGGGTACGCTGCAGTTCTTAACTGTGATGGCCTACTTGAGTTCTGGATAGGCACGAGATCCACAGTGGAAGTGATATCTACCGGATTCAAAGCTGAACTGAAACGATGGACAGAGCTTTCTTTCACTTTTCTCGATCAAGTTTTCAGCTACGAGATTTGTCCCAAACCTTTGTTCGCGGATATTGCCCCACCCTCAATCAGGTGTACCAAAACCCTTGCCCAAGTGGCAGAGGTCTTTGAACCCTGCGTGCTTACTTTTGCGGCGAGTTTTGTAACAATCCCGGAAAAGGTATCAGTGACCGCCACGAACGTTTTCAACGGCCGCCTGGACAGCCCGATAATTAAGTCGGGTTCTTCGGACAGCACTGTACGCGCCAAATGGGATTTTTCTCTCAACACGCCCAGCGACATAGTCGTCGACGTGTCTGGGAATATGCCGGCCGCCGAAGGTAGACTAGTGAATTGCCCTACTAGAGCAGTTACCGGGCATGATTGGGACGGAATGGAGTCGGACTGGACAAAGGCAAATTACGGCTACGGAGCCATCCATTTTCACGATGACGATCTAGATGATGCGGGCATGGCAACAGACTTTTCCGTCAAGCTGCCGGAAAACCTGCGGTCTGGCGTGTATGCAATTGAGGTCGAGGCGACAAATGGCACAGCGAGGGATACGATACCTTTCTTCGTACGGCCCACGGCGACGACAAACAAAGCATTAGGTGCCAAGGTTGCCTACATCATCTCTACTTTCACTGTAAGTGTACAATGATCCAGATCCATATGACCACTTGCTAATAACGTGTCCAAAGTATCTTGCTTATGCAAACGAACACGTTTACGACAGAGCCCACCTTAAGGATAGAGTCGGTTCAAAATACAAAATCATACCCGATGCACATGCAGAAAAAACAGTGCGACGGAACGACCTAGGATTATCCTGTTATGATCTCCATAATGATCGATCTGGGGTGATTTATTCGACATCGAAGAGACCAATCTTGAACATGCGCCCTGACTACGTCAGCTGGAATTTCCACAGGCCTCGAGGCTTGAGCGCCGATTTGCTAATGGTGGAATTTCTGGAGAGAAGTGGCATTCCTTACGATGTGGTCTGCGACCTCGATCTGCACACCTTTGGGCATATGTGTATTCGTCGATATGGTACAATTATCACCGGCTCCCACCCAGAGTATCACACCACAGAAAGCCTTGGGGCTTACGCAGCTTTCATCAAAGCCGGTGGCAACGTCATGTATCTGGGAGGAAATGGGTTCTACTGGAGCTGTGCGACCACGTCCGAAAATCTGCACCGGGTAGAAATACGACGCGGGGGGGAGGGGGTCAGGCCTTTCACTTGTGATGGAGGCGACCGGATTTTCAGCAGTAATGGTCAGTCTGGACTTCTGTGGCGCTCTCGGGGCCTGGCTTCCAACTACCTGTTCGGCGTCGGATGCTGTGCGATGGGTCCAGTAAGTTCGAACATGTCGTCCTCGCTCATAAGACACAGCGGCATGGGCATGAGAACTGACTCTTTGAATATTCAGGGTCCAGGAGTGCCATACAAGCGAACAGACGCCAGCAAACAAGCCAGCCTGGCTTGGATGTTCGACGGCATCACGGAAAACGAGCTCCTGGGAGAGTTCGGTTTTGGAGGCGGCGCAAGCGGTGACGAAATAGACAAGTGCGATGTTCAGAATGGGAGTCCGCGTAATACGATTGTAGTGGCAAGCAGCACAGGTCATCCGGACACTTTCGCCTTGTTTCCTGAAGACATCGTGTTTCCGTTCCAGAACGTCTTGGGCACGCAGACGACAGAGGTGAGGTCTGATGTGACCTACTATGAAACCAGTAATGGCGGAGCCGTCTTTAGTGTGGGGAGTATCAACTGGTTTTGCTCGCTTGCATGGGACCACTTCCAGAACAACATCGCCCGTCTTACGGACAATGTGCTAAGGGAATTTGTTCGCAGGCACAAATAGCAGGCCGGGTCAGAAAGGTATCTACAAAACAGACTAGTTGTATGTATACCTATAGGACGATACTCAGAACGAGCACACAAGCGTTGTGTACATGATCATGACTTGCAGTAGAAAAATATGGACTACTTCTGTAATTCAGACTTCACCGAGGTGTACATACATATCCAGCTCATGCCGACCTTCCGATGTACCGCTGCAGTCCGGAAGGAGAGTGCTGAGTTGTAAACATGGCGGATTAACTCGCCGCTCCACCAATCTCGACCCTCCAATAGCGGCAGAGGTATATGAATTAATCGTGGGCATATCTGCGGCTAAAATGTCTGGTTTGGGTAGTCTGTGTCGATGGCTATGTTTATGTCACTAGTAACGAAGCACCTTGGGTGATTAGACCCTGTTTCTCGTCTTGGATCGATAATTGTATCGAGATTGGCGATGTTAGCCACTTCTCTAATCGTACCCAGCCCGTACAGCCAGGGGAAGCTTTTGATGTGAGGAGATTGAGATTTTCGCTTTGCATTTGACATTTTGATACAGACCATCTTTGCTGTGACTTGTGTTTATATATAGTCAGAGCAAGACCACCTTTCTGGCCACGGTAGGATACCAGTACAGATCCTCTTCTCAGCCTCATAGACTACCAACGCTCCCAATATGATCGATCTGGCTTCTGTCCGTCTGGGCAAGGTGCGATGTGAGTCCTTCTGATTTGGTCTGTGATATGTTGGCAATGCTGACCTACGAGGAACCCAGATAATTCGCCATGGACTCAAGTCGTCATTCTCGGTTTCGTGACCTTCTGCTCTGTGGGCATGTACAGCGCCGTCAACAATCTGGGGGCTGGGTAAGACCTCGTGCGCGAGCAGCAGAACGACAGCGGCAATTCAAAACACGTTGGCTAACTCGAGGAACAGAGGAACGAGGGACACGCAGTTGAACGACATGGCTAGCAGTGTTTTATACGGAGTATTCGCAATAACGGGTTTTTTTGCTGGGAGCATCAACGTACGGGCTTCAATATCATCCCAAGACATCAAGTGTGCGTGTCTGTGTCGATTGTATCTAACAAGCAGCCAGAACGTCCTCGGTCCACGATTGACTCTATCCCTTGGCACCACCGGCTACTCTATCTATATTGGAGGTCTATGGGCCTTCCAGGTCCACGGAACGCGATGGTTCTTGATCCTTGCCGGTGGGATTCTCGGATTCTGTATGTCCCTCTCGCGACCAAATGACCTCAGGACATGTCGACTGATCGCATTCCTCTCCAGCCGCCGCTCTGTTCTGGGCCGCACAAGGGGCTATCATGATGTCCTTTCCTCTGGAAAAGGACAAAGGCCGCTCGTTTGCTGTCTTTTGGTCTCTATTTCAGCTTGGTACCCTTGTGGGTTCCTCCATTGCCCTCGGCATCGAGGCCCACTCGAATCTACCATCTGTTTCAACCGGTGTCTACCTGGCCTTTATGATCATCATGTTGACTGCCATCGCCACCAGCTGGCTTCTCCTACCACCTCGTGAGTGTTTCAGATCCGTCGAAGCAAAGTGCTGGTGACTTATCGATTTCTAGACCTGGTCGTTCGTGGCGATGGCACAGTGCCTCTTTTAGAGGATGCCATAGGCCCTCGGCAAGAATTCCAAGAATTCGTGCAGCTCTTCAAGGACTATAGACTACTTGCACTGCTGTGAGTTCAGCCAATCCTCCGAACTCCTGTGAACATGACCTAGCTGACTCGCTCCATCAATGTGCAGCCCGATGTTCTTCAGTTCCAACTACTGTAAGAGTACAATGCTACTTGATCAAAGAACGTTTTATACTGATCTCAAATCAACACAGTCTACTCTTACCAAGGTGCGATTACGGCTTTTCTGTTCAATGGCCGCACGCGAGCGCTCACCGCCCTGTTGACTGGTGTTGGATCCATCACTGGCGCCATTCTGATTGGTTTGGTGACCGACCAACCCCCCTTTCACCGGCGAACTCGGGCCTTGTGCGGCTTAGTCGTGGTTCTGCTCATGAACATTCTCGTCTGGAGCGGCGGTCTTGGTTTCCAGGTAAAGTTCAGTCGAACTGATGAGATGATCCTCGGTGGTCACCGGCCTTTAGATTGGACGGTTCATGCGGCTGCTGGGCCTCTTATTCTCTTGATGGCCTGTGGGTAACCCCTTTGCTTTTCACTCATACCATGGTACCTGGCCTCGCGCGTTGACCTGTTCACCCACTAGATTACCTGGCCGACGCAATGTACCAGGGCCTGGCTTATTACGTGATGTCGGCACTGTCCAACGATCCCTTCAAATTGGCTCGTATGGCAGGTTACTACAAGGGTTTGCAAAGTGCTGGCTCAGCCGTCTCGTTCGGCATGGATGCTGTCAAGGTAGACTGAAACATTGTCTCCGGAACCCGTCCAGGTTGAACATTCGACTGACGTGGTCACAGACACCTTTCCTCGGCGAGCTATTAATCTCGTGGCTCTTGCTACTCGTGTCCCTGCCCTTCTGCGCGTGGGTCATTCATAGTATTCGCGAGACAAACTACGTAGTCGAGGGTACTGTTGAGGTGGATACTACCTCAGATGTGAGGAACAACTCGAACGCGGCAACGGAAGCTGTTGTGATGACCGAGATTCCCCATATGGGTGGCGAAAAGACGTTGTCCCTCGCCTAACTTACGTTATACCATAGGGGGGAAACGATGGGCCAATTCAAGTTCCGGATGGAAGAGCCATGAGACAACACTGGCTACGCCACGGAAGGTATTGAAGTCCTCCATTACCACGGATAAGTGCTCGATTGAATGCGGGAGTCATCATTTTGAGGTTTGCAGTGCCAGGGGCAAGATGACTCGGGAGGGCGCATATGATGTAGTGTAGTTGAATCTGCGACTTGCACATCAAAGGTATATAAGGATCCGCGGCCCCGCCGTGGTTTTTGTGGCTTTAAGCGCTTCTGGGCGGCACGGACATGGGCGGGTGGATGATCAGCCACCGCCCTCATGCTCCTCGTAAACCCATAGACATCTACCACGAAATCTGCCTCAATCCTGAGTTGAACTTTTTCCGTGTTCAACGAGCCCAATTGTAGTGTCATACCACCTGCTTCGAGGTTTGTCAGTCAGACCTTACCTTGATCACAGGACGCACCCTCGAAAGATGTCGCAAGCGAACGGGACCAAGTTTGGAAGATCGCGTTCCGGTCTGTCCTTCGTGCCCATCCCTCACTAATAAATCTCTGTGGCCTTCGTTTCGAGGATACGCGAGCTGATAGTTTTCAGGATGCGCGGCATGCCGCCGGAATCATCGAAAATGTGATGAACAGCGACCAGCATGCATCCATTGTCGTCATCGAAGCATCAAGTGCGACTACCAGAAGGTATGGAAATGGGCAAGCGTGGGCAAGCCAAGGTCTGCCGCCAAATCGCGGTGCCAGAGATCCGACGAGCCCACAAGACGTCCTTCTGCTGGAAAGCTCGAAGTCTCGACATCATTTCATCTGCCACAGTCAGAAACCAACTACCGCGATTATTCAACCCATCCATCGGACACGCTTCGGCTCACTGGCGGAGAGGTCAGCTCTGAATCTCTACTGTACAGTCCACGACCCAGGCCATCCGACTCCGATCTCCTGCATTGTCCCCCCATCGTCCCCCAGGATCTCGACGTTCGGCCCAGTCATCACACGCCTTCTACACGCGACGACGATGACGGGCCCTTGGTAGAGTCGTCGGATCCCGTCGATGCAGAAGTGCACGTGGAAGAGGATTTCCATCACTTCAGTGACTCTACTTCTGAGATAGGGATTGGTCAACTTTCAGATGAGGGTGTCTCAACTTCAGATGCTAACCGTGAGGTTAATTCAACTTCTATTGTCACCGGTGGGTGGGATTTCGACAGCAGCTTGGCTGATCTCCTCGGTCAGATAATCCCCAGCTCTGCCGAAATGCTAGCTTTCATGTACTGTCGGTGACTCTAACCTCCACTGGTGCTTCAACGTGCTGACCTATCAGATATGAAAAGGGTCTGCTCGTGCACACCCGCATATGATAGCAGCCTCAATCCGTACCGGAAAATGGCTCTCCTGGCTCTCTCCTACCCCGTCTTGTTGAACGGCATCCTCTCGGTCTCTACAGCCCACATGCACAACTATGGTCGAAGCAATGAAGCTCTACTATCGTCAAGACAGTCACGAGCCCTGACTTCCTTACGATCAGTTTTAGATTCGTTACAGACACCCGTGGAACCGAACGACGATGCCCGTCGGAAGATGCAGAAACATACAGAATCCAATGTGGGTTTCTCCGTGTTGTCCGCCCGAGAGATCGCCTTGGCCGCCATCATGATGCAAACTACATCGGTTCTTTTGACGGGTGTCGGCAACGTTGATGTGCATATGAAATGTGCCCTGTACTTGATCCAGGACCTAGGCTATCTCCGTCGGCCTCCTTGCTCTGTCACTGCGAAAACATTGATTCATCGGTTCGCAATGGTGGACGTGATACTGGCGCATCTCCGGTTTCGCCGACCCATGGCTCCGGGGAGCTTTTTCATGTACCAAGAACATGAGAAACTTGACCACGAAGAGCCGTCGTTCCGCGACATGCACGGCTGTCATCAGCGGGTTTTGTGTTTTCTAGCCCAAATATCCGTTCTGAGTGTGGAGCTTGCAGAGGACGGAATCAGCTCGTACGCCGAGATACAAGCCCGGGCTTACAGTCTGGAGACAGAGATGCGAGTCTGGGGCCGTGGCTACCATATCACGATGGCTTGCGCTCCGACAGCTGGGTCGACGTTGCCAACCTCACAATCCACGCGCTCTCGACCCGAATCGGGTGAACGTAGCGATCTTGACGTTGTGTGTGAATGTTTCTACTGGACCGCACACATTCTCCTACTCAGGAGGGTCTTCTTGGATCCGACCAGATCGTCACGAGTCCAGCTCATTCGAAGACACCTCTTCGGCCTCATGGACGGCCTCGTGGCGGGCTGTGGACCAGATTCGTCATTGTCTTTCCCGTTCTACATGGCCGCCAGGGAGGCCACCACGCTCGCAGAACGAGACTGGGTGCGGCGAAAACACACCGAGATGCTGAACGTGTATCGTGATCGGTCACGAGAGTTCTTGATGACGGCGACAGAAATGATATGGGAAAGCGCGGCAAAAGAAGTCTATCCGGTTGGGTTTGATGACCCGTTCCTATGGCAAAGGCCTCACGAGCGGCTGATCAGGACAATGGATCAGAATGCTACTTATTTCATGTTCTGAGTTTTGTCGAGCACTGGACTATGGCCCCGACTTTTGCTCTTTGAAAAGAGAAGAACCGTTCATCTGCTGCGTGGGGTTGAGTTGAAAGGCGGCTGCGCGGGAATGACAGGAACAAGAACGGTAGTCGACATTCTACCGTCAGCAATTGTCTCTTTTTTATAAGTCTAGGACAGAAAACTTATCTATGACAGATGGCACGGCCATCACCCACGGACTTTGGTAACCAGGAAACTTCTCTACCACCCCATTTTCCACCCTCCAACCCAAAGCCAAACTCTGCTTCTTTCTACCATCAATGGTAATCCTTCCTCCCGAATATAATACCAGTGTTGACGCCAACCGTACCGACCTGACTTGGAGTGTCGGCTGACCTGCGCCGCCTCTCGTCCACATCGAGACCCGTCTCGTGCAGGAAAAACTACGATGCCAATAACGGCCGCATCCCTACGATCAAGCGGTAGCGGGCTACCATTAACATCATTCTCGCCTGGCTAGCGTACTGGGTCGGTTCTCGACCGGATTGGGATAGATCTAGTCAATCCCGAATTGACATATCCGTTCTTTGAAACGAAGCAAGTGTGTAAAAATGGACACAGGTGTGTGTAAAAGGGTAAAATGAGCAGGCACGGCAGCAAAAAGACACTCACAACTAGCGGAATTCCTGATCAGGACTTTTGATCCGCACAGTCTTTTTCTTTGCTCCCGTTGGTCCATTCGCAACCCGTTCTTACTCGAAGAGGGCGGAGAACTACCAAGCTAGGTTAGTTGGGACTTCGTCCAAACAACTGAGGTCAGGTACTCTGTGTTTGCTCCCATTTTGGCATCTGGTCGCGCCCACTTTTTGTACGATCAGTCGGTAGGTCGAAAGTATCTTTCACTTTCGCACTTCAACGTTGGATCCCCATCATGGTAATTCCCTTGATGCCAACCTCGACCAAGTGCAGATTATGTTGTCGGGTGACTTTCCACATCTCGGATATCATCTTGGTCCAGTGCCAGTGAAGAATGTCAGACTGGCGATGTAGAATTCGGTTGTCAATGTGATCGTGGAGGAAACGTCGCCAAGTGTGTTACGACAATGTTTTGGGGACATCAATGCGGCAAGGTCAATTCCTATTCATCTCAAGAGTGCCGGTTGATGGACGAACCGCCCCTGGTTGGATTACACGGGATTACAGGGGACCAGACTCTTCGCTATGATCACGAAGTATTTCGTGGCTGGGCCGAACATGATGGATACGCTCACATGTCATCCAAGCAGGATACCTCACCCCACCGAGAAGGACCGGCATTGGGTGGTACCAATTGACCGGACATATAGGGTCTACGTGATATGTTCTGGACACAAAGAGCGGGGAAGCCCTTGCAAAAAAAATAACAGAAAGAATTGAACCCTCGAGGAATGCATACATACTGCCAGTAATCGAGGTCTCGATCTATAAAAGTGTTCTCTTCCTCAACTGCCCCCACCTAGATGGCGTTCAACACCTTGCACTGTTCGGAAACAGATCCAACGATCTATGACACGTCCTCCAGTCTCCTCAAGTCCATTGGTATTTCCGGCCACTACTCGAATACATGCAAAGGCCTCCCACATTCGGTAGTGTTGTTGCTTCGGCCGGAGCGATTCGTTCCTCGACCCTGTCCGAATCGCCAACAACTACTCCATAGGTGTGAGTAGCCACTCAATTGAGGTTCTGACCTGTACGACCCTGTGAGTGAAACGGGCGCTCGCTCGGTGGAGTTCAAGCCTCTACGCGTCCCGGTTCTGGCTTCGACTCTCCTTCAAAATGCTCCTGCTCGTGGGTAATCTTCTCACCCGCCTCTTCGAGAGTCACCGCAACCTTATCTCCGAATATGGCCTCAATCTCTTCGAGCTGGAATATATGATTAGCAAATTAATACCGAAAAGGAGGATGGGCTCCACCCTTACCGTCTTGTCTTTCGTTTCAGGATAGAAGAAATAGAAGATGATGACGTAGATAAAGTCGCAAATCACGAAAATCAAGAAAAACTTCCAGGAGATACTGGCAATGGCCAGAGGAGTTACCTGGACGAGCATAACAGCAAAAGCCATGTAGATGCCGTAACCTGCCGCGACACCAACAGCGCGGATAGAAGTAGGCAGGATTTCGGCGGGATACTGTGATCGGTGCGTTGTTAGTCTCATTCTAGCACATCAAATGAGCAAAGGAAGTGTAGGTGCCAACTTACGCAGGCGGCAAATGTGTTCGTGGTACCTCCAAACCCGAAGATGACGAAGAACATGCCGAATATGATCCCCTTCGCGAGTCCCAGGTCCTTGTTGCCGCCGGCCTCGAACCGTGCCCACATGATGACCACCAGGAGGGAGCCCGGTATCATGAATGCGTAGGCAAGGAACAGCGTCTGGCGGCGACCGATGCGGTCTATCCACGGAGACATGGTGGCAACTGCAACACAAATGACTGTGCCCCATATTCCAACAAGCACTAGCGAGAAGGAGGGAGAGAATCCGCATATGCGATAGATGATGACCTGATAGACTTGCAAGACTGCAGTGCCCGTAAGCTGTTGGAAAAGGAAAAATCCGAGGATGAGAAGGAGCCTCTTGCGGTACGATGGCCGGCGGAGGATAGCGAGAAGACCAAGACTCTCCTCGCGGTCCAGCTTGATCTGAGATTGAATCTGAAGAAACTCGGACTCGACAAAGGTATCGTCATGGTTCGGGCCACCGTGAAGCCGCTGCAGGACAGCACGTGCCTCGTCGTGACGCTCCTTCAGTATAAGCCATCGAGGCGAAGAGGGCATGAAGAACGACCCGAAAGCGACAACGGCAGTAGGGACTGCTTGAATCGCAAATAGTGTCCGCCAGTTCGCGTTGCCGTGGATGTAGAAGAAACCCAGGCCCCTGTTGAAGTTAGATTTTTGGGAACCTGACCTGAGAAGACGGATGCTTTATCCTTACATCCATTCTGTAATTGCAAACGCCACCGATACATTCATGGCGTAAATCATGGAGACGCGGCCTCTGATATGAGGTGGTGAAATCTCGCTGGCGTAGATGGGACAAAGCTGGGACGTGCATTAGCTATTACCCCTCCGAAGTTGGACTTGACACGCGTAAACGAATGGTCATCGTGAGGTTTGACGAGAAAAGCTGCTTCCTCCCCATGGAGTTTGGGAGGCTTACCGTATAAATCATCCCAGAACAGAACCCTCCGAAGATCCGACCAACCAAGAACATAGCATAGTTCTGTGCCGCCGCTTGCAGCACTATGGCTACGATGTTGACGACGCAAGCGAACTGAATGGATCTGATTCTGCCAATCTTGTCCGGTAGATACCAAAGGACTACATTGCCAATGACGCATGCCCCGTAGTAGGTAGAATTCATAGCTCCGATAGTGTCATTGTTCAGTTTGAAGTAAGTGAGGAAACTCTCGTATGCGAGTACAGAAGTGGTAATGCCTGCAACATACTTAGGTCGGTGCAATTTTCGGTTCGCCATCTTTTCCTTTTCACTTACCAGTATCGTAGCCATAGAGAACAGATCCGAAGGTGACATATGCCAGGCAGAGAAGTTGATATCTATTCATGTTGAACATGTTGGATGCGGCGGGGGTGTGGTGCTCTGGAAGCAATTGACAATTTGTGCCTGGGTTCTGAAGGATAGGAGTACGTAGTGGATGATCAGTCCCCTGCCTAGGGTACCTGGGGCATCTGGAGTATGAGCTCTATTTATCCACCTCCTGAACCTCCTTTACCCCGGCCTCAGTCAAGATTGGGACTCCGGAGTCGGGATTGATATGCATGAGTGTTTCCAAACGCGGGTGAGTCACCAAACGCCACCTCCGTATTATCTCGCGGATTGAATGGTCAGGCAAAGCGTCGAGGCTCCGAGGGCGCGGGTGTTTGACCGTGCCAGCTTTCCATAATCGACAGCTTATCTGCCAGCTGATGTGGACCACCGTTAAAGCCTCGATCTACTTCAATGATCTTCAATGATTTAAACCTTGAGTAGTATGAGCTATTATTTAACAATGGTGAAAATTTGGAGAACGTATTTTGTGTACGGCTCCTCGACTTTTCAGAGAAGTCCCAGAATTAGAAACCTCTATAGAGAAACGCTAAATAGAAAAAGGCCTCGGAACTGCGCAGATCCTTGCCTTCAAGCCGCACCGCATAGCTTTGATCAATGATGTTGACTGTCACATCTTGTTCTCAAACATCTTTATGCGCACCATTTTTCGGCAGGTCTATCAGCCGAAGGAGGTCCATTAGAGTCAACCGTGCCCTATGGGCTGATGACTCTTTTAGACAATTGGTACGAAGGCCTGTAAACCAGATGGCAGAGGGCAGGCATAAGTAGGTCGTGCAGGTCGAATGATGCTAGTGATGCTAGTCCAGATTTGGTGTCCCCGGATATCTGTAACTCCACAGTTCCTCCATACTTGGACCCACATCGTAGTACTCGTAAGTGGCCGCTTATGCATCTCCAGATATCTCCAGACCTACGCGCAATCACACGCAGAGAGCGTACAGTAAGCATGCAATGACCAAGTGCCACGAGAGCCTTCGCCGCCATAGCCCTGGCGAGAGCCATGGCAAGACCCACATCAAGTTTCAATATGATGCAACTCGCGTCCTTATCGAACGGCTTCACCGTGACCATGGTCAACGCCGTCAGAACTCAAGTTTCATCGACATCGACATCAACATGGGCTCATTGGACATTGCTGGGGGGTGGCCGAAAGGCGCCCTGCCTCCGATTGCGGACATCATCAACAAACCGGTGGACGCGCCGCGGCCCATCAAGGTGATAATGTTTGGCGCAGGGCTGGCTGGTGTCATGGGAGGTATATTGATCCCCAGAACCATCAGAAACCTGGAGTTGGTCATTTATGACAAGAATCCGAGTCTTGGAGGAGTATGGTATGAGAACAAGTAAAACGCACCCCAAAATCACTACCAAACCGCAGAACACAGTGAGCTGAAAATTGGAACAGATATCCCGGAGTTGCATGCGACGTTCCATCCCACGTTTACCAGTTCACCTTCGAAAACAACACCCAATGGAGCAGTTATTATGCCCCAGGGCCAGAAATCCTGAAATACCTCCAGTGTACCGCGGACAAATATGGCGCAACCAGACACATGAAGTTGCAACACAAGATTCTAAAGGCCAAGTGGCACGAGAGTGAGGGAAAGTGGCATGTCGATGTCCAGAATTTGGTGACTGGCGAGGTCGAGTGATCCTCAACTTTCAATATCCTCCGATGCTGACAACCAGTGTTAGATCTTTACCGACAAATCGGACGCCATTATCACGGGACTAGGCAACCTCAATGTATGGAAGCTTCCCGATATCCCTGGACTACAGTCATTCAAGGGCAAGATTATGCACTCCGCCGGCTGGGACACATCATACGACTACACGGATAAGAAAGTTGCGCTCATCGGCGCTGGCTCGAGTGGCATCCAGATTCTGCCCAATATTCTGCCAAAGGTAAAACATGTCGACCATTATATGAAGAGCCGAACTTGGATCACTCCAGGAGGAATTGGCTCGGAAGGATTGCTTGACAGAGACATGAAACGTGAGTCTTTAAGGGTGAGTATATCAAAATCAGCCTTGCTCACACTGTTTTAGCCCAAACCCCAACCGAGGATCTGGAAAAATTCCGAAAGCATCCTGAAGAATACCTCAAGTACCGGCATAAAGTCGAAGAAATCATGAACAAGCCGGTCCCAGCTTTCTTTGACGGCACCCCTGCAGCTGCCGCAATCCGCCAGCTTTGTGCCGACCATATGAAGAAAAAGCTCGGGAAGAAGCCAGAAGTATACGAATCTCTATTGCCAGATTTCCCTCCTGGCTGCAGAAGATTAACCCCTGGACCCGGGGTAAGTCAATGTCACACAGCATGTTGATTAAGCAAGTCACTGATATACTTGTAGTATCTGGAGGCCCTTTGCGAGGACAACGTGAATTTTATTCCCACCAAGATTGAGCGAGTCAACGAGACTGGTATCCAAACAGTTGATGGAGTGCAGCGTGATGTGGATTTGATTATCTGCGCAACAGGGTTTGATGAGTTTGTGGCCCTCAATTCCTCTTTAGATATCCTTGTCTGACGATGTAAATAGCACATACAAGGTTCACATTCCCACGTACGGTCTAGACGGCATTCGTCTGGAAGATGTTTGGGAAGAAGTCCCCGAAGCGTATCTATCAGTCTGTCCTCGAAAGATGCCGAATTATTTCATCATGGGCGGTCCGAACGGTGGCCCCGGTCAAGGTTCAGCGTTGCCCTTTCTGGAGAACGAAATGCGGTATATTATCTCTTGCATCGAGAAGATTCAGAGAGAGTACATTAAGTGGATGGTTCCAAAGTCAGTATTGCTCCCTTTGTCCACAGCGCGACATAAGTCTTTCCCTACGATCCTGGATTTACCTACTGACATGAACTTTCTTCAAAATATAGGGATTCCGCCGTCAAGAGCTTTGGCAAGCTCGTAGACAAATACTTTAAGCCCACGGTGTTTGCTGTGCCTGTGAGTGCTTGACTCCAGCCTGGAGTTGATCGGAAGCCTTTGCTAACTGCTAAAAAGTGTAATGCTTGGTGGAAAAACAAGAGAGATCCACATGGGCGTCTTCTCCCATTGTGGCCAGGTACCTCGACCCATGGCTCCTACGTCTTCAAGCACCCTCGGTGGGAAGACTTCGAATACAAGCTGCGAGAGGAGACCGACGACAATCCACTGGCTTGGATCGGAAATGGATTCACTGAGAAACAAGTGAATGGAGAATTTACGTCAGGCTATCTCGACGAAGCGTATGTTCCAGTGGAAATTCCGTGGGAGAAGAAGGCGTCTGTGGAGATGAATGGACACTCTCACACGAATGGTGTTGGGGCATGAGGACATGATGTTCCTTACAGGAATACATAGCATTGGGTCTTGATGAACACAGAGGTCTCGAATACACATAGTGTTTGTATTTGAAAAGTGTGGTCTAAGAGACACTCAACATGCCTTGGGTCACTACGAGATGCTCCCACTGGGACAGGCTATCTCCAAAAATGGAATGCCGAAAGATCGGTGCAAAGTAACAACAATAGATTTTCATACTGTTAGACCCCTTTGTTGCAGCATATGGATGGAAATATTATTGCTCTACATGTCAATGTGCCTTACCCTTCGGCTAAACTACTCCAGAGGCGAATCTGTTCATCATTTACAACAGCTTGATGTTGAGGGGAGCTACTCGAGAGGACATCGCCTCTCTAACCAATGTCTTTGCTTGTGGTTTATGCAAGTTTCCAAGATGTCGTGTAGCAAGTCGCGCGAGAAAGCCAAAGACAGTTCTGCCTTCAAGATCAGCTGAGTTTGGCTTATGAGGCACAGGCCCACAAATATTACTGTACGTGCGATTATGAGTCCACGACCCACTCTAGAACTGTCGGCCAGCAGGTAAGTGACCGCTTGCTTCCACAGTCAAGTCTTGAGGCCTGGAGTCAAACCAGGCTTATCTAAAAGAGAATTGCGACTTGACCAGATCCTCTGCTTACGTATTGGTTGCTGAGTGCGTCTCTGCAATTGATCATATAGGTTTCGATTGGAGGCATTTCATTGACAGTACGCAAACATACCAAATCTGGCGAATCTCAAACAAAGATGGCGCCCTCTCAAGAAAACGGAATTGGTCTGGGATCGAACAACGAGATACGTTATAATGAGAGAGGCTGGCCCATAAGAAACGAACGAGGATACGAAACAAATGAAGAACATTTCGGAACACGAAGACCGATTCGCGTCATCCATCTTGGTGCAGGTGTGTCAGGGATTTGCTTTTCAAAATTTGTCCAAGATCAATCAGAGAACGTCGATCTACAGATCTATGAAAAGGATACGGATATAGGAGGAACATGGCTCGAAAATCGGTAGGTTTGTCCTGCGCGAGCGCCTCTTGTTTGGGAATTTGGTAGAACTGTTTGAGGACCTTGGGCCTGACGTCCAAATAACGATACTTAGATACCCTGGCTGTGCTTGCGATATCCCATCGGCGGCATATCAGTTCACATGGGAACCCAACCCTTTTTGGCCCGAGTACTACTCGGAGTCGAAGCATATCTGGCAGTATCTCAAAGACATTGTGGAGAAGTACGGTCTCATGAAGTATATCAAACTGCAGCACACCATTACAGGAGCCTACTGGAACTCTCAGCAAGGTCTCTGGGAGGTTGGCATACAAAGGCCTGATGGAACCACATTTGTCGACACCTGCAATGTCTTTGTCAATGGAGGAGGAGGGTTGAAGTACGTTGTGTGATCCGAAATCTTCTGTTTTGAACGGTGATGCTGACATGATGTTACCCTTGCACCAGTAACTGGAAATGGCCTGACATTGAGGGCCTTCATTCTTTCAAGGGAAGTCTCACGCATAGTGCTCACTACGACGAGAGTCTCGATCTCCGAGGGAAAAGAGTGGCCGTGATTGGCATCGGAAGCAGTGGCATCCAAATAATCTCGAAGATCCAGCCACAAGTGAAGCAGCTTTATTGTTGGGTCAGATCCCCCACGTGGATCACGCCTGGCTTTGCACAAAAGTTCGCTGGTCCTACCGGCGGCAATTTCAAGTGTGCGTACATCGTGATTCTCAAGCCAGTGTAGCGTATGATCCCTGACAGACATTCCCAGATACCACTGCCCAGAAAGAAAAGTTCGCCAAAGATCCCAAGCTCTTTCTCAAATACTGCAAAATGATTGAGTCTGAGCTCAACGTCCGCTTCAAGTTCATCCTCAACAACACCGCAGAGTCCAAGACAGCCAGGAAGGTAGGATCATTGATTCACGCAGAAAAAGAGAAGACCATCCACGCTGACCCTGTCCAATCAGTTTGCCGAGGAAGCTATGAGAAAACGGCTACAAGGAGCTGACCCCGAGGTGATTGAAGCCATCATTCCCAAGACTTTCAATGTCGGGTGTCGGCGTCCAACGGTGAGGGCCTCATGAGAAAGTCTGCCGTATAAGGTCTAATTTTCTTTGTATAGCCCGGTGAAGGTTTCCTTGAAGCGCTCACCAAGGAAAATGTCAAAGTATACACGAAACAAGTACAACAGATTAATGCCACAGGTTTCATTGATTGTGAAGGATGTCAGGTCGATGTGGATGTCATCATATGTGCCACCGGGTAGGTCAACTCATACCCGACCGCATGAGCTCCAAGTATGCATGTGCACTAACTCTCTGATGATAGATTCAACACCAGCTTCATCCCACGTTTTCCAGTGGAGGCAAACGGCTACAGCATCGCCAAGCTGTGGGAGAAGGTGCCCGAGTCGTACATCGGCCTCGGAGTTCCGCATAGTAAGAATTTTCAGCAGAATCTGGACGGGTCATCAGGTCGCAGGCTAATCATGTCGTTCCCTCTCTCTTTAGTGCCGAATTATTTCATGATGGGTGGTCCCAACGGGCCATCCGGACATGGATCACTTTTCCCCATGCTCGAAATCCTGGCTTCCAATGTGCTCCAGTGCATAGACAAGATGCAGCGAGATCGAATCGAAAGCATCACTCCGAAGACTGAAGCTGTGCGGGAGTTCAAAGAACACGCGGACCTGTACCTCCAAAGGACTGCATGGACAGGACCTTGTTCCAGTGTCTTCAAGCAAGGCCGAGTCGATGGCCCGCTTTCGATGTTTCCAGGCTCGAGACTCACGTATCTGGAGCTACTCTCTATTCCACGATTCGAGGATTACGATATCATCTACTGCAACAAATTGAACCGATGGCAATTTCTGGGTGACGGCTTTGCTGTTCGCGAGTTCGATGGCCGAGACTTGTCTTATTACATGGGCCTGGTGGATGGAGAAGATCGTCAGATTGATCTGGAGGGGGCATTGGAGGCGGATTTGCAGGATTTGATTCATCAGAACCGAGTTTGAGACAACATTTGCGATGTACCGTTCGAAGCAAAGCGAGATGACAGCCGGTTTTGTTGTAGCAGCAATGTCTTGGGACAGACGTAACATGTCAAGAACGCTAGACAGGAGCATCCCGATCTCCTCCTCCATCATATCGGCTTTTCCTCATAGGCATATAGATTTGCATTGTCCTAGTCCCAATGATGCACCCTTAAGGATCTCAAGGGAGAAAGTCTTACCTTCGGTTTTGCCGCGTGGCCACTGACCAACAAGACATAATCGGCGTCAAAGCAGTGACAAAAGAGCATGTTCGTACCCAGGCAATTAGGGACGTATCGGCTTTGAGTAATTTATCCATTTATCTCAATATAACTCTCGTTCATAATTATATATCTCCTTTTCTCGATCATCCTTGCAGAGCACAAGGAGATTGCTGCATGCATTAAGGCTCACATCTCTGATCTTATCGCATGATCTCAATATTGCTTCAGAGCCTTTGCCACAACGTCCACCATGTCCAGGACCTTTTCTTCCTCTAACCGTTTGCCCACGATTTGCAATGAAACAGGAGCGCCGTGGTAGATGTCCGGGTCATACTCTGCTTGGACCTTGGAGTCTAGGTCGTTAAGATATTGAAATTGTGACAGGTCCCGGGCCTTGTCTAGATCTCTATCGGCCATTGTCACTGGAAATGTGCAAACAGGAAGGTCTACGTGTAATTAGTGTCAAACCAGAGTCAGGAGGTGCAGCATATTCAACCCATACCTAGTAGGTTCCACACAGCTGTATACCCAACGTAGAATCTCTCCTGCGTAGCACCCAGACGTGCGGCGGCAAATGGGGAAACTGCTTGAATGATGCAATCGATCGATGCCATGCGCTCGAGGTACGACTTTTGCAACTCTCCCTTTTTCAAATTGTTAGAGCCCACGACCGTGGCCTGGACTATTCTGCGCTCGGGCGAGGCTTTGAAGCTGCCCATGGAAGGAAGCAACGGCTCATCCCACTCCTCGAGCATGTCGGCGACAGTTGTGCCACTGAGCGTGGACAGCCCCAGTTGAAGAGTCTTTGTCATCATCAGTCAGACATGTTTGATGACAAGATGATTTGTAGCAACAAGGCGAACTCACTCTGAGAATCTCGCCATGGTCATCCACGCGCCAGTCAACTACTTCATGACCTTGGGCCTCCAAGGCCGTTTTCACCAACCCCAGAGCCCTTTCGACAGGAGGATGACAGTGGACCACACCATCATGTCTCCCGATCAGCCCAACCCGGAGCTTTGTTCCCTGCTTCAGCACACTGGTTTTCCACTCCATCGGGAGGCATTTTGGATCTTTTCTCCAGGGGGCCGCGGCTGGGGATAGAATCGTCTCACAAAAGAGGCGCAGAGAATCTAGATCTCTTGCCATGGGACCACTTACGGCAGGAACAAATTCCTGTCCAGGAATCCCAGACATGCCTCCCCATGACGGAAATCGACCAACACTGGGCTTGAGGCCATACAAATAGCACCACGCTGCAGGTGTGCGGATGCTCCCACCTAGGTCGGTACCGACCCCGAGTGGCGAGCCATGGAAAGCGATCAACGCGGCTTCCCCTCCACTGGATCCTCCAGGACTGAGTAGTTTCTGAAGTGGGTTGCGACACTCGCCCCAGATGCAGTTTGTCGTCTCTGTCATGAGCATACTTGTAGGTACATTTGTTTTGGCGTAGAGCACGGCGCCCAGCTCTCGAAGGATCGATACCAGAACCGTGTCATTATTTTGAGGCTGGTTCGCTAGGGCGGCCAGTCCGATGGAAGCTGGATAAGGTGCAATGATGAAGCAATCTTTCAACGAGATCGGGAGACCGTGGAGAGGGCCAACAATACTTCCGGTCAGCTCCAGGTGCTCGTCCAGAGTCCTAGCCGTCTCGAAGGCTTCTTTGAAGAGGACTTCTGTCAAGCAGTTCGTCTGTCGCAATCATTAATTATCTCAGAAGCCTGTTGCAGGGAGATTGGCATCCTACCAGTTTCTGAGCGAGTGCTGCAGCCTTGCAGAATGCCTGCGTGACTGCTAGGGAAGTCCATTCTTTCTGTGCAATATTAACCAGAATATCCCTGGCCGACGTCTGAATTATCTTAAGCTCTTCTGAAGAATAGTATCCCGAATCTAGGGAGTACTCGGTCAGATTCGCGGGCAATTTTGATTCATCCCACTCTGGAGGTTGATAAAAAGCAGCAAGAGCATCGTTCCTCCGCTGACAAGCCTTCTTCGCGGCCTCCAAATACTTCGGAGGAGCCATCAGGAATGGTACATTGCAGGAGAGAGTTCAATCAAGTCGATGGCTAGTTACACAACACAACTCATGTGGAACTTCTTTGCACAAAAGCCCTTGGAGTATGCACCACCCATTTCAAACACGGGCAGAATCGTTTCTATCTACATGGCAACTTGGTCAAGCCAGTGACTAAGCTGTCGATTATCACAGTATCCCCGTTGTTTTACCCCACAGACCCCTTTTTGAACAGCATGCAATTAACGACACACCGTCGGAAAGTGTCTAGCCTGGAGCCACGGTTGGTTCGATGGGCTTCACACAAAGAGAACACCGCCAACCTTCAGAGGCACATCCTTTGGGCGACGTACGAGCATGATCTCGGCAAGCCTTTTCTCTTCATCCAAAACTACACGTCTCTACAATGATACTCGGGTTGCCGTTGGGTCTACCAACGTACATCAGACTGCTTTAATTTGTACTGGCGTCTCTTGTCAAGTAAGTTGGGGATATCTGAAAAAGTGATTTTAATGTCTCCCTTGGGCATCCCTTTCTCATTGTATACTTCGATGTTTTCCCCCAAGTGTGGCTGACTTCAGTCGCTTTTACTACGCAGGCTATGTTCAATTGGTAAATGTCGTACTCTAGAGCTTCCCAAGAAGCATGATCCCTGATTTGAATGCTCAAGGAGCTTCCAATCATCCGGCGAGTCAAGTCGGTTGCTGTGCATCTTCTGATTCTGGAGACGGCCTGCAGCCAGAGATGGGATAATCCAGGTGGTCTGCAGAGTTAACAATTATTCTTGCTTGACCATGGGGCCCTTGTCGGCGGTCCAATTCTTCAAGAAGAACTCCTCTGTGTAGTTGCCGTCCTCATCCAAGCTTTCCTGCGCCTTTTTCCACATATCTCGAATCTTCCGGGCCTTCTCTTGATTACGAGGCTTGATAATGCAACTGTTCTAATGTCAGCACCGAAACATGCAAATCCAATTTGAATAGGGGGACTCACTCGAAAGGTGCTGGCCCTGCAACGAGACCGGGTTCAAATGCATCTCTGTCAATTGGGATCGGCTTTCCCTTCGCATCCAGCTTTGGATGAAACTCGAAGGCCCAGAGCAGTCGACACATTGCGATGAAGACAGTTCTTTCCGCCACATGCGAACCAGGGCAGATACGCCGACCTGCCCCGAATGTGACATGCGGCCTTCTGCTGTAGTCATTGATCACACTGAATCCTTCAATTGCAGTTCCTGTTTCCTCGAATCGCAAAGGGTCGAATTCTCGCGGGTTCGAAAATCGTTCCGGGTCGTTATTGACAGTCCAGACCTGATCTCTGTTTAGCAAGAACAGGCCTAGGGGACAAACGTTTGACTTACGCAGTTGACCACTCCAGCACCCGCGGGAAGACGGTATCCCATGTAGTAATCATCCTTGGTCAGCATGTGAGGCATAGGTCCTCCTGTCAAAGTTGTCGGTGCCCCTAAGTTCAAGTTAGCTGCTCAGATGCTCAACTCAGTCTGGCCCGCACATAACATACATCGCAGTGTCTCTTCCATGCAACCACGCATATATGGGAGCTCCAATCGGTCTTCCCATCCTGGAAGCTTGTCGGCGGCGATCTTGGTATCGATCTCTCGTCTCGCGCGTTCTTGAACCTCAGGGTAAAGGACCATTGCCTGTATAATGTGAGTTAGTTCCGGAACTTCATGGCGCCTTCCGTCTTACCTTGATGAAGCTCAACAATGAGTTTGATTGCGTATCACTAGTTAAGGGTGAGCGTGCGGCAGACTCACAGAACAGCTTATCCACTTACGTGGCCGCCATCCAGGCATCACCAGCATTGGCTGCAATTTCCCTTGGAGTAAGCTCTCCTTTGGGACTACCAGCACTCTGGGTGAGCATGTCTCGAGTGAAACCTGTGAAGAATATTAACTTATAAAGTAAGGTCAACTGCAGTCTTTGACCAACTTGGGTAGAATTTTCCATCGGCGATTTGTTTCTTCGCGGTTGCCACCATCTGGTCCCAGAGGTTGTATTGGCCCCTCCACATATCCTCAATTTCAGCCTTGACGGAGCTGAAGCGTTCCGGAATATGGTGAACAATATACCTAGTCAAACCAAAGAAATCGAACAACTGATAGTGTTTGCTGGCCTGGAGTGATCGATGGAAAAGCTACATCGGTGTCAGAACATCATCGAAAAATTCCAAAAATAATACTCACTTCCATCAACGCTTTCATGAGAGGGGACTCAAAAGAGTCAATTCTTCTACCGAAGGCAATCGTGCAGCCGATACTGATAGTGAATCGCTCGAAATGCTTTCGGAAGCCTGAGGGGCTCTCGAGGAGGTCGAAAAGAAGCTTTGAGGTCTCAAACGTCTTTATAGGGTTGGCAATTTCCTAGCAGGAGCATATCTTGGGCTACTGACCTGGTATGGGAGATAATTGTTAGACAGTTTGGCATTGAGTCTGACATGATAGATCTTCCGCTGTCGTCTCCAGCCATCGTCGTTCCTGGACCAGCCCGAGAAAATGTAAGCGTCTCACACGTTATTCTGTGGTCACAGACATCTCGCCATTGAACTCACGGTCTAAGAGCAATGTTGTTTCCGCCTCCACAATGGCTGAAGAAGGTAGACCACCGACTCGAATAAATGGCGCCGCGCTTCTCGAGCAGATCTGACACTGCCGTAGCCGTTCCCAGCAAGATCAATGGACGACCACCCATCTGAACGGAGACGACAGGACCGTCTGCAGTAGTCTATCAGTATCGCGAGCAGCAAGTGACGGGAACATGATTGCCTACATTCTTTGAGCCACTTGTCGTATTGGATATGAATTCCAGTCTTGGGGAAAACGTGTAGGTTGCCCACCACGGGCAGTGTTGGAGGTCCTGCGTAAAAAATCAGAATGAACTCTATCGGCCTCATTTTGCCCATCTCAAGGAAGGACTCCAAACCTGGCGGATAGTCTCTTGGGCGCATGCCATATCTTAAAAGCCTATATAGCAGTAGTAGAACGCCAATGCATGGAAGGCCCCATCGGACAAAGGATGGATCAACCATGTTCAACAACTTGGACGTGGAGGTCGAAGAGTAGATTTGAGACGTTATAGGCGAGGAAGCAAGCGATACCTCAACTGCTTTGGGAGAGTCAAAGGGCTTTGGAAATGGTGTCCTTCAGCCAGAAACAATATCTTAGCAGAAAATCAGGCGGCAGCGCGCCATAATTCTGCAATATTTCTACCACTGGCAGGCTAGGTACTCTGAATAACATGTGGTCCACAGCAGGTGTAAAATACGACACTTGCCATGTTCAGGGTCGAGGATCTCCCAGTGCTTACGATTACTGTACGATCGATTATCCAGCGGATGGTCATATATTGCTCCACAGATTTGAATGGGCAAGCAACCTCGGTGCGGGCAACCCCAGACACTTCTTAGAATATTGTAAATGCTCAATTATTCATCGAAACTCGACGATAGTAGTATTTGTGTATATTGTGCGCGAGGAGGACGGAAGGTCAAAACCAGGACACTAGAATATAAATCCCTCGCGTCCAAAGCCACGGGATTTCTCAATACGCAAGCCGATCTCGAACTACTCACTACCTCCGAGTCCCTCCAAGCAAACTACAACACTTGCACCATGCCCAGCTCTTTGGCCAACAAAGCCTATCTTGTCACCGGCGGGTTCTCTGGTATCGGACTCGCCACCGTCAACAAGTTGCGTAGCGAAGGCGCAATAGTCCACGCCATTGATCTGTCCAAATCCCCTCCGGCACACTTGGTCTCGGACAAGTCAGTTTACACTTATCCTGGGGTCGATGTCAGCTCGCGAGAGCAAGTCATAGCTCTGTTTAAATCAATTCTCCAGGTCACTCCGGAGATTTACGGCCTGGTGAACAGTGCCGGCATTTGTCCTGTGTCGTCCAGCGTGATCGAACCCGACGACACGTTCAAAGCCGTCCTCAATGTCAACGTGATCGGAACCTGGAATACTTGCACCGAATTCTTCCAGGAGGCCCTCCGACGGCAGAAGGAGGGCCTCCCAAAGTTGAACACGAGCGTGGTCAATATTGGATCTACCGCATCTTTGAAAGGTTTCTCGACCCTGACCGCCTACGTGGCCAGCAAACATGCCGTGCTGGGATTGACACGGTCCTGGGCACTCGATTTCGTGGATGCTGGGGTCAGGGTAAACCTGGTAGCACCAGGGGGGACCAAAACCCCCATGGCGATGGCCCAGGTCGAGGACAAAGGTGTACGCGGAGAAGCGTCCCGGTCGAAGCCAGTAAATCCACAGAACAGATTCGGCGAGCCAGAGGAGCAAGCGGAAGCCATCGTCTTCCTGTTGAGCGATGCTGCTTCATTTATAACAGGGCAAGCCCTCCCAGTCAACGGTGGCGAGATGTTCTAGAAGACACCGAGTCTAGAATAGTGAGGACGATAGTTTCATCGAGCAGCTTGAAGGAAAAGATCGAAAAAAACATTCATCTGATCACATCTGTATTACTTTGCTAAGACCTAATCGCGAATGCTCTATCAAGAAATTGGTACATTTCGTTCAGATCTTCTGTTCTGGTGGAATGCTATGATCCGAGTCACTTCATGTCCAATTAATGAAATCAGCAGCGGAGAAAGGCTGGTTAACCGCACAATCTTGATTGGCTCCCCGAAGGCGCAGACTCCACAGAAGGTCAGGACCCCACACCAGGCTCCCCGGATGATAGGGGGCGTTTCCCCTTGGCTAAACTCCAAGCACTGTTAATAATCGTTCGATGACAATGGCTTTCCCCAGTTTCGGCTCACTCTGTTCCCGGCAGAGGTTGAAAGTTTTCGCTCCATCACCATATCAGTGCTCACGAGCTAAAATCCAATCCCGAGGCCACCTGAACACGATGGCTTACCCTGTTGAGGCCGAGAGTTTGGACAATTTGGATGTCCATCCCCCGCTGAGGCGCCAAGTGTAGAACTGAGAAGCGAGTTGATGCCGCCCGAACCCCCACAAATATTGGTAGACTGGTCACTCGCTTCCCTGCGTACGCGGGAGCCCCGGGTTTGCCCACGTTTCTCCGATCTTCCTCCCCAGGTTTTTATTGACGGTCAGCTTATCTACATGAATCCTCACGTCTGACCTCTCGCATGCCACGTAAAGACCACCTAAACATCAGGCCACACACAGAATATGGCTACCAGAAAGGCATCCTCGACGATGCGTCCGCAAGCTGACGAGCGTAGGTATGGATTTGATCCCGTATAATTTGTCCTGGTGTTTCCCTGTACCAGGCTTATGGGTTGGTTTGCAGGAAGTTTCGCAATCGGCTGTCTCAGAAATCATTCCGTGAGCGACAACACAACTATGTCAAGGAGCTAGAGCAACATATCATGAACCTCTCGGCTCAAGACGGCGGTCGATACACTCTCCTGTCCTCGGAGAACAGGCGACTGCGATCAAAGCTGCTGGACATCCGAAACCGCATGACCAGCACGTCGAATGCGCTGAATCGCCTCGCGGCTGAGATAGCCGAGGTCCTCGAAATCAACACCTCTGGGTCGCCAGAAGAAACGCAAGACGGAACCCAGGATGCCAGCTACAACCCAGAGCCCGGAAAACTCGTCGCTGCCGACAGCACTGCTGGGGATGATATGATAGAATGGACGGGCCCAATTGTTCCCACGAACGCTGTCGTGCAGTATGAAGAGCCAGCCATAGAGCCGCCCCCGCCGCTGTCGGAAGAGGTTGTTGTGGACAATCAGTCCTTTTCATGGAGCGGTGACTTGGGCCAGTCTCAATCTATGCCCAACAATGACGCGTCGCTTGTCTGTCCTCCTGCTATCAATTGCGACACCAACCCATTATCAGAACTTACCCCTGACCTCTTTAACTCTCCATTTCCTTGGTCAGCTTTGGCCGGGAGTCAACAGCATGCCAGTTTTGCTGCCCTATGTTCGCCCATCAATTTCAGTCTTTCACCCATGCTCCCAAAGCTCCTGTCTGAGGGCCTTCGTCCATCCCGCGCCAATTCCCCCAATGCCAGTCCCCCGTCCGCCAATCTGCCGTGGGCTTCAAGATTTGCGGAACACATGGAATCAATGGAATGTGTCTTGCGACAACAATTGGATGTGAGCAGGGGAAAGGCATTGACATTCAGCAAGTAAGACTGGCGCTGCTCTTGCTATCGTCGTGTATCATTTTGTTGACTTAACATTTCCAGGGTCTCCGAAGCCTCCATAGCATTCCTGTCCGTCTTCGTCAATTACCTGTGGCCCGGAACCTCAATTATGTGGCTCAACTCATACCTGGCTCAAACCGCGGATCGGATTTTGGCATGGAGGATGTCTCCCAATCTCGTCACCTACAACCGACTACTGCCCGAATATATGCCCTCAGCTTACGAAATGGAGACTCCTCACTGTGCCGTGATCGGCTGGTTCCCCCATGCTCCGCTGCGAGAAAAACTGATCCGTCTTTACGACAATTCGAGGCACCTCGACCAAATCTGGATCGACACACTGTACCACACGGTAGTAGAGGTGCCAGACATGTCGCAGATCCTGACTGATGCCGAACCAGGCCCAGGATTCCTGGGCGTGTGGAAGATCTTCGACACCATCTCGACAGCGCCGGAGCTGGTAGCACACGCCCTCGGCGTCCAGAGTTCCGGTATGACGGAAATCTCGCGAATTCTCAGAAGTATTCTCTCAGAGAAACCCAACCCGGCAGACGTTTTTCGTCTGAGCGGATTGGTGTCCGACGATAACGGCTGGACACCTGTTCCATTGGCCGCTCTCCTACAGTCACCCAAGCTGGCCCTCAAGGCCTACTATCACCTCAAGATGTACGATTCGCCGCGGACATGGAAATGGGACCCTGCCTTTTTCGAAAAGTATCCGGAACTCACGTGGGATGGGTACGAAGCAGTGGTAGCGCGCGGGAAGAGCTACAGGCAGGATTGTTACATGCCTTCGCCCTGCGTCGACAATTTGACTTGCGGGGCTATGCTTGGTATCTACCGGCAGGTCTTGGGCACGTTACAGAGCTAGACGTGGCTTTGATCAGAGTCCGAGTTGAGACTAAGGATAGGGCTCTATGGATATGATATAGCGTAGTCAACTGGTCAGGAACTTACATTCACCTCTAGAACTCTGATGCTGAAAGGTCTATTGTAATATGATGCCAACCTTGGTCCTCTTGCTCTTCTATGTAAACTTTTAGTCCATTCCTCTCTGTACCTTCACTCACTGGTCCCAATTACAGAGTCCCACGCTCTAGGAATTGTATCGGTACCTGAACGTAACGAGCTCGCAGGTACTCCGCTACATTCTTGCCCAGAAAGTCCACTGTGGTCGCACTCATCACTCCGCCTCCTTGAAGATTTCGAAACAGAAAGTGGACTCCACGCAGCTTCGGCAAGTCAAACCTCTCGACTAGCACAGGCCGGTCCTTGCTCTTGTCGCGATACTCCTTTCCAAGCAACTGTTTAATCACCGGGACGGTCAAGGTCTGCTTTAGCCACTCGTACTCGTCGTCGTGCCGTACCCAGAAGCCACAATTGGCGTCGGAAGCCTTGTCTCCCGAGCGCCCGTGAACGATGGACCCCAGAGGTCGTATCTCGGTGGGACCAAAATCCTTCACCGGGGCTCCCTGAATCTCCGTACCGGCCGTACTGGGCTGTCGTTCCGGGAAAGACTTGGTCACGGGCGGAAGAGGGATCGAGGTCTTGCGGCCGTCAAAGTGGACCACATGTTGGATGTCGGCCTGAGGCATCAACGTAACAAAGTACTCGTAAAACGGTTTGGGCATACCCATGCGAAGATCTAGGTGGAAGGTAGCGCCGGGGTAGCCTTGCATAATGTTGTCGACGATGGGACGGAGAAATTTGGCTGGCTCGAGATCTTCAGCGGCCCTTGCCTGTGCAAAAATACGCACCAAGACCGTGGCGGCGCTCTGGCTGTCTGCGTTCGCCACCGGCGCACCGAATGTTTTGAACGAGAACTGGGTCCATTTTGAGGAATGAGGGGCAACGAGTTTGCGGATCTGGGCTTCTAACAGACGTACTTTGTCCTCGACATGCAGGCCGGTGACAAAGTAAAAGCCCTCGGCCTGATATCCACCTCGTGACGTGATACCAACTTTCGTCGTTGGTGGAGGTGGCAAGGAGCGAACACCACGTAAGGCGACCTTGTCTCGTCCGACCTGCTCGAACCACACCCCATCAAGGACTGCGGTGACGTCTGAATTAAAGTACCATGGGCCTTGAATCTCGTAGACCAATTGTGCAGAGCATGTGTCCACAGTTACCGCCCCTAAGATAGTCCACAGTAAGCACGTTGGGGTCAGAAAGCGGACTCTGAACTCATGACATTGGCAAAACAAGGGCTCATGGTTCATCTCAGCAGCGGAAATTGGCAGACATTACCTCCAGAATGCTTTTGCTTGGTCAATATCACCGATCCATCTCTCGAAATCTCTGCAATCGGGAAGCCTACATCTTCCAACCTATCCAATCCCAGCTCACGGAACCCAGAAAAGTTCCCTCCACAGACGTAGTTGCTACACTCGATCAGGTGCCCCGCGAGAAATGCGTTCGCGAGCTGGTCAAACTGGGTCCGATCCCATTTGTGGTAGAACGTAGCAGCCCCAATGACGGGAGATGCATCGGCGACCCTTCCACACAACACAATCTGCGCTCCTTGTTGAAAAGCTTCCGCCACACCCATGCCGCCCAAATAGGCCTGAGCGTAAAAGGGCTCGAAATCCCACTCACTCAGCACTTCCCCGTTGTAGATGCTCTTGAAGTCTTTGCCATTTCGCTGCTGTTCTTGAATGATAGGAAATACTTCGTCTCCCGAGACCCAGGCCACGGGAATTCTGAGACCTACGTCTGCGATCATGGTACACACTCTATCGTAGAGACCTTTGGTATCGCTCGCACCAGCGTTGACTGCAACCTTGATGCCGTGCCGAGCCAGGTCCGGTAAAGCTGGTTCCAAGGCTTCAAGAAAGCTGGCTTCGAACGCGGGACCCGTCAATGTCAAGGGGTTGCCTTCGTCTCCGGCCGATACAGCAGCCTGATCTGCTTTGCGCGCAGCCGCGACCACCATATTGCCCTCGGACATGTAATCGGCAATGATAATGTCGATCGGATCATTCGGGTGGTTCTTCGCAAATGCTGCCATTGCATGTCTCCTGTCAGACGCTGAGCCCGAGGCGCCTTGATCGTCAGCAATATCACCGTGGTAGAGTTAGACAGTACATACCTGCGATGCGCACGGGTCTCGCCATCTCTGTCACGAAGTTCGGCAAGGGGTCAATGGTTCAAGTCTATGGTGGGTCAAAGTAGAGACCCAAAGTCGCTGTAAAACCTTGAATTTCAGATACCTTACCAAACGATTACCAGAAGACGATCTTGTGCGTCTCTACGTTGAAATCAGCATAGGCGAGCGGTACACGGTGCGATGTCCTGTCCAGACCCTGGAACGAGCCAAATTGGTCTTCGCGAAGAAATGAAAGAGACTTCTAGTCTCTGGCGAAGATGAGCTGGAAACTGGAGGGAAAGTGTCAAAAGCTCCCCCCGAGAGTTCATGATCAGCTCAGAGCAGCAATCTCGGTTTTGAAGAGGACTAAGCTTTGCCAGCGGCAACGCTGACTGTCGGTACATCACTTCCCAGGCGAATTCTCATCAAGAGGGCCAGCGAGCATGGTGGCAATGGTAACCTCGCTCGATGTAAGTGATGGCTGATTAAGGGGATACGCATCGACTAGTGAGAAACCCCTACAGTACGCTTGTGGGACTAAACACGCTAGACCTACCCTTCTCCATGGGGAGCATGGCGCATCGGACATTGTAATCGAGCACTTACTGTACAGTGGACCAAAGGGTGCCCACCAATCCGCTGAATGCCGAGTATCGGATGATTTCGAGTCGAACTTTAGTTATGCATTTCTCCTGTGCAGGGGCCACAAAATTCTTCCGGTCCGCTCGTTCTTGTGCTGAGTGAGAGACTTCTAGAAGTCTATCCTTGTTTCAACTTCTCTAGTGAGCATTCGCAGAAATCCCAACGTCGACCGTGACCTCGAAAAAGCAACTACAAAATGGCTCCAGTAATGTCAGACCGCGAACAAATCCAGAATGTCGTCTCGCTGTACTGTCGATGTCAGGATACAAGAGACTGGGATCGCATGAGACTGGTCTTTACGCCAGACGCAATCTGCGACTACCCCAGCCCTCCTCTGGCGAGGTTCGAGAATCTCAAGGACCTAGGAGAACAAATGGGGGCTTTGCTCAAGGATTTGAAAACGCTGCACAACATCACGACCCACTATATCGAGTTCACCAGCGACACCACCGCCCGCTCTGAGGCATACACAGTCGCTTACCACTGGGGAACCGGCGACAGGGAGGGCCAGTGCTGTGTCGCCACGGCCATTGCCACTGACGAATTTGTCAAAGGCGTCTTCGACGGCAAGGAGTGTTGGAGGATCAAGTTTCGCAAATTCGTCATCCCTGCTCCACCGGTGGGAGATGTCGGTCTGCTTTTCCCGACAGGAAACACTACCATGCCGAAGGAATATATGATATCTCAGTAGAGATCACGCTTGATCGGAAGCGCAGTGAACGTGGACATTAGGCTGGCGGGGAAATAGAGCTTCAGATCTTCAAAGGTGCATCTACAATTGTCAATCTCTGGTTGCACAAATTATTGAGACGCAAGAACCAGGTGGAGAATTCATCAGCTGGTAGACGTATCATACACTCAACAGAGTACTTGATCCTGGTGATCTATTCCATAGGTTGGCCTAAAGATATGTTTAATCTCCGTAACTCGTGAGGTCCTAGAATAACCCAAATTCTGTTCTGGGACTTCTCTCGGTTGGTGCCTAATCTATTTGAATGTACGATATACCGCTCTCTCAAGTGCTTTATGTATCGACACCGCTCCGTGATCACCAGGGGGAAAATACTGGCAAAATACCACGCCAGCGATACCGGTGTGAGGATCCACCCACTGGGTTTGAATCAGCATGAGAAGAAAAGCAGGACAAGCCGTGAAGGCAACTCACCCAGAAATTATTCGGCATTCCAATCCACTGCAGACTTCCCTTTCGACGGCCCTCAGGATGATCCGCCATTGCTAGCAGTCCGGCCAGTCCGTGATCAGTGTGGACGCCTTCTGGAATACTATAGCCTAGCATGAAGGCAAACGGACCCTCCAAGAAGGTCTTGATGGACTCTTTGTTCAGAAGCTGGGGAGAGAAGATCTCATCTAATGTGGACTTTTTCAAGATTGGCTGCCCGCCGCGCAACAATGCCATGAAAAGCTTCGTGTAATCTTTTGGACTTGAGTATGCCCCTTGCCCTCCAACGCACGTGGGACTGGGTATCGGGACCAGCGGCGTTTCCCTCGGCTTCAAGATACCCTCCGCATTTCTTTCGTAGGGTTTGACGAGCCTTGCATAGATTTCGGGATTCAGTTCGGGATGGAAGGTCGTCGATGTCATGTCCAAAGGCTTCCAAATGTTTTGACTCATGTAGTCTTCCAAGTGTTGACCACTCAGGCGCTCGACCTGGGAATTGGCAGACGAATCAGCTTTGTCACTTTTCTTAAGTGGCTCAGCTATACCAAGCCTGCCCAAATGTTTGACTCACCAGGATCCCTGCCCAGTCTATGCCAGCACCATAGAGAAGCTGTGCACCAGGTTCATCAACCAGTGGAAGCACCCTGGTGCCGATCTGGGTTCCGATTAGCACTCCTATCTAAAACGCTTCTGTCCTATAGAGGGTTTGACATACCATGGTGTTATCGAGAGAGTAGTTAGAAAAATTGTTCTGCTTGCCCCACTCGGTCAAGGAACTGGACATGCCCTCTACCGAGACGCCACTTTGATGAGAAAGCAGGAGCCTGGTGGTTTGAAGATAATCAGCCAAATCCTACTGAAATAATCAGGTTTTCTATGTTTTGATGTACCTGACGGTAATTTTCTTCGTTCGCTTGCGAGTCTTCCACCGGCCAAAGCTATCTTGACCGTCCAGGATTCCGAGCAGAGCTAGGTCCGGGAGAACACGAGCAACATCTTCGTCCAACCCGATCAGGTTTCTTTCAACACACTGCATGGCGGCGATGGTCGTCATCACTTTGGTCTGGGACGCCAGCCAAAACACCGAGTCCTCGCTCAAAGGCACATCTGTGCCAGAGGTACCCGCCGACCTAGAGTAGATGACTGCTCCTGGTGAGCCCGGAGAGTCAGTACAGACCTTGTTTCAGGTGCCTACAAAACCCAATGACTTACCATCTTTGTTGATCACGCTGCAGACAGCAGCCGGAACTGCATAGCTGGAGTGTTTTGGGTCGGTAATGTTGGTCAAGAGCCGGTCAAAGTCCTCCATAGTCGTCTTGGCTCCCCTAGATTTATTCCTGGGATCTCACTTGACTCACGTGAAGAAAAATGGTCACTTGTGTAGGCGACTAGAAGCAGATGTTTTTCTACTGCAAAGTGCCATCACCTCCTAAGCAATTGCCAATGTCTGTAGACCCTCGGTCTTCGTTCTCGCTCAGATCGTGAGAAAAAGTTCGTAATCGTTGAATTACATACTACCTGCACAACCCGACCATGCCCCATGGTGGGTCCACTTGACCGGATATGGTGATCCCGAGAACCGAACAAATCCTTGCCTTGGTCTTCCACGCCTGTCAAGGGTAGGTCATCTGGGGAAAGGTCGTCTCGGTGGGTATTTGACTTCTTTCAAATGGCATACGTTCGCGAGAGCTGACCACAATGCCGGAGGCTCAATCGAGGCTTTTACTATGATGCATGGTAGACTGGGCACAGTAGTTCACGACTCTGATAATACTTAACCTCTCAGTTCAGCACGTTGCATCAAACCCGACATCGCCCAAAGTCACGCCGGTTTTTACCAATTGCTGACCTTCCTCTCCTCCAGACAGAAAACTTTTACAAAGTACACAGTACACTCTCATCGCGATGCTCAGCGGCAAGGTCAGTCCCTCTACCCGGGCACGCCTTGTCACTTGCAGATCTCACAAAAGCCGTTCTAACATGATGTCAAGGTCGTTTTGATCACTGGGTGCTCTAGTGGAATAGGCCTGGCCACGACAAAGGCCTGTTTGGACGCAAAGGCCCAAGTGTTCGGGTGCGACGTCCAAAAGCCACCCGCCGAGCTGTTAGGACTCCCAAACTTCTCATTCCAGTCTTGCGATGTGTCGAAGCAGGCAGACATCTCTGCTACAGTGGAAGCGTGCGCCAAGGCATTCAATGGCCGCATCGACGTACTTTTGAACGTTGCCGGTATCTCGGATAGCCTCGGTTCGGTCGACAGCTTGGACGACGAACAATACGACCGAGTGGTTGCTGTTGACTTGACGGGCCCTATCAAACTCATGAGAGGCGTGATACCTTATATGCGAGCCCAGAAGAGTGGGTCCATAGTCAACGTCTCGAGCAGGGCTGGCATGGGTGGCGGTGTCGCCGGTGTGACATATACTGCCAGTAAGCACGGGCTAGTAAGTGACTCTCCCAGCGACGACACAAGATACCGAAAACAAAGGCAGAATTTCACAGCAGCGAGCTTCTTGCTGACAAGGAATTGCTGGGAAGCAGATTGGTGCCACCAAGAACGTGGCCTGGCGCTACCACCAAGAAGGAATCCGGTGCAATGCAATCTGCCCTGGAGGTATGTTGGAATGTCCACGACCGCAATTTGCAAGCCCGAAGCTCATGACTGATTGTTAAGGGGTACGAACCAACATCACCAATGCTATATCAGAGGGCATCGATGTCGAAGCCTTCCAGAATTCGAGGTCCGTATGGATGCGAGAATCTCCTCCCCTTCCTCATCTTGAGAATCGTCTGATGCTAACCCTTGTCTGTCGACGACAGACCTGTTTTGAATGTCCATTTCAACCCACGGTCCACGGATGCTCTCAACGGTCAGGATGGCCCCATTGCCACTGGCCCCATCAGCCCTGAGGAAGTTGCAAATGTTCTCGTCTTCTTAGCTTCCGATCTCAGCTCCGCGATCAACGGGGCGGTGGTTCCGGTAGATAAGGCATGGTCTGCTGTTTGAGTCCATAAAATGCATCGCGATCGCTCGAGGAGGTTTGATAGCCTCACCAAAGACCCCTCGGGGACAGAGACATTTGTCAGCATTCTTCTCATGCCTATATACTCGATCTTTACTTGCAGACAATGTCCACAGTTGGGTAAAGCACACACTACATCAAGCTATTTCAAAACCTTGAGTATCCCTCAAGAATAATTCCCTATTGTATGTCAGGCGTATCTATGAATTGCATATTTTGACTTCGGTCTTGTGCAGAGCGACCGATTGTTCTTCTCGGTCTAAACACGCGAGATTATTTGAGCTGCACCACAGTTCGGGATCAGTGAATACGTCCTTTCACTTTCAGCTGAAACTCTTCGCTGAGAGTCTGGGGTTTAAAGGGGGTATGAGCTCGACCTAAAGGTGGTGAACGCTCAAGGTACTCGCCTCTTGGCAGTCGCTATGCCCCTTTCCCTCCACGTTGCGGACAGAGGGCACTTCTGTTTCCTAGAAGGACACTCAGATTGTTGCCTTTGTATATCTCGTCCTAAGCGGGCTCTTATATGCCGTGGTTTTCTGCCACAGAATCTATTCAAGAACCTTTGCACGAAACAGTTGTGAATGTCATTTGATCTTTTGCCATCTCAAATTCCGTTGGTCTTGCCTGTCCGTTGCTCACACATGATGACATTCGAAGTCTAGAGCGCCCTTGAACAGGTTGTCGATTTCTCCCTGTGACAAAAAATCCACTTCGGGAAGGCTGTACATATTCGAAGTTGTGTCTAATGTGCTGTTGTTGGCTGCGCACGAGCAGTAATTTGACGTACGATCCATAAAGATCGTATAGTCAGGAGATATCATGTCAACTTTTTGGCTCGTCTTGTAGCTGAGCGGAACTCCCGCAACGGTCGCCGGTGTCTCGGGACTCGAGCTCGCATCGTGACGCTCACCACTGGTGCTGTCTACTCTGCTGACGGGAGTCAAAGCTGACCTGTCTGAGGCGTCCTCCGGCTTCGTGAGCTGTTCTTCATCCTCGCCGGCGATTCGACGGACTGTGGCAAGTCGTGCCCTGAGCCGTTGGTTTTCGCCAAATGTTTCGTCGAGCAGTTTACGCATATTGGCCATCTTCTCATCCAAGTTGACGGCAATTAGACTGTGGACTAGCGTCTCGAGATGTTCGATGTATTCCTTTGTCCTTATCCGACTCATTCGCTGTGATTCACGATCTTGCCTCCTCTTACGCTCCCGTCTCGGCTCTATTTTGGTGTCCTTAGGGCCACCCTTTGGGGAAGCTGTTTCTGACTTCATTTGGTTGTTGAATTCTTTCGACAGGTTATTCTTGTGGAATTGATGAATCGTAACTCTCTTTCCGAGACAGCGCCACGCAAGTTCAGAATTCTATATGCTGAGCACTGCCCCAGAATCCACAGCACTTTTTGTCACGTGTGCTTGCCTTTCAGGCCGTTTCCCTCAGAGAATCATCCTCGCTCGTACGCATGATGAAACCTATTGTTGGTTGAGTCAACGGCAAGTCCGATAATTCTCATGGTGACAAGACCCACGATGTGTCAGCGTACATACAGTAATCGATAAACTCCATGGCAGATCCACCAGGCTCTTAGGCAACGCCTGAATCCACCGTACTCGGAAGCTGCTACTAGCTCTACGTGCTATGCCTCGAGCAGAGCCAGAAAGAGTGCTGACTTTCCGGACTTTCAAGTAGGATGTAAGTCGTAGAGCCATCACAAAAAGGCCTGTCAGTCATCACGTGCCTGAGCTTTCTCATCCTGGTGTCAGAGGGAATAACAGTCACATACAGCATAGTCACAGTTTCTTCATGGCTTCCTCTGGGTTCTCTCAGAGACAGAGGCTCTCTGGTAAAGTAGTGATAATTACAGGTTGATTGTTCTTTCCCTTAGCATATGGGCTATAAGCTAATGGAAGGACAATAGGAGGTGGCTCCGGCTACGGTGCAGGTATTGCCGTCCGCTTCGCCAACGAAGGTGCAAAGGTTGCAATCACCGACATCGATGTTGCTCGTGGTGAGGCACTGGCTGCCTCCTCGAAGGGCAAAATTCACTTCTATCAACAAAATGTTGGCAATATCCAAGATTGGCAGAGAGTGGTCGCTGCGGTGGAAACAGAACTTGGGAAGATCGATTGTTTGATCAATAACGCAGGAACCACCTACGCCAATAAGGTCAGCCCAGAGAGATGCGCTTAACACTATCCTTTCCGGTAGCTCTGACATCTTTCAGCCGACCCTCGAAGTGACGGAAGAAGATTTCGATCGCTGTTTCGACGTGAATGTCAAGGGCATTTTTCATGGAAGCAGCACGGTCATCCCGCGTATGTTGAAACATAACCAGCGAGCCTCTATCATCAACATCGCTTCCGTGGGCGCTACACGCCCCAGGCCAGGCTTAGTGTGGTACAACAGCTCCAAAGCTGCAGTCTGTAATGTGAGTCTTTCTCACTTAGTGCCTGAGCTGGGAAAGCGAGGCGTGCCTACGAGGCGTGTCATTATGGGAACTGATTTCTCTAATCTCTAGGCTACCAAAGGTCTCGCGGCAGAATTTGGGCCCCGTGGTATCCGGGTCAATTCGGTATGCCCATTGCTCGGGGGCACAGGATTGTATGTTATTGGCTGTATATGTGACCTCAAAAACTCATCAACGTCGACAGATTCCAAGCGTTTTCCGGACAACCTGATACGCCTGAAAACAGAGCCAAGTTCATTGGGAATGTTCCCCTCGGTCGGCTTTGTGAGCCACTTGATGTCGCAAATGCGTGCTTGTTCTTCGCAAGCGACGAATCGGCATTCATAACAGGAGTCAATCTGGAGGTCGATGGTGGAAGAGCTATATAAATCGATGTTTCTAGCACAAAATACCTTGCCTTGACAATAGATATTCTAGAAGGCTGGGGGAAATTACATGGAAGAGCCCGACCACTCTCAAGGAAGCTCGTTATGTAAAAAATTGTAGATAGACAAGTCTGAGACTGTGACCCTCTCGAGACCGCGCAATTAGATTAGCAAGACTTTCGCAACGGCTCTAAAGCGCTCAGCCAACATCGGATCCGTAACGCTTGAGACTGGCATGCAGCTCGCGCAAAATCAAAGGCACCAACCCGCACCCCCAGGCTACAGAGCGTCTCGGAAACCCATAGGATGACACGGAGTGTCTGCTTCAGAGAAATTGCCTGCCCGAATACGTACGTATTCTCGAGTGCTGGGAGCGGATCCAATGGTCTGCGATTTAGATCTCCGAGAAGAGAACTCTCGGAACAACGAGGAAGAGTTGTCGTCTCGATGGTCGACTTGTCGCCGCGATCGGCCTAGTGAACCATAAGTCCTCCATTCACCCAGACGAATCCAGCCGTCTAGGAAACAGGACGTCGCCAGGACCCCTGCATATACAGATAATGCCGGGGGAGCTGCCAGTGATGGACGGTGCTGAGTCGCGCGAGACATGAACGTAGCTCAGCTAGGTGAGTAATTATGTGATTAGGCGGTTATTAATGGCGCGGTCCGGGATGCAATATTGGCCTAAAACGACAAGGGATCCGCTTTGAATGCCCATGTTTGGCAACTCCAGACTCTGCGAGATGAGAGCTTGAACCCGTTCAAATTCGAGAACCATGTGCAAATAAACAAGGGGTGTAGAAACGCGGGGATGAGGCGTCTGGGATGCTCTGATCCACAACTTTGATCCACAACTCTGGTCCATCCCCCATTCAAGTATCCGGGGAGCAAGAACTATATTATGCCCCCTGGTATCTCCCCTTTTCTTCTTGTTTGAATAGTCAGCTTGCTTTCTCTGTCATATCAGAAGTACCATCCTATCTACAGCAGGGAAGTCAGCATGGGGAGCTCAGATGCCACTCAAGCCAAACACCATGGAGGCGCTCGCCACGATCATGAGCACGAGGAAGACGTCGAGTGTTCTCGCCGGCTTGCCAAAGACGTCAGCGAAGTTGACCCTCGATACTTCAGAAGCGCTCGTTATATCGGCTCTCTGGTTGGTATATCACTGACTACCATGTCTTGCTATTTCGGCTTTGCAGTCCCCGCTTCGGTGTTAACATTCATTAACGAGGACATCGGTATGTTACCTAGTTGTAACTTTGACCTCTGCTAAACTTGACTGAATAGGACCCAGCCCCAATGCCAGCCTATTTTCAATCATCTGGACCATGTGCAACGCCATCAGCATCTTGCTTGTGGGGCGGATCACCGACAAATTTGGGAAAAGACATGTCAGTATCGTTGCTGGTGTATGGGTCATTGTGGGAGCAGCTGTCGCCGGAACGGCGAAGTCTATGAATACCCTGATCGGTGCTAACGTGAGTAAAATGTTCGCATACCGCTGGCAGCGACTGCGACAGACTGACAATTCGGCGGATTGCAGGTGATTATTGGAATTGGATCTGGTGTCCATTCGTCTTCTGGAGTCTTCATCGGAGGTAATCAGTTCCTGACCCCAAAATGCGAAAACTTGTATGGATCTGATTCCTTTACAGAGCTCGTTCCACATCGCTACAAGTTCTACGTCCAGGCTACCATCCTGGTCCCCATGGTCGTGGCCACGGGATTTGGCGCCATCATCGGACGGTCCCTGGTGGAGTCGCAGAGCTGGAGGTGGATCTACTATATATACATTATCCTGTGTGGTAAGCTTCTATGTGGTCACCTCCTTGCTGGTGCTTGAACATCCTTACTAACCACAATTTAACCGACAGGAGCGGGCTGGCTCCTTCAGGTCTTGTATTACCACCCAGCCACCTTTACACAGTTGCACGGAGCCAAAAGATCCAAATGGCAGGAATTCAAACGCGTTGACCATCCCGGCATATTCCTTCTGGTGGCGGGCCTGACGCTCTTCTTGCTCGGCATTTCATGGGGAGGAAATCCACAGCCCTGGGACTCTGCCCTTATCTTAGGCCTCACTATTAGTGGCGCTGTGACCTTGGTCGCCTTCGTTTTATGGGAAAGCCTTTCAAACACCCCAAATCCAATCGTGGATCTGAGTCTGTTCAAAAGGGTCCGGACCTTCACATGTATCAACATTGTCTCTTGGAGCGCAGGAACTCTCTACATCGCCATGACTATCATGTATCCACAGCGTGAGTCCACTATCAATTTGTACCATCGAGTCACAGGTTGACAAATTGACCAGAGGTTGTGCGGTTGTTCTCAAATGCAACCACCTCATGGCAAACCGTTGCATGGACCAGTGTCAGTCTTCAGCCCCTGCCACTTTCTTAGCTTCAAACTAATACAACTGTTTCTAGACCACTGTTGGCTTCGGCATCTGGGGCGGAATCATTCTTCTGTTCCCCTTTGTCAACGCTATCGGCTACATCAAATGGCAAGTTGTTTTTTGGCTGGCGCTTTCGACCGCATTCCTTGGAGCCATGGCCTCTGTCAGAGCGGGTGATCGGGCAATGGCAATCGCGGCTTCATTCCTCAGTACATTCGGTGCAGGCTGGCTAGAGACCGGAGGCACGGTCTTGGTACAGATCATTAGTGAGGACGAAGATGTCGGTGTCGCCTATGGTACGTGAAGCTCTCTCCTCCTGGTTGGTCTTGTGGCCAAGTTCTTTCCTGGCACAAAATAATGCCTAGCCTCCGCAATGTTATATGGACAAGAGCGAGCTCACTGACATGTGGTTGGGGTCTAGCAATGCTACGAGCCGGCCAATCGATCTCTGGCGCCATATTCACGGCCGTCTTCCTGGCAATATTGAATGGCAAAGCGCCCGGAAAAGTTCAGCTCTACGTCACAGAGGCAGCCTTGGGGGCAGGTCTACCAGAGTCGTCGCTCCCGAAACTTTTCGAAGACATTGTGAAGGGTGCCCCAAGCTTCGCTGATGTGCCCGGCATGACCACCAGGATTGGACTGGCGGTGCAATCGGCTCTTGTTAGGGCCTACGCGGACTCGTACTCCTTGGTATACTATGCCGCCCTCGCTGTTGGCCTTGCGAGCTTGATAGCGGCACTGTGTATGGCAGACCTCGACCGCTACATGACCGGCCATATACCTAAGCAGGTATACACAAAGGAAGAGAGGGAGATCCAGATTTCGAACGACAGTGATACGAAGGAAGCTCCAACTGAAGAGCATGTTGAGGAGAACAAGCAAGTTCAAGTATGAAACCCGTGACCCGAATCACCTGCATACGGACCAGTGAACAGACCCCAAGCCCGATCGACAAATCTCAGGTTTCGCTGGGTCAAGCCTGAGAGAAAAGAGTGAGAAGACCCCCAGAATAGGCAGGCACCACTGCATCACCATGGAGACGGAGTGGGAAACCAGCATGTCTGCTACTACTTTGAAGGCTATTGTTTTTGGATTTTCTCAGTAACGCGAGCGATTGACAGAAGCTTGGTTTACTTGTTGAGTAATGGCAACGGATGCTTCAAACTTGTGGGCTCGAGCTGCACTTGATATTATGATTGGGACTGATCATGATCACGGCGTGCTAATCGGGGCAGGCTTTGAGACCAATATATCTCAACTCTAGCTCTTCTAGATAAGATGTTCCAGTTCATCATTGAATCTAGCTAGTCTTATTTTCAAAACAATTGTAGAGCAGAGCCTTGATCTCATCATTGTTCGCAGCAAATGTTGGTCCCTGGACCTCGGGTTGCTAATTTCATTTAGAAGGGCAAAAGCATTTATGGGGCGGCTAGGCTGTACGCACTGGGATCGCGTGCTTGAATCTCTAGAGGCCAGAGATGTTGCGGCGTATGCGCCCCACGTTCCTTGCCGCGAGGACGGCCCTCAGCGAACCAAACAAATGAGACTGTTTGACGAGACTGGAATTTGCCATGAAAGTGCGTCGCCAATAAATGAAGTATTGGACGACGCGTAAGTCGAAGGTAAGAACTTCTTGAAGGTACTCCCCGTATCCAAAGAAGGAGTCTTAAAAGGCGGCGCCGTCTAGAGAAGCCTCGTGTGAGTTGGGAGCAGCATAATTGACGTGTGGCTGTAGCGGCGTGAAGGGGAATATAAATGAGCGGTTGGCCGCTATATGTACGTACGACCATGTAGACCTCTGTAGCAGCCGGAAATAAGTATCTCCGAATCCAGCGCTAGGAGCAGTGCAACTCCTGTACACCTTGGCAGCTGCCTCAATCATCCACCCATCACCCACGTCAAACCACCGTGGCTTCGACATGTCTAGGGAGACATTGATCCTGGATAAACTGATATCGCAACTCGAATCATCTCCTCAAGATATACGAGCCACGTTGAACCATCAGTCCATTGTTCGCCCTTACGACGCCGTTCGCCCCTTCGAAAATACGGTAAACACTGCTGGAATCTTGTTCTCATTCCGAGACCACCCTTAACATGGAGCCTTAATAGTCATCAGCTTTACCATTCCCTCAGGCAATTAGCAATGGTGCCGAGGAAAGGCAGATGAAAAATCATCGACTCTGAAAATGTCGAGCGATCCCAAAGCTGTTCGCCGCTATCAGGCTGGTGTCGAGAGAGCGTTAGGACTATTCGACGCGTCAAATGAGTGGGCGGATTATATTGCATTCCTCAGTCGACTTGGAAAGGCGCTCCAAGCATCGCCGCCTGACACCGATGTCCCGTTCAAACCGATACTGGCAAAGTATTTGGCGCTTTGTCTAAAACCGTCATTGCCGTCCGGCGTACATCAGAAAGCTTTGGAAGTCTATAACTTGGTCTTCACTCTGCTAGGCAAAGATGGCCTTTCTCGAGATCTCTCCATATGGCTTCCCGGAATATCTCATACTCTCACGTTTGCTTCATTGACCACGAGGCCGCTCTTCCTCGCTCTTTACGACGACCACTTGCTACACCTTTCCAGCCATGTTCTTAGGCCAGCCTTGAGAGCCACTATCTTGTCTCTCCTTCCTGGTATCGAGGAGGAGAACAGCGAAGATTTCGACCGTACGTTTAACACCATAAATCGTCTGAGACAGATATTTACGGACGACAATTCTGAGGCATTCTTCTGGCAAAGTCTGTTCCTGGCTTCCATTACGAGTGTTAGCAAAAGACCAGGGGCCCTAGTCTATCTGACCAAGCAACTTCCAAAGTTGGGGCCCAATGGCTCCCAAGATTCTTCACAGACAGGTTTCAACGTTGAGGGACCCGTAGAGCTTGATACTCATATCAAAGCAGTCACAACTCCTGAGCCTGGGTTGCTTGTTCGCTGCTTCGCGACCGGCCTCCAAGATGACCAGCCTCTGGTTCAGAGAGGATTTCTTGATCTACTGGTCTCACACTTGCCGCTTAATGCCCCTTTGTTGCAGCACCATGTCGCTCCGAAGGACCTCGATGTCCTTGTAACTTCTGCTATGTCTGTAGTACTGAGAAGGGACATGAGTTTGAATCGGCGATTATGGACCTGGTTTGTTGGCAGAGAAGACAAGCGAGAAGGTTCTGCGGACATTTCCCAACCCCTCACAATCGAATCGCCTTCGAGACCAAACAAAAGTGTTGCAGCACCAAGCCGCCATGAGTACTTTTCGGCCTATGGATTGGACTCGGTAGTTAGAAGTCTTGACAGGATGCTGAAGAAACAATCTCCACATCCCGTTGACAGAGCACGACCCTTTCGGATCCTGCTCTCGTTGATGGATCGTTGGGTGATTGGCAAATTGCCCGTACAGGCTTTGTTCATACCAGCAATGCAGGACCTACAGCAATATCAGAGATCAGCGCCGTCCCAAACATCCTTTGACGAAGTTTTTCGAAGCGCGAACGTCTTCTTTGATGCCACTGAGCCTCAAGTTGTAACCAGCCAGTTGTTCCGCTTGCTTGAGAAGAATGACTTTGAGCTTATCGAGTTCATGATCTCCAATTTCAACCTACAGGAGGAAGAAATGGTCACCATTCATCTGCCAATGCTTTGTCTCGCAATCTCCGACATGCTGGCAGTAAGCACCGGCTCAACCGTGACTGAGAATGGAGCTCAGAAACAGGGCCATGCCTACGAACAGCCGCTATCCAGACTTCTAGAAGCATTTATCAGCCTGCTTCCGTCGAAATCAACTGAAGGAGATGTTCATGAAGCACAAGAACTCCCACGGGAGAACTGGATGGAGAAGCTCGGTGCGGTTTACAATGAATTCTCCCATGTGAAGAAGGTCCTCGTCAAGGCTGTTCGACCTGCCCTCGCTGATCAGATTCTTTTGCACAATTTGACCTTGGCTGTGCTCCAATGTCTGCGTGATGAGTCTCGGAAGAGCTTGACCGGGTCGCTTGTCAATAGCTTAACGAAGGCCATCTCTAGGAGCGGCAACCTCGAAACCTTTGGTCAGCTCAATCTAGGCGAAAGGCTTTATGACAACCTCGTCTCTCACTCCAAGACCAGTACATCCGGCGAATACGAAGTCACCCGAACCATTGCAAGGATAATGGACGCCCTCTTCGCATTTGATGCCAACAAGAAAGTCCTCACGGATCAGCACCTGTTGCTTCTCATTCCTGCACTTGTCCAACGCCTGTGGGAAGCTCTGCTGCCTTCCACCCCTCAATTCCATGTCGAGGCAGTTGAGCAGATATGGAATCTCCGTGTGATATCTGGGGCCTTACTTCTAGTCGACAGTAAGATAATGGACCTCATGTGCGAACAACCATCTTCAAGTCAGGTTGCTGATCAAGTTGCACGGTTCTCGACTCTATGGATGCACACGCGATTTCCGCAAGTCAATGCAGAGCTCTTTTCCTCGTCTCATCGCATTGAGGAGGAGGATATTCCTTGGGCGATGCTCCGACAGCCTGTATTGCATGTCTTGGACACCATTGATGTGTCAGAGCGGGAGGATCCTCGACGGGTCTGGTTGAGTAACCTTCCGTCCATCCTTCCCGTCTTCCGGATACTTTATAGCGAATACTTGAGTGTCGCAGATAAGCAGCTTGCTTTACTTGGTCTCCATCGGCTTCAGAAACTCATATCGATTGCACAGACGTCTGGGACCCATCAAGGAGAGCTCTTCGCTCTCGATGGATCCGCAGGCATGTTGCTCGACATGTGCATGGAAAACATTTCCAACGACCAAAGTGACAAGGAGACTATAAGGATGACACTATCGATTCTACGAGTCCTAGTTGAAGAGACCGACATACGAGGCGCGCAAGATTTAATGGCTCTTCTGTTGCGACGATTAGTCAATGCTGAAGCTGACAATGCCACACAAGAAGAACTTTTGGATACGTTACAAACGATCTTCACAAGACCGAACATTGGTCCTCCACCCAACGAGCTTATGAACATCCTCATCTCTGGCATATCTTCTGGGAAGGTGGACTCGAACATTGATAAATGGATTACACTTCTGTGCAATATCGTACCACTTTACCCAACCCAACATTTACTAGCTACCATGCTTAAACTTACTGCTTGTTTCTGTCAGCGCATCAAATCTTACTTTGCTACACTTCAACAGCTATGTGAGAAACGCGATTCTCTTGATCCTGCCAACAATGATGTTGATATATCAATCGCTAAATATCCAGAGAGATCGATCAACAACCTTCTGGCAGGGCTTGAATATATCCTTGCGAGGGCGCATACGCATCTAGCCGATCGTCCTACAAGCTCCGATGGTTCAATCAATAATCCTGCCGAAATTGTACAGTCTCGTGCCGTCGCCAACAATAGACTAACTGTTATTTTGTGCATGCAAGACACCATTAAACTCTGTGGAGACATCTGGGCCTGGAGAATTCTCAGACATTCCTCTGGTACAGTTGTTGACACAAAATCGTTCGTGTATCTGTCCTCCAGGTTACGAACGAGGACAAGAAGAATCCTGGAGCACCTGTCAGATGCTGAACCACAAGAATGCCTGGAAACACTGATGGGTATGTGGATAGAAGGTGCTCGTCGGAATACCGAGCAAGATGCTACGATGAACCTAATGCAAAGTCTTGATGGCGCTCGCCCAAAGTTCATGATGCCTGCAACTTTCAACGCAATCTACAACCGGACAAATCCTACAGCACTTGACCAGTCACAGCGATCGAGTTTATCTGTTGATGTCACAGCTCTTGATCTAATGTCCTTCTTGATAGCGTACACCAAGGCTCTGGAAGATGATCTTCTGGAAGAAATTTGGGCCGACTGCACGGCATTTCTTCGCGAAGTGCTTGCAAACCCCATGCCGCATCGTCAGATATTGCTTCAGTTGCTTCAGTTCGTTGCCGTGGTGTGTCAGAAAATGGAGAATACCAATTTTGGCGAGATCTCGAAAATGCGCCGTGAACTGGCAGATCTCTGTGCCAGGCTGTTTACTGCCATTTTCACCATCCGACCTACCGGTCTGGATTCGTCATTGCAAGGCGCATCGGATTCTATTTCTGGTCGAAAAGGCACGATGCAAGCTGGAAATGCTATCCACATTCTTTCCGAATGCTTACCAGTAATTGGGAATGCGTTGGGAGATCAAGACAAACTGAACAATACATTGACAGGTGTGGCGGTACATATCACCGGCCCTGCATTGAGGTCAAAACAATTCCCTCAATCAGTCAATATCGACATTCTTCAGCTGATACTCTTGATGGCTAAGTCTCAGCCAAATAGTAAAATCTGGAAGAAGGACCTACTCGATCTATTTAATGATGGCAGATTCTTCCAGTCTCCTGCTTCCCTAGCCGACAGAGGATGGTTACCACTTCTGCGGCAAGTCTGGTTAGTGGACAAGGGTTTGATGACCGACCTTGTGTCCAAATTGACAGCTCCTACCACCGCTGGATTGGTGTTTGGAGTGGGTGCTGCTGCCGCGCGTACGGAAGCTGACAAGAAAACCCAGCTCATACTGAGACGCATCGCACTCTTCTTACTCGCCGGCGACACAGATACCTTTGTATCTGAGATAGGTCAAATCATCCGACGGTTGGAGGAGCTTCTGACTGCCACACCGTCTTCATCACCTTCGTCGGCCACACGCGGAGACATATATCTTGTCCTCCGAGCCATGGCGCTCTCCTTCTCTCAGGTGCAGCTTGTCTCTATATGGCCAATCGTTGATGTGGAGCTGCGTGATCTGTTCACCAACCTCCAAACCGGAGAAGAATCTATGTTTACGGGTTACTCGCAAATACAAGGAGCGAAGCTCCTCGATCTGCTCCTGATCCTAAAACCCGAGGAATTCCAACCACACGAATGGGTATTTGTGACAGACACCATTGATGCCGTGCATCCACCGCAAGATTTCAAGTCCTCTGCAATAGCAGACTCGTTGACGACACGAGGCGGCAAAGAGATTGAACTTCCGTCAGTCACGGATAACGAAGCGAGAAGACCCTGGCTTTGTACCGAGCTGAGTCGAGAAGCAGAAGATGCTCCATCACTTTTACGGCCATTTTTTAGACATCTGAGTATTCATGCATTTGAAGACACCTACAGCCTCCAGGCTATTGACCTCGAAGCATGTAGGACGGATCTCGTGGCGGATGTATTTGCGGACTGGGGAGACAGGTAGCTTCCCATCCATAGCTGGAGAGCCTTGTCATGGAGTATCCGTAGCAAAAAAATTCGATTACCCCCGTACGGAAGGCATGCGGTGAACAAGGGCTGCGAAACCCATAGCATCCGATGGCCTCGGAAGTGGCACTGACAACTAACAAAGGTCCCGGGAAGACGTCCCGTTCGGTACCGGTAGGGACAGCCCGGTACTCAAGAAAATGAGGGAGAGAGAGGGAGATGACCCGCGAATCGCCCGAGACGAGGTGGCAGTGTCCGAGGCTGTAGGTGGAGAAAAGCCGCACGTTACTGTACAGTTCGACCTTCCTTAGATCGGGTAGTGAATGTGATTGATGTGCTTGCCAACCTCGTAAATTGTACAATTCTACCCTGACACTCAAAACCCTCGACACCAATCGCCTAAACGCTGCCAATCATCACATCGACTTTCGATCCTGCCTTGATCCTCACGCATCCATTCCCGCCAAAACACCTCGGCGACACAGCTATGGCATCCCGTCTCCTCATTCCGCGACTCTCCTCCGCCTCGAGAACGATCAGAGCTACCCCTGCCGTCCCGTCCAGATCCTTCCAGTCATCGAGCAGACGGCTGCAAGAGATTCCTGCTGCCCCTGTAAAGAAGCCAGTGGGAGCTTTCCGAGGAGGGTAAGCTATCTTCTAGAATCTCGAGGCACACGGCAAAGCTACCAAAAGGCCTTGCGCTTTGCAACAATACACACAACTTGGGAGAGCCATGGCGACTGACACGTGCTATGCATTAGACTGTTTGGATTCCTGCTTGGGTCGACGCTCGCCGGAGCGTCGGTATACTATTACATTCTCGAGGAGTACAAGGTCTCCAATGAGCTGTTGACGGAAGACATCTACGTATGTTGCTCCCATCCTTGGTTATGAAGCGCGCCTGCAGCAAATGCATGCGTGCCCGTCACGTTATTCGCATGCGTTTGTGCCCTCGTGGCTGCTCAGCTGCTAACGTTTGCTACAGGCTCTACAAGCCGCAGTGCAACGAATCCACTCCTACGTGACGGAACTTGACAACAAGATGGCCCAGATGAAAAAATGAATCTGAACCAAAAGTGCAGTGTTGTAAATGCATAATGGAAGGAAGAGGACCAAAGGCTTGTTATCGCGCCGGCTGGAGAGCTCTGTTATGGGGTTTCCTAGTCTGTTTACGCACACACGAGTCATTCGGATGATCTCATTGCCAGGTCAAGCGGCTGTAAAACCACAATCTTCTATGTCTATTTCACGTTCTGCGCTTGGAGTGGAGGAGCAGTATTTTCGGGCCTTCACCTAGGGAGACACATACATGACGGTGGTCAAAGGAGCTAGCAACTTGATTGATGGGTGAAGTGGGAGAGAAGTGCGATTTGTCGCGTCCAGAATGACGATGCCATTCCTCTCTACCTTGTCTGTGATGGCAACTCGTCGTGCACATCGCTAGCACAGAACTCATAGGCATGTAGAGCGTTGTACTCGGAATGTACATCAGGTAGCAAAATGATCTTGATCCGAAGCAACCGGGCTCAGCCTTGTTTGACTTGGTTTGGTTCCTATCCATCACGTGTCAGGCTGGGAAATTTCCCCAGGTTCTGTCCGCCCTCACTTATTCATTTGGAATAATTGTACTCGCGACTTTCCTTACCCACCACCACTACTTCTCCTCCTTCTTGACCAAAGTTTTCGCTCTCGTCTCTGTTCGGAGACAAAATGCCTCTGATAGAAGAACTCCCAGTGTCTGGGGTAAGTCGAATCTCGCACGGCTGGGCCTACGTTCCCGACACCGCGGCGACGATTCCCACAGTGCAACCCAGTTCCCGCAAACGAGGACGAGATGGAAATACTGCTGCGTCAAACGCACAAGCCGCGCACAAATTGTCCGCCAAGCAAGAAAAGGCCATACAGCAACGACTGAACGACCTGGGAAAAGAGAACCATCGGGAAGTCCACATACCCATACCCAAGCGCGAGACCGCAGGCGCGGGCACGGCGGCAAGAGTCAAGTCCACGCCAAACGTACGTCGCATATTGGGTTACAGTAGGACGTTTCAGCATTACTTGGCGGACGAGGAGGCGGGAGTGAATGTTTACGGTGCCGCTGCCGTCGCTGCGGCTGCGGCTGTTGCCGGGGGTGGCGGCGCGGGTGCATCATCAGCCAGCAACACCGCCTCGTCGTCGAAGAATGTCGTCGACGTTCGGAAACGGACAGATTCGAAAGCGTCGGCGAAGAAGAGAACGACGAGTTCGGCGAAGGAGGCGAAGAAGACGACCAGAGCCAAAGGGGGAAGGACGAGAGGGAAAGCTTCCGCTGTTGCTACAGAAGAGGAAGAGGAGGAGGATGCCGAAATGGTAGATGCTACGAATGCCAGCGCCGCCGTCGATGTGAAAAGGGAAACGACCGAGGCGCCGGCGGAACAGGACGTCACACAGCCAACCGACGCAACCGAGAAGGAACAACAAGCAGACAAGTACGACCCGGCGTTGGATAAAGATCCGCTCCTCAAGACACGCGATGTGCCAAAGCCACCGACAGATCGCGTGTTGCAGGCACTCTTGGCGGAGCCGACGCTGAGCTACAACATGGCCCGAGCCAAACCGTTGGAGGGCGCCGACAAGTCCGTGTTTGAGATCCGGACGGGCAGTAACGTCCTCGTGGCGAAACCTCAGCGTTGGTTCTGCGCCGTTTGCGGGTACTGGGGAAAGGTGAGATGCCGACAGGGTTGCGGAGAGAGGGTGTGTGGGTTGTTGGAGTGTTGGAGGGGACACGAGGGTGTTTGTGCCTTGGCTGGGTATTGAGAAAGTACCTTGGTCGAGGGAAAAAGACTACGATGATGGACATTGGTGGTGATGGTTGTGGCAGTGTCCAGTCGAGTCAAAGATCGAGAAAGAACAAGCGGAAGCGTCAAGTGTGCCGTGCTGTGCTGCGTTCAAAGCGACTTTTTTCCCTGTGATGAAATATGTACAGGTATGCATGGATGGGCTACAGGAAACGATAGCTACTAGGACTTTGATACCCCAGACGTTTACGAAAGGCACCATATGAAATCATAGAGACTTTGAAGGGTATGACTGCTCATACTGTATTATACAAGATATCATTGATCATTTCTCGTACACTCATGGTATTATCGTCGTGCTCATCCTGAAAGTAAATTCTGTCAGTGTCGTTTTGATCCGCAAAACAACACCGCATCGTTGTTGTGCCAGGGTGAATCCCTTTTACTACTTTACAAGTCACCTCGCAGTGCCTCTCTCCTAACACCGCAGATGCCACACACGCCCGCATCCCCACCGTTGAGATACCGATTGCCGCCCTCGCCTTTGCAGACCTCGCTCTGACACGACCAGTGCCGAGGGTCCTTTTTGGGATCCAGGACGTGGGCGCAGGCCATGCAAGTAGCGTTGGCCCGGGGGTTCTCGAGCGAGCATATCGGACATGGTATCACCGTCGTCGTCGGCAGCGGAGGGAGTGTCGTCGACACCACTGACATTCCACTCGTAGTTTTCTTCGTCGACGGTATGCGGCTAGATCTCTCCTCCTCAACTGCCGAACCTGTCCGAGGTAAAGGGTTGGATGTCGTTTTCTTGTCGTCGTCGTCGTCGTCGTCACCTCGCCCATCTTCCACTGGGCTATCCCGGTCCAGAGAGTTGTGTTCTGCGTGCGCCGACAAAGTCACAGCGCTCGGCCCAACGTCAACATCACGCTGTTCCTGCTGCTGTAGACGAGTCCTGAAGGAGTAATCTAGACCTTCCAATTCCCTCAACTCGTGCTTGACATTCTCATCGTCCTTATCTTCCTCTTCACATACCCTGACCATCCCATTCCCTTGATGGTCGAGAATTGTCATTCCATTGACGTCCTTGGCATCTTCTCCCTCGGGTACATCGACATCTTCGTAGTCTTCTTCATCTTCCTCGGTACTTTCCCCATCATCAGCATCCTCGGGACCATTCAACGCGGCAACCTCTTGCTTGTTCTTCTCGAACCTCGCCAGCGCTGCGGCAGCCCTGAGCTCTCGCCCACGCTTACTCTGCGCCACCCGAGGTTTCCCCCCGACGGGTCCTTTTCTGTTGATTTCCAACCCGAGTCTTTTGTCCTCGTCCTCCCCCAGGGTCACGCCGTTCTTGCCGAACTTCTTCTCGATCCGCCTCTCCTTTTTCTCCTTCCACGTCAACTCTCTCCCGTCGTCGGGACCTCCCTTGGCCCTACGTTTGCGTCTCCGTCTACGACTGCGGTACGCTCCTCCACACAGAGGCAGGTCCTGCAGCTCTCGACTCGTCAAGACGCCGTTGTCGCCCATCGTCGTCCTCATGTCGTCGAGGGTCCTCCCACTACCCCAGAACCCTTCGCCGGTGTAACCTTTGGTCCACAACCCTTTGAGTTGTTCGGCGTACGCGTTGCGCGTCTCCCAAAACGCCTTGCCGTGGTTCATGTGAGTGTTGTGCGCCAGCTCGTGCATCATGACCATGGCCACCATCTCGAACGGGTTCCATCGTCTGCCATCCTGACCGCGCAGTACGAGTTGGATCACTTCACCGTTGTTGAAGTTGCGCCCGATGAACTCTCGGTTGGGCTCGTGCTCTTCCAGCGTCGTCACCGAGAGGTAGTGGCCCTTCATGACGGGCAGGCACTGTGCCGCGATGGCCCGGAGCAAAGTGTCGGCGAGATCATAATCCGCTCGTTGTGCCGCCGGGCGCGGGAGAGGCTTGATGAACACTATCCTGTCATTGGGGTGGGACGACTTTTGGTGGTTGAGCCGTAATGTGTTGAGGGGCATTGTGAGATCTTAACGACTCCCTACGGGTATCATGTATGTGTAAGAGGCGTGCCTAGCATTGGGCGTTCAGATGCCACCAGTCTTATTATAAAATGAAGAAACACAAAATGTGCATCAATGTTGAGTACGAGTACGAGAACGAGTACGGAAGTACAAAAAAGGCCGGTCGCCACTTTCGCGCCTACGCGTAAAGTGATTTTCGCCAAAACACGTGATGAAACTTTTTGATGAGGGTGCCGAGGTACATTCGGTTCACGTAAGATCAGCAACTACTGTAAACCTCATGCCACGAAGAGGGTCTCACTCCGCCCTGGGTCTCTTAGTAGCCACGGGGGTGTTTCCCTTTGAGATACATTAAATATACAATCGAAATCGTGGTTTGTGGTTCTTGTGTCCTTTTCCAACTTTTCAGATATACGCACTGTCAGAATGGGACCGGTGAAGGCTTCTTCGTCGACGGCCGGCTTCTTTCAAGAACTACCGGTCGTTCCACCTCAATATACAAGTTCGAAGACAAGCCCAGGTCCATCCGAACCTTCTGACTCGAATACTGCCACATCCGACGACCCAGCTCTGCCCCGTGTTCTATCATTATATCTTCCCACACCCACGCCGCGAGAAATCTCAAAGCACCTCCATGACTTTTCGCGTCTCGTCCTGTCGCCGTCGACCCTGAGGCACACGGTCGACTGTGAGACGGACCAGCCGACACTGCACCCGCTCAACACGTTCGGCGAAGAGAACAAGGCGTCACCCCTCCGCACCGGCGAGGGCTGGCGGGCTCTCAAACGGATCCAGACCAGAGCCGGCGTCGTGGGCCACGGCTACGCCCACCCTTCGATCCACGCCCCTTTCAACCGGCGCGTGCACCAATTCGCGACGCTCCAGCTCTGGGACGGCACCGCCGCACTCACGACATGTCCCATGGCCATGACTGACGGGGCCGCCGTGCTCTTGCGCCGTCACCTCCAGGATGCTGACGACCTGCGGCAGCCCGGCCGGGCCGACGTCTTTCTCGAATCCTACCACCGGCTCATCTCTCTGGACCCAACCTACGCCTGGACCTCGGGACAGTGGATGACGGAACGCACCGGCGGCAGCGACGTGAGCGGCACCGAAACCGTCGCTCGCCTTATGACGCCGCAAGAACTCGAATGCGACGCCGCAGCATCTCGCGACAAGGACGCCCACGGCCTCCCCCTCGGCCCCTGGAGCATAAGCGGATACAAATGGTTCTCGTCCGCCACAGACGCCGACATGACCATCCTGTTGGCCCAGACAGGGAAAGGGCTGAGCGCGTTCTACGCCCCTCTTCGTCGCCGGGTCGGCGACAGCCACCAGACCGAAATGAACGGAGTCCGGCCCATCCGACTCAAATCCAAGCTCGGCACAAAGGGTCTCCCAACCGCCGAACTCGAAGTTTCCAACATGCGCGCCTACCTCATCGGCGAACAAGGCCAGGGCGTCAAAGAGATCAGCTCCATCCTCAACATCACCCGCCTGCACACGGCGCGGGGCGGAGCGGGATACCTGGCCCGCGGCCTCGCCGTCTCCAGAGCGTACACCCGCGTCCGCCGCGTCCGGGGCGGTCTGCTATCCGACAACCCACAGCACCTGGCGTGGATGGCTGGCGAGACCGTCAAATACGTGGCCAACACTCACCTGGTGTTCTTCGGTGTCGCATTGCTCGGGGCCTCCGAACAGGGTCACGACACCGTGACGCGAGGCGCACGCGCTGCGGGCACGGGCGGCGGCGGCGGCGGCGTCCTCCTGCCTCGCGAAAAGGAAACGGCCGACCTTTTGCTCAGGATCGTCACTCCCGTGATGAAATCCCAAGTCTCCATGAACAGCGTGTCCGGCTTGAGGGCGTGCATGGAATCCCTCGGGGGAGTGGGCTATTGCGAGAACAACGAGGACGGCGGGATCCTGAACATTGCGAGGCTGTTCAGGGACAGCGTCGTCGGCACCATATGGGAAGGGACCACGAGCGTCATGGCCGAGGACGTGTTGCGTGTCATCAAAAACTCGAAGACGAAGCAGAGTGACGTCTTGGATTCGGTTTTTGGAACTTGGACCCGTCGTGTCCTGAAAGCGGTCCAGAACGAATTCACCCTCGTCGAATGTTGGGCCGTGTCGAATCGGTACAAGACCCTGAAAGATATGGTCGATCGGCTCGACATGCAACAATTACTTCGTCGCGGAAGAGAGATCCTCGAACATGTCGAGGCGGTCGCGTGCGCTTGTCTGCTCATGTACGATGCCTGCAGTGACGGCGACGAAGTCGCCAAGGCCATTGCCAAAAGGTGGATCAAGTCGAATGCCCTGCCGGCAGACGTCACAGCTCTCGCAGAAGAAGCGGTGGATTGGAAAAAGGAAGTCGAAATGGATAGGAGGATCTTCCTAGGGTCAGATACTACAAAACCTAACCAGTTACCAGCAAGACTATGATGAGAGACAGTCACGGAATATAGTATTATATGTGAAGGCTCGGTATAGCTGATCTCATGGTGATACATAACTTTCCTTTGCAAACGTCGATACATCAATGTGTCAGCTAAACAGATCACTGATCTTGCCAACAAATCCAGCTAATCCAGATGGATTCGGCGCCGCAGCTCCCGTTACAGGACCAGGGGCTGTGACTGTAGGTACAACGAGAATCGAGTCCCCGAGATTCATCCATTCCACTGTACTCACGAATTGAAAAGATATTTCAATCACCTTTAGTCCTTCACCAGACACGGATCTTTCCGGGCCTTCCATCGCATCTTTACCGTCGAAAGAGAACATTTCCGCCTCTTGCTGGGAAGTGTCAAACCCATCCCCTTGTACTTGTTCATTCGTGGCCATGGCAATTATCTTGACTGCTGCACGAATGCTGTTGACGTAGACGATAGCGTGACCACCTAGTATTAGTGGCGGCATGGTAGGATGGGAGAAATCAATGGTTGAGAAAGTTGCAGAAAAAGAACGACATCCAGAAGGTCGCTCGTGGGCATCTATCAACACCATACCCTTGCGAGCCTTCTGCAGGTCTACGACGAGATCCCGATGGTCGTCGATGGATACAACTCCAATAGTTCCAGTTTCTCCAGGACCCATTCGAGTGACTGGGAGTCGGAGACTACGAAGCGAAACCACCTTTACCCGCACATAGACTGGTATCAACTGAGTGGCACTGAGAGACATCCTTGGGCTGTCTTGGTACGACCGCGAAAAGATACCGGCCCTTTTTGGAACAGATACAGCTTCAGTACTGTAGGATTTTGATTTCAAGATCGACCTGGACGCTTGTGGGGAGTTTTGTTCCTGGTCGATGGCGAATGGTCCAAGATCCAACACGTCTCCTACAGACAATCTGCCTTGAGAAACCAGCCCGCAAAGAACTACACCTTGGTTCTTGTGATCGACATGTGCATCCTGGGTGTACACGCGTGAAGGGGGTATGCTGAAGACCTCATCGACCTGGAAAAGGATTGAAATCCCAGGACTTGTGTTTGAACGAGACGACATCCAGTCACCAGATATTGTGATCGGGACTGAGCGTAGTAAAGCATGTACCTTGGCGATCCCTTGGCCGGTCACTGTACTGGTCATTAGAATAGGAACTTTTCTGCCAGCATTGCCGTCTTCCATTGATGCAACAAGTCGGTCGGCCTCAGCTTGCTCCTGGTCTGGAACGGATTGCAGTTCTGGCGCGAAGCCACCAGCTTCAGGCACTGCAACTGTCCCCAGGCTGTTTCCTAGTACCACAGGTACCTTTCCAGAGGCTTTCAGAGCTGAAAGTAGCTTTGTCAAAACCGAACGGAGGCCAGTCTTATTTGCGAGATCCATCTTGGTTATGACTATGATGAGAGGTAAATCTAATCGCAGACATAAATCAAGATGGCATAGCGAAAAATCAACCCGCTTTGCTGCTATGTGGTCTGCAGAATTTATGCTGGTAGTGACTGTTTCGCTAGATTGGCTTGGATTGCCCTCATTATCATCTGCCGCAACGCAGAGAACAGTCCAGGATGGCTTCCAAGATATTAGGCTACGAAAGGTCGACTTTGCAAATCGAGGAAGGCCGGGAGAATCGGACAAAAATACCAAGCGATCTGCTAGGTTGTGTATATCTGTCCAAGAAGAAACGTTGCCTGAGGCATAGTTGACGACGGGACTTTGGCATGCTCGGTCAGTCTGATAGCCAACAAGTTCTTGTGCTACAGAACTTGTAACTCCGGAAGCAATTTCGTGTCGATGTTTAAGCAGTGACAATCTGCTTTTCCCACGGCCGTTGTCGAGAGTGGATGTCGAGATCGTTCCAAGGAGGGTAGACTTGCCTGAAGAAGCAGCCCCAACCAGTGTGACCCGAAGCTGTTCCGTTGAGGCCCCCTCGACTACACGATCACGATATCTCTCTTCCACGATGCTTGCTCCGGAGTCAAGGGCCGTCACGGGCTCGTTTAGATCCGTGGTCGTTCGCGAGTCTGGGAAGACTAAAACTTCCGCAACCCAAAGTCCGTCCTCTTGCAAGCGGACCTTGTCCGAACGAAGCTCGGGATCCACCCTTTCGCCAGGCCCTACCAGAACTCTCCGAAGCACAATGGTGGTACAGCCTAGACTGGTGGCCATGGTTTCAAGGTTGCCCAGGCTCTCCTGCAGTTCTTCGCCCGTCAGGCCGACCAGCGTCCCGTCATCAGCCACACCGATTTCGTACAGCGCGCCTTGACTTTCTTCCAAGCCGGGCAAGAGCCTAAATGGTCTCCCAGGCACGCCTGACCTTGGGCCTGCTTCAGGAAGCATCGGCAAGACGAGATCGGCATTTGAAGAGGAGTGAAAAGGGGATGACTGCTGCAGTCTCCACAGCAGCTGTGTGGTCAATTGCTGAAGCCTGAGTTGACGGGCCTGTGCAGATGGCTGGCCCAAAGGGCGTCCCAGTGTCGAGTCGCCTGAAGTGTATGTCTGCCTGTCCGGCGCATGGGAGCCCGCCGGAGATAGGTCTGGACTCGTGGCCGCGGGCTCGTTTAGAGCAGCCCTACGCCTTGGGCGCAGAAGCAGGTGCAACTTGTATTCTGTGGGACCATCCTGCCTTTCCGGTTCCAGCTTCTCAACAAGAGGGGTAGTGAGGACACGCGTATCTTGGAAATTGTCCCCAATGGTAGTCTCAACATTCTGCGATGGCTGCGGAGTTGAGGTTCCCGGGGTGGACCATGGCGAATGTATTCGAGGAGGTTCGTCTTGGTAGGTAAATATGGATGCCATGACTGTAATATTACCAGCGTGAATCTATCCACCTCTTTCAACCTTCATATGAGATTCTGCCGTAACACCAGCCGTAATATCGATAATGAACGGGTTATTGTGTGAGAGTAGTAGAGCATTTGGGCCAGACGAAGGCACATTTTTGCTATTGATGAACGAGAGGTCTTTTGGTGCGAATTAGTTATGTTCTGGATTTGAGAGTCTCGGTCAAGCACATGGCAGTCTCGTAGAGAAGTCAGGCGTACTCGTAGAAAGAGATATGTCTGTGACTTGAGTCATTCCGGACAAACTTGACCACGAGTCACTAACAAGACGGACAGAGGCGCGAAGCAGCGAGTCAATCGTTGCATGTGACATCACGCTCCTGACTCGGCAAAGCGCCTTCACCATTCTACATTCCCAACTCATTTTCGTTTCCTCTCGACCACATCTGGCACATGAAGTACATTACAACTATGCAAGTCTATAGCGTGACTTCATTCACCTAAAATGTCCCAAACGACTTGAGATGACGCTTTGCGGCCAAAAAATATTGCTCTCATATGAGTGTTAACCACAACATGTCAAATCCTCGCATAGAGTCGCTCCACAACCCAGCATGCAAGAGGCATCCTCAGCGTTCCTACGCCTCAGTCCCTCACCTACTGGCTGACTCTCGGCGCCAGAAGCACTTTGTGTTGGCGCCAGCAACTCCGGCTGAAGAGTAGCCGAGTGGACGCCATAGGCATGAAAACACTCTTTAATTGTGCTAGCAAGGGTCATGAAATCCGCCATGGCCTCGTCGGACACAACAATATGAGCCGAAGCCACTGCTTTTTGCTGATTCAGGCGCCAGATATGCAGTTCATGTACTGCTAGTACACCATCGATCTGCAACCCTACTGAGTGATTGCCTCGATTTTGTTTTCGGGGGGGAAGAATGGACACGTACCGTTTCGATGTCATGTTTCACATCGTTGGGATCCAATCCTCGAGGAACAGTTTGCATGAGGATGGCGCCAGTTCTCTTGACTACATATTGTCAGAGGGGAAACACCAAAGGGGTGGATGTTAAACACATACCTAACGGGATGGCAGAGAACAAGATCATCAATGAAATCGCCATACTAACAGCTGGATCGGCGTAGAACCTTGCGGAATACTTGGCCTTCCAGATGACTGCAGCAGCAATAATGACGCCGACGTTGTTGGCAGCATCGCCAATGACGTGCAACAAAACACCCATCATGCCGAGATCATGATCGTGGCCTTTTTTTGTAGACCTGGTGGAATCTTCATGGCGGTGAGTGCTATGACTATGTCCGGCCTGTACGAGTATGGCCACGTCAGTATTCTGCAAAAGACAGACTTCCAGCACGCAGGAGCCACTTACGTTCACCGCACCCATATCAACGTCACTGGTTGCACCAATACCCTGATTCACAGCCTGGTGAACATCATGGTCGTGTTCTGTTTATTGAATTAGATTCGCCGCATCGCTCTCTCATCAGACTCAACATACCGTGTAGGAAGGCGGCGCTGATGACATTAAGACCAAAGCCAACGCATCCAACAATCAAAACAAGCTTAGGATTCTCGACTCCTACGATGACGGTGAGCTATCTGTGTTGTGTCGTGTCGTGTCATGTCCAAAAAAAGGTCAAGGTAGTCTTACGTTTCAAGTCGATGAATCTCTCCACCGCTTGCAAAAAGATACTAACACCCAATGCAAGTAGGAAGACGCCATTGAAGAAGCCACCCAAGAGATTTGCTCTCTGCCAACCGAAGGAAAGTTCTTTGGGAGAATGACTTCGTTCTGAGATCTGTGTTGGTAAAAAGTTTCGATTAGCTTATTCCATAAGGGGTACAGGGGTAACAGGGGGTATAGGGAGTATAGGGAGCAAATCCCATACATATACGGAGTAGGGATAGAGATACTGGGGAATGTTTTACCTTGAATGCAACAAATGCCACAACGAAGCCAACCAGATCGTTTAACTAGGACACACAAAACGCAAAAAGTTAGCAATCTCATCTTCGCAGCGCGGAAAAATCACTGAAAGTTGAATTCCTTACATAATGGAAAGCATCAGCCACTAGAGCCAACGACTTTGTGTAGAACCCGACTAAGACAGGGGGTGAACATTAGTTACTCTGTGGTCTTCGTATCGGAGTCTTTGGTACGGTTGGCGAGGCTTTTTCCCTCTTGGGCGGGGAGGGAACAAGGGACCTCCTGTCGAGTGCAGTTGAGGTTGTTCGAAACTCACCTCCGATTTCCGCAAGGAAAAAGGAAAACGATATTCCGATAATGATCATCAATCGTTGAGGTTTGGTGAGGTTGAACATGGTGAGTAGAGAAGGCCAGGAATAATTAGAGCAGTATGAGGATAGAAAATCATCAGAGACACAGAAATCGAGAGACAAAAAAAGGATACGGGTGAGGTCTTATTAGAATCCTCGGGCAGCTTTTTATATCTGGGGTTGTACTAGTGAGCCAGGTGTTAAAAAAAGCTCCCCGGTTACAGGGAGTAATACAGTACATGGAGTTGTCTCCAAACCCTGTGACACCTTGGCTCGCGTATCACTGTCAGGCGGTGACACTTGGCGTCTGAGCAGTGGTGGAAGATCTTTGCAAGCACTCCACATTAGACAACTACATGATCCTTAACCAAGGCCAGGGGGGAAAAACACCGAGAGACATTGGTTTCGTACTCGAACAGTGATTTACAGGGTAATCAAAACCATTGCAGTGGTTGTCACTGCAATATACGGAGAATTGGAGTATTCTAAACCTCAGGGTACAGAGGTACTCGACCTACCGACCCGGTCTACTGCAGATTGTTCATGGCAGCAACCGTCCTATGTTGAAACCAAACCATAGACTCCGTAGCTTGGGTACGGATTTACTAAAATACTTGTATAGTAAAGATGAAACTTCGGGCTCTCGGTACCTTTTAAAGACCAAAGTTTTCAAGAATCGGACTATTTAGATAGACAGTCTGTAGGTTACTAGGTAGCTATACTCCATGCTCCGAAAATAGGAGCAGGAGGATCCTCAGTAAAGTTGTTAAACGCTCCCCATTGTTTATGCATTTGTCCTTTTCCACCGAGCCTCGTCTTCCATGATTACTCCGTATAGTATTCAGTACCACGAATATAATCTTCGATGCCCTAAGGTTAATCCAGCTTGACAACCACCTTCTGTGCACTAACACCTTGATTATATCTGTCAATAGCCGTCTGTATAGCCTCCAGTCCACCTTCCACGACCAGCGCATCTGGCTTTGCGAGGTACCTCCCCTGCTCGAGAGCTTGAGGTAGAAAATTTTTCCAGACAGCCTTGTCCACTCCGGTGCCGACCATGGCTAGACCGAAGACTATGCAAAACCATCAATGTCAGATTTATCTCCCCAGTGGTGCAGACATTTTATTCTCAGTACTTACCTTGTTCAATGCTGACGCCCTTGCGATCCAACTCCCAGAATACGGGAACAGTATTAACGACCGACGCCCCGCCACCACTGCCCACCGAGATCTCAACTGCGGCTGCAACCGTGTCTTTGTCACCAATCGCATTGACAATGCCCAGGAGTTTCTTGCCTCGCAGATAGGTGAGGATGTCGTTGATTGTGTCTGGAGCAGAACGGTCAAAGGCTCGTGCAGCGCCGAGGGATTTGACCAATTCGAAGTTGTGTTTGCCAGCGGTTGTAATGACTTCTACTCCGGCAGCCTTTGCAAGCTGAATGGCGTTGCAGCCAACGGAAGAACTGCCTCCCAGAACGAGGATCACTCCTTCGATGCGTTTCGGAGTCAGTGACGGCACAGGAAGGCCGAGATGTTTCGGCAGAAAGAGCGCACTGCCCGCGGTCGACAATCCAATTGGTAGGACAGAGGCGGCCTCGTAACTCAATGAGTCTGGGATCGGAGCAGTAATTGCAGCTTTGACGACAGAGTATTCTTGGAAAGCTCCTGAATCTGGCGCCCGCTGTACGTAGGAATCGCAAGATCTGTCCGTGTCATAGCCCGGTCAGCAGCGTGCTCCTTCCACCTCAACGAAACCAATACCACATGGTGATTGATTTTGGGGAAAGGACTGACGCGATCACTCTCTGACCGACAGAAAGTCCAGTCACACCGCTGCCAACCTCGACGATTTCTCCAGCAACTTCACAACCAGGGACGATTGGATATTTGAACTTGAAAAGGTCCAGTTCTTGGACTTTGCAATCGATGGGGTTAATGGTAACTGCGGCATTCTTGACAACCACTTCGCCGACTCCTGTCGAAGGGTAAGGAGCTTCTCTTACCACCAGTTTGGCCTTGGCCTCTGGGATCCATGCTGCAAAATTGGTAGGCATCTTGTCCTTTTTTTGGTTAGGTAGGAGCTGAGTGCTTGTTACTGTTGCTTGCGACGTTTGAAGTATCCGTGGGATCTAAATCTTTTGTATTGAAGGACATTCGGGGTTTCGTCCACTGAAACGACGACACATTGCTCGAATATATACCGCGACTGTCATATTCCCATGAGAATCGGGGTCGGAGGTCTGAACCCCCATCATAGCTGTGGTGATGTTGAACTTTGTAAAATTGCTTTGAAATATAAATTGTCAACACTGTAGTCTGGATGAAGAAAATACTCGGCTTGGTGTTAATCCCCGAGCCGAGTCTCCAATGAAACCAGGCCAAAGCAGGGTGTACTACTGTAAGTAAACTCGGTCGAGCATCACTAGCCGTGCTTAGATGGGCCTCTGTGGAGGGCCGCGGGCACCACGTACTCCTTTGCCTTTGACTGTGTTTGCCTTGGATATAACGGAGTCAAACTGTACTTGGGATGTCTAACAATTGAAATTTGTGAGTACTAGCCCTTGATGTCCATGTACCTCAGGTAGATACTCAACCCCCCCGTACAGATTATGGCAGACGAAATATGCACAGAGGCTGTCATAGGTACAATATCGAGAATACTTTCAGAATTTCATTTAGCTGGGGGGGTATCTTGGGATATATAGTCTTTGTTCAACTCATTCGTGTCACGTACCCTTCTCGTCCGTTGCGTTCGCTGTTTGACATGAATCATCAATAGTATGTGATCTAGCCCTTGGGGAGGTTCGCTTGTAACCGATTATTTCCCTTTCTCTTCCCCTTCTGACACCTTCTCCCATTCGCTGTCCGTACTGATATAACCTGAGCTTTCACCAAGGCTTCGCCGTCTCCGAACTGCTTCCACGCCGTCGGTCGCTCGTGGCTCTAGCAAGGTTGGAGACTTTTGTTTAGGCTTTTCGTGCCTTTGTCCTTGTCCCGCTTGTACCGCCGTAGTTTTGGCCGACTGCGGCTCGGTAGGTGCCGAAGAAGACGTCGGAGGGCCTTCGGTCTCTGTGTCGCTCGCATTTTCGGTTTCTGGACTCTTGGATCTCTTCACTTGAGCCTTGTCTGCCTCTCGTGCCTTGGAAACCTCAGTTGCAAACCAGTTGATAGAATACCAGAGCCCACCGCAGAGTACAGACAAGATAAGGAAGTGAATCGAGTAGGTGGCGAGGAGAAGGATCAGAAGGAGGAGTTGCAAAGCTGCAAACGCGGCGTTTGTTGCAACGAGGAGAGTCGGCGTGGGACCTGGAGTGAAGATGGAATTCCAGAGTTCCTCGAAAAATGAAGCCATGATGCCAGCGAGCGGGTGCGCAGACACACAAGACGACGTTGACCTTGCTTTGTCGAAAAATCAGTCTCGAGAGAAGAAGATGAAGGGGCTAAATGGCTGCTGCGACGAAGAAAGCCCCGCGATGGGGTCTTTTCCCTCCGGCTTTATTTAACGGTTTCAGCAAACAGCCCCTCCTTTTTGTACAAACGCGCTTCTAGATGGACGAAGAGCTTGGAAGGACAGGTGGTAGATTTGAGTGGTTGGCTGGGATTGAAGACGTGGCATCAGAGGAGAAAACAGTGTGAGAGTGACCGGGCCAGCCGCCGTTGGATGACTGGTGTTTTGCTGGTAGTTTTGGTCTGTTTTGGGGGAAGTTTGGAGGCCGGTGACAATGCGACAGGCGACACACTTCGTCATAGGCCAAAGTCATGTGCCCCCCGGGTGATGCCTAAGTTAGTCAGCAAACCTGCCTACATATCTGACCTTTACAAGCCATACTGTCCTCTCCATTTGGCTGTTGCCCGTACTCGTCCAAGTAAAGCACCAACATTTCTGCGACTACAATGTGCCGTATGTGCTCACGATTCTGGTCGAGTGTCGGAAGAGAGGCACTGGTGGTTGGTATATGCTCCCTGTGGTAGAGCAAGTGATCGCCATTGGAGTCCTACTGTATCAACTTGGACAGCAACTCGTGGGCGTGGACGTTTTCGTGTTCAACCTCAACTCTACAACCACGTCAATCAAATGATAAGCAAATGCTCAGGTATGTGTCTCGCAAACTATCACCTCTCTCCGCCCTTTCGGGTCTTCGTGGTTGCCCAAAGTATGACTATCTTCCATCAGTCACACAGACCTCGTTGCAGCAGCAATTTCTTGTCGGACCAGAGGGACACGTTACAACGTCTACTGTGCGAAGGGATTCCTGAAAAGAACCTCAGCTCCGGCCGTCGTGCAATGAAATCGCGGCCCGTGTTGGCTCCGTCCCTTGTGACAGGGTTCTATTTCACGAAGCGTGGGCCTTATACCATATATCTCACACCTCCTGCCAAATGTCCGTATATTGGGAAAACAGCGAACATCTGCTGAAGTATCACGCTTCAGGAGATCGGCGTCGGGCAACGGGTACTCGTATCGCATGGGCGTTTTCATGAGACACTGATGATGTCAAACATTTCACTTCATATATATAGCGTGCGGCTGAAGTCCCATCGCGGTCCAAAATTTCGCTTTCACCAGCGGCATCCTCCACCGGCGAGAAAATAGGTTAGCAACCAGCGGAATGTCGGTCATGTCAATTGTGAACCAGGTTTCAAAGTCTGAATAAGTGTGGTGGCTTGGTGTGTGGCTCACAAGGGACGGGACCTGTGTTGGTGTTGTGGGGAAAGTCCCGTACGGTGCTCACCACTGTGATTCTTCGTATAACGCTCGAAATAAAGCATACGGGATCTACAAAAGGATCAAGCCCAAGGCGTCTACTGTTGACAGGGCACCCCACGGCAGCTTTTCTTGGAACCTTGTGCCCGGTGGAGCATCGAACGCTTCATTACGAGTGCTAGCTTTGCCCTTTGTAGCTGCACATTGCAACTATGACGGCCGCCAGCACCAGACTACTGCTGTAGTTTGATGCTCGTATATGTTATGCATCACTAGAATGATGATGTACCTTTGCCGGAGCGAGGAGCTTGAATGCTTTGAACAGGCTCTGAGCACCGGATTGGTTGAATCGCAAAATTGCAGACCGACTGGGAAGTGAGAGAGGCTCCTCCGGTGATGATGAATCGGCGCAGTGAGCTGACCGGAACGACCTACTTGACCTGAAAAGCTCCATTCGATAAATGTCGCTAACTAGCACGGAGTAGTGAGTGTTACTAACTTAAGTATGAATTCAATCGGAATGTGCAGCTTCTCGCCAAGTGGCCGTTGACCTTCGAGCACACGAACGGACCAATCATCGTATCTCGATCGGAGTTTCAGATTTACGACGGCCGACGTCGACCTTTGGGGGCGAGATTTGTCCAACCCTTTTCTTGCGGCCTCTTTTCTCACCTTGTGAAGCGCACTCAACCACTCGGGATCTTCGTCCCGTCGCCCAATAAGGCCAAAAAGAATGGCATTTTTGCGTCACCAATGACACCAGTATTGCGTCTTTCCCCATAGAGCATCTTCTGCGACTCCTAAAACAGCCTTGGACCTGCCGACGAGTTTTAGTATCGTTGTTGGCGAAGGGACGACGACGGCACCGGAAACATACGAGGTCCGGCAATCTCATTCCAGCAGCATAGCTTTGTAGCTGGGGCAAATACACTTCTCGCATGGACTTTGGACAATGTTAGAATGCGAGCCCCGAGGCTGAGCGACAACCCGAATCGGGAGCAGGTGTGTCTTGTACGCCAACGTGCTCCGCGTGAGAACCTTCGGACTCCTCTCCATACTAATCCACCAGGCTGTGGTAGGCAGAAAAAGCGCCTGCTTACTTCGTCCTCATCCGGCCTAGCAACCATCGAGCCCGCTCGAGGATGTTAGGAATTTTCCGTCGCCCTATGGCACATCCTTCAACCATAGAGGCATGATAATGCGCTCTGGCTGTTATTTCAAGACCGATACTGCATGACCACCACAGCCGTATTCAAAGATGACCAGACTGGGTAATGTATGCTGGTGTGGACGCCGGTGTATGGCCCCACCCTGTTGAGGTTATGTAAGTAAGCAGTGCTGACCGTGGCTGAGGTAGCTCGGCTCCTCGTGGTCATTGGGTTGATGTGGGCTATGCTGCAAGTACCTTGGTTGCTTCGTTGCGCTCCACGTTTTCTCGGTGTCTACGTGTGCTCCAATGCTGTACGTCCTTGACCTCACATTACCACTTGCTGTACCTTTGGCTCTACACTCCATAACCCCGGTCCGCGAGCTAGACTCAACAGGTCAGATCCATAGGCAGCGGATATGTACCCAGCTCAGATTTGGCCCAAATACCCAGGTCGTGCGACACCACTCCTAGCCATACCATTGCCGATTGCTCTCGTTGCCGCCTACCCAAGTCCAAAGAACCTCCTGGCCCCTTGATACTTGCCCTTGATCGGCCACCCCGTCATCATCATCTCGAATCCATCCCCCTGGGATATGCATTTGTGAGGTCAGGCTTCATAAGAAGGTCCGAGCCACATCCGCGGGTTGCACCTGCACGCACTCCTCAGGCCCCCGAAGACAGGCTCGAACTCAGTCTACGAGTAGTCATAGCGCACGAAAGCCGTAGGGCTACGCTAACCACAGCCAAGGGTGGCCACCGAGGGTTTCTCCCTTCAGATCAAGCCCATTATTGCCATCGTATCCGCCTCGAGTTCATCGTTCTACCCTTCACCTTTCCCCACCATCAACCCCCGTTCCCGGACGGCATTATATACAGAGGTCCATTGAACACCAATCCCGGTCAACATCTAATTCCGCCGTCATCTACACCATCGCTGCCATCAGCAGGCGCGGAAGTCCCAGTAGGGGGGATAAAAGCAGCACTATTTCGAAAACTTATTTGATCGGAGCGAACCCGGGCCTTTTCGAGGGGTACATCTACCGCCGACTCCCCATCCTTCGTTGTCAATCAAGACCACCATCCATTTCGAGCCAACCATCATTCAAGAAAGCAGGAGACATTCGTGTTCTCGAGCTTGCAATAGCAGGCTCGAGTGGATAGACCGACAACATTGCGAACCTCAATTCATCACACTCGACTTCGTCTTTCTTCTCGACGTCGCCCTCTAAGCTGGATCGCTCGTCTAGTAGACCGCATAGCACAGCGCATAGCGACGCTCAGGCTTCGAGTGTGAGTGGGCAAGACGGCCCTCAGGTCCTGTCATATTACCCGGAACATCAAACAACCAGGCCAAGCATTGGCAGCAACAACGTTCTGCGCTCTCAACGGGGAGGAAATTCACAGATACAACACTTCAATCATACAAGCCCCCAATTTTCTTGGGTTCAGAACCCGACACAAGGTCGACCTCTCCAGGCGGTTGTTCCATCAATCGGTGTCACTCAATTCTCTTTGCCGCAGCAAGGGTCAGTACTTGCCTTGGGAGAGTTCCCTCCTCCTTTGCGCTTTGACTAACTGGACTGGCTTATCTAGGATGGCAACTCAAGTGATTTCAGCGCCACCGGCACATTTTCTTCCTCAACAGTTTCCATATCATAGCGACATGACATCTTCATACCATCGTAAGGACGACCCGGCCACTTGTACATACTGAACCGACTGACTCGCTACAGAATATGAGACGATACCATCGAGCCATGGTTCGTACAGCCCTGGAGACTCGAGACAATCACATCTTATGGTATCTCCTCCAACCGCAAATTCCGAGGTTGCGTTTCGGCGACGATCTTCTCATTCACCGCAGTCAGGCTTGGTGGCACCCGTACCTCACGATCGGACCCCTATCCGGCACAACAGGACCAACACTATGCGTGATCGCAGCCACAGCCGAGGCGACATGTTACTGTCCTACGCTGCCGAGCAAAATGCCCTGCATCAATCCCAATCTCTCCCGTCCATGACAGGCATGCGATCACAAAGTGGACCCGGTATGGCGCAAATGTATGGAATACCTACCTATCATATGTCGCCACCATTACCTAGTTTTCCGCAACAAGGAGGTTATTTTGGTTCTCACATCCAAGCGAACGTTGGGAATCAAGAGGGTACAGATTTTCCTTTGGCCCAAGGCGAAGGGGAGATGCAGCAGAACTTCTACCCCGTTGGACGAACCTCATCACACGGATCTGCAATGAGTTTACCCACGCCCGAGTCATCCAACGCACTTTATCTCACCCCGTCACATGGCCAGCAACCATTGCAATCTATCGGGGCCACGATGCAGCCATTTCCGCCTGTTCCATCGACCTTGGAATCTTCGCCTGCGGAGATTGAGATAATGCCATCTCGGCCGAAGCCGCAATGCTGGGACCACGGCTGCAACGGAAGACAATTTTCTACATTTAGCAACCTGCTTCGACACCAGCGGGAGAAGTCTGGTAGCGCAACCAAGGCGATTTGCCCTCACTGTGGCACCGAGTTCACCAGGACCACCGCACGCAATGGCCACATGTCCGGTGGCAAGTGCAAAGGGAAACCCATCCCCGAAAGTTCAAACCGAGTCAAAAAGGGATAAGAAGAATCGTGGTGTCAGCATTCGGTGTTACTTATTCACCATACGAAGATACGATTACGACATGGGACGATTTCAGCGATCCTACATCGGCGTTGCTGGAAGGGAAAAAGTGTCAGATGAACCATGCGATTTCATATTACTGACTGACAATGTCACTCAACCAAGACTTGGAACACCAGGTGTGGGTCCTCATCGACATGTGTTGTGGCGTGGCCTTGACTGTTCAGCTTGCCAGTGCCTCTTTGCAAGGCAGACGCCACTTTGTAGGCATTCACACACATTCGTCACGGACAAACGCCATACGACATACCTCGGCCCCAAATATTACGGTTTGATAAAGGGACACGGTACGACCAAGGGTCAGTCCATGCCTTTGCTGCGCCTTGAACGTACCCTGCAAGGCTCCGCACTGCCCACGGCTTTATTTTCTTTAGGGCCGAGGCTGGGGCCACAGCCCTATGGCCATCAACCGACATTGACAGTTTGGTACAGCTGGCTGACCGAGAACGAAGCCACGGGCCGCAAGAGTTGCACTATATCTATCTGCCCCGGCACACGGACGTAAGTGGACGTCGCACAGCCAAAAGTTGGCCCGGCGAGTCCTGGGACCGGGGATGGGGGGATGGGGATAATCAATTGACAAATTTATACTCCCCGTATTTGGCGAGAGTGGGAAAAGAAAAAGATTCACATCCTTGTACCATGTTGCGTTTGTTGATGTGTGTATGGTAGATTCCGTACGGAGTACCCAAGTAGGGTAGTGGAGAGAAAGAACGTGAATGACGGTGCAAGGAACAGGGGATGATGGAATTCAGTCTCTCCCTCCCTCTGTCAGGTGTGCCAAGTGTACTCTCCGTAACCATATAGAATAGAAATCAGGCCAAAATGTTTGGAGACGAGCAAATCAGCAAGCAAGCAAAGTGTGAAAGTGAGCATGGGTCGTGTGTTCGTGATCAATACCATTTAGGATACGGGGGGGGCGAGGCTGACACCGTCTTGGCCGCGTCGTAAAAGATCCGTTTACCGACTACGGAGTATCCGATGAGTTTGTTAGTGAATTATTACTCTGTACAAAGCTTTACAGTAATACTCGGTAGAGATTCAACAAGTCTACCAGTAATCGGTCTCAATACAGAGTGGGTTTGGTTTGTCAGTATCCTCCCTCGATATGATGTACTCCGTACTTAATTATATTGTATTAGTACTGTATAAGTCACCTTTCTTATGGCGCCCCTTTTCCACCAATTGCTGCCTCGACTTCCCCGTCGCCGGCACCCAAAAAAAACTCCCCCATCTTCCTCTTCCCTACGGGTAATACAAATTGTCCTTTGCTTTTCTTTTATGGTCTTGTTCATCAATATCATCATCATCAATCATCAAGTAATCAAAGGTCATCAAATGGCCGACATTTTATCCTCCTCTCCACCCCGTTCGGAATTCCCATTCTACCACCATCTGCTGACGCACCGCAATTTCTCCGTCGAGCGAGTCCAAGTCTGCTTTTTTTTCTCTTTCCAACATGGGGGGGGGGGGGGGGAAGATATGATGTACTCCGTATTGTGGATTATCCTTCTCGTTGTCCGAACTCTTACTCGTATGTCATGCATAACCCACGTTATTTGGTTTCTTGTCCTTTTGAATGTTACACCGTTTACTGTACTCCGTACATGAAAACCAAACAAAACTGACCGGGGCGAAATCGAAGAAACACGAGTCGCCGCCACCGTAAACAAAGCGAGGCGAATGACACCCCCCCTGCCCTCCCAAAATTCCCTGTTTTGGGTCGGTCCATTGCCATGTCGTTTCTCACCACAGCGGCTCTAAGCTTTCCCAATGTCACCACTCTACGTCCCCTCTACGAGTCAACAATCCTACATGACAAAAACAACAAAACCATTGCGGGGGCCTTACAAATGATCAAAGTACCCCTTACAAGGTACGAGTACATACGGATAGGTTCCTGGCCTTTTTGTTTTTCTTTTTCCACCTTCCAACCCCTGTCATCATCATCATCATCATTGCATTGCCCGAATAAAAATGGCGTTTGACCCTGGAAGATCTTACGCGAGACACCACGCTTTGTTGATCATGGATCATTATTTGTGGGCGAAACAAATCGGTCCACCACGGTAAGTGCTGATTAGTCTTTTTGCCATCAACAATGACACAACAGAACGCCGCCGCGGGACGAAGATCATGGGAAAGAAAGAGACAGAGAGAGAGAGAGAGAGAGAGAGAGAGAGAGAGAGAGAGACAGAGAGAGAGAGAGAGAGAGAGATTGTGTGTATATGTGTGTGTGCCAGTGTTGCTGTTTTGACACGAGACTTTTGTCGTTGTTGTTGTTGTTGTTGTTGAAGAAGAAGAAGGAAAATTTTTGCGTTTCTTTTCATCTCATCTGTCGCTTACGGTGATCATCACGAGTGATGATAAGATGCCAGGGGCTGAGATGCAAGCTGAGCAGCCTGCCGCCATCCTCCCCCTCCCCTGGAGATGAGATTCTAAGCAGTAATCGGGGACGCTTATTCCCAACGTGCCGGCCCTGATCGTCACGGACAAGTGTGAGAGGGCAAGTGTGTGGATTGAAGGTTTGCTCTCAGGATGACCAAAAATGTTGGTAGTCACCTGGACGATACGGTGTACCAAAAGTCGAATCACGAGCCTTACCTTACGCCCCCTCCCCTACTCCCCCCTTACCCCCAAAAGGGCAAGCCACTTATTCACGTACCTTTCCGCGGGAAATTCACTTTTTCTCTGCTTTTTGAAACCAAAAAGTTTGGTCAACTCGATCCGACGGTGGCAGCGTGTCTCGCACAGGTACAAGTCGTACTGCCATACTCCGTATGTAACCAGTTTCGCCACAAACCAAAGAAAAAGAGTCTCAAACGGATTTTCACTGAACTGAATATATTCTACAAACGCTTGCAATCAACTAATTAACCCCCTAGCTAGACCTTGCCTGATCCGTATGATGTCCTGTCGATTCGAACTCTCGTTACCATTCATCATCAATCCCTTTATCGTTATTTCCTTCACCAGTCCCAGGATGATAAGGCCCTTTCCTCACTTACCAGGCAGGCTTTGGTTCGTCACCGAGGAGGACAGACATGGAGGCCGTCAAGTCCATCCGGGAGCCTTTCAACCTAGCCAGCAAACCTTCATGAGCCAACTTCTAACGGATGTAAACATGACTTGAGCCCGTCCCATAAGCCGTGAGCCCTGCTGAGTGGGATTCTTCTTTCGTCTCGGTTCAGTGAACTCGCCAAAATCCTTCATACCCACGCAGAGGAGAACTTTGCCCTTTGCGTGTCCAGCGTTCATGAAAGCCTGCTTGTTCGTTTGAAGGTGGCTATTCTGACGACTGGATCAATCCATTCGAGATACATCCGACCATCGTTTCCGAAATGAGCATGTCACTTCGATATTCGTTCTTATACCCATTTGTATCAACCAGTCCTTGTAGTTCTGAGTCATAGATTGAACACTGTTATAATCTTCCATGCCTTGCTTTGAAGATTGAAATTTTATCGTCATAAAAGAGAATCTCGCGTAACCGCCAGGTCGGCTTTGGCACGTTCGAATTCGACCCTTGCAAGCCCTCTTCGTCGGTCATTTCTTCATCACTACTTGAGACAACTTCAAAGTCACTCGTATCATCCATGTCTCCATCCTCGTCGTCGTCATGAGAGAAGCGATGACTGTGGTGATGACCTTGAGGTGTTGGATGGGCATCCCCGCCAGCGGGTCCCGCATCCTGGTCGGTATCAACGTCCTCACCAGAGTGACCGCCGCTTCCCGATCCATTCGGACCAGTCAAGACAGGTCCTTTCCGCGTGTTGGCGTACTCGAGAATTTCGTAACAATGCGTTTGTATACCCAAATAACACAGCTCAAGTTCTGGTCTTAGCGCGACAATGTCGAGGACTTGCAATGCCGCGTCGCGTGAGTGGACTGTGCCATTGACATGCTCGGCAATGTGTGAAATGTGCAATGACCGCAAGGTTGTCGCATTGGGCAGTCGTCGAAGGAAGTGGTGCCAGTCTTTGTAGTCGATCGACATACTCAGCTCCCGAAGCTTCATCTTTCCGCTCGTGATGCAAGTTATCAATTCACGATTAAAGACCCATCGTCTCCACGTGTCTGGAGGGTCTGGATCTTCGGTTCGCAACGTGCTGTCAATGAGTAATTTCCTGAGACTTCCGCGGTGTCTGCGAATAGCGCCCCTGTATATCATGTCTATTGTGACTTGAGACTTGTAAGTTGGGTTAGCTTGCAAGAAAAGCCACTCAAGACTATCGGGTGCAAGTGTGTCTTTGATAAATGCGATCAACGAAGGCGAAACAGTGTCGGTATGAAGCCTCTTGAGTCCAAGCGGATAGTCCGATGGAGCAGGTTCCAAAGATGACGGTGCCGTTTCGGTAGGTATCTTCGAAAAGCCGTTGGCAGATGTCCTGAAGACTGTCGATGACACTCTCCTTCGACTGGTGGGGGTGAATTGTTTGCGGAGTGCCTTCCAAAGTTGCTCATGATTTCTACAACCCAGAAGAGTGAGAGTTTTCAACCTTGACCAGTCAATTGCTTTGGACAAGACTGTAATCGAAAGATACACCCGCTCAAGTTCCAATGTGTTTAAGCGGAGCTTCCGGAAAGGACGGTTTTCTTGATAGGGGTCGTCGAATGATTCCCCAGCATTTCGAAGATTGCTCTGTTCTGGAACGTGACGCTGCTCGAGAGAGGTATTTTCTTTCGGTGCTGGATCCGATTCCTCATCTTCGAGGTTCTGAGCCGAAAGAATAGCACCCAGATGCTCAACATCCATCGCCTGACTATGGACCTCAGCGACATCTTTGCCATTTTCCGGGTTGTGGGATTCATCGACCTCCTGGATCGAGTATTCTTGTGCTTCAGGGTCAGAAGTGAAGTCTTTGGTTCGATCTTGAACGAATGGATCGCAGAATCGATGCACGAGAATCCCCAGAATTCCCCCAGGCCTCGGCGTTTGATCGCTTGGCGAGGACATCAAAGGCTGCAAGACAGGGGCTCTATTATCTGTTGGCCGGGCCCATATGTCGTATTGGGCGTGTGGAGCCATCCCTACTCGTAGTTCTTCCATCTTGTCAAGTGATCTCTCAATAAGAACACTCATTTCCTCGGCGTAGGGCAACTCATCAATGTCTAGGGCACTAAGACTTCGGAGGGGAGGCAATATTGAAAAGGTCGGAAATTCAACGCGAGGGTATGGAGGGATTTGGAACAAGGACGTTGCTGTGCCAGCTAGAATGGATGGCAAGTTCGAAACATGCGCACCGGGACCGGCTCCTGGTAGTGGCGGGGAAGCCAACGGGCCTTGATCTTGGTTATCGTGCCATCGAACCCATATCCGTTCCAAACGACATTCTTGCCCATCGTCGCGGTTACCAAGAGAAGCGAGAGCCAGCCATACATCTCGGAGAACACCAGTGGGCATATCCCAAATGAAGGCTTCCAGATTTCGCATTCTCCCAATTGCAAGAGCAACGAGTGTACCGAGCATTTTGCCGCCTTCTTTGGTTATGAGATACTCTTGAACCCAATCCGCCGGCCCATTCCCCAGACTGAACTTCTTGGTATACTGAGCAAAATGGTTGCCACGTCGTATCTTTCGAGGGCCGTCGGAGTTGAGAGGTGTAGGGTGATTGTGGTGTCCACACTGTTGACACTGGTGCAGAGACTGTTGCTGGTATGGGGCCTCACCAAAGACGTCCTGGGCCATGACCAGAGTTGCCAATCCATATGTCAAAGCATCAACTCCCATGCGATTCTCGAAAGTGGCATTCGCATCAGGCCAGACAATATCAAATCTGGAGTAGATGTGTGGGATGACAAGGGCATGCAGGGCAGAGTGGGTGAGGGCGAGTGATGTGAGATCGTTAGTATGGGTGAGTTCCTTGAGAATGGCTTGTAGAATGTCCATAGGCAGGTCAAGGAGACGTAGCGGTTGTTTCTGTGAAGAGATAGCATCCCATTCCGGCTTCTTTCCCTGTAAGTGTTTGGCCAGAAGTGTGTGATGTCCCGCTCTTTTCATCTTTTGACTGCCATCGTCTCCCTCATGGCTCGATTCCATCCTGTGATGGTCTCGGGTCTACGTTCACTCCTATGTGTTTGCAGGTTTCGCGAGGTGTGTACTGCGGAAAGTCTGGTCTCTTTGATTAAAGGCTCAAGGCGGTGGCCCTGAGCCGGGACAGTGCGTGCTAGCTGAACATGAAGGGTGAGACGATGAAAGGGCGACGAGGTGAGAAGAGGAGCGACGATAAGCGGTTGACGTGCGGGCCAGGTTGGACAGACAATCGAGTCACACGGTCTGTGGTTGACGCTGGCAAGTGTAGAGTTGGCTGTTGGGCTGGTGCAGTCAGGCCCAAATAGAATGTGAATGACTTGCGGCGGTTATTCGTTCTGTATCCGTACATTACATACAATAGGCGTAGTAGGTTGGCCGGGGAGCTGGAGGGAGGCTAAGCACCGCCTGGGAATAGTGCGATTCGGGAGCACCACTTTACGCGCTCCACGCCAGAAGGAAACGAGGGGCACAACTAATGAGATCGACCGTCGTGTGCTGTATGGAGTTGGACTTCTGAAGGGTAATTCGTAGGGATAATGATCGGTCACAGACACCTTATGGATAGTCAGGACTTTGTATGAACTGATAATGTTGATGGTGCCTGATAGGAAAAGATCGACCAAGACAGGCGCATAGGTGTGGGATAGAGAATACGGAGTTGTAGGTATTGGAGATGATGTCCTTCGTCCTGCGCACTGTACTGTGTCTCGACGTGTCTGAGGGTGACTTCTCTGCAACTGTGTTGTCTCAAGGGAAAGAACCGGGGGAGCCTGTGATATCTACAGGTACCTAGTGAAGCCAGGACAGGCCCTCAACACTTACGGATAGCAGCGAGTCAATAGTGAGACCCTGACGCCCAGTCAACCCCGGTCAGTCAAGTACAGGGATGTTTCTTGTACGGCAAGACGGCATGATATATTTTGTCACCCATTGAATTAACCTGCGTCGCTCCTTCCTTTCTTGTTTGAACCAAATCAAACCACCTGCAGCATAACAATCATTCCATCTCTATATGGCTTAACACAGTTCCTCCGCACAATCTTGCTCTCGCCGGCGAGCAATCAAGGTTGCGTCTGCACCCATCACTGTCGCTGTCACTGTCATTGTCGCCGGCCGTGCATCTCCTCCCACGCTCTTGCCTACAACCTTCAACGCAGTTGTCTTCCCCGCTTCACAACGTCGTTCCCATCCTACCACCTCATCCCATCCTGTACCACCTTTCCAGCAACCTTACACCATCATGGAGACGCTGCCAGAGCTTGCAGCAATGCAGCAGTGTCCAGACGAGGTACTTCTGAAAGTCTGCCGTCTTCTGGACTTCAAGAGCCTGGCAAGCTTCCGACTCACTGCCAAACGTCTGGCTGCTATTGGAGCAGAAGCTTTGGTATCCAAAGTTCGGTTCCATTGTAGTCAAGACTCTCTCCAGCGATTGAATGCTATAGCCAATCATGACGTCTTCTGCAAAAATGTCGAAACGGTTGTCTTTGAAGCAAACATTCTGGCGAATATCGGCTGTATTCACTCCTATTCTGCCCACTACGAATTGGAACACCACAGAGAAGAGAGACCGCAACCACCTCCAAGACATGCCACTGATCGGGAGAAAAGATTGTTTGAACGCAACCTTGCCAAGTTCCAGAAAGAGATTGAGAACAAATATGATCGCTATCGACAAGTTCTCAATGACCAGCAGGACTTGATCAAAGGCACAACCTACTCCGAAGTACTTGGACCTAGTATTCGACGCTTTCCACGACTCACCAAAATTGCACTGAACACCGTTGGAAGGTGCAAGCACGTATTATCAGAAAGATTTCTCGAAACCTTTGCTATTGATTGTGCAATGCCAATTGAAGGTGATACCAAGCATACAAAGGAGCAGCTCAAGCATATTCTCTTCCCCCAAAGTCGACCTTTGACCAATCTTCGCGAACTCGCAGTCCATGTCATGTCTCCAAAATTCTTCAGTGACTACATGCCACGCGACATGATCTGTGTGGCCTTCAGTAACCTCAAAGTAATTGAGCTGGGTCTTCGTCTTGAGCGGGATGAAGTTGTCACCTGGGGCGACATGCCGGCAGATACCTGTTACGGAGACCTGCGCAAAGGGATTCTTCGAGATGCCTTGTGTGCAGCTACGGGTCTAGAATCGCTCACGGTCAACTTCGAGGATTACGGTTATCATGGCCCTTGTACAGACATGAAGATGATTCTTGGAGAACATTCTTGGCCCAAACTCAACTACCTGGACCTCGATTGCCTGTCGACTACTCAGGATGATCTCCTGGCCATGTTGAAGCGTCAGCCCGCCATCCATGTCTTCAAGCTCGGTTTTATCACGCTAGAGCGGGGCTCTTGGGTTGATGCAACTCGACGGATGCGTAGAGAGTTGAAGCTTGCCGCTTTCTCCGCTCAAGGTATCTTGGAGGACTCTGAACAAATGTATCCAATGCACTTTTTCGATTCGGAAGCCTATGTGGATAGCTTCCTGGAGGTGACTATGTCTGATTCTCTCGACGTCTACGTGACTAGTCGCTACGGTTCGAACGAGCTTGATCATGACGACGACGAGGAGGACGACCTGCATCCGCTCGAACATGACGACTTCGGAGACCCAGAAGAACTTCGCATGGACTATGGCCCTTTCTCGGATGAGAGCACTGATCCGCCTGATTCAGACGATTCAGAGATGGACTGCAGTGGTTAATGGTGGTCTCGTGACGCCACCGCCTCCAGCAGCCAACCCATGTAACATATGACCTTACGACTTTTATTCATTTTCTTGTAACATTATGAAGACTTGCATGTTATGAGAGACGCACGACAGCGGATACCCCATCAATTTCGGTTGTTTTATACTAATGTTTCTCACAAATTGGCGCTCGATTAGGCTTGTGAGCCTCGATTTATTAGGATGGGTTGAGAAAAGATGGTGCTTTGATGGAGAGGTCAAACAAAAATTATGCTGCTTGTCTGCTGTATGTATGCACACAGAGCAAAGATGGGACAAGCTATTACTTGGAAGCACCACAGAGATTGTGGTAGAATTCCAGATTGCTGCATCAGACGTTTAGTACGGATAGAAAATGTACCTGTCTTTGGTATGGTTGGCTTTGCTCACAATACCCTCTATGAATCGGATAAATATCGGAAACGTGCCCCAAAAAGTCGACCTTTTTAATGATTTCACCACTCGTAAATGGTATGAGCTACATTTTTGATTTATGCAGATGCTCTTATAGAGATACCAGTCGACGACTTGCCGTAGGAGTCTTTCGGAGCTGAACGCACTCAGCATGCGTCCAACCAGTCGACTACTCGCGGCTCCCGCGACGCAGGCGTTTCGTCCGGGCCAAAGAGCTTCCGCACTCGCTCTCCTCCCTCCTATTCCTCTGTACCGGAGACTGCTACGGATACACCGCAAGAGATTAGGACCAGAAGAACGAATCTTTGGAGACACCTATTTGAAGGCGGAGTTCCGGCGACATCGAGACATCGAGAACCCACTCCACATTGTGGGATTCCTCACCGAGTGGCAGAATTACGGGCAGATGCTCGAGGGGGAGGATTGGCAAGAGCAAAGGATCGACCCGGGCGTGATGGACAAGATGAGCGACCAACAAATAGGTCAGCTGTATGAACTGATGCAGGCCATACAAAAGAGAGGGAGAGACAGCGTGGACGAAGAAGAAGACGGTCCTATCCTCGAAGCCATCGCAGATGCCACGTCGAGAGAGAAGTAGTAAACAGCTTCTTTCCCCAATGCAAGGGAGAGGTTGCAAGGTCTTCTCTTCACAATTGACGTCGTCTATTGATGACTGGTCGAAACTGTGTGTCTGAGTTGGTTTTCCGCCAAAGAAAAACGCAGAGGTGACGAGAAGTTTCAAGGCACGAAACCTGCAAGGTGTCACTGAAGCGAGTCTTCACTTTTCTACGTCGACGACAAACGCTCCTTCCAGAAACCAACTACGTTTATACGACCCTCCATAACCTTCCTTTTTCCTCAATGCAGGTTATCTTTACATCCTCGGACCTTTTCAACCAAAATCGGCATCGACAAGAAAAAAGCTGCTCCGCAGGAGACAATCCAAGAGTCGCATCTCTTCGTACCAGAATCCCCCGGGGCAAGAAAAAACCATGTGCACCGTCGAACTTGTCAAATCGCATACTTGCCGCCACAAATGGGTCACCATCGTCAAGAAATGCAACAGGGGCTCCGCCGGTTTCGACGCCGGGCATCTTCATCACTTTGAGCCGGCCAGACCGGGATTGTTCAGGTCGAGATACATTTCGGCCGCCGCTCACACGTGCCCCGAATGCGACAAGAAGGCAGATTACGATGCGAGCACGACGAGGATAATAGTGGACAATGTTTATGATCGTGGGACGCTGGGAAACGGATACACTTTGACAGACGGGTATGGGAACCCTTTGCCTGTATATCACTGGGGTGGTGGTGGCGGTGGTGGTGGCTACGGCGGTGGTCAGGGGTATACAACTACTTCCTGTGGCATGACCAGGATGTCGAGGCCATCGCCATCACCGGATTATGGATGCGGATGCAATGTTATGTGACGGGCTCAGGTTCGAAAGATGAAAGATGACATGAGTCGGTGGTTGGTTTGGGGGCAGCATCCCAAGCTGGGGGATTTTTTCACTTTGCAGCAGAGTACATTCAGCGGTCCTGCTACTAGTGCTTGCTTAACCATGAATTTTGAAAGCAGAAGAATCCAGAACATAGTGTACGGCAATACCAAGTACTTGAGATCGATTTGGTCTCTCAACCTACCTAGACGCCGAGATGAGTTGTTACCTCTTCTACGGAGCGAAGTACGAGTGATCTCTTTTTACTGCACGCCCTCGGAAAGTCTTCCGCGTTTTTCGCGTTCGCATGTGGTTTTGAGCGGACATTTCCAAGAATGCGCATCTTTCCAAAAACACATTCCGAGTGGTGGTTGGTTGGTTGGTGGTGGTGGTGAGTGACAAGGAGGTCTGTCGCTATCACGCAATCTCTCCACGCGATTGGATCATCATCCCTCCAAACCCCTCGTATTGTATTTGCTTGTGGGGATTGCTTCACACCATGGCGAGTGCTCGTGTAGTCCCGTACAGCGTCGGAGATCCCCTCGATGGAACGTATGGCAGGGGGGGTTTGTTCCCGAGATTGTTATAAGAGTGACCTGAAGTCGTCCTTCGTAACTTGCAGGTCAGCTTTTTTGTTAGTTTTTGTTCCAACCGCTCGGTTTGCCAGCCGCATCTTGAGATACCGATACTCCGTACGTACCTTTGATGTACCCTCGATCAACAAGAGACGACTCGGCTGCAGCTTGAGATTATATCATTACTCGTATCCTCGGGATCTCACGACTCGTCATATCCATCAAATCTCAAATACTCAACTAGCTAAATCCGACTTGTAAGGTCCATCTCCCTGGGATCTCTTTTTAACAAGATGGCACCTACGGCCGTCGACTCAACGGCCCTGCCGCCGTCGACTTCGACCCCGGTGAAACCCCATCCGCACCAACCTCCTGGGGAAGAAGTCGATCGGTCCATCTTCCCGGACGGCTTCAAGACGTCGGGTCAACACCCACCCCTCTACGACAAGCTCTACCCATACTCTTCGTTCCCAAAACACATCGGCGGCGGCCCCACCGTCTGGTCGGCAGAAGAGTACGCCTCTCACCCGGAACGATGGACGCACGTCTTTTCTGAAGCCGAGATCGCCGAGCTCTCCGCTGCGGCCGACGCGTTTGTGGCGCAGGAGCTGCCTCTGACGGGCATCAATCCTTCCAACTTCCCCCTCCCCACCATGGCGGCCAGCCTGGCGGCGATGCGCAATGAGATCCTCAACGGCAAGGGGTTCATCCTGTACAAGGGTTTCCCGGTCCACGAATGGGGCAACCACAAGTCCGCCGTCGCCTACGTCGGCTTGGGCACGTACATCGGGTACCCGGTCTCGCAGAACGGCAGGGGCCACATCCTCGGTCACGTCAAGGACCTGGGCGAGGACAGCACGCAGATCGACAAGGTCCGCATCTACCGCACCAACGCGAGGCAGTTCTTCCACGCCGATGACTCGGACGTCGTGGGCCTCCTGTGCGTCGCCCGTGCCCAGTACGGCGGCGAGAGCGACGTCGCGTGCGTCCACCAGGTCTGGAACATTTTGCAGGCAGAGTACCCCGATGTCGCGGAACTGCTGACGAAACCCGTGTGGTACTTCGACCGCAAGGGCGAGGTCAGCAAAGGCGAAGAGCCTTATATCCGAGCGGCCGTCATGTATCTCGAACCATCGTCATCGGACGAACCGACCAACCCGGAGCGTCAACAGCACAGAGTCTATTGTAAATGGGACCCGTACTACGTCCGCAGTCTGTCCAGGTTCAGCGACAAAGGCATCATCCCACCTCTGAGCGCCGAACAGGTCCACGCCCTCGAAACCCTCGAGGCCGTGTGCAACCGCGTCAAGTTGCACATGATCCTCGACGTGGGTGACATTCAGTTCCTGAGCAACAGCCACGTCTTGCACGCCCGTACCGAGTACAGGGACCACCCGCCCGAGAGCGGCATGCCGCGGAGACACCTCATGAGGCTCTGGCTGAGCACTCCGGCTAGTGAAGGTGGTTGGACGTTGCCGTTCCCTGACAATAACGAAAGGAAGAGGGGTGGCATTCAGGTTGATGACACGCCACCAGTGGCTAGGTTGGATGCCGATTAAGACCTAGGTAGATGGGAAATCTTTTGGCTTGCCAAAATAGTATCAATCGTTCAATCCTTCTTGAGTCGAGATGATATAACAACCGAGTTGTTTGATATCGATGTTGATTTTGCTTGAGATCGAATGTGAGGTTCTCTCGTCATTGATCCCTGAAGCGTCACGATATCGGTTGCCCTGCGAAGGACACCTGATTTTCTCCTCCTAATGATCATCCTGTTTTCGGCTTTCATAGTCCTAGTAATATCACCCTCAAATATGTATTGCGTAATGCGTAAAACCGTAATACCGTGATACCATGAAAGTGTGTGAGGGTGTAAGGGTGTGAAGGCGTGAGAATGTCTGAGTATGGTAGATACCCCTGCTCAAGAAGAAACAACTTTATAAGCACCACCGTGCCCAATCTCGAGCACTCCATCTTTCACCATTCCGACCAAAAACTCTTTCAATTCCTCGTTACTAAAGGGGAATCCACCTGGCACCACTATTCCCAACATCATGGCTATTCGTGGCAACGGCATGGCACCCTGATTCGTCAGCATACTGACCACGAATTGATGGTAGACCGCCATTTTGGCCTTTCGCTCTTCCTCCTCGGCCTCCTTTGCTGCCTGTGCCACCGCGGCGGCAGCAGCAGCAGCCGAGGAAGAAGCGGTGTCGTGTCTGCCAGCACCACTGCCGTCATCTTGCATGGCACTGTCGGTCGCATCGGGGAGTCGGTCGAGTACGACAAAGGTGTCTCTGATAGTCTCTATCAGAACCCGCTTGCTCATCCAGAAAACACACGCCATGCGTACGTGGGTAGGGGATATGCTGAGCTCGGCAGCTAGTTCCGCGACGGTTTTGCTCACTGGAGACGCGTCTGCAGCACCTGTGTCCTGGAACGCGTAGATGACGGTTGCGTGCCAAGGTAGGACTTCCTCTACGACCGTACGGTCCTCGAATTCCAACTCGACTTCGACCTGGCCCACCGCGTTGTTCCATGTGAGTTTTCTGTTCTGTTTGAGAGCTTCGAACCCGGCTTCGTAACTCTTTTGCTGTTCCTGCACGAACTTAGGCACGGTGAAGCCTTGCTCCGGTATGGATGGCCAGAATAAGCGCGACAAAATTTTGGCATGTAATTGGACGCCGTCTCCTTCTCTTCCGTCTGTGGCCGACGGATCATGCATTCCCCGGTCACGACGAACCACGGTGTCCACCTTTCTCGAATCCAAGACATCGCGGAGCATGACTTCGCAACCTTGCAGGGCTGCGTCACCGAACCGGAGCTTGAGATGCTCCAGCACAGAGATCTCCTGGTTGAAGTCTTCGTTTTTCTTGAGCAGGCGATCTGCGATGTAGTATTGTAGTTCCCGCACGAAAACGTCCTTCGTGTCGAATAGCGTGATCAGACTTCCTATCACGTCGTTCTTGGTCTTCGCGTAGTCTGGAGCCGCGTCGATCGGGTCAGGCACCCAGTCCATGTTGTTCCAGTCAAAGTCGGTATCGTCCGCACCGCTGGATTGATTGTTGGTGTTGTTTAATTCCACAGCAAGCTCGGTGAGCACGTTCGGGTCAGGGGGCGCTGGTTTTCCGTCGTCGCTGCCTGGATCACTGAGGAGTCCTACGACGATGACCTTGATTGTGTCGTCGCGTTCACGGAGGTAGCGACGCAGTTTTCGTGCAATGCGGTCGAGGAGCACGCCTCTTGGATCGAGGATGCGGAATGCGCGGATGATGGAGATGTAGATCTGGAGGATTTCAACTGTTGATGCGCCAGGATGTAGAAGGCGCTTTTGTAGGACGTTTGCAAAATCTTGGGTCAAATATGCTCGTGTTGCAGGGTTAGTAGTGAACGCTCGAAGATCCTCTATCGCTGGTGCAGTTACGTCCCATTCGACGATGACGTTGAAGAGTTCATCGACACGAAGAGCGCCTAGGCGGGCCGTCGCCATGTCTTTCCATTTCTTCGTTTCGACAGGTGTAGATAAACTCTGGGAATCGTCTTCCAGATGATGACACATCTTTTGGGTGATCCGAGCGAGAAGGTGCTCAACCCAAAAATCAAGATGTCTTTCAAGCCATTCGCGGTACACGCCCGCGTAGGACCAGGTGATGAATTCTGCAAGGAGGTCTATCAGAAAGCTGGCGAGTTGTTTCTTGAGCGTCGATGGTCCCACGATTGATTTCCATTGTTCAAGATACGTCCATAACGGCGAGCGAGATTCTCTGGCTAATTGAGTAGCATGGTCTTCAGAAGTAGGGTGCCGTATTTGCGCTGGATCCGGACACGTTTCGAAATGGCTGTGAAATGGACCACCCCTTCCAGAGATCCATCGATCCTGACCATACAAGAAGGTTTCATCTCCTATGCCCAGAAGTGATCGTAGATGGTGTTTAAGGGTTGACTTGATGACTGGTAGCTGTTTGCTTGCAGTCGCGGTGAAGCGCTGTTGATGTTTGGGCGGCCGGAATGTAGGATGAGAGAAGACCGAGGCGAATGTCGCTCTATTAGGAGGCAGTATCTCGGTCTTCGACATTTCGAGATATGCTTATTGTAGATGATCAATTATCCAGGGCATGGTGTTGTCGCTTTGTTTACTTGGGTATATAGTGTTCAATTGGTCGCGGTAGAGGAGACGCGAAGAACGTGAAGTCATTGAGATATGTGGTGCCAAGCGATTAGATAACATTAGAGACTATCTGATACGAGTACGACTTGTGTCAAATAGTCGGTCCAACCCTCAAGTGACATTTCCTTTCCTTTCCTTTCCGTTCTTTTTTCCTTATTGCAATGGGCCGGATATGCATATCAATAGGTTGGCTAAAATGTAAGTGGCTGGAAAAGGAATAACCAATTCTTTGTTGACCATGGTTTCGGTGCAGATATTGAGGGATTTATCCTTGGCTCATGCGCTGCGTCTGCTTGAGATATCCAATTTTTGATGACAACCTCAAGGACATTGACTCAATCCAAAAGAATTCCTCGCAGATTTTGACATTGGCCTGCCAATCTCGTGGAGTAGGTCGCGCATCTAGCAGGGACGAACCCAGGATCCAAGGTTCAGACCCAGGATCACTCGTCGAGACAAGGACAGTCCCGACCCACGTCATGAAGTCCTCATTCTTCTCGGATACATCAATGAAAAGAGAATTTAAGTATCGGCATCGAACTTGTAAATAGGATTTTGTTAACCAATACATAGATCTGGTGTCATCATTGGAATAGCAGAAACCAAGGAGACCGAGTATGAGGAGTTTCTCGACCAGCGACAAGCTTGGATGTAGTAGGAATTCGCCGCAAAGTGTGATATTCTTCGTGTTATGAGAGAGATAATGTAGGCGATTGATGTCCTTCTCCCGTAAAGAGTTAACGATCTCCTGACCCCACATATTGACCCGCGATATCAGCACTATGATCTGATGGCTCAGCTGGCTCGACAATGCAAGGTTCATGAGGCCCGGTGGGAATTTGGCAATGACACTGCACAGGTCCGGGTCGAATGGATGAGTCGGGTAAGTGAACTTTCCGTCTGAAGGTATGAGGGTTTGCTGATGAGTTGAAATGTAGTGCCGAGTGGCATAAAAGGTTAACCAGCTAGCAACGAAAAACGAAACATGATTAGTTCTGGCCATCTTTCAGAAGGTGGCGGGCCTCCAAATGGGCACTTACGCGACCGCTATTGTTCTAAGGAAGCCGTCAAATCCTAGAAAGAAGCAATCAAAAAAGTGGCTCATGCAGACACTGGAGATATCCTTACCTAGTCTGTCTGGGCCACCCCTGAGAGAGACAACATGTCTGATACCCTGGGTATGCATATCGACTGCATCGAATCTTCCTGACATTGCCTGGAAATTCCAGATTAATATGCCGTGTTTGACCGTAGCTGGGGAGGGACAGGCTTACTTCAAATCCGCAGAGGTTACTAAGTGTCACTACGACTGCATCATTTGACCTTTGCGACTCGTCCATCAATCGCTGCCGTAGCAGAGAGACTGCTAACTGGTAGTACTTCAGCGTCTCTGAAGAACGCTCGCGGTTGCCGTTTGCTGCAATGTCAGCACCCAGGGAAGCCATGGCAACCATGGCGCTGAAGACCATTCGGTCATGCAGAATGAATGGGATATACTGGCGTAGGAGCGAGAGGTCTTGTCCGACCCCCATGAAGTGCGGCCTCTGATTTGCAGATGGAGCATAATATTTCACATCTGGCCATGAAGACCAAGGTGGTCAGCTCCTGTTGCCCATGTTGCAACTTGAAAGCAATTAGACGTTTTGAGAAACATACAGAACTGGACTGCTCGCTGGACAAAAGGGTTCGTCTTCAGCGGATAGCCGGTATGCTGCAATTCCACCGTATTGGGGCTTCCCAAATGACTCCCTTCTCTAGAAACAGAAGTATTTCCTGAACTGTGATGACGGTGAAAGGGTATTCGATTGCGCTTCAGAGGGCGGTTGCCAGGGCTTGCGTGCTGCGATAAATCCTGTATCTCTTCTTCATCTTCTTGGTGTCGAGCTGAGGGCGGAGACGAGGCTTTTGATGCGTGTCCACTTCGAGGTTCACTGCGCCGGTACATCCTCTCGCGATTCAGTCATTGTCCGTAGAGGTATTCATGATGCCTGTGATGAGTAGAAGCTGGAATATATGCAAGATAAGCAGAGCCATAAGTCCTAGACGATGCTCGTTTTACGGCTCTCGGTATTTGTCCAAAGTGAGAAGTTGGTCGGATCTCAGGGTCCATCCCCGGGGCTAAGAACAGGGAGCAAAGGCGTCGAATCGGAACGATGTTCCTGATACTTCAGGGATAGTTTGACTATGTTTTGTCGCGTTCTTTGCCCGGTGATCAGGTGTCATAAGCACTGGCAACTGAACAATCGACTGTATATCGTGTCCATGTTTCCTAGAGATTCCGGCTCATCAATCAGCCTGGGAATCGGTCAAGTCCGTCTATTGACCCAGGACTGAATGTGCAGTGATCTTCTGATGGGAATTGCAGAGCCGAGGCCTCCCACCAATGTTACCTACATCAGGCGATGCTCAATGACAGCCTCGCGCCTGGGGAAATTATGTAAGCGAGGCATGAAATCCTGCATTACCAACACGGTTGTTTCCTCCGTTCTCACATCCAGCCCAACACCATATTCTCGCGTGAACATGTGGGTATAAAGTGGGCTGATAATATCGACGAAACATCATATTATGGTCTTCAACTGGCAAAATCGAGCATAATCCAAGTCATAGTCTGCCGCCAGAAAAAAGTACTTGGAGAACCTTGTACAAGGACGAGTACCACATTTTTATCCACGTCGAGAAACGAGGCAATATAGTGTTGCAATTGCTATCTTCACTCACACCGGCAAGGGATTACCTGAGTCTTATCTACTGCCATACGTAGCACACATCATGCTCCCAACGCCCTCAACCTCGCACGTCTCCTACGACACAATCTACGAACCCGCTGAAGATTCGTATTTGTTTCTCGACACACTCTCCTCCCCCTCCGAAACAGAATGGCTTCATGCACGCTTCGCCACAAGTTCAGATCCCAGCATGACCAGTAGTTCCTTATCCCCGGCGCCCTTTCTCGTCGAGCTCGGTCCAGGCTCAGGCGTGATAATCGCCTTCCTGACCACGCACGCCTGCACGATTTTCGGCAGGGACATCCTGAGTCTCGGGATCGACGTCAACACGTACGCGTGTCAGGCTACGAGAATGACGGCCGAAAAGGCCCTGGCCGAGCCGAAAGGAAGCAATGGAACTAGCAACAGCAACAGCATTTACATGTCATCCGTGAGCGGCGACCTCACCACCGCACTTCGACCGAGCGAAGTCGACATACTAGTTTTCAACCCGCCGTACGTGCCTACGGACTCCGTCCCCACCTTCCCCGGCACGTCGAGCGCAGATGGAAAGATATCCTTCGAAGAATCTTCGCATCTGCTCTCGCTCTCTTACGCCGGTGGTGCAGACGGAATGGAAGTCACGAACCGCATGCTCGCGCAAATCCCCGAGGTTCTGAGCAGTCGAGGAGTGGCTTACATTTTGTTCTGTCGGGGCAACAAACCTGAACAAGTCAAGGCCTGGATTGCAACTTGGGAAGGAACCGAGGAGTGGAAATGGTGCGCCGAGACCGTAGGCACAAGCGGCAAGACTGCTGGATGGGAAATGCTGGAGATCGTGAGGATATGGAGGCAGAGTAACCAGGGGGCTTGAAGCATGAGAAATGTGCAGAGAAGCAAGGATGAGTGCATGGATTCAAAAAATCCACATCTGATGGTTTCTCTAATGGGCCTGTCCGACACCTAGAAGCAGTATGCTTGGACACACCACGTGCTGAGGGCGTTTCCCTCGCCCCACTCACAGCCACAACAATATAGGACAGCCAGCGGTACCGACATGATCTTTTACTGCTGATGCTCAGACTGTCTGGGATGGCTCCAAAGCTCAATACCCCAACCCGTACGCTTTGACGCGAGAAAAGTAAAAGGGCTTGTCGTGCCTCAAGCTAAACTCGCTCCAGTCATCCGTCAAAAGATTATAACTCCAGAAGCCTTTCCAGTTAAGTTTATTATTCCTGGTCATATGCTTGGACCTTCCGGCCGACTTCAAGCTCAGATGCATGGTATACCTGTACCGGGGACCGGCCCCCTCGGTCTCGATCTGCAAGTCGCCAGGAGCCAAGGTCGAGACGTCGGACGGTCCTATACCTTCTTGTGTTACCTCCGCCGCTGAGTTGTCAAGACTAGGATGGCATAGTCGCCATCGACCTCTCAGAACATGCTTCATGATCTGCTGGGCAGCTGGTGGAGGCGCAACATTACCCGAGCTGCCTGCTGCTGCTGATGCGGTAGAAGTCGACGTCGCAGTTTTCCCCGAGGCTGACTTCCCGGACGCTGGGGTGATCTTCAAGGAGCTTGCAACGTCTTTCTTATTGGAACGAACGTAGGCTAAATTTTCTGGCGTCAGATGATGAACAACATCGATCGGCTCTTCGACAGTGAGAAGCGACATGCAAGTGCCGTCTCGGAAGAAACGGAGGTAGCGGTAATATGTGACCACGTGAATCGGGTTGTTCCACGTATACGCCGTGGCCGACGCACCACCAGGTCGGGTGTAATTGACGGTAGATATGTAAACGCCTGTGAAACGAACACGAGGATGATTGTGAAATACATCCCGCCAGAGTATTTCCTTGGGAAAAGACGATTCTCCGACGGCAGGTAGATCCTCGTCGTAGTCTTCGCCCACTTCGCGGAAGACGAGTTCCCGTCCTTGCAGGTCGGTCATGAAATGATACTGTTGCCCGCCCAGACCAAACTCTGAGCCGAGGGCGATCCGTTTCCAGATGCTGTTGTCGGTCCAGACGTGGTACGCCAGTTTCTTGCAGACAAGTGCCAGGCGAGAGAACACGGCCGGATCATAGATGGCCACATGTTGGAGCAAATCTAAAAGCACTTCGGTCGGCAGCTTCTCGATCGGGCACGGTGGTGGATGGTCACCCTCGATGACGGGCGGTACTCCTTGAATCCGACAATGCGCGAAGCTATCGATGAGCTCAGCAGTGGGTATAGGATCTTCTAGGGGTTCTTTCGATGAGTGGTGGGCGGTCGAAGGGACGGTGGCAGCCGCGTTGGATGGGTTCGTCGTCGGCTTTGACTTGGACGGTGGAAAATGTTTTTGTCTGTATGATTGATCGACCTTTGCGTCGAGTCTGTACGCTTTTCGATAATGTGCCAGGCTATCACCAAGATTGCCCTGTCTCTCTCTTTCTACGGCGTGTTCGAAATGCTCAAGGGCACTTGTCGGCTCCTTTTGCGGAAGTCTCCGTGTAAATTCATCATCGTCGATGTTGTCGTGTATGGTGAGTCCTTCGACACCCTGGGCCAGGATTGAACTGCTCTCGCCGGCCTGATCTTCATCACTATAATGATCTAATTCATCTTTGATGTCGGCTACCAGGTGGCGAGTAGGCGGCTTGTTAGTCGGTCTCTCAAGTCTGGCTTCACTCGTTCTTCTGGTCCTTTCTGGTTTCGACTTTGATGATTGTCCCTGTGGTTTCCTTGCGCGCGCATTAACTTCTTCTTTCCATTGCTGGCGAAACCGTTCCAGGGCTGAGGCTGAATCATCCATCGTTCCGGGACTGATTGACGTCTTATCTACAAATCCCGGACGTCGATCAAACGGAGCAGTTGTCTTCTCTGTGCAGTGAGTGGTCAATGGAGGGATGACGCCTGCGCCATTAGTTTAGAAACCGCCGAACATTGACCAAGGTCAACGACAAGTATTATAAGCAGGTAAAAGAGAGGAGCGAATAGCAGAGTAGGATGAGTAGATTTGTCTCATTATGGGATTACAAAGACACATAACGCGAGGTTCGGAGATTCTGGGGGCATTTGGTATTAGTGGAGGGCGATGTCATTGACTCGCGCCCTCCGGTGCCGGCGTCTCCCGATAAATATCCGTCCAGGCGGCGAACCGCATCTTTTTTTTGATTCTCACAGTCTCGATGTCATAGTCATATTTGTTGCCTCTGTGTATAGACTCAACGCCTCTCTCCCTTTCACTCAACTCTACCCTCGATCCTCGAACTTTCCAATACGGGTTGCGCGTTGGATTCAAGAGTCGTTTCTTCTGCACCAGACGTCGTGACGTCGTCGGCTTGAATGTCCTACTCCTTCACCTCCGAACCTGCACAGGCACTGGACACTCAATCCTCGCTCAGTCAGGATGCACAACCACATCTCCAGGGACAGCGACATGACAGAGTACAGCTCCAAGAATCGGAGTTAGCTGCCAATATGTCGACCTCTCCTCACCTCGACATAACCACCTCACAGCGCATGGTCTCCGCCACCTGGGGCAGCGTCTTGACCTCACTACTAGGTATATCTTGATCCTTTTCACTGTGGCCCTGACTATTTTCTGATCTCTCGAAATTCAGTCACACCTCTCGATGTAGTACGTGTACGACTACAAGCACAACATGCTCCGACTCCCGTCAACCTTTCCCGCTTCGCAGCATACTCTACCAATTTTAAACAACTACCTCCCGACCTAGGTATCAATTCGTGTTGCCGAGAAGTCTTCTGGGTAGGGAACAATGGACAATTCTGTCTGGCCGGGAATGCGCCGACACATATCGCGGATGCAGCTGGACCGGAATGTGCGGTGGAAGAGACCCAGCGGAAAACATTCAATTCAACTTTGGATGGACTGAAAAAGATTGCGAGGAACGAAGGATATACCACATTATGGCGTGGACTGTCTCCAACATTGATGATGGCAATTCCTGGCAATGTCATCTACTTTACAGGCTATGACTGGCTCCGGTACAGTCATGCCAGCCCGCTCAAGAAATTAGCCAGCGATGTTTATGTCCCTCTTGTCGCTGGCTCTATTGCCCGGATAGCCGCAGCCGTCGCAGTCTCGCCGATTGAAATGTTCCGAACAAGGATGCAAGCGACGACTGGAACTAGTGTTTTCAAAGAGACCTTGCTCGGAATGCACCGAATGACACAAACCCAGGGTTACACCTCTCTGTGGCGAGGACTGACTCTGACTATGTGGCGGGATGTACCCTTTTCCGGGATATATTGGTGGGGATATGAAGCTGTACGGAACCGACTAACGGATGCTCGGGAAGCTGCCAAAGGCCACGACCTCAGCCCCGCGAGATCCTTGACGGGAGGACGAGAGTCCCAGGCGAATGAGAGTCATATGACAACATTCGTCGACAGCTTTCTGGCAGGCTCGGTTTCTGGTGCAGTTGCTGCATTCGTCACAACGCCATTTGATGTTGGAAAGACACGTCAACAGGTTTACCATCATGCCGGAGATGATGCACCTTCAGTGGTGGCTGCCAAGCAACTTGCGAAGCAGGGCAAGTTGATTCCCGAAGAATTGTCGATGCCGCGATTCTTATATCACATTTTCCACGAAGAAGGAATGGCCGGACTATTCAAAGGTTGGGCCGCACGGTGTATGAAGGTCGCTCCTGCTTGCGCCATCATGATCAGCAGTTATGAGGTGGGGAAGAAATGGGCACGGAGAGTGAATGAGAAGAGAGAGCTCGGCAAAGCTGAAGCTTGAAGCCTGAAGTCTTTTGCTTTGCAAGGGGGCTTTTGTTCATGTGTTTTTTCGTCTCGTTCATGGGCTCTGGAGAGTCCTTGTGTGTGTCCTTGTGTGTTTGTATCATTACGGGCGGGAAACCTTTTCATCTCCTGCATAGCAATGGCGTCTCTGGTGCTTGGATTTTGGTTCTGCATGACTTTTTGAGACTCTGATTGTCTGTGTATATACGCGGCTCCTCGGCCTCTATTCGACTCTGCCCAATTATGAATGAATAATAAAAGACGACTTTGTCAGATCGTACTGAGTTTTGCTTTTTAACTTTGAATTGCTCATGGAGGGAGTGAATATCAGATGACTGACTAACTAGTTTCTATGGTCCGGAGGGAGTAATTATCTACTGTATATGCTCTGAAGGAATGGCTGTTTTGGCAGTGAGTATTCTGTATCCCTTCTGTGGCCTCTGGAAAAAATGATGCTGCTCAAGACGGAGGCGGCATCTCCTCGACCTGGGCGGCACCGCCGATGCCCTCGACCCAATCGATGCGTCGCGGCGCGAACAACTCGGCGCCGGGTTTGGTGTTGTTGATGACGTCGGCGTCGTCCATGATGCCCGCCTTGAGGACCAAGAGGCCGTCCCTGCCGCCGAAGGTGTCGCCGTAGCGGAAGAGCGTGGTGCCGCAGTCCGGGCAGAAACAGTTGGTCATGCGCTTGCCGCTGTTGGCGGTGGTGGAGATCTCCTTGGGCGCACCCTTTGTGATCTTGACCTGCTCGCTGGGCACGACGATGTTGTGACTGTACAGGCCGCCGGAGATGTGGCGGCAGTCGTTGCAGTGACAGAGGGCCTATTTTTTTTTGTTTGAAGAGGTGTCAGTTCAAGGAAATCTTCCACAACATCCATGTCATTCGGCCCCGCCCGGGGTACCCGGACCGTACCCGGCAGGGCCCCCAAGGGGGTCGGCATGTTTGAGAGAGGAGGTTCTTCGTAATCTTACCGTCATGGCGGGTTCACCGGTGTATTCAAGGTTGATACCCTTGCAGAAGCAGGATCCGGTAGGCATGATGGGGAATTGGAGATGAGCAAGTTTGAATGTTATCAAATAGTTGGTAATGTTGTATTGACTTGGGGAATGGATTGAGGTCGATGGTTTGATATCATGTCGAACTCTTCCCGGGGGGGACTTGGCCTTCTTATAGACACTGAACTTGTAAAGTATTTGTCAACCCTGTAGAGGGCCACTTTTGGAGAGTCAATCGACTATGCATCACTTATTGAAATAGATCCGCCCATCCCGTTCGAGGAGAGAAGACTTGATCCACGCGGGCTTGTTCTTGTTGTTGCGTCAATTGTTCTGTGACTCAGCTTCTAACCTATCCGAGGGCGGCGCACAGGAGAGAACTTGACAGCCCTGACAAGACAGAATGAACAGATGCCTGATTTTCAAACGCCGAGGAGCAAAAGCTATCATCAAAGCTCCGCTAAGGAAGTGGCAGTTTTCGCGTTATCCATCCTATTCGATGTACCGGGATAATGTAATCTCACATCTGATGCGTCCGAAGAATTGTGGAGTTTGTGTTCGTCGCCGCTTTCTTCCGTGATTCCCGAATTGGCTTAGTGTAGTTAAAGCAGCATCCAGAGTTCACCAAACGAAGAGAAGTTCCCCTCTAACGGCGTGAAAATAATCTTGGGCTCCATCTTAAATTCAGCGGCAGGGTCTCGAATCAGCATGGGGGAGATGGATAAATGCTACGTATGATGAAGAGTAGCCGGGGGCTATTAGTCCAATGTACTCGTAACCCTGAATTGGCTTCCGCCGGATCGTCGTTGGTGATAGAGGGGATAGACATCGGTGACCCCCTGCCGGTCTCCGCCAAGGCTGAGACACATCAGGGGGGTCATCCAAGCTACCTGACTCAGTTGCAAACGCCGTGCTCCAGGAAGAGTGAGACGATCTCTTGCTACTTTACACAGGCTGGAACACTAACTGAACATCACGCAAAGGAGCTGAACAGGGAATGCAGGCTGTCGTCCTTGTCAACGTGTTAACTTATTAACGAGCGTAGCGATTTGGAATTCAGATCTGACATTATATGCAAAGAGGAAGGGATGAATCATTGATCACTCTGTAGCCCATCGTTCAGACCGAGTCAGTCCTCGATTTCATAAACCCTTTATAGTCATGACCAATAGTGACTTCCAGGAATTCCAGTAACACTTTGTGATCATCCATCACCACGCTACCTCTTGGCCGTCAAAGGAAAGGAATTTGCCCGACGAGTTTTCTTGAGTTGCACCATCAATCTACTCACGGTCAGTCGTTTGATTACTCAACATGGGGACGAGGTCCGACTTACTACTTGCAGTACACCTTCGACGCTCTGCGCGACTGTCATCGGCGGCTTGCCAGGGTAATTCCAAGATTTTGCAGCCAAATCACCCATTTCCGTCTGAACCCATCTGCTTTGTGTTAGTTGTTATCCGTGTCACAGACTGCCGTCAAGGCGCCAACTCACCCAGGATGTACAGCGACACTGACGATACCTTGGTCTCGCAGCTCAAAGTGTAGTTTGCGTACGATCCAATTCAATGCCGCCTTGGAAGGTCCATACGCGCCGCCCGGCATTGGCTCCATCAACTCACCGATGCATCCCACAGACGAAGACAGAAAGAATACCTTCTTCGGACTCGATGCCTCGGAATCCGTTGAGGTTTGTTGCATCAAGGGCCAGAACGCCTGAAACAACATCAACGGGGAAATGGTGTTTGCCTCATAATGCTCCCTCATCTCTTGCGCTGTGGTTTCAAGTGCTGATTTCATAAGGCCAGTCTGACCAATGGAGCTGATGAAGACATCGATGTGATCAATGGACGAACTCAATTTGGACTTGATCAACTCTTTGAGGCCGTCTCGTTCGGGGACATTGCTGACATCGACTGCGAGAGTGTGCAAATTACTACCTTCACCCCTTGGCCCTTTTGAGCATTCATCCTCGAGGTTCGAAGCCCGTACGGGATCTCTAACGACGCCGATGACGGTAGTCTGAGGCCGAGCAAAAAGTGCCTGCACAATTCCAAGGCCAATACCTAGAGCAGGTGTCAATTGAACTCGCTCAAAACCACAACTCGCAGAAGTCGATGCATGAATGTACCCTTGTTGGCCCCGAGAACGACGTAAGTAATGTTTTGAGAGATACCGGCCATGCTGGAAAATGTAGTGTGTCTCAATGGTGGTGACGAAGGTTCAGTTGAAGATGTGCGGGTGGAAAAGGCCACAGAGAGCGTTTGCGGGGTTTAAATACTACCATGGCACCGGCTAAGCAGCTGCCCAGCGCTATGAACATTCTAAAGACCAATAAGAGCGAGGAGTCAATGTGTCTCAGTAAGTGGGAAAATGCCAACAACGATCGATGTTTGCTTTCGGAGTAGTCGGGTTCACTGAGGGCTCAAAGTGGTATGTACTTGGTCTTATCGGGGTTTGATCGATCTGGAATAGATGATGGAGCATTTGTATATCAATCTACAACCCTTGATTATACACATAGGCATGTCTTGGAGGCTACAAATGATGCAGCTCTCGAAAGAAATGAATGCTTTCATGGTTGATACGATTACATAAGAAAGGGGGAGGACGAGGCTGTGTGGTTCGCCAAGACATCGGGGAAATCCAGCGACGAGGCTCCGATTAGAAGTTTTTGATGGGCTTCCCGCAGCATTTTTGTCTTTGATATCTACCTACATAAAGTGCCCTCACTCTCTACTCACCCACCCACCACTCGACACATGTACACTTAAGGGCCCTGCTTCTCCGGGCATATCGAAACCAGGAATGGAAAAGCTCCAATCCAAACCTGTATCCAGCCAGGAAAAATCCAGATTAGCAAAGGGGAAAAAGCGATCTGCTACTGAAGCCTTTGCCCCCAAGTCCACGACGGTTCAGGATGCGCTTCAAGCACACCGCAAGAATCCGTCACTTGGAAAAACCGTCACTTTCACACATGGGTCCGAGAGCAGCCCCTTGGACAACGTGGCAACGGCCAAGACAGCATCATACAAGTCTACCAAGGGATCAAATTTAAGGGAACGTGCTCACGCATTACTTTCCGTCCGACAGAAACTACCGATATACGAGCACGCAGATGCAATTAGACAGGCATTGCGGGACAATGACGTACTACTCTTGGTCGGGGAGACGGGTTCCGGAAAGTCAACGCAGATCCCACAGTTCTTGGTCAACGAGCGATGGTGCAAGAGGACGACCATCAAAGGTGGCGCAAAGGTGGGAGGATGTATCGCCATCACACAACCTCGAAGGGTTGCCGCCATTTCACTGGCTCGACGTGTCGCCGAAGAGATGGGCACGCCTCTGGGAAACTCCAGCCCCGCTTCGCAGGTTGGGTACTCGGTCAGGTTCGAGAACAGCACGAGTCCGGGGATGAAAATCAAGTTTCTGACGGAGGGCATGCTTTTGCAAGAGATGCTACGAGACCCTTGGCTGAGAGAATACTCCGCCATCGTGGTTGACGAAGTACATGAGCGAGGTGTGAATGTCGATCTGGTGTTGGGGTTTTTGAGGAGGCTCCAAGAGCAGAGGAGTGCAGATGACGGAAGAGGAGGCGTCGGTATGAAGGTCGTCGTCATGAGTGCTACAGCGGACATGGAGAAGATTCAGAGGTTTTTCGTTGTTGACTCACCGGATGATACTCGGCTCCAGATGGACGACGACAAAGAAACTGACAAGCGCAAAGAACCTCCTGTTTCTATCAAAAGCCAGTCCAAAGCGACCACGCTCTTCATCAAGGGTCGTCAATACCCCGTCACCGTCAATTACGCACCCACCCCTGTCCCCGACATAATCGACGCCGCCTTCGAACGCATCAAGCATATCCACACCCACTCTCCTCTCCCAGGAGACATTTTGGTTTTTCTCACCGGCCAAGAAACGGTCGAATCCCTCATGAGCCTCGTGACCGCATGGTCCGCGTCCATCCTGAAAGACGCGACCCTCAACAAAACACTTCCCAAACTTCTCATCCTCCCACTCTACGCCGCGCTCCCGTCCCCGGCCCAACAGCGGGTCTTCCAACCCACGCCCAAATTCACGCGCAAGATCATCCTGGCGACCAACATCGCCGAAACCTCCATCACGGTCCCGGGGATCCGACACGTCGTCGACACGGGCAAAGCCAAGCAACGACTCTTTCGACCTTCCCTCAACCTCGACACCCTCTTGACCGTGCCCATCTCACGCAGTTCCGCCAACCAACGCTCCGGCCGGGCGGGCCGTGACGCGCCCGGCACGGCGTACAGACTCTACACGCGGTCCGATTTCACCTCCCTCGCCCAAGACACCGAACCGGAGATTTTGCGGTGCGACCTGTCCCAACTCGTCTTGACCCTCAAGGCCCACGGGATCGACGACCTCTCCTCGTTTCCGTTCCTGACGACGCCACCTCGTCGTGCTCTCGAACGCGCCCTGGTCCACTTGCTTCAACTGTCCGCCTTGGACCCCAAATCCGGACAAATCACCGCGCTAGGTCGGGAGATGAGCGTCCTCCCTCTACCCGCCAGCCTCGCCAGGGTGCTCCTCGCCAGCGCAGACCCAAACCACGCGTGCACGACCGAGATCATAGACATCGTGTCCGCATTGAGTGTGGAAAACGTCTTTCTCAACGTCCACCGTGGTGGTGATTCTGGTCAGGATTCTGTTGGGAAGATGCCGTCTGATCCATTGAAGCCTGAAGCCATGGTCAAGTCGAGCAACTCTCGCCCTGGGGGACGTACCGACACCACTACCGCCAGCACTGGCAACAATCATGGTGGTGGTGACGGTGATGACGACGACGACGACGACGATGATGATGATGATGATGACAACTCGACATCCCGATCAAACATCATCTCTCAAAACCGCAACTCCCTCTACCGACGTGAAGGGGATCACCTCACCCTCTTGACCACCGTTCGAGCCTACTCGGCCGAACAAACGGACCGTCGCCGCTGGTGTCAAGACCGGGGGATTTCTCACCGTGCCATGTCCGGAGCGATGGACGTTAGGAAACAACTTGCGAATATAATGGAGCGTCGTAAGAAAGCTTCGTCTTCCACTTCTACCACCAGTAACGGCACCAGCAGCGACGCCGTACACGACCCGACCACCCTCTCTACCAGAATCCTCAAAACCCTCTTGACCGGATTCCACACCAACGTCGCACGTCTGTCGAGTGACGGATCTTACCGTACGTTGGTCACGAATCAACCAGTGTCGATCCATCCGAGCAGTGTCCTTTTTTCTGTCGGCGGACCACCCACTTCCTCCGTGGACGATGACGACGGCGGCAACAACACGAAATCGACCAGAAATACAGGTGTCGCGAGTACGGGCGGAGGAAGTCGTCGTAAATTCCAAGGTATAATGTACAATGAGTTCGTCTACACGGGTACAAAGGCCTACGCCAGGGGTGTGTCGGCGATAGAGATGAGATGGGTCGAGGAGGTTTTGAAGTCTACACAGTAGTCTAAACAGATAGTCAGAACTTGAAACTTGGGAATTGAATAAACGCATTTCTCAAAACACAAAACATAAAGATTGTCTATATGCATCTACCATCGTCCATTCAGCATCGAGAATGCCATCTTGTTCCTTTCAGAGCAGACGCGGATCCGTCAAGACAAACTCGATAGACATGATGGGCCTAATCTCAACATTAAAGAATGTATAGCAGACCATGAAAGTTGCCTAGGCACTCTTGTTCCCATCGTGTCATTGCTGTAGAATCCAAACCGGATCCCACTGCCACTGCATCAAGTAACTCGATTCGTATAACACACAGACCGCTAATGAACGAATGAATTTTGATCGTGAAAATGACCTCGGCCCTCCAGATTTCTTTTGACTGCACAGAACAAGTGGAAAAGTCTTAGCACTGCTCATATGAAACCCCTTGCGCCACAAAATCAATCTTCCAGCAAATAATGAAATCCCGGTCCTCCATCTCATCTTTCTTGCGAGAGAGAGAGACGGCATCTGCTGTTCGTATGCTCCCCAACTCCCCCATCCCTTTTGCTTAATATCGATCATCCTCTGCATCGAAAAGCCGGGATACTGGTATCTTAAATATATAACGTATGTGCATCATCATAACTCGTTAAAAAAAAAGAGTGATTGCTGTGCGCAATGTGGCTGCTCGGGACTTGGAGGGTAAGGCGAGGGAGACTCGATTACCGAACCCAGTCCTCATCCTCTCGTTCATCGCCGTCCAAGGACAATTCGGGATTCGACATGTCTGGAGCTACTGACCACGACGGATCTTGAGCAATGCTGGTGGCAGGCATAGGAGGTTTTTGCTGAGTCATATTCCCCGTAGGAAGATTTTCCATGTGTGCGTACATCTGTGCTTCTCGTATTGTATAGGGATGTTCACCGTTTCCGGCACTTCCTGGTGTCGATACGCTCGGGGTAATACCTCGACTTACACTGGACATTCGTGACTGTGTTTGAGATGGGTCGGGAGATGCCATCTGCATCTGCGCCATTTGTTTCTGCATCTGGATGCTCTGTATTCGCCTTGTCTCTGCTTCAGCTCGTTTAAGATAGTCATCAATATCAAGACCTCCGAGATTTTCAGTAGCCAACATGTTGGCTTGGGGTGTGCCATAGTACGAGGACGCCGAAGACAACCGGTATCTGTCGGAGGCATCGTCTCCTCCAGCACTACTGAAATCATTGAATGTTTCTGGATTTGGTTTTGCGTCAACCGACACCGATTTTTGGTCACTGGTCCAGCGACTTGATGGTGGGGACTGATCCTCAACCTCTGACACATCCCCATTTGAAGAGTTCAAGCCAACCTGGTTGATCTGTTTCGCCAATTCGAAAGCCTGATAGTTTGATTGTTGCGGCTGATTGTAAGTATCAAATGAACCTGCATTGTAGAAATTGTTGTTGGCGTTGTTGCTCATGTTGTTCATATTGCCAGTATTGTCGAGGTTGAACGTTGACCAGTCAACCGAGGCTATGTCGCTGTACTTTGGCGGATCGTACTCATGTGCTTGTTCGTATGTCATGAACCAGCTCTCGGGAAATTGTTCTGGCAAAGTCAGGTCGGACTGACTTGGATTCTGACTGTTTTGCAGACTGTTGGTCTGTGTCGGAGGGGTGTCGGTCCCAAACGGCGAATAAGAATAGGCAGAGGGATCGAAATGGGGAAGGTTGAGGTCTTGTAACGGAGTGTGAGAGTATTTTTGAGGACCAAGTATCGGCGAATTGTGCTCCGACCTTGCCCTGCGGTCCATCATAGCCATCGCATCGGTGACGGAATGGTGTAACGGTGACTCTTGATGAGGTCTCGTAGACTTAGTGAGCAAGAGATTGTCCGTCGATCGTTGGGCGATCTCCCGGTGCCCATGAAGGGAATTCGATCGCGAGGGAATCTTGTAAGGAGCCCCAAGCTGGTTGTGAGCATCGTTGAATTTGTGCACTGGCTTATGGTGACCGTTGGTGAAGATGGTCGTTTTTGGATCATGGGAGTTGTGGTTCGGACGAGGCTTAGGGCTTTCTTTCGCATGCATCAGGTGGGAGATGTCCTCGGGGACAGTGTCGAGATCCTTTTTCAAGGAACAAGTACAGCGCTGGCCATGTTGGCAACAGCAGGTGTTTGTTTCTGGAAGGGTCAGTCCCTGAGCAGGGTTTCGTGACAACACACTGCCTACCGGTCTTCGCACTACTAGGATTTTCATGTGGACACTCCTCTTTCACGTGCGCCTTGTCATGGCATTCACATTTGACATGCTGAGCGCGGGCCTTGCGCAGGCCTCGGCAGTGTTGACATTGTGAGACGGGTCGGCCTTTCTTGTTCACATGGACAAGGGGACGATCTGGGCAAGTCAGTATGACTCCAGATATCTTTTGCCAGCCTCGAGAATCGCAGGACCACTTACCCTGATGGTGACAGGAACTGACCCGATGGCCCCTCACGCAGGCCTCGCAGGCGAATTTCTCTCCGTTGATGAGCATATTGAAGAGAGTGCAACCTTCTCTGTGCTGTACTGCCTTGAGATATGTCGCTGGCGTATCGGTCGGTCGAGCGGGGGGCGAAAGTGGCCGGAGGGACAGACCAGAATGGTATAGGCGGAATCAGCGAGCGATCGACGTGTAGAGGTGGCTCTCGATGTCGGAGTAGCCGGGATATAGTCTCTCAACAGGGGAGAGCCGTTGTTGTCACATATATCTAGCCCAGTAGAAGGTGTTGGCGGCGCAGGGTGCGAGGCGGAGATGATGGGAGGTGATGGCGGAATGGGAAGTGGAAAGTAACGTCGGGGAAAATTTCGAATTAAGAAGACCGCCAGACGCCGAAAACGAGTTGAACAAGGAACGAAAAGAAGGAGGATCAAGGATATCGGGGGTTACGGGTCAGGATCAGCCATGGTGAATGTGACGACTTCTGGCGAAGAAGATGCTGATGGAAGACGCTGTAAGGAACAAGAAGAGTGGTAGGAAGAAGAGTGTGGGTTGGAGCGGGTAGAAATGGAAGTTCGAGAATAATGAGAGAAGCGACTGGGGGGAAGATCTTTACTGTAGGTATGACTATTTAGGCCACACGGAGTACAGCACAGGTCCCAGGGTCCAGGTGTCCAGGTGCCCAGCAGTAACAAGAAAAAGAGGAATTCTCCCGCGCCCGAGGGCCACCGCAAGCCTCGTACTCGTAATAATAATCCCTACAGTGAAGAAAAGAGTGGGTGCGCCACCGGCATGCGCCAGCCTAACTGAATAATAAAATAACTTCCTCGGCGACCAAATAAATGAAGTCACTACGCCTATTAGGCCTATCACCACCTAACAATATATTTGTTACTGGTGCTTTTCCGTACCAACCCGTTGAACAAATATTTTCAGGGTCCTTCTAGATTGTCAATGGCAATTGCCGCTGTCGTCCCTCATACAAGGTATCATTTACTTTATGGTACTCTTTTACTTACCGAGGCTTGATTAGCTACGAGCACATCAACGTACACGTACCTGGCTCCAGAAAACTAGGTACATACAGTAGCCCCGGAGCCCATTGCCCTTACTCATCAAGGCCAGCACGAGTATCCGCCGCCGAGGGATTCGCAGCACCCACCTCCATCCAGTAATGACCTCCCATACGTACTACTGTACACGTGCGCATCCGCCTTTTCTGCCCTCTACTGTAACTCTCTGCCGCGGAAATCTAGCAACCCTGAGAAGCCGCTGAAAGAGGAACCTCTTATAAGTCGGCCATGGTTCTCCCACTCTTGCCCCATTCTGCGAGGTATCAAAAGAAAGAGGTACAGAGTACTTGTACTCATACTTGAATCCTCTATTGTACAGTACAAATTCTTCATCGGGCGTGCCACCCAAGTTGCCTCCGAATTCTGGCAATCGCTAAACACCCTTGCGGAGAATTTTTCAGCTTTAGCCCGGAAGATCGGATTCACATGGGTATAATAATCCCACTGTTCGTACAGATTCCACGTACGATCCTCGTCCCTTTGCCGATATCTAGAAAGGCCAATTATTATTGACGGTTTTTTCCCAAGTCAGCGTCGAGTCAGATCTACTGCATGTTCCTGCCTATTCGGTTCATCCGGCCGCGAGATCCCCACGGCTCGCGGGCTCGCTCCATGTCAGGCTTATCACAATCGTGTTGTACGGACTATGGTACGAACACTGCCTAGGAGGAATACCAATGTACGAGAGCGGAAGTAAAAGTTGCAAAATGGTAAAGTTCAATTTTGGTGTTTGTAACATCAGCTTTTCAACTTCCAACGGAAGAGTAGCTGCTATGTCCCCATCTTCCTCGTCTCTATCATATATCAGGCATGTTTTTGAGGCTTGCAACCCCTTCCCTTGTCGGCCACTCAAAACAAGGCAAGCCAGGCATGAGAAGGATGCAGCCATCATCGGGTTGTCCGTTCGTAGCTTCGTGATGCCTCTCGCGTCTCGCGTTCGTGTTGTTGATCCTTTCTCAAACAGACCGAACGCTGTTGTTCCCAACTCCAAGAAATGCATTGCAGATTTCAAACGAATTCTGTACAGCCCGATAAAATCATGGCTCAATCATTACAACTTTGACTTACACGGTGGGGCCAGCCTTGATGACTTCCTCGGTGGCCTGGTCGGAGTACTTCTTGAAGTTCTCATTGAAGAGAACGGCCAGCTTCGTGACCTCATCGGTGAAGTCGGCGGTGCCGGTCCAGCTCTTCTTGGGATTCAGCAGCTCATCCGGAACATTCGGACAAGTCTTGGGCACGCTGAGGTTGAAGATGTCGTAGGTTTCGTACTCAGCCTTGGCAAGCTCCCCAGAGTGAATGGCATCCAGGATAGCCCGAGTGTACTTCAGTGGGCAACGCTTGCCACCAGTAGCGGCGCCGGCACCAACCCAGCCGGTGTTCAGCAGCCAGGCATTGGTGGAGTGTTCGGAGATCTTGTCTGCCAACATCTTGGCGTATCGCATGGGGTGCAAGGCCAAGAAGGGTTGAGCAAAGCACGAAGAGAAGGTAGCTTGAGGCTCAGTAACACCATCCTCGGTGCCTGCCATCTTGGAGGTGTATCCGGAGATGAAGTGGAACATGGTCTGGGCAGTGTTCAACTTGGAGATCGGTGGCAGAACACCACGAGCGTCACAGGTGAGGAGGATGATGTTGCTGGGGTGGTTGTTGCTTAGACATGGGATCTTTGCGTTGCCGATGTATTCAATGGGGTAGGCGCATCGAGTGTTCTCGGTCAGGGTGGCATCGTCGTAGTCGACTTCACGGGTCTCGGGGTCGAAGACAACGTTCTCAAGGACTGAGCCGAATCGGATGGCACCGAAAATATCTGGTTCCTTCTCCGCAGACAGGTTGATGCACTTGGCGTAGCAACCACCCTCGATGTTGAAGACACCCTTGTCGGACCAACAGTGCTCGTCATCACCGATCAGCTTGCGCTTAGGATCCGCAGATAACGTCGTCTTGCCAGTACCAGACAGACCAAAGAATACAGTCACGTCACCCTTCTGACCTTCGTTGGCCGATGAGTGGAGGGTCAGGACATTGTGCTTGACTGGCATTTCGTAGAAGAGGACTGTGAAGACACCCTTCTTCATCTCACCAGCATATTCAGTTCCGAGAATGACCATCTCTTTTTCGGCAAAGTTGAGCGAAACACTGGTGGCGCTGGTCATACCAGTGGTATATCTGTTGGCCGGGAAGGAGCCGGCATTGTAAATAACATAGTCGGGGTGGAAGTTCTTCAGCTCTTCGCGAGAAGGTCTGATGAGCATGTTCCGCATGAACAAGGCATGGTAGGCACGGGCGCAGACAACTCGGACGCTGATACGGTAGCGCTCGTCCCAGCCGGCATAGCCGTCGATAACGTAAATTCGATTCCGGGTATTGAGGTAGTCGATAGCACGTTCCCGATTGATCTTCCAGACCTGTACGAAGACAACCGTGTCAGCTATCTTTCCCTAAACATTCCGTAGAGACTCCATATCGCTACCAGGGGGGGGAAGTTTGAATGTGGGGCAGGAAACTCCCCCGAATCAGCTGCCGAACATGGGGGCCCGTCTGCACCCGGGTGGCCAAGAATTTCTTAGGCGCAGCCAGAGGCAACAGGACGTCATGGCCCAAGTTGGAGCAACGCGGGGCAAAAGTGCTCGTGTGGGAAACGCTCTTTTCCTGCCGTTCGCCCACATCCAAACAGCTATTGAAGTTGTTGCGGGGAAATTCATTGTGTAGAACTGGCAACGAATGATGGCCACTTCATCGAAGCGTTCTAAAGCATGGGATGCGCCTCGTTGCATCATCATCTTCATCATCCGGCTGGTGATGGCACATGTGAGGAGGACAAGTCCTTGAGGGCATGGGCAGAAGACATGGAGAGTTGATGACGGAGGTGAAAGATAAACCACTTACATCTGGTGACATGGGCTTGTTCACGGGTCCCCACCACACATCCTTCTCTGAGCTTTCCTCTTGAACCACTCGCTTGTCTAGCGGCGAACGACCGGTCTTGTTGCCCGAGTAGGCACTCAGGGCACCCGACGATGTAATAGCTGTACCGGTCTCGTAAACCAGGGCATCTTCGTAGAGAGCTGAGACAGAGGGGTTGGCAACAATGGCCACTCGGTCATAGTCGATGTGAGCCGTAGTGTGAAGTTCCTCTTCAAGTTCCGTGTGTTCACGACCCGGCCTAGGAAGAAACGTCAGTTTGGAATGATCTTGAACAGCGACGACAACATCGACTTACTCAACACCACCCGGGTGGAGAGCGGTCTTGTTGACCGATTGAGAGACCATTCTGGATGTGTATGCTCGCAAATTGGTTTTGGCTAGGTTTGAACGTGCTGTACCAGTTGCAGGAGAAGGCGAGTGAGGACGAATTTGCTGGATAGCCTGAAGACGGGTAGAATAGTCAGAGGCCATGATGCGGAATCGACTCTTTTGTATATTCCTGGAGCCGGGACCAAGCCGAATGTTGCTTCCGATGGACAGTTGTATGACGGGAGACTTCGGAGGACGAAATTGAAGACGCTTCACAACCAGAGTCCGAGATTTTCCGCAGGGCAATGATTGGAGTAGAGACGAGGCCAGTGGGCGTACGTGGGTAAACTATGCTCTGATTATTGGAGATATGATGCGGAGCGTGCAAAATCAGCCTTGATGTCCTTCTTATTATCGTGAATCGAGGCCTGAAGGATGAAGACTCGAGATGAAGTGACGGCAGAAGATAAAGGTCTAGGAAACGCAGGTGGAGGCAGAAAGGGAAAAATCAGCTGAGGGAATGTGACCAGTGTCTTCATTGTCATCGAATGCTCTTCCCCCGCTTCCAATCACCACATTTCCTTCCACCCTTGCCAATACAGGTCCAGTACCACGATTACTGTTTTTTGATCGCTGACTAGACTGCACTGTGCTTGGTTCAAGAGTTATCGACCCTACACAACAACGCCACCGACGCTTCGCGCTCAGATCCAGACTCAGACCATGCAATTGACGGCACATCAGGTTACACGTCGACGAGTAGTATCTCAACTCAATCCTGCTGAGTCAGGGCAGAGTTTTGCTGATCACAGTAGCAACGATGTGTTGATGGTGCAAGACAAGATCGTTTGTAGAGAGCGTTTCGCTGGGATTGATGGGGGCTGCCCAAAACAACCAAGTCCTTACGAGTCTGGACTCCACCAGATGCGCCTTTGCGTCAAACAAAGCGGGGGAATCGCTTTTCATGACCCAGACCAGAGTATCATACCAGGCAAAACATGACACGATGTTATTCTGTGTCATCAATGCCGGTCGCCCGTAAAAAGAGACTACATCATTGTCTTGGAAAACAGACAGATAAATGTATAGTACTTGCGACAATTGACCAAATATACCCAAGCATGATAGTCATGGCAGGTCTTAAAACACGAGAAACCCTGGATATTCCGGCCTGCACTCTTTAAGCAGTCTTCTGCCAGGCTCCGTAAACACCAAGCAAACTGCTGGTCGTGCCTGCCAGTCCAATAATTCCCTCGTCCAAGTTGAGGTAACCCAGTGCAGTACTCGGCACTGTCAGATCGCAAAGGTCAGAAACAAGCTGGATGTTGACAGCCTTTTGTTGTCTGCGAGTCACGGTCAGTCTCAAGCAAAGCATCTCTCGAAGGGAGTAACCTACTTTGCGATCTTCACCTTCTCAACTTTCGCTTCGGCATCCTTCTCATCAACGGCCTTGGTGCGCTGTCTCAGCTTGTACTTGTTGTAGATTCCAGCCAGTGCGCTTGCCGTCAAGCCCGTCCACCAGAATCGGAACGCTGTCGCCTGAATGTTCTTGGCCCTGGGATCCTTCTTGACACCCATAGCATCCAGCACAGTCATCATGTCAAATAGCATGTAGCCGGCATACCCAATCTGTCGCAGGATCTGAAGGTATTGAGTGATCTTGTCTCCGTTGCCCGATTTTACTGCGGCATCATAGATCTCAGAACCAGCACGCAGATGCTCCACAAACTTGCCAATACGCAGGATCTTTCGCGTCAGGCCGAACTGAGTCTTGATCGTGGTCCATGGCTGAATGGAACTGGTCGGATTGTTGGTGCGGTAAAGATACCAGGCGTAGAATCGCGCGAAGTACTGAATGGTACGGAGTACCTTGTCTCGACCGACTACACAGTGATCTGGTCAGCGATGAGTCGTCGAGGTATAATAGTGTATCTTACCTGTAGTCGCGACGTATCGGAGATAATGGGTCACCGCAGGGTGATAGACGACGGCATCTGCAACCATGATTGCAGCCTCGGGAATTTCAGGAACAGAGGCGATTCTGAAACCCACGAAAAGGCTCGATGGCAAATTCGGACGGGCGTAGTCTTTGATAAGGAAGACGTAAAGAAATTTTATCAATCCGAGTCGCGATTCTGACCTGCAGCCGGCGACAAGACCGCGGATTATAAAAGTGGTAAGAATTGTGTTGGAGAGCAAGCCAAAATCGAGGGCGAGCCGTGCATATTATTCCCCGGTTACTCGGGAGTTATAAGGGGCCAGTATGTATCTGCCAATACAGTCTTGGGCATGTGAACCCTGCTACCTCGGTATTTCTAACATTGCCGACTGCAAGATGTCGCCCTGCTGTATGCGTGTGATGGTTTCTATAAAATATATAACCACTCAGCCTAGTCTGATGTCTTATTATTTGCTGACCATTAGGGACCGCCTTCGTGATCTCATCTCACCGCCCAGTTACAACTCTCTGCCATGATAGGGTATTTTTTTGGCTCAGAGGCATGTTATTAAAGATAGTAATGGAGCTGCAAGTCTGTCCAGCTACTAAAATTCTTACTACCATCGATTGATCTTTGAACTGCACCCGCCTAATGCTCTATGAGTCTATCAGAACGTTTGTGTATCTTTTTTTCGGGCGGCTTGGGCAAATATCAAATCCGGAAATATGGTTTTTCCGCCTCATTCAAGCCGAGGCTTCTCCAACCATCCTTTTGCGGAGATGCGAGATAGCGCGACCTCCGGGTCGACTTGGAATTATCTCGGAGATCTGCCAGCAGTCACTGGGCAATAACATGCCGTGACTGTTCCTCGAATAAACTCGTTGCAGTGATTCGAGTATTCAACCTTGCTCCTTACACATACTCGTGCACCTGCAGTGCAGATCTAAGCGCCGCGATGCCTACGAACTCGCCATTTCCCGATATTCAGATCCCCGAGGTTGACCTATGGGGTCTGATGTTTGAACAGCCTCGGGACTTTCCTGATACGCAAGGTAGGTCATACAATTTACACCAGTACATGAAACTGACTGTGCAGTCATATATCGATCTGTTGATGGCTCTCGTCAATACACTTGGACAGATGTCAAAGATGCCGCTACAGGATTCGGAGGCGGTCTCCGTAATCTTTGGGACTGGCAGAAGGGTGATGTCCTGAACGTCTTTGCGCCCAACGATATCGACTTTGCGGCCATTGTCTACGGTGTCTTCTATGCTGGAGGCATAGTGTCACCGGCCAACCCGGCATATTCGGCCGATGAACTCTCCTTTCAATTGACCAATTCCGAGTCGAAAGCTATTGTCACAACCATTGATTTCCTACCAACAGCACTGAAAGCAGCCAAGAAGTCCGGCATACCCGAAGACCGTGTCATTTTACTTGGTCAGGGACGAGACCCCAGCCATAGGTGCAAGCACTGGACCAATATCCGCAAGACTAGTGGTTCAACAAGGTACAGACGGCGCAAGATGCATCCTGACAAGGACCTGGCGTTCCTGGTCTACAGCTCGGGAACAACTGGATTGCCGAAAGGAGTCATGCTCAGCCACCGGAATATCATCTCCGACTTATTGATGGTCAAGTCTGCCATGGGGAAGTGGTACTCGAGTGGCCAAGATAAGATCCTTGGGGTGTTGCCCTTTTACCATATTTATGGGTTGACTGGGTTGGTCCAACAGCCACTTCATCGAGGAATTGAGCTGGTGGTGATGCCATCGTTCAACCTGGAAGTATTCCTAAAGGCCATTCAAAACCACAAGATTACTTTCATCTACGTTGCTCCGCCGGTGATTGTACGGCTGTCTCGGGACAAGCTTGTAGAGCAATACGATCTCAGCAGTGTGAAAATGATCACCAGCGGTGCAGCACCACTCACCAAGGAGCTGGTCGACGCTGTGCACAAAAGATTAAACATTAAGATCAACCAGGCATATGGTCTAAGCGAGACCAGCCCAATGACCCATACGCAGGTAAGAGCCCCGAGTCAGGCGTGTGTTAAGAGTCGCGTATGCTAACGTGGTGGCACCAATAGCCCTGGGACGAATGGTATACCTCCGTGGGAAGCGTCGGGAAAATGTTCCCTAGCATGAAGGCAAAGTATATATCACCCGATGGCGAAGAACTTGGGCCCGGCAAGACTGGAGAACTGTGGTTATATGGACCCAACATCTTCAAGGGATACTGGAAGAATGAAGCCGCGACCAAGGATGCGATAACATCGGATGGTTATTTCAAGACAGGAGACGTCGGCTTCCAGGACGAAAACGGCAACTTCTACATCACAGACCGCGTCAAGGAGCTGATCAAATATAAAGGATTCCAGGTTGCGCCGGCTGAGCTAGAAGGGAAGCTAATGGATCATCCTGCTATCAACGATGTCGCCGTCATCGGAATCAACGACGACCATCAACACACCGAAGTCCCTCGAGCATATGTGGTGGCCCCTGCAGGCAAAACGAGCGAGAAGGATGCGGCAGAAATTGTCAAGTGGCTAGATGGACAAGTGGCCAGCCACAAGAGACTTAGGGGTGGCGTGAGGTTCATTGATGAGATTCCCAAAAGTGCAGCCGGCAAGATCTTACGCCGGGTATTGAAGGATAAAGCAAAAGAGGAAGAATCGAAGCTCAAAGCGAAGTTGTAGACTGTACGGGAGAATTTTGCGCAGAAGGAATACCTCATACATCGATAGTGTATGTCAATGTTACAGCGTGTATACTGTATATCCAGTGTAGTGATATTGTAGGTCTGGCCCTTAGATGTGACCTCGAGGTGGCTTTCTGGGGCCCTGGGAGTCGCCGAGCATCCCTAAAAAGCCAAGAGCGTCTAGGCGCTCCCTAGGTACTTTATGCAGTGGCGATTCGGTGCCCATCCACTCACATTCGCCTCCATGATAGACTCCCTTGCATTGGCCTTACTAGGCATGTTCTTTAGCGGGGAGTCAAAGACAGACAAGCAATGATACCAAGCTTTTTCACCGATCGATCCTCGTGACTCTCGTCTGTTTTTGGTGCCGCTTGAGAACGTATGAGGCGCACACATCTCCCATCTCCCATCTTCTTTCGTCCTCGACTAGAATCACCTCATGGGGACAATTGCAGAATCCTCCAGCTCAATTTGTACCATGTTCATGAATGCGTGTCTTCACACGAAGCAGCCAATCCTCCTCCAGCCTTCTCTACACGTGGTCACAGCGTGGGATTGAAAATCCCTACGACGCGTACTGCGTACAACCCAACGATCTTCCCAGTAAGTTTGCGCGTCCCACCGATAAGTTAGCGCGTGAGTCCGGCCATTGTCCTGGCTGGATTTTGTACAGAATTTCGTTCAAGGGCACGGGACCCCCGAAGTCAGCTCCATCGCACGACGTTGCAATCAGTGGCGCTTTTCAACCACTCAGAATGACGCTTCTCTGACGAGTACGGGCATGAACCATGCCTACCTGGGCAGATCAACGTCGACTTCGACCATCGTGGCCAAGAGCATGCGACATGATTCGCGCTTGATTCGAAGAGGTGCCTCGACGTCACCATCCCTAGTACTGCTTTCGAGAGCGACTGTTCCTTCGTTGACGCAGCTTCCTGAACCACGATTCCACTCGATCATCCTTCCCTACGTTGGCGTCTGCTTGCACCTACTGCTTTGGGGAACGTCACACCCTCTTGGGAAGCCAGTCGAGAGATCTTATAACTACCCTACAAGTACTTTCTTCCCTCTGAACAGATCCATGTGACATCTTCTCTGTTTTGCCTCCTCAGTACTCCTCGTCGCCATGGAGAACGAGAAAGTTATCAACGAAGGTTACGCACCTGAACAGGATCGTCGTGTATCAGTACATACTGCTCCTCTCGATGCCACACCCAAGACAAGATGGGAACGAAGTTGGCCGACCATCGCCTGTGGTGCCGGGCTCTTCTCTGATGGCTACCTCAATGGGGTAATTCTTACCTACTCTCGTCCAGGACACCAGGAATGCTATTCTAACACACCATAGGTCATCGGATCAGTGAATACCATGCTCAAAATTCTCTACAAGGACGAATACGTCAATTCCGACGCCCAAAACAATGTTACTGCCATCGCCTTTGCTGGAACCGTCTTGGGCCAATTAGTCTTTGGCTATCTATCCGATCACTGGTCCCGACGCCACTCTCTACTTCTATCGACCATCATCCTGATCGTCTTTGCCGCCCTCAGTGCTGGCTCGTATGGCGCCGGTGGCAGCATTGGTGGTATGTTTGCCGCTCTCACGGCATACCGATTTCTTCTGGGCATTGGCATCGTAAGTCTTAACAATCCTGTTATCATTTCTTCTCTTCTCGAGTGATCGCATGACTGGAGGGAAAAGACTGACAGGAACAGGGAGGTGAATATCCCGCTGGGTCGGTGGCGTGCGCCGAAGCGACCGGAGAACTCAAGCGCGGGCATCGCAATCGTTGGTTTATTTGCTTCACGAACCTCGCAATCGACGTCGGTTTCGTGGTCTCGGCCTTCGTCCCCATGATCATGGTCTTAATCTTTACCGAAAACCATTTGCGCGCAGCGTGGCGTATGTGTCTAGGCCTAGGTGTCATTCCGCCACTGTCCCTTCTGTACTTGCGGATCAAGCTTCAGGAACCCGAAGAATACAACCGTAACAAAATGAACCGCTACCCTTACTGGCTCATTCTCAAGTTTTACTGGTTCCGACTCTCGATCGTCTCGTTGATCTGGTTCGTCTACGATTTCTCCACCTATTCCTTTGGCATCTACTCCTCATCGTGGCTGGCTTTGTTGCTGCCAGCGGATGCCCCTCTCTGGAAGACGTTCGGCTGGAACACAGTCATCAATCTGTTTTACTGCCCCGGTGCGGTCCTAGGGGCTTTCCTGTCGGACATTCTGGGTCCCAAGTACTGCCTTATCCTAGGCGTCACGCTACAGGGGATCGTAGGCTTCGTCATGACGGCGATATACAAGCATCTCGACCAACCGTCACAGGTTGGCGGATTTGTTGTCATGTACGGCATATTTCTCGCGCTTGGCGAGGTTGGTCCCGGTGACAACATCGGGCTTGTCGCTTCCAAGACGTCGGCAACCTCTGTGCGGGGCATGTACTACGGCATCGCAGCTGCGATAGGAAAGGTTGGAGCCTTTGTCGGAAACTACATCTTTCCAGACATTATCAAGGCAGCCGGCGACAATGTCATCAAGCAGGGTCAGTACCCATTCTATGTGTCGAGTGCGTTGTGTATCTTTAGCGGGTTGGTCGCGTTTATCTTCCTCCCACACATTGGCCAGGATACCATCACAGAAGAAGATGAGAGATTCAGAGCATACCTCATCGAGCATGGCTACGATATTGACTCTTTGGGAACCAAGAAGTTCAGAGAGGAGAAGACTTCGTTGGCGACGAGTCCGTAATGTCTGGTCAGGCTGGGTAGGCAGGGTGTATGGAGAGTCGGATAGTTCAAGGGGTGTGAAGGGGCTCAAAGCCACTGTTGCTGTCGTTGTCCTTGGAATGGTAGGCGGACATCGAATGGAGATAAGTCAGATACTCTTCAACAAGTCCTGAAGCTGTTGCCTGAGAAACATCCACAACAACGACAAATGCCTAATCTTGCTTCCTTGACATTCTCTGATCTCTTGATGTGTGATGGATAAATTCACCCTCCTGTTCTGCTCAAGTCATGACACAGTCTGCTGAATGACCGGCATATTGGACAACCACGTTACCTCACCTTCTAGTTCTTATCTTTCTCAGGAAGGAAGGCTTGAAGGGTCTTGTAACTGCGTACCCACGCGTACGCGTCCCACTGCCACCAAGGCGTGAAGTTGAAACTGCCATTAGTGCAGAGGCAAAGGGCGCCAAATGTGCAAAGGTCAACAACCCAATGTCTACTTCAAACATACCGTTTTTCATATCAAAGAAAATGCCAGTACCAAGTATGTCTCTTTCAGTGGCGATTGTCTAGAACAACAAAGCTTCAAGGGCGAAAGGATTCCGTGAAAGAAGTGGTACGGAGTAGATTGGACGGAATCCAATGCGGACTTGCTTGTAATGTGTCACCGTAGTCGATATAGGGTGGATCATATATTGATATGTAACTATCTTGGCATGATCTTCAGAGGTGAGCAGACGTATTGTACTTTACAAGGATGCGGAAGTGGCCTCCTTGAATGAAAGAATCAAACCATCACAGGCATCACTTTGTCTCAGCAAACTTATATTTGTTTTCCAACTTGATACTGCCACACTGTGTTTGCTGCTCTAACTGTGTCATTTCTCTATCCCTGTCTTACAACCCTCATTGACAACCTCATCCCGGTCTCTCATCCCACCTTGCCTAAGATCTACTATTTCATGCGCGACCATTGATCAGCTCAGAGTATATTCCTTTCGTACTCTTCTTCAAATCTCCACCCTTCGATTGCCTAGTAGTCTTTCGAAACTACCATCGGCAGATCTCGCTCTTGCCTTGATCCAAATTTCGGCGCATCGTTCCATCCTCCTTCATTCATTTCTCCGCGAGCAGCACATTGAACCAGACAATAGATGAAAGCCTGAAGAGGTGGAAGATAACTCATCCGACGGAGGAAGGGTTCGTAGGGCTGGCGCACACTAGGAGAGTGTTGGTTAAAGGTGTTGTGACTGTCGAGGGTCATCGAAGCAGTCCGAGTTCCGCGCCCAAGCCAATATCTCGACAGTGGATGAGCCCCTCCGGACGCTCTGTCAAGTTTTTGATCGAAGGGTCATCCCTAATGCCTCTACAAACTGCGTAATCGGACAGATATGGAATCACGGGAATTTGCGACCAGAGACGAACTGTGGCGCATTCAAGAGACTCTCAGCGAGCTCTCCGCAACCCAAGCCGTGCATTCCGACAGAATCATGCGTTTGGAGCAGAAAACGTCGGACGGGAGTAGATCACGGACTCTTTGGGGAGCATCATCTCCATTTGCCGGTGGTCTTGGCTCATCACAGCACGGTGAGTTGGTCACGCTGATGGATCCGTCTCTATACTAACAAATGTAGAATCTACTCTGAACCCTGCGGCTGAGGCCTTTCGCAATTTTGATGCCGAGCCTGCTGCAAGTATGATGAGTTCATTGACCTTGGATGCCAACGATGAATCGAGGCGGGCCGCGGCATCACGAGCCAATTCCGTACGTTTCGATGAAAGCGCAAACAACCATTACGCATCATCTAGACAATCAATGGAACTTCCCACCCGAACGGGGAGTGGTCTTGGAGGTCATGCACTCTCGGAGAGATCTCTATCACATCGTTCAGACGGAAGACCCAGTGTTGCCGGGTTTGGTCGGACAAACAGCTTTGGTTTGGAGCAGAGTCGCCTGCTTGGATCCATAAACAACTCTCCGCGCGCCTCAGGACATCCACCCCCCGGCTTCTTCGCCCTAGGCCCCTGCCCCTCAATTATACGTTGTTGGCTGACCGAGTCGTTTTCCAATGATTCCCTCCTCTACGCTGCTATATGCACTGGCTCTTCCATATCTTCGGTAAGCATCGCTCTCGTCTCCAAACTCGATTTGATGGACTCCATCTTCGATGACGGCGACTTGCGTGCCATTCGACTTCCCGTGTATCTCACTGAGGCGAAAATCCATTCTCCTGCTGTCAGATCCGCGAGCCCAGTTCCCCATGTTCCAACCCTGACTGTCAAGTTCATGGTCGACGAGCAACCAGTCAGCGACACGTTAATACAGATCATCATGGGTAGCGACATACTGAGAAGTCACAATGGCGATGTCCTGTTCTCGCAAGACAAATTAATGATTTTCGACGAGGAGCGAAATTTACTTTCCATACCTCTTGTCCGTCCCGAAGATGATGCCTCGTATAAGGACTTGTGCACGGCACCCCGCAAGCGATCGACGTCCATTGAAGGAGCCATGCTACCACCTCCAGTATCTCCAGTCGGGGTAATCGGGCGTCCTGGAAGGTCGAACACTGCCCAGATAGTGGCCTCGCCAATGGTGGCACCATCCAGTAGTGTTGCATCAGCCACGCCGTCTGAGCCTGGAGACATGCGTAGATCCGACCTTCATGCCGAACAATCCACCAGATCAAGCCTAGATCTTGCACATTCCCGGCCTGCGGATGACTCCAAGTCGACGACAGGAAGCGAGAAATCGTTCGGCACGCCCATGTCAAAATCTGGTCAAGGGGCGTGGTCGAATTCTTGGCGGTCAGTTTCGACTTCTACGCAAAACGATACGGCTCCGAAGCCTTCGTCCACTTATGCGCGGCCTAGTGCGTCACGTCCTATGAAGATTCTGCGACCAGCCAAGACGATGGCCAACGCGACGAGAACAGCATCTACTCCAATGGGACCTAATGGAACCGACGCTCCCCCCAGGCCAGGCGAATTTAGCAGAAAGCCCAGCCAAACCGACCTCAAGGAAAATGCTGCGAAATCAGGTTATTCCGCGTCGACCACAAAGACCAATCCGGTTGGATCTGGTACTGCCTTTGGCTGGCTCAACACTGGTCCGCAGCGTAGAACGACGGCCAATGGGTAAAATGGTGCGGCAAGTGAGTTAGTGTTTTGATGGATGTGACTATGTTTTTTACGGACGGGAGGTGCGGTGCTTTGAAAGATGAATGAGTACAAAGGGCAGATGGTGTACCATCAATTCAGATCCGGTTTCCTCGAGATTTCTTTTGGGAGAGAGGCATAACATGTATTCTAGGTAGAGGATGCCACCTGGAACCGAATGTGAAGGTGAAGAAAGATTCGGCTTTGGCACAAGGAAGACAAAAAACCCAGATAAATTTACTAGGTAGCCACGAGGCTAGAATCAAAGAAGCAGATGAATGTTTTATGAGTTGTATGTTGTATTGGTTCTTATGTTTCCTACTACCCATCAAGGACCTCCGTACCATCCTCGTATCTTTTTGTTCTCTATTTTCAAACCCCGACATTTCTCCACGTTTTGGTCATTTGAATAGAATCGGGTCCAACAACATCGGCAATTCTCCCGTTGATCCGATCACGCCCGCATTTTGTCCAAGACCACAAACATATCTCATTATACCCTGTAAAACATCTATTACTCTTGTTGCTTTTTTGCTATCTATACTTTGATGATCAATAATAGTGCTTGTCGTCGGGTCTTCATGAACAGAACTAGTCACTGTACACGAAGATCGAACAACAGGCCATTTGGAGTTTCGACTTTTACGAGATACGCAAGGATGGCCTCGTCAGAATCTAAGCGGATAGGTATTTGTTCCTCGTTTATTTTTTTCGGGGTCCTCAGGTCCTCAGTCTGTCGAAAATATTCATACTAACGATGACGACCTTTTGTTGCATAGTGAATCCGGTATTGTTGTGAGTATGATTCGAGCAGCACCTCCGATTCACCACCACCGCCACCACCACCACTATATCTACAGAGTGTCATCTGTCTCATGCTGATTCGACTTCAATGAACATATAGTATCTGTGACATTCAAGAGAAATTTCGAACGGCGATATGGGAATTTCCAAAGGTGTATGTAAATTTTTTGTTATCTTTTTTGTTATCTTTTTTCAGTTTTATCTTTTTCCCTTGAGAGAGACTTGTCAATCACATGCGTCGCTTGTTGATTTTTGAGTGTTTTCAATGGTTTGAGTTCCTTTGGATTACTAGCACGCGATTTATCTCAATCTCAACCTTTTGACCACCTACATCTTCCGTATTCAAGTCTTGTCATGAAACACACATCAATTGACACCCTTTTTATTTTCTCGGCAGGATCTCGACGAGTGCCAAAATGATCAAAGCAGGTAAGTGGTGACGCATGACTTTTTTTTTCCCCCCCGGTCCTCTTTTTTATACTCACTCGTTTCTTTCCTCCCTCTTTGACAGCTCGAATCCTCGACATACCTGTCTACGTCACCACCCAAAATGCCTCCCGTTTGGGGGCGACGGTGTCGGAACTGAAAGCTTTACTTCCAAAGGGGTCGGACTCGACCGCGACGACCGATGTCGACAAGACCGCCTTTTCCATGTTGGTCCCGGGTCTCACTCGACAATTGAACGCGAACGGGAAAAGACTGAGCGTCATCATCGTCGGCATCGAGACTCACATCTGCGTCACCCAGACCGCACTGGACCTTCTCTCCCAGGGCCACAAGGTCTACGTCTTGGCCGACGGGGTCAGCAGTTGCAACGCCGCCGAGAGACCCGTGGCCCTGTCCCGGCTGGCCCGTGAAGGTTGTGTCGTCACGACCAGCGAGAGTCTACTGTTTGAACTGGTCGGGGACGCCAAAGATGGTAACTTCAAGGCCGTCTCGGGGTTGGTGAAGGAGACCAAGGAAGAAACCAAAGACGCAGTCGAGACTTTGTGTAGTAGGTTGTAGAAAGTATATCTCTCTGAAAGAGAGAGAGAGAGAGAGAGAGAGAGAGAGAGAGAGAGAGAGAAAGAACAACACACAAGGTATCAAATTCAGTATGAGTAGTACACAGTCAAGATAACAATGAGAACTATCAATTCAAGGAACAAAAAAGACAAACACGTCATCACAATCAAAGGTTTCAATTACTATTCTCGCCTCAACCACATGGCAAAAGACCAAAAACAAAAACGCAAGGACAATCCACGAGATATTAAAACGGCTTCAAATCGTACAGCAAACTCCCCCTGACACACCTGCCCTATCGACGTAAGAAGAATGAGACAGCCACAGGTATAGCTACGACCACAGCTACTAATAGCACCCTACTGTTTCATAGATTAGCAAAGAGTTGCACAGTATCGTCACTTGAGCATTAAAAAACTTACTTCTTCGCCAGGACACCACCACCTTTGTTGGGTTGAGGCAGCAAAGCTTCACTCTCGGGTGAGCTCCTCTGCACCACATCTGCAACCTTTGTCGTCACTGGGACAGGTTTGTTGTCAGTCTCCAAGATCAGAGGTATTTTATGCTCTTCTGCTGAATAAGGAGGAGGTGCAAAATCCGGGATGGAAGCCTCTTTATGGACGTCGTGTTCATCTGGTGTGCCTTCTGGCTGGACACGGAGTTCGTCCTCCATTGCAGCAACAGTGTCGGACACAGTAGCACTGGCTGTGGTAGCAGCAGCAGCAGCAGCAGCAGCAGGAGCGGTAATGGCAGCAGTAGCAGCAGCAGTAGCGGCAATTGGAGCCTGGCCAATGTCTTCGCTTTCACCTTCGCTTTGCTGAAGAGTTGACTCTTGAGTTTGTTCGGGGTCGACGGTTAGGACATTGTTGACGTTTCCTGATCCGTCATTTTCTACAGCAACATCAGCAATCCAAAAATAGTGCCAGGATAGACTCATACTAACCGGTCGACGTTGATTCATCTAGGACCCACCAGTCTCCAGGACCAAGGCGAAACTTGTACTGGTATTTACCAGGTTGAAGTTCGGCGGCGTGCGTGAACTTGTTCTGACCGTTTTCAAGCTTTTCGCAGGTCATCTCCACTGGTGACCATTCTGAAAAGGCCCCGGCGATATAAACCGGGGCTTGCACATCGGCCTTGCTAAAGGTAATTGTGGTGGAAACCATTTTGATGGTTTTGTAGGATAAAGATTGGAATATTGTAGGAAATGATATGTAAGAGGTCTCTAGGACAATAAGGACTGATAATTAAGAGGCCTAGACATCATCATAGTCAGTACATTCCCAAGATAAAGGAGTTATGCTAGATGAGTTGGGTCAAGTCAAGATATCCAGCACATGGATGAGTACTTGGTCTCTTCACTGGGACAGTTCGTCTAGACTCCCCTCCCCGAACGAGTTTCCGTCTGTGAGCTCAGACCTGTCATGAAGTGGGCCAGCACTTGCTTACCTGCGACAATGGCTAGGCCAATGGAATGGTGATTGAGATTTGGATGAAAAGCAACAAGATGGAATAGCAGTGGTAGTCTGTTTGAGAGACTCTCGAGTTTTGTTGATTGGTTTAGACAAGTGTACAAGTAAAAGCCGGGGCAAACAGCCAGTGTAAGATCTAAAACTTGCAGCGTTAGCAACTGTATGAGTAGATATCGAATTTATCCATTGTGCTCATGGTCACTCACCCCGCAAAGTCAGGTAGGTATTCAAGCAAGTTTCACAAGATACGATTCTTTTTTTTGGGTTCTAAGGAAATTGAAACGGTCCGGCCGAGTCAAGATACGATGGGAGTAACAAGAAGCAGGTGCTACATACTGTCGTTTTTGGGCGAGTCCAATCTTCTTTATATACTGATCGGTAACCTGCGTACTGTATGGTCAATCCTCAAGCATCCACAACCCTCTGGTTAGAATGTTTTGCGGCAAAATAAAAAGGTCAGAGCTTCTCAAAGTATCAACAAAGACCATCAAAAGAGACCCAAGAAGCTATGAAAATGTGACAGCTGGGTATAATAAAATGAGGTCAAAGAGCAAAAAAGTCTTATAACCTGTCACACCACAAGTCAAGGTTTCCGGAGGTTCGTGCGCGCAGAGAGAGAGAGAGCGTCATGTCATTCTCTCGCAGGCAAAAGCTGCCGACGCAGGAATGTGTTGCGGGACCTACGAGGACGAGTAACTGAGGGGGGCATGTGAGACGGAGGTCTTGGTGAGTGTGCATGGCAAGGCACTCTCAAGCAAGGCCATGCATGCATGCATGATGCATGAAAATCTGGATCTCATCAATGGCCCCAACAAGTGCTTCATTGGTGGGAAGGATCTGTAGTGTAAAAATGAAGGCTCATGATAAGGAAATAAAAAAAAGGTGGTCAACATGACATGACTTTGTTGGGCTGTCAGGTTGATGTGGATACGACATGGATATTGCCGGGAAGGTCTTTGCTTCGCGGCACATCAGGCACTCCGGGTCCCTCTACGAGTGTTGTATTGTACTAGCGATAACTTGTAACCGGGACTCTCATCCGTACTGTCAAATAGATACATACAAAGTAGTCAAAGCGAGACATGTGCACAAACAAAATGTACTGTACAAATCGTCATGACATGCCCACGGGGTGGCGTTCATTCGCCTATAAGCGATCCCTATCATTGCCCGGCTTCTCTTCCTCCCGCTGTCAATGTCAATGCTCCTCTCCGTCGCCATGGGGAAGTAGATTCACATGCCACGAGAGAAGACCTCATGAAGGCTTCAGTGAGATAAACTAGCGAGCTTGTAAGACTTTCAAGTTGAGACCATCGCAGCTGATGATATACGAGAAGGATGTCATATAATTTTAAAACGGGAACCCATGGCTCATCACCTTCTATCTATGCACCCCGGCAATAATCTTGTCAATCGCGGCGACTTGCTCTCTGACCTTGGGACAGAAATGCTTCCGTAGCAATTCGCCTTCCCACGCTCCGCTTCCAGTAGCCCAAACATTCGTCCCTTCTACAGTGTCGCTTTCTCCTCGAAACACTCCATCTCCTTTTCTTTCGTCACTGTACCACAACGCTTCTATCCTGCGGCCATGCTTGTCTGCTATCTGAGCGAGCAGGTTGAGCACCGCAAGCGCCGACTTCTCCGGCAACTGCAAAGACACCGTCAACAAGCGCTTGAAGAATGACGCGGCCGCGACGCTTGGCGGAGGTTGCGAAGGCGTTAGTAGGATTGAAGCCAGCACTCGTGTCAGGAGCAATATCGGGGTGGAGATATTAACCCTGTTGACTGCCTTTTCAGATGACTTTGATGAATGAGGATCCGGCAGCCGCAAGGATTTCGGGCCCAGCTCAATGTCTGCATCAAGACAGAGTGGGTAGAGAGTGCGATAGGTGTGCGAAGTGAAGAATGAAAGATCCAAGTGTAGAGATGATGCAGCTTTGGACACGTCCTGGCCCGAGAGGAGAGTGAAAGCGGTCTGTGTCGAAAGGAGACTTTCGCGGGTCATGTTCCGGACTTCGTCTCGGTCAACATCCAGCGCTGCGCTCGTTCCTTCGCCCAAATCCAATTCGCCTTTGAGAGCGGCATCTGCCTGGTTGATAATGTCCTTGAGAGCCTCGAGCACATCCCCAAAGAAGTCCTGGTTGATGAGATGTGCATACTTAGCAAGTCCTTCCAGCACAGCGCCCATCAATTCGGGCACCCTGGCTTTCAAGATGCGGAAGTATGTTACAAACACCAGTTTAAGTGTTTCCGATTGCATCTTCTCTCGCTCCTCGTAGTTGACAATCGCATTGGCCTCGCGCATGTCCTTTTCCACTGCCTTTCTCTCCTTTGCAAGTTTCTTCTCCTTCTTTGACCTGTGCTCGAATTTTTCCTTCTTCACCTTCCTACCGTGGAGCTTCGACATGTCTTCCGGTTTGTCGGCTTTGGTGGTAGAACTCGGTGTTGTCAGTTCTGAGAGAAGGCGCAATTGAAAGAATGTATTCAAAACTTCCTCTCGAATTCGATAGTCCTTTGCCTTCATCATCTTGGTCAGAAGGCTGACAGCCTCCATGGACGAGGCTCCGTCATCGTCTTCTGCAAAGAATTTTTCCGCCGTTTCAACACATTTCACGAAATCCGGAGTACTTTCCCGACTAGCCAGCTCATGAACTAGGATGTTCAGAAGTTCTGTGCGGAAATTGAAATGCGGAACAGATAGAAGTAACGTGCAGGCACAGTTTATCGCAACACTGCGCAGGGACTGAGCGTCTTCATCCCCCTTGCGACCTTTCGCAAGACCACCAAGATGCTTCACGTAGGCTTGATAGCCAGTCACAAGAGCCTGCTCGTATTGTCTCGTCTTTCGTACATCCTTGGATATCTTGTTGCCCAGATCTTCGTCTTTGTATGCGCGTATTCGATAGCCAGGGATAACGTCTTTGTAGACCGCCACTTGAGCAGCAAGAACGAGTTTCTGTACAGGTATAGGAGATTGGGAATCCGCCAGTTGTGCAAGTTTTTTGAAAGCACTAGCATGCTCTTCGGGGTCTTCACTCAGCAGACCAGCCAGTCGAGCGATTTCTTCTTTTGCACCAAAGATCTGTTGCTTGAGCGGTACCGCTGGAGCGGCAGGCTCAGACTCGGTAGGAGGTGTCTCGTCTGCATCGTCCTCCTCACTATTGCTGTCCTCGCCCTCCGAGCCGGAGCCTAGAAAGCTGTCTGAGCCATCTTCAGGTTCTTTTTCTTCTACTTGTTGTAGTTGGCCTTGGGCTGTCTTAATAGGTAGTCTCGTGGACTCTTTCGTTTTCTTCGAACGGTTCTTCTGTGCATAGGCTTGTTCGAGATCCCAGTCAGCTGCCCGGGCGAAGAGGTCGGAGGACTTTATGGTCTTGGAAGGAACATCGTCGTCTAACGGTGGTGTGATACGCCTGCGCTTTGCTGGGCGACCATGAGGCATGGCTGTTGTGCTTGAATTATTTTCAAATACACCGCAGTCATGTGGAATCTTCAATTCACGATCTGCCATTGCGGAACAAAATTTCTTAGAACGTTTACCAACTACACCGAAGATTAGCCGCTTTCTCGTAGAATATTTTTTTTGAGACTGCGCAACCACCGATTCCAGACACAAACAGTACAAGTTGCCTAAGAAGTTTCAGAGGCGACCAACGGCTACAAGGCTATTTTTCCAAGATGAGGCCTCTTACTGATGTCGAGACCCAGACATTGTTCACAAAGCTTGCCAACTACACAGGTCGTTCGCTGACCCAACTCATCGCACCCTCGGATTCTTCAGACGACGATAGTGACCGGCATGTCTTCCGCCTGCACGAGTCTCGAGTCTACTATGTTCGATTGTCGCTTGCCAATTTAGCAACAGCGGTTGCTCGAGACAATCTACTTTCACTGGGCACCTGTGTCGGCAAATTCACGAAAACCGGAAAATTCAGATTACATATAACAGCGTTGGATGTGATTGCGCCGCATGCACGATACAAGGTGTGGGTCAAACCCAACGGAGAAATGCCCTTCCTTTATGGAGGCAATGTTGTCAAGGCACATGTTGGAAGATGGAGCGAAGACTGTCCTGAACATTCTGGCGTGGTCGTTTTAGCCATGGACGACACACCACTTGGATTTGGTGTAACGGCTAGGTCAACGGCGGAAGCAAGAAAGTTAGAACCGACTTCTGTGGTAGTCTTCCGTCAAGGTGACGTGGGGGAGTACTTGAGAGAGGAGGATAGTCTCTTTACAACCTGAGATACAACGAAGCCGTGGACTACAAGATTTAAAACGTCAGCGGGCTGGAATCCCTAGGTACGGCTTCCGGCGGTAATGTGCCTCAAGAGCAGGCTACTTCGTGATCACTCTATGAGGGGCACCACGACAAATCCAGCGGGTGACTTATTCGAGACCAGCGAGATCTTTAAAAAGAACGGCAAGAATTGGATTCTCCCTTGACGTAGGAGTCAAGACAGGAGAGCTTTGCCTCTCCAACAGTTCTTACCTCATTCTGAAAGCCGTGATCGACACCTTTTACCCAGCAAGGCGGCTTTTCCTCTCCCGAGGCTTGCGGAATATCTCAGTCTGTGGTCTGACAGACATGATACGACATTGAACAGATCACCGGTTCACGCAGTGAAACAGATTGAGTCAATGCAGCTGGCGGTTGAGATTCGGCTTCGACCATTGCTCGAACATCTCCTAAAATCTGGCAAGGCGCCACTATACAAGAGATACACCCCGCATCGTATCTAGTTCCAAAGAAAGGAGGGGAGTGAGGACTATGGACCGCGAATCCCCTTGAGTTCTTTGATAAGCCATTCTGGAGGAAGTGTCAGTAGAACAACCTACAGGCACCGAATCACTATGCTTCTACTTTATGTCAACGCGTGTGTCTCTTTACACGAACAATTCACTTGCTCAAATCATAGTGTATCTGTCATGGATTTACTGATTCTTGCCTTACCCGTAGCTCCTTAGCGCACGTGGCGTACAGATAAATTCGTGGTGTTTGAAGGGCTCGTGCCAAAAATAGAATGTTCGGCAAGGCTGATCGTAGATAATGAATTCTGCGGAGGCGGGGAGGGTCGATGCGCCCGACATCTCTTCCTGTATCCCGTACTCCGTGACCGACACTGGGGAAAGGGACTTGTCAAGGTGATGGGTTCGTCTACGAAGCGACGAGTCAACTGTGCAAGGTCCTTGTAGTCAAACAGACTTGGAAATGGCCAGTAACGCGTCATGATTGGGTCTTTGATCGTGGCGCAAGCGATTCTCAGCCGAGTCAGCCGGATTGGTGTGAGGCAGACGACTGGACACAAGGCATTTCGACCAGGCGACAAGGCAGCAAACTACCTTCAATCTGAATTTCTTTGGGGAGGTTCCTATAGCCCATCTTCTGAATTAACGTCAGAATGTCTACTCGAACAAAAAGCACTCATGAAAATGCTCCCTCGTTGAGTACGTGACTCTCCCAAGTCAACGTCTTGACACCCTTTTCACCTGCGACGAACATACAGTTCATACCACGATGACCTTTTTCTGGAGCAATCGAGCTGCTCGAAAGCGCCGTAAATACGAAGCTGATAATGCCAATTTCCATGATCCTGCATACCCCCCCTCCAACCCTGTGCCTTATACCATGAACTACTCCCCGAATGCCGTCTACGAACCTCCGTATCAACAATACCAACCGCAATGGCATCAGTCGTCCGTGGCCCCAAACGGAACTGTTCCTCATATGTACTCGGCGGTGACCTTGCCAACCCATCAAGCGGTTCCCCCTGAGACACCCTACCGAACTGTCCAACCCCAACATCCCTGGTCCCAACCAGATCCCGCCGGCTATGCTCCGACGTCGTCAATGTCGTCGTCGTCCGGGGATGAGCTGCTACACAGAAGAATTGATGACAAGCTGGACGATATCATATCTTTGATAGATGCAGATGCCTTTATTGGCTCGACAAGAGAGCTTGCCATAACCATACCTTCTTGTTCGTCAGAACTCTCGGAGGAAGAAGTGACCACTGACCGAGCCGTCGGCGGCCACGAGAGGAGACCAAGGAAGCAGCAGCAACAATATCAACAACGACAACCCAAACAGGTCAATGTCTTTTCCAAACTGGACCTGTACCTCAACTCCAAACTCCCCGCCACGCTTCCGCCTCTGAGAGTCTACATCCCGACTTATCCTCTGTTGTGTTTGGCGGCACAGTACTCACTGAACGCGTACCACCAACCCCAGTCCGCTTCGGAACGCAAGGACTACATCTCGGCCGACAGCAAACTGGGCACCAAAGCCATAGTGGTCAAGAGCGTACCCTGCGACGACAAGAAGACGATCGTGTTCGCCATACGTGGGACGAGCAGACTCAGCGTGAGGGATTGGGGGGTCAATCTTCGAGTTGACCCGGTGTCACCCGCCGGGTTCCTCGACGACGAAGGTAACCTTTGTCATTCTGGGTTTCTGAAGGTCGCCAGGGCCATGGTTCGACCCATGGCCTCGAGACTGAGACAGTTGCTGGAGGAGAACCCGAACCGAAGCAGCTGCTCTCTGCTGATCACCGGACACAGCGCGGGTGGGGCCGTGGCGAGCCTCTTGTACTCGCACATGCTCGCCGCGACGGTCGACAGTGAGCTGAATGCCTTGACGGGCTGTTTCAAGAGGGTTCACTGTATCACTTTCGGCGCTCCCCCGGTCAGTCTTTTGCCGTTACAAAAATCCACCACCGCGGACGGCCGACTACAAAAGTGTTTGTTTCACTCATTCATGAACGAAGGTGACCCCGTCGTTCGTGCCGAAAAGGCTTACATCAAAAGTCTGGTCGATTTACTTTCCAGACCGACCCCACAGGTTGATCAGCGAACCACCAACGCGTCGACGTCGATGTCGAAGTCGCCGCTGACCAAGTTGGGCGCCGCCAGTATGTCCATGCTGGACTTGTCCCTGAACCCGACCAAAAAGAAGACGACGAAATCCAAAAACCGTCGACATGACCACCAACAGCAAAGTCTGGATCCGGCGTCGAAGTTGTTGTGGTGGGACGTCCCCTCGGGCATGTTTTCGAATGCCGGACGCCTGGTCGTGCTCAGGGTGCCCGAGGGCAAAACCGAGGATGATGTCACGGCGAGTGTCGTCAAGGATGAGCAGTTGAGACAGGTCATTTTCGGAGACCCTCTTGCACATTCCATGGAACTGTACGCTAGTCGCATCGAAACTCTTGCGGTCAGGGCCGTCACCGGTAAAGGAGGGGGAGGGGAAGGTGGTGTTGTTTGTTAAGAGTAACAATGTAACAAGAACCACACCACGAGTGTGCCGTGGGTTACGGATTGTGTGTTTTTGCAAAGTTGGACAATGAATAACTGTGACGAGATTTATGAACATTATGGGAATATGACGATAATGATGATGATATGCCCTGTTTTACCTCTGCTTGGGCGAATGAGGTATCGAAGGCCTAAGTTTTATTCACAACCTATGGAATCGTGTCAGATGGTCCTTGGGATCGATACCAAGTCAGGTAGTTGAACCAAAGTGATTTCATATCCATTTCTGATGATATATTGTAACTTGCGTGATTACCTGGCCAACCCAAGTGTCATCCTCATCATTGCAACATCTGCCCTTGGTAAATTGAAACAACGCCGCGAGCTGCCGTAATGAAAGTCCGTAGGCACCTAGTACACGTAGATACACCACCAACAGAACGACAACAACCCTCTATGCACTGACAAACTTGACCTTCTTCTGTCCCGGCGCTCCAAATTTGGTGGTTCGAGCGTGTCGATTGAACATGCGGCTTCGAAAATCTTGCAACGACGTCGGTTTGGGTTTGGGGAGGTGTTGGTGAACAAGGGCCGACGCGGGTTGACGGCGTGCGGAAATTTTCAGACTCTTTGCAGTTTTGGCCTTCTTGAATTGGTGCGATGAGTTGGTCTGGGACTGTGGATGGGCGACGGTGGATCGGATGGAAGAAATTGGTACGGACTGCTTTGGAGCGGCGGCAGTGGTAGTAGTGGGATTTGTGACTGCGGCAATTGGCGAGCGAGGTCTCGACGAGGGTGTTGTGGTTTCGAATTGGACGTGTGAAGATGCTTTGTCTCGTTGATCTGTTCGTGCGGCGGATGAGGAGGATGGATCATCTTCATGGTCATTGGATTCTCTAGGCCTTTGGTCGTCGAGGGTCTCGCCGTTGAACGTGCGCTCGACGACGGCGGTGCTTGTATCCTCTACCTCGGCCACAGCGGATTGATCTTCCTCTTCACCATTTGGAAGAGACGTGCTGGGCAGGGCGGTCACCGTTGTGTCCGAATCTGTCAAAATCTGGTTGTCGACTGTATTGGCGACAGACTCAATCTGGTCTTTGTCCTCTGAGTTTGTCGCCGGAACATCGCCTTCAGGGGCCTGTTCTGTGGAAGTCGCTGGATCGTGTACGTCGACGTAGTCGTCACCCTCTGTGGTAGTCTCGATTGATGTCGAGTTCGGCTTGACAACATCAATGAGACCGGAGCCTGAGGCAGGGTCTGATCCTTTGTCTTGACCCGTTAAAGTGGCGGTCCTCCTCCGCTTAATGCCACTGCTTTTGGAGGCACTTCCCGGCGGGTATCGAGTACGCCGGGCAGAACTTCTCGTACTGACTACTTCGGGGGCAGCATCGCTGTCATCATCGCCTTGTTCTTCTTCTTCCGTCGCAACATCGCGGGCACGTGGGTACTCTGCAGGTGTCTGGAACATGTCGAGAATTGAGTCCTCGGGTTCATCACTGTCGAATCGTTTCCTCTTGTTCGTGGGAGTCTTGGCTGGGGCTGGAGTGTAGAACTCAACTGGCGATTTCAAGCGTTCAGGAAGATTTTGTTCGTTAGTCGTTACGGGTGTATCGATCTGAGACTGTGATGGTTGTAGGGATGTTTGCTCCGTCTCTAGAGAACTCTGGGAAGCCCGTGCTTTGGCGGAGTCCTTATGAGTCTCATTGCCTCGAGCAGAACGTTTCCTCGATGCTCGTGACACAGATGGCGATGCAGTGGAATTTGACGTATCCTCGACACTGGAGGAATTGGGCGTGTCCAGGCCCAGCCTCTCTTGTAATCTTGTGGTCACCATACCGATGGGATAATCAGATTACAAGCAAAGGACGCGTAAAGTCCTTCGATTAATCAAAAGCGAGAGATCTCAAAGTGATCAGCAGATGATTTGCTCGAGTTGACGGTACACGCAAAACATTAAGTGGTAGTCAATACATTCAAGTACACAATAAGTCGGTGGTCAGAAAAAAATTCTAGTGACGTTTTTGGTGATTAAAGATTTGCGGGCAGCATCTTATCTAATTTAATCGGGGTCGCTAATCTTTCGCGCCCCCGCGACCTCAAACTCCAGGGCGCATCAACAACGGCACGCTCAAAGGTTGATCAATCGTCGCCCTTGATCATTTTCATGTCCCCTTGAAGGAAGACGAGGGTACATGTATTGTACACCGATGTTAGATGAGTGCAACTTCAGTCTATTTCCAGACAGAATCTAGCAACTCTTTGTCGTCTCAGGTCCGCCATTCGATATCAAGGCATACCTAGATAGATTGTTATCTGATCGCATTTGATCCCGAATCCAGGTGAGCCTCTCATTGATCCGGAGAGTGACCGCGGAAGCCGCCGTTATCGGAGCACTGATCATATGAAAGGGACGACAAGCACTTATCAAGTCAGGAAGACCTCACCTCGCCTTCGTGTCAATCACAACGACGACAAGTTGGAGAAGGTATCTATTTCCCTCACATCCCTGGTATCCGAAGAAAAGCGACGTGTTCTGGCGGATAGCAAGGAACTCGCCTGCACATATCCGGTACAGTTTCATTTCGAAACCCCACCAGCACACTGCCAGCAGGGGCTACGGCGTCAGGATGAGCCCGATAGCAAAGGCCAAATCGCTTGATCACCTCGTCTTGACCGTCAAAGACCTCGACGCGACGGTCAAATTTTACGGAGAAATCCTCGGCATGCAGCATACCTCTTTTGGGGCAGCCAACGACCCGAGCATCCAACGACACGCCCTCAAGTTTGGCAATCAGAAGATCAATCTCCACATCAGCGGCAAGGAATTCGTGCCCCGAGCTCAAAATGTGCAGCCCGGGAGCGGCGACCTCTGTTTCTTAGTGGAGGACAATGTCGACGACGTATTGGGCAAATTGAACGAGAGGAAGATCGACGTCCTCGAGGGAGGAAAGGTGGTTCATCGAACTGGCGCCCAAGGCCAATTGCGCAGCGTCTATATTCGTGACCCAGACGAGAATTTGATTGAGTAAGTTTCTTCCCGGGGATTCAAATTTCCTTTTTGTTCAAGCGAACAGCCTCGCTTGGAGTGTCGCGGCTGACGGTGATGTCCACCGGCATAATAGATTATCGAATCTGGTCCAGTAGCAAAACCTCGTTGTTCTCCAGAGACGGACGATTGGGGCCTCTTCTGTATAACGGAAAAGCAAATCCGAAAGTGATGAGCAGCGTGCACTTCCCATGGATGATTGATGAACAGCCCATGCTATACGAATGTTGGGCGACGTAACCTCAAGGAGCCTCCCAGAGTCTGCTCGACACAGCCCATGGGCAGTGTAGCATCGGTATATATAGCAATTTGACATTGATAGTTCAAACAAGATGATATGTGCCGTCACTCTATAGAGGCCCTCTTCTATAAGCCTCTTGAGATCGGCCATGAGTTCCGCCAACGTAGTCCCCTATTTGTGGACCACCCATTCATGATTATCAAGATGTCAATATGCGAAACACCACGGCTGAAGTAGCGCGAGGGTTTCCAGAAACCAAAGTGCGGAACAGCTTCTCGGTTTGTGATTCGGTTGTGGAAATCCTATCTCCTCGATGAATTGCATGAGGGAAATTGAGCATGCCCTGCTGGTCAGTGCCCATGGGAGCTTTATCGAATTCGGAAAATGCCTAAGGTACCAATCGCCTTTTCCTGAGCGGTGAAGTGGAAGAACGAGATGTCGATCAAGACCTCAAGTTCGAGTTGAAGCCTACGTGACAGAAAGAAATTGGCCCATGCGTGGAATGATATGCTTAGAGACGGTTCCTCGTAAGGGGGGCGTAGCAGAAGCCTTTTATTATTACTCTTGACCTAAAGGTGCGTAAAATGAGTGGAGCGTTCGAGTCAGCGACCTACGATAGCCCACCACATATGGGCGAAGGCCGAATCTCAGCAGAAATACACAAAGATATTCGCGGCTTCATTGACGCTACCATTCGGCATGCTGCTGGCGATGATGATGCTCGAATGCCCAAGGTCGGCAGGCTTGCACTGGGGGCCATGGGCCATGGGAATGCTACTCTCATTCTAGCGATTCCGAAATTCTTCTTTCTGTTCCCGTGGCCCGACCGGCCTTTGCAAGGATCCTTGCATAATTAGCTTCAGCGCAACGCGCAGGGGCATCTAGTCTCGCTGCGACTGACTCGAGCGAGTCCTTATAGAGAATGAAGATGTCTTTATCGGTGTCGATAGCCGAGAAGATAACTCAGATGCGCCAGGGCCGAGAGGACATTTGGGGCAGAGAGATTGGTGTTCAGGCAGACAGTGTTCCAATGATACTTACCTAGGTACTCATGTTTCAAAGTGCCCAGGTCAAAAGCCTACCCCGGCTTGTCCCTTAGACCATTGGGTTGCAAGAGTCCTGAAAAAGGGGGACGCTTCCTCCACCTTTGGCAATACGGCAATTGTGCGGAATATGCCATCACTCGAGAGCGTAACAAGCATCTTGCATTGCTCATTGTTGACTGTCAAAGAGTCAATAGCCGAAGATGTATGCGGTATGCAGATGCCCTGCAGAGTCCTAGCCAATCAGTCCAATCTGCTGTTCGGGGGCGACCGAGAGAGGGCGTTGATGGCAAATGCTGTGCGTCCTGATTTGGTCAAGTTGCAGGTCCGAGGTTCAGGTTGTTCGTCTCAAGGCGCTGTTGAGTCTTTGGTGACTTGAAAGTAGTTCTTCTGTTACGGGTACGCATACCTACCTAGGTAGTGTACTGTACGAGTATGTGTACGAGCAGTTGTGTAAAATATCTTGGCGTAGAAAGGCTTCAGCACCACCACCACCACGACGGACACACCAACCCCCAATCGCCCTACTCCATAAGGCCCTGCCCTTAGTGACCTTGGCTACTACCTGTCCTCGAGGACTTGTCGATGGCAGCCATGGTGGTTGCTCGCATGTGTGTTGTGTATTGATCGCACGGCCCGCTACCGAAGGCAAGTGGGACATGGTGGTGACAAGCAAGCGAAATGCAGCAGAAGTAGCGAGTAGCGGCCGCCCCGCCTGTGCTACTTACCAGGACACTTCTGTACACATCCCAGCACAGGGACAAAGTTGTTGGAGGGCTGTTGGACCAGTGAGTCAAAGGGACCGCGCCAATCGTTGCTTCTTTCTGCAATTGCTCTCTCCGTCTACTGCAGGCGGCGCGTTTGCCCTGCATCTCACCTTTTTCCCTCTTCTTCGTCGATTTGTCTTACCCACCACGCTTACTTCGCCTCGGGATCGATGGAGAGACACAGCTGCCCCATTCTTGATCTGGCTGGCCAGGGGCAATCCGAAACGATTTCTTTCGGAGTATTAGCGACGATGGCCGATGGGCTTCGAGACTCCTTGCAGTGGTTGGGCCCTTCTTTGGGGCCAATTTTTTGCCATTGTCACTTCGGTTCCTCGTCTCGACTTGCTGGCCTTTCTGGGATTTGGCTCACCATGCTGTGTTACCCACCCGCCCAAACTTTGGAGAAATTCACTGTTGTGTATGCAATGCACGCTGCCGCAAGCTTTGACCGGTTCCTTGGTCTGGTGGCTTGCATATCCCCTGGCCACTGACCTCTCGAGAACGTCGGTCAGAGTTTCTGGCGTCCCTGTCATCCAAAGTGCTGGTCCGCCGGGACGATCTCCCCCTCCGTGATGGAGACGCCAACTCTCGTCCCATGTTCTTGGATGCATTAATCTACCATCCTTTGACAGAACGGCCGCTTGTTAGCGCGACGAGCACCCGAAGGGCTATACTTTGACCAGCGCGACCAGTCAAGAGCTTATCTCCTCCCGCTGTGGTAGACGAGAATCTCCTGGATCCGAGCAGATTTCGAAGGTTTAATCCCACCAAAATTCGTGACTTACGCCCTGCGTGGAGGTGGATGATCAACTTCTTGAAGTCCAGAACCGTATCAGGAGCCGTCAACTCTTTCGCCGGCGCGGAAAATCTTACACAGGCCCGCATGAGTTGCTGCAATTCTACGCGCGGTCGTCGATCCTGGCTGGATCTTTCAGCCTGAGCGGGTCACGGCATTGAGGCACTGGACGCTGGAGACCTCCTCGAGCGTACTTCCGCCTTTCACGATCCCAGAAGCCACAATACCATCATCGGACGATATCGCTGGTATCGAATCTCGGTCATCTGCGGTTCTCTAGCCCGGACGTCATCTGGTATGCTTTCAACTCGTCTTGGACACCTCATCTCCCGTGCATCTCAATTTTTGCCATCGACCAGATACGCGCGCGACGGTCTCTTCCCCGCCCAACGCTCCATCACGCCACACAAAAGCCTTGCTCCAGATCATCAGCGCTCGTCCTGATATATCTGTGGCGTTCATTCCACACTTTTTGGCTTTGGCAAGTCCCAGATCACTCTTCCCACAGGGTTGGCTGAGACGCCAAGCGGCTGTAGAATTCCGATCCTCGAAACCTGTTGACAGATTTCAAGTCTTTTTCGGATTGCTACGTGCACACCAACAACCATCCACCTACCCAGGGTCCCCCCTTACAAGTATCATGACTACTGTGGTCCAACACTCTAATCTCATACCTTCAGCTTTCGACTTTTATCATCCTTCTCAGTTCGCGTCGGCACCGAATGCGTCGCGAAAGGAGGGGATGAATCCACATTACTATGGTGCTCCTGCTCCGACGACCACAGTTAGCGAAAATCCTCGCCCAACTCCCACGGGACCCTTCACCTTCAATGCTGGGACGTCACAGCAATCGTATGTAGCTTTGGCAAATGCATCTTCACCGACTTTCCCAACCTCAATAGCTCCTCGGGCACCACCACTTTTTCCTAGCTCACCTACGTCCCAAACTTCACTACGTCAAGTCCCCGCCTTCCCCCAAACAGGATCCCCAGAAACCGTCACAAGGTACGTACCAGACGGGGTCAACCTTTGAAGGATGCAAATTAAAGCTGGAACAGATCCTCATTCAGAGCCTCGGCCTCTTCATTTCCACCATCTACGCCTCAGGATCAGCTAGCGTTCACGGGGTCGCATAGTCATGGTTCCACAACAGACTCATCAAGTAGACCCGATCATCGTGTCGGTCCTTCGAATCTAGAGTCTCCTTCCGCTGTAAGGCCGCTCGTCGGCCAACAGAAATCGAGTAGGTGCTCACTATATGTTCGACAACAGCCTCGAGCGGCTCGTGCTGGACCAGATGGCAAAGACAGAAGGTACAATCACTTTGATCTTGTTTCCAAGGTATCTTTTTTAATAATCATTCCTAGGCCTATCGACCCTCCCCCAATACTTCAGCTGATGATGCAAGACTTCGACCCAGATAACCCTGCGGATGTGGAAGAAATCAAAAGCCAATGGTGGGTGGTGCACTGTAAGCTGGTGGCGGCTGAGACACCGAGTCAAGATCTGACCACCATGCACTTTTTTCGCGACGACGGTCGGAGAGAAGTTCAAAGATTACTCCTTGGGACTACAGTGGCCAGCCCGACTGTGACTATGGATGACCCTGACCCGGACACGATGCCGCAACATCCTCGATCACCCGCCGCCCCTCCCAGTCCTACGATCGACCGGTTCATCCCGAGGTCTGCAGCTTCAGCGACAGGGAAAGCAAGACCACCACATCTGATACCGGGCACTTTCTTCATATTCGCTGATTTGTCCGTCCGAAGAGCCGGTGATTATCGCCTACAATTCACTCTTATGAAAATGGACGCCGAATACCTGAGTCAGGGCTCAACGGTTCCGTGTATTGATACGACCATCAGTGTGCCGTTTCGGGTCGTCAATGCAAAAGATTTTGATCAAGTGCAGCCAAGCACGAATCTAGTAAAAGGTCTTCTACAGCGTGGCGCAGGGTTTCCTCTGAAGCTGAAGAAGGGAAACAGAGAGGGCCAAAGACGCAGGAGGCACACTTCCGGTGGTGATTCGGAGGACTCGGACGACGATGACGACTATTGAGACGAGCAAACTTTGAGCTGTGGAAGCGCAAACCCATACAATGAGGCACAGGAGAAGGAAACATGATCGGTAGATTGCGATGGCTGTTGAAAAAGAGGAACTTGATGCATGTGGGTGAGCGGAGGTCACCTCCAGGCGTGTAGTCCATTCGGAGGCCACTGTGTGTCTACACAATCTGCACCTGAGCAACTGGGCCTCGATCAAGCCACGCATTCTTTCAATATGCTCTTGATGAGCGGTTTACGAAAGACTTTACATTCACCAGAATACGGAGTAGCTGGACTGGGTATGCGATGTTGGTCAAGGATACCACTGCATCACACCATGTAGTGCGCTACCATGGGCCGGAAGACAAAGCTGCAAAATGAACGAAGTTATGGCACGGCACCAATGGCGCATTAGATGGTTACCAGAGCCGAGAGTGGTGCGAGAGAAAGCGAACTTTGAGCGATGCCAGATATGCACGCTAAGGGTGCGATTTACCTGGATGGCCCGGAAAGTCGCAGGACGATTGTTTCCAGGCGGAGGGCACCAATATGACAGCTCGCCTACGGTGTCAAGGGGCGGCATCGTGAAACACCACCCAGGCTCTGAATAATGAAGTCCGAAAGAGAAATCCCCGGGGTGGCCATGGACCAGGACTTGTCTCCTCACTAATACATGCTGAGAATAATGACCGGAAATACTTCGTTCGACACGGATGCTGGTACTATTCCGAAAGGAGTCTGTGGACAACGTGGGCGGGTACTGTCCTGGGAAGAAATGATTAGGGGACGTCAAAAGCAGATTCTCTCGCGTCAGGGAAGAAGCAAGCTCGCTGAAACCCAGCTCGTATCGTACCAATTTGTAAAGCCAACTACCCTTATCCAGCATGGTGCAGCGGCTACTAATGCGCTGACCGCATGGTGATGGCAGCCTTGTGTGTGCATGAGCGCGTAAATGGTACATCCCAGCACGGTTACAGATGCCTTGGACAGTGGTGTGAGGTGGTTCTTTTGGCCCTTTAAGGAGTTCCAGACCTCCGGCTAACGAGAAGCCGTCCAACCGATCGAAGGACAGTGGGTCGGGGGCTTCAGTCTAGAACAGATCTGCCCGGGATCGTAATGATCCACCGCTATCATAAGCGAGGTGGGAGAGGGGACCTCTCCTACCGAGATTGAGAGAAGAAACAATAATACGCCCAGGATATGGAGTACTCAATGACGATGATACCGGTCGACACCTTAAGGTACTTGCAGGAACGCCTCATGGTACAGTGATACGCTGGTACCCATCTACCTTTTGTACCTATCTTTTCTCCCGGGCCTTGTTCGCTTAGATGCACCAGAGACAATGAAACGTCAAAGCGGAACTGTCGGCAAGGCCCGGTCGACGCCATCGCATGGCTACTTTATCCGTTTGCAGTTGACGATGCTGAAGCTGGAACTCGTAGCTTTGACCTTCAGACACGGGTCAAAGGCGCAAGGGATACAGGCTAGCAGACAACCATCATCCCGCCTGACACAAGCATGGACATGCCCCTGACGCCGAGTTGGGACAGAGGAAACCGAAAAGGGAAGCTGCATGTACAAGACAGTCATAATTCACAGGTGATCTGAGCACGAGCTTTGGTCGATTTTTCATCCACAAGCTGTGGCGACCTGACTCGATGGAGAACCGAGCACATTATTATCGTCGTCGAGTTGACATACGCCGTCTGAGAGACCTTTATCATGCATCAGAGGCTACAAGAGTCTGGACGGGCAAACTAATGCCATAACATTCGATCCCTCGTGGGTGACATTCCTCAGCTACTCTTCTAGTCGCACCTAACCACAAGACTTGAGTGATGCCGAGTCCACGGCGGCAATTAATGGTTGACTGAGGCAATCCCGCATCTACTCGTGCGAGGATGTTTCCAGGCCGGAGCATTCTGGTGCTAGGCTATGTCTGTAGCTTGAAAACCTTTTTGAAAAATGATACCCAGCAATGAGCATCACACGGCAGTACTTCACACTTTACATCATATATCGTATGATCTGACAACGTTACGGGTTTTATTGGACAATCTCAAGAAGAACTTTTTCGTGTGCGACGGATAGCATCAGAGATCCTCCTCACATCCTGATGATCTCTAGGCGGCAGGATGCACTTTCCCTCACTAAGAACCCACATGCACTACGGCAGGAAGAAGTGGCAACTCATGATCGGACTGATCAGCTTCGTCCTCATACAAGAGGAGAGATACATTCTCCATCTATCTGCAAGCCTTCGCTCCATCTTGCCCCCAATTTTGATCCATCTGGTCGATCCAGAACAGACAGAGCGTGGCTGAACGGATTCGACCCACTGATTTCAGCAGACTTTCGACCTCTCTTGCGTTTGGGCCGCAGATCAGACATATTGTTCTGACAACTCGTCTGCTATGGCGCCCCCTTCGTGAAGTGACCGTCTCCATTTTGATACTGTCCACGATCAAATGAGGGACTTCTTCGAATGAAGCCAGCGCCCGAAGATCCGAAAATCTCTGAACATTGCCTAGGGGCTCAGTATGCGGCAAAGCGGAGTTACTCATGCGTCGTGTCGCTTACAAGTACGAGTATATTCGGTCTACTCCTCTCAAAGGCCCATCTACCAGACAGAACCAAGCCATGCTAACCGACGATGCCCTTTGGACTCTGCAGTTTGTTCACTGAGGTGCCACCTTGATGCATTGGCTCTCGCATGAAGTCTGCTCTTCTTCGGGCTTCTGAAGCTGGCATTTTGGTTAGCTTAGCGTCAAAGGTGGAAGTGAATGCATGAGCCTCACGCATTAGAGGGAGAAATGACCCTCTTTTCGAGGCACGAGCTGTTCAGTGATCATGAGCGGTCATTGAACGAGGGACAGTCCGCCAAGGATCAGCACCAACATGACGTGGCCGTCTTCTGATCTACGGATCTTATTTCAAAAGCCTCAATCGTTCAGCTTGACAGGTACCTTGCCAGCTAGATTTGATAGAAAGCACAAACCTCCCCAGGCATTTGCAGTCTGTAGAGACCAGTCTTTGCGAGTGGGCCCTCCCTTTATCATCCTCCGCAAAACACTGCAAGTCCACATGGACCCGATGGGACATCATACCCATCCTGGGGAGGGGGGGGGGCTTCTGGAAGGGCCGCAATGATAATAAATCCCTTTGCTCGCTCGCTTACCGCTTTGTGTGCAAAGAGCCGATGCCCGAAGGGGGACGGACGAATCTACGCAATTACTCACCGCTACGGCACATGGACATGTATACTTGTCGTAGGTGGCTTTTTTCACACACAGAAACCCGAACCCGAGATGCATCGTCCACGAGGAACTTCAGGCAGCCACCAAATGGTGACTGAGCTCCTCCGTACAAGTCAACCAATACAAGCCAGCCAGGTGGAATGGCATTTCCGCAAGAGGCGCAAACAAATACGGCAAATGACCCAAAGGAGAAGAAAAAACTGAGAGATCAGTCCCACGAGGGGAACAAAAATTGCAGGTCGTTACGAATAGGTGACAGCGACAGCGACGGGGCCTCGAGTAGTGCGGATTGTTGTTCCAAAAAACTCGGTAAAGAGACGACGCTACCACGGATCTTTTTTCGTCTTTGATTCGCAAATCAAGATGGGCAACGAACCCATCATGGCATTTGTGGATCTGTTTCCTACATATTGTAGGTAGCCCATGCAAGAAGGATGAAGCGAGAGAGTCCCAAAAAAAGAAGACCCGGCCTTTTTGGGGACGGTTGCAGTCTCGGGGTACTTGTTACCGTTACTGACTGATCCGCCATTTTGTCACTGGAACCAGGTCGTCGATCAAGGGCCCCCAGGACTACGAGCAAGCGAACAACCCTGACTCGTGGCCTTTGCTCTTTTTGTGTCAGCAATTTCATGACTTTGCGGCACGTCTGTTTAGTGTAAGACTGGGATCGGAATCCACCGTCCACCGCGAACGCACACTATCATTTTCCGTATTAGTGGTATGTTTCTTCGGTGTGGTGGCCCATCTTGTCTAGTCATCTCGATTCGAAAACCGTCGTTCCCCCCTCCCCCTCCCCCAAAAAAAAGGGTCCACGTACTTGTAAGATGAAAAAAAAGGGCAACATGACATGAGAAACGCATTGAAAAGAAAAAAGAGTGAGAGCAAAATGCCGACGCGACGGATGACGGCACGAGCAGAGCAGAAGACGCGCAACTCACCATCTACCGTACTCGTCAAGTCGTATTTTTCAAGACGCGCTTCGTTAATGAGAGCTGGGGGGACCGAACGAAGAAAAAAAAAATCCCCCTAACCCTCTCTTAGACTAGACCAGCAACCACTTTTTTTTGGTGTTGTAAGCAGACATCAATTATGTTATCCTCTGATTTCCATAAATGGTAATGTTCACGAGGCGTTTGAGGATACAAGAAGAAGAAGAAGAAGAAGACGATGAAGGGGTTACGATGGTTAGAGTTTTATAGTTTTATAAACGGGAAAATTAATCCCTCCCTTTCGTGTCCGACGTTTCCGCCCCCCCCCCCCCTCTCTTCTCCCTCAAACAGCACCATCCACACACACACCGTCAAAACGAGTCATTCATTTTACAGTAAAAGTGTACGTGGAAGGATTAAACGGTCCTCGAGCCACATCAACACTCGGGTCGGTGTTGAGAGAAAGGCGAGTTCGACCAAAAAGGGATCAGAAACTTTGACGGGGCACAGAACAAATCTATTGTACTGACCAAGGTGGACATGAGTGGTATCGCTAGACGTGTGAGGTCAAGTGACGGAACGATCAAAAGTTCGAAATCAAATGGTCAAGAATCAAGAATCAAGAACCAAAGACCAGCATTTTGAAAGATCCCCCCAAAAAAGGATCGAGGACATGATCAAAGAGCCCACAGGGGTGGATGAATACCCTCGGTAGGTATATTCCATATTGAGGAGGTTGTTGGCTTTCTTCTTCTTTTTGGCCTTCTGCTCAATACAGACTGTGGTGTAGACACCCAAAAGTATATTTCTTGATGTATTGGCAATACCTTTTTCCTAGCCATATGTTGATACATGATTTCCCATGCTAGGTAGGATACCTACCTATTCACTGTCATGACCACCCACCGTGAACCCTTCCGAGTTTTACAAGTTGATACAGACACGAGTGGAAACTGTCGTGGGACCATCCCATCCATATTCCTGACACAAGTTCGTCGATATCACAAAAAAAAAGGGAGAGCTCAAATGGCTCTTTCGATCACCGCTACCTGTCAGGGTATGTGCAGTGTTTCCGAACGAAACTCAACGGTGTTCCAACCATTGGGTGACAAAAATGTGGTGGCTTCCCCGTCTCGTGTGTCGTCTCATCTCAACAATGTTGGTAACGTGTTTTGTACAATGGGAGTAAAATGGTACATCACTCCAGCCGTGGACCCATTCACTCTGGCAGGTGACCTTGCAATGTAGCAAGTGGTAGTATACTTGATTTCACAAGTCATCTTTCCCTCTTTTGCAAAGTCCGTCTCGAGAAAAGTTTCGGTCCATGTCGCGGCACAACTGAAGAGTGGGCTCTACACTACCACGACTTCAGTGAGAAGGCCTTGAACTTTTAGAACCTGAATGCCAAGTTCATTTCCATTGCTCAAAAAAGTACTGCCTGTTCGCCGACGAGAATGATTCTTGCTCAAACTCTGCACCCCTGGTGGTGGTGGCGATGATGATGATGATGACGGTGTGGTGTGGATAACAATATAATGTGAATGGTTTCGCCTCCTTAACCCTTTTGGAGCATTTCTCCTGCATTATTTTTGCTTTCGACTTCAAAATCTTCAAGGAACCAATCCTCCTCTGATGTTCTGGTCATGAATTCCTCATTGTACCAATGTTGTTCGAATCCATCGATATATTCAATCCACTCTCTATCGGTGTCGAGGCCCTGATCTTCAAGGTCGTGTTTGGCAGCAGTAAGCCATGGCATGGCGTCCTTCTCCAGCCCATGCTCACGTAGCAGGAGTGCGAGTCTGAGATACCTCCGTGTCTTGAGACTGGCGTCTGCGTTCTCCAAAGCTGCGCTCAATCCGAGCCACTCGATGCCGATCCAGTTCTTTGGTTTATCTTTGCGATCAGACACAACCCAATCGTCGTTTTCGTCGAGATGGTGATTGAGCCACCCGTCTTTGCCCAGGTGATACAGGGCGAGCCTGACACAATGCTCGGCACTCCCTTCCATCGCAGACATCGTCAGCAGGGATAGCCATCGGTCCGAGAACTTTTTGACCTCGCCTGGCAGGAGGAGAAGTTCGTGTGCCGCCTTGGGGTCTTTCCACTTCTTCACACCGTCGCGGATGGCATTGTCGAGATCCTTTTGTACTGGGTCTCCTTCTGGATCATCCCTGTCGAAATGCGATAGGTAGTGATTTGCTGAGTCGTGAACTAAACTCCACGTCGGTCTATACCGTTCAAACATCTCAGCTCTAGACATTGGACGGTTGCTGGGTTCTAGGATGGTGTCGAGCTCCTTCGCCAGCAGGTAATTGGCCTCAGCACCCTCCTTGGAATGCGACATCTCCGTGGCTAGCTCACACCATAGGGACATCGTGCGCCAATCGCTCCTCTTTGCGGCATGTTGTTTGATGAACCCGGACACTTTGCTCGAAACCTTTTTCGATTGATGCTCGATGAATGCGACCTTGATGGCCGCCTCGAGGTCGCCAGCCTCGAAGGCACAACAGAGCGAGTAGTAGCCTAGCTGAGCAAACTTGCCGACATTTTGTCGGTGAAAATCGGCTTCACCAAACGCCTCGAAGATGTGCGGAAGGATACTAGGGTTCAGCACGAGCGCGACCTCATCTGAGGTGAGTGCTTCCTCGTAGGTGCGGGTCCACTGGCTGTTGTGCAGAGACACAGGAACAGCACGGTCATGCAGGATTTTGGCTCTCTGCAGCTCCGCGCGGTGATGGTTGAACAGTTTGACTACAGTCGGAATAGAGCGAAAGCCCAGCTTGGTGAGCTTTTGCCCGAGGGCGAGTGTTATGTAGTAATTGTCAAGCGGGCTTGGACCCTTGTTGAGCCGTGTGAGATTATTCTGTCGATTCCGGACCGGCTTCATGTTAGGAGGCTTTCGAGCGGCTCGTAAACTCGCAGACGACGAGAACGGTCGCAGAGTATCGAAGCCATTTCGACCTGATAGAGACCGGCATCCAAGGTTGGGGCGAATGTAGGCGCGACGACATAGCTGTGGGAGGGCTTGCATGTCGTCTTGGCTACCGTACGTTTTATTCCCACAGCATGGTCGGTCAAGCCGACGACGTCTTTATTAGAATCTAAGCCGGACCAAAAAAAAGTTGTCTGGTGGTGTCATTTCTACAAATGCGGAGAAATCGCAGGCACGAGAAACGCGCCAAGACGGCGGAGGATCATTTTGAAGATCGAATCCATTGCGATTCTCGTCAGTCTTTACGTCTATCAACTCTTCGCAAATCTTCCGTGTCGACAGCACAGTTGAAAATCACAATAGCATACCTATCTCGACGCATCCCTGCTCGATTCCCGCAGCGCAAATCCCATGGCGCAGATGTGCTACGACGAGTCATAGTCCTCTTTCATCGTCACATTCCGCGTCTTTTCCCACCATACTGAGTCGGTATGCCTGCTCCGGCTGGAACCAAACGCGTACGCGGCGTTCAGGTCTACCGCCCTTTCGTCTACGGTACCGAAGCGATCCCTTTCGACCCTGAGAATAGGCCCAAGGACGCACCAGCCGATCATACTCACAAATGGAAAGTGTTTGTCCGCGGGATCAACAACGAAGATATATCCTACTGGCTTAAGAAAGTCCAGTTCAAATTGCACGACACATACGCCAATAGTGTGCGAATGATTGAAAGTCCACCATTTGAGGTAGAAGAGACGGGCTGGGGTGAATTTGAGATTGCAATCAAGTTCTACTTTGTCCCAGAAAGCACGGAGAAACCGCAACAGATCTGGCATGGTCTCAAATTACACCCCTACTACGGGGACGTTGAGCAGCAAAAGCGCGACAGGTCGATGATCAGCAGCGTTTGTTATGAAGAGGTCTTGTTCAACGAGCCTGTAGAAGCCTTCTACGACATTCTCACAGGCGGCCCCCAAGCGACGAAGTCGAAGGGCGGAAAAGGCTCGAAAGCTCAGATCAAGGCGCTACCCACGGCAGAGATACCCATGAAAAGTGGTGGAGGTAACAAATTCAGCAGGGAAGAAGAAGGTAAAGAGTTGGATCGGCTGGGTGAGGCAGTAAAGAAAGTGCAGGCGATGATTGCGGAAGAGAAAGCCAAATTGGTAACCGAAGAAACCAAACTGCAAGAGCTGGAAAAGACTGAAGGAAAACCCATCAAAAAGAAGTGAAATGTGGAGCGGACCGACGCCGACTATTTCTCGGGGGAAATGCCAGGCACATATATGGGAGGTCGAGCCTTGAGTCGCTTTGACAGCAATAACCTGGCTGTGGAAGTAAGTGAGAGTGGCATTTCAGACGATTTGTTCTATTTCGTCGGCACTCATCAAGGCAGCTCGTCTATTCAGTGCAAGCAATATCTCGATCTGCTGTCTTACCACCATAAGCGACCCTCTGTTTGATCGATACACTTCCACAACAGGACTTGTTAGCCGGAGACCCCGCCTCTAAAGTTGTCAGAAACACCCTCAAATCTTTTGAATGAAGTATCCAGGCTCATGGAACATGTTCCCGAGCGTCTGCTTCAGGAGGGGTCAGGCATCGCCAGGCTCTCCAGGTTGAGCTTCCACTTTGGCGGACTGATTGCACATGATCAGTTGCTCTTTGTTGGCCTTCTTTCTGGCAGTTGGTGACTATATCATGTCTCTAAGCACCACTAATATCAGGTTCAGGGACGGAAGGACACTGTCCTTTTGACTGCACCAGGTCGATCCTCCAGGACCTAAATGACTTGAGCATGCCTCACCTGCTCAATCCGGAGTCCTTGAGCCATGTCGCACGGGAGGCATCTGTAGAGAGAGCATCATGCGTTTCACGGGAAGCTGAATTCAGGGCCCTCGCTTTCCTCTACCGTGAGGCAGACATATTCAACAAAGACATCCTTGGACGCACCTGTGCCCTTTATTCCGACTTTTGGGAGTGGGCCATCCAGGACTTGAGACATCGGGTCTTCGTTTTATATGACTGCAAGTCTTCGCGCTGAAAATGGTCAAGGAGGAGTGCGCCGCGAGGCTGAATCGCATAGAGGGATTTGCGTATGTCATCATTGACCAAAGTTTTGGCCTACAAAGTCTGGCCACACCATTCACGTCAATACTGCGATACACAGGACAAGCACAATACGCTAAATTCACAGATTCCGCACGAGTGGTTCCGAGTATCAAATACGGCCGTCCAGTACCTACTTCTCATAGAGAGGAGTGATTCCCTCAGTAGTCTGGAATTAATGCTCCTCGCAATGTCTTGTTTTTATATAGTCGAGACAAAGAGGTATTTATCCCAAAACATGCTAGGTCTCTGTATAGTTCGAGGATTACTCGCAGAATAACCCAGCGCCTTCCCTCACATGGCCGTTCCTCTCTCGAAACTCTCGCGTATGTCGGCCGTGTACCGATCGTAGAACCTCGCCAGCTTCATGTTGAACTGCTTGTTCTTCTCGTTGATGTACGTGACGTCGCCGCCGTCCTCCTCGCGGCCTCTGGCCTTCCGGGCTTTGAACCTCGCCTCCTCGGCCTTTCGTAGGTCCTCGACCAGACGGTCCACGTTCTCCCGCTTCGGTTTCTGCTCGACGAAGCCCGTGCTGTCGTCGTCGGCGTAGAACCTGCCGTCCCGGTCGATGGCCACGAGTTCGCCGTTCTCCATCTCGACGATCTCGAGCCCGCCGGTGCGCGCGGCGTTCTCGAGGATCTCGGCCTTTTGGCGCTCGTACTCTTCACGGTTCCTGCCGCCGTCCTTCACCGCGGCCTTTTCGAGGTCCCGGATCTGCCGGTCGTACATCTTGGCCGCCTCGGCCGAGTAGTCCGCGAAAGCGTTGTTCTCGCGCGCGTGCTTCTTGCGGTTCACGCGTTCGTCCCACCGTTCGGACTCTTCGATGGTATAGTCCCACGCCCGCTTGCGCTCGAAGGCACCCTTGCCCTCGTCCTCTTCGGTGTCGGCCTTCAGGATGTTGTGGGAGGCGATGGCCGACTTTCGCGACAGACTGGCCAGGACGCTGGGGTCGACGGCGGCCCGGGTGGCTTCCGCTTTGGCCTCGGCAAGGTTGGATTTCGCCGAAGCTGACGCTCGGGACTTGAGAGCTTTGAAGCGCGCAAGTCGGTCGGCGGCCGTGTTTGACGGAGCAGACGCAGCGGGCAGAGCTGTTGTTTCATCAGAAGTAGTCGCTTCATCCGGTGGGGCTGATTCCTCGACAGATGTGGCTCCTCCTTGTTGTTTCTTTTGTGATTCCATAGTCTTCTTGCTGTCCTTTACTCCGGTTGTGGGCGTCGTGGTGTCGTTGGTGGCTGCTGCGTCTGTCGGGCGAGTCTCCTCTTGTTCCGGGCTTGGGCTGAGTTTGCGTCGTTTCGCAGGAGGCATGATGGGTCAAACGGGAGCTGAAAAGTCGGATAGAGAGTGACTGCAAGATAAGCGATGCTAGGCTTATAGTCGGGTTGAAGTAAATATCTCGTGTAACAATTTTCGCGCGGTGCTGTGCTGTGCTAGTCGCAAACTTGCCCCGTCCTCGTTTCCAGTTCAGAAAAAAGGACATCGCTATTGAGCATTCGGTAGACCTTCCACATACGACTTCCCTTATCAAATACGTCAGTGTTATGCGCCCAAAAAAAAGTTCCCGACGATCAGATCATTCCACGACTCGCAGCATCATGGAGCTTTCATGCTACGAGGTTGTACTGACTCTTTTCTAGCTGGTATTCGAGTACAACAACGGTATCGAACATCCAGCAGTCATATAACATGGCTCAGGCTGCAAAGAAGAGACTTGTAATTGCTGGCGGGAATGGATTTCTCGGGTCTCGCATTTGCAAGTCCGCCGTCGCTCGCGGTTGGGACGTGATATCCATAAGGTACCGAACTTGTTCAGTTTACTACTCCATGTGCTTCTTCCTGATAAACGATACAGCCGGTCCGGAGAGCCAAGATGGTCCTCGGTGACCTCAGAACCCTCGCCCCCGTCGTGGTCGAAATCCGTCACATGGGCCAAAGGTGATATCGTAAAGCCTGCGACTTACACCTCGCACCTGAAAGGGGCTGATGCCGTCGTCCATACCATGGGCATCCTACTCGAAGCAGACTATAAGGGCGTCATATCTGGGAAAGAGAGCGTCGTCTCCGGCCTGTCAAGGGCCTTCAGTTCCTCCAAGGCCGGTAGTACAAAGAACCCTCTCGAACGCAAACCCGGAGGTGAACTCGGCAAGGGCGAAAAAGACGGCCAGATTACGTACGAGTTGATGAATAGAGATTCCGCAATTGCTCTGGCGCAAGAAGCGGAAAGAGAAGGTGCCAGCACGTTTGTGTACATCTCTGCCGCAGCGGGCGCACCTATGCTTCCAACAAGATACATCACCACGAAACGAGAAGCCGAGACCACGATAGCGAGCAATATGACCAAATTGAGGAGCATTTTCATACGGCCAGGCTTTTTGTACGACAGTAGTCGGAAGTTTACGCTCCCGATAGCTGCCTCCGGAATGGTGGGAAGCACTTTCAATAGTCTAGTTGGCGGTAGCCTCACTCGGATATTTGGTGCTGCTGTCGAAAAGCCACTCAAGGCAGATCTGGTGGCCGACGCTGTTGTTGAATCCATAGCGGATGGCTCAACTAGAGGCGTCATCGACACTCCATTGATCGAAGCACTGGCTGCAAAAGCCTGGCGCCGGACCATGTTGTAATTCTTGCATTCAAAAATGAACGACTGGATAGGTACCTGTGAAAATAGCTGTACAATAAAGACTTGAGAAGATAAGGTATGACATGATGATGATTATTGAATGACTTGATTATATATCTTAGTTCATCCATTATCCCCAAACAACATGTTTGGGGCAGTCAATCATAGCCAAGTCCCTGGCACTGTATGAATTTATCTCAGCAGCAAATATGAAGACTCAATCCGGCAACAAGGCTGCTGGATCTTCACCTGACAACTTCCACCGCCAACATCATAGCCCCGCGTATCGGTGCCGTCTGCGTCGAATTCTATCATACACTCCCATCCAAACGCCCTTGATGTAAACAAATCCCGCTATGCTAATCACATTGGAGTGAAGATTGGAAGGGATGCCCACCGACGCAGTGGGAGAGTTGCCTCGTAAGATGTGAAATTCGAAATTTTTGTACAGAAGAGGACATGTCAGAAGAATCGCGAGCCCACTGTATTATAGTACACTCTTTGGTGCTCGTCTTTGATAGGTGTTGTTTCTCTTAGATTACAGGTTGGCGGTCTGGCTTTCCTGTGGAGGCTCAAATAAGACTTTGCGAGTAAGCTAATCACTGTCAGTAAAGCTGTGGTGAATACAATAAGATCTGCCTTACCGCCCATGCGCCAGCAATTGAAGCGACGATGCCACTTGAGATCAGCATAGGCTTTAGCCCTCTTGTGCTCTTGAAAATGGCTCCACTGAGTGCGCCAGCCACTATGCTGTTGGCCGCATCGTGCTTGCCACGATAGTAGCCAATCGTGGAGTTGAAGCCGTTATAAACCATTGCTACCACTCCAGCTGAGTTCCCGAGGAAAGGTCCTCTCCTCGTTACGCTGTTCAGGACACTGTTGAGGCGCAACTTCGGAGGTGCCGATGCAGGTGTCCGATTGAGACCTTCTATTAAACCCCACGTTCCACCAGTAGTCAGAGCCGTCAAGTATACGGTTCCTGTTCCATAGCAAAGATCGTCCGACCAGCCTCGAGAGGGAAGAAATGACCGAGCGCCCGGAAGATCTGATAATGTAGATTCGTCTAATGAAAGATAATCAAGTGTCTGTTGATTCAAGCCAGCGAGAGGATGTAATTTCGAGGCATCGGGTAGAGATGCTGCTCCTAGGAGCGTAGAGACATCGGTGGTGTAAGAAGGGTCAAATGATGCCGGTGCGTATCCTCCGGCCGAAGGCGCAGGCGCAGACTCGGTCCGCTGAGATTCTGCTTGCTGTTTTCTCCTGCCAGTGAAGGCGTCCCAGACGGACATATTGAATCGACAATAGCAACTTCTCGACGGATGAAGGGGGAAATGGGAAGGACGAGTGAGGGTGGTATGGCAAAATATCTGTTCGTAAACTCGTCTGGCGATAGAAGGTAAAATGGTGCTGGAGAGAAAATTGTTAGAATCGGATCGACGGCGGCGCTATACAGGACACGTGACCGGAATCAGCCGAAGAATGTCCGGAGCCTCTTCTACTACAGCCTCGTGGGAATTTTTTCATGGCTAGCCTGCACTTCCAGTAACTCTTGGACAACACCGTACGGCATGCAAAACGGGTCATAGACATTGGAGTGTATCAAGAGTATGGAAACTCTGGAAATCTGCAGAGTTTGACCGGCCTGAAAACTAAGATGGATCTGGTTTCACGGGCCCTGGAGGCCCCAATACCAGTACCGATTTCCATCCTTTCAGATTTGGGGAAGGGCGCGTTACGACAGGCGTTGCGAGAAGTCGATGAAGTCCCTAGGTTGACAAGTCTCTGGAAGAGGTTGATCCTCACTGTCAGAGATCCTCAAGTTCTCGACAAGCACATTACAGTTGCGTGCAATGCCCTCTGTGTATTCATCAAGGGCGGTGCTGCCAGTCCCCGTCCTGAGCTCCATCGTTTCAGCACTTCGAGGGAAACATGGCTTGATGCTTTTGCCTGTGTCCATAAAGCCTTTGACGACGGAATGACGAAGCCAGCTTTCCAAATGTTGGACACACTCTGTGATTTGCTCAAAGAAATGTGTGATTCGGAAGTAGACAGCATCATGACAATTGCTGTTCCACCGTTAGTCGAGACTATACTACTGTGCTCACCTCGATCTGACCTCAAGAAAGCTTGTCTCATGCTTACTGGCTTCATTCGAAAGACTCTGGTGCCTGACTTGCTCGAACGTTTCGCTGAACAAACAACCACGGAGCATGTCTTGGCTTGGAAAGAACGTCTGGTCGAGCATCATGTTACAGCCACAGATGTGTCAGAGATAGGAAGCGGTAGTATGCCTTCTCTTCTTCTTGCCTTGATCTTTGCAAGCGTTGACGTCAACACAAGGAGCACAGCCATCAAGACGTGCTCTGCCCTGTGTTCTCGTGGATCAGCACGACCAGATCGCCCCAGTCTTCAAGATCTAGTCGAGAGAGTTGTTGGACTATACTTGGAGAGGAATCACGAGTCACTCGGAGACTTCGCTCAGAATATCCTACCGGTCATCCTAAACGACAAACACAGGTTTGCAGCTTTTGCAACACTGCATGCAAGGTCTTGTTGCGACAGCGAGGCACGTTTAGCCCTCTTTCTTTCTACGTTGCGTGTCGGAGTGTCAAAAAGTTTGTTGTCTGAAACAGGTAGGGTTTTTTGGCACCACCCGGGTCTACACACGTTTTCAGCTGACTGAGATATTCCTGATAGAAACCATCTCGATCTTCAATTCTGCCTTCCCAGAAGATACCTCTGCTACCAATCAAGACCCATATCATTGGTTCCCACACTTATTCAAGCTGGCAAGCTCAGAAATTCGAATATTGACATACGGACTCTTGACAGCATCCTCTGCTTCTAATTCGATTGTCCCAGAGCCCGCTCTAAATTGCATCATTTTGGGGTTGAAACATCTTCACAATGATGCTGATGCCCACGAAAGAGGAGAAATCATGAGTATAACAAAGAGATTTCTAAAAAGAATCCAGACTGGGAGCTCGGCACTACTAAAACAGAAACAGAACAGCTTCGTCTTGGAAGCCGACTTAGTTGTTGCTTCGTATGGCCTTTTTACCTCGACTTACTACTACTTCTTACGAGCGGAGTTGAACAGTGGTATCTCGTACCCACGCCACATACTCGCCTTACAATCGCTCCAATGCCTTCTTGACTCCAGATTAGAGATCCACACATTCTCAAGTGACTGTGAGCTTATGAAGTCTCTGTGCAATCTTTGTTTGGACCCGTTTGAGGATGTCCGACAAGCATCGGCAGCTATCCTCCATGTTCTTGCCTCGGAAACGGCAGAAACGCTATCTTTGGTTGTCAATCTTGGGCTGCTGCAAGGTGTAGAATCCCTAGTCGTTCAGACTTGCAGAAGCGATCATGCAGACGGGATGGGAAGGCTCTGGGCGTTACGATCGCGTCTCGATTGCATACTTCAATTTGAGCAAAATTCCTCCGAGACAACATTGTCGAGGTGTATAACGCAGCTAGAAGCTCAATTATCTATAGTGGGAGGCTTGCAACCCGGATCAACCTACCCTTTACATGGGCACTTACTAGGCTTGAATTTTCAGCTCCGCGACTTCAGAGCCAACGACAGGGAACGTCTGAACTTCGACGCTGCGCGGATTTTGAGAATATGTCGTCAAGCCTGGGATCAAGTCAGATCCCAGTTGTGTGTCGATTCTCCAGAAAGGACTTCAGATTTGACCGAGGACGACGGCACTCAAGGCCCAAAGGATATGCTCGCTTATTCCTGGAGAGCGTTGCGCGATTCAAGGTGAGTCTACTGCAATATAACTCGGCAATAACTAACCTAGGTAGCCTTGTTCTTCAATCGTTGCTTTTGGCATCTGATTATAATAAAGATCTATATGCGTCTATTGGGTCCCTCTGCATGGATCAACTAATGTCACTCCGACATAGAGGTGCATTCTCGACAGTGGCAAATACTTTCCTGCTATGTTGCGAGACAGTTCGTGCCGCAACCGAAGCTAGTGTCCGCGGTCTTCTCCAGGAGTGGTACAAGGTATGTGTTTCGACAAGACGCACGACATGAAGCTGACTCTCGCAGATCGCTTTAGTACAAATCGATGAACAAGCTGATCGCCTCACACGCCGCTCTGCCGGGCTGCCGGCAATGATGACAGCGTTGCTCAGTCCGTCCGACGTGACCTTTTTCTCTTCAGCAGTAACAGATCTGACGAGTATTGCCATACGAACACCGGAGGAAACCCGTTCGGATGGAGAAGAACCCAGGTTACCTCAAGTGCATGCCCTGAATATTCTCAAAGACATCATGACAACATCAAGGTTTGCATCTGTCGTAGTTCACTTCTTATCGTCGATAATTGAACTAGCGGCCTCCTGTCTCACTTCTAAAATCTGGGCCATCAGGAATTGTGGTCTGATGCTCCTGAGAGCTTGCATCAATCGCCTGGATACCTCCAACGTGCACGACAACGCTGATACAATAGACTCGACGGGATCCGGCTTCAGAGAGACTTCCTCCTCAGTTGCTATCCGCATGCTCCATTCAGCACAACATATGCCCGGTAATGCACCTAATATGGCGATTAATCCTGCCGAACTCGTATTTGCAGCACTGGATCTCCTTGGACATGGCAAGGTCACGACCAATAAAGCTTCAGAGATTGATATGGCTATCGCTCGAGAGTTGTCGAACCCAGCCTGGGCTGTACGAGACCATGCAGCGTTCCTGATGGCGCATCGTTTATACCCTCTGGGCCCCATGTCAGCTGTTCAGAAGTTGTTCGAAGCGACTGCGACCATTTCATGCGAGAACGTTACCCATGGACGCTTGCTCTGTTGCAGATACATTATGGAGGCGGGAGCCAAAAGTTTGAATAGCAATGAACTAAGTTCCCTGTTGGCGTCCATCGGGAAAGACTTTGCACCAAGCAGCACGGGAATAAGGTGGTCTCCTTATGTCAATGCGGCGTGGCTGGATATTCTCAATGATGCCGGCGTACTTATCTGGCACCACAAGTGGCCAACCCACATGCTCTGTATGCACCAGTTCCCAAACAAATTGGACCCATTGCAGAGCAGTAAGTCTGTTCATGACCCTTTCTTGACGCAAAGACTTCTGCTGCACGAAGCATTTTGCTACATGTTCTCTGATGCGACTGCGTCCGAGACAGAGACTAGGCGAGCTTTCGTATGCCAGTTTACGGACGACCCAGAAGTGCTGCGCGCCTTCCTGGACACGGTACATGAGAAACTTAGCGACAAACCAGCCTCTACCTTGATTCAGTTATTGGTATCTGTGATCAACGAGAATTATATTGCGCTTATGGGTCAGCCAGATGTACTCGAGATGGCATTCGCTTGCTTAGAACGCTGCCTTGCTTCCGCCATCGAATCTGATCTCGACTTGTTGAAGCCCCTTTCCGACAGAATCAAAATCCAAGAACTGGCAACGTCCAGAGACTTGTGGACCACGGCTTTGAGACTGGAGGCACACTTGTTAAGGCATTTCATGTCGGAGCAAATGGCTGATCCTACTACTATGAAGCGCACCCGATTATGGCTCGACGCTCTTGAATATGCCTCGATGGACTATCTTGAGTTCTCTGCGAGGTTGAGCGCCGCCGTTGCGCTATCTACTTACCTGAGGGATTTCAAATGTGCCATGAAGACCCCCGATGAGAATGAATTCTGGCCGCGATTACTTGTCATCATTTACGATCTGTTGAACGATGACGATGAAGAGGTGCGTGCCGAAGCTGTCACAGCTGCGAAGAATCTGAATTTGCGACACGTGCTTGTCATCGAAGATCTGGGGCTTTGTCCCCTAGCGATGAGAGAAGTTCTTATCGACCTACTGTGCCAGGAGGATGGACGAATGTTTTACCCGACAGAGGCTACACTAGGCAAAATTTTGCGCATTGGGCGGGATATTCGGGGTAGTCTTGACGGTGAAAGTATCTTGCATCTGGTCAAGAAGCCGGTATCGTCAAGAATCACTGAGATTCTTAAGTCAAAGAATGATCTATTCGCCGAGGAGAGGCAGAATCTTTACATCGATGATGTGCGGGAGCTCAATATTTGGACAAAAATACTATGCCGGTCCTCTATGGGCCTCTTACCATCAAGTCGACTTCAGCTTGTGTTGCAATGGACATCTGAAGGGCTTGACCAGATCGTGAACTTGATTAGGGGTGCGAAAACCTCATCCACCCGCTCGACATTTGTACATCCACTTGGAGTTACATATGATCACGAACTTTTGGTGGTGATTGTACAGGTTGTAAGTCTTTCGGGTGTACTCCTACGCAGTGGAGCAAATGGCATACCCCGGGATGAATTGCACGGAAAACTGGAGCACCTTGACCAGTCATGTCACAATGTACAAGGCAATGCGGTAGTTACTGAAGCAGTGAATTGGGCACTGAGAATGTCGGAGTGAAGTGCAGAAGCAGATATGAGGCAGCAAATTCCACATGCGCACCCATTTGTCCACCCATCACTAAGAGACACACCAGACCACCGACTCGAATGTGAAACTATCAAGTTCCAGCATCGCCTCAAACAACATATAAAGACCAGGACGCATCCCCTCCGCCGAAGCTCGAGCAACAGCCTCAGATTGTTTTTTCCCTCAGCCAAAGACCTTATACTCGACTCCAACGAGCTACTGCACACTCGAACCGATCACTATGCAGCCTGGCCTCGGAATTCTCCTCTGCTTCCTTCTAATCATTCCCTTTTGCGGCTGGCTTGCATGGCGATTCTTTATGCCATACCTCCAAGATCAGATGGCGATGGTTGAAGCTGGCGAACAGCGTCTAGCTGAAGGGCATCCACCTGCGGTCAATGGAGGATAACGGAGGATGAAGACGAAGAACACAGTGGGCAAGGATGGCGTCTTTCCACATCCAAAGCTCTTCAGGGATTGAATCTGCCAGGCTTGGGAAGAGGAACAACGTCTGGAACTGGTGTTACATGTAAATGCGTGTGGTGGGAGTTCCGAAATGGCAGATCTATCGTAATAAATTGCGCGCCGCAACTGCTGCTCAATTGTACTATTCTCGGCCCTGGGGAGAATACCAGTGTGAAAAGATGTTGCGCTTCTCGGACTCCTACCTACCTTACATATGCCACTTCCTCTTTCCTAGGTTCTCACCTCCTGGTAACTGATTCGATCTGCCGAATTCTGCTACTCGTCATTGGCGGCATCATCACCTCGCTCATGTTGACCCTTCAACCTCAAGACAGTCGCTTCATCCGTACCTCTCCATCATGTCGATAATCACTCAACTCGTCACAGCAACAGCTATTGCAACCTTTTCACCCACTGTCCTGACCGACACCGTCACATGCTACATAGCCACCACGCTGCCTGCGTCAGCTGGTCAAACTGTGACCATCAACCTCCCACCCGTCGTTCCTCCACCTATGCCGACGACGAAATACACACCATCACCTCCGACTGCAGCCACGGTCACCGCGGTAGTCACAGCTACTATGATAGATGTTTTTTTGCAGGACCTCAAAAGTGTCATCTACTCTACCTGGGTTGTGTCACTGAATCCCACCGCAATCCCAGCTGCGAGCGGTACTCCGGCACCATTGGTGTATGTGGTCGAGCCGCAGAACGATGGTGGATGGGACACCTGGTCAACAGATGCACGAGTCGGTTTGATAGTGGGGGTTGTGTTCGCAGGACTCTTCTTGCTTGCGTTCTTATGCTGGTGTTGTTGCAGAAGGTCAAACTTGTGGTTTGTACACCGTTGGCCCTGGAGTCGACCCATGGATACACCGAGCATGGGTCAAGGGATGTCAATTGTGCAACCGACAATGGTAAACGGGCCAATTCTGCCTTACAGTAGACAGGGACATATCGTCGGATATGTCTAAAAGTCGCAGGCAATGGTGATGAATACAAGAGAGCCTTCAACAATGAGCTCAGGGGACGATTCAGATTCACACCGAGATGAGATAGAAGCTCGGGTTCTCCCAACAAGAAAGGATCTTCATTGTTCCGTGGTCTTGACTTGCCCTCAAAAGTGTCCTGGACGTCTTTTGCTGTTGCCTAGTGCGATACCTAACATGATCTTTACAAGACGCAGTGTGAAGGCGACACATTCAGAGGACAAAAAGTGAACTGAGTTACCATGAGTCCATATTTCCTGAGATCAGCATCGCTTGCACTTGAAAAGTTGCAGACAATCTCTTTCAGGAGCGGCTGGAACCTGTATTGTAGTCCGTACCTCTAGCACATGCACTTATTTGGTGGCCTATGCTCTTCTAGTTGGAGGACCAATGACGTGGCCGCTGTCGCTCTTGCCGCGACTGTATTCGGAGATGCCTTCCCACCACCATCACATAAACCACCCATGCACTACTCCTACCCAGACGTTTAATTGACTTGTGTTCATGGCAGTATTGTTTTGCGCAAGGTGATCGCAGCTTCTAACTTCTAGTCCTTTTCATCCCTTGTCCTTTACATGCAGCATCATGTGGCAGGACGACGAAGACAACAATCCCTACGGATCCTACACCAACCAGGATCCCTCCAGTGATGCAGCAAATCCAGTCCTAAGCACCTCCTGTATGGTCATACAGTGCTCCTTGAGATGCTATCGCTGACACTCAGGGATAGTTTCTAATGATGCTTCCACACCTGACACCTCACATTCATCTCCGACCCAGCCTCAGTATTACTCGCGTCCCGAGCAGCCGACCGACGATGAGGAGGACTATAATCAGCAAGCTGACACAAGCCATGTACCGCCTAAAGGCGGATACGATAGCAGAGTACAGCAAATATTATATGAGAATCCAGAGCTGGGGATCGTCATAACTGATGCAGGCAAGAGTTCAGATGGAGGCTACATTGTGTACAAGATTCGGACTGGAGTATGCCACTATGGACAAGAAGGAAAATGTGCGCGGCTGACTTGAGCAGGACATTGAGGTAACCCGGCGATACTCAGAGTTTAGCTCTTTGAGAAATGCTCTTGTAAACCTACATCCTACGCTGGTCGTTCCTCCCATACCCGAGAAGCACACCATGGCAGATTATGCGGCAAAGCCAACAAAAGCTAAAGAAGACGTTGGAATAATCGACCAACGGAAGAGAATGCTTGCGGTCTTCCTAAATCGGTGTAGAAGAATGAAAGAGGTGGTCGAGGATGGTGTCTGGTGGAGATTCCTCGATCCGAACTCGAGCTGGGTGAGTTAGGTTGACTCAAGGAATGAGGTTTTTTTACTAAATTTCGCAGAATGAAGTGCTACACGCTCACCCTGTCGCATCAGTCCCCAAGAACAACCTGAAAGCCCCTCCGTTAGACCCGGCAAACCCTACTCAAGCTCACAATTGGTTACCTGTGCCTTCCTCCTCTGCCAAATTGCGATCGGGAGGACCGATATCGAGCAGCGGAACACCGATATCGCCCCCAGACCAAACTTATCCATCCGCTGCCGCTCACACGACGCCTGGACCTCAGGTCTTCGGCCGTTTCCCCTTGTCTTCGGATAAGCTCAGCGAAACCGACCTGGATCCTTACTTTATTAATTTCGAAGCCTCAACTCGCGAACTGGAACTTCTGTTGCAAGGTAGCATAGAGAAGGTGAATCGTCGAACACTTGAGCACCTCACCAAATTATCGACAGACCTTTCTGAGCTGGGGGCACGGTACAATGGCTTTTCTCTCTCTGAACAGTCGCCAACAGTCGCAGCTGCTATCGAGCGGGTAGGTCAGGCTGTCGACAGTACCTACATTTCGACTGAAGAACTTGCCCTGGGTTTAGGTGCAACTTTCGCCGAACCCATGCGGGAAAGCGCGCAATTCGCCGGAGTGGTACGCAATGTGTTGAGGTACCGAGTGCTCAAGAGAGTGCAGCAAGATATGACGAGAGAAGAGCTCGATAAGAAGAGGGGCCTCCTCGAGTCTTTGGAACGCAGCGAAGCAGAGGCCAAGAGAATTGACGCATATTTGTCTCAAAGCACTACCATTGCCAGTCCACCTAGACGGTCGACTTCGAGTGCCTCAGGACGAAGTCCGCCTGATCGACATGGACATGAAGTACATGAAGAAACCGAATCAGTCGACTCGGATTTCCCGCCGACTCATGGCGATGGCGGGACCTCTCCTCCACCTTCTGCAATCCAGGGTCACCCTCCTTCTGGACCCGCCTCTCCTACCTCACATAGAAAGTCACCAAGTGGTAACTTCGTGACGAACAAGATATTTGGTAGTTTCCGACACGCCGTGAACGGTTTCGTGGACGTCGATCCCGAAAGAACGAGGCGAGATCAGATTGGGAAGACGAAAGAGAGTTTGACTCATCTCGAACAGGCTCTAGAAGTCTCGGAAAGTGATGTCAAAGATGCAACTCAAGGTGTCATGCGTGACCTGAAGAGATTCCAGAAAGAAAAGGAGGATGATCTTCAGAGATACATGGTAAGTTCACATCGACACCGCCAGACCAAGTCTAACATCTTCTTTAGATCTCTTATGCTAGATGTCACATCGAATGGGCACGGAAAAACCTGGAAACATGGTCAGAGGCTAGGGAGGAAGTGGACAAGATAGTTGCGAGATAGCCAGCCATGGGACGAAAGCTGTAGGGGTGGCGAATGTTGTGGTATTAATTTATCATATTGCAGAGCGTTCTCGACCCGCCAGGCTGGCCGGCGTTGTATATCTGTTCAGGCCGTATCATGAATTCATTATGAATGCAGTCGTGATTGAGCTCATCGTTGAATCCTGATACTGCTTCACTTAGTCACATCCTGTCCCGTTCGGTGTCCAGCATTCAGAATCAGCAAGATTACCATATAGGATAAGTGATAATCAAGTATATGACACGGGCGTAATCTCGAAACATGTAGAGCCGATGCTAATCGAGAAGGCATTATTCGTTTGTTCCGTTGTATGCGATATTAGTATGAGTATGGGGTATCAGGTAATCGGCTGCGGCTCCAGAGACAGTCCAGAGTGACGCAGCACAGCAGCATCCGGCGCCTGTCCGTTTCGGGTGCGTTGACAGAAAGACTTCACAGACAGTCAAACAGATTTTCAACAGCGATAAACAAGATATCCTAAAGACGTCCACCTGCTTTCAACCATATAGGAACATAGAAACATTCTTGAGAGTCACTGTCATTCACAGTGTACCCTTGCCTCGCTTTCCTTTCACCTCCCAGCCCTCCGATTGTCTTCTCGCCCACTTCGTTTTGGCCCTGACCGGACTGCGGCGACTATTAAACAGGCCCACCACCTGGCACTTTCGTAACGTTCGATTCTCATCGCCTCAATCTTTGTCGTCCCTTTTCTTTTTCTCGCTATCCTTGCATCCCATGGTACCGGCATAGTTGCTACCGGATTTCATCCTAAACCGACCCTCCGAGCCTTCCCTCTCGGGACATGCCCGCTTCCCAAAAACAACAGTTTTCACAATCCAAGGATGATTCTGGCAGGCATCTGCGATCTGCATCACCGGCTGTAAAGAGACCGGCGTCTGATATGGGAGCACAAGATCGAGAAACATACCCGAGCGACGTAGAGATGGGGGATTCTGAGCCGATGGGTACAACGCCAGTTAACCAGGATTCTACGCAGAATTCGAACACAAAGGCAAAACAACCTGACCTGGGACTGAGACATCGCGACAAGGCTCTAAACAACAGTTTGACGCACACAAGTAACCCCAGATCAAGTCAACAAGCTGTGTCCGACAATAGCGGCAGTTCCACCTCCGACTCTCTCATCCCTAGTCCTTCGAACCAGTCAACTGCAACTACCTCTCTGAACACCGATATCTCGACCACCTCCGAGGCCTCGATTCCTCCCATCGACGATCAAATCGCCAAGGTCACCCAGCTGATTGACAAAGAGCTACATGACGGACAGAAGGGCTATGTCCTGTCTAAAAAATGGTATCAGAGGGTCCAAGCCCGCAGCTCACATGCTGGCGAAGCCGGGAAGATAGACAAGTCTGCCACTGAAGGTGAAGTTGGCCCTGTTGACTGCTCTGACCTGGCAATGGTCATTGAAGAGTCCACCCGACTTGTGGATCAAGAAGGAGAACCGTATGTTCCGCTCCGACCTGGTCTAACTCTCAGCGACGACTTTGTGATCCTTCCACAAGATGCTTGGGATATGGTAGTTTCTTGGTATGGGCTCGCAAAAGATTCGCCTGTGATCACACGCTATGCCATCGACGAGAGCGTGCCACCTAGTGCTCCGCACATCGTCTGGGAACTTAGTCCTCCGATCTTCTCATTCTTAAAGGTTGCAGCTGAGCACACACCACAAACTCAGCGCGAGAAGGAATTGCCTCCCCAACGGCTACTAGCTTCCAAGAAGATGCCCTTCATGCAATGGTTGAAAGCTGGAAAGCAGCTACTCCACATCAACATCAACACCAAAGTCAGGGTATGGAGAATACTTGGTGGTCTTAAAAGCTCCACGGCATCTGGCATTCTCACTCCTGCAGCTTCCAGAAGTGCATCTCCTGCACCAGGCGCCGAGATAGTAGCCAGCGCCGGCGACAAGATGCTCCTAGATGTCAACTCTTTCGCCGCACTGATGATAGGCGAGCAGCGTGAACTCGTGTCACACCAAGATTTGACCGCAGATCCCAAATACAACGGTTCGTCTACATTAGGCTTTCTTGGGTTCGGAAGGGATGATGTGATCGTCTTGGAAGAACAAAAGTCGGGCAAAGAGGATTGGCCGAGCGACACTGTGAAATTGAGTCTGAGCAAAGGTCTTAAAAAGACTACAAGCACGCTCACCCCCAGTGGCAGGTCGAGTCCTGCGCCAAGCATGATGACTAGAGGTCGACAAAAGAGGGATGGAAGACCACGCGGAATCACAGGCTTGAGCAATCTGGGCAATACTTGTTACATGAACTCGGCTCTACAATGCATACGCAGTGTGGAGGAATTGACCCAGTATTTCTTACATGATCAATGGAAGCGGGACCTTAATGTGGAAAACCCCTTGGGTCACCACGGAGAAGTTGCGAAAGCATACGCCAACCTTCTGCATCAGATCTATGATGAAAATGCAAGTTCAACCAACCCAAACCGGTTCAAGACCATTATTGGGAAGTACGGCCCAAGCTTTTCCGGTTACCAGCAACAAGACTCTCAGGAGTTCCTTCTTTTCCTTCTCGATGGTTTGCAAGAAGATCTCAACCGCATCCACAAGAAGCCTTACATTGAGAAGCCCGATTCCACAGATGAGATGGTGCACGATTTTGCAGCCCTCAAAGAGTTTGCTGATAAGAACTGGGAAATCTACAAAGCGAGAAACGACTCGGTAATCACCGATCTTTTCGCGGGAATGTACAAGTCGACCCTCACATGCCCGGTATGCCAGAAAGTCAGCATTATTTTTGACCCGTTCAACAACCTCACCTTACAGCTACCAATCGAGAACAATTGGCAGAAGGAGGTTCTGTTCTTCCCGTACGGTAAACGTCCTATCCGGATTGATGTGGAAATCGACAAGCATGCTAGCATCAAAGCGCTAAAGGAGTTCATTGCTACAAGGACCAAAACCGATGTGGATCGTATGCTCATCGCCGAGTCCTACAAGAACAAGATCTACAAGATCTTTAACAATAACACTGTCATTTCAGAAGCCAATATTCAGGGTGGAGACATCATTTGTTGTTATGAGTTGGAGAGCGTGCCGACCAATTACAATCCAAACAAAGCCAAACGATTCTCGCTTTATACACTGAATTCTCGGGACTCAGATGACGAGTTGGTAGATGACGCCAGCCCGGCAGCCGACCGTTTACTCGTACCAATGTACAACAGGCTGGTCAAGAGCCCAGGTTCAAGAATTGGCTCTAAACCCTTCTTTGGGCAACCCACTTATGTGGTATTCAGTCGCGAAGATAGGGCAACGTACGACGGCGTGTTAAAGAAAATCCTTGACATTGTAAGCGGGATGACCACCAGAGATCTCTTCGAGGATGACAAAATTGAGTCCGAAGACCGTGCTAGCACTCCCGAAGGATCTGACACGGTGATGATGGCAGATGACATGTCAAGTTCTGGCTCGAACCTTCCAATTGCTTCATCAGTCCAGGGTGAAGATGGTCTTGTGGACGTTTCGATGCGTGATGCCAGTCAAGGTCCAGAACCAAATTCCGAATCACCAGGCAGCACCAGCACCCAGAGTTTGCAAGAAAAGTCGCCCATTTCCCGCGGGCTCCGACAGCTATTCTCAATCCATGTTGCCTCTACTGGCGAGGGCATACCAACCGGCTGGAATTCCATCTCTGAGACACAAGAGTATGACATGATCAATTCACGAGTCCCTAAGGTCGACTCACGAAGCCTCAAGTCCCGAAGATCTTCGGGTCATACAAATGACGACAGCGACTCTGTCACCAGCGACGACGATCTTGCTGACATTGAACACGAAGACAATGCGGACGACAGCAACGGATCTGACTCTGAATCGAATGCCGATCGTGTGTTACACATAGGTGCAGACGTAGATTCGGATACCGATTTGCCTTCGCCTCGTGACTTTGTGAAGGGCAGAAATCCAAAATCGAGAAAGGCTCAAAGACAGCAAAAACGAAACAAGAATTTTGGAAAACGCGCTGTTCGTCGAACACCGCCACCTCCCCCTCAGCCAGTGCCGAAGTCTCAAGGTCAGGGATTGATAAGACCCGGTGAGGCTATTGTTCTAGACTGGACTCAAGAGGCATACGATGCATTGTTTACTGGTTCTGACGACGATGAGGAAGACCTGCGTGGCATGCCGACCTGGAAGGACCCTGAGCTGTTCCATGATGCCGACTTACTCGCTCGGCGGGCACAGCGATCAAGCCGAAGAAAACACGGAATCACCTTGGAAGACTGCTTGAATGAGTATGGAAAATCCGAAACCTTGTCCGAGCAGAATGCATGGTATTGCCCTCGGTGCAAGGAACACCGACGAGCCGAAAAGATGTTTGAATTGTGGAAGGCACCCGACATCCTTGTTATGCACCTGAAGCGGTTCAGTTCCAACAGGAACTTCCGTGACAAGCTAGAAGTCAAAGTCGACTATCCAACTGAAGGCCTGGATTTGTCCAGCATGGTGAGAGATCAACAGGACGGAAGGAGCTTGATTTATGATTTGATTGCTGTGGACAATCATTACGGCGGGCTTGGCGGGGGTCATTATACGGCATATGCGAAGAACTTTTTCAATAATGGTTGGTATGAATACAACGGTAAGTACACAGATCTGTTACGATCGAGCACTGCTGATTGCCCTCAGATTCGCATGTGTCGTCCAAGTCGGATCCCCGAGCAGTCATTACAGGCGCTGCCTATCTCTTGTTTTACCGTCGGCGATCCGATCACCCTTTAGGCGGGGAGCAGTTGGAGGAACTATTGGATTCTCAAAACGATGCAGAAGCCGACTCTGAAATGCCTGAAACCTCGAGAGACTCTTCACCGGTGACGGGGGAAGGTCGGCGTCTCGGCGACTCCTCCCACTCTGGGTTGTCGAGCGCTTTCGCAGCAGGTCAAGCTCACCACGTGGGAGTGGGTGGCTCGGCCATGGACGAGGACAATCAGGATCAAGATCTACTAGCCGGCAACGCAAGTCAGCCGAGAATGATCGGTCCGGTACTTCCGGGGGATGAACTCCCAGGATATCCCGAGGACGAGGGTGTGTCAATGGAGTATCCTTATGCCCAGCCATCCTGGAGTTTCGACCGCATTGGACAAACCCAAGCACCGGCACCGTCTGAGGACGGCATGTTTGGTGACAAGGGAAGCTCGAATGATAGTACTCGGGTGGAGGGCGATCCCGGAAGCCCTGCGTCCAGTCTCCCAGCTTTGGACGAAGGCCCCATTTTCAGTGAACCCATTAATGGTGAAGATGTCTCAAGCCGTACCACGAGGGAGAGTGCCCCTCCTCCCGGAATTTCGGGAGTCATGGACGATGACGATGAGGACGATCTTCCCGTTCAGGAGCTTCGAGCCAATCCGGATAACGATGAATTGACCTTTCACCCGGCGAAGAGGTAGAATTGGAATGCATTGGAATTTTTTGACATGACATTGTTTGCGGGCGTTCGATTCCTGGAAGATATCAAGATGCAGCGTTTGTGCATCACGACCAGCTGCTATCTAGCATAAGGCTATGCACGGTTGAGGACGCCATACGACATGAACGTTAAAGGGTAGAGGTTACCACAGTCTTGTGTCATTGCTTGACTCAGGTAGTCGAATATTGTACGCAGTCAAACACCGTACGCTGAACATAGGTACCTAGAAAATCAAAGACCTAACCGAGGGGTCAAAAATATTGAACACTACGTCTGTGAGACTACACGAGGTCCGAGTTCGTACGGGATATAGCTGAATGCTCTCGTTCAGTAAATACTCTGTAGGCCGTATCATCTGTCTTGCAAGTAGAGTGAGTCTGGGCGTGGACCAGTGACCAGTGAGTGAGTACTGTCTACCTACTCCGTACTGTACTGTATGTAAGTAACTCTCATCCGTATCAAACTTGGCTTGGCGTTCTCCGTCTTGTTCTCCAATACTTTCGACTTTACAAGACTGCGTTCCATGCCCATATTAACAAATCGCGACATGAGACCTGGCTTTGTTTCAAGTTCGCTCAACTTTTAACATTTCCTTTGGGGGTTATTGGCGCCATGGCGAACACATTGACTTCACGCGATGAGCCCAAAGCGGCCGAATATGCTGGAGGTATGAAACAAACAGTTCTCGTATTTGGCGATTGCAACAGCCATGCGATGACTTTGATTTGTTATACTGATGATTTGCTACAGACGAAGTTTCTGCGCTGGTTCTCGACCCCGGCTTCTCCAGCGTACGCGCAGGTTTTGCAGGTGAAGACACTCCCAAATCCATCGTCCCTTCATACTACGCATCGACGGCATCGGAACGACTCTTCGGCGACCATGTCATCGACCTACCACGAGAAGGAGTTGAGATCAAGAACCCTATGAACAAGGATGGAATTGTGGAAGATTGGGACGCGGCCGAAGCCTTGTGGAAGTACACATTCGCGCACAAACTCACCGGGGTGCGACCGAATCGTGCGCTCCAAGAATGGCTGAACGATCCGAAGTCGGTTCCCGACCTGCACAAGGCCATGGCCGATGCGGTCGACACGGAACGCTGTCTAGAGGATCACCCGCTGTTCATGACCGAGCCGTCGTGGAATCCCACCAAGTCGCGCGAGAAATGTGTCGAGATGGCGCTGGAGTCCTGGGGTTCGCCGGCGTTTTACCTGGGCAAGACGGGGGTGATGGGCGCGTTCGCGGCGGGGCGACCGACGGCCCTGGTGATTGATTTCGGCGCGACGCAGGTCTCCGTCACTCCGGTCCACGACGGGATGATCCTGAAGAAGGGGTTGACGCGCGCCAACATAGGTGGCAACTACCTCAGTCAGCAGGTACGGAACATGTTGGCCAACAACGAGTCGGGAAGCATCAGCATCACACCGCACTACATGGTGCAGTCCAAGCAGCCGGTGGACGCGGGCCAGGCGGCGAACACGATCCTCAAGACATTCCCCGAGGGGTTCCAACACCCCGACGCCAGTTTCCGACGGTACCAGGAGGACAAGGTCGTGCTGGAGTTCAAGGAGATTGCTCTGCAGGCGTGGACCAACCCGAACATGGCGTTCCGAGGGCAGGGCGAGGCGCTGGCGCGGGACATGCAGTACGCGCAACCGTTCGAGTTCCCCGACGGCTACAATCAGACCTTCTCGAGCGAGCGGTTCAGGATCGTCGAGAGCATGTTTGACGGCCAGTGCCATTACCCTGCGGCGCCGGGCGACGCGTCGGCGCAGGCGTACCCGGCGCCCGAAGAGAAGCACACCATCCCGGGACTGGTCAAGACGTGCCTGGGTCAGGTGGATGTCGATGTGCGACCGTTCCTGTTGTCCAACGTGGTGATCACAGGGGCCGGGTCGTTGATCCGCGGACTGCCGGACCGCATGCAACAGGAGTTGAGCAAGATGTACCCGAGTGCTCGGGTCAGGATCCAGGCGTCGGGGATGGCGGTGGAGAGGAAATTTGGCAGTTGGATCGGTGGGAGCATCGTGGCCAGTCTCGGGACGTTTCATCAAATGTGGATTTCGAAGAAGGAATATGAAGAACATGGGCCGAGTATTGTCGAAAAGCGGTGTAAATGAGGCTAGCACGTTATTGGTGATTATGATGATTATGGCCCTGATGGCGACGACGGCGCGTTTCAATCTTTGCCTCTTTGAAAGGCCTGCCGACAAGGAAACTACCTGAATTACGGGGTGTCATTCGTACAGTAGTAGACTCTCAGCACTCCTACTGTCTACGTCGTGAACCCCCTTTTACGAGGACGGTGGGACTTTTGGGGGAATAAAAAGGCCGGGAAGGTTGGGTAGGGCAGGGCAGCAAATGCTTTTTTTTCTTTCCCTTTTAAAGGAGTTCGACCTGTGTGTTGCGGCTCTGAGATACCTAGAACAGCTGGCAAGTGGGAATCGTCGTGAACAAGAGGAAAGCGAAGACAAAAAAGAAAAATGTAATTATCTGGTAGCGAGATAGATTTGAGTACTCCGCACAGAGTCCGCAATATCTCTACCGTACCTACTCGTACCTAATTGAAGCCCAAATATTCCGCTAAGAAACGAAACAGTGTTAACATAATTGTTGAAGGGGGGGGGAGACGTGACGAAGGTGATGACGGAAGGATTGGGCTACAGGGTTACAGAGTACAGAGAATCAGAGGGAGGGAGTAAGTGCTGAGTTCCTTTCTCTTTTTGGTGTCCTCGGTACTCTATTCGTATAGGATGCGAGTCGAAGGTACCCTCGTGAAGTGTTGGCCGTAGAGAGAAGCGGTGAAGAAGAGTGATGCGAGAAAAAAAGAGGAGTTGATCGAGACTACAATAAGTACCATTAATGAAAGAGGGTTTAGTTACTCCGTAGGTACCATCAAGTACGGATGTGTAGGTACGCATAGTACAGTATTTTAAAATGATCGCTACGGATACGGAGTAATCCATACATAAGCTACAGAGTTAGGGTTCTACCAGAAATCTAACTTATCCGTACTCGTAGTATTACGGATATCTTGCACACAAAAAGTGGTTTGTACTGTACAGGGGGGACGAAATTAATTCCGATGCTTACGGACTCCAGGACTGAGAATATCCGCTACCTAGATACGTGGGTGCTTAACTTACGGAGTACAAGGATACATGTACGAAGTGGTATGTGGGACAAAATGTGGTTGTCTGGACCTTCACAGTAGAGCTTTGGAACCATATGATCGGGTCAGGCGTCCAATGTGTAACACACCTTACATAGGGTACACTTCTTCACCTCCGACACTACGGAGTATAAAGTGTTCTTGTGTGTTGTACTCTGTCCAGTAGGTATTGATCTTCAAGAAGTGGCCTACTGTGCTCGTAACCTCCCTAGGTATTCTTTGGGATTGAAGTCTTGATTCATACGATGGCTAACTTGGCGAGTATCTAACCTACAATACTGTTCAGGGATGTCAGGTACTTGCCCTTGTCCTTGTCCTAGACACTTGGGACCGACTACACGCCGAAGTTGTACCTTAAAAGAATCTTCGCCTTGTTCAATCTGTCTCCTGTCACTTTTTCCTTTCGCCACCTCGTACTCGTAACTCGTACCCCAAAAACCACTACATCACCCGAACGAAGGGAAAAAATCAACATGAGGGAAAAAAATAAAAACGAACAAAAAAGACAAACCATCTTGTCTGTACACAAAAACCCCAGAAACAACTACTTCGACCAAAGACTTACAACATTATACTAGATAAACTCCTCGCCCTGATAAGTCTGTCTCTCCTGTACTCCATATTCTCCATACGTACGGAGTACTTGTTCCATAGTAAGTAAATAGCTCCTCCCAGTCTCTCTTAACTCGGTTTTTTCAACGCATTAGTCGGATTTTTAGTTACAGCACCAAGACAACCCCATCACTTGGTCTTGCATAAATACCCAGAACCATCCTGTACAAGTGTTAGTTTTTCGACAGATCGCGCGGTCTGACTCCATAATGCCTGCAGGTGACTCCTCTGCACCCTTCTTTTCAAACACTCCATCTTCCTGTCCCATTCCCTCGGGTCGTGTTATCCTTCACAGGTGTCTAATAAAAGTCAAGACACACAAGACACTGGTTATTGTTTGTTCTTATTGTTGTCCTCCTCCACTCTCCCTTTTTGTCACTCGTACCGCCGTATCTACCTACCCAACAATACATTGCTCCATACCGCACAACAAAAATCCTCACTCCTTTTTTCTTCCCTTTCGGGGGCCCAAATTCATGACACCAATCTCACTCCTCACCGTTTACAGTTCTCTTCTCCTTCTTCACAACCATCCCTACCCGAAAAAGCATGTCAGATGCCGAATCTGATGCCAAGACCATTGCACCACTCACAACAACAACAACAACAACAACAACGACGACGACGACGACCCTCGTCACCAACCAAACCATGGACTCACCTATAGACCCCGATTCGAATCCCGCCCTTTCAGACGAAGCCAGTTTCGACACCCACTCTCTACATGCCAGTGTCCTGGATTATCCCATGTTCTGGGGACGTCGGTACCATCGGTACAAAGAAGGCAGCTATCTATTCCCCAACGATGAAGACGAATCGACTCGTCTCGACAACCAACACGAAATCCTCAACCGCCTCCACAACAGACTCTTCTTCGCTCCTTTACATCCCGACCATGTCTACAACGTCCTCGACCTGGGCACAGGCACCGGCCAGTGGCCCATCGAACTTGCCGACTCCAATATCCTCCCACACGCCGAAATCACAGGCATCGACCTATCCGCGGTCCAACCCATCGACGTGCCGAACAACGTATGTTTCGAGATCCAAGACTGCAGCGACGACGACTGGCTTCGGCCCCTGGACAGTGTAGACTTTTGCCACGCCCGCTTTTTGGCGGGCAGTCTCGTCTCTTACAAGGACATGATCCGTACGGCGAGGAAGTACATCACCCCGGGGACGGGTTGGATGGAGATTCAAGAACTTCATCCGACGCCTGTGAGTGACGACGACACCATTCCTGACAAGTGGCCCCTGAAGGCCTGGGACGATAATTTACACCGTGCCGCCGCCCGGGCCCTTGACCCCCCCCGGCCCGTTCGGGTCGCGAGTCACATCAAGACTTGGATGGAGCAGGCCGGCTTTGTCGACATACACGAACATGTCAGTAAGATCCCCCTGGGCCCCTGGCCGAGGGATCCCCATCTGAAGAACATTGGAGGGTGGTGGTTGAATAATTGGTTGACCGGCCTACCGGGATTCACGTACAAATTGTTCGGGGTGGAAGGGCTACAGTGGACACGCGAGGAGATTGAGGTCTCGCTCGCCGAGGTGAGGAAGGCCACGAAGAATAAGGACGTACATGCCTATCAGCGACATTATATCGTCTATGGGAGGAAGCCGAGTAGAGAGGAAGAAGCCATCATGTGGGGCAACGGACATGGATGAGAATGACCTATGTCTTGAGATATGTTTGCGACAGAATGTTCCTGAACCACACCGGGGGACGGACGACGAGGCGAGATGAGGGCGAGACGAGACAACCCGCTGTTGGAGGCCGATTGGATTGGATGCAACATGACCAGGTATCGTCTTTTCACTTGGTCGGAGAGCGCACTGTACGACGGGGATTGCTGTGGTTGTGCTCGAAGAAAACAAGGTTGCGTCTGAGAAGGCAGAAAAAGAGGGGGACGATACTGCGGCCCACGACCGAGGAGTATGAAAATACGGTCAAAAGAGGAAAGAGGATGACCATAGGAGAGTCTGTTCAGCAAAATCTATCAGGTGTAGAGGGAGAAAAGAGTGACAAGACATGAGAAGCAACAACGACGGTCGACGTTCGACAAAATTACAACGAAAACGCGCCATTATCATGATGCGATACGATTCGATACGACACGATGATGATAGACATGACGTTATGTTACGAAAGAAAAAAGGAAGACGAAAAAGGAGATACCAAGTGATACCCCTTCACCCGACCGGCGTTGACATCGGGAGTCTTCTCGACATACAAATACAAGGGCAAAAAGGGTTTTGATTCGGAGCATATTAAGATAATGTACCTGTTGTTTTCATGAATGGACGGACTCCATGCCTTCAACGACTGTTGGCATTGCCTTTAGTACGGGGATTCAAGCGCCAGATCGAACCATGGGCGATTACAACTCGTTGAACGAGACAAGGTCGCTGGATGGATTGATACTCCCCAGTAGGACAAGTTTGTTACGGTTTGGTCTTGGCATAGTTTTAGCGTATTCTCGGCACGTGAATGTACCCCCGAAAAGACATTGAATTACATATTCATCATTGTCGACGGATCATCGATGTCATCATGCATACTGGATATAACTTCCTACATACATCAATGGTTATTCAGTCAGAAGAATTTTTCTCAAAACACAGAATGGTTCTTAACTGGGGCCAAAGGCTCCCCGAGTTGTGTTGATGGCGAGTTTTTGCTTTTGTATTTTTTGAGTCGCCGTCGTAATCGTCTCTACTTGGGGTAAAGGTACGAGAGCATCTCCTCGAGGATTTTTTTTAAAAGAACAAAACAAAAAAAGAAGACAGACCGATCCCCGGACGGGGTTGATGACGACCCAGTGCAAACGTAAGACAAACAGAAGAGCTCTTTTTTCTCGAGTCCGTTTGCCGACCCGGAGGGCGTCTTGACGGCCACATGGGGAAGAGGGTGGCCATCGTCGGGAGCGGGTGCTCGGGCGTCGCGGCCCTCTGGGCGCTGGACACGAGTACGGACCATCAAGTCCACCTGTTCGAGGCCGAGTCGCGACTCGGCGGGCACACCAACACGGTCAGGTTCGAGGCGCCGTCGGCGGACGGTGGCGGCGCGCCCGGGACCCCCGTCGACGTCGACACCGGCTTCATCGTCATGAACAGCGCGACCTACCCCAACTTTGTACGATTTTTGGACCAAGTCGGGGTCTCGACGAGGAGGACGGAGATGACGTTCGGGGTCTCCCGCGACCAGGGCGGCTTCGAGTGGGCCGGGACCTCTCTCGGTTCCGTCTTTGCCCAGACCAAAAACGTCTTCAGCCCTGGAATGTGGAGGATGATATTCGACATTGTCCGCTTCAACGAGTTCGCCTTGGACCTCCTTCAGGCCGAGTCCGATGACGATGAAGAGAGCGAGGACGAAAATCAATCTACAGACGAAGTGCGAACAGCAACCAAGACCACCAAGACCAAGCAGGTGGCGGCAGCCCAAGAAAGTATCGGTGATTATCTCGACAGAGAAAACTACTCCCGGGAATTCCGGGACGACTACCTGATCCCCATGACGGCCGCCGTCTGGAGTACGAGCCCGGATAAATGCTCCCTGGAGTTCCCCGCCGTCACGTTGGTCCGCTTCATGTACAACCACCACCTCTTGAGCACCGTCGCCAAACGCCCAGACTGGATGACCATACCGGGAGGGTCGAGGCGCTACCTCGACGCCGTGCTCCGAGGCTTCGACAGGAGCCGTATACACGTCAAGAGCAAGGTGACGGCGGTACGGCCACTGGACGGGAGGGTCGTGCTCACCACCAACGGGAGGGATCATGAATTCGACCACGTCATCCTCGCGACCCACGGTGATCAAGCGCTGGAGATACTGAAGTCTGCGGCGACGGAGGAAGAGGTCGGCATACTCTCTGGGTTCCAGACGAGTAGAAATGTTGCGGTCCTCCACTCGGACCTCGCTTTGATGCCAAAGAGACGTATAGCATGGTCCGCCTGGAACTATATCACAGAATCCCCCTTCCCTCCCACCAACAGCCAGAACGTCTCAAAGGTATGCCTGACGTACTGGATGAACCTGTTGCAACACATACCAGAAGACGAATATGGCCCGGTATTGGTAACACTGAATCCACTGAACATGCCGGAGCCTCGGCTGGCCCAAGGTATCTGGGAGTATTCTCATCCCCTGTACAACGCCACCGCCATCAGGTCCCAGAAACTGTTGCCGCGCATTCAGAACACCAGGAACATCAGTTACTGTGGAGCTTGGACGAAATACGGCTTTCACGAGGATGGATTCAGCAGCGGTCTGTCAGTGGCTGTCGACCACTTGGGCGCTCGACCCCCCTTTGACTTCGTCGATTCGACATTTTCCAGAGGTTCGAGGCCTGCCTTGACGTGGAAGAACTACGTATCGAGATCGTTGATTTTGAGCGTACAGATAGCAATGTTGCTCGTTGGAAACGCATGTACCGCATTGGCCGCAATGCTCGACCGACGGATAGCTTCACGGCGAAAGACTGCTTGAGCAATCTTCAGCCAGCAGAGATCGAAAGATCTGCCACACGGCTCGTCAAGGCCGTGCTCTCTTGCTGGTCCCCATTGCTTATTTCGATAGCGTTGCGAGGTCGACTTTTGTTGAGACCCTCAAGTAAGGTACATGCTTTGCAGATCCTCTGGCTCGATAGGTAGCCACATTTTTCACACTGGCCCATGACTTGCTTGACGATCTTTCGACGCTGTCGCTTCGGTCGTCCATCGTGGGTGTTTGTGGCAGAAGACTTCGAGGTCCGCCGAGATACTTGAGCAGCCTCGGGGATTTTGATCTCGGTTTCTCTCTCGCCGGCCAACGTGTTCGCAACCAGTTGCTCCTCGATCTTTGCCATTGAGTCACCAGCTGCACCGCCAGATCCACAGCCATTCGTATCTTCCTCGGCATGCGCACCGCACGTTGCGGCGCTCCTGACTTCCGGGGGCACCAATGTGGCCATATCCTCTCCACTCCTGACAATGTCCAAGATGCTGCTGGGTCTGATTTTTTCCAAATCTTTGATCAACGTTCTTGCAGTGCCACGGAATGCCTCGGGTGAATAGATACATTCCGTGCTGAAGTAATCCAGCTTCTTGTGGTGGGCGTAGAGCACAATTTCCTTTTCGTACGCATACTTGAGTGGCTTGCTCCGTTTGATTTCGCTCGCTGCACTCGCCGTCAGAATAGACGTAGCTCGGGAGAGTCGAGGTAGATCGGCCCGCAAAAGATTCATCATGACAGTCTCCGCAACATCATCTGCGTTGTGCCCAGTAACGACATGCTTGATACCCAGTTTCGCGGCACCTCTATCCAGTGCCTGTCGTCGAAACACCCCACAATAGGTGCAATTGCCTTTCTTGCCCACTTGGGCCACGACTTGGTCCATGGTCCAGCCATAGAGTTGGTCATAGCCCACAATCTCGAGCGGCATGGCATATTGTTGTGCGTTCCTCTTGACGGTTTCTAGACTGTCGTCTCGATATCCTTTGATACCCTCATCGATGGATAAGAGAACAAGATCCAGACCGTAGTCGTGTCGCTCGTTCAAGGTCTTGAGGACCGAAGCGAGCACTGTCGAGTCTTTCCCCCCAGATGCACCAATCGCCACTCGCTCGCCACGGTAAAATAAATTATTACTCACGATGGTCTCGTGAATTTCCCTTTCGAAAACATTCAAGAAACACTGTTTGCAAATCTTCTGTGAGTTTTTGGGTCTGATGACGGCCGCTCGCGCGTCTTTACAGATCTCACATACGACTGGAGGCATCGCACCGTCGCAAGGATCTTGTCGTGGAATGCGAGAAAATTAATCGCCTGCAATCGACGGGCGGCGAGAAAAGATGTTGAAATTCCGAGTTTGAAGTGCATTTTGTACGGTGGAGTGTTACGTGGTTGATGCGCCACTGCACATGGAATTTGTTTGTCAACTTTTATACAAGGGTAGTTCTTGATCAAGCTAATCTATGCGCTCCTTCGTCGCTCGTTCGAATGCCTTCTACTTTGCAAGCGGAACTAAGGTTCACGCACATCATCGCCTCGAACTGCCGACAGTGTGCCCGCAGACAGTCGAGTCGAACTCGCTCCTTTCATACCACACCTCGCTTTCGTACTCCGCAGGAAGCTTCGAACAACCCAAGTCCTACAGGCGGTCGCGGAACCGACAACGACAAGAGCAATGAAGATGCACGTGCGGCGGCAATCAAGGGACGGGCTCTCTTGGAGGAGAAAAAGAAGTCCGTAGCACCTTCGATCCCGAGCGAACCGTCCAATTCGGAAAATGCTGTTCCTCCTTCTACACCGAACTATTATGGGTCAGCTTCCAGGCGACGAATGCGCAATCGAACGTCAGCCACAGGCGATACTTTCTCGACCCCGCAGTGGTTCGAACATAGTAATATCCATCTGTACGGAGAAGAACACTTAGCACAAGGCGCTCGCTCAAGGGTACAGAAAGTGGCTGCGGACCTGGTGACCGGCGAACCCTTGGACAGACACCTCTCTCCAAGCTCGGACGGAGCACCCCCTCGTCACCCTGGGGGAAGCGACAATCCTGTTGAACACCACGTTTCTCCGGACCACGACAAAACAATACAAACCGAGCCTTCAAAGGATCCCGACCATTCTTCGACCTTTCCCAGACCAGATGGACCCTTTCAAAAGAGATATTTCGTGTTAGACGAGCAGTATGAAGAAGTCATGCGAACTGCCAGAGGCCTCTTGCAACTGCCCGGGGCTCATTCTCGTATCCAAGAAAGTGAAGGGTTAAGAGAACATCTCCTGCTGCGGTACGCGGGCAAAGATGGTGACATTTTGCTAGAGCATGTTGTTGAAGATCTCGCACGGGACCTGGGCTGCGATCTTATGGTCCTGGATGCTCAGGACATTGCGAGCTTGATGGCACAAGCCTCTGTGGATCCTGGTGTTATCAGCTCCAGCCGCATGTTCAGTTACGATGTTTACAACGATGCATTCTCCGACCCATCTGCTGCAAAACGGCTCCGAGAATCCAAAGAAGAAGACGATGATTATGAGGAAGAGGAAATGGAGGTTGACGACTTGTCAGGCCCACCTAATTCGTCACCATTGGGAATGCCGGTGTTGATCGGCAAGCCTTTCCTTCCAGACCTCAAATCACTTTTCGGGAGTTCGGAGCGCAGATCAGGTGAAGGCATGTTTGGACGGCGATTGACGAAGATATTTTCAGACGGACCAGGCTCGCCCGGGGGCAGCTGGTCGAAGCAAGGTCTGAAGACTGGCAGACTCCGTGAAACGCCACAAATCTTCCCATCCCTTCTGGCCAGTCTCTCGGAGCGGCAAAAGCTCCTGGCAGGTCAGGATTGTCCACAGAATGGTGATGGGAGTGAGCGAAAGACACCTCTACAAGAGGCTCGTGAAGCTGTGGCAAAACAAAACGGACTTCCTAAGAACGCTATAATAATTCACGTCAAGGATCTTGAATCTATTCAGGAGACTTCATTAGGGCTTGGATTCCTACACGAACTGTACAAGGATATTTCTCGACAGAGAAAACTAGGCTCACCTCTGCTTCTCGTCGGGACTGACACCCTAAGGGAAGATTCGGATCCATTGACGAAAGAGGGTATCAAGACGTTTCAACTTGGCGATCGAGATGAAATATCTCATAATATCGTTATCACTCCAGTATTACCGAACACGACATCCAAGCTCGCACTTCTTCACGACCGGAAACAACGAATCGCAACGATCAACATGAGACATTTGTGGGATTTGATGCGAAGGCAAAAACCGGCCGTCTTCGCTCACCTGGAACCCGGATTCTGGCGACGTGACTTTTTCAACCATCTTGCTCGTAGCGACAGATCGTATTTGGAAGCTCAGATCTGGAGTTACTCGTATGTGCAAAGGCTGGCGACGTATATTGCCGGCGCTGCTCCTCCAATTCAAGACATCCCTGGTATCACCGACAAGGCAGAATTGCAGGAATCCCTTGCTGCGGTTCAAGGTCTCTCTGAGCCTGTCATCAGTGCCGCAATAGCCCACTTGAACCACAGTGACAAGACCAAGATGAGATGGGCGGAGAAGAACAGCGCTGAACTCAAGCTGGAATTTGCCGGCCGAACAGGTTCCTTTTCCTCTGCTCCTCCCAGAGAAGACTCACGACTCGCCTCGATCCGAGCGACAGCTTCAAAATATGAGAAACGACTTATGGGCGGTATCATCGAAGCCAAAAACATCGCCACGACGTTCAACGACGTTCACATGCCTATAGAGACGATTGATACTCTCCAAACTTTGACCACCTTATCCTTGGTCAGACCCGATGCGTTCAAATATGGTGTCCTAGCCTCGGACAAGATTCCGGGTCTGCTACTCTACGGACCACCTGGTACAGGTAAGACTTTGGCGGCCAAGGCAGTGGCCAAGGAATCGGGTGCGACGATGCTAGAGGTTAGTGCGGCAGATATAAACGATATGTACGTGGGAGAAGGTGAAAAGAATGTCAAGGCTCTTTTCAGCTTGGCCAAGAAGCTTTCACCGTGTGTGGTATTCCTGGACGAAGCCGATGCCATGTTCAGCGCACGGAGTAATCAGGGCCGGCGCGTCAGCCACCGTGAACTTCTCAACCAATTTCTGAAAGAGTGGGACGGCATGAGCAATGACTCTGGTAGTGCTTTCATCATGGTTGCGACCAATCGACCCATGGACCTGGACGATGCCGTACTGCGTCGTCTCCCTCGTCGCTTGCTGGTCGATCTACCCACCGAACCGGACCGACTGCAGATTCTCAAGATCCATCTTCGACACGAACAGCTGGCAGACGACGTCGACGTGGCCGACCTCGCCAAACGGACGCCTTTCTACTCGGGCTCGGATTTGAAGAACGTGGCCGTTGCCGCCGCCTTGAACTGCGTCCGTGAAGAGAACGAAATTGCAAAATTACATCAGGGAGAGGAACCATATCAACATGCCGAACGACGGACCTTGGCCAAGAAACATTTCGACAAGGCCCTTGAAGATATCTCTGCCAGTATCTCGGAGGACATGAGCTCGCTGAGAGACATCAAGAAATTCGACGAGCAGTTTGGCGACAAGCGTGGGAAGAAAAAGAAGATACCTAAGCTCGGGTTTCCCACCAGGGATGACGAAGGCAGTCGTGATACGAGAAAGGTCAGAGAATAAAGTTGTCGTGGAAAGCTCGTCACAAGTCATGAGAGTGTTTTCTTTTTTACTTTTCTTTTTTTTTTGTGAGACAAAAAGAAGGAAAAATGTCCCTTGCAACTGCAGTACATATGTAGGTATTTGGCAGTGGTTGAGGAGAGCACTTATGAAGAAAAGATGCCTATACAAAGTAGACTATGACACTGTAAAATAGCGATAAATTTTTTGTGGCTCCGTTTTCAATTACGGGTACTTTTTAAACAAGAGAATATCATAATCACCTTGGTACGTTCAAGGTAGTAGAACGATCCTGGATCTCTCTATATATCAAGGAGTATAGCGGCTTCCCTTTGTACAGCAAAAGACGGGGAGGGGAACAAAAAATTTGGCAAACTCTCTCTTTTTAAACGTTGGATGGTAGATTTATACATGTATTTGGTGGGTTAAGGGGAAAGGGGGAGGAGGTTATCATGTGAATTACGTTCAAGCTCACGGTTTATACTAAAGGAGTACGTACTCCTTCGGCTCATCTTGTTAGAATGTACACGGTACGCTTTGGATCTACTACAGTATCATTGTGTTGTGTGTGTGTGAGACAACGAATCCCTTCTCCCCCCCCCTCCCCCGGCCCCCTGCCCCCCTCGAAGAAATCCGACTTAGACCTTTTGCTCCGGCTTGACATTTTCAACCTGCGAAACCTCGACTTGTTGAACCTTTTCTTGAACGGCGGAAAGGTCAATGTGGGCGACTTCGGCGTCCTCGCCGTCAAAGATCTTGGCCACCTCTTCGAGAGTGACGCCGCGAGTTTCGACGAAGAAGAGGGCGACGAAGACGAGTTCGAAGAAGAGCCAGCCCTGTCGGGTACAATCAACACGTCAGTCCTTTTTTGTACAAAACGGCACCCACAGCCCCTGGACAAAGGACCAAGAGACTGAGCAGTCGGGGGGGGGGCGGGGGGGCACTCACGCAGTAGATGGAATAGAATCTCCAACGAGGTTGCAAGTGTGCAAGTCCGATGGGATTGATGTACCTGTGTGAGACGTCAGTATGAAAATCCGACGGCGCCGTAGACGTCCGAGGTGTGCGTCGCCCTTACTGGTTGAACACGAGAGCTGCCTGGACGAAAAAATTCATCAACATCAAGCCCTTCGCACGTAGCTTGTACGGCATGATTTCGACCGTGTAGCCGACCAGCAAACCCGACCAGGCGATGTTGTAAAAGGCGCCGTGCAGGAATATGAAGAAGATGACCGTCTTTCCGGCGGCAAGGTTGTCGTGGAGGTCGTACAGCGCAGAGCAGACCGTCCAGAGCACGAAGGAGATGAACATTCCTGTATACCACGGGATGAGCATTCACCGCGTTTGATATTGGGGCCTCCCGAAAGATCCCAACTCACCCAGTGTTGCGCTGAAGAACAACGGCCTCCTCCCGACCTTGTCAACCACTGCTGCGGCGATCAAGCCGACGACGAGCTACACATACATGTTAACTGCCTTTTCTTTTTCTGCGTACGGCCGTTGGTTTCTCGGCTACTTACTGAGACGATTGTCTTGCAACCGTTGATCTTGAACTGCTCCTGCTTGTCCGTGATCCCGATACTGTTCATCACAAGCGAGAAATAGTACGAGGTCAACCCGTTCCCACTCCACTGCGAGAACAGACCAAGAGCGACGACGAGCAACAGCCGGTACCGGTTCCCCTTTGTCCTAAGAAAGTCGACATAGGTGCTTGACTTTTTGGCGTGCAATTCCAGGTACAGGGTTTCCCTGATCTCTCGAAATTCAAACTGCACAGTCAGGTCTGTCTCGTCGCCGTTGGCATGATACTTTGCCAGGGTGGTCAGGGCTTCTGCATGACGGTCCTTGGAGATCAACCATCTCGGGGACTCTGGGATCATCCAGATGGCAATGAAAACGATGAGGGTCGGAAAAGCCTGGAAGATCGAAGGGATGCGCCACGACCAGTTGTTCTTGATCGTGAAGGTGCCGAAGGTGATCCATGTCGCGGCGATGCTACCAATATCCCAGAGCTGGTTGTACACAGTCGTGATCCTACCTCGATGCTGGGGATGGGCGAGTTCGGTGAGCAGCAAGGGTGCAGAGTTCGAACACATGCTGTTTCCGAAACCGACGAAGAAGCGACCGGCGATGAACATGGAGAAGTTTTGCGACGCGCTCTGTATTGCCACCCCGATTAACAGGAAAACACAACCTGCCATGATGGCGATCCGGCGGCCGAAGTTGTCAGAGAGGTATGGTCTATTGTTTGTGCCGGTCAGTATACTGCCCGACACATGTGTGCTGGGGGAAAGAAAGACGTGAACCTACGCAAAGGGCAAGCCTGCCAAACTTCCAATGCTGTAGATGGACCCAAACAGGCCCAAGATCGAGCCGGTAGGGTGGTCGAAGTAGTCCTGCCAGACATCGAGGATCTGCAAGCCATTCAACATCGATCTGGAAAGCCATCAGTCTACACCTCAACACGGACAGGACACGGCAACACAGACCCGTCATAACCTGTTGTCGCCGATGCAAAGAACAACGCGATCACCAACGCATAGAGCTTTCTCAGTCCGGCATCCTTGTACCAGACCACCCTGCGCAGCTCGGGGGCTTCGGCGACGGCGATTTCTCGCTCCACCTGGTGAACTGGATGGACCGTTGCAATACCAACCATTGTGTCCCGGTCTTTTATTTCTCTTCCAAGGTCTCCTGTCTGGATGGAAGTATATCAGACTCTTCACATCTCGGAGACAAGTCCAACCTTTGTACCATTCTCTATACCCCAGGGTGGACAATATTGCCTGGGAGAGGTACCCACTACATGTGGCACGAGACAAGACCTGATTGGCCTCGCGATCGAACATCATGTCGAGTCAAGCAAGCTGCTGCAGGTCATGGATCATTTTCCAGAATCGGTAGAGCTGAACCCTCAATAAATTCAGCCGCAGCCGGATAATAGGAGAGTGCCCCGAGAGCCCCCAGGATTGTTCTTCTAGCGATGGAGATGAGGCACCTTACCCCAAACAAGGGTCCCAAAAACGCCACAACACAAACAATGACTGCGTATTCGTCGAATCAGAGGATCCTCTCAATGTTAAGAAAACGATTCGGTTATGCGGCACGGCAACCTGCAAACATGTCTTTATATGTATAGGCTATCCGACCACATGAACAGTTCACACCTCCAGAGCATCTTGCCCTCGGGGGACTTGATTGATTGACCATGCCAAGTTCTGGCGTTGGAATTGGTAAGAGACCAGGTTTTCTATGGGACCATTTGCGGCGTGACCATGGTCCAGGTGACTCCCTGAGATGAACAGAGTACGTTTGAAGGGGTGGAGTGCTCATGGTGAGCTAGAGTAAAACGGTGCACTTTTGCCCGTGGGGTTTCTGTTGTTTCCAGGTACTCCAGCTTTGGTATATGTCTCCACCGCCAGAACCGTTAGGACCTGAACTGGGGCGGAAGCACACTGGGAGCCTATAGCTTTTTGATACCAGGAGGGTCAAGTTAGCCAAGACTCCATCATAGGTATAGCTCAAAGGCTATGGGCAGTGTGAATCCAGAAGAATAAAGACATAGTCAGTAGTCAGGGTCAATACCAAACTCAAACTCTCGTTACTTCTGCCGAGATAGCTTGTCTGGCTGACTGAATTGGTTTCATTGACGTGCCAGTTCGTATCCGCAGCCTTCTGTCATTCAGCCGGACGGAGGCAAGGCCGAGATATTTCATCGCTATACTCTGCGAGACCTTGAGATTCTGAGCTTTGGGTCCCGACATGTCATGCCATATTCTATATTGTTGAAATGGTATCCGGCTAAATTGGTTATATTATCGGTGTTGGGGATCGATCGGCAACAATAAATCCGGGGCAAAACCATATTGACCAGGTAGCCGCGAAAACATTTCCACTGGTCATCAGACTTGCCGTTCTTGGAAAGCAGTCCTATATCAATATTCTGAGCTCGAGGAATACATTTGTGAGAAATCTCACTCAGAAGGAGAAATACCAACATCATCTCAAATCGACAGTACCGGATAACTGTTCACTGACCACCGACCCACAATGGAAGGCAGACAGTTCAAGCATCTTACTCCTGAACAAGTGGACTCGTTTATGAAATATGGCTTCCTTCGTGTTCCTGGGTGCTTCACTCGCGAAGCTGCCGAGGAGTGGACCAAGGACGTCTGGACGCGCCTAGGATTCGATCCCCAGAACCCCGAGACCTGGACCACAGAGCGAACGAACATGCCCTCGCACAACTCAGTCGCCATCAAAGATTTTGCACCGAAAGCCTTCGATGCTATTTGTGAGCTCGTCGGTGGCGAGGACAAAATCACGGAACCTTCCAAAATCTGGCGCGATGCCTTTATCGTAAATCTGGGCACAAAGGAGAACGAGGGCAAGGTAACTCACCCCAAAGACCTCAAAGGCTGGCATGTCGACGGCGACTTTTTCGTTCATTTTCTGGACTCCCCTGAGCAAGGTCTCCTGGTCATCCCGCTGTTCACAGATATTCTCCCCAACGGTGGCGGCACGTGGGTATGCTCAGAAGGTGTCGGAAAAATCGCAAGGCATCTGCACGACCATCCCAAGGGCGTCTTTCCAAGGATGACACCGGTGGGAGGAACGGAAAACTTCGAGAATGGGCTGGACTTCTACTCCAAGCTTGTCCAAGGCTGTGCGGATGAGAACTTTCACGAGATGACTGGGAACGTCGGGGATGTCATTCTCCTGCATCCATTGATGGTCCATTCGGCTTCCACGAATGGCCGGCGCCTGCCTCGAATCATCACCAACCCACCAGTGTCATTGGTGAAGCCATTTGAATTTGACAGAAGTGAAGAGAGCGAGTACAGCCTGGTAGAATTGAAGACGATACAAGAAGTAGGTGGTCGAGAGAAGCTTCGAGGCTGGAAGATGCAGGGTAAGAGGGAGGAAGTGGTACCAGAGCGAGTCAAACGTCAAGCAAGGATGCTGGAGGAAGAAAAACAGCGGATGCAGCAGAAGAAGACTTCAGTCAATGCCCCCGCCCAGCAGAGTGTCGCCGTTGCTTAGGAGTATTTGGCGGACTGCTTTCGCGTCGAGGCAAATTACTACCCGTGCATGTTGAACCTACTCAGCTCCTAATTGATATTATCCATCGAAGGTCGAGGGGGCTTCAGCGTAAATAGTTGGCGAATAATACTCTGTATAAGTCCAATATTTTGGACTTGGGCACCGAAATGAAAGAGAGTGATTGTGGCAATAGTTCCACTAATGTTTCGCAGTAGAGAACGGCGGATCAAGAGAACGCCAGTCGCAATAGAGTACTCATCATCGACTGCACTTCGTTTGGCTTCTGATTACCTGCGCACGACCAACGACGCTGTCCTCTCTGTTGTCTATTCCCCAAAGGCGTCCAATCCCCCTTCCGCCCACAGTATGCAGATGGCAAGTCTGTTTTGCTATCTCGCGACTGTCCCAGGGTAGAAATCACCCATGTCCAGCTCCCTCAAAGTCCCGACCTCCACCAACACGCCTTCCTTCAACGAGGACAATGATCTTGACCTGACCATCCGTTTCTCTGCCTCGCTTGCCGATCTCCTCCTCACGCTCCCGGGATCCCTGAGTGCCAACACCGCCACCCTCAAACAACTCATCCGCAGTCGCCTCCCCAATGAATACGCCAAACACCGCATCCGGCTTATCTACGCGGGCAAGGCCCTCGTGGATGATGTCCCGCTCGCGGCATCACTGAAGCGCACCGTCTCCCGGCCTCCAAGTCGCATAAGTACGCCGGGGCCGTATGATGACTCTAATGGCGGCGCCAAGAACAAGGGAAAACTCGCCGTACGCGACCAGCCCAACCAGGCACGGATCTATATTCATTGCTCGATTGGGGATCTTGTGCTGTCGGCAGCCGAACTTGCGGAGGAGGCCGCAACGTCTCAAAATGCCACGACAGAATCGGAAGCAGCTGATGGTAGTGCTGCTCCTGCTGCATCCGGACAGCAACATCAGGATCAGCAGGGACAGCAGACAACTACAACGCCCATCCCGAGAGGGTTTGAGAGACTATTGAATGCAGGGTTCACTGCTGCCGAGGTCCAATCGCTGCGCCTCCAGTTCCTGGCCATTCAGGCACATACGCACACCCCAGACACCATGCCTTCGCCGAACACCTTGCGGGATATGGAGGACAGGTGGCTCGATAATTCGAATGCAGGTGGCGAGGCAGGCACTTTGAGCGATGGCATGGGAGGTGGCATGCCGACTGAGGATGACGGGCAGGTTGGTGCGTTGGATGATATGATCTTTGGCACCGCCATGGGTTTCTTTTGGCCCATCGGCTGCCTCATGTGGGGTGTAAGGGAGGAAGGGATATGGAGTCAGCGGCGCAAGATGGCTGTGGTGGTCGGATTCCTCCTCAACGTAGGCCTTGGTCTCATCAGGTATACAGGTTAGAAGCCTATTGTTTGAAAAGCGCTATGGATCACCGTTGCGTTTTTTTGGCAACATATACGTTGTATTCCCCAAGCCGGACACTTTGCATCCATCTGCTCTGTCGCAGAATCAATACATCTGGAACGCTACACATCGAAGCGTGAACTCCCATCCCTCTGTACAATTGCAGAATTAATAGATCTTTTCCAAAAACGCCAGCCCGACAAAATGACCATTCAATATCTGGTGTCGCCTTTCACCTGAACTTGCTGTAAATCACGCCAATAATCAAAAGTACCAAAACCGTGATAATGGCGATGGTGATCATCCGATTGGTAGCCATCCTGTAGTTCACGGTTAGCATGATAAGTTCTTGCTCATTTGCCACATGCCATATATCAAAGAGTCTCACCTACGCGCCATCCCCCTCAACGTCTTGACACTTCGATCGACGTATCCCTCGCTCTGTAGGAGATTTTGATGTGTATTTTCAATCACATTCCTCTGCTGGTGCAGGTCGGCCAACGTCGATGCGCCAATCTGTTCCGTTTCAAGGGCGACGCGTTGACTCTCCCGCAATCGGTCGCTACTCCGGCCAAGTCGCTCAGTGCCGGACAAAAGTTGTTGGCGCTGCTCGAGTTGCAGGTCACGCGGGCCTGCTTCTGGGTCATCCGTGTATCGATCTCCAAAGAGTTGTTTGCGGTCCGAGTCCGCCAGTGATTTCAGCTTGCGGGTCAAGCTGTCGACGTCGGACTGGTGGTTGCGGAAACGGGTGTTTACTTTGGACCGAGCGGACGTGGGGATGTTCGATTTTTCAAGCGTCATTTGGTCCAGCTAGTTCATCGTAGCGTTAGCATGTTTGATGTTGTGTCTGGAGTCAGGCAGAGTAAACCCGTACCAGTTCCTTTGCTTCGTCAATCGCTCTTTCTGCGCCACGGATGGCGGCTTTACGCTCTTCGCCGGAAATTTCTGGGATCTGGTCGAGCTTCTGGGTTATGTCCGCTTCGACAAGTTTCAATTCGGCCTCATACGTGCTGAAGAGCTCGGAGCCTGCGTCTGTATCTAGTGGATTCGACATGTTTGCGGCTCAGGAGACCGTATTCGATGATGCCTAGTGGGATCGGAAGGAGTGTGTCGTCGACTCGTCGAGAGGAAAGGGGACAGGACCGATATCGTGGGTGCGATAATGACGAATGTTTCAGTTGTAGCTTGTAAAGGGTATTTTGGCGACTTCGCAGAGCGTCTGTGTAGATGTATTAGTACTCAGAACTGAGCGCAATTAGAACGACGATGTCATGCAGGGTGGTTGGGTTTGAGGAACGACTGCGGCGATAGCCGATAACGTCTCATAGTCTCACCGATTTCAAGCTAATCCAAATAAGGCTAGAACGAGATTCACATATGAACCAGGCTCGTTTGAGCGCTCAAACCTACCTATATTTGTATATCCAACTCCTTGACGACATGGTACTAGCTGGCACGGAACACATCTGCGTCTTTGATGCTATCTATTCTTCCTCCTAGTACCGCACCCTGTTGACGCTGTTACTCTCTTCCCATTGCCACAGGGTACTCCTCAGCGTCGCTGCTATGAGAGAAGTAACACGTGCCCCTGCGGTGCCAAACAAACAATTATCCAGAAGCAATAAGCCAGACTTGGACTACTGGCCCGATATTGGGAACAAATACCCGATTCCAGGATGCCTGCGCGACATTGACTTCATTGTCGGGGGCCATCCAATGCCAACTTACTCCTATAGACGATCCTTTCGTCTTTGGAGATGCTTGCACATGGAGACCATGAACATATGGACTCACCTTCTCGGGAAGCGACCAGTTCGCTGTTGCCCTCTCAACCGCTGCAGCAGCCGTCTTTTTCGGACTAAGTGCCACATTTCACTCGCTTAGAAGTCATTCATACAAGGTTCGTCACTTTTGGGGGAAGATGGACATTTTGGGAATCTGTATCTTGGCTGTCGGTGCCGGGACATCAGCAACATACTATGCTTGCTATTGTGATGCAATCACCCGATTCAACTACTGGGCACTCAACCTGGGGGCTGGAGCGGCTGCCGCTGCCACACTCTTCGATACTGGTGGTGGCGGCAGCAAGATACGAGCTCTTCGTGGTGGCGTGTTCAGCATCCTTGCAATCTCGGCAATGCTCCCTATCTTGCAGCGCAGTTACTCGTTGGGCTGGCGTCAGTCATATCATGAGGTAGGATCTCAATGGTATCTTGCCGAGGCGCTGTCTCTATTGACTGGTGTTGGGTTGTTTGTTGCCAGCATTCCCGAAAGGCTACGTCCTGGCTCTTTTGATATCTGGGGACACTCTCACCAATTGTTCCACCTTTTCGCCCTGGCAGGCGCTGCCTTCCACCTTGTTGCTTTGATCACAGGATACAAGTACCGGCAAGCACACCTCATTGTTGATCTTCTTCAGTTTCGCTCTCGCCTTGAAGGGGGTCGGCTTGCGTGATTGGCTGTTATTCCGAGGCGAAGAGGACACAGTCACAGACGTCCTGCCTGTGTTACGTTAAAACGAGACATACATGACCTGAGGCTGCAAACGCAATGGTGAAACATGTCTTCAATATATCAGCACGTACTCCGACACATGCTACAAATACGCACACCGGCCCCGTCCTCTTTTTTTCTCGTTCTACTGATAGCAGTGGCTACCGGGTGGGTGTCCGGGCGCGACAGGAGAGGCACGATGGATATAATTTGGGGGTCTTTTCTCACTTTTCTCCTTTGTACGTGGACTTCTGTGTGCCTGAAGATTCCGCACCCCAAAGACAGCCAGCTTCAGCTTCTGGGAAGGAAGGCGAGATGGATGTTCCGGGCCATTGTAGGTCCTGAGCCCGTCCTGTCTGTGGCGATTGGTCAACATGCCTCTGCCCGGCGATCAGTCAAGCGATTCCATGATCGCGGGCACTCACAATGGACTCTCCGGCACGCCCTCTTCGCTGCTATGGGTCTCGAAATATACACTCTGAAACCCTCGATATTGGATCATGAAAACAGCCCCCCTTCGTCCGGATTCGGTAGGTGACCTACTCTATTCTGCAACTATGACGTTGTGCCACGAGAATAACTCAGCGAATCGGCATACCTGCCAAAAGGATATTATGGGTCTGCTTCTGTTATGCTCTAATATATTTTTCCTCATGCAGAGCAGTGTCTCCTCAAATCAATCTTTCAAAAAGATGTAAAAAAAACAATCAACAGTGTGGATTCGCTGATGGTCACCCACTCAACTACTGACACACCGGCACGAGGCTTAAGTACGGCTGAGCGAACGGGAAGCCCTGTTCTCCTCGTCCTATGGTCGATTGCGACATTGAATTTAACACGTTGATAATATATTCCCATTGATTTTATTTCGGAGTCAGTATCGTCTCGGAGATATGCCTTTTTCTCTCTGTAGCCTCTCGCCCATGTCAGAATCTCGCGATTCTTTAGTCTCTACTCCAATCTGGCTCGCCACTCTTTTCGCGAATGCTCTTTCCCTGCCACATGAGCATCATGATGCACAGAGGAAAGAAGAAGACGATCAGAGCCGCAAAGACGCCGAACGTGGCGCTGAAACCGACTTGTCTCAGCATGGGTGGCACGAAAAAGGGCGCCGTGTATGACAACAGGTTTCTGCTGAGATTGAAGACGAGACTGGCCTCGGCTCCTTGGCGAGGATATGATTCCAAGAGGTATGTTTGGCTGTGGGTGTGTGGGAGCTCGTCAGCTTTTTACTGTGTTTCGAAAAGAGAAAAAAGAGCCTGCGGCAAAACTCGCAGAAAGGGCACTTACATGACAGTTGTGGCTATCTCGACGCCAAAGATATAGAATCCCTGACCGACCAATGGCGTCACCCAGCTGTCACCGAATTGAATCGAGATTCCGAACATGAGCAGTCCGCCCGGAGCCGTGATCAGTGCTGGCCATATGGCTCTCAATCGTCTTTCCGGTCTCCATTCTTTGCCATCTCTCAAGCACTTCCTCGCAATGTAGTCGATCGCCGGTCCTGCGTAGGCTTCCCCCACCAAGGCACCGATCAGGCCGGAGAAGGCGGTCAGCCCCACGTCAAGTACGTTGAAATGGAAGGGTGGCCCTTGGAAGATCAGCGGGATCTGAGCCGTGATACCGACGTGCATCATGTACGTCACGCCGAACCAGAATGAAGCCATGGCGACGGCTGGGTAGGTGAACATGACAAAGGGACGGGTGAAAATGAAGAAGAAGCTGTGTTGTTTGCTGGCGTCCCGCTTCGGTCGATGAATGCCGTACCTGGCCCACAGACCTGGTTTCTCAGCGACGTTGTCCCGGCCCGTTTCGAGCGAGGAGGAGTTGGACTCAAGTCGGTCACGAATAAATATGGTTTCCGGAAGAAAGACAATCTGCATCAGCAGTCCAGTTGCGATCAAGATGAGTGATATCCACTGGGACCATCTCCAGCCCAGGCTCTTGTTGTTGATAATGGCGCCTCCGACGATACCGCCGGCGAAAGGGGAGACGACGATTGCGAGTGTCGAGATTCCCACCATCTTGCCCTTTTCGTGTCGAAAGAACTGGGCACACACTGGTCAGCTTGCCTTTTTTTTTGACTTCAAAACATATGGGGGGTTGCGCGAGTATTTACAATGTCACCGATACTAGCAGGACCCAATGTCCAGAAAGCAGATCCACCCAGGCCTTGAATGACTCTTCCAACCATGCATGCACCGTAGCTTTGAGCACTTGCGACCACGATTGATCCCACGATGGCAATGACATTCGACATCAACAGAACAGGCCTTCGGCCGATAAAATGGCTCAAAGGACTCCACAAGAAGGGTCCGACCGCGTACAGAGCCACAGGTGTGTTTCCAAGGTACACAGCGATGTCTTTTGTGGTGCCGTACGTTTCTGCCAGCTCCAAGGTACCGGGAACGAGGGATGTCACTGCCATATAGCAGACGAATGCCAGGTAAGATATCGTGATCATGGCCATGTATTTGCGGAAATACGACCTGCGGTGGGGGGAGAAATCCTTCAGTGTCTGCCGTGTCACTCTCCTAGAACGGAAGCCCTTACCAGTTTAATGGGTCTGTTGGATCGTCGGATGGTTGTGGCATCAAGACTATACCGTTACGCATTTTGAGATTTTCTTCGCCGCCACCGGAGGGGTCATCTTTGGCGTCTGCCAATGCACCTTTTGTTGTACGCCGCATCTCGCCTTCTTTTACTGTGTTAGTCACCCTGTCGCAGAAATGTTGGGCAGAGAGTTCGGTCCGCGCATACCAAAATGAGCTAAATCGGTCTTTGATACCATCTTTCCCTCCTGGATTTTCGAGATTCTCGAAACAGCCTTTACTCCGTACGGGCTCAAAATATATACTCATCAAAAGGTGTGTTTGGATTTACTCGCAGGGGTACTTATACCACCCATGCTCCTGGGGCGCGGTCCCAGATCTTGATCCACCCCCCAATTTTTCTCCATAGTCGTCTTCTCTTGCGAATGCAAGCTTAGTCCCTAACAGACGATACATGCAGTACAGACAGTACAAAAAGTGCAATTCGTCACGGATGCAGACATCCTCTGGACGCCCCATCCCCAATCGTATGGGGTATAGTACTCTCCACTTTTGATGCCGTACATTCAAACTTGTACTTACTGTGCAGACCCTGAGAAACCGATTCAACAGAATGTTGTTAACAGTGAAATGGATATCTTGATTGGGATATGTGATTGATTGGGGTCGTTTTCTATCGGGTGCATGCAACCGATGATCGAACATGTATGCATGCACCCCACGAGCGTCGGCTGTTGTTGTAACAAGTATTTCTTGGAGATCAAACGACCCCGGTGATGTTTGTCAATGCCACGCGAGCCGGGGTTGAATCCTGGGCGAAGAAGCCAGTCCTTGTGATACATGTTTCGACTATCTTACCCGCAAGGTCACGCAACACTTCTTTTACGACGATACAGGAGCAGAGGTTCAAGTTGACGCCGTTGGATAGCAACAAAGCAATGCCTGGATCATTGCCCTCAGAAGTACCGAGTCGCTCTCTAGCGGCGATTCAGGACGCCTCTACCGACAAAATTTCGACCCGGGAGAGAGAAACGCCTACACCAGAATCGACCCAAGTTCTTGTGAGGATCAGTTGTACGGGAGTCTGCGCCTCGGATTTACATCTCAGCAGGAGGGACCTCCCGTACCTACAGCCCACGGTGTCGATCGGTGGCCACGAAGGGGTTGGAAACATTGTCGGTTTGGGCGGCGAAGTCGACGAGAGAGTCTGGAAAGTCGGCGACCGAGTCGCTGTTCGATGGCTACACCGAGTTTGTTTGGAGTGTGACCTGTGTACGACCGGGGGGCACGAAAACCTCTGTCCAAACAGAAAAATCAGCGGGAAAGACGTCGAGGGTTGTTTTGCTCAATACGCCCTGGCCGATTCGAAGTACCTCGTGCGTATCCCGGATGAGATCAGCGACGACGCTGACGCCGCTCCCATCCTGTGCGCGGGAGTGACGGTCTATAAAGCACTGAAGATTGCAAACCTAGGAAAAGGGTCGTGGGTGGCCATCGCCGGGGCTGGAGGAGGGTTGGGTCATCTTGCGATTCAATATGCAACGGCCATGGGTCTGAGACCTATTGGTCTGGACGCCGGCAAAAAGGAGATTTGTTTATCTCTAGGTGCCGAGGGGTACGTCGACGTTTTGGAGTGCAAAGACAGCGTCGCCGAGGTTCAAAGATTGACTGGGGGAAAAGGTGCCTCTGGGGCATTGATATGCGCGTCCAATGGAAAAGCCTACGCCGATGCTGTCAAATACCTGGCAAAAGCTGGGACGATGGTGTGTATAGGTCTACCACCCAAACCGTCACCTATCCCAGTCTTGCCCGAGGACTTTATCGCGAGGGGAATCAAAATCATGGGCACATCCACGGGTACTTTGAAAGACACCGAAGAGGCCTTGGACTACGTGGCTCGAGGACTCGTCAGACCGAGATTGGTTGAAAAGTCCTTGGACGATATTGAGAGTGTCTTGGAAGATATCGAACGTGCCAAAGTAGAGGGAAGGGTGGTTATTAGAATGGTACATTGAAGAGGCCAATATCACCTTGAGGTCTACTAGCTCAGTAGTACTCAGTCAACATACCTACATACATATATATGTGGCGACATTGATCCATCACAAACCAACCCTTCAATTTACCACAATTCGTGGGTTTGGCAATGGTTTTTCTTCTCTTAGAGATGTACTGCGAGCACCCCCCTTTTTTCCCCTCTCTTTCTTAAAAAAAAAGGACTTACCTACCCAGATCTTACTTTACATGCAGAGTACGGGTACTGTGTACATACGCGCGGAGATAGGGAGTAAGAAACCAGAACAAAGTAGAATGGGCGCTCGGGTGCATGTCTCCGGCACGCCATCAAACAAAGTCGGGAATGTACAATGCAGATCACAATCCCTGAAAATGGGAACAAAGAATCGGTCCGGTCTCCGATAACTCGTGACGAGTACGAGCAGTATGTGGCGAGTCATACCCGTCATATCGGGGGTTGTCCAAGCTTACCAACAAGACTACCCCTACGCCGGCAAGGTAGGTTGGTATTCGAGACTCGACCTGGTTCAGCGGAAAGCATTTCAAAAAATGACACCCCATCAACTAAACAACCCATGTGGCTTCTCACTTTCACACCTGCCCTGATCAATATTGGATGCGGCTCCATTTAGTAGAGAGAGGCAACCAGAAATGGGTCTCGGCGGTTCGAGATGACCGCTGGTGCTATTGAACGACTCGTTACGATGTGCCTCTACAATACTCCCAAACATACAATACATTCAGGACATGTACAAGCTCCGCGGTCATCAACTCTTTACCAAGACGGAAGGATTGACTTGGCTTCACGGATTTGCCAAAAGCTTGTTTGTACCGCGTTCTAACCTTATCATTAAACGTTGGTGGCGTTTCCCCCGAGTATGATGAATGTACAACGGGATACGAGTAATACAGTAAAACGTCAAAGCTTTGGGTACATTACATGCCGCATTCGACCTGATGTTTTAGGTATGCAGGGCATGCTTTGTGATGGAATGCTACCAATGAGATTGACCTGACCTATACACATTCGGGAGCAGCTTGAATTGTTCCTTGTCTGAAAATGCTCCAGACCGAGCGACTCAAAGATCTTACTCGAAATAAGTACACGACGTCCAAAGCCAGACTGCGGTTGTAGAATTCGCTACACCCCTTCACACCATCTATTATCGACACCGTGATCTACAGTCAATTAGTTCGTCATGCTTGCAAACCGAATTCCACCACCACCAACACGACGGGTCAAGCCTAGACTCTCCCCCGATAAAATCAATAAACAATTCATCGTAATCCCTTTCACTACCCGCGACAGCCGCTTCGTCCTCTGGTACTATTTCACCACGAACCTCGATTTCCAGTCAATTGCCATTGCCAGGAACGCCACTTTCTGCAATAATCAACAGCAGTTGATGACTGCGCGGCAGGCAAGAAATATCGTCAACAAAATCGTGCGTCAGCGATTACCGACCTTCAAAGGCGAATTGGCTCCCGACGGTCACTTTCCCAGACCAATAGGATTTGGCTGGGCTCCTTGTGACCATGGAATGTGCTGTTCCAAATTGGCAGAAACCGGAGGAAAACCGTCAATCGTTCGAAGTCTCAGGCGACAGGCGAAGAATGAGCATGACAATGGAAGCATCGCGACCACAATATGGCATGGCACCTGGGATGAACTTCTGGCATGCCCAAGAGATCACAGTGCCGCAACTGATAAAGAGCAAGGCAACTCCAGATCAACACAGCCTGAGGAATGTCTAAGCTCTTCTTCAATCTCCTCGTACTCCTTGCGGTACCGCTTTCGGAAACTTCACAATCGCCGGAAGCTTTAAATGCAATGTTTGAGCAGTTGGCACGGTGGAGGACGTTGTATGTTCACGTCCACCGCTAGGAAGGTGCCATGAAAAGTGTAGGCCCTCTGGACAGGTTGCAGAAATGATTTGGACACCTGCGATGCACAAATCACTCCTTCGCGGTTCTCTGCCATAAGCAAATACCTGTCGGATTTGGCTCGCACAGAGCGCGAACTGATTGCTGAGTTCGAATCTCATGATGAGCCCCACCAGCGTGTCTTACCTCTTACACCACCAGTCTCGTAAGCCGACTCCTCCTCCACGAACTTGAGCCTTTCGACGACTTGACGAGCCCTGAAACTTTTGACAAACTTCCAAGCTTCAGTATCTGCCAAATTCCAGGCTTCAGCAACCCTTCGAATCTCGAGCAAATTCTCATCCTTGCTGCGGATCGTCTTCGCAGCCTTGAGCAAAAGATCCACTTCAATGGCCGCCTGTTCTTCTGATGGTGGATCGGGGTCAGAACCCTTCTTCCGTTCTGCAGGCAGTCCAGCCGGAGACTTGGCCCAACGTTCGGGTCCAGGAACTGGAGGAAGAGATTCACCATGAGAAACAGTCGTCCTTGGAATTGGAAATCCAAAGTGCCAGTCAAGATGCTCAAGCCAGTCTTCTGGAAACGGAGCGATCTTTTTTTCCTTGGGGTGAGCATCGTTTGTCGGAGATTTTGGAGGAGGCGGAGGGGGCCAGAAGGAAGCCGGAAAGTGTTCGGTTGTGAACCATAAGGAACGGCTGGAACCGTAATCTGAAGCCACAGCATCCTTCAAGCTAACAACTCGACTTGGACCTCCTCTAGAGTCCCCAAGGAGGTCACGAGTGACGGCGGTGATCCAAGGATCCCTATCGGTGTGCCGTCTGATATGTGCGACGGTCAGAACATCGCTTTGATTAGCCAGCGTGGCCATGGTGTAAGGATGGGGTACGATGGAAATTGTAAATAATGACGATGTATTCCTGAAGGAGGGTGCAACGTTTATTCGCATCTTGGATCCGATACAAGGACTGCATTTTGGTCGGTTGGGCGGGCAAGAAGACTGGAGTATCGAGGCCGGGCATTCGGCAAGGAGTCCCGCTAGATCTTTGGCTGGCTTTACAAGCGAGAAGGTATGCGCTGCAAGCGGCTGCAACACAGCAATACCACTGCTAAAACTGTTCTGCCATATGGTATGGAGGTGTGCAATCATCAACTGGTTGAGTGAGCGCCGACCTTTGCTAGGGTCTTTGAGAATTTGTTCGGCGAGAATTGGATATTTGGCGGGTATCGTTTGAGAGTCGTAGTGCGCTATCGATGTAGGCTGCTCAACTTTGAACCACTCAGACCCCAGTGCCTCTGTTATGGAAGTGATAGAAGATTTTAACTTGGAGTTTTCAAGAGCCGCTCGGATGGCATTATCGATCTGAGTTTGTTCCCCAGCAAACAAACCGGATCCAAGTCCTTCGAATCTGAGAAGATGTGGATATTGTCCGCGGCGTAGATGTGAAAGCAAAAGATCATCGTAGGCTCCCATTGGCAGACAGTACCAGCTGGCCAGCATCCCTGTTCCCATGTGAGCCCATGCCATCCACTGCCTGAATTCCTGATCCAGCGCAGCGGGAAGCTTCTCCGCCTGCATAGTTTGATATAATGGATGGCTCATAGCCTCGGCCTCTGTCAATATAACAGGACGGAAGCCGTGAGCCCACCATGCGCGGCGCCAAGTCAGAAGTAGCTCTCTGTCCACCTTTTTCACATTCTCGTCCCTTCTCACAGTGGTGTCGTAGTAGGTGTACACGGGAGGACGGTCAGACAGCGGCGGAAGAACGACTCGTTCCTCGTCGAGAGTTATGGAAGAAGAGAAAGGGTTCAGCCATGTCCAATCACTGTGCCAGGAACTATCGCCGTGGGTGCTATTCTTTTGTTGAGGAGGTTTGTGTGCGGACCTCTGAAAGGTGAAGCGGAAAGGTACGTTGAGATTCGTTAGGGACTCGCGGAGAGCTTCTCTATAACTAGAAGCTTCGTCCAAGGCATTGGCCGCTGGATTTGAAGTGGTACTGAAAATCACGATGCCAATCAAGAAGAATGCGCCAACAACGAGGTATCTGGAAAATCGTCTCGGAGGCATGATGACGCCGGTGGCTAGAAGAAAACAAAACCCATAGACAGAACAAGTTCAGAAAATGTTAGATTAGCATTGAAAGTACTCCTTGCCCCTGAAAATCACCACCGATATGCACAAGATGTGTTGTTTATTGCATAGCACCTTCAGAGGTGTACGCGTTGCAGCTGGGGCAAGTCTCCAGAAAAGCCGCAGTTACGAGTACGAGTAGAGGTTGCTCCGGCTTACCTAAACAAGGCTGAAACTAACCAAAGTTGAGCGCCAAGGCAGCCTTGTCCAGCCTTGTCCAGGTTTTCCCCATGGTCCCACTACTGAGTCGCCAATTCCCTTCCGTCATCGGCCCAAAGAAATTTATCTACATTACTGACTCACTTGCACCGACTACCTCATTTTGAGTCCTACCAAATCTACGAATATGGCGGGTGGCGGCCCAAATGAAGATCACCTGAATTGGTGGACTTCACTGTTACAAAATCAGACCTTATCTCCTCTGACGAGGGATTATCCTGAGGCAACATCAGGAAATGTGCACGATTGGGCCGTCGGTGCTGTCGAAGCCTTGTCGGCTCCAGCCAGCACTACCGAAGCATTGAAGAAGTTGGGGAGCTTAGGACCTACAGTTACGCTACTGCAGACAGCCCTCGTTGTTCTTGTGAGCAGACTGACAGGCGATGAGGACATCAGCATCGGTATCAACTCAGTGGAGAATGGGCCGGCTTTCGTTTTGAGGACGTCGGTAACTCCCACGGAGCCGTTCTCGCAATTGTACACGAGAATAAGCGATATCTCAAATGAAGCTGTTGAAAGACCCGTCCCACTTGATACTCTCAAGTCTCGATTGACAACATCAACGTTATTTCGGTTTGCTATTCTTAATACCACGGAAGACAAGGCCAACCCTGTGGCGGATATGAAAACGACAGATTTCGTCCTCAACTATCGACTTTCTGCTGCCGGGGAGCTTTTCTTGACTGCCAGATACAACCAACTTCTGGTTTCGAGTAGCAGAATAAAGGGGCTTCTGGCGCAGTTCACCCAACTCCTCGAAAACTCTGCTGAGGACCTCAACGCGCCTATTGGTGGCATTGTTTTCGCGACGCCCGACGAGAAGAAATTCCTCCCAGATCCGACAAACGACCTCGAGTGGTCTTCATTCCGCGGTGCTATCCACGACATCTTCTCTGCAAATGCTGAAGCTCACCCTGATCGCACTTGCGTAGTAGAGACCGCGTCCGACGACGGACCCGAAAGAAGATTCACCTATCAACAAATACACGAGGCCTCCAATATCTTGGCTCACCACCTCGTCAATGCCGGCCTAGAAAGGGGTGAGGTTGTCATGATATATTCGTACCGTGGAGTTGATCTCGTCGTTGCGGTAATGGGAACCTTGAAAGCTGGAGGGACCTTTTCCGTTCTGGACCCCGCTTACCCTCCAGATCGACAAAATATCTACCTTGATGTTTCAAGACCACGAGCGCTCGTTGTTATAGACAAGGCTACTCAGGATGCCGGGGAACTTTCAGAGAAGGTGAGAGGGTTTATCAAGGACAACTTAGACCTCAGAACAGAAGTGCCAGCCTTACGATTGCAAGATGATGGTTTTCTGCAGGGCGGAGAGGCGAACAACAAGGACGTGTTCGACTCAATCCGAGATAAGAGAGCTAAGGGCCCTAGTGTTGTTGTTGGACCGGATTCTATACCTACGTTGTCATTCACTTCGGGTAGTGAAGGCCGGCCAAAGGGTGTCCGAGGTATTATTACGTGTCAAAATGAAGTACTTCACGTGTTAACGAGTTTGCAGGCCGTCATTACTCACTGGCATTCTATTTCGACTGGATGGCAAAGACGTTCAATCTCTCTGAGAAGGACAAATTTACGATGCTTAGCGGTATCGCTCACGACCCCATCCAACGAGACATGTTCACTCCGCTGTTCTTAGGCGCACAGCTTCTTGTCCCATCCAAGAACGATATTCAGAACGAGCGCCTGGCAGAGTGGATGCAGAAATATGGTGCCACGGTGACTCACCTGACACCAGCTATGGGACAGATTCTTGTCGGTGGTGCGACTGCACATTTCGACAAATTGCACCATGCCTTTTTCGTCGGTGACATTCTTATCAAAAGAGATTGCAGATCCCTCCAAGACCTGGCCCCTAATGTGCGTATTGTAAACATGTACGGCACAACGGAAACTCAACGCGCGGTCAGCTACTATGAGATCCCAAGTCAGAACGAAAATGGTGCTTTCCTGCTGAACATGAAAGATGTCATTCCCGCCGGTCGTGGCATGTATAATGTGCAGATGCTTGTGGTTAATCGGTTTGACCGCACCAAAGTATGTGCCGTCGGAGAAATTGGTGAGATATATGTACGAGCGTCTGGCCTTGCTGAAGGATACCTCGGTACACCGGAACTCACAAAGACCAAATTCGTTGAGAATTGGTTCCCCGGTCACGAAAGAGGACTCGAATCGGACAAGGTTCGCTTTGAAGCCAAATATAAGAACGAGCCCTGGGCCAATTATTACTTCGGGCCTCGCGACCGCCTGTATAGAAGTGGAGACCTTGGACGATACACTCCGGATGGCGACGTGGAATGCTCTGGAAGAGCAGACGACCAGGTCAAGATCCGGGGTTTCCGTATAGAACTGGGTGAGATCGACACACATCTCTCGCAACATCCCCTGATACGGGAGAACGTCACGCTCGTACGAAGAGATAAGTTTGAGGAACAGACGTTAGTCAGCTACGTTGTACCTCAACTCCAGGCCTGGAGACAGTTCTTGACCCAAAAGGGCAAAGAAGATGAACAGGACGATAACTCTCTGGTCAGCAGATTCCAACGTTTCAGATTACTCCAACAAGAGGTGCAGGAGTATCTCCGAACCAAATTGCCGGCATATGCTGTCCCTTCAATCATCGTTCCCATGAGAGCGATGCCACTTAATCCCAACGGCAAAATTGACAAACCCAAGCTTCCATTCCCAGACACGGCAATGCTATCAGCCAGCAGACGCCGCAAATCATCCACCCTTCAGCAGCTCACCGAAGGCGAATTTTCTCTCGCACAAATATGGGCTAAGCTCGTTCCTGGACTTATCCCCAAGACCATTAAACCTACAGAATCGTTCTTTGAGATCGGTGGCGAGAGTATGAAGGCTCAACAGTTGGCATACCACGTACGGCGTAGCCTCGGTGTGGATCTTGCAATCAGCAAGATCTATAACCGGCCCCACCTGAAGGAAATGGCTGCCATCATTGATCAGATGAGATCAGCTGATTCTCTGGAAGGTCGGCTGGATGAGGACACGGATGGAAACCAAAGCAATGGTGTCAAAGCTGAAGATTTTTATTCAGCAGATGCGTTGAAGATGGTCGAACAGCTTCCGACATCCTTCTCGACAGTCTCTTCGACGAACCCTCCCTCAGAACCGGTGGTCTTCCTGACAGGTGCTACAGGATTTTTGGGATCATTCATTCTAAAGGACCTCCTTGACCGTCAAAATCCTACGGTGAAGAAGGTCATTGCGTTGGTGCGCGCAAAGGATGCAACCGCCGGTCTTGAACGCATACGAGGCACGTGTCAAGCTTACGGTGTCTGGAATGACTCCTGGAAGTCACGAATCCAATGTGTCGCAGGAAATCTCGGTCCGGCCAAGTTTGGCTTGTCGGATGATGCCGAATACCAAAACATCGTCCAAGAAACTGACGTCGTCATCCACAACGGTGCTCAAGTTCACTGGATTAATACGTATGAAATGCTCAAGCCACCCAACGTGCTGGGTACCATTGAGGCGGTGAAGCTTTGCGCAGAGGGTAAACCCAAGCTGTTTGCTTTTGTTTCGTCCACGAGCGTGCTGGACCACGAACACTTCGTCGCCGAGAGCGAGCGGATCATCGCCGCTGGCGGTGAAGGTATCAGCGAAGCAGACGACTTGACGGGTAGCAGCAAGGGTCTCGGAACCGGCTACGGACAGTCCAAATGGGCTTCGGAATATCTGGTCAGAGAGGCCGGACGGAGAGGCCTACGTGGTTCCATCATTAGAAGTGGATACGTGTTGGGGTCGTCCAAATCTGGAACCACAAACACTGACGATTTCCTGATACGTATGTTGAAGGGTTGTGTTCAATTGGGTACGAGGCCCAACATCAACAATACGGTCAACATGGTCCCTGTCGATCACGTGGCGAGAACAGTGGTCGCAACGGCTTTCTTTCCTGCCTCCCCTCAAGGAGTCAGTGTCGCTCACATTACAGGTCATCCTCGTCTTCGATTTGTAAGTTATGTTTTCGTTTTGTCTTTTTTGACCGTGGATGATTGATCATTTAGCTCTTAATAACCGGCGGTGGGATTGTTTCGGGCTGCGAGAGAGAGAGAGCTCTTGCTGACACTTTTTTCTTTTTGCAGAACCAATATCTTGCCGTCCTTCAGACTTACGGTTACAAAGCCGAACTCACCGATTACATCCCTTGGGCATCTTCACTCGAAAATTACGTGAGCAACAATACCGATTTTGCACTCATGCCACTGTTTACTTTCGTCGCCAACGATCTACCATCAAACACCCGAGCACCTGAACTCGACGACAGCAATGCCGAGAAATCTCTTTATGCGGATGCCTCCAAGTGGACGGGAGAAGATGTCAGTGCCGGTGCAGGTGTTACCAAAACTGAAATTGGCAAGGTGAGTCCATCACGTTTAGTAGACGTTCTTGGGTTCTTCGATCGGAAAAGCTGTTTGTGCCTATATAATAGTACCGCATCGATTTCGAATGCTGACAGGTGATTAATTTAGTACCTTGCATATCTCGTCGAGATTGGTTTCCTTCCACCACCGACGAACGTGACCAGCGGTGACGTGAAGCGATTGCCGCAGATCAAAATCGGTCCTGAACAAAGGGCGGCTCTGGCCAGTGTCGGTGGTAGGGGAGGGTTGAGTTGAACACCTATAGTATTGCACTTGACGAGTGATCGTTATGTACATGTGTCGGTGAGGGAATTGGAATTTAGAAAACAAAGCTCAGGATTACACCAAGTTGATACTATTACTTGGGCCGAGATCAAAAGTAGTGAAGGGGATTCGGTGTGACAAAAAAATCAAAAATGGCAATTTCCAAAACACAAATATTCATCCATTCAAGATATTAAAGGTTTATAATAAAATCATGGTAGAAAACCCCCTCCCCTCACGAGAAGTAGAATCTTAGCAAGAAGGAAATGAAGAGAAAACCTTCATGTGGTGCTGTTCCCACCGGCGCTCGTCAAAAAGGTGAAAGGTGCCGAGTTCACAAAGCTACTGCCCATGTTGCCCACCCTCGTCTCGGGATTGACGTCCAACAACTGCAACACCTTGACGGGGGTGTTGTTGTTCGACAGGTTCATACTGGGCAGGTCGACCCAGAAGAACATGGGCAGGGTGGAACTTTCGTAGTAGTACCGCAGTGCCTGGGTGTCGCTGTACGTCCGCCACAGGGTCGAGGCCACGTTGGGTTGACCCGGCAGGGAAGGCGAAAAGGGGACGCTGACGGCGCGGATCATCGACGCCGCCACGGCGACGGCCTGCTCCGGGTCGTTGACCTCGACCGTCACGTTGTTGTAGTAGGACAGACGGGCGAACCGGTCGGCGGGGCGGCGCGTGCCCGGCAGCGACTGGTTCCCGATGGGCAGCCAGTAGGCGTTGATGGCGAGCTGTTGGTCGTAAGGCGGTTGGTTCGTCATGACGGTGTACTGCTTGCCGTGGTGGATGGTCAAGACGCCGTCGAGGTACTCCATGATCAGGTTGTCGCCCGAGGCGTCGGCCAGGCTGACGTGGCCCACCGAGGGCGTGCCGGGGATGACCTCGGTGCTGACGATCTGGAACTTCCCGCGCCCGCTGGCGGTGTAGAGGTCCTTGACAGCCTCGTCCACGGTGGCGTAGTTGTCGAGAAAGTATTGGAGCCACGCCCCGACCGAGAGACCGGGGATGGATTCGTCACGTTGGCCGTAGTTGCTGTCGGAGAGGTACAGAAAGTTGCCCGTCAGGCCTTGCGAGTTCATCCCGTCGACCGTGGCCTGGTAGTACATTGCCGTCACGACCGAGCCGTACTTGGAGGTCCAGTTCAGAGAGTTGGTTCCGACGTTGCCGTTTCGTTGCATCCCAGGTGGGAAGGCCCAGATGCTGGCGTTGGTGGTCATGAACCAATCCATGGACCTCCCCACGATCATCCGGTTGTTGTCATTGGGGCCGCTGTTGTAGGTGACTCGAGAGCATGCCCACGTCTGCGCCACGAGGCTGCCAATGAGGACGGAAAGGGTAAAGGACAAAGAAGACAGCATCATTTTTTAATTTTGTTTTGTGCGACCTTGTGAAATAAAAAAAAGGGGGACGATTTAAACGAGAGACAAGATGAGTTGTTGAGATATGCAAGTAACACCGACCCGACAGGATACCACCTCATATATACCTCTTCCCCCGGACTACAGGTTCGTCGAGTACCCAGTACAATGCTCTCACATTGTTGATACCTGGGATAGAAACTTCATCACGCCACGACAACCGTCGTGGTTCTCGTGGTGAAGGTTTTGGCGGTGCAAGGGTTACCTGGGAATATCAAACCTTGATGAAGCATTGAAGCTGTACGGGCGAATCAACTATATCGTGATCAAATTTAAGTAGAATCCTGAGTTCTTAATTCTCGTATTCGTGAGTTGATGAACTCTTTCTGGACGAGGCCACGTCTTATGCGTGGTGAAAAACCGAGTATGAAGAAAAGCTAGGAGTGTAGTTGTTGGTTTCCCTGCCAATGTGTGATCCGAGCGCAGCATTGAGGTTGTCAAAGAATTGTCTGCTCGGTCACCGTGCGTCTTTTCGCCGCTTTTTAAGCGAGTAAAAAGGAGACGAAGCTGGTCAAAGCGCGGTGAGACATACCGAACCCTGAAAGCAAATCTTCTTGGAACTACAGTTCCAAGACTGATGCCCTTGGCCCTGGAACTCGGCATAGCCAAATATCGAATATGAACGTCGGGTCGAGGGAGGAATCCAGAAGCAATGCTCAGACCTCTTGAACTGGATGCATTCTGCGTCTAAGCCACTTTAGAAGGTGCTTGGAGAAGAGCATCCTGTTACCCTGGCGTTGATAGATGCCGAAGAGCGGGAATTGTTAAAGATAAGAGACGAGCAGAGGTAGAAGTCTTATGTTCAATGGTTTACAATCTTGAGCAGGGTGAAGGTGTCAATTGATAAAAATGCAGTTGAAATCGACTTTCGAGGGTCTTCACTAAGGTCTTGCTGCTTTAAGACCACTTCGATGTGTAGACACGTCTGGGTATCTAGTTTGAGGTCTTCATCACAAATCAAGGGCCTATAGAATCCCATTGGACACCCTTACGTTCACCAAGTCTGCATAGCATAGAGAGAGACCTGGTCAAGAGAAATCATTACTGAGTAACAGGAACCCAAAAAGAAGATTAAATTGTATTCCTTTACTCCTTAACTGGAACGCGGGGAAACGTACCAAACTTGCATCTACCTGGATATGAATTACTTTGCTTCATCCAATCAATATCCAACAGTCGCCCAATGTCATTCGTATTCGGACCGACTAGATCCTGCTACAGATATTCAGGCTCCCATCAGATTGCAAAACGTAAAAACAGGCTCTTATTTACATCAGACTCTTCAATACCGGGCCGAAGAAGAATTCAGAATCAAGTCCATTTCTGCCGTCAAACTCCAGCTCCAGGTCTAGCACTGCCTCGACATTTTGTTTCTGTCTCTCTTGCTCAAGACTACAGAAGAAGAAATCTTCCAGACGTAATGGCAAGCAAACCATCACAACGATCCAAGGCTGACCTGTACAACCCCGATCCCAATTGGACAGCATTCGCCGAAAAGAATGGATACCAAAGTCCGGCTTCACCATTCGTTTTAGATGTTGAAGGTGACCGGGCAGCTGAGGTGATCCGCGAAGCCGAATTTACCAAACAATATCCATTGTCGTCCTTTGGTTACAATTCGGTCTTGACCAATGTCACTGTCCGCGACGGCGCTTCCATCAGCGTCAAAATATCTTATCCCAAATTCCTTGCGGCCGAGTCCGACAAGAAACAAAAGTTGCCGGTGCTTTTTGTGACTCACGGTGGAAGTTGGATCCAAGGTTCTCACACGACCGAAGAAGCCTGGTTCTTGTGGCCACTTTATGAGCACTTCAATTTCTTGATTGTGAGCGTCGAATATCGACTCGCGCCAGAACATGCTTTCCCGGTATGGATGGACGATAGTTGGGACGTGCTAGAACAACTGCTCTCTAGTCCTGAGAAATTCTTCTCGTCGGCGGTCACCACTGGTTCTGGCTCTGGAGATTCCGCGGCGGGCCTGAAAAATGTACATCCAGATCTCGGCAGGGTCATTCTAGCGGGGTCCTCTGCCGGAGGGGGCACGGCAGCCTATCTCTCTCAGACGTGCCGGGATCGAGGATTCTCGGTGTACGGCGTGATTCTCAATATCCCCCTTGTGTGCGACTATCGTCACCTACCCGTAGATTGTCGACTCAGTTACGAACAGGCCACGACAAACTCCCGACTGTGTTCCGGTGAGATGCGTGCCAGTTGGGATCTGGTGCGCCCTGTCACACCGACTCAGAAAATCGACGACCCAAAAGCGAGTCCGTTGCTGTGTAACCTCAAGGGCCTACCAAAACACTTGGTCTTCGTCGCGGGCCATGACCCCTTGCGGGACGAAGCTCTCAAGTACGTCGAGATTCTGGAAGATGAGGGTGTCGATGTCCAACTGTTCACCTACCCCGGCGTTCCTCATGGGTTCGCTGCTTACTGGGAATTGGACGCGTCGAAAAAGTTTGCAGAAGATTTGCGGCGAGGTTTGAAAGGATGGATTGGTTGAGTGACTAGAGCGAAGGGGACGGCCCATTTGAATACCATACCAGTATTTGGGTTTGAAACAATTCATCTCGAATTACTACTCTTGACAGATTTCGACACGTTCATACCTCGGTCATTTGTTTACTTTTGTCAATTGGCTTTTTGCTTTGCTGGCTGCCCAACCCTGTCACCAGCCCTACCATGACTGCTTGACTGATCTCATCAATTTTATCGTCTCAAACCTACAAATCTTCCTGCGCTGGAAAACAAATTCCCACTACTCTGTTGCGCCGCTCCTTTTCCCATATCCGATGTCTTTTGGGCCGCTTGAGATCCTTGAGATGTAGTCGTCCCGGCAACACTATTTCCAGCATCGACCGCCTTTTCGGCTCCCTGATGACCAGCTCTAGAAGACACAGTTTTGCCCGCCCCCGCCGGCAACTGGGATAATCTTGCACCTATCGATTCGGCAGAGGGCACGTCTGGTTCTCCAACACCTGCCGACGGAGACTTGACGCCAGATGTTTGTTGTTGACTTGTCCTCCGCGGACCCAGCTTCGGCGGCCGCTTTTGAGTCTTGCCCGAAATCTCCTTGACCAGGTTCGGGGTCGGGACTGACGTCGGGGGGGACTTGACTCCCGATGAAACCCGCTCGAGTTTAGCAGGAGGAGATCTCAAACCTGACGACACCCTCTCGAGTTTCGCAGGTGGTGATTTCAGATCCGACGGTGTCCTCTCTAGTTTGACGGGTGGTGACTTCAGACCTGACGGTGTCCGCTCCAGTTTTCCAGAGGGCAATCTATCCAGTTTGGGCGGCCGTCTTGACTTCACTTCTGTTTCCGACGACTTCTTATCAGGTTTCGGTCTCTCGACCACGGCATTCTTGGATGACGGCGATGCGCTTTTGTTCTCAAGTTTTGGGGGTACCTTCTTTTCACCGCCGCCGCCACCTCCACCAAAGCCGAGACGAGGGAGACTGGGAAGATATGAAGCTGCTCGAGACGTATATGATGTCTGATCTGTCTTGGTAGGGGTTTCCTGGGCTTGGGATGTTATCGATTTCGTTGCCGCATCATCTTTGGTGCTGTCCGTCACCGTGTCCATGCCTTTCTGGGCCGACTGTGCAGTGGCCTTTGCAGCTCCTTGTGCCTGGCTTGTGGCGGTCTTGCCTGAGTCACCGGCTTTGGCGGCACCAGTGTCTACACCCTTTTGAAGAGTCTGAGTCGTGTTTTGTGCCGCTGTCCCCACTGCGCCCGTGACATCCCCAGTCTTGTCCTTGATGGGTTGTGGCGTGCGGTCTTTGGCTTGATGGATGATTGGAGCGTCTCTGGCCGCTCTTCTCGAAGACTTCACGGCCGGGTTGTCTTTCGGATTGAGAGTGTTTTTCACAGTAGGCGTCACCACGTCGGATACTGCCCCAGTTGCTCCTTTGGCTGCAGAGGTGGTGGTGTCGGTCGTAGCAGACGCTGAAGCCGTGGCCTTTCCGAGTGGTCTCTTGGCGTCTTTCTGATCGCCACGGCTTGCCCGCAAAGAGGAGAGGTAAGATGAGGCTTGTGAGATGTAGCCTTGTCCTTGATCTGTTGCACCCTGCGTTGTCTTGCCTACCTTACTCGTCGTCTTCTTCTTCGTGTCGACGGGGCTATTCTGTGGAGCAGCAATTCCAGCCGTGGTCGACTTGCTCGTATACGGCATACTGGGCAAGCTCCTATACAACCGTGTCGTAAGTGGTTCCGCCGTTGTCCCTTGTGTGTTCTTCATCGCCTGACCAGCAGCAGCACCCTCCGCCGCCGCTGATGAATCCTTGGCCACCTTCTGCGTATTTCCGGCGGTCTTGTCCATGTCCTTGCTCGCATCTTTCGCGCTCGACATCTGTGGCAAGTAAAAGTATTCAATCGCTCGACTCACGAGACTTGTCTTCGTCTGATCTTGCACCTTCTTCTCCAACTCATTCGCCTCGTCTTCAGCTTCGGCCTCCTGATCCTCTTTACCGCCACGAAGACTCTGCCTTCTTATCATCCAACGCCGTTGGTTCTCGAGGCTTTCCTTCTTTTCTCGCTTCTCCATCTCGATCAACGCCTCCTTCTCCCTTTCGACGGCATCCATGTCGATATCTTCGAACCCGATCCTCTTCAAAATGGCCCCGATGAGATAGCGGTATCGCTGATGACTGCTCACGTCCTCGCTCACGTCGAAATTCTCGACCCCACTGAGAGCCTCGATCTTTTGCAAGCCCGCCACGCCATACTGTACGGCACTCGTCCGATACATGAAGCCTAGCACGTAATCGTTGACGCTGAAGACGTTGACGAGACGCCCTGCGACCGCACTCCGCAACACACGCCAGTCGCTCGTATCACTCGGCGTCGGACTACCGATGAGCACGGCATTCTCCACGACGCCAAACGCGCCGCGCTTCGCCAGGCTCATGAGACAGGTGTACACGACCCTGGCACCGAGACTGTACCCGACCAAAGTCACGGGCCGCTCTCCTTGTGCCCTCTTGACCAACGCGTCCGCGAGGACCTCGCCGGCCTTGTCCGCGCGACTCTTTGCCACGCTGAACGGGTTGTCTATGACTCTGGCCACCTTCATCAGCGCGACGGGCCACATGGCGCCGGCGAGGTCAGCAAATATGGTCCTCTTGACCACCTCCTTCTGCGCGTACCCCCACGCGGCCGACTGGACGACACCGTTCATCGCGTTGCCCAGGTTCAAAAGGGCCTCAAGTTCCCATTTCAGGGCAAAAGCCTCGCTGCCGACACCCAGCACGCACCACGGCTTGACCACCTCTTCCTTTTCGGTCAGCCATCCGCTCACACCGATGGTGACTCTCAACTTGTGATCGTGCGTGGCTTGTTCGACATCTTTGCTATCTTCATTCTGCTTCTTCTTCATCGGCGCCGTCTTCTCCTCTTCGTCGTCGTCACTTCGTTTCTCATTATCATTGTCGCGATCATTGTCATCATGTTTTCCGTGAACGGGTAGGAATCGAAAATCCTCAACCTCCCTCGCATACTGGTCCATCATCTGACCCGTCATGCGCCCTCCGTACGCGCCAAATAGACCACCCACGAGCACCGTACTGCCCGCCACACTCCCCAAGTAGGCCGCGGCGGAAGTGGCGCCCAAGCCCAGTCCACCCATGACCGACCCCACGCCGGCCGCGACCAGAGGTGCGGCGAGGCCTCCACTGACTCCCAGGATTGCGGCGCCGGCCGCCGTGGCGATGGCGACCTTCCTCCGCCTCGCTTCCCTGTTGGCCTCGATCTTGGCTCTCATGGCCTCGTCTGCCGAGGTCGACATTTCCATTTCCCTCGCGTGCTCCAGCAGGCCCCTGGCCGTGGTGTACTCGTCCTGCTCGAACGTCTTGAGCGGGAGCTTCAGCGACCGGGTCAGGTTGAGCATCAACACGCGCGAAAAGGCGTTGTAGTGTTCGAGGCTGATGAGCAGGAGGAGGACCGAGTGGAGGATCAACGTGCGTTCCTTCATGCTCATCTTGGTCAATGGCGATTTGGCACCCGGGTAGAGGTCTTTGAATTTCAACGCCACAGTTTTGGTGTTGTTGTTGTTGTTGTTGTTGTTGTCGTTCTTGCTCGACTCTGGCTCCTTGGCGGCAACTTTCTGTCCCTTGACCACGTCGCCCGGTGTTCTTGGAGTCGATGATTCCACACCGTCTTCAGAAGTCTGAGTGATCTGCTTCTTCGCCTTTCCTGGGCTCGTGTTCACGACCTCCCCGACGCGCATGATGACTTGTTCGCGCCACTCGTCAAACGACTTGAGAGCGTCCCTCTTCAGTGCCTTCGCTTCAACCCTCGCGAGATCCTTGTCCGCTTCGTCCTTGAGTCTGCGCTCACGGTCGCACGCAGACACGTCGGCGTGTGGGTCCGCGGCCATGATTTTCTCGTCCTCGCTCATCCCTTCGCGCAACAGGGCCTTGTCCAGCCCGGCTGTCGAGTCGAAGTTGTCTTGGATCAGTTTGCGCATGGACTCGGTCAGTTTGGCCAGTAGCAAAGTCAGATCGGCCCGTTGGTTCTTGTCCAGGATGGTTGTCAGGTCGATTCCATCGTTGCCGTCGCTGGACTCTCGACCATTTTGTTGCTGGTCCTCTGACATCTTGCTTGCTCCTGTCCTGACTGATATTCCCGATTTCTTGTACCTTGTAACTGCTCGATATTCCCTCCGAGACCGATTTGGCCTACAGAGTACTCGCACCCGCCGTCTGGAAGTCCCTGAGAGTGGCAGCCTCGTGTCCGCACCGACGGAGCGCCACCAGAACTCTCTTTGAGTTATCAGCAACGACAACAAACACCACTCCGTGAGCCAACCACTAAAATGAAATAATATGAAAAAAGGCGTGGGAGAAAAAAAGGGAGAGACGAGGTGTGGCGGTGCAATCAATTGTACTCGCACGAGGGGGGAAATACGAAATGCTGCATATACATGACGTAGGGATGGCGGGTGTGTTCAAGGGTGTCCCCTGTAATCCCTGTCAACAACGCCCAAGTCCCTTTGTGCCAAATCCCCAAAAACCTGGAAAATAACACATAGCAAAAGGTAAAAAAGCCAGTAAGAAAAAAAGGAAAGCTCATCGTACTCTGCATGCAATTGGTGGTATCTCAATAATTTCATTTCATTCGTCTTTTGGGCCATGGATACATTGCAAGAAAGGTCCAGGAGGCTTTCTTAAAGGCAAAGCGTGACAAACATATACAGCATTATGCTGCATCGTCCTGTCCAGCCAGGGCTTTGTTTATGTCAAAAACACCAAGGCGCCAATTCACCTGATGATGCATTTGCCAGGAATCATGCACAAGGTCTGCTCAAAGAATAGTTCCGAATCTGATTAAGAGTCCATCGTCAGTAGGGGCACAATTTTTGACAAAGCTGTGAAAGTACTAACCCAAATGTCTGTTTAATACTGCGCACATAATATCCCTCCCAGTTCCGTTGGACCACCTCTTCTTGTCCCACGGGAACTCCAGTCCAGGTGACTCGCATATTGGTCACTCGGTCGACATCGTTCTGGTCAAAGAATATCTCTTGCGTACTCATATGCCCTTCCGGCCATTGTGCTAGTCTCCACTTTTGCACAATCTTCTTCGGAGGTTCGAGCGTTACAAATTCTCCCGAGACGTTGCCATCGAAAATGGCAAATTTGGCACCTGGTTTGGCACCTTCGAACAGTCGGGGAGGGGCTCGAGTGAACGCCGCTAGACGTTGGGGATCGGTAAATGTCTGGAACATCTCTTCTGCTGTTGTTCGGAACTCATCCGTGGCCGTTACAGTGGTGGTGTTGACAGAGGATTTGCCGGTGGTGGTTGTGGTCGTGGTGTTAGAGGGAAGAGGGGTTCGTTCTCTCTCGGGGTGCCATGTCGGTGTTGCGAAACCGCTCGAGGGATTGGAACCAGGGGTGTGTTGTAGATCCTTTCCGTGCTCTTTAATCAAGGCAGGTCCGAGGCTTGAAAAGACCTTTCGGAGTTCCGGGGTGAGTTTCGACCTTACTAGATCTTTGACTGGTTGTTTCTCTTTCGTTTCCGAGTAAATGTCTATCTCGAACTGTTCGAGGAGTCAGCGGCGCCGAACCGTTGGAGAAGACGGGGAGACAAGAACATACAACGTACTCGTCTGGTTCCGTGTCGTATGCGCACTCCGGAACCCGAATGCTACCACTGACGTCTGTACCGTCCGATGTCTTGCCTGCGCCCGTAGTTAGGTATCGTGATTTCCCAAAGGCTCTCTGAGAATTCATACCTTCATATTCAAGTTGTAATACAACATCGAATATCGTTATGACTTTGCCCTTTCTCTGGCTCACCTCGACATCACCGTCCATGGACACCAATTTCGTGATCTGGGCGGAAACGCCATCTTGTTCTGCCGAAACTTTCTTGCTTTCTGTCTCTATATAGTCCTTGGCCCATTGTCCAGCATCTTTCATCACCCAGTGCCAGTTGTTTGGGTTGTGGAGAACCATGGGGGAATGTTTGTAGTGAGGTAGAAGGAGAATCGAGCAGAGAAAAGTGTCTAGAGAGCAGGTCGATCTATGAAGACCTGGAGTTTTCGGGAGCTATATTTTGCGACAGGTCAGTGAACGAGTTCGCAAGGTTGCTGAAGAAAGACCAATATGTGGTGGACAAGGAAATTTCAGATTGTAGGCTTATTGCCATGTAAAAGCTGATCCGCATTTAAAGAGTACAAGTCTTCTCAGACTGGTGCCAGCTGGAGTCTCATCATGTATGTACCTGGTGTAGGTAAGGGAAAGAAGGGACAACTACAAACATACCTTCTTGTGCGCAAGGATGCAGAGTAAATGAGAGTCAGTATTCGGTTCTTGCGTTCACTTCGTGAGAATCGTAGCAATCGTGAGAAAGGTTTCAATAATGTTACAAGGAACGGGCATTTTCACCATCACCGAAACATCTAGAAATTGATTGAAGCCATTTCGGTACTTTGCCAAGAAGTCTCCGAAAGTATTGAGAAGATCCGCCGCGATATCACGTGCGATCAATACTCGAGCCTCCAAAAGTACGAGTACGAGTACGAGTACGGAGCACTTTGCTAACACCCTCGAAATGAAGATTGTAATGTATTGAGTGTATAGCTCGCACACTCCAATAGACAATGACCAAATCCTCGGTTGGCTGTTGAGTGACCTGTACCTGGACGAGTCGATCCGAAACACTATTTCAAATAAACAAAAACAAAAAACGACGCATCAATGCGAAAGTAGGTCCATCACCATCAACTCTTGACGGATGAGATCGAGGGAGATGTATCATTTTTGAGTGTGCGGAGTATGGGGTAGAACATTCTCTTCTTACCTCGATTTAACATGATGCTACTCCGTAAGTAAATGTCTCTTTCCGAAGACCTGTAAAAAGGTGCTCGGTACGGAACAAGGTACAGAGTACAGCTCGGAGGAGTATTCGTAGATACTGGACTCCGTACCTACCTACCTCGCCTTATCTGAGTGGTTACCATTAATTAGTCCTTTTACGTACCTAGGCAGGTATGTACTTGTATCACTCTGGAGTCTTGTCCTCTATTCCGCACTCCATATCATACCTTAGTAATGGAAGAGGGGAGGGATTTACCCCGGGTGCTCGGAGCAATTCATTTCTTGTGGGTACTTTTTCCTTGTACCATAGTATGTTCCCGGAATATATTGACAAGTAGAAGGGTACTCTCTCTACTGCATCCACCCCCGCCCCGACCTCCGAAACATACTGTACTCGTACTCCTTCCCCTAGTGTGTAAAGGCGACCGGACCTCCACTTCCATTCTCTCTCTCAACTAAGAAAAAACGGGACCTCCACAAGTTTTGTGAGTTATCCCGTAGCATGTCAGCCCAAGGTAAACATATCCCCCCGGTGTCCGGCAACCCGTCTCGAAAAGAGTCATCACATCATACTCCGTACATACGGGGAACTCAGTAAGAACTTATTTTGGGTAGGTAAGAATATCAACTCATATGGGGCAAGGAAAAACAAATCTACAACTCCGAAACCTTCTCTCTCTCCCTCTCTCTCTCTCTCTCTTTTGCGAGAATACAGAATACTTATCTACCAAGATATATTACCCTCCCATTTGCTATTATTTCCCTCCCCTGCCCTACTCCATTTAGTAATACTTACCTACTATTCCTCCTCCAGGTATATATATAAGTTGGTATTCGCAAGTTCTCAAGAAACCCTCCTTCCCCCCCCGGCATATTCATACCGAACGACCGGCCTATTCCACAACCGACAAGATACACCGTTCAAAGTAACTGTTTTAAACGATGTCTAACAACAGCCACCACCAACACCAATTATATCATAATATTTACTCGTTGTGTTCCATACAAGTGAGGTATACCATTGCCATTGCCAGTAAACCTCGTGATGGTTTACCACCGATGCAATTCCAAGAGGTCGAGGTCGACCTATTCAACGATGGACAGTTGGATGAACACTTTTTGACCAAGGTCAATCGTAAGGGACAGGTAAGAGTCTTTCCTCCAGTTCCAAGTCTTCGGTGTAATTTGTGTCAGTCGGCTGGGTCATTGTTTGCCTTCATCTTTTGCTGTTCGTTTTGCTTTGTACCGCTTACAACTACCGTATATCTCAATGCTAACTCATACATTCATTGTTTGGTTTTACACAGGTCCCAGCACTCACTGCTCCCACACTCGATAAACCCATGGCCGACAGTTTGGAAATCACCCATTATCTAATCGAGCACTATCCAGATTTGACACCAAAGGAACACAAGGACGAGAGTCTGAGACTACTCAGGGCAGTACACGCATTGAACTATTTCGCCCTTTCCTTCCCCGACCGTCCGCACGTCGTCGCAGGTTTCGTCAAGTCTATCAATGACCGACTTGCGAGGGACGACATCAGCGATGAATACAGAAGTGCCCTGGAATACAAGTTATCAGTGTGAGTTTTAATTTCCCCCTTTCCCAAACTCAGGTCACAAAGTTCCGACTTACACGATTTCTTTCCTTGCTTTGCTACAGTACCAATGCCGAGAAAGTCGAGGGCATCAGGCCAGAAGCGGTTCGTGCCAACGAAGAAGCTGCACGCAATCTCATGAAAACGTGTGAAGCGCTTCTCTCCGAAGATGCACCTTGGCTATTTGGATCCAGCCGACCAACGGTTCTAGATGCCCATTTGATCATCGTGCTGGGTCGGTTGCAGGATGTGGGAAGGACCGCTGTCGTACCTGACCGCCTGCAAAGATACGCTGACATGGCGTTTGCTACCCCGGAGCTACAGAGTGTCATGCAGGGAAGGAGAACTATGGTTCCAAAGTCTGGGTCCACTTAAATTCTTCTGTGTAAGCAAGAGGACGTCTCCGAAGGTAGATAGTGCCGAGCAGAGAGAGGTGAAGATGTCGCTTATCCCTGGGTACAGGTAGATGAAGAACGTGATCTGATCAATCAAACAAGGGTTTATTACCATCGAGCCATTGACTTGAATCTTGCTGTTTTGAAAATTCGTCTCGCGGTTCACCCAACGAAAGGCCCAGAGAAGATTCCATCCAGATAGGTCGATACTTCTTCTATCATTTCATTGTCCGTTGGGAAGTTGAAACAGGTCAAACCACCAAAGTTTCCCGGTTCCTCCGAGAACATGTCGCTCCACATTGCAGCGTCGTTCAACGACGTGTCTATCTGCACGGTGGAATCTTTTGACCACTGACCATTAACAGCGAAGCTTGCGGTGGCGCTACTGGTATTCGTCACGAGCATCGGATCAGTCGTTGTTGGACCGAACCCTCGTCGTCCTGCTGTCTCGGATATCATTTGAAACTCCGATCCATGCGCATGAGCATGCTCTTCCTCTATACCTATCTCCATCTCCTCCGGCGGCAAGGGTTGTTGGACTATGACAGGGTTATTTTGGGAAGAGATGGCAGCTACAGACTCCTTGTTACCTGATATCACTGGCCTATTTCGCCCACTGGCCCCTTTATGCGTCAGGCCATTCAGTCTCGACACATCAGAAGTACGATTCTCGCCATCCGCGGCTGATGAGCCAGGGCGTTGTGGTGTGGTGGACTTTTCTGGTGGCACAGGCGCCAGTGTCAAGACTCGTTGATTATCCATTCCTTGCCTCGAAAGGTGTATCAATTTCTTCAGTTGAGCTTCGAGAATGTCAAGACAGTGCAATGGCACTTCAGACATTGACCAATACTCGACCCATTGCTTGTGTACGGCTTTCAACAACTCAAATCTTGACCGTATGACCCCCCTTTGCGCCTCGTTGACCGTCAACTCGTGCTGAAGAAGCTGCACGGTTGCCGCCATCCATGCAGCATGAGCAATAAAAGGGTTGACATACTGGATATGCGCCTCGTGGCTGTTGAAAAGCAGGTTGAAGACGGCGTGTGAGGCCCGGAAGTATCTGTCTAGCATCTGGCCTCTGCCCCCCTGGTCTCCTTGGCTTCTCAGGCCTATTTCTTGGGCCTTTCGAAGGAGGGTCACGATACCACTTTCGAAGATTGTGTGCTTCAGCGTCATCAGTTTTGCCACCTCTTGCATCAAGGCCAACTCATATATCGAGCCCTGTGCGCAAATTGTCGAAGTGCGTTCTCCTTGCCCATGGCGTAACGTATCGAAATCCAGGTATTGGCCTCTGTATTTGTATTTCGAAGGTATGCTGATGGCACTGAGCTGGATTGCGTTCATCAATCGCTCAAGGTAAGCTCGGTTGTCGTTTGGATATTGTTCCCCGCCCAACGTAGGTGCTTTTGAGACAGCGCCACTCCAATTGCCTGTCTGCGAAGAGAACGCATGTCCTTCTGCCATCAAGGAATTGAGTACAATGAACCATGCCTTTGCTGACTCGTTTCCGCTCGCTTGAAGATCTCGAGATCGGGATACAGGGTCTGAGTGTAGATAGCAACTCTTTTGTGGTCGCGATTGAAACCAATTTTCGTCCGGGGAGGGCAGCCAGACCTGAGTATAGCTCCAAGAGATCGTGCACGGAAGGCGGTATAGGACAGAAGCGAAAACATCCATTTCCCATATGGCCCACCAGGTGCGGCGACGCTCTTCGTCTTCGCACCATCGCTCTGGCGCCTGTTCGCTGGATTCGAACTCTCTGCTCCTGTCGATGGTATGGAGCCCCAATTCGTAGGCTATGCGTATGCAAAGGCCCATGGAGCGCCAGGCACGCCCTCGGACGCTCCGAATCAACAACCAGTGAGTCACCAGGACCAGAGCCTGAAGCACACACAAGGGGGGTGGATCGTCACCACATTCCACAATGGCCTTGTCGACGTGACAAACAGCCAGGTCATTGTATTGTGATGAAGATAGACCTACGTTCACCTCGGTGGTGAAGGCATTGTTCCCATTGCCGTGTTCTATCCACTTTTGTGAAAATGTGAATATCGCAGTCAGTAGCGCCTTCAACTGTACATAACTGCTAATCTTGCGAAGATCCTCGCGAAATGTCGATTCCCGGAAAAGGCGAAATGCAGTGAACGTCATGAAGAAAATGCTAAACCTATCATGAATTCAAACGGTGCGGTCAGCATTGTATGTCTCCTAATGAGCAGGCGCAAAGTAATCTCAGGGGCTTTCCTTCCAGGCACGGTGGCAGAGTTGCTCGAAGGAAAGGTAAGTGCGCTCAGCAGCAGAGGTGTACTCACATATTCCTCATGGCGTCTTCTGATACTCCTAAAGTACGACAGACATACATCAGAAGCTCCTCTTCGGCACCGGTGTTGTCGAGATGGGTCAGCACCGCATTTGAGCGGACAGGGGGGCGATCCTCGTGCGACGGGTGAATCAGGTAGGAAATGGTCTGAATGTCATCGCGGTCCGACTGGACATCCGTGGTCGTGTTTGTAGCGCACCGTGTGATCGGCGATGTGACATCGTCGGCGTGCTGCTGCTGCTGCTGCTGGCCCGGCGTGCTCTGAATAGAGGGTGCGATACTGTCACGCTTTGGGACACTGGTGCTCTGGGTAGTAGTTCCATTGTCCTTGGCCGTGGATATTGATGATGCCGTCGGCGCGCCGCAACGCTCTTTCCTCTGACCCGACGACACGTTGGGTCGCGACCCTCTACGAACGCTGCCAACCTTGGGACCAGGCTTCTTCACCCCGTCTGGATATTTGCACTGGTGTCCTCCGACCTGACATTGGGAGCAATGGGCAGCTTCTCTGCCACACCGCACCTTGCGCTTTCTACAATTGAAGCAGGCTGTTCTTGCTCGACCGTCGTGAATGTCCGGCATAATTCCCTTTTCTTTCTTCTCTTCCGGGACCACGACAAGGGGGCGCAACAACTCTGCTTCGTGAGAGAGGCGAGTGATTGCCCTTTCCACAAATGACAACCGTCGTCAGTCTGTCGAGAAGAGAATTGTTATCTGGAACACCGCGTAGTTCGGAGCGCGAAGCTCCCCAGACTCCGGGGTGGTAAGTCATGCTCGGGGTTCCCCAGCTCCGTCCTCTCCGTGATAAAGTCTGGAAGCGTGGGACCTCGTCACTCTTCGCCTTCACACGGTGACTATTCGTCCAATCACAATTAGGCCGAGAAAACCGAACAGCCAATGAGAAACATACCGGCGACTTGCAACTAGCTGTACAGGCAATTGAAGTAGATCGAATGCGGGTTGAGATACGGGGAAGAAGACACCCACATTTCACATTCTCTCCCAGAGTCTCCACATCTCGGCTAACTGGATCGTCCGAGGGGAGAAGTTCTGCAAAACCCTTTCTAACCATGTCAAGGCCTACTCTCCACGATTGCGCAACCTCGTTTTCTATGATGTAAGACTAAGAGGCCTCCTTCACGTGCTAACACATGTTCGTGAGACGATATCATCAGGAGTTGGGGGGTCGTTGAAGTGAATCTATCAGGGACCAAAGATGCTTGCTGAGTATTTGGATCATTCCCTTCGCTCATGGTCGAGGAGAACGCAGTTGAGAGCGGTGGCTACCAGTTGCAGCTTTTCTGGCGGTTTCCAGCGCTGTTCATTCCTTAGCGACAGTCACATAGATGTCTAAGAAATAGTTGTTGGTTGTTAAGTACGAAAAGGGTCAAGTACATGCTGCAGAAGTGTCTTATGTTTGAATCATGATCGATTCTTTCTATTCATATATATATATATATATAGGAGGTCAAATGTGACTTACTTCAGTAAGTACAAGTGCCTCAAATTTCGCCCTGGAGAAACTTCCTGATGGCATCCGTCGTCTCTGCCGGTGACTCGAGAGTCCAAAAGTGACCTCCGGGGATGTACTGAACGGTGACCCTTTCTGCGTTGGGAATGTAGTCGCGGGCCTTTTCGTAAAACTCTCGAGGCTGACTCTTGCTGTCGTAGCCCTGCATGATCAGGACCGGGCACCTCCAGGCCTCGAGCAGTCGGTTGCGACGCTGGAGCCATTCTTGTCGGAAGGTGGACGAGTTGAAGTAGCGGGGGACGGCGCGCGTGATTCCCGGGTGCGAGAATTCCTGGATGATTCGTTCCATCTCGTGGGTCGGGATCGGCTTCTTGCCGCTGACCCAGTTGTGAACCCAGACGACGAACTCGGTCGGGTTCTCCATGATGCCCGTCCACGGGGCGTCCCTGAAGATGTCCCCCTGGGGCGCCACCAGAGGGTTGAAGTGGTACAGGTGCTGTTCGCCTCGCAGGTACCTGGTAACGGAGTCCGGGTGGTCGGCGACGATGTAGTCGCCCTGGACCGTGCCGCGGTCGTGGGTGACCAGGTTGAACTTCTGGAGCCCGATAGTCTGGAGCATGCTGTAGAGTTGCCCGGCGGCGCCTTCGTGGCGGTAGTCGCCCGCTCCTTTCTCGGACTGTCCGTAACCCTTCAGGTCCACGGCGATACACCTGTGAGTGGCCGCGAGCGAGGCCATCTGGTGGTGCCATTGGTACCACGCGTCCGGGATCCCGTGCAGGAAGACGACGACTTCCCCATCGGCGCGACCGGTCTCGACGTAGTGCCACTGGACGACTTCGTGGTCTCCCGGTGCAGACACAAAGTGGTGCGTAAACACTTGCCCGTCCAACTCTTCCGTATCGCCTTCCTTGTCGCCAGGTCGAGGCTTGACGTGAGCAAACGAGGCCGTCTCACGCTTGATCTTCTCCTCGTCCGGCATGAACTTTTCGACAATCTTCTGCGCCCTCTCCGGCAACGGGGTGTATTCCAAAGTCGAAGGTTGTGCCATGGTTGCGGACGACTAAAATTCCAGATTGTTGGATCCTAGAGCTGTATCTTCAAGATGAATGATCCTGATCTCAAAAAAGTTCAAGTCCTGGGGAGGCGCTTGTTACTTCATAGAATAACTTCACTCTCCCATACCGTCAAGCATATTTAATGTCCGGTCGCGTGAGAAAAATAAAAGGGTCATCAGTACGGGGTCCTTCCTTGTCCGCAATGTGCTGCGACTATAAGCCCCGCGGGCTTCCGGGTTAAATACCGGGCAAATTGAGGCCTTCGCAGTTTTCGCACAGGAAGGGAAAGTTCCCCCCTCCTGACGCCGAGATTCTGGTATGAGGTTGGACGACATGACGTGAGACGATGCTCCACCCCCGCCGGACCGTTCTGGTCGAATGGCTGACAGTCTTGGTACGGAGTACGAGTACGAGGGGTCTAGATAATGAAGTCTTCCCCCTTCGAAAGGATGCAAAGATGAGCGTAGGATGGCTCGGCCTAATTCAATTGTTCCTGGTGGACTGTGGTATCTTGCCCCAGCCTCTCACGGACCCACGGCACCTTCCTCCGTGGCCTCCGCTTCTGGAACCCCATAATATTATCAAAATTAGTTGGCTAAGAACCAAGTTGATCGAAACATCTCTTGTGCCCTAGTGCCCTACATCCTAGACATATGTCAGCCAGATCGAGGGGAAGTGGTTCGGGCAGATTAACCTACAGAACGTATTATATATCAAGTGTTTGAAAGAAAAATACGATACTCGAATCTCTCCGAAGATGCATCATGCGCATCTACGTAGATCCCCCGGCCTCTCTTGTGTCTTGATATGTGATGTTGATGGCAATATCTGAACCACCTTAAAACCCAGGGAGAGTAGCCTGCAAGACCCTTGTCTTCATGCTTTGCCAATTCACACATAATGATCACAGTCAAAGAACCAGGTGCTGCGATTCAGCTCATACAGCGAACCGCTGTCAATGAGTTTCCAACAATCTTGAAGATATGTGCGTTACTGGTGAGTGCCCAGAACAATTCCCGATCACATGGCTTCAAGTAGAAGGATCAAGCTGAGGTTGGGAGATAGATCTTGCTGATACTGCCGAGCATCGCAATCTACAATGTGACACTCCACCCGCTTGCAAAGGTCCCTGGGCCCAAGTTGTACGCCATGTCGGATCTACCTCACCTTCACAAGCTGGTCACCGGCAGATGGCCATTTGAGTTGAAGAAACTCCACGACAAGTACGGACCAGTTGTTCGCTTTGGCCCAAATGACGTGTCCTTCACCTCGCCCCAGGCGTGGAAAGACATCTACGGATATAGAACGGCCACGAAGAAGATCTTCATGAAAGATCTGCGTCTATACCGTGGAACGCTCACGAGTTCTCCCAACATCCTCATCGCCAACGACGCAGACCACAGCCGGATGCGACGGCTGTTGTCGCACGCGTTTTCCGAAAAGGCTCTTCGCAGTCAAGAGGATCTCATGGAAGTGTACATCGGCAAATTGATCTCTGCGTTGCGAAACCGAGCCGAGAACGGGGTCGGGGGAGGCATTGTCGACATGGCCAAATGGTACAATTTCTTGACTTTTGACGTCCTGGGCGACCTGGCGTTCGGCGAGCCGTTCGGGTGCCTCGACAGCGGCGGCTATCATCCCTGGGTCGAACTCATTTTCCTGGGATTCAAACTGGCTTCGTACATGCAGGCGATCAAGCGGCACCCTTGGTTGATGCCGATCGTAAAGTTGGTCCTGCCGCGCGATCTGATCCGGAAACAATCTGACCATCAGAAGATGAGCTTCGAAAAGGCGAAACAACGCGCCGAGCTCGGCCCCAAGGACCGTCCCGATTTCATGTCCCACGTGCTGCGGGCCAACGATGAGCAGGCAATGACGTTGAACGAGATGGGGGAGAATGCCAACATCCTCATCGTGGCCGGCAGCGAGACCACGGCGACATTGCTCAGCGGAACCACCTTCTGGCTCCTCAAGAACCCAGGGTCCTACAAGAAGTTGAAGGACGAGGTTCGATCTGCTTTCCAAGACGAAAAGGAAATCAACTTGCAAGAAGTGTCGCGGCTTCCGTATCTACTTGCCTGTCTGAAGGAAGGTCTTCGAATGTTTCCCCCTGTCCCATCCGGTCTTCCACGGCTGGTTCCCGAAGGAGGTGCTTTTGTCGATGGGACATGGTTACCAGAAAAGGTATGCCGCTGGCAGAGTCTTGTTGTCCTTTTGAATCTTATGATGCTGACGCACAAAAAGAAATCAGTGTCGGTCCCCCATTGGGCGACGTACCATTCCGCCTCAAACTTCACCCTCCCAGACTCATACATTCCTGAAAGATGGCTTGACGACCCTCGCTTTGCCCATGACAACACCGACGCCTTGCAGCCATTTTCATATGGTCCACGAAACTGCCTGGGCATGAAGTGAGTATCCTTTTGCCCTGGTACTGTACCCTCAATAGGCATGCTAATCTCGTTCACGTAGCTTGGCGTACGCTGAAATGCGACTGGCCCTAGCACGGGTAATTTACAACTTCGACTTTGAGCTTCAGCCCGAGAGCCGTTCGTGGGACAAGGCGGACATCTTTGTTTTCTGGCAAAAGGGTCCCTTGAATGTCAAGATAACACCCCGCAAGCTCTGATTCGGGGTCGAAAGAACTGGGGGCTGTACATGATGAAAACTACTTTGACGTACCTACGTAGCGAGTCGCCATGTAGAGTGAATTGTTAGGGGGCCGACGTGGACATCTGTCACACTGCACGCAGGAATGTTATTCGAGGGAGTGCCATTCGAGGTTATGAATTAAGAAAAGTGGGAACAAATGCCAAAGTAATGAGTTCCCATCTCTCACCGGGAAATTTTTCATGCTGTCTGTCTGCACCTACAATACCGACCGCCTGTTCTGCCAATCTGCTTATTGCCAGACTGGTCGTCTTATTAACTCCGTCCTTTGACGTGTAATGTTTTAATCCGACATGAATAGACTCAAGTGCCTCACACTCGAGAGCACCTGGTAAGGCAGAACTCCTCGCGCTGCAATAGGGGTTGATAACCTGAGTTTTGGGTGGAATGGCATGATTGTTCCCCTTCAGTGCGCGAACAAACCAATTTTCTTCCCTAATAGACGTCCAGTGGATATGATGTTCCAGCAACTGTGTCGTAGAACATTGACCTTCTTCCTGGACTCCACGGGGCAGATCCGTCTGCTTTCAACGAGCATTTTCAATGTATTCGGGACTTGGCTTCTCGTACTTTGCGCAGAAGAAACGTTCGCTGTTTCGTGACAACCAATTCGTAAACTTGAGCAGCTCAGCTTTCAAACGGGCAACTTGATCTTGATCCAAGTTGGTTTGAGCAGCAATCTCTGGCATGTTGGCTGTTAAAGATTAGTATAAACTGCGGCAAGAGACGACACGGGACACCTACTGAGCATTCGAGCAACGAATTCGCCGCCGTAACAATCTCCTGGTCCTTTTCCTTCCCACTCCGGGTATTTACCAGACTCCCACAGTTTACGCATCTGTTGTTAATCATTAGCCTCAGAAACACAGTTGTGATCGCGTACGACGAACCTCTGCCAATTGAGGGCGTTCAAACCGATACAATAACAATTTGCCGATGGTCTTCTCGAAGTAGATCTTCAAACCAGCGACGAACTCCTCCAGGATATCAGCTTCCGCAGAGCCTATCATCCGATTTTGCTTTTCTTCATTAAAATATTCGTCGAAAATGAAGTTGGCTGGGGTCTTGCTCGGAAGGGGGACGAGTAGCATTGACTTGGTGACATTTTCCCAGTCATCGACGAGAAGGTTCTTCAGGTGGTCAGGGATGGTGAAACGAATTGAGGGGCGATTGTAAAATGCATCTTCCTGTGCAATATTAAAGTACTTGTTAGGATCTAGCTCTTGATGGGGCAAAACGACAAGGGGTCCATGTTCAGCAAATGTGATTGTGGCCTGCGGTGTTTCTGCGGTAGTGATTCCAATTTGGGTCAAACATAAGCATAAAGATATCCAACAGCGTTCCAGACAGTGAAGGGGATGGGCAATCCAGCAGAGTTTTATGCCGGGACTGAGTTGTTGGCCATTGCTCTCAATATCGGCCATGAGGCGCCCATAGACTCGTTCTGGGATAACGCGGTTTGGGTCTGTCCATAGGGCTACTCAATGGATTTCCTCGGTTCAACGGGGCGGCGACCTGGGGAACCGGTGGAGGACCAAGGTTGGGGCTTCCTGCAAGACTCGCCATCGGGGTGGGTGCGCGACGGGAAGAATGTTCGAATTTGTGTCTGGGTCGTAATTCTCGTCCGGCGAACTGCAAATCTCGTCGAGCACTTCCGGTAGACGACGTTCTGCGATCATTGAAGATCGGATATTGAGTAGACGGCTTTGAGAGAACCTCTTCAGGAGGGTTTTGGTCTTCAGGATCAGTGATGGTGGCGTCTGAGTCAACGTCAGAGATTGTGGCATCTGAAGCAGCCGCGCTGGTCCTCGCGGGTGGAAGTGGAGGTGCAGGGCCTCTTTCCATTCTCACGGCGCGAATAAAGTCATCGACAATCCTTCTTTCTTTCTTGGTTTCGTTGATGAGACCATCATCATCAGACTCATCCACCTGAAGTGTACGCTTGAGCTCGGGACGAAATGGAGGCAGCTTAGGGTTTTCGCGGTCATCTGGCATGATAGGCGTTTCTTCGACGTAGGTATGATAATTGCCCACGAAACTAGTGGAAGTATTCGATGACGCCCTGAATTTCGTGACTCTTCCAGCTCGGTTCTCTTTCAAAGCTTTGCTAGCTTGTGTCTCTGCATTGTTGAATCCTGTCGCACTGCTATTGATAGGGATAGGTGCTTGACGTTGATGATAAGAGGTCTCGGCACGTTTGGTAGTTGTGGAAGCATTTTTGTCGAGTTTGGTCGACGACCGAGTACGAACTTGGCTAGTACTCCTCTTGTTAGGTGTTGTCATCTTCCTAGGTCCCGATGCTTTTACCGGTCCCGAAGTCTTTGCAGGTGCTGGTGAATTTCCCGGTGCTGGTGCTTTTCTAGATGCTGGTTTGGTTGCCGGTACCGATGGCTTTGTATGCCCTAGCAAACGAGAGGTAGCTTGGACGGCTGCACGGCGTGGGACATAAGCCACCAGATCGAGGTTTGGATTGTCACTGAGGACAGGGTCTCTCCGCTTCTTCCTCTGAACCGCCGCTTTGCCATCGTTGTTCGCAGGATTGTCATCCATCTTGTCTTTCAGGTGCGAGGATCAAAGTGCTTTGTGTTACTTTGAACAAAGCTGTAGCTGTAGCCTTTGTCTAGTTCCCAAAAATCTTTTGTGTCGGTGTTTTGACGATCTTTGCTCGAGGAGAAGAAGGCGTGATTCAGATGAGTCCAGTGACTGTACGTGGCACGATGGGGTTCACGAGGAAAGATCCACAGGACAGGTATTCCAAGGCAGGGCAGTGTCTTCCTCACGGGTATCCAAAGCAGATTGCAAACAGCAACACGGGATAGTTGCGAATCAAGGACCCAGTGACGGGTGAATGAGAGATTTTTGGGATCAACACACACCTTCTCAATGTCGTTATCTCTGGCACGCTTAGTGCCTCTTCCACCTGCAGGAACAGATGATGTGCGTTCTTCACTGCCTCGACCTGAACCGAATTCTGATCCTTGGCCACGACGGGTTTTGCCTGTTGACTTTGGTGGTGCCTTGCTCACAGCTGCGGTGGCCTCGCGTCTCAGATTGGCTGCAAGTTCGCGATTGTCGTCTGTGAGTTTGCGCAGGCGATCCTGAGGCACCCAGTCGTCCCAGCTAACACGGGAATATCGTCAGCGATTTCTTTTTCCGGGTTCCAAGGGATTTGTCTCGATGATCAAGGGGAGTGGAGTTTTTGAGGGTATTGTTTTGGAAGAGCAAGCGGCGCGACAGTGAAAAGAGACATTTTGTGAACAACACTGTAGGGCGGTGAATGGGGGTCGCGAGGCTGTTACTCGCTGCCACTTAACCCGTCGCGATAGGTGCGGCGAGTGTGCCAGGCAGTGCAGCCTTACCATCACCAGGACAGGGACGCGTAAGATGCAGTGAAACTTAGGGCGGTAATGAACTTACGTATTCTTCCATCCTTTGTAATGGACTCGGTACTCGTGTGCTGATGTCTTGTCTTTTGGGTCGACTCGCCGGACTTCCAGGACCTTGGCTTCATAGAGTAATTCTCCATGAAAGCACAAGGCCTTTTCATCTTTCTGGTACATTGGCTTCGTCTCTGATGATTGCGGTGCCATGGCGATTAGATTGATATCTGATGAAAATCGAGGTCTTCGAGAAGGGCGAATTGAACGAGACAGGGGAGTGAAACGGAAAAAAAATCCAACTGTGCGCCCTCAGCAAACGAAAGCTTGCGCTAATGCTATCAAATACCCATCCGATACTCAACTTGAGTTCGGGCAAGACGAGGAACGATTTGATTGAGGTGTTATCAAGAGACTCGAGGAGGCGTACGGGAGTAGTGAATTGGTAGGTCCAGACCGACCACAACCTCAGAAAGTTGACCATCTCGAAAAGACCCCTGGATGCTGATTGGCTCGCTGCGACGCGTTCCAAAGGCCACTTTACACCACGTCCGCATTCCATGTTCTATATTGACAACCGGCAGAAGACTAGCAACAGTCGTCAGTTTGGAAGTCTTCAAGAAAAAAGAGTCGCCTATCGATATTGGCCTTCCCTGACAAGAGGATCCAGTCACGGCATACCGGACGACCAACCCCAATTCACTCTCATCATTTGCATCAGAAAGATTTGTTCAGCCTTGGTCTTCAAGGAACACATTGACATCTTTTGGCAACTTCTGACCCAACTCTGTCAATCAAATCTGTTTTTCGGGCCATTGGCATCACTTGTCAAGAATTCTCAGTCGTGGTTATTGGCATCGATGATCCGTTGACCCTCAAAGTTTGAATATTTTGATTTTTGGCGAGGCATATCGCACCCACCACATCTTGCAGTCTGTTGACTGTGTACGTACAACTGGCCTCTGCAGTCGGGGGGCATCACCTAGGCATCACTCGACACCTTCTGCAGAGCAGACTGTTACAACTACGCATCGACCACGAAAAAAGAGGAGAAAACAATGCCACCACCAAACGAACGTCAAATCTTGACATCTTACCTCCTCCACCCATCTCCTTTACCGACAATCCTCCCCTACGCCTCTTTTCAATCCCTTTTTCCCTCTGCAACGAGCCGCACCACCCACAAGGACATCAAACCGTTTTATCGAAACCTTCAATCCCAGCGCGATGGCACGCTAGACGATGTACGCCGCCGGATACGTGATGAATGCCGACGCAGCACGTTCCTGACGACCCGTCTCGCGAGACAGATCACCAGGGAAGAACAGTCAAACCCAACTAGCCGAAAACGTAAATGGTCAGAAACGACGACGACGACGAGAGACCAAGAATGTGACGACACCTCCAGTGTGGATTCAGATATCGAAGAAGAAAATCCACGACTTAACGACAAGGACAATTCTGACTACACAGATGTCGAGACTGACAATCAAGTCGAAGTGGATTTGGATACCCGTCTACATGGCCCCCACGGTTCGACGATCCCTTCGACCACGGCCCGACAGCACCACGGCGCGACATCTCTCCTCGACGCGATGAAGACTGCAAGTTCCGACCTTCAAGACGAGATATCGTCTCTCGAGGCCCAAATAGCCGCCGTACAGGCCCAGTGCCAGGAGAGTCTGGGTAACCTGAGTGATTTACGATACGGTCGGTTCTCGCAAACTCGCGTCAGTGCACAACAGAGTGGTGTGGATGGACGCAACGACGACGGCACGTCAATACATTCGCAGCAGCAGCAGCAGCAACAGGGCATTGAAAAGGAAGTGGTCGATGCCCTCGCAGAGTTCAGGGCACGGTTGCAGACTGTGTAAATAGAACTTGTAAAACTGTTTACATATCGAATAGTAATGACTACCAGGATGACTGAGCGAGGACGGACGATAACAATACTCTTCTCGTAAATTGATATATATTTGACCGCTTTCGTATCCACTGTCAATGTCTTCTTTGCATCCGTTTCAATTTCGTGGAAACAACTATAATGGATAATGAAAATAACTCCCCAGCTGCCTCCTTGGGTCCATCATCGTCATATTCGCATCCTGACATATCGACCATGCTGTTCACAGGGTATAGATACCCACACTCAAAATACCCATCATCATCACTCTTCGAACTTGATCCTCACCACATCATTCTTACTTTTGTCGTCTCTAACCATACAAATAAAATCAACTTGAGTATAATCCCCTACTTGTGCGCCTCAAGAACCTTATCCATCTCCTCGGGACTGCCCATAAAGATACCCGATCGGTCGTGGATGCTCGTAGGCTTGACTTCCAGCATCCTCTCCATCTTCGAGTTGACCGCCTTCCCACCTGCGTTCTCCATGACCATCGCCATGGGCGCGCATTCGTACAAGATTCTCAGCTTGCCCTTGGGACTCTTCTTGTCGGCAGGGTATGCGAAGATACCGCCGTACAGGAGCGTCCGGTATGCGTCTGCAACCATTGACCCGATGTATCGTGCCGAATAGGGCTTGCCACCTTCTTTCGCGGGATACTTTAGAGACTCAAAGTATGCTTTCGTCTTGTCGTCCCAATAAGAGCTGTTTCCTTCGTTGACCGAGTAGATTGCCCGTTTACTGGGGATGCGCATGTCGGGATGTGTGAGGATGAATTCACCCAGAGAGTTGTCCTATAGTGACCACACGGTTAGCAATGTATTCTTTGGGGGACATCGATCGCGGAAACGTACCAAGGTGAAGCCGTTGACCGTACCACCCTTCATGGTGATGACCAGTTGAGCCGAGGCACCGTACATGGTGAATCTGGGCACAGAGTATGTCAGTATTTCTTATTTTCTCAGTAAGGTGAAGAACAAAATCGTACCCAGCAGCAATCAACTCCGTTCCTGGCATCAGAAGATCCTCGGGCTTAGGCTTCTCTCCGACAACGCTGTCCGGCAGCTTCATGATACCAAAGATCGTGCCCACACTGACACCAGCGTCGAGGTTACTCGAACCGTCAATTGGGTCGCAGGCGACTACGTATCTCGCATTTGGGCTTTCGTCAAAGTATATGATATCCTCCTCCTCTTCCGAGACCAGTGCTCTGCATTTTCCGGAGCCTTTCATGGCGGCAACGAACAGATCATTTCCAATGACATCCAACTTCTTCTGGTCGTCACCGGTTGTGTTTGAAGAGCCGGCCAGACCGGTCAGGTTGATCAATGTGGCTCGACGGATGTAGTAGGAGATGGATTTGAAGGAAAACTGGAGGGCGTGGCATAGTAGTCTGCAGATATCATGTCAGTCCCATGCCTGTAGTGTACGGCGCAACCAAGGGGAGAGAGGAAGGACTTACGTAAAGTCACCAGTTGCTTCCTTGTGTTTTGATTGCTCTTCAGTCAGGAAGCGTGTGAGGGTGACAATCTCGGTGTTGATTTTCTCAGAGCCCGTGCCAGTGGTGTAGCCATTGGACTCGCCGTTACCGTTGGCAGCCATGTTGTCGGTAGAGTAGGAAGTTGGTTGAAGAGCAAAGCACGCGAGATTTTCAAATCCGGGGAAATGGAAACAACCAAGTCGACGTCACGATCGGATGAGGGTTGTGGGTAGCTGTAGGGCTTTGTACACGAGAAGCACAGGTGATATAGACACGCAAGATTGTGAGATGGCAGACAGTAGAAGAAGAAGATTGAGCGAAATGGGACAGAGTAGATTCAATTGTAATTGCCAACGAAGGATTCGAGGAATGTTTATCATTCCGAACAGCCCCATCTTTCGGGTAGTCGAGGCATTGCTTTCACACACGAGAAGGAATTGTTTCGGGAAGGGGGAGCAGGAAGGCAAAGACCAATTGTGGATGACACTCCGCATGCCAGATGCGTGATCCGAACAATCTCAGTCAGTTCGAGCTCGAGGGACGCAGTAATGGATGAGAGCAGATGAGGGGCCATGACCTCAACTGTCGCCGAGGTCACCACGCTTCCTGTTTCTCCCGATTTGCCCCCAGCATCGCTGCGTTGGAGGTGTTTGGAGGGGCAATTGGAGGGCGCTTCGGGGCATCTAAGAACGCTGAGTTTCTCCCGCAAACACCCGCATCTCTAATATCTCGGCCTTTCAACACCGAGCAACCAGAAATGCAGGCGCAGGCACGGAGTAGCACAGTCCTCCGGTACGAGGAGTATTGCTTCATCTTGGTCATCAGTTATCATCTTATTCACCAAGCCTTGCCCCTATATTGATTAAGTACCATCGTGTAAGAATCTCTCATCACTGAATCTCTTGTAAGAGTCATTTTCCACGCTGCTGCTGACGTCCAACACATACGACAACAATCTTGCAAATCCTACCCTATCCTCGCTTCTTGATCCCACTGCCCCGGACATGTACCCAGGGCGTAGCGGAAGGAAGGTCAAGCAACCAACGGTGCATGTAATCTTGTCGAAAATCCCGTCTCGCGTATCTAATACGGCACGTCCCTAGTCTCAATATACGTCTTCCGCACACATCTATGCTTCGTTGAGCTTCTCTGCTCGTTGGTAGAACTCTGGCATGGGTTCGAGCTTCTGCCTCAAAATCCACGTCTTGAAGTGCCAGACGGCATTCTTCAACTGGTAACTCATGTGCTTGCGTGTGCTAACACCGAATACTTGATCGAGTTCTTCCAGGGTGAGTGCCTACAATTCATCATTAGTACCGCCCTTAGACCCAGCCGGCCAAGTCCTGTGCGACGTACCTTGGTCTCAGGGACGAAAAGCAAAATCAAGAACCACAATATGATACACCATGCACCGTACCAGCCAAATGCACCTTGTGGCTTGAACGCGGTCAACAGATGTGGCCACGAGAAACTCAAGATGAAGTTGAAACACCATGTTGTTGCCGTGGCCCAAGACATGCCGACATCACGCACGTGGACTGGGAAGGCCTCGGCAGAGTAGGTAAACGGGACTGGCCCTTCACCAGGAGAGTAGAAGACCTCTGCGAATGATCAGCAATCTGTTTCGACTCGGATATCATTGGGAAAGACATGTTTCCTCACCGAACAGGTACATTCCGGTAGTCACCATGCCGACCTTGGCCTTTGGCGCCTGGAACCAGAAGCTGAAGCCGGTCCACAGCAGAAAGATGGCAAGGAAAGGGAAGGTAAACAGCAATAAATTTCTCCGACCCCATTTATCGATCGTGAACACGGCCGGAATGGCAAAGACCCAATTCAAGATGCCAGTGCCCATAGACGCCAATAGAGCAGAGTTGGTTGAGTATCCTGATTCGATAAAGATCTGGAATTTGTTAGCAAGTCTTTCGGGTACGATCGAAACGAGGCTCGAAAGCGTACCGTGGTGCTGTAATAAGCAATGACGTTGACGCCACAGACTGCAATCCGTCAGCAACGAGGATCGACGCAGAAAGGCACCGAGAAGAGTACTCACATTGCTGTCCAAACATGACGATCCAGCTCGCCAGAGTCGCTCGTCGATTGCGAGGCACAGTAAACAACTCGACGAATTGAGTGAACAAGTTCTTGCCTCGGTTGGCTTTTCGTTCCAACTCGACACCCACATAGGTATAGTAGGTATCTCGAGCAGCCTGAAGATCGCTGTGTCTCAAACGCTGGAAAGAACGGAAAGCCTTCTCGGGCCGTTTATGTTGAATGTACCATCTGTCATTCCATTTTAGTGACAAGCCGCAATTGCCATGGACCGCTTCTCCTTACCTTGGGCTTTCGGGACAGAAATATACCTGAGCGCACACAATGAGAGGAAGAACGACAGTGCTACCAAGCATGAGTCTCCAGCCGAGATCGGGAGCAAGTCCGCCGAAAGCGACGCCCATAATGTTCCCCAGCATGATACCTGGAACTTGGTTAGAGACGGTCTCAATGCCGACGATCGAATTGTGCGGTGGAATACTCACCAAAAGCCGTCCACATTTGCCACATCATAACCAAGGCGCCTCGAATAGGGGCCGGTGCACATTCGGCCGAATACACGGGAACGGTGGAAGATTTTGGACCAATGCCCAGACCTGACACCAAGAATCAGTAGAGTGCATGGTGATCCAGAGGTGAGGTCACCATACCGAGAACAAATCGCGCCAGGAACAGATTGACCCAGGAATTGGCAACACCTTCCCAAATGGAGGCCACCGCAGCGATGAAGCAGGATATGAAGATGGTGCCTCGACGAGCAAAAACTTTGTTGCAGGGCTCAGTCAACCAGCAACCGAGGATCGCACAGCACAGATACTAGATTTCGGCTCCGTCAGTGGATGGATCATGTCAACGAATGATGACAACTTACCGGGGCGCCAACAACAAGGCCCGTCAAGTTGTCTACCATGTCCTTTGAGAATCGATCTGTGGTAATATTGAGTTGCTTGAGATACAGTGCCTGGGCGCCGTTGTTGACCGTCTCATCCATGCCTTGCACAGCAGCGGCGAGGGAGCACATGATGACGAGCCAGTACAAGGTCAATGGTTGATTCCATCGATGAGTATGTTCCCTCAGGAGAACCTCGTGGTCCTCCGGGGTCAGTTCACTGATGGACTGAAGCGCATGAGGGTTCTGGGCGACCAATGCACCTTTTCGGAATGCGTCGACATATTCCATAAGATTGTTGTCTTTGCAGAATGTGTCAACCTCGGTCAACAGCTGTTCTTTGGGAATGTCACTCAGAGGGTTCTCGAACGCGGCACTGAGGTGCCCGGTGTCGACATCGGTAAAGCTCTTCTTGCGTGGTCGGTCAACATTTTCGACATTGGTGGTGTTTGCGCCGGTGGCCGTCCTCTCGCTAGAGTGAGAGCGCTTCTCGTTGGACTCTTGGATCTTTTCGTTATCCGCCATGATGGCCTGGCATATGCAGTCTTTTTTCGTCTGTGTCAAGTCAATGCGCCGCTGATGGACGAGAGAATTGGCGTGGAGGTATTGCTTCCTGGGTGGACACAGACACACGGGGTCTTATGGGAAGATACAAGAGATATAAGCAAAGTCAAGAGAACCAAGAACGGTCCCACGGTAATTCTTGTACGTCTTATCTCTTCACCCAACAAGTACTCATTATTGTTGCAGTCGGTTGCACGGCAAAGGGCCCTTGCCGCAGGATACCCACCCAGAATACCGCAGGAGGGACGACGACGTCATAGTTTTGATACAAGCGACTATTGTTTGGGAGGGCTAAAATGCGTTTAGTTTCTTTTTTTGGTTGTTGGTGGGAGTTTTTGAGCTATGAACATGGATGGGTCCTTGTAGCCTCGTACTTTGGTGTGTCTGTGCTGGTGGGCCGCCTTACGACTACGAGTACTCCGTACTAGTATTCGATTGTAACGGGGAGCACGAGGAGAAGGATTGCGGAGGTGGTGGGAGACACAAGCTCCATGAGACATGTTATGGAGCACGGGGAGTATATTGGAGTACTGGAGTACGTTACTCGTGCTTGCAAACAGTCGATCGAACGATGGGGGGCAAGGGATTTTCAGGTGTATTGAGCCTCTCACGGCACGGGAAGCATTTCAAAGATGGTCAGGCGGAATGTCGATCCAAGGCGACAACGTGCCATTGAAGTGTGTCGATCTTTGTGTGAGAGGACGGGAAGTATCCAAAGCACATCCCCCTTGTCTTCTACTAATAACGAGTATAGTAGTGATCAGAGGTTATTCACGGAGAATTCCTTTTGGAGGATCCGGCACGGAGTACATAACAACACTGTACTCGTACATACTATTGTACTTGTATGTAGGGCCAACGCCCTTTTTCCACCCCACCTTGTGTCAAGTCCAAAAAGGCGGGTTGAATTACGCATACTCCGTATGGAGGATGGGGAGTAGAGAGGAAGGCTATAGTTTCCGTTATCCGTACAAAAGTATCGCATACCACACAATAATTTGTGCAATAATGTATACTTGGTACCTAGGTAGCTACGAAGTAGGTACACCGGTAGTTTCAGGTACTGAGTATGAGTACGAGAACTTTTTATCGTGAAGGTGAACAGGTTTCGATCTCCATCTGTAATTTCTCTTCTGAAGACGGATATGAATATCTATGGTAATTTGGAGCGCTGAGCTATGCAGACAAGCCCGCCCCCCCGACATAACCGAGAGAGAGAGAGAGAAGGACGGCAGGTAAAGGAAACCTTTTGTCGATCATGATACTTACCAGCAAATATTACAGGTAGTGTGAAGATGCCCCAGGGTTGTAATTTTTGGGTTTCGATATACGGATATTCGATGACAAGGTATGACGTATGCACACCTACATACAGTACGAATACGGAGTACGGAGTACACACATGACTTGTCACTGCGAACAACTTCTTTCTCATTTTAGAATATTACCTTGCTTACGGGTACAGTATTTACTCTGTACGATAATAATCCAGTATTCCTCAGTTGCAAGGAATATCAATCGACTTTAATGTTCGGTTAGTCGGCAAGCATGTATATTCGTCCCACGGTTTCAAGTGCCAATTCCAGGATCCTCTTTCGAGCCAACTCGACTTTCTCGTACTCGTATTCGTTGTTTTATTATCAAAGGGGATCAGAAAACAGGTGATGGTCGTGGTCCCATGCACACACACACACACACACACACACACACACACACACGTGGTGTCGAGGTGGTAACTCGTAATACTCCGTACTCCGTGTCAGATGGTTACCTGGTTACCTAGGTACCTAGGTAGGTACGGTAGGTATCAATGTTGTAACTCGCATTGATTTCTAGATCGGGGCAAAATCTCAAAGCGGCGTACGCGAATACGACCAAAGGCATACACTTTCTTCTTACAGTATGCCACCGAGTAAAAGTAGGAGAAGGAGCCAATTCACCAAAGGACTTGTCATCATTGACCCATTACTGGTAGGCCCCATTAATCCATTCATCGTCATCATATGTATCATATCAATTGGCATCTCTCATACTTACACATGTATCCCAAATCATCCCTCCTCTTGCATGGATTCATCCCATCCACCAATACTCTCCAAAAACTCGTGCACCTGTTTCTTCTTGCCTTGCAACGCACTACCTAGCGCATCCAGCCACTGTTCCTCAATCATGCCAACTTGCTGCTTAAGCTCAGCCGTCGCCGACGCTTCTCGTTCTTCTCTTGCCAGTCTCGGGTCTGCCTTATCATCCGAGGGCCCATCATTGACAAGTTGCTCACAAGCCCTCGCGGCCTCTGCAGCACGGATTTCCGCCCCTATGAGTACCCCTTTCACCTCGTGCAGCAAACAGTGCAGGTTGATCTGAGATTCAATAAACTGGTACGTGGATTTCTCCGCGTGGTCGAGGAGAGTGTACAAGTACTGCTGAGGGTATTCGTGATACGTGGGGTTCTCCAGATACTCGGAATCCGGGATTGCGATCGGACCCAGTTGGTACATCTCGTCTGGGATCTTCTGTACCATCTCGAGTAGATTGGGCGCGATGTCCCAGAACGATGACGATTGCAATTCCACCTCTTGCCCGACGTTCTCGGCGACGAGTCGGACAAAGTTCCGATGACGGTCAAGAGACTCTTCGCAAAAAATCCTTCGACGGCCGAGGCTATCTCGCGCAAAAAAGTCCTCGGTGTCTCGAATCTTTTCCAAATTACCGGCTTGATGGTAGGGTAACAACACAATTGCCTTGTACTTGTCGTTTCGTGTGCTCAAAAGATCAAAAATTTCCTTGTGAATGGTTTCTCGAGTCTCAAACAACCACTTGAGTTGCGTGAGATATTCGAGAATTTCAGGCGTCGCATCTCCCTCTTGCTGGGGTCGGTCCAAGTTCGAAGTGTGCATTTCCGCTACAAGATTTTCCACCAAGTCATTAATGTTGTTGTTAAGTTGTGTCGCCCGCTCATTTAGCATGTCATGCATCGGATTTATGACCACGTCCTGAAGCGTATCAAACTCGGCTTGGAGGCATCCCTTCTCGGCGGCACGCTCATCTAGTCGCAAGGCGTGTTCGGCTTCTGCCGCATCTGCATAGGTAATGCTGCCCTCTTCGATTTGCTGCTGGATATTCGCTTTGAATGCTTGTCGCCCTTCTGACATTCTCCGTTGGTGTTCTGCTCGCAGTGCCTCGACGCTGAGATCATGCCGACCTCTCCGTCGCTGTATCTCACCGAGATCGCTCAATTTTCGGACGGCGTTCCGGTATGTTATCAACTTAGGATGGCTGTTATTGACAGCTGGGTGATGCCTCGGGTACGGAGGTGGAAGGGTGATGAACCTGGAGATGTCCATGGCAGTGGGCTCGTACGTATTTTCGGACGTTTTGTCAAAGGTCGGATCGATCTCATCACCTTCATAGATGCCGAATGACTCTGGGTCGGCTTTTTCTGCAGGGTACACGTCCTCACCCCTATACAGCTCGTCGAGATTGGTAGGCGTGTCAGCTTCAGATAATACCTCTTGAACCGAAAGCGCGGGTAACCCCATGTATTTGGATTCCCTCTTAGATCTCTTCATCTTTTTGGGTCCGCCCTCAACTTCTGAACCGCTTTGAGATTGCCACCAGCGACTTGCAGTTCGGCCTCGAGAGCTAGCTTCATCATTGCTCATGCTCGCTATCGGAGACAGCGCCGGGCGATATTCTTTCCACCATGATGTCTCTGGGTTTTGGCTACCAAGGAAAGCCCGATCCTTGTCAAAAGCAGAAGTCGGTGCTCCCTCAATGGCTACCTCCTGGAACATTTGCGCCTTTAAGATCGATGGATCAAAACCCCCATCCACAAATGCTGAACGATACCTTTCTCTTCGGATCTGTGACTCTGCAACGACGAAAGCCATGAAAAGTTGCAAACGCTCCAGATCTGTAGTTGCTTGGCTTTCGCGAAGGAGGAACTCCTCGTGTCGACGAGAGGCCTCCCTGGTGAATTCTTCGGTTCCACCCGGTACAATATCGCCAACTGACGAAGCATTGGAAGGGAGAGCGCTGTGGGCAGACATGGGATTTCTGTGGCTCAGGGGAGGGGTTGGGAGTGTTTTAGGGGGTAAAAGAGGCGTAAGCGGCTTGCTGGATCCTGTACGGGAACCTGTACGGGAGCCTGTATGAGAGCCTCTGCGATCTGTCGCGGGTGTAGATGGCCCCGACAGAAGGGAATCAAGTGTTGGGGACTGATCAGTACTAATCCCACCGGGACTTCTACCATCCAGCCATGGATCTGTCTCGATGGTCAGCGCACTGAAATCAGTTTGAGATCCCTCATGGAGGCTGCGTCTATGTTTTCGCCGCTCAAGAAGACCCCTGGCAGAAGATACTCGCATCGCCGCGCTTCGACTTAAGCCAGCTGTGTTGACGCTACTGCGATCCAAGTTGGAAGTCTCGATGTGGAGCGCTATTGGAGCTCGGGAATTGGATCGCGAAGTCGAGTCGTCCCTCCAATTAGCTGGCGTAGGCGGCATTGGACTCAGAACTGGAGCATGAACGGATGCTCGATGATGAGAACGAGTATTTGATCCTGATGCTTGACCCTGAGACAACATTCGCACTCCCGTTGCACTCTGTGATCTAGTGGCTGGTGGCGGGGGCCCAGGAGGTGGGCCAGGTAGAGGCATTCCGGGTTGCCAACTACGCTGTTTCGATGACGATCTTGATGTAGAGCCTCCATAGCCTTGGCTACTTGAGGTATGCGAAGAGGTTGCACCAGCAGACGCGGCTCTTCTCGAAGATGGAGGGAACGCTCCAGGAACGTTTTCGCCATCTTGTAGTATAGCAGGCAAGAAGCTTTTCTGAGCAGCGGCAGTATTGATCGAAAGACTCGCTATCGAAGCTGGCCTCGCAACAGCAACTGCGGGCGACGACCGAGCGTCAACATGGTCCATGCCCATGGTGATTCGAGCTATTCGACTATCGATGCCAGTGACTCGAGCTGCACTGCTCGAATGCTGAGTCACTTTGGGAAAACTCGAAGGGACACCGCTGCCATTGTCTAAGGAATACGGTAACTGTGTGAATGGCGATACCACACCCACAGTGCTGGCAGGTGTGCCTATCCTGGATTGATTCCCGCCGGTAAACGTTGAATCTGCAGGAGAGACGGTGGAGCTGCCACTTGTGACAACAGCCTCTCGAGCTTGCGGAGCAGTATACGGTGGTGGAGGATTTGACATGCCATCTGCAATAAAAGCGCAATCAGTCCCTGTGTTTGAATGTCATAGGTATTCAGAAGACATTGAGCACCTTCGGGTTGACCTTCCGTAGGTCGAGTTTCCACAACCATCGACGACCTCCGACTGCCCTCAACCCATTCCCTCGGATCATATGGAACATTGTAATGCGACGAGGTCGACGCTCTTCCGGCCATGGGCAACACCGTCCTTGGGCTGGGGCCGGGCGAGGACGCGTAGATGGGAGAAAATGGGCCATGCAAAGATGTCGCGGAAATCGGCGTTTGCGTGAAAATGGGACGCGAAGTAGCATTAATGGTCAATGGGGACGGGATTGCAAGACTTCTAGGTCGGGCTGGAGAGGCTGCAGACTGGCCATCCCTGGGTGGAGGAGGAGGAGGAAAGGCAACAGTACTTGGGGAGTATTGCGCCTGTTCACCGACGGACCACGGTCGACTTTTGAGGGGTCAGCTTGTGGGTGAAGCGTGTTTTCAAGAAGCCCAGACGTACATGGACATGATGGACGTTTCATACAGAAGAGCGTTCTTCGAAAGATAGCCAGTCCTACAACATTGGTGGGCTAAGCGCCGACCGGCTCCACGTCACAGTTGGGATACACCGCATGGCGTGGGCAACAGCAACCGTTTCAAAGATAGATTCGGAATGTGATATAGCAACAAGTAAAGCAGACTCGAAACGCCAAAACGCAAAGAAAGGGTAAAGTCTGGTGATGATCAAGCCAACGCTTGGTGTTTGAATCCGGGGGATTGGGAATAGCAGTGTTCTATTCTTGCCCATGAGGCGGCCGCTAGAGAAAAGCTGCCCAGCAGGGTTCTCTGGTAAACAGCCATCCTGGTTGGAGACAGAGGATCTTGCGACAACGGAGACAACGTAGATTGGATCAGGCGGGACAGAGGTGCAGGAACCCTAGAAACAATGCGGGATGGCGCTGAGTTCTGAACATGTGTTGTAAGAAAGGCCAGGCGGCTATTTGTGAAGCCATGGCCAATGAAGTCGTCGGATACTGTGATCTCGCGGTCTCGGCCAACTTGCACTGACTGGGTTGTGCTAATCCCAAAGTGTCAAAGCGCAGCCAAGACTGCGTCTCGTGCTTGTATGATCTAACCCTCGAAATCAGTTCCTAAAGAAATCTGTTGTATTTATTTTTGCAGGGACAAAAAAATCTAGTTGAGTCAAGTCGTGTGTCCACAAGCTTTAGACGACACGCTTTCGTACTTGTGGCTATCATTTACATTACTCGTTCTTGGTTAATGTCACCGAGGTACAATTTCTTTGTCGACAGGGAGATGTTCTTGTCGAATATCCTTCTGGAGAGCCATGTCGAGATTCAGGGAGTTCCCATGCTTGATACGCGGCTAACCCGGTAGATTCGCCAATATCCTTCTCATACGATCGAATCCTACATGGCAAAAGGAATAGATCATGCAAGAGGTGGTAGAGACCATGCGGCACCATGCTGAAAAACATCCATGGTCACACCTTTGAGCGGTGGCAGGAGCCAGACTATCGAGGTGAGTCCGCAACATATCCTTCTCAGCACTGTGATGAATCTGCATACCGTAACAAACTAGAGTCTTTGACCCTTCGGGGAATGAAACTCAAATCGCATTGCACGTCAGTCTGATCAATCGAGTGTCTTCCACCACGCTGCATCCTACCTTCCTGTCCTGAAGCTGACTTCAAACGATAGTACTCTCCTGCGTTTTCTCAAACCTCGGGTGCTCTCGCCCTCCGACTCTGGTATGTGCCTTCCTTCCTTCCTTTGCTTCCTCGCCCACTCTCATGATGATTTTTTTTGAAAATATACGCTGGAAATTACCGGCTGAGGCTTTCGAGCCGTAGAAGATATCAAATGGCTATTCCTGATCGAGCATGTTCCACTTTGCATTCATTTTCACGGCTACTGTGTACAGCTGGCTGACGTTCAACAAAGCACCAACAGGTCTTTAAGATGGTATGGCTACCTTTTCGATCTCTCCTCCTGCGATCATTTGATGAATGGCACTGGGCGCCGACAGTCAACATATGACTGGTCTTGATGGAAATGCCTTATTGCGGCAGGCCTAGAAAACCTCGCCCACTGATTTCGGCACTTTTCTTCTGCTCTTTTGGATTCTTCTTGAAGTTCCCAGCTAAGAGACGTTATAGGCGGCCAAGTCGTTCAATACTTGTCAGGGGTAAGTTGTCAATTTCTTCCTCTTATTGCAACCTTTTCCATGATGAACTCTTCTAGATGACGAGTCTTATTCAGTCAACTGATGCAGACAAACACAAACTACCATTCATGCATTTCCTGAAACTACTCTCCTGCATTCATGTACATCGGTCGTTATCGCTGAACTTTACTGACCGGAACACCAGGTTTCGTGCTCACATCTCTTGTATGTGAAAAGTCCCTTGCTCGATCCCTCTGCAACATGATGAACAGACACATCCACAAAGACAAGCATATGTCCAAGTCGACGTTAGTTGACCAAGACGAGACTGTCATGCCTGATTTGCTGTTGAAATTTTCTTCGCGTCCAACAAACGCCTCAGACCTGGCACTAATACTGAATTTCCAGGTCCTTGTAGATATCAATGACATTTCGTGTAAGTCGCCCTTTCCTTCCTGTTATATTGCACATTCACATGATGATTTACTCTATTTTATCACGACGGTCAACGTAGCCAATGCATTGACGACCACAGCCTTTGACAGGGCTTAGATCTGAAAACCCCTCTGTTATTGAAAATCGTCATTGTTCGCTATTTGTCTGAAGCTGACCAAATGTTAACAGTGCTGTTCAAGAGAAGATTTGCCTTGCGATAGACCTAAAGTTGCAATACAGACTAGCAAAATTATTGATAATCTTTGTTGCATTTGTTCCATGACATCTTCACTTGTGCTTATTGTCACCTGGAACTTCACTGTCTTTCTGCCTCACGTCCAGATTACTTTGTTTTCATAATGTGCTTCACCTCGTTTCGTAATGACGCCGCTTTTTCACCGTTGTCTCACTCACCAACCCGTTCTCAGCACGCTTACCCATTCCCAACTTCGATATATCGCTGCTTTAGCATCCTCTCACACCCATCCCCATGTTGCCGAAGTTCACCCACACACATGGCTTCTCTAACTCCTCACGAGGACGAGAGTCGTGCCAGGACTCCTGAAGAGGACGAATGCGGGTTTTACTCAAAGAAACGATATGCCTATATCCTCGATCTCTTCCGCGAAGGTCAAGATCGAGACCTAGCCCTCAAGGCACCCAAAACCCCGTTTTCTACTTCGACCTATGACCTCCGTCGAAGAGTGTTTACCTATGCCCACTTTGCAGGTAGTTGCGATGACAAGAGCTCGTCTGAGGAAGAATATGACCCTGCCACCGAAAATCGCCGCAGACCAACAAAAAATACCGGTCGCCCTAGCGGAAGTCAGCGCAGTCCACGTGTCAGAACTCATGATGAAGCCGGAATCGCTGGCGATGCCGGTGGTCTTTCGAAGCGGCAGAAGATAGTCCCACTGAAGTTCCGTGCTGAGAGCTCCAAGGAATTTCTAAGAAACTTACGATCTCAACAGATTCCCTCAGGCAGATCTAAAAATTCGTGCCAGATTGACGACATTGGTCATCTTGTCACCCCCCAGGCGCCACATGATCAACTTACTGGACTTCGGGTTGAACCGCAAGACTCGTATCTTTGGAAGCTCGATGAAGAATCTGCTGGAATTGACAATGCCAACGGCAGAGCACTACGCAGCAGAACGATTCCAGATCAAGAGATCGAGCACGAGAAGGGAGCAAATTGTGCTAGCTGCATTGCTGCAAAGAAAAAGTGTACCCTGAAGACCGGCCATCCCTGTGCACGCTTCCAAAACCAGAATGTGGAGTGTGTCAAGTGGACAGGCAATTTGGGTGTCGAGCCTAGCCCGACCATTGAGGCTGAATTTACAGCACCGCGGATGGTCGAGGCCGCTAGCCTGAGCAGTCAGACTTCAACTAGCATACCGATAGTGGCAGACGACACTATGCAAATCGATACCGAACTACTTATTCCACCCCGACGATCATCAGTCCTAGATTCGCCGCAGGCTGAACCATCAGCACCACTGAACATCGAGAGCTCTTCAGGTGCCTCGCGCCTCCCAACAGGCACGTCGGTCAATCCTGTCGTACTCGATTCACCACCAGATTCGCCGATTCTGTCAGCAAGCAGGGACTCAGTGAGAGATCTCGTTACATACTGGGCTCACCCTATGAACTTCAAGCATGCCAAGAGCGCTGGACCATGCGATTTCTGCAATGATTTCAGATTTGGAATATTTGGCCATGGTCGCATCACGGCTGAGGTCGTTCAATATCCAGGGTCTACTGAACTCGAAGAGACAGGCAACGGTCACCGTTCCAATGGCAAGGATGCCACTCGCATGTGCGTCATCTGTGCTTTACAACGCATCCACATCTCAAGATGCACAGTTCACGACTTCAGAACCCTCAGAATACAGCCAGATGCGCACCCACCTACACTTTACTTGCAGCAGCTACACGCAGAAGTGCGAGATCCACCAATTGCAAATACTGCCTATTTGACCTGCAAATTATGCCCTGGGCTCGCAGTCTGGCGCTGTTGTGTCGACAAGGAGTATGATTTGGTAGGCAAGCCGCTTGTTGACGGTCAGGGTCGAGGCAAAGGCTGTGGACTTAGACTATGCAACGCATGTAAAGTTCTAGTTCAAGGTTTCGGTGGTGTTTTAGAGAAAGAAAGGATCATGACTGCTTACGGCCAGGGAGTTCGAGCTGATGTTGAATTCTTGTTCAAAGATAGTCTTCTCCACCAAGCATATTGTAAGTCTCATACATCTTGTTTCGAACTCCTTGACTGACTTTGAGCAGTTCCTCCGAGAAACTGACTGCCTGACTTCAAAAGCCAGACCAAGCGGCCTTGGTATATTGCGTGGAGTGAACAAAAGATATTTTGGCTTAGATGATCGCTTGGATTGAATGAACGATACTTTGGCTTGGAATGAAGATCGACTTAGTTTGAAGAGAGCTCACGTGGATCAGGAAAAGATGAAAGATGGAATCGCCACAGCAACCGCAAGAGAAAGTCTATCATGACACGTTGAGAAGCTCATATGACCAGGAGAACGAGGGTCTTGGATTTCTAGATTGGTACCACGAAAGGAAAAGGAAGTGTTTTAATGACATGAGCCAGACTCGAAAAATCCCATGATGTCGGGCGATACCAGCTCTGCTCGCACGAATAGGAGGTAGAGAAATCAATGACACCCAAGATCCATATTATCAAGAGGCTTTCTTTAGCAATGAAGACGACCGTAGGGGTAGAACTTTGCGTGGTGTTGTAATCAAAATTGCTCGGAAGTGAATGATAAGCCATTGACCGCGATAAGAAATCTCGGGGTCTTTTTTTCAGCTGACTTCATTTCTAGCGGTGACGGGATCAAGATCATAGACGATCAATTGTCAGAATCTAATGCTCTATATGTCCAGGCAGGAGGGTTCCGACTTGAAAAAACCATTCACGCTTGTTATATGCACTTGAAAGGGAACTGCAAACGAAGTAAGCAGTCAGTCACACTTGCTCAGTCACTTACACCTGCTGCCACTTCCGCTCCTCCACGCATCGGTCCTAAACAACATACAAATCAGCTAGTTACCTTGCTGCCACAATAGCAACCTGGTTGGAAACTCGCCGAAACCACGACTCTGATTCTCTAGGAGGAATCGGGCGATTTCCTCTTTCACGGCGCTGGTGCAGCCATATCCTCGCGAAATACCCAGCACTACGAGCTGCGAGATACGGAATTCCGAAGACTCCAGACGCAGACTCTTCCCTCCGGCGTTCAACAATCTTGACTATGAGTTTTGTTCAATCCAGCCCCATTGCCATGATGAGTAGGAGTTCAATGAACAGGTTACTACAGTCACCGGACGTAAGTACAGCATTCTCTGTCATGCTGCATTGTTTGTCGTTTCTCAGCTTCTGGGCGTACGGAGAGCCATGACATGTCGAATATTTTCATTGGATACCGCCATGTTTTGCCTGTCACATGAGTGCACCGGGATATTGTTATTATTATTATTATTATTATTATGAAGGAGTGATGTGATTCATTCCGGAGGCAAAATTCCATCGGACTTGATGTGCCCCTCGGTGGCCCCCATATTGCCCTGTGCCTTGTTTCCGTTTGATTCCCGCCCGCCCATCAGCCGAGGCAATCATCGTCTCCGGGGAAGAAGCGCCCAGGCAATATTCGATACTAGCCAGTCGAACCCAAACTGTCTACATGAGCAAAGGCGGACGGCTTCACACGCTCGCACGATACTCCTACAAGAACATCTGTTCCATTGCTCAACGAGATCCTTCTACAAAATTTTCTTTGTCCCTTGACACAGACCGCGCGACTACTGGTGGAGAAACCCAGATCTGCATGTGGGACAGAAGATTCCTCAATTCTCCGAAGAGGAAAAAAGCCAGCGGACAGACCTGCAAAATTGTGTCGAAATCAAAGCCTGGGTCTTCGTGTCTGTTATACACGGCGTCCGTCCCCGACGTCAACCGATCCAAGCCATCTCCCCAGTGCAGACAAGGCGGAGCGGACGTGGTCTGATGAGTGATTGATTTTTGCAACCTTCTCCGACGACTTGTTGCTCTAGGCGTCTCTTTGCCCCCCTCCGACTCCCTCTTGCCAACTTGTGCGGGCAACTATCGGCATTTCACGAACAACACTTCCGCTATTCTACTACCCCAGAAAATACGAACGCACCTGTTTGTTTTCCAGAAGTCGATACGTGCAAACGGGTCATTGGGTCTAATCTTCACGGCTTTGTTTGCTCGTAATGGGTCAAAACGTGAGGCCACCTCTTTTCTCTTACTGAACTCCACAATCGAAGCCTCGTGGTCAATTCGATCGGACAGGTCAACCACTATTGCCCGACGTCCAGTGGTGGCCACCGTCTAGAACGAGCCCTAAAGTGCACCGAATTCTGTTGATAGTATTCAGTTCTCCTAACGATGTCTATTTCTCCGCCAAGCAGTGACCGTGTATGCAATCTGTGATAGCTGCTTTCTGTTATTTACGCTGCTCAAAGGCCCACATGCTAACTGTGCGAGCAGTCAGATGTCACCCAGATTGTGGTGGTTATGGTTGGCTTGCCGGCCCGGGGAAAGAGCCTCATAGCGGGTAAAGGTATGATATTGAATCAAACATTTGTATAATTGGCCATGGATCTAACTGGTCTTCCAGTCAAGCGTTATCTACGGTGGACGTCCGTGAAAGCGGAGGTGTTCAACGTTGGCAAATATCGCCGGACGGACAATCCACATCCAGACGCCAAGTTTTTCGACGTCAACAACCCGGAAGGCGAGAAGGCGAGAAAAGCTGCGGCCGAAGCTGCAGTCGCCGACATGCTCAAATGGTTCCAGGACAAGGATAACAAGGTCGCAATTCTCGACGCCACTAACTCGACAAAATCTCGACGGAAATGGATCCACGATAAAATCATGGAGGCGAATCTCCTTCACCTCTTCGTGGAAAGCAAGTGTGATGATGAAGAATTGATCATGTCCAACATACTTGAAGTCAAGACTTCCTCGCCAGATTACATCGGTCAGGATCCTGAAGCCGCGGCCAAAGACTTCCGAGATCGCATTCGAAATTACGAAAAGGTGTATCAGACTATTGACGAATCAGAGAAGCAACTGACCTATGTCAAGATCATTAACATTGGGTATGTTTTGCTTCCCGTGAATTATGGATTCGCTTGTACCTTCTAACCCATTTACCAACAGTGCTCGTGTGGTTATCAACCTCATCCAAGACTACCTCCAGTCACGCCTAGTCTACTATCTTACCAATCTACATATCAAGCCTCGCAGTATCTGGCTTTCTCGGCACGGTGAGTCCGAATTCAATCTCGAAGGCAAGATTGGTGGAGATGCCAACTTGTCCGAGCGTGGCGAGCGCTACGCCAAACTTCTGCCTGAACTTGTCAAACGTTCAGGGTTACCAAAAGATGCACCACTTACGATCTGGACGTCGACGTTAAAACGAACCAGTCAGACAGCTCAACATCTCCAAAAGGAATTGGGCTGGGAGAAGTTGCAATGGAAAGCTCTCGATGAACTCGATAGCGGTGTTTGTGATGGGATGACTGTATGATCTTGGTGGATACTTAGTAATCGTGCTATGAAGCTAACTTCGGACGATACAGTATCAAGAAATTGCGGAAAAGTACCCCGAAGACTTCCAAGCTCGCGATGATGACAAGTACAACTATCGGTATCGTGGTGGTGAGTCCTACCGCGATGTCGTGATCCGGTTAGAGCCTATCATCATGGAACTCGAGCGCAGCGAAAACATCATTATCATCACACACCAGGCAATCGTGCGGTGCATATTTGCCTACTTCATGGAAATACCACAAGAAAAGTCGCCGTGGATGGAGGTGCCGCTCCACACACTAATGAAACTGACACCCAAAGCATACGGAACGGAAGTTGAGCGATTCAAGGCCGATATCCCTGCGGTCAGCACCTGGAGGCCCAAGGGCAGTACGGCGAAACATCACGATAGCATCAGTGAAGGGATGCCAGAGAGCGTGGTCGGTGAACCGTCGAAAGTGGGAATTCAGAAGGCGACCAATGTCAATGAGAAAGCGATGGGAGAAGTGCCGACAATTGAGATGGTTGGACTGCCTTTGCCATAGGAGAGTCGGGAGAGAGATGGAACGAATTCTGAACGAAATGAGTTTTTCATGATGAAACTACGACTATAGGGGGAGGCGTCGCACTGACATAAACGGGATTTGAGCAATTAGGTTTGGTCTGCTGTAGGGCAAAGGATACCTTGAATGTGAGAAATCAGAAAGGCGCCGGTATCGTGGGTTGGGTCAAGTGAACAACACATGGACACTGGTGTCCTGCTTTCAATGGCGAAGAGAAGAGCCTTGGGCATTTTCAACTCACGTTTGCTTGCTGTGTTTACATTGCATTCGACATAACAAAGTTTAGGTTGTACAGTTACATTCGCAAGATGGGCACGAAAACGAAGACTCCGGAAGGAAAGAAAAAGGAGGAGCAGGACAAGTAATGTGCAGTCAGAATACAATCTCTATCGTCACTCATCACTCTCTGTACTTGGCCAGTTTACCCTCCGTCCACTCGAGCGCTTCCACCAAAAGTCTCTTCTCCCCTAATCGGACGTCGATGGCCATCCTCGCTCGACCCGTCGTGGTTTTGTCTAGTAGCAGGAGGTTCTCATCGTCTTGTATGGTGGTCGGGTACTGGTCCAGACGTCGACGGACGACGAGTGACAGAATTTCTAGTGTTGTAGTCTTGATCTTTTTCACCTCTTCGTTCTTGTTGGACTTGGATTTGGCGGGTTTGTTTTTGGACTGGGTTTGGGTCGGATCGGACGCAGACAAAACCATTGTGACGACATGACGGACCACGTCGACCAATTCCTCGGGGAAAGAAATGAATTTGGCGTCGACGGGACACAGTCCTTGATCGTCTGGATCTCCAGAATCACGTTCCAGAATGAATCCTGCATTCGCGGTGGGGTCGACGTCGGCCTCGTTGTCTTTTGTGTTGTCGAAATTGTTCATGTCCAAACCCAATTCAAAACGAAAATCCGAATCTCGTTCGATCTCGGTCAAGATTTTTTTCACCATCGTCGGTCCCTTTTGAGATGGCAAGGAAGACCACTTGTAATCGGAAACAATGACAGTCTTGACCAAAGACCAAGGGACTTCGACAACATCGTACCTCGAGTGTTTGGGTGTCGTGTACCCGTACCTGCGCAAAAGTTCTCCGTTTGGTAGAGGGCCATAGTAATTCAACACTTCTTGACCGGCCTTGATCTCGCGCAGGGAAGTCATGGTCAGGCTGTCGTCGCCGTGGGATAAGTGGGCGTTGAATTCGGCGTCGGCGTTTAGCACGTCCGCCATCGGTACCATGCCCATCGTGCTCTTTGTATGTGCGCTCGTATTTGAGGAGCCGTTGTGATCGCCACGGTCTTCGATCCATCCGTCGTCGTCGTTCTCCCCCATTTCGGTATCTTCCTCGGAACCAGAATCAGAGTCCTGGTCAGGTTGAAGGTCAAATGCATATGACATGATCAGAGACCCTATGATGTGACACCTTTCGAGTAGAGCAGTGTCACTCAGTTCTGTCGTGCCAGAGTCTGGGTCTGAATAAAAAAGGTCGGAGTGACGTTTCACGACCGGGAGGATACGTTCCGTAAACATACGAGTGGCAGACTCTTTGCCGATTTTGGAAGGAATGGCTGACCCCGACAGACCCAAAAGGTCGCGGTCGTCCCAGAACATGAGTGTGTTGAAGGATTCGGAACGTTGTGGGAGGATGGACAAATAAGGAAACCATTTCGATGTCTTGTGGTGAAGGGATTCGTAGAGTAGGATCAGTATCAGGTTCAACCACGAGTCGGGGACTGATTCTTCAAAGTCGTCATCATCGTCGAGGTCGATATCAATGTCACCGCTCGTGGTTGTCGTTCTTGTCGTCTCCTCTTTGGAAAAAATGCCAGGTAATTTCTTTGCCAACGTCGAAGTCTCCTCACTTATGATGATACTTCTGGGAATCGTAAAGAGTTCGGTGTCCGGTGCAATGTCTTGGGTTGCTATGATTCCCCTTCCTGCGCTTCGGTCTCTTAAATCGACGATTCGCAACGACGGGTGGAATTGTGTGCCCGGTTGAGCTTTGAACCAGTCTAAAAAGGCGGTGGATTGGGTGTCGAAGTCGGATGATGAATCCATTTGGTTTTCTTTGTCCCCTTTCTATTTCTTTCCTTTTCTTTCCTTTGTTGTTTTACAAGTTGGGAAGCTTTTCTTTATTTCTCTTTTTTTTCTTGAGTTGTGTTTTCAAAACGGAGCCATGTGATGGGTGGGAATGTGTAACGTGGCAGGTGATTGATTTTAAACCTTTTGAAATATTCGTAACCAAGAAAATTCTCTAATCAACATTTCCCGACTATTGGTGTCGTCAACATTTGAAACATTTCTCGCATCAACCTGTTTTAGTCCATCGTGACTTGAGATTGATTCGGTACTGTCTTATCCTCCCCTCTACTCTGGATTCCTTTGAGGTCAAGTACAAATAACATATCATGGCCGGATGTACTCTACAATCCCAACGAAGCTTGTAGGGAAGGCGGTGAACCCTTCAATGCCAAGAATTGCTATGGCTTGGTTCACTACGACAATAAGATATCCCCTGATGTACCAAAGCCATAGTTGGGATTCGACTAGAGGTTCTGTCACCACAGCCTGAGGCGGGACCTTTTCCCATCCTGACCCTCGAGTCGAAGGGTTTCGTCCGGTTGGGAGGATTGACTCCTTAAGGACCTCAAGAGCCGCCTGCCTGACGTACTAACCATCAAATAACACATATCATTTCGAAGAGTAAGCACAATTCACCACCACCCACGATCCATAGAGAACAAAAACTTTGGTCGTCTTCACTCAGGCTGCATCAAGCTCATCTTCCCATGGTACTCCCTCGAGGGAGCCAAAGGATCTCGCCTTCATCGCCGCGGCCTTGGACGCCCAAGTCACAGCTCGAGCGATGTCAAACCCTCCTCCCGGGGAGAACTTCTGCCGGATGTACTGGACCGCATACGCCCCGACGAAGACACCACCACAACCCGTTGTGTCGACGACATTTTGGACTTCTACCGCTTCATAATCAAATATGTGTGCTTTGCCGTCCGGCCCTCTCGAACCCACAACCCCTCCATGGCCGCCCATTGTGACAACGACGTACTTCATGCCAAATTCCAGTAAGGACTTGCACAATTCTTTCCCCCTCCCGACTTCCGCTTCTCTGTTTTCATCTTGTTATGGTCGTTGGCGTGACATATTGCTGGCGATTTGGCGTCGCTCCACGAGAGCTTCGGCTTCCAGCTTGTTTACGATGAGGTGTTCCACACTCCAAAGAATATCCAGCGGAAAATCGTCCACTACGGGGGCCGCATTCAGCAAAACCGGGATTCTCTTCTCAGCGGCGTTCTTGACAAGGTCTTCAACGGTTTGAACAGGGATTTCCATCTGCAGAATGAGGAGATGCGGCGAACCCTCAGGAAGATCTACATGAATTCGGTCCGACGAAAGCCTGTAATTGGCACCAGGATGGACCAGCACATTGTTCTCGCCGTTCTTGTCTAGAGCAATGCTTGCTGTCCCAGTAGTCTCCTCTCGGCATCGAAGAATATGTTCAATGTCCACCCTGTTAGCAGCTCGAGTGTCCATGATCCGGGCTCCCTGCAGGTCCTCTCCCACAACCCCAATCATGATGACTTTAATGCTGAAGGGTTTCAGATCCTGGCTACTAGACCTTCGCCCACCAGGGCCCTTATTGGAGTTGGATCTCAGTAAGAAAGGAGCGGTGCCGCCAGGCTTTGCATATGAGAGCCTTGCGCAGGCTATAGCTTGGATGGCGCCTTTCCCTCCCGGAGTCTGCCTGTACTCGCCAATCATCAAGGTCTCCGATGGTCGCGGCAGACGAGATACAATCCAGATACGGTCATAGTTCAAAGAACCGATGACCGAAATCCGCAATGTCTTTGCGTACAGCGAGATTTGCTGGTTCATGGAGCCCAGTTCGCCCGGACCCAACTCTGCGCTCGAACGATTTGCCTCCGTGCTGACAGAGGGTGACGAGTTAGATGCCATTGGTAGTAAATGGGAAGCTTCTTTTTCCGGGTGCTGAAATGAGCTCAGTGGCGACACCATGGTTCTTATTGATCTGGATATGAGACTGACTTTTCAGCAAGCTGACAGGCTGCGAGCAAATCTCCATCCTTGCTACCAAAAGGCAACGACTACCAAGTGGGTATACAGGCAAACTGAAGTTCGAGCGAATGAGATTTGCGCCTATATGACCAGGAATAGCAGCTTTCTCGTTAGCTTCTTAGATGCCGGGCGCTGAGACAAGTGGCATTCTCGTATTGGGTTGGGAGCATGCAAGCTGAATCTTGGAACAAGCCTTGGACTTCTGGCTCAAGAGAACATTCATCATGTGCCAATGCATTGCCTTGCTTTGCCCCGGAACACTCGTCACTAATCATGTTGTGTAGCATGAGAATTCAACGCTTGTTGGTTGGCACGATACAAGCCAATGCAACACGGCCTGAGAGGTACCTTCTCCATTGAAGTTGGCGCGAGCAGGGTGTTTGACGATAATCAGTATCAAAACACCTTCCCGTCCTTCCTGCTGTGGGAGTACCTGGCTATGAGTACCGAACGTCTTCCAGCTTTGGAACTGGCGAGATGAGCACCCATTCCGGTGACGAATGTACCTCGTTGGGCTTTGCTGTCTTGAATGACTTCTCTGAACGTAGGTTAAGAAAGGCGTCAATCAAGGGTTCGAACAGCCCATCCGCGCCCAGAGCCAGGCAAGACGATCTTGACGTGCGAATGGAAGTGCTCCTGCAGAGCCCGACAACAGACCCTAACCAGCTCTCTACCATCAATACCTGGCTGCTTAACGGCTTGAAAGCTCGCCAGAAAGGTGGACAGGCCGAATCTCGATCCGATGATCGACTCGTCTATGAGCTCTCGATCCCGCATCCTGGAAGCAGCTGGGAAGTGAGGCCCCAGAGACGGTGCGAAGCGGTCGTGTCGAGTTCACGGGCCCCGTCAGACGCTCAGAACCGGAAGGTGCAGTCTTTCTGGTCTCTCGACAAATCGAAGAACTTGTCAAGAGTTTGAACAACACCGAGCAACTCAATGACAATCTGACACGCAATGGGCGCTATTCCAAGGTTTCGGTGCTGCCGATCATGTTCGAAACAGTGGAACCTAAACTTGAACTTGAAGATGACCTCAATGGGCTCAAGGAATGTTTCGTGGAACACTTCAACTTTCATGTCTACGAGATCTTCAAGATCCCAGAGACGACGAACGCCCAGTACAAACTGTAAAAGAAGATTGAGGAACTCATACACGCGCATGGAAAGAAGGACGAGCTTGTTATCGTCGTTTACGCTGTACACGGCTTGAATCCGGAGGCCATCGAGGGAGAAAACGGCGATATGGGCCCATCGATTTGGATACCGTATGTTTGCAATATTTTGTCGTCAAAACAACGAGGGCTAACCGTGTTCTCCAGCTGTGCAACCTCGAAACAGGGTGAAGGCGTGAGCTGGTCTCACATACAGCCATCACTCCGCAGCGCGCCATGCGACACTCTCATCATCTTGAATTGCTGCTTTGCGGCAAATGCTGTCTTGGGTGGCATGAAGGGCACCAACGAGATTCTCGCAGCCTCAGACCGCCATAGTTATGCATACACACGCGAAGGCTCTTTTCTGAGAGCGCTGATTGAAGTCCTAGCGAAATTAAAGGATACCAGGTCCAGCTTGACAATCAACATGCTAAGAGATCGACTCGATGATTACAATAAAATCGACAGAGAGAAGGGGACAAGAATTGCTTCACCATACCACAAAAGATACCCAAACCTGGATCATCCCAGCATCAAGCTCCAGGCTTTGCTGAACTCAAACACCCCGGTCGAGCGCCCGACAGCCTCGACGCAGATCCCCTACCCGGCTTCATTTTATGTGAAAGTATCTCTTGACTCTCCTGGCAACGCGTCGTTGGACGAATGGACTTCGTGTTTTGCGAGCGCAAATTACCCCAATGCCATCAAGGAGTTGTACTTTTATACTGAGCAGTCCCTGCGGAATGGGCTGATGGCAGATGATGGTAAATGATTCCGGAGGTAAATGTACAGAAGGCTGGGCCGAACAGCATCTGGCAGATACGACAGGAGATTTACAGGGCCTGCGCCGTTTAGTGATGTACTTCGGTCTCCAGAAGTACCATAACTCTAGATCAATCCTTATATACAGTACTTGCACATGTAAGAGATGTTCCGAATTGCATCCGGGATGGTCTGTGTGGTAGGTAGTAGACTACCCTAACTACAAGTACCTAGGGGGTACCTAAACAATTCTTATAGGCGGCAACCATACCCGAATCGGCAGCACCACGAAGGGCAAATGGCCTTCAATCTGTGACGCAACCGAAGAATCGATTGATCCTCTCAAGACCACCACATCAAGTCCAACACCTCGTATTCGCATTATGTGAGGTCTCGCACAGGGTGTGTTCCCTCCCGCAGCCTAAATAGCCAGATGACAAACATGAATGAGCCAACGCGTATCGAGTCTACTACTTCGCTTTACCCTCCGACTTCAACTCACATGGCAACCCATCATGTTCTGCTGACCATGAAATCACTGTGGCGAGGATAAGTGACAATTGACACCTTTGCAGCACTTCTCCAGTCCTCAGGTCTCATCTTACTTTGGTCGCAACATAGATTACACCAGGATCATGCCGGAGTCACCAAAACCTCCTGCACTTGACTTGGCATCTGTTCCGCCAATATACATCCTGCCAAGTCACCTGGACCCGGAAGCATTGCATGAGCAGGAGGATCTCGTCTTCCGACTAGGTGGATCTCTCACGTACGACTCTCAGGAGGCACGAGTGTTCCTGGGCAAGATCGGCCAAAAGAAACGTGCCGCCTTTGATCTGAGAGCGAGAGGAGTGTGGACTGAGGAAGCGCTCTTGCCTGAGATCGATCACCAATATCCTAGTCGTGACAATCACGACAAAGGACAGCCACCTCACAAGAAGGCCAGGACAGGATGGATTGAACGTGATGTGAAGAGGCGAGACCTAAAGCGAAGACGGGATTCTAGATCAAGCACGAGCACCGAAGCCTCGACTCGGTCCGAAAACCATCCTCCTTCACCACCACCGGTTGTGTCGTGGCCGAACCTGAAATCCCACATCGTCGTCCTCAAACTCGCCTGGCTCGAGTCCTGTATCAACAAAGGTCACATTGTCCACTATAAACCGTACATAATCTACAGTGGCAAGATCATCCCCAAGCCAGCGGGTGAAACCTCACCCAAAGCACTCCCCGACCCGACGACGTACGTCAAGACGACCGCTTCCGGCTCGTCCTCCTCTCACCATGTACCAAAACCCACCACGTCCATCCTCGAACGTGCCAAAGCCGATGCGGCTATGCATCAATCTCATCCGAGTACCTCCGCAACCTCCCACCTTCATCGTCGCCGCTTCGGTGACCATGCACACTCAACATCATCCCACCAAGCAAAGCACCCACCGAAACTCCATCGCACCACGACGTCCGAGTTCGAGGATCTCGCCAACAACCCTCTCCCACCCTTGCCCGACTGGGCCACGGGACGGTACGCGCACTACTCGTGTTGCCGCGACACGCCTATGGTCACGCGCAACGCCGCCTTCATCGCACAACTCACCAAGATCAAAGAATCGCGGCTCCTCACGCTCGACGACATCGGCGTGCGAGCCTACTCGACGTCCATCGCCAGCCTGTCCGCCTACGAACACCACATCCGCCACCCGGACGAGATCACCCGCCTCCCCGGGTGCAACGCCAAGCTCGCGGCCTTGTGGACCGAATGGTACCACTCGGCCGACACGGACGGGGAGCGGTCGATCGCGACGGTCCGCGCGCTCGACGACGACGACGACCTCCGGCACCTCCGGCTGTTCTGGAACATATGGGGCGTGGGTCCCGACACGGCGCGGAAATTCTACTTTGAGCGCGGCTGGAGGGACTTGGACGACGTGGTCGAGTTCGGCTGGTCGGGCCTCACGCGCGTCCAGCAGATCGGGGTCAAGTACTACGACGAGTTCCTGGCCAAGATCCCCCGGGCCGAGGTCGAGGGCATCGCGGGTGTCATCTTGCGCCACGCCCGGGGCGTCTTGGGGGTTGGGCCCGCGCAACACGGCGGGCCCCAGGACGTCGAGTGCGTGATCGTCGGCGGGTACCGCCGGGGGAAGACCGAGTGCGGGGACGTCGACGTCGTGCTCAGCCACCGCGACGAGGAAAAGACCAAAGACCTGGTGGTCGACGTGGTGTCGAGCCTCGAGGCCGAAGGTTGGATCACCCACACCCTCAGTCTGCACACCACGACCAGTGATCGAGGGCAGGCGACCTTGCCGTTCCGCTCGACCGGCCATCACCATCACGGTGCCGGTGGGTTCGACAGTCTGGACAAGGCGTTGTGCGTCTGGCAGGACCCGAGGTTTGAACAAGATTCTCTTGCGGGTCTCCATCCGGACGAGGCAAGCCCGAACCCAAAGAGCGACGAAAAGAAACAAGACCAAAAAAACCCAAACGTCCATCGGAGGGTGGACATCATCATCTCGAGTTGGCGCACCGTCGGCTGTGCCGTGTTGGGATGGAGCGGCGGTACCACGTTCCAGAGGGACATACGACAGTTTGTCCACAAGACCAAAGGTCTCAAGTTTGACAGTTCGGGCGTCAGGGACCGTGCCAACGGCCTGGTCCTCGACTTTGAGAGCCCGAGGCCGAAGACCCAAAACGCCCTCGAGGCCATCTTGAAGGGTCAAAAACCGTCACCACCGCCGGACCTCTCCCGGCCCGGTGACCAGTGGGACGACGGGGACACTTGGCAGGACAGGGAGCGGAGACTCATGGACGGTCTGGGTTTTGGATATAGACCTCCTGAGAAACGGTGCACCGGGTGAAGATTTTGATTACATACCTACCTACCTATGGGATAGTCCGCGGCCAAACTTTCAAATCTTCAGGGATCTAGGTATTCGTTGCTGGTCGACGACGCACCGCACGATCCGTCCAACTTTGGATCTGTACTTTTGTATATAACAATCTTATCTTTGGAAACAATTCTTGGTCCTTATTTTTTTCTTTTATAACTGGTCCATTTCTATCCCGTACTGTTTATGCTTTTTTTTTCAAGTCCCTCCCAAGGGAAAATCGAGCTAGCTAATCTACAGAGAAACATTTGAAACCACACAATAAACCGTGTGTTATGTTCAACATATATCCCCCCGGGCCTCATCAATGACAATATCAATCACATCGGAAATCACCTCCTCTTCTTTCCAATGCTCGTATCGATACTCCCCACCAGGTAAACAACCACAAAGACCACCGCGAATCCGGCGACAATGGTCAATGGTTTTCTCAACGCCGACATGAGAGTATACTCGTACGTGACCAAAAGGTTGATGTCCCTCGCCTCGTCCACGACGTTGGTGCCGGACAACTTCAACTCGGTCCTGCCCAGAGTGTCCATAAAGGTCTTGTGCAAGCTGTGCTCGGCATGGAGAGTGGGGACGCCTGTGCCGCCGTGAATCTGGTAGTTGACGTTGGTCGCGCCCTCGGGCAGAATCACACGGAGAACAAACTGCTCGTACTGGATGCCCTCGGCCATCTTGGGGCCCTGGACGAGCGGGACGGACAAGACGTATGCGTCTGAAGGGGTCTTGAGCTTGCGCAGGAACGACGACAGAGCGTTGTTCCAGCCGATTCTGAAACTGTACTTCCACCCTCCAAACAATGGATATCGAGGCTTGAGCTCGAGGCTGGCATCACGGACGTTGTTGGGTCGGAACCGAGATGTCGACACGTTGCCAATGTCGTCGGTGAAATAAGGATCAACGCTGCCTGGCCTCAGGGGCACCTTGAGTTCCCGCAACGCGGACGTGCTCATCTGTCCGGCGTTGACGTAGAAGCTTTGTGTGCTCCAGGCGACACGTGAAAAGTGGTTGGACAGCGAGGCACCGTCGTGTCGGAGCCAGTAGCGCTCTTCGGTTGCAAGGTTACCACCCCAGTGTGACACTTCGACGTCTCGTTCGAGGACGCTACACACCAAAAGGGGCTTGTTGAACTCGTAGCGCACGGAAATCGGGTACGTCGTACCGGGCGAGACCTTGGAGGTGTCGTATGGCCCATACGAGTATTGTGTGCCCTGCTTTTCCGGGTCGACGTTGGATGTCAGACCCTCCGTCGTCGTGTACTCCGGTACATCAGTCGATGGGAACTTGACCTTTGTCTTTTGCTTGACGGTCTTGTACGCCGACGGGGCATATGCGGAGAAATCGTAGGTGAGATATTGTTTCTCTTCTTGTCGGATGGATGCAGGGAGAGGTTTGAGAGCTCCGAGGATGTGGTAGGATATGGAGAGGGTGACTGTCCCCTTGGGCGGGACCGGCTCGTCGAGATGGACAATATAGTATTGAGTTGATCTGCAGATGTGTCAGTCAGTCGAGGAGCTCGTTCGACGGAAAGGTTACAGCCCATACCTGGAAGAATTCCCCGAAGCATCGAGCACCTCTGCCAATGGAGCGACGGTGACCTCAAGTGAGCCTTTCTCGGCATTCTTCTTGTCTCTGACATCGAACCCTCCAATCCTCCCAATCACGTCGTAGTCAAATGGAACATAGTATTCGGATTGCGGGTTCTTGTCCGTATTCGTGATCAGGACATTTGTCGTCTCTCTCACGTAGCCTTTCTCAAGGTTGACGGTTCGAACGAGGTTCGTGTTCTCGAATACTTGTGCTGGCTTGAAGTCTCCTTTCAACAACTTCTGGGTGGATTGTGATGTGGTGGAATTCGAGATTGCATATGTTGATGCGGAGCACAGTCCGACGACTGCGCTCACTACGGACGAGAACCTCATCCTCGCAACTTTGACCCAGAGAAACAGGTCACAAGCGACAGCAGCAGCGTCGTCGTCGTCGTAAGTGCTTTTAATTAGGCCAGCGTGGAGACGAGGACCTGACGGCTGCGGAGACAGTTGAATCTAATGGCCGCAAAGTCCACCGTATGGATGGTACGTTCGACCACAAGAACCCCCAAACGGACTGACAACGTCAAGACTCTGATTGGCTTGAAGCTATTCCATCCCGTCTCATTAACATTCAAGTTCCAAGAAGCGCAGTTCGAGGAAGTATTTGTGATCCTGCGAACCCTCAACGAGTTGAACTTCGACGGTAGCCCGAAGGATCGCCCAGCATGGCTTCGAAAGCCATTCCTCAGCTCGTGCGCCAGGCCACGAGGGCAGCTTCCAGAACATCACAAGCTCATCATCCCCAAAGACAACCTCTTCATATTAGACCATTCTCCAGCACACCCTTATCGAGGAGTGAAGCACTCTTTGTCGTACGTTCCTGGAATATCTCTTTCCCCTATACATCTCCTTCTCAAATCACGATGAACTAACTTTTCATTCCTCAGCACCGCAACACACCCGAAAACAACCCCTCGATCCCATTCAAATTCAACGAAACGAACCTCCGCCTGATCGATGAGATCCTCAAGCGTTACCCACCCCAGTACAAAAAGGCCGCCGTCATGCCGATCTTGGACCTCGGCCAGCGCCAGCACGGATGGACGAGCTTGTCCGTGATGAACGAGGTGGCGCGCATCCTCGAGATGCCCCCGATGCGCGTCTACGAGGTGGCCACTTTCTACACCATGTACAACCGGGACCCGGTGGGCAAGTACTTTGTCCAAGTCTGCACGACGACGCCGTGCATGCTCGGCGGCTGCGGGAGTGACAAGATCATGAAGGCGTGCGAGGAGTTTTTGGGCGTTCATTCCGGCCACACCACCGAAGACAAGCTTTTTACGTTGCTCGAGGTCGAGTGTCTGGGAGCGTGCGTCAATGCGCCCATGGTGCAGATCAACGACGACTACTACGAGGATCTGACGCCCGAGACGATGAAGAGCCTGTTGCAGGCACTGAAAGACAGCTCTACCATGACTGGCTACGACGCGAGCAAAGTGCCGAGACCGGGACCGCAGACCTACGAGGGCAAACAGAGAATGACTTGCGAGCCGAGGGCGGGTTTGACTTCGCTGCTGGGAGAGGTACCCAAGGTCCAAGACCATATGAGGACGGATGGGGAGTTGTAGGAAAGAGAAAGAGAGAAAGAGACTTGAGTTTGGAAGTCGTTTGACCGGGGATGAGGGATATGTTAGGTTTCTGTGCCATGGACATTGCGAGAATACTACTTCGTGAAGGCAAAGGATGATGGCAATGAAACATACTCCGTAGTCTCTGACTGAAGTTTTTATCTGGTCTGGGATTGCTTTCAGAGGACTGCACATATACATAAAAACAAAATGTATGTTACGGAAAGAAAGATTTTTGAAAGCGAAAGAGCAAAGTCCAGAGCATCTGTATACGCCATCACCACCTATGAAAATCATATTGAGCACAGTGCCGGTTCCCCCCAAAAACATGGTCATCATCATAATCATGTCCTTTTGCCAATTTGTCGTCCAATTCATACAATCGTCAATTCCTGGATCTTTTGTATCATCCATCCCTGTGATTGCGCCCTATTGAGATCCCATTTCTCCCACTTGGATTCGAAAGGATCCCGATGCACGCCTCCATGGTAAGAAGCGTGCCCAGTGCCGCACCCATGCGACTTCAAGCCATAAAAAGCCCTTCATTACCACCAAGCCATGCCGCTGACAAAATACTGACCGTGTGCCCGAACCCAATGCTGCCATTCCACAGTAAATTGTGTGTGTGTAAATCGGTACCTATGCACCCGAACTGTACCACGACGAAGTTGTCGTCTGAGAAGAAGAGTAGGACGACTGTGACGGGGACTTGAATGTCACCAGATCCACCATGGTCTTGAAAATGTCAGGTTCCGATATTACTAGTCCTGGACCTTTGGGCGGCTTCTTCTTCGTGCACAAAACCACGGTGTTGTTATCATGAGGGACGTACCAACCGTCGGACCAGCTGTAGTCGTCGTCGGCAGCGGAATCCGTCGCCAACGAATCGTCCTCGGCCGCCACGGACGATGGGTTGGAAGTGTTCATGGACGACGAAATTCCAAATGACGGTTGTGCGAGTTCCCAGACGACTTGGTTGGAGAAACGGCTATTGTAGACCATGGTCCAGGTCAAGTCGCCCTCCCACTCTTCACCGTTGACGGGCTTGTCGACGTCGGCCTGGTCCGGTTTGATGGCCACGCGCTCCAGTGGGCATTCCCGGACCCGCTTGTCGACGACGTACCTCTCAACGCGTGCCTTGAGACGGTTAGGGTCGACGCTATCAGTGGCGACGAACCACTGTTGCCGACCGCCATTGTTGAACGAGCCGCTGAACGAGATGGAGGTGAGCTTGAGGTCCGTCTTGAAGCGCTTGATGAGGTTGACCCAGCATTTGCGACGGGCGCCCACGCCCAGGAGAGCGATGTGGGAGAGTTTGAGGTGGCGCAGCGTCGCGCTGTGTAGCTTGAGCAAGTGCAGCAGGTCCTGGTCGTGACATACACACCCATCCAGCGTCAACGTCTCCAGTCTCGGCACGAGGGGACGGTGTATCCAGCCTGCCGCGGGCGTCTCCAGGAGCGTTGCAAGATCGGAGGGGAACTCGTCGGCCACGAATTGGCACCGCGTCAAAGTGCAATCTGACATGCGCAGTCTGAGCCGCTTCAGCTTCCGAGCAGCCTTCAGGAGGAATGAAATGGCCTCAATGTTGTTCGCCATTGAGACTAGTGAATCTTTCTGGAAGCCAAGCTCGAGTTCTTGAAGATCTTGCAATACGTCTCGAAGGAGTCGGAGTTGGGGGTTTGCGCCGGTCGGCCTGGGTGCCACGAGTCCGAACATGCCGCGACCGTCGATGTTCATCGTCTTCAGGCTGTGTAGACGAGTGTTGGAGGAATAAGCTGCGGTCAGAATGCCCTTTGTATACGACCTGCCTGGAGTGCCGCTCATTGAAGAATATTTAGACGCATCCAAGATAACCCTGTACTTCTTGCACATCTTTTGGTAGTAGTAGGGGATCTTGAAGGTGGCAAGGGGAGAGGAAGGGCCGGGATGGCGGAGGCCTTCAATCTCTCGTACTCTAAGTGCTCGCAAATTTGGCAACAAGCGTAGTGCCTTGGCCAGCATTGAGACTTCAACCCCCATGTCCTCTTGAGGCTGGAATCGACCTTGAGTTGCCACATCGAGGGAATGTTCTCTGCTGGTAGTGTCCACGAAGGGTACATGTGGGATTTCGGCCTTGACCCGCTCAAAGAATTTCGCGAATCGGGCATCGTAGACGAGCTTGGTGATGTGAACAAGGACCGGGGATCCTTCGAGTGCCTCTACGAATCCATGAATGCAATTTAGATTCGGGATCAAGACAACCTTGCTCCAGAGTACCGGGGTGGCCAACTGTTCGAGTGTCTTGGTTGCTAGGCGGACATTTTTCAAAGTAGAGCGTGGACAATTCTGTAAGATGAGCAGCAGGATCTCATTGGGAAGTTCAGCGCAGTGGTCTGTGTGATTCAGAGTCGGTGTGGACGCCATCGATGCGGGTGATGGTGTCAGGTCGTGGACATAGATATCAAACGCTCATGCAAAAACGAAGATCAAAAAGAATCATGTGAAGAAGGTGTGTGGAATGTACACAGCCTTCTCTTGGAAATGGCCGATGAGGCTGCCTTGCGCTTGAGAGATTTAGCACGGAGTTGCCTGCAGATGTTGAATCATGGAGAGGCGGCCACAGACTTGTTGAGACCAGCCTGAAAATAGATGGGATTCTGACAACAGTAATTGGTCAGACCAGGCCAGTAGATGATTTGATGCAAAATGTGATCATCAATGCACAGAAAGAAAGGCGAAGACGAGGTGTTGGCATGGCAGAAAGTCACAAGACTGTGCCCAGCATCAAGCGCCACGCTGTACTGCGATTCGCTACCAAAGAATACGCCCCAGCCCCTGTCTGACCTATGGTTGCCGGACCAAATTTGTTGTAGACAGCCGTGTTGGTTGGAGTTTTATGCCACAGAGGTGTTTGGGAGGTTCTGGAGAGACTGTCGCGTCTACATGGAATGGAGTACATGCTATTAAAGTGCAGCAAGGCTGTGGTTGCAGATGAGAGTTAGAGAGATGTCACCAGGAGAAAATATACGGATGTCAGACGAAGTAGACATACATGAAAAATAGATCTTGTTAGCTGAATTCCTGACTGGTCTGACAAACGACAGGCTCGGTGTAGATCTAGTCTCTGCTCCGTGCACGCTACTGGGACTTAGCCTAGGAGGATACTTATATGGATAATCGCAGAGAAGCTATGGAAGTGGATGGAGCAGTTAAAGGGTATTCTTTTCAAGATATTCTCCTCCATTCTCATCCAGAGGAAACATTATCAGCGATATGATATAAAAATCAAATAACCAGTACACCTGGAGCTCATCAGCTTGGAGGCATGAGAGTAACCAGCTGAGAGCCAGTAGAGGAGGACAAGCACTACGGCACCAACACATTAGCGAAGAACTAGCTGAGAAAGCGGGGAAGATATGATGTAGAGAGAAACCTAAAGCAGCATGTTGGCCGAGACAGCTAAATTTCACTATGGTAAAACGCCCATGAGGCACGTGGGCCCCTTCGCCCTTCGATTGGCTGGCATGTGCTACAGCCAAAGTGCGACGAGGTTGGAAAGAAAGACCTGCCCGTCAACAGCATGCGAAGAAATCCTCTCGGTCAAGCGAGGCCATGCATGTTAGGAGGGGATCCCCCTCCCTCATGATGTGAGGAGCTCGTATCATTGGATCTGCCAATATTTGCAACTCAAATTTCTTTTGCTCTTGAACTCTGATAGCATCAAGCTGCTGTCTTCTGCATTCGCCCGCTGTCTTGCTCTCTTTGGTTCTTTGGGGTGTCCGAGGAGGATTTTCTACGTCTACACAGTGATCGTCGACTCCCAACATGAAGTACGTCCTTCTCTCAACGTTGCAATGCTCAGACTGACCAAGAATCTCCGCAGGTTCGGCCAACAGCTCCGTCAATCTCTTATCAAGGACTATTATTGGCACTATATCGCCTACGATGACCTCAAGGACTCCCTCAAGAAGTCTTTCGTTAATGGCAAGAACGGAGACCGAGAGCCATGGACCGACGATGACGAAGCATTCTTCATTCAGCAGTTGGAAGCCGAGCTGGACAAGGTCTATACGTTTCAAAAACTCAAGAGCCAGGAAATCGTCTCGAGAATAAAGTCCAGTGAAGCAGAGGTCAGACAGGTTTTGGATCGTCAGGAACAACAGGAAACTTCTGATCCTGAGTCCGATAGCGAACTCGAGGCTGATTTCGAGCTACTGGAGCAAGACCTGAGTGATATCATTGCCGATGTGCACGATTTGGCGAAGTTCACTCAATTGAACTACACCGGCTTCCAAAAGATCATCAAGAAGCATGACAAGCAAACCGGTCTGATCCTCCGTCCTTCGTTTGCAACCAGACTGAAGGCGAAACCCTTCTTCGCCGACAACTACGATGCCTTTATTGTTACCCTCTCCAAGCTCTATGATCTTGTTCGTACAAGAGGCCACCCTGTAAAGGGCGACAGTGCAGCGGGTGGTGCCCAGCAGAACTTCGTCCGCCAGACAACAAAATATTGGGTTCATCAAGACAACATTACCGAACTCAAGCTCATCATCCTCAAGCACCTGCCTGTTCTGGTCTTCAACCCCAACAAGGAATTTGAAGAGAAAGATTCAGCAATCTCCTCGATATACTACGACAATCCGGAGACATGGGAATTATACGAAGGTCGTCTCAAAAAGACCGAAGGTGCAGAGGCAATTCGTCTGCGTTGGTATGGTGGCATGGAGAACGAGACAATCTTCGTGGAAAGAAAGACGCATCGAGAAGACTGGACTGGCGAGAAGTCTGTCAAGGCTCGGTTTACTTTGAAGGAGAAGAACGTCAACAACTTCCTCGCCGGGAAGATGACGGTTGAGGAAGCCTTTGCAAAAATGAGAAAAGAAGGGAAGAAAGGCATCAAAGAAATCGAGGATCTAGAACAGCTGGCTCGCGAAATTCAGTATCGTGTGGTCACAAGGAAACTGGTGCCTGTATGCAGGTCCTTCTATCACCGTACAGCCTTTCAGCTTCCAGGCGACGCCCGCGTCCGTATCTCTCTGGATACCGAGCTGACCATGGTCCGAGAAGACAACCTCGACGGTAGAGACAGAGCAGGCAAGAATTGGAGACGAACCGACATCGGTATTGACTGGCCGTTTCCACAATTACCTGCCGAAGATGTCGAACGTTTTCCTTATGCAGTCCTAGAAGTCAAGCTGCAGACGCAAGCTGGCCAGGAGCCTCCTCAGTGGGTGCGGGATCTGACGTCGAGCCATTTGGTCGAAGCAGTCCCCAAATTTTCCAAATTTATTCACGGATGTGCCACCATGTTTCCCACCAGGATTAATCTTCTGCCTTTCTGGTGGCCACAGATGGATGTTGACATCCGGAAACCCATCACTCACCGCTTTGGTATCGAACGACCAGCCAACACGGCCAGCTATTCGACTAGTGACGTTGATGAGGATGAAGACGACTCGGATACTGAATATGGCCAGGAGACTGCAACACCATACACAAATGGCTCCAATTCTGGCGATGACGAGCAACAGCAGCGATTGAATGCTGCCAGACGGGCCTTGGATGAACATAGTCGTGCTCAAGCACAAGATGCTCAAGATGTAAATGCTGCTCCTGGAAATTCATTGGACGAGGAGGAGCGTCTCGCAGCACTGCCGTTGAGAGAAGAGGAGTACATCTATGACTCTGAAATGGAGGATGAGGAAGACGAAGACGAAGCTGCCCATCACGCCAAGTCCTCCTGGAAAGCCTACCCCAACATGCTAAAACACCATGCTCAGGTGGCAAGCGATGCAATCGTCAAAATCTTCCGCAAGGTGCCTACATCGACTCCTCTGCCCCAGAATGGAAATATTGGTGGTGTCAATCCTCTCGGTGGCCAGGTCCAAGTCAAACGCTTCAAGGCACCTCCGGGGAAGAGGATTCATGTACCTGTCCGGGTCGAGCCCAAGGTCTACTTTGCGACGGAGAGGACCTTCTTATCGTGGTTGGAGTTCAGCATCATCATCGGCTCTATTGCAGCAACCTTGCTCAACTTTGGTGACAGTGTCAGTCTTGCTTCAGCCTGGGGTTTTACCATCGTCGCCTGTGCAGCTCTGATATACAGTGTCATGATCTACTGGCTGCGTGTACAGATGATTCGGAAACGAAGAGCAAGTGTGTCGAGATACTATGACAAGTACGGTACGACGGCATTGTGTCTAGGCCTCCTCGCTGCCACTGCCGTTACTTTTGTGTTCCGGGTGAAGGAGAGTGGATGGTGATGAGATGTGTGTTGATAGGGTGAGGTTGATTCGAGGAGAGTGAAGAACGGCCAACTAATACAGAGTACACGTGGAATGTGCTATACACCCAGGGTCATGAGTCTACTTGCTGCATTCTACTTGGTATGCTAAAATTTGCGCTGAGAAAGGAAGATGGACGGCTGTTTTGTTCGTGAAGCAGGACTGATTTGCACGTGTCTTTGGGTCACAGGCCGAAGATTTGTACTTGTATCGTTATGGAATACCCAGTACCTTGTTAGCTACGTAGGTACCTACCTTTACTGGGGTAATTAGTACCTAATTGCATGCATTATATGGTTTGCGTGTATGTGTGTGCCGTTTTGGTGACATTTCATTGTATACAATACATCGTTCCGAGGAATGTGTATAGCTGGGTATGGGAGCAAAGCTGGCACATTTATGGGCATGCTGTCTAGGCCGTTTTGACCTCTTGGACCGTTGGAACGTCGACGTTGACAACCATCTCAATTGGGCACCCCTCGCACTCTGTACTCCTTACAGCTCACATGGACAGACAGATTGTCTAGACCCGAAACTTTTTTTCCCCATTACCATAAACGTTGCCTTTGTGTGTGTGTGTGTGTGTGTGTGTGTGTGTGTGTGTGTGTGTGTGTGTGGTGTAAAACTAAACTCCTAACAAGGACGACAAGGACTCCCGCCCACCAATGTCTGAAAAAAAAAACTTGCCGCCCCCGTCCCAATGGCAAGACACCAACAAAACAGGTGTCAATCAGTAGTACACTGCCAGGTCCCGACACAGGGACCCTGATGGTCGAACGCTTCAGTCGTCTTCAATGTCGTCATCCGAAATGTACAACTTTTCGACTGCGCCGGGATCGATTCCAACATCAGCCGTACCCACTGCACCACCCGAAGGTGTCATCTTGCGGAGGAGCGTGTGAGATGACCGCCGTAAATGCCCACCGACCGAGGCGGAAACTTTGGACCGAATACCCTCGGTCGTATTGACCGCCGTATCATCATCATCTTCTTCTTCTTCGAGCCCTTGATCCCCAACAGCCAAAGACAAGAACGCGTTTGGCCTGAACTTCGTAATACGTTCGAGGACGCCAACGTCCCTTCTCTTGGCGGAAAAGATCCGAGTCATATAAGGCAACACTTCGAGCGTCAACGTGTCTTTGGCGTACCTGACCTGTCTCCTTTCTCGTTCGTCTTCGTCTCCTTGGTCGTCGTCGTGCTCATCACCATCGCCGTCAGTCTCGGTCCCCGGATGATTTGTGTTTGCGCCAAGAGTCCTCGTTCGCCAGGTCGCCACGCCTCCATCGCCAATCGCGGTGCCCGACGATGACCTGAGCGACCGAGCGCTGCCCGCTCCCATTCCCGGCCCGGGAACATCACCATTCACATACATTTCGATCAAACTGTCCAGTTCCTCCGTCGGTTTCCACAATCTAAGACTGGCCGGGTAAAACATTTTGTACGTATCTCCCTTTTTCCCACCGGGTGGAGACGCTCGATTCACCGGGTACGGAAGATTGAACAACAACCCCCTGGTTGCAACTTGAAAACTGATCTCATCTTGACGAAGAGCGTCGGATGACCCTGCCTGTAGATTCGCCTGAATGATCGAAGCGTACGGGTTTGGGTTGGTGCGATGGAAAGGCCGACTTTCCGGGTTCAGGACGTCGCTGACGGAGAGAACATCAGAACATCCATCGAAGCACTCTTCAAAACCGTCGCCATTGCACGAGAGAATGTAATTTTCATGCAACGTAGAGATGAACGTCTGAATGTCGGTGCCCGTCTCGTTGAGCAGAGCCTCGATGTCGACCTGAGACGCCTTGGGCGTGTACAGGTGCATGAGATGGTCCGGTGGCTTTGGTGGAGGCTCCGCTCGCGTGTCGAGTACCCGTGGATCTTCTCGCTTGTTGTACACAATTTTCCCGGCCGCGTGAAACATGTCGAGAGTCGTCTCCCGCTGACTCACCAACTGTAGAGAATTCTTTTCCATGTCGGTCAAAGGGACACTGTCTTTGGACGACTTTTTGACCTTGGCTGCCACCGTGCCGGACCATTCCGAGTTGTCGTCGCCGCGCAGACACAAGAACTCAAGCGAGTTGACGGCGCTTCTCACGTCGCCCATCTCTGCGAGTTTTTGGACGACCGCGGGGCCTGGCACTCTCCTTCTTCGGGAATCTCGCGCCTCTTTTTTCATGACGATGTCCAGTGCCTTTGTGACGAATGTCGGCGCGACAGGATTGAACTCCATGACCGTCACGTATGGATTGTTCAAGATCTCTGGACCAAGCAGTCTATGTGCCGTGAAGCTGTCCGACCAAGCTGTGGAGGAAGAAAGCAGAGTCTCAGAAATGATCAACACCACGGGAGGAGGATCGTCATCGGGTCTTGCTTGTCCTCGTAGAGTGGCCGTAGGAGCTGCTGCTCGACTTCGTGCCAGGTAGCGAAGGATCACAGATCTAAATGACTGGAGAGCACCTGACAGTCGTGTCATGGTAGCTGGGAATTCTTCGATCACGAGGACGTGATGGGCCAAGTCTTGCTTTGTCGACATGTCTGACTGAGTGGAATCAACCTGGCCAAACGCAAGACTGCCAAATCGACCACTTCGGTTCAAAAACTCATCAAATTGCAGGGCCGTAGTGTTTTTACCTACAGTTTCGGACACTGCAGGATTATGCCACGGCACCAATTGCAAGCCCAATGATTTCGCAACCAGTGACAATGTTGTAGTCTTGCCGCTTCCAGCAGGTCCCTTCAGAACGAGCATCCTTTGGCCATTCCGGCCGTCGATCTTGCCCTGTAGCCAATTCTGCACATCGGATACCTTCTTCTTGTGCACGACCAACTCTTCCAGACTAATTGGGCCGTAGCGATCGGCCCATGGTCGGGGTCCCTCTTCAGGTAGGGTTTGATCTACATCGTTCAGGGGCGGACGACTCATGACCGGTGGCCGAACGAACCTCTGACTCGACGATAAGGTGCTGCCCCCATTGCTTCCATTCCGGAGACTGGCAACAGCAGGGGTAGTGGCCAGTTTTCGTCTGTCCGCAACTGAACCGGCAACATCTGTCTTGAGCCCCAGCTCTTGCAATGTGTCGTCCGAGAGTTCGTCATCTTCGATCGCGTCGAGCAGTTCTCCATTCTCTGCTTCCACATCGGGTGGTGTCACAGACTTCTTCCTCCATCTTTCATCGGCCGTGGCTTTACTGAAAAAGCTGTGTAAAGACGCGGAAGACTTGTCTGGTTGCTCGGCCTTGACGCTTGTGCTCTTTCTTCGTTTTTCGGGAGACGAGTGGGGTGACGCTTTTGGCGCAGCCTTCTTCGCGATGGTCGGCTTTCCTTGTTTCGCCGTCTTTACCGGTGATACGTTCGAGGAGGTCCTGCCATCGAGAGTGATTTCCCGTTGGTGACTCGATTTCTGTGTCTTCGCGAGAGGTCGTTCGCTTCCTCCATCATCACTGTCGTCCGAGAGTACAATTGTTGATCTGCGCTGCCTTTTGGCAGGCCGAGGAGCCATTGGGAAACATGCTGATGTGTTGTTACGCAGCAGTAGTAGCAACGGAAGTAGCAACAGCGACAAGCACCTGTGTCGATTGTAACCAAAGTGAGTGAACGGAGGCCTTCGAAGGCTCAAGTCCGCAATTGAGTCCGACCAATATGGGCGGATGAGATTGATTGGTCAGACGCGACTCACGTAGGCACGTGCTCCAGCCTTGCGGTTCATCGACTTCAGCCTTGCGTAAGAGTACAGAAGTAGCATACAAGGGGGAGAGAGGTGAAGAGGGGCCGCCATAAGCAGCCGATGAAAGTCATACTAGTCTCTAGTTATATGCCATGTACCAGCTATATCCGCTCCTACATGTTTCAACCACGATTCAACATGCTGTCTTTCAAATTAGCCCAGAACCCCAAATCATACACATTATCCACCTCACGCAGACTATGGACCTTGGCCCATCTCTCGTCAGGGACCTCCTCATTTCCCTCGTTTCCTGCTCCTTCGCCAACACCCTCCTTCCCATTTTCTCCCTTCTTTCTCAGCGTAGGTTGTCTACCATCGACCATCCTGACGAGCCACCACTTGGCCCTCGCACCCCTGGGCCAGGGGCGCCTGATATCCTCGTCTCTCGGCTCGACATCATCGGGCAACTTGGGATACGTCTCCCTCAGCTGGGATATTCGGGCCCTATACACCAGATCGTCACGTATATCCTCCCTCCAATCACTCCACTTGGCGCTTTCGTTCGTGGTCATGCCCGCCCAGACCAAGTAGGCGTGATAGACCAGAAACCCCGTGGCGAGCGGGAAACTCAACATGGTGAGCATCATCACACTCCCCACCCTCCACTCGACACTGATCGCCCAGGCCCAACAGTGCCAGTACTCGGCCCAGCTCAGGCCGGTGCTCCACCTCTTCGAACTCACGCTGCCCCTGGTCAGCGCGGAGGGGACCAGCCTCTCCTGCAGCCTCGCGTCCAACAAGACGTAGCCCAACCGAGCACCGTACGCGAGCAACGCCGCCGTCGCGACGATCAACAAGTTGAACCACAGGTAGTTGTTGCGTCCCACGCAGTTGTTGATCCAGATGCAATGGTGGTCCTGCCTCTGCACGCAGGCCTTGCAGATCGGGCAGTGCTTGCTCCTCGCCGGTTTCGCGAACCGACACGTGCTGCAGAAATAGCCCGGGTGAAACAAGGCAAAGTCATAAGGGTAGGCACGCATACAGGTCCCATGGTTCTGCGTCGTGATGTTCGAACTCGTCGCGGCGGAGAGGTACAGAAACGCCATCGGCCCGGAGATCAGACACGGTATAATGAACTTTTGTGATGCAGATAGTCGATCCCATGCTGCTGGGACAAACAACACCTCGCCTATGACTTGTAGACCGAGGAAGAAGAGCTAAACGAGAACAAACCCGTGTGTTAGAGTTCCCTAAGCACCACAAACAAGAGCCTCGCGTGCATACAACACTTACCAATACGAGAGGATGTTTCTCATTCATCAAATAATTCCCCGTCCGAGAAAGACTGCGCGATACACGACGTCCCGTGAGTCTTTCGTCCACCGCAATGAATCCATTCGGTATGTGCCTCCATAGTAATTGGTGTAGAAATGAGATTTGTGTTCGTCTATGAAATCAAAAAAAATGTCAGCAAGGTGAATTCGAATTAACAGTCTCGTGTGTATTGAGCTGCAGAGAAGAATACGAGGAGTGGGAGAGAAATCATAACGTATTGACTGACCTGAAAACTGGTAATCTTCCAAAAAGTGCGATAAAGACAATAAACGAAATGGTCAAGACCACCAATGCTATTGTTCGAATGAGTCCCATTGTTGCACCACTGTACCCTATTTACCTGAGGTGGGCAGGTACTTTATGTGTAGTCTGTTACAGAAAGCAAGCACAAAAAACCATCAAAATAGTCAAAATAGTAGAGCGGTAGAAAAGAAAACTACCTCAAGGTCATCATCATCCTATGATGATGCCTGTTGTGAGGCTGATTCGAGGCTCATAACAACTTTTACGTACCTCGATCTAGGCCAAGAATGGAAAACAATTCGAACTACTCGCTACAAGCATACAATGTTTGATGCTCCATTTCTACTGTATGAGTTAATGTTTTTCACAACGGGTACAACACCAAAGACTCCAAGTCAAGGCACTGTGTACTCTCTACAGAATGAAGAATCCGAAAAATACTTGAAAAAGCACGTTTTGGTATCTTTATTATTCACAATCATGCTGAAGCCAGTTAAAACCCTGGTTCATACAGCTTTCCCTATCGACCTCTGGCTTTCCCATCGATCGTGTCTTGCATGAAATCATTTCTCCATAAAAGCCCTGACTTTGAACGGCATCGAAGTTCCCAAAGCACCGCCAACACTCATACTTCCATGCACATATCAACGCCATTGAATCAAACACAAAACACCTCCAGCGTAAGCTTTACCTAACAACACCTTGGCGACCTCTAGAGATCTTCAAGCATGCATACTTTTGGTCTTTCGATGGCCCTGCGCACCAGACCTTGACTTGCTTGGGCTGCAGGTCTGGCTTATCGGACTACCACCATACGTTTCGGTTCGAGCATGACCAGGTCGAAATCCTGTCGATGCTTCAGCCTTCAACTTCTTCTCCCGTCTGAGAACGTGCTCAGTCCAGCCCTTGAGTTGAGCAGATGAGCCTGGTACATTCTTTCCAACGACTTGTGCGAGTGCAACCATCCACTCTTCTTTCTCGGCAGTCGAGTCGGCATAGAAATCAATAACTTCTCCATTCGCAAAGCGGATACGGAATCCCTCTTCGACAAACATGTAGCCTTCCTCTTCCTCTGCAAAACCACTCTTACGTCGACCGCCGCCTTTTGTAGACGTTTCCTTCTGCGTCAGAGAAGACTTGTCATCAATGAGGCGACTGGCCTTGGCAAGGTTGATGGTGGCTCGTGGTTGAAGAGTCGTCTCGTGGAAAGCAGTCAGTTTTGTTCCTGCAAGCTTAAAGAATCGTCGTCGCCAATACTGCATTGCGGTCAGCGCTATTTCGAAATCAATCTTCGTTAAGTAAAAGCAACTTACTGGACAATCTCCACCTTGCTGGCTGAGATAACCTTCGAATGCTTTGATGTTGGCTTGCTGTTGCATCCGCTCCTCAGCATCCCGCATTGCACGCACGGCTCCATTCATGCTCTTAGGCATATCTTCATCCTTGGCTCCCCTCGGTTTGGGCACGTACAGCAGTTGCAATTCAAGCTTGCCGATTTCATATGGCGGACGACGCTGAAGTTGGGTGACCCCTTTCTTGCTTCGAGAGCTTCCAACGTGAACCTCCTCAAGAGCCCACTCATTGAAGCAGGTGATGTCCACAGTGTATGGTCTGCCGTAAGCGTGCTTCTCATGCTCAGCTAGGGACACATAAGCACGAGCGAAAGATCCATCCTTCGCGACAAGCCCTTGAACCAATTCGTATGCAGATGGAGGAGTAACAGGCCTTCTGACGGCTTGGGCCTCTTGCATCGCCCTCAACTCCGACTCTTTCTTCTTCTTAGGAGAGCCAAACAGTCGCCCAAAAGCACCTTGTTTCTTAGGCGAGGATGGTGGTTTGCTAGGTGACTGTGGTCTTTCGACCTTCGGCTCCTCAAGCTTCATTTGAAGGGTGAGTTGGAATTCGAGCTCGTTGAGGACGACCAGCTCGAATTCCTGACCGATTGGTGCACTTCGGGCAAAATCTAGCCATGCAGTTGTTACACAATGGAGTCCGTTATCTAGTGTCAAGGCAAAGTAGGTGCGTTCGTCTATTCAGGGTTAGTAGTCTGCAGAATTGGTGCGATTCGACAATACTTACGCTGAGGGAAGGGCATTTGCAAGTCTTTCACACCAACAACCTTGACGAAAAGGCGACCACGCTCGGCGCCATCTTCCCATTCCTCATCCTCGGCAATTTCATCTTCTGCGACAGCATCGAGAGTCTCCTGAGCATTGCTCATTTGACCTGGCAACGGTGGAACAGGTCCATCCATTTGCTTCCTCTTGCTCAAAGCCTTTTCCCCTCCAACCCGAATGCTCTTTCTTCTCATCTTACCATTCCAGGGCTCAGCAGTCCATGTGGGCTGGCTTGTCTTTCGGGGAGAGGGTTGGACCAGATTTGCATCTGGAACCTGGGATCCAAAGGGCTCGCCTTGAAAGCCAGGGAGTTCGGGAGATCTCGATTCATCCTGTGAAATGCGTTCGCTGGCGTACACAATTTTGGTGTTCTGCCGCATCAAGTAACCTCTCTGTCGTCGACCAGCTCGATTAGCAAATGACTCTTCAGAAATTGATGAACCAGGGGAAATGGCTCTTCCAAGCGGAAAAGGAGCTTCACGGGGCCTAGGGAGGGCAGGAATATTGTTCATGGGGTTTTCAAACTTCGGGTCCTTGGAACAAGAAACTTCGACCGACGGGAAACGGCCATTGAACGGGTAGTAAAGACGCTGCAACGAGAGTTCAAACTCTACCTTTTGGGCTTCCACCACGCGGTCAAACTCCTTCTCAAGTCCTAGGCCAAGACCTTCGTCGAGGGAGTCATGTGGGATGTCCAGCTGTACTAAGCTGCTAACCCGATTGCTCTCGGGAATCTTGTGGCTCGTCTGAATGTGTTGCTCTTCTATCCTTGTGGGGTTCACTGGCTCTGCGCTGAGGCTGTCAGGCTTATCTTCAAACTCAGCCGAAATAGGAGAGACTGGAGAGGGCTCCTTGTCGTGAACCACCACCGAACCACTGTCTGATGGGGAGACTGATCTGTCGCTATCATCATGTGCTGCAGACTTGGTGTCTGAAATATCAGAACCATCGTTCACTGGAACGTTAGAATGCCTGGGGGAGTGTCTGACAACAGAATCAGGACTTCTGGGAACAGCTTCCTCTACAGCTGCAGATAGAGGAGCTTGGTATTGTCTGTGCTGAATCTCTGGGGTATAAGAACGTTGAATATTTTGGCGTAGAGCTGCTAGATCTGGAAGAGCAGTCGAATGTGTAGCACCATGGTTGGCCTTTGCTTTCTCGTCGTTATTGGACAAATATGATCCAAATCCAACATCGAAGCCACCTGTGTTACCGAAATCGGTGAACTCAGGGAGTGACATGCGGTTCTCGGCCTGCGATCCAAGCTCTCTAGTCGGAGTCCGGGCTTTTGGAGTATCTTGGCCGTCATCGGTGTCAAAAATGAAGGGCTGAGCTGCAGGGACTTGAGATGCCTGTGAGTACTGGCTTGTGAGGTCGTCGTCTTGGTTGGCGCTTGTCTCTGAATCTGAAACTCGACGACTGTACAAATCGGGAATCGAGTAGAGATCTTCCTCTTCCAGCTCTTCCTGCTTTATCTTTGGCAGTGTCGGGTCTTCGAGCGACGGAATCGGAACATCTGGGTCATATAACACATCACGCGCTTGCGCTACACCATCGGATTCCTCGCTGCTCTCTCGGCTGCCCTGTCCTGGCTCACCACGTAATGCTTCCAGGACCGCGGCTCGAGAAAGTTGTGGCGTTGAATTTCGTGATTCAGACATCTCGGAATCAGGAAGTCGAGGCATGTAGGACTTTTCGAGACTGGCATCACGAACCGGACTCGTCTCTTTCGAACCCATTCTCCTCATTCGGCGTTCCCGGTCTTGTTCTTGAAGTGCCATCAGCCTCAAGCGATCATCACCTGTAAGGGAGCTGGAGACTCCCATCTTTTGAATATCGGCTTTGGAGATGACTGCAGAAGCGGGAGGGGTGGGAAGAGATCGTCCGGATATACTCAGGCGCTCCATTGTGCCAGACAGGTTTTCATTCATTGGCAGTCGATTGCCACCAGGTGGTAGAGGTGGCAGAGGACGATGTTGTCCGTTTGAGTCTACTGAGCTCGCGCTCGTTTGATGTGGTCGAGATGCCAAAGCGCCTGGCTGAGCAGTTGGTGCAGGACTACCGCAGTCGTCGTCGAAAACATCTTCTTCTCCCCGTGACAGATCTTTGTTGGCTGTTTCTGGGCTCATGAAGCGCCAGTCTTCCGGCAGAACAACCGGCGTCTTGTCAGTGTCCTCCAGCGAGGCGTCAAAGCTGTCATCTTGATCCATTGAAGAGCCCCTTTCAAAGCTTGCATCCTCGTCCTCATCGTCTTCGTTGGACTGGTAGCTGCCTTCACGCGACCCTGATGCGCATGACGAAGGTGCCGGTGTGGCCATTTCGTACTCATTAATCTGAGGTGGCTTCTGGTCGAAGGTAACACTCTTCTGATGACGATGCAACCCACGACCAGCGGGAAGTTGTCTACTCTGAATGTCATCATCATCCTCCCAAATACCCGTCTCGGGATCGAAGCCACTTCTTCTGAAGGCTGCTCCGGTTTTCTTCGATAAGGATGATTTCATAGGAGGGCTGTTCAGCCTACTAGGCGACAAAGGAGTAATGAGGTTTGCGGCATGGTCCTGCTCTTCGAACCCCCTCTTCGCTTGTGGCTGTACCGGCGAAGTGTAGGAAGGGGCGACATTCTCCTTTCGAGTTACGTCTGAACCCCGATTTGGTGATTGTTGCCTCGAGAATTGCATGCTGTGTGGCCTTCCGTCCAGTACCGAAGGACGCGAAGGGTCATAGTGACTGCTCTGTTCGATGGCAAACATGCTGCTGTTCTTGACCCTCGAAGCCTTTTTGAGATTCTCAATCGATGATCGCTTGGTAGGAGAGTTTCGAGGAGGCGGAGTATCCTTTGTGCTTTGATGCTCTCTGGCAGGCGAATTGGGATCACGTCCCTGCCAGAACAGTCGTGGAGACACACCGGAAAATGGAGAGGAACCGGCTGGTGAACTTTCGTTGCTCAACAACTTACCCTGCAATTGCGTGAGTGAGGTGTTGTTCAAAGGGTTACAAAATCCAAACAACGCACCTTTGGCTGCGGGAAGCTAGGAGAATTTCGGCGCAAGGCCATGGGACTGAGCTCAGACAGGGGGCGGTTCGTTACTCGGGGCAGCTTGGACGGTGATGTTCCATTGCTGCCCTTCTGGATTCGTAAGGGTGGGACCTGTAAAGAGACGGTGACATGTTAGATCTACAGAGGAATCACGAATGTCAACAATCGGAGACAGCACAGCACGTACCTCCGAAGCCATCGCGGCTAGAACGTAGACAATGGCGTTGTAGTGATGACTCGGTGACGCTCAGACCATGAGAATGAACAGTGGAATGAATGAACAGTGGAATGAATGAACAGTGCGCCGCAGGAATGAGAGCGAAATTGTCAATGTTCCAAGCAGGCAGCCCAGCTGCGACGTGTTCTCGATAGTAGTGGAAGGGAGTTGATAGTAATGACTGTATTGAAGAGCGAATTGAAGCAAGATGCGACCGCGATGAAGACCAGTCCAGTAGGATGCTTTGGTAGTAAAGAACAGATGGAGGAGTGTGTGAATTGAATCGGCTGCGGCGCTACTCGTTTTACGCGCCTATTGGCACTGGAGGACAACAAAGCCATCGCCTGTTGGTTGCCATGGGCAACTCGCACACTCCCGCCAACTTTTTCTTGCGCCCCCGCATCAAGCTTCAGGTACTTATTGCGCCACATTAAATACTAGTAGACTCAGGTATTTGCTGCTCAATACTCCGGTCGTAGCTTGGTACCTCATATAGGTCTTTATTTACATGTCCTACTGCACGTACCCGTACAATGACAGGGAACATGGCGACATAAACAAGTTTCCTCCCGAGACCACACTTCTGCAATCAACGTCCTATCTGGTTTCCGATAACTGTTACGTGCTCGATCAAACCGTCCTCTTTCCCCGCCCTTTCTACAATGGGTGGAATATTTCCTAGCGCAGGTTTGTGTAAGAACGCGGCCTTGACAGCGCTTATGGCGCTCTCAGTTTGTTCTCTCCATGAGACATGATTGATGGAAGGTTGCCGGAATGAAGCATTGCAATCAAGAAGGTTCGAGCAAGAGGACTCACCTTTAAGGAATAATACTACGAGATTGCAAACGATTGATTAACAGCTAAATGTAATTGATGAATCTAGATATAATCCGTTGAGGACTCGACGTCCAACATGATGGCGTCCACATTTTGCTTGTGCTTGAAATTGAAAAGCACTCCCTTTGAAAATGAAATTGACGTGGGCCCTTTCAACGATTTGTCTCATTGTCCTGCATCCGTGGACAATGACGGGAGCTGGCATTGGACCTCAGCAAGGTAGACAAATCGCTTTTGTCCTCCCCTTCCCAAAGTCTTCATTTCATCCAGAGGCAATGCCCGTGTTTGATGGCTAGGCATGTATCTGACAAGGCGTGACCTCAGGGATATCTCTTTCGATCCTCAAAGAGCACCAAGTACCACCGAACGCAGTCGACATTCGCCTTCCACCAACCTTCGGCCCGACGAATGCGTCCTCCAAGCCATGGACGCCCATGCCTCCAGGCTGGTTTCTTGGTGATTGGTTCATCACATTCTCCAACCAAGAATTGTATCGTCTTTTCCGTAACTTCATCTGGACCCTTACGCGACCCTGCCTAGATGGTGCATGCTATGCCCAGGAGGCGACAAAGCTTGACACCTTGACATCTTTTCAGTTGGTCAACGATACAAAGAAGCCCAATGCAACATACTTTGCATACTCGCACGACACGTCCATCGCAGTGGACGCTTATCATAGCGTGCCGGCAGGATCCCTTGCATCTCAAAACAACACCTACGAGATCATTGGCTGGGGATACGATTCTAATGATGCAGCTTTCATCGTGGTTTATGAAACTCCGACCGCTTCGCAGACAGTGCCATCACTAGACATATTCAGCCGAGATCCCTCGGGTCCAAGTGACGATACTCTGAATGCAATCAAAGTTGGGATCAAGATGTTTGGGAATCAGCATCTGCTTGACCTTCTCAGAAACGTGACAAAGACACCACAGGATGGTGGCAGAGCTGGCGATACATGGCCATCATGTAACGCAACCTGCAGGACGAATGGTGAGTGTCTCCAACAAGCTATCCAGCTGTCATCATCGGGGCGGAGTTGCGTACTGACACCATTGTCCTTCAGAGTATTCAGTCCCTCTTGACTGAAGTGGTGCGTGAGAATTGGATTTGTCCGGTGGTTAACCAGCAAGTCAAAGAGAAGTGGGCAAAAGAGAAGTGATAGCAAGGAAGTGTCTGGACCTGACACCTTCTCAAAGGAACTGCTCCATTCAATGGCCACTCATTGCCGTGACCAAAATAGACCAGATATTCCGATTCGTAAAACCTTTCAAGGGTCTGCCTGCATCATGAGAGGTTCTCCAGGAGTTCACGTGGATGTGAGATACTGAGAAGTTTCGGCGATTGCGTGCCTCTGCTCCATGCGGGAATGTGCCCCTGGGTCCTCGCAACCACGTTGTTGCAAGCAGGCTACAATTGAGTCGGCCGCTGTGCCCAGACCGCCACTGATCGCGGGCCATGTTGCGTACCAGAAAAGAAGGCGCCATCGTCATGCTGATCACGATCCTGGCAAGGTCTGGGCCAGAATCCCTCTACGAGTACGTGACGACCGGGTCATGCATGGGTCATTCGACTCTTTTTTCGCCTTGGAACTTGTATCGTACCGTCACGGCATCAGATGTGTAGGGGCGCTCACCAGAGCTCACAGCTGGTCTCCGGTAATTCGTCCTTACTTCCGCTCTATCGTGTATCGTCCGGTAACCAATTCCCCTGGATCCCGGTCTTGGTCCCCGCTCAGTGAGACTCTGCCGGTGGCCTGAATTGCTGAGGTTGAGCGTCGTATCTCGAGGACTTTCCTATTCTCGGCGTGAATGCGAGGCACAGCCCAAAAAGCTTGTATTCGCATGGAACACTGGAGAATGGTACATGCGATGAGTCAGGATGCTGCAAGGCCTTCAGTCCAAAATGCCAACGCACCCACATTCGGGCCGCTGAAACGCCGATTTGATACTCCCTAACTAAAATCATCCTTCGCTTTTCTGGAACGGACTGTCGGAAGACGTCTGCTTTCAGCCCTATAGGGCGAGTGGATACAGACTACCGGCGTACTGTAGCTGTCCGCAGAGTGACCGATGTGCTGGCATGACTACCTGGGTACGCTGTGAAGGGCGGTGGCCCTGAAGACAAAATGGTGCTTCGGGGGCCTAAGCTGGAGGTCGGTAACGCCCTCAAGATCTGCAAGGGCAAGACTCGCCTATGGTGAAGAACGAGTGCCTGTTGCTGTATGGCTGGAACGCTCTTTGTTTTTTGTCGTTCCTGTATGGCCAAGAACGCGCCAAAACATATTCCTCATAATCACAATTTGCACTCCTCATCTTGCTTTCATCTTTCCTGCACTCCACGCTGTGATCCATGAGCATCAACCATCGCCTGTCTTTGCTACACTTCATGTAGCCAGGAGTCACGTCCCGTGCGTTCCGACAATCTGGAACATTTTCGTGTGGTACTTTTGCTACACGCACTTCAAGAGCTGATCGGAAAGCTGCCGGTATACGTCTCTCATGCCAACGAGACCAGGCCACTTCCCATCAAACAACGTCAATGATAACAGGCAAGAATTGGAATGTTGACACATACTCTCCCAGATTGATGTTCATTGTCTCTTGGTGGATGTACCTCGACCCGCAATCGTCCTCTCAAGCGTTGTGTTCTCATCCAAGTTCAAGACACGATAGTCCTTGATCATCATGCTCGCCAGGGAAATGTAATGCGCGGGCATGAAGGTCATTTGTGATGTACCGAGTGCTCCGTTTTTCGGAGCCCGTACGATCTCCTCCCCGTAGACTTCCACGGGTCTGCCAGCCGACAGGAATATCTCCTTGGGGGAAAAATTTCATCCACCCAGGCGGCGTTCCACTATCTGCTGGACGAGTGTGTCGAGCCGTGTGTGATACCAACTTACCAAGAGGTGATGTCCCAATTTACGAGAACCATTCGTCACGTATAGCTCCGTGGACAGCTTTGATCGATGTGAGGGAGAGAGATATCATCCTCCAGCGTGTGTGCCGTGCCGTACACAGAAGTTTGGGCCTCGACAGCACTGAGTTCTACTGATTCCCCTTGGGGTTCAAAGCCTGGATAGTCGGCTGTTGACAAAACTGCATCTGGGAAATCGGAAGGTTTTCGCCGAAGAACTGACTCAATATAAATTTCCAACCACGTACGAACCCCACAAGATCTTCTCGTTCTTGTTAAAGATCAATGAGACAATCATCCAGAACCGGACTCGGTATGACTCATGCGAGCCCGGTTCGAGACAGAAGACGACACGCGTGAGTCAAACATTTCTCCATACATCTCCTTTGCGGGGACGCCACAGACGGTATACGACCAACAGCACAAAGCGCACGAAGAGAGCCGGCGGACACTTCAGAAGTGACCTCGGCGAAGCATTTGGTGTGTGCCTCGACGTAGCACCCTGTGAACGCGAGCGATTCGACTTGGCATTTGTGACGAGAGCGACTCACGCTGGCCATTGCAGCGATGATTTTGATTACGGGAGAAAAGTCAGGCTCGACGACCTGTTAGTCCACTGGATTCGATGTTCTGAGCGATACCAAAAAAAAGGGTTATCAATCCAACCCGGAAAAGCTCTTTCTAAAAGGGTTCGATGCCCATTTGGAAAGGGACCTTGGACTCGCTGAGCTGGCCTTACAATGTGGTAAATCGTCATCTAGAGAAAACCCAATCTGGAATTCGAGCGCGTCGTATCACATCGATAGAGAGAGAGAGAGAGAGAGAGAGAGAGAGAGAGAGAGAGAGAGAGAGACAGATTCTACGAATCTTCACATGTCATTGTGCACACACACACACACACACACACACACACACACACACACACACACACACACACACACACACACACACACACACACACAGCCCCTCCCCTCCCCCAGATTTTGATCTACATCTTTGCAAAGAGCCTTACGGAAGGTTTAAGAGCCACATTATAGACCTCAATCATTAGTTTCTTCTTGTTGACTTGATGTAGTCAACACTCACGACTCACCACTCGACGACCGAGTTTTGTCTCAACTGCGTTGATCATGACAAGGCGGGGAGAACTGACTCCAAGAGCTCTGAATTCAATTCTCCAGGTCTAAAGTCCTGACAACAAAACCAGGATTTATTTTCCAATTTGTCCAAGTCCAAAAAATCTCACTAGGGAGATTCGACATCATGAGCTAAAGATCTAGCCTTGTTTTTCTTTT